ATAGAAAATAATTACTATGCTAGAGAATCTATTAGTAAAGCGCTAGCTAAAACACCTTTAAAGACTTCTCTAGATTCTAATACTTAACTATAGAGTCTAATAAAACTATATTTAGTATAGAGATTATATATTTATACTACTAAATAATAAACTACGTACGTAGATCTTATACTATACTTATAATACTAGCTCTACTAGATACTCTAGATAGGTTAAAACTATAAACCTTATCTACTATAATTACTAGTAGCTATAAATCTCTTATAATATTAAGACGTATGTATAAGTCTACGCTATATATGTAAGAATAAAAGTATTTAGACTCTTACTTTAAGGCTTTCTAAAACTACTACTAGTTCTATTCTAGGTATAGTCTAATATATTAGTTAATTATATTACTCTACTACCTAAGTATAGATTATATAGTTAAAAATATAAATATATTCTTATAGTAGTCTATTAACTTATAAAAATATACTACCTTATCTCTATAATAAGAATTAATATAGAGAAGCTAACTAATATATTTATTTTATAAATTTACTTACTCTATAGCTACTCTAATAATATTATTTCTAATCGCGGTATATAGTTTATTTCTTAGTTCTAGACGTAGCTTTCTACCTACTTAGAAGTTATACTTAAACGCTTATCTTTATTCTATCTAGAGATAGATAGATAAATAAAGTAAGTTAATAGCTCTATTAAAGTATATCTCTAGACCTTTATAAACTTCTACTAAGATAATTAGATATAATAGCTACTACTTATAGAGTTTATAATAAATAATATTATGTCTAAGACTATAGAAGTATCTCTATTCTTTACAAATTATAGTTTCTATATAAGACTAGAGGTTAAGCTAGCGTAGCTAGTACTACTAAACCTATCTACTATATAAAAATATAAGTTCTTTAGAGCTAATAATATAGCTAACTAGTTTAGCTATATTCTATTCTAACTAAAAGTACTAGCTATCTAGTCTATTACTTAGTATAAATACTATATAAATAAGAGACGTAAAGACGTACTATAATTTTTAATAGAAAATCTTATCTATATTAACACGTAGAATATAAAGACGAATAAATCTATAAAAAAGAGAGATAATAAGCTTATAGAGCTATATAAGATATTAAAGATCTATAACTAATTATATATACTAGAACTTCTACTACGCGTATAAATCTTTCTAGTATTCTATAACTTACTACTCTACTTCTAGCATGCTTCTATAGAGCTTCTAGGTTAATAGATAATTAATAAAGTAGAGTCGCGTTATCTTTATAGAAGAGTTCTTAAAAGAGAAGATAGAATAGAGAAACTTACTAAGAAGTAGAAGTTTAATATAATACTAGACTACTATAATAAGTAACTAGAACTATAGTACCTTATTAAATAAAAGAACTATACTATAACGTAGTAACTAGTATTAGACCTAAAGAGTTAGAATAACGCGCTACTAAGGTTCTATACCTAACACCTAGATAAGCTAGGTCTACTATAATAGGTAAAAAGGCTATAAACGCTAGTTAGTCTAAATTTTTTATTATTTTATAGGCTATCTAAGACGTATAGTATACTAGAAGAGGGGTACTATTATAGTATTAACCTGCCCGCTTAGTTATGTAACCTTAGCTACCTTAGCGCCTTAGTATAGTAGATATCTACTCTACGCCTTTGTATCTTTGTAGCTTAATATCGTACAACTTATTATATACCTCGAATTCTTGTTTCTTATCTACGCCGTAATAAACTAACTTTTAAGAAAAAATCTACTTTACTTCTAGTAAGTACTATTATATCTCTATAATAATATATAAAACTTATAGTATATAGTATCTATTACCTAATAAAGGTTTCTAGAAAACTTTTATAGAGCTAGCTCTTCTAGGTATAGCGTAATAAGAGATAGAAGTTAGAGAAATAATTTCTTTAGAGTTTTCTCTTCTAACTATATATATATATAGGTAATCTAGCTATATAAACTTATTATTTTATATATTATAGTAGGCTTTAACTATATAGAGCTTATTAACTAATAATATAGTAGCTTTAAGTAGTTATTTAAAAGTAAAGCCTTTTTAGTAGTATAGTATAGAAAGAGAGAAATATACTAAAACTATATTAAAATTATTACTTCTAAATATATAGAAGACTTATAGTATATATAATCTTATAGTATATAACTTTATATAGCTAGATTATTTATATATATCTATAGTTAGAGAAGAAAACTCTAGAAAGATTTTTTAAACTTCTACCTCTTATTACGCTATACCTAGAAGAGCTAGCTCTATAAAAGTTTTCTAGAAATCTTTATTACGTTATAGATACTATATACTATAAGTTTTATATATTATTATAGAGATATAATACTACTTACTAGAAGTAAACTAGATTTTTTCTTAATAGTTAGTTATATACGTATAGCTTTTTAATTACGTAATATATTCTTATATAACTTTAGTATAAGGTATAATATACTATAAAGAAAATATATATAAATTTTTATAGAAAAATATTAAAGTTTTGCTTAACGTACTTTACTACTAAACTCTCTATACTACTAAACTCTCTAAAAATACTAAGTTTCTACTAAATACTACTATCTCTATTATAACGCTCTCTATAAACGCCTAATTAACTTTAGACAAATTCTAGATATAGCTTACGTTCTAGACTATTTAATAGAATCTAGAGCTAAGCTTATAGCGCGCTATAGCTCTCTATAATATAGAGTAGAAGAAAGTCTATAGTTAATATAATAGAGTTACTCTATAATATAAAAAGATATCTAATTTAATAAAGCTTACTATAAATAAAGAGTAGGTAATAGTTAAGTATATACTAGACCTAAATATATAAGAATTTACTCTCTAGCTTACTACTATTTAAGATATAGCTAATAAGCTACTTACTAAGTAAGAGAGAAAGATTATAGATAAGAACTAGCTAAACTACTTTATTATATACTATTCTAAGCTTAAAATATAGCTTAATTACTAGTATAACTATTAAAGAGTAAAGTAAAAAAATTCTATAATTATTTAGGCGTAGTTTAACCTAGTAAATAATATAAAGGTAAAGTATAGTATTACTAATAAAAATATATATAATTTTAATAAATCTAGCTTTATAATAGAAATAATATTACCTTAGATAGTAGTTACTAGCTCTAAGAGATAATTATAACTAAAGTATCTTTAACTAGATAATTATAAGTAAATTTTAGTAATTATAATAGTAAGAGTAGTAGGTAATATATAGGTTTTACTATTTCTTATTATTATAAGTAAGAACTATCTCTTAGTATAGTATAAAGATAGCTAGCTACTATATAACTAGATTATAGCTATCTTTAAAAGTAGCTAGATAATAAATAAAGTTAGTATTACGTAGTTAAAGTACTTTAACGCGTATACTAAGAGTTACGTTAACGTACTTAATAAACGAACGCCCTAGATAAACAAACGCCCTAAAAATGCTAAGAAAAAGAAAATTAACGAGTTTTTCTTAAATAACTAAGCGAAACCTTAATATTTTTCTATAAAAATTTATATATATATTTTTTATAGTATATTACACCTTATATTAAAGTTATACTAAGATATACTACGTAATTAAAAAGCTATACGTATTTAACTAACTTTTAAGAAAAGTCTAGTTTACTTCTAGAGAAGACTATTATATCTTAATAATAATCTATAAAACTTATAGTATATAGTATCTATAACGTAATAAAGGTTTCTAGAAAATTTCTATAGAGCTAGCTCTACTAGGTATAGCGTAATAAGAGATAGAAGTTTAAAAAAATCTTTCTAGAGTTTTCTTCTCTAACTATAGATATATATAAATAATCTAGCTATATAAAGTTATATATTATAAGATTATATATTCTATAAGCCTGCTATATATTTAGAAGTAATAATTTTAATATAGTTTTAGTATCTTTCTATCTTTCTATACTATACTACTAAAAAGACTTTACTTTTAAATAACTACTTAAAGCTACTATATTATTAGTTAATAAGCTCTATATAGTTAAAGCCTACTATAATATATAAAATAATAAGTTTATAGAGCTAGATTAACTATATATATATATATAGTTAGAAGAAGAAAGCTCTAAGAAGAAAATTTTCTAACTTCTATCTCTTATTACGCTATATCTAGAAGAGCTAGCGCTATAGAAGTTTTCTAGAAACCTTTACTACGTTATAGATATTATATACTATAAGTTTTATATATTATTATAGAGATATAATAGTACTAACTAGAAGTAAACTAGATTTTTCTTAAAAGTTAGTTAAATATATATAGCTTTTTAATTACGTAGTATATCTTAGTATAACTTTAATATTAGGTGTAATATACTATAAAGAATATATATATAAAGTTTTATAGAAAAATATTAAGGTTTTGCTTAGTTATTTAAGAAAAACGAGTTGATTTTCGTTAATTTTCCTTGCTAAGAAATCGTGAGGCTTTCGTTTATGTAGGGCTTTCGTTTGTGTAGAGCTTTCGTTTGTGAAGTACGTTATCTAGAATTTATCTAAGATTAATTAGGCGTTTATAGAGAGCTTTATAATAGAGATAGTAGTATTTAGTAAGAGCTTAGTATTTTTAGGCGGTTTAATAATATAGGTAATTCGATAATAAAGTATATTATTAGAGTTGTAGTATTTACGCTAAGTTCTAAAGCTAAAGAGTTATTTCATAGTTACTCTATCTTCTATAGTAATATTAAGGGCACGTGTAGGCGACACGAACAGCTTCTTACGGATCGCGTGCCTTGCCGCCCATAGGAGCCGGGTGGATGGTTCTTTCAATCGCACCCTCATCCGGTCCAACAACAGCTCATGTCTTCCGCCTACGCTCTAACAGGCAGGTATCGTCCCGTTGAGTACGAGCCCATGACCCGGTTTGTTCGCTTATGCACCCTGCGCCTCTCTTCCCTGCTGCTGTTCCTGGCCATCGTCATTTTTTTCTGTCGGCATATTGCGGGGATCTTAGCTGGGCGGCAGAGCTTGTGCGCGCCAGAGAATCCGGTTCCATGCCCGTATTCCGCGCTATGGGAGGTATATTTTGCCATTTCCCCCCAGCAATGGACGTCAGCCCTGGAATTGTGCTTCTCTTCTTTCAATTGACCTCCCTGCTGAACCGCGCGCAGAGCTGAGGTTCCCTGAATGAACATCGGGCCCTACGCGTGGGAGAGTTGAGCAATTGGGCCATCATGGCGAGGACTAGCTTTCTAACAGCTGCTTCCTTGCTGTCGTCCTTCCAGACGTTGACGAGTGCGCAGACGACTTCGAACTCAGCAGATGGACTAGGACCCACCGCCCAGCCATCGTCCTCGGTAACAGTTGGAATAGTAGACATAAGCGGCACGCCGACCACCTACCGCTCCGTCTTTACGATACCAGCATCCGCCGACGAGGGAGCGAATGTCCTGCCCAATATCGAAGACCCACAAGCCGCCGATCCTCAGGATGTCTGCCCTGGATACAAGGCATCGCATGTACAAGAGGACGAGTATGGCTTGAGCGCGATCTTGACGCTCGCTGGAGAGCCCTGTAATGTCTATGGGACTGACGTGGAGGTTTTGAATCTGAAGGTGGAGTATCAGGCCGCGAATAGGCTGGTCATTAACATCAGTCCCGCGAACGTCGTAAGTATTAGGTGCTCAGACACGGTGGGGATACATGCTCACCCTAGCAGGACTCATCGAACTCGTCTTGGTACATCTTGCCTGAAGAGCTCATTCCCCGCCCGAAGCCAGATTCGACCTACGGAGACATTGATCTTGAATTCGACTGTGAGCCACTAGCATGTATAGTCTCTCGAAGGCTTGTGACTAACTGGTATGCTAGGGGACGATAAACCCTCCTTCTGGTTCAGCGTCACGCGCCACTCTACCGGCGACACCATCTTCTCGACCGAGAACATGAAACTGATCTACGAAGATCAATTCATCGAGTTCGTCTCGCACTTGCCCGGTGATTATAACCTCTATGGCCTTGGGGAGCGCATTCATGGATTAAGGCTCAACCACAACCTCACAGCCACCATCTACGCTGCAGACGTAGGTGACCCGATCGATAGGAACATCTACGGAAGCCACCCGTTCTACCTCGACACCCGGTACTTCGAGACGGACAGCGAAGGTAGGAAGAAGCTGGTGAAGAAATCTGAGATCGACGAGCGTGGATACGGAGGCAATGGTCACGGTGGTTCCAACTACGAGTCTTACTCTCATGGTGTTTATCTTCGAAACGCTCACGGCCAGGAAGTGAAGCTGCAACCAGAGAATATCACATGGAGGACACTAGGAGGTAGCATTGACCTCTTCTTCTTCGACGGCCCCAGCCAGCCGGAAGTGACGAAGCAGTATCAGACTTCGGCGATTGGTTTGCCAGCTATGCAAGCGTATTGGTCCTTTGGGTTCCACCAGTGTCGGTGGGGTTACCAAAATTGGACGGAGTTGAGGGAAATCATTGATTCGTTCAAGGAGTTTGATATTCCGCTTGGTATGTAAAGCCTCCATTCCCTCAGTAAACCCATTGCTAATCAAATAATGCAGAAACTGTTTGGCTTGATATCGACTACATGGACCAGTAAGTCTTACTAAAATAGCTAGCCCAGGGGGTATTGACCGAGGAGCAGATACCGCGACTTCACTCTAGATCCGGTGACCTTCCCACCGTCGGGCGTCAAGGACTTCTTCGACTACCTCCACGGTAATAACCAGCACTTTGTTCCAATCGTCGACTCTGCAATCTACATCCCCAACCCCCAAAATGCTAGTGATGCATACGATACATATACGCGAGGCAACGCATCCGGTTCATTCATGACCAACCCGGATGGCAGTCAATACGTAAGTTCCGTTCTGCGTCCCGTCTTCTTCGATGCCGACAGCAGCAGATTGGGGCTGTATGGCCTGGGTATACCGTCTTTCCTGATTGGATGTCTCCAAACGGCGTGAGCTGGTGGATTCACGAAATGTGAGTGTCGATTTAGCTGACCCTAACCGTCGCAAAGCTAATCCCTTCAGGGTCGAATGGTACAAAGAAGTCCCCTACTCTGGCTTCTGGGTCGATATGAGTGAAGTATCTTCCTTCTGCGTCGGCTCGTGCGGTACTGGCAACGTCACTATGAATCCTGTGCACCCACCCTTCGCCTTACCTGGCGAGGTCGGAAACGTCATCTACGACTATCCCGAAGGCTTCAACATCACGAACGCTACCGAGGCTGCTTCCGCTTCGTCAGCATCGTCGAGCCAGGCTGCGGCTACGAGCACTGAAGCGGGACCTACCAGCTCCACAACAACGAGCTACTTGAGAACTACCCCTACACCCGGCCAGAGGAACGTGGACCATCCACCATATGTGATAGATCACGTGCAGGGCGACCTGGCAGTCCATGCTGTTGCTCCAAATGCGACGCACGCGAACGGCATGCAAGAGTACGACGTCCATAACGTCTGGGGGTAAGCATTGCCTTCCTTCTCCCTTTTCGAGACTGGCTTTAGCTAACTGAGCTGCGCAGACACCAGATCCTCAACGCAACCTACCAAGGCCTCCTCTCCGTATTCCCTACCAAACGCCCCTTTATAATCGGCCGCTCCACCTTCGCGGGCTCCGGTAAATGGGCAGGCCATTGGGGCGGCGACAACGCCTCGAAGTGGTACTACATGTACTTCTCCATCCCGCAAGCTCTATCCTTCTCGCTCTTCGGCATCCCCATGTTTGGCGTGGACACTTGTGGCTTCAACGGCAACACGGACTATGAGTTGTGCTCGCGCTGGATGCAGTTGAGCGCCTTCTTCCCCTTCTACCGCAACCACAATGTGCTTAGCGCCATTCCTCAAGAGCCGTTCCGCTGGGCCAGTGTGGCGAGCGCTACAAAGGCGGCTATGCAGATCCGGTATAGTCTGCTGCCGTATATGTACACGCTCTTCCACGAAGCTTCTACTACAGGCAGCACCGTCATGCGCGCCCTAGCGTGGGAGTTCCCCAACGAGCCGCAGCTCGCAGGCGTAGATACACAGTTCCTGCTCGGTCCGAGCATCCTCGTGACACCGGTACTAGAACCCCAGGCCGACACCGTGAAAGGCGTCTTCCCCGGTGTGATCGACGGGGAGTGCTGGTACGACTGGTACACTGGCGAGAGGGTCGACGCGCAGGCTGGCGTGAACACAACTATCGACGCACCCTTAGGCCACATCCCCGTCTTCATCCGCGGCGGCTCCGTGCTGCCGCTGCAAGAACCCGGCTACACGACGACGGAATCGCGGAACAATCCCTGGGGACTCGTCGTCGCGCTTTCCGACGACGGTGACGCAACGGGTTCGCTTTACGTCGACGATGGTATCTCGCTCGAACCGAACGCTACCTTGAGTATACAGTTCGCGGCTACGGATGGGCAGTTGAAGGCGAATGTTACGGGCGACTATGCGGATAGCAATGCGTTGGGTAATGTGACGGTGCTCGGTGTCTTTGATGGCTGCGGGAGTATCAAGTTGAATGGGGAGACGGTGGATGAGAGCAAGGTAGATTATGATGGGGATGCGGGCGTGCTGAAGCTGACGGGGTTGAATGATTTGACGAGGGGGGGCGCGTGGAAGGGGAGCTGGACGTTGAGTTGGCAGTAGGCCCGCTTCTCATCCGGTGAAGACATATTGGGGCTGGGCTGAGCAGGAGGCTTGCGCTCATTGAGAGTATAATGATAGCGTTGATGACTCGATTTTGCAATCGTCACTCTGCCTCGCTTCGATCGGCTTTGCGTTCGCCATATGTGCTAATATGTAGCCTCCGTTGCGTGCCACGCGCAGCGCACGCGATCGCTCGCTACCCGAGCTAGAGCAATGTCCGCGTTCCCATGAATCATCTTGGTGCTGAGCTGTAATGAACTGCTAGGCTGGACACTCTCTGCATCGGCGGGAGTATCCACGTTTCACACTCTTTCTTCATGAAGGCGGTCCAACATGGCGCAGGCTCGCTGATGTGGACGCCCACTTCATCCCTTGAAGCAGTCGTCGGACGAGTTGCCGTCTAACTGACCGAAGCTTGCGTCTATACACGCATCCTCCATGGGAACGGCGTCCCGCTCTCCTGCTCCCCGGCAATCCCATACGCATGTGTCGTAGGTGTGACGGTGGCGTGCGGTTGGGGAAGGGCAGCGTGGTGTTTTGGAATCTAGAAATTGCCGCGCTCTTCGAATTCTTCAATGTGTTGGAGTATTGGGCCAGGTTGACGCTCGCTCGCTCGCTCCTGCCTGCTCCTGTCTCCACGTCCGTCGCCTGGTTTGAACCGACACACCTCCATAATCCCCCACCTCTTCTTCGACCGCGCGTTACTTTCAGCGGTTCTTCAGCTCCCACGCTCCGACGCTCCAAGCAGCAAGCTCGCACTTCGTAACAGGGAGCCCGAAGCCCTTCAGCAGGTGATGTCACTTCCTGCCTCTTGCCTCCTCTACGCTTCAACTGGCAATATCGGCCGGGGAGAGAGCGCCGCATTTTGTGGCCGCCAGCATCGCGAGATCCAGCGACTGATTCCGTGCACAAATTTACGCACCCATCCACACTTTCGCACCCACCAGCGGTCGTCGCCCCAATACGGTATCTCCGTGTCCGAACGAGATCCTAGAAGCGGCCGGTGCTCGTCCTCGTCAAACCTCGCTGGAGGAGGAGGTTCTTGCTGGAAAAAGGCTGGCCGTCGCCCAACTCGGTGGAATTCCCGCCTGATGTTCTTCATCTTCGTTTCTCGGGTCGGAAGGCTGTCCGGCTCCGCGTAGATGGCGGCGCTCTGTATCGCGCGCTTCCAGAGGAGGCTCCTATCAATAACAGCTCTTGTTCAGAGAAGAATAAGCGTATTGCGGATGTGCACCTGGAGATGGGCTGATGGATAACAGAAAAGTTACGGGCCTCAGAGTGGCGCTAGAAGGCTGGTTTCAGCTCCGTCCCCGCCCCCACCCGGGCGATCAGCTCTTCCCACGCAAACCCTGCCACAGCCTGACAGCTCAAGCGTCAATCCTACCACCACCGACAACGAAGCAGTCCTTCGAGGCAGCAAAGGTCACCAAAGGCCTCCAGGCCTCACCTTACATAACTCATGGCTGAGGCGTTTGCAGTTCTCGGCATCGCTGCCAACATTGGCCAATTCGTGGAGTTTGCCTTGCAGCTCATTAATGAAGGGAAAGAGGTATACAACTCGGTCCACGGGGTACGAGCAGAACACCGCGAGATCGAAATCATCACAGAAGACGTGGCGATTTTATGTGATGAGGCCAAAAAAACTGTGGCACAATGCCAACAGCAACTATCATCAAGCAACGCGACAGCAATACAGCGTTTGGCCACGGAGTGCGAAGCTTTGGCGAAGAGGCTATTGCGCATGTTGGAGGAGCTGAAAGTCCCGGCTAATGCTCGTCGCCGCGGTCTGAGGACGCTCAAGAACACGCTGAAGGGCGCCGGGCAGAGGAAAGAGATTGCGGACCTGCAGCGAAGAATGCTCGAGATTGACCGACGATTGAGGCATAGGATATCGGCTATGCTTCAACAGTAAGTCCATCGAAGAGATGTCAGATCCGTCCTAGCTAGACTCGGATGCTAATGGTTGCAAAGAACAAGTCAATCGGAACTTTTGTCCGCAATTCAGGCACTGGATAGAAAGACGGAGGCTCTGAAAATCAATACCGGCGCTACACTCAATGACCTCAGGGGAGAACTTATTGACCTCCTAGGAGATACCTCAAGCTCAGCAACCACAAATGGCCCCAGCGTGGACAAAATTACCCCTAAGCTCGTCGCATTCGCAGAGAAGGCTGAGAATTTAGTGAGGCAGCAGAACTTTCTTGAGGGTCTGATGTTTGATTCTATGAAGCGGCGACACGACATGATCAAAGAAGCCCACAAGAAGACACTCAATTGGATATTTCAGCGGCCGGAGACAAGATTCATGGAATGGCTGGAATCTGATAGCAATATGTACTGGGTCAAGGGCAAGGTGCGTGAGTTTTCCAAGCGAGAATATAATCCTAACAACGATAGGCTGGGAGCGGAAAATCAACGCTTATGAAATATGTTTGCGACCACTATAGGACCAGGGATGCATTACAGACCTGGGCCGGACCTCAAATGTTGGTGACAGCATCATACTTCTTCTGGGCTGCAGGCTTGCGTATGCAAAAATCGCAGGTCGGGTTGCTCCAGAGTCTGTTATACCAAGTATTGGTCGCATCTCCAAAGCTCATCCTGGAGTACTTCCCTGATCGATTAGCAAAGGAACCGTGGACACGCAAGGAGCTCTTTGAAGCACTGGGGAAGGCGTCACGTGGAACCGGCTGTCCGCTCTCCGCAAAGTATTGTTTCTTCATCGACGGTCTCGACGAGTACGGGGGTGTGGATGACGACCATGATGTCAATCCTGAAGAGCTTATCGATCTACTCCGACGCCTTTCGACATCTCCTAACATCAAGATTTGCGTATCTAGTCGGCCTTGGAATGTCTTCCTACTAGCTTTCGAGGGACTCCGCCATCAAGTGGCGATGGAAAAGCTTACAATCACCGACATGAAGATATACGTGGATGATCTGCTTGCACAGAGCGAAGGCTTCAAGGAAATAAGTGCACGAGAGCCTCAATGCGCCGAGCTTGTCCCGAAAATTGTAGACAGAGCACAGGGCGTATGGCTCTGGGTTTTCCTCGTGGTCCGAGATCTGTTGAACGACATCAAGGGCAGGGAAGACTACTCCTCTCTACTACGCAGGCTGAATGAATTCCCCCGGGAGTTGGAGAAGTACTTCGAAGATATCCTGGACAGAATTGAAAAATTCCATGTGGAGGAGGCCGCAAAGATATTCCTTGTTGCAGTCGAAGCTCCGCGTCCACTGCCGGTGCTTGCCTTCAAGTTTCTCCTCGAAGAGGCACGAGATCCGCACTTTGCCATCGTTGGCAGTATTTCGCCTCTGGGTTTCGACGAAGCACGGCAATATTACGAGAAGTGGAGGATACTGCTCAACAGCCGCTGTCGCGATCTACTTCAAGTCACCGACATTGGCGAGCAACGTACTGCAATTCAGGACGCTTTCACCAACACTTACCGATACGTACCGTTCATGTATTATCAAGTGGATTTCCTCCATAGGACGGTAAGGGATTTCCTTCGAAACAACAACTACGAATACCTACGCCGAAAGGCCGGCTCTGAATTCGATGCTACTGCCTCCTTGTGCGACATCACTCTCGCTCTCGCAAAGTCCATCCCAGCCTCGCCTCACCAGGAATCTCTACAGAACCCCCTGTTCTGTACGGTTGATGAGATCATGTACTACTCGCACGAATTAGATATACGAGGTCAATATCGCGGCTCTGCGATCCTGGATGAGCTCGACACGGTCATGATCACACATGCAAGGGCTTGGGGCTTCGGAAAGCACTGGACTAACGTGAGAGAAGTCCCTAGCAACTCCAAGTTCCTCGAGGAATACGGTCAGAACACGTTTCTGGGCCTAGCAATCCAATCCAACCTAGTTCATTACGTGACGGAAAAGCTCGGCGCCAATCCCGCACTTTTAGCATCTAAACGTGGTCGGCCGTTGCTTGACTACGCTCTGCGACCTAGGAGAAGGACTCCCGCGGAACTGCCATACCGCGTCCAATACGAGGCATCCAATGTCGATAAGGGAATGGTGAAGGCGCTTCTCGAACACGGAGCGAATCCAAACCAACAGATGCACATCTACGAGGGACAAACCGTCTGGAGTCTCTTCTTGAGGTCTTGCTGCGCGAACCTAGGGGTCCCATCACACATCAAGTCTGCTTGGGGCGACGTGATAGAGACCCTCCTTGAGGCTGGTGCTGATCCGAATATAGAGGTCCTTAATCTCGACGACACAAGGATCCTCACTGTCGATGAAGCAATCCAGACGATATTCTGGACGGAACCGGACAAGAAAGTGCATCTGCAAAATCGGTTGCGCGAAATAGCGGAGAGGCGGAAATTTCAGACCTCCCTCTTTTGGAGAATGTTGGGCTGGTCCTGATGGCCTTTAATGAGCCGTCTGCAAGCAGCGACCCGGCTCGACCTCTCCACCCAAAAAGGGGCCCGTTGCCTCGCTACCTCCGAAGATGCTGGCGTACAACCACATTCCCTCCGCAGTTTGGGTAGGAGGCTGAGACACAAAGTATGGGAAGTCCTTCCTGAGGTTTTTCAACGGTCTGAGTGAGGAATGAGATTTGATGGCACATATCTTTCTCCATCTACGGCATTGAATCATTGTCTCTCCCGCATATTGAAGAATTAGAGACCTCGGGAAACGTGGTAGTTCGGGACTCTGAACAGGAAACCACACTGTATCATCACCGGCGGAACCTCGTTCCCGAATGGCAGTAGCTGTCAACGAAGCCATCAGCCAACAAAGTCGGGCCTACAACAGGAGTGCTCTCTTGGAATTTCCATGTGTAGGCAAGGGCTCTACTCTTCTTCACGGGCAGCGATGATTGCTGAGCCCTCGCTCTTCTCGCCGCAACTAGTAATATCTCAACGAACCCCATTCCTCTCATTCCAGGCCCGATCAAAAACCGGCAAACTCCTCTGCGCAGTAGGCACCACATCCAGCGTCTTAACGCTCACCCTCTCCTTCGTCCTCAGCATCCACACCGCCGCCTCCGCCACATCATCAGCAACCAATGGCTCATATCCTTCGATGAACTCCTCATACATCCCCCTATCAAACCCCACCCTCTGCTCGTGGAAATGCGTCGCCACGACACCCGGTCTCAGCGCAAGAACTTTGATATTAGTCCCGACAAGCTCATTGCGCAGAGCATTTGTAAAACTTTCTTGGAGCGCTTTGCTGGAATGGTAGACCGCTTCGCCGGGGAAGGGCGGTGCTTCGAGCGCGGTGGTGGACGTTATGTTTAATATCGTGCCCCGGCCTCGTTCTTTCATCTTGCCTTCGTTCAGCGCGGCGTAGGTGGTGAATATCAAGCCGTTCACATTCGTTCCTGCCATCGTGATGATGTCTTCGTTCTTGAGGTCTGGGAATGCAGCGGGAGCACCGAACGCGAGGCGCGCGTTGTTGATTAGGACGTCTATCGGTCCTGCTTCTTTCACGGGCAATTTGCGATGGCAGTCGAGACGGCGCGGTGATCCGACACGTCCACAACGGTGGTGAAGACCTTGATGGTGTCCGTTCCAACCTCTTTTCCTATGTCGTCGGCGAGGGCGTTGAGTTTGTCGCCGGAACGGGCGAAGAGAATGAGGTTGGCTTGTTCGTGGGCTATGCGGCGTGCGATGGCGGCGCCGATGCCCATGCTGGCGCCTGTTATTACAACCTTCTGGTTTGCGAAAGACATTTTGGGCGAAGGGTCCGGTGGATCTGTGCAGAGACGAAGAAATTGATCACGTTCAGATGTAGAAGTTTGACGTCGCATGGTGACGTCATGGGAAGAGGTCCTACGTAAAAGTTATACTTCTGGTAGGGGTGCAAAGCCTAGAAGCCCAGATTGCATGTTTCATTTGGGTATCTATATAAGCTTGCTAGTGGGACTTTTCTCTGTGTTGTGGTCAGCTAGGAGTACGAGCACGGAAGTTGTAGATGGGAAATACCTATGAATCTCTTTTCGCCTAATTGCTGACCGCGTCCAAGATGTCTGTAACTTAGATATGTTCGCCTTGTGATTTGGGGACAGCCCGTTCATCCAACTTGTTGTCGGGCCTCTATGCCAGCTCTTTCGCTGTCTGCCAACCTTTTGGCATGTAACCCTCATCCGTCCCATCGCTGCGCCTCCTTATTATATCCTATGAGCTCCAGTTTGATATTGAGCGTCTTGAGCATCATATCCATCGTAAAGGACTGTAACACATCAGCATCATCCTAAGCAAACACGGTAACCTAGCATTTCTAACTCACATCATCGTCCGCGCACTGGAAGCGCTCCTCCTCTTCTTTCTTCTCCTCACCTTCCTCGAACCGTTCAAACGCCTCTTCCGTGATCTGACCATTCTCCCTCGCCTCCTCCAGCCTCTCCCGCTCCGCCTCCCTCTCCGCCTCAAACTCCTCCATCTCCCGCTTCTGCCTCCACTCCTTCTGCTCGCGCTCCCTCTCCTTCCACGCGCCCACGCCGCCCATCCTATTCACCCTATCCCGCGTACTGGCGAACAACTCCTCAGCTACGGCTCGACTCGCGGTCCGCCAGCGCTCGATCAGCACCAGCAGGTCCTCGTCTTTGCTCGATGTGGCGAGCGCGGCTGCTTGCTGCAGGATCTGGATCTCGTTGCGGAGCTGCATGATTTCGCGGGTGAGGCTGGGCTTTGAGAGTGCCGCTTTCTTCTGGAGAGCGCGCGTTGGCGTCGCGACATTCGGCGGGACGAGGAGGGGCTTCGTGACGCGGGGCGTGGTCTGCGGGGCGAAGACAGAGGCCGCTGGCGTGCTGATCTCTGGTGGGTCGGAAGACGGCGGGTCGGAGCCCAGATTGGGCTTCAGTGGCGTGCGGAAGGGAGATTTGAAGGGCTTCTGGAGTGTCTTCGCGGCTTCGTTCAGCCGGCGACGTTTTGCGTGCGGCGTAGACATCGCGGTTGTTTTAGTGTGCGTGCGGTGAGGCTCCGAGAGGGAGAATGAGAGATGAGAAGTTGATTGGTGATGTGGAAAGGAAAGCGCGAAGGTGGCGTGCCAACAAAACGCGCTAAACGCGGTATCACGTGTGCCTTTTCTCTCCCGAGGTCTAGCACTCTCCTTTTCATCTGAGAGAGAGGTGAACCAAGCTCCCTCCCTTCTCCACGATAGCTTACACTCTTAGATACCAGGAGATGTGAAAACGCTGAGCATAGGTTTTTACATTGAGCCGAGTGGTGAGGAAAGGCTTCATTTTAGAGCGTCCCTCTACAGCTTAATAGAAACATTCAGCCGATCTAAAGCGACTGCGACTCCCGCAACCGCAGCAATGTAGCCCAATAGTATACCCATTGACTGAAACACACTCATATGCAATGTGGGCATAGTCATATTGACAAGCCCGGTCAGCAAATTCGCCAGTAAGAAGACCACGAGCCCATTGCGGTTGAAAGAGAACAACACAGTGCTCGTGGCATCTCTGCACCTCTGCTTCTCTTCTTCCCTTGTCGCCGCTTTATACAGATTCGGAAAGAGAACCGTCTCGATGGCGCAACAGATGGCGATTTGGTAGCTGTTGAACGAACACACCCACAAGAAGTAGGGCAGATTGGCTAGTCGTCGAGATACACCAAGACCAAAGCCGTAGTAGCTGACGGACAGGTAGAATAGAGCTGTCCATAAGAAGGCGGAGATGACGAGCCTGCCCAAGATAGATTGCCGGATCAGGGTTGCTTTCGAAGCATTCTTTGGGGGAGGCGATTGCCTCGGAAGGGCGAAGGAGCCCAGGGACTGGCCAGCGAGGAATATAGCAAGGTAGCCGAAGAACGAGAATATACCTTCTCGATTCTTCGAGATTAGATCGGTGCGCTGAGCGGTCAAAATGAACGCGCCGAGGTTGGTCTTATCTAGAGCGAGCTCGTAGAATGCGGCTAAGACGTAGGAGAGAACAGCATATGACGGCACAAGGGCGAATGCTGACTGGAACAGCGCAACAAAGGGCGGGAGGAAGCCCAATGTAAAGAAGAAGTTCCAGTGGACGCCGTATTCGGTGACATGTTCAGCGTAATCCAACCCCTTGACGGAGATAAGTCGTATGATTCCAAGGATAAGAAGCGGCGTTGCATGTCTCATCGACGCGACGAGGCGCATCGACAGAGGTGGAAGCTTTCCACTCGGTGTTTTCAAGGAGGACCGAACGGAGACCACACCATTTGTGAAGACGAACGAACCCACGCCCATATCCATGAGCGATGTCCCCCAATTCTCTACTTTCGCAAAACGCCGAGGAAAGACACGGAAATCCACCGCCAATATAGCTATGCACGTTATCACCATCATTGAGCCGCGGTAGTGCGTGATGAAAGGTTTCATGGGTAGAGGATCGGGGCTGGTCTTTCTCGCATCGCTAGCTTTCGTCGGCGGTCGCGGCGCGGTCGGTCTAATAGGCATCGGAGGGGAGCTGATGTATAGGAACGCTGCCGGGAGCAATAGAAGCAGGTTTAGGAGCCATGGCGAGGACGAGTAGAGGGTAGTCGCGACAAGCGTGACTCCGCAATTAAGCAGGAAATCGACAAAGCAGGCGGCAGATGTGTATGGCGTGAACAGGCGCATGCGCGATTGGATAACGGACCAAAGTAAGATAGTCAACTAATCAAGACGTCAGTAGGGAATAACGCAGGCTGCGCGAGCCATATACGGTACAGGCATTGCTAGAGAGACGCTGTTGACGTCGAAGAGGGAGCTCCCGGTAAGTCCGGAGACATGCTGCATCTTGAGCTGCTTGTAGTCTTTCTCCATCCTGGCTGAAAAGACATGGAATCTAGAGTGGGACGTTGTGGGGTGCTGCCAATAGCTTAACCGGACGCGTCAAGGTGTCTTTTCGGCGCCTAGTGTTTCTCCGAGCCGAGCCGGACCGACTTCACCTCATCGTTCCCCATGCCTTCCTATTCATGATCCACCACATACATTCATCTGTCTACGGCAAAAGCCATGGATGATACAGAGTTTAACTTTGTTCCATCTACTAACCCACAACGTTCGTAAAGCGCCCTGGTCCCGATGTCTGACGAACCCCCCCCCCCCCCCCCCCCCCCCCCCCCCCCCCCCCCCCCCCCGCGAGGCCAATTCCAGAGTCAAAATGACATCTTTTCTCCGGCTTCGTACTGGCTGTGCTTCCGTAAACCCTAGAAATAGCAGTGGCTGGGCGAATGCTCGTTGCTGGGAGCGAGGCTCTCACGGTGTGGAATTCTCCGGATAGAACGACGTGCGTAATAGCTACCGTGGAGGCCTTCGCGGGTGCGTACAATAGGACGTTGATTCGCTAAGCTAATCTTACTCACGTGTACGGCGAGCCCTGGGATCTGGAGAATTCCCTACCGCAAGAGCGAGGTGCTCCCGCGAGGTTTCATCCACGCATGTACTGCAGTTAATCTTTGAGAAGGAAACTGCGCAACGAGAGTGCTTCTCCCAGTATCGCCGTTATGGCATCTAAAAGGTATAATGTAAATTTATAGACCTCATTCGTGTGCTCGTTTCATTTCAGCTCCTGTCAACATATCTCTCGTTTCCACTCGTGCGGACGGGGACGGGGTTTACCATTTCCTTTCACTGCTCAATCTTTCGGCTCTGCAGCAGCACACAGCACCAGAGCTACGATATTTCCGCCAAGCTTTCATTTCTGTTGAGTCGCTTTCACTCGATCTTCGCTGTTGTTTACGCTCTGCGCTCGCGTTGCCCGGTTAATAACCCACACTTGCGCTGCAAAAATTCTTCTCTGCACCAGCGACCGCTTCCTCACTTCCCTCGTCAACTTCTCCCATGCCTGAGTAAGGCCGCAACATCTCTACGCCATGTCAAGCCCGCCCAACGACGCCGACGCCAGTCGACGCCAGCCCGGCTCTAGATTGCCCACTCTTTCATCTAAGAAGTCTAGTGCGGCAGTGCTTGCGACCCCAGCCAACGATCCTCTCGTTATGGGATCTCCTGAGCCGCTTCGCAACGCCGCCGCTACGGTTAGCTCCAAGATCCCGCGCAAGGCGCCCGCTCCCTCGCTCCCTTCGCGATCTCAGAACGAACCGGCCATGGCATCGCAGCGTGTCTATGAAGCAAGCAAATCGCCAGCAAGAGAGCGAGCTGCTATCCCAGTAAGTCTGCCGCTCTGATGCCCAAAGTAAACAAGCTGACAACCCTGTAGAAAACAGGAGTCAGCCCACCTACCGACCGCGACAAGCCGCTTCCAAGCCCTCCCATCGCGCAGGTGGTGAACCCGGCAAGCCCACCAAAGGCGCAACGCACACTCATCGATGCCGAGGTTGCGGGCAAGTTGTCAGAAGAAGAGTGGCCGATTCTTTCGCCTGAAAACGTGACACCCGAGCAGACCCGCTCAGCACCAATGCAGGCGGTCCCAGGTGCAAGCTATAACCGCAGCAGCGGCAGCGGAGCACCAGGATTACTATCGCGACGTCAGGACAACAGGCTTAGTACCGGATCCAACTGGACGCCACCAGAGGAGTGGGACACCTGCTTGTCGCAAGAAGTGAATTCCCAGCAACAGATTACAACCACCCGCCCGGAGCTACGATCCGCTCGAAATCGACTCAGCACCGGAAATCGACTCAGCGCCGCACCCACTTGGACGTCTCCTGAAGAGTGGAATACCCGCTTATCGCAAGACGTGAATTCCCAGCAACAGGTTCACGCCATCACCACTGCCAATGACGAGGCCATCGACAGTCCGCTTGCTCGCAAGCAGAGTGGTCGGGGCACCCAGTCCAGTTCTCCCGGCACCACCTTTCAGCGCCGCTCCCTTCCACTCTCCGCTCAGGGACAACCAGCATCGGCTACTCCAACCGCTGCGTCTCGACATGGAGAGGCCATGTCAACCTCCGCGAACGAGCAATTGCTCGATACTAACGCATCAGCTTACGCTTTTTCTTCTCATTTCTCTTCTTCTGGCAGTGCAGCCACACCGCTTCTTTCTGAATACCAATATGGAGTTCAAGGTGCTAACACTGTGGAAGACAAGGAAACTCAGGTTCAAGCTCATGGCGTAATCGAGCCTACAGACAACTACCCTCCTCGCCGATCCCGCGAAAACTCGTTCGACTCTAGCGACACCTGGAGCCAAGCGGCCGGATCTTCTATCGACGAGGAGCGCCATCAACAATTCGAGTCGAGCACGCGTGTGAGGTTCCCGCACCCTCATCTCCACGGCGGCGGTCCCGTCCTGCGGATTCATGAAGACGCAGATGAGGTCCTGATGGGTAACGCGGGCGACGTCCCGGAGGTCCCACCGATCCCAGAGGTTATTCCGGATGAGGCCGCCCAGGTCAGTACGCTAGCGGGACGTTTCTCGCGGGAGACGCTATCCAGGATGTCTTCTAGGATATCTTTACGTATGGGCTTGCGGTCTGGAACATCCCAGTCTCCCGAGGTCGACACCAATTGTACTCCTACACCGGTCAAGGCCAACCCGGTCCGATCCATACGGCCGCCAGGAAATACTAGTGCTGGAGTTGACCCACAAGGCACGTCTGGCCCTACGGTTCAACAATCGCAGGAGTCTCTAAAGGCAACCAAGCCGCCACTAGAGCGTGGTTCTGCCGGCAAGCGAAACGCCCGGGAGGCTCCCAAGCCCAGCGTAACGGCCCGAGGCATCATCGCTAACGACGAGCGCGCTCCCGATATAGAGTTGACAACCTCAATCCATGGAGTCAGCAAGGTAATTCCTGTCACTCTGCTGGCATCAGTAGATATTGTTACTAATACCTAGAGTAGCAGCCTGACCCTCTCAATACATACGGCAAACAATCTGTCGTGGAGTCGACGTCGAACACCGAGCAGTCTGCCAAGAGCAAGGATAGCAAGCATTTGCAGGGCATAGAGAGCAAACCCAACAATATGACCGCCGCTAAAGTCCAAGCAAAGCGTAGCTTCCGGGATTTCTTTCACAGGCGCGAGGGCAAGCACATTGAGAAGGAACTTCCGAGGGCTGAGTCCAAGCAATCAAAGCGGTCCTCTTTCGCCGTACCAGGAAGCTCTTTCGTGAGTCGCTTTAGGAGTTCTGCCAACATCTCGAAGGCCAACTTGGCAAAGCCAGCCGAGGCTGTCACTGAGCGTCAACCCGTGTCAACTCCCGAGACGGCGAAGGTCAACTTAGAAACGCCAGTCGAGGCGATCACTGAGCGCCAACCCGTGACAACCCCTAAGACGGTGAAGGCACCTGTACAGAATGCGGACGGCCACGACATGACGTCACCTCTAGCCGAGCCTGCTACTCACTCGAACGTCGTCGATATCGTCAACAGCATTATGAACCGCATGGAGACAATGCCCGAGGAATCGCCATATCGTCTCCGCGCCCTTCAGATTGCAGAGGTTTGTAAAACCCTGCACCTTCGTTCGCTGATGCAGCAAGAATTAGTGCTAACGGTGCAAAACACACAGGCTCTTCTGGCGACTGTCGACGCGTGCAAGCAGGCAGAGATCTCGGCGATGGAGGCCAAGAAGCATGCCCGCGACGCCGCGCTGAATGCGAAGAAGGCTGAGATTGCGTTGAAGAGGGCCCAGAAGCTGTCCGAGTTGAACTCCGATACCGAGGCGCTAGAGGCGATCAAGCAGTTGCTCAAGAATGCAGGGATGGTTGGCAGTGAGGACCAGCCTTCCTCTTCCGGGATGGCTACGCTTTCGGAGTAGCTGTACGTATGGTAGGGCACGATGTTGGCTTGCTAGGTATGTGGCTCAACTGCACACTCTAATTCACACTGATCGCGGCAACAGCATCTAGATTGCCTATAACCGTCGTCGGATTCTCCGGAAAAGTGTTTGGTATGGGATGAGGACTATGGAGCATAACGTGGGAAGATGTTCTGCGTCTCTGAATGTCCGAAGCCGACTATATGGAGGAGAGTAACCATCGTCTTCATTGCGAACCGGTTTGCTTGAATTCGTTGTTGGCGCTACCCATTCCACCGACCCAAAAGTATTGTACAATATCAGATTCCATCGAGCCATGCCGACCTGTCATGCGCCGATAATATAAAGCGGGGATTCTGAATCTCCTTCCATAGATGCTGTGTTCTCCAACTCCAATGCCTCGTCCTAAAGTGCCTCGTCCATGTCATCCCCACCTGCCATCCATTGCCCTCACAGCGCCAATCGGCTTCTACATGCCACCAAACATGCCCCCGCCACCAGCCCTGTTCTGCGCCTCGCCCTGCATCTTCTCGCTCACTTTGACGTTGACCTCGAAGAACTTTGCGACGCAGCGATCGAGGCAGACGGACTCGCCCTTGTTGAGGTCGGCTTCGCGGTAGGCGGTGTCGATGCACTTTTTGCTGCAGGATTGGACTAGGCTGTCTCTCGTTCGTCAGAATGGTCGTTTGAATGTCGTTGGGGGAATGATTGATGGAGACATGGGGAGCAGAACGGGGTTGGACGGGACTGGGTATGAGGATCTGGGGATGGTAAAGAGGGCGAGCGAGAGCGTACCGTGAGTACATGTCAGACACCATGTCGATTTCTGCCTCTGCTTGAGCGATCTTTTGCTCCGAGGAGATTTGCGGTTGGCGGCCGAAGAGGAAAGACATTTTGACTTGGTTTTGGGGCTCTCTGAAGGGTTCTTGAGGCAAATTTAGGCCGGATGTGCCCGGGACAGTAGGATGCGGTTGAGCGGAAGGAAAGCACGTGTATAAGGGCTGTTGTCGGAATGGTTTGGAATGGTGACGATGCGCAAGAGCTCGAGGTGTTGATTGAAGAAATCGGGAGCTTGGGGCGATTCGAGGTCTGTGCGTCTCTCGGCGGCTTTCCTCGGAGCGGGCTTCGAACCTCTTCCCACGGTCTGCTCTCCCTAGGGTGAATTCCGCCTGTGCATCAAAATTCGGGCAATGGCAGTCTCATTGTCCATAATAGTCTTGGAGTGTCCTAATTTCCGCTCGGCTCCGCGCAGTCTTATTCTGCCATGATTCGTTCCATCCATCACCCTACTATTCCGCGATCACAAGTATTTATCTCCTATTGCGTTCTTGTCATTTAGATGACGATACTGATGGTCATATGTAGCAAACTCCCAAAGCTCCTTATGTGTGCTCATTGTCAGACATTCAGAGCCTGCGTATGTCCAAATATCGAGGAATGCGTTCCCAACCGAGTCGCAGCAGTCGGCTAAAGACCCCAACTATTCATTTGGCAGCACGAAGTCTGGACATCAATTAGCTCCTTAAGCCTCTTACCATCAGTGCACCAGGTTACTTGCACTTCTTTGCCCAATAATCCGAGCAGGCAGACGCACCCACCACGCGTCGCAGGTAAGCGATGTATAGGCTTAGCGTACCGTCATAGTACCGAGAAACAGGGACAGGATCATCCCAGTAGTCGTGATGGAGGCTCCAATCCCTCACCTTGTCGTTATGGTTGTCGTCGTCGTCCTCCTCCTCCTCCTCCTCGAGCTCGGTGCGTCCCTCGAGGCCTCCCACGATATACTCCTTCCTGATTCTGTATTCGTTCTTTGAGTAAGGAGAGTATTGCATCATGATACCGCGGACGCACTCAGCCCTCGCGCATGCACACCGACCACCTCGCCGAGCCCATTCATCCAGACCGCTGGACATTGTTCGTTCACTTGGCCTGGGTGCTTTCGCTTGAATGCTATCAGGGCTACGAGGACTCGGGTGCGGAATTCTCCAAACGACATCGTGTTCGCTGCTAGCTTCTCCCTCCTGCCCCGCCTTTGTGAGAGAGAACGTAAGATGCACACGGCAGTACCCTCGCGTGTGGCTATCCAGGTGAGCAGTGACCCTCAGAAGATCGATGATACCGACACGCAGCTGACGTAGCGTCAAGCCTTCTGCGACGTCGAATTGAAGCTCCAGCTTGAGCTCACCCCTTGCAACTGTCCCTCTCCGACCTTCCCTGTTCGAACGCTGAACGCACCACCATTTCTCTAGTGCCTCGAAATTTGCGAAATTCGTGCTGGTCTGTTGAGTCGTCATTTTGACTTTAACCCAATTCTCAGTCCAGAAGCTGTATGAGAGATGCCGATGAGTGGAGCACACACCTAGGAGCCGCGGATCTGCTCCGTGACAGACCTTTTGATCCAAGTCGAAACACACCCAGTTTTCCCGATGAGGACCGTAGAGTACCATGTCGTAAATGACTTTCTGAATAGGATAGGGAGTTAGTAATTGCCCCTTGTCGGCTAGCTCAAACGACAATGCCACTCCGTTTCCAGCAGCATAAGCCGTGTAGTTACGCTTGACGGCCCTGGTCTTCTTGTACCGTATTGCGCTCTTATAAATCACGGAACCTCCGGAGCCATCGCGGTGAACCAGAATCTCGTCAATGGACCGCCAATACTTCTTGACGTCCAAGCGATCCCGCCGAAAGGCCTCCAAAACGGCCATTAATGCATCAACCCGAATGTCAGTCTCTTGATACCGAGAATGGTGGTATCTACAGTGTGCCTCTCCCTTTGGGTGAACAATGGAGACGTCAATCTTAAGGTCCGGATTTGTCCACAGAATCTTAATCAAAGGAAAGATATCCATGGCTGTCCTCAAATCAAAATCCCATTCATCGAAGCGAAGAAGAGTCGTATCACAGCTAGGGGTGCAGATCTTATCCAAGCCGATAGTGATTCTAGGCAGCATGAAGATCTGTGATCGGAGTTGTTGCATCCATATCCCGGCAACAATGGCCTGCTCAACCCTGGTGTGGCCGTACCAGCACTTCTCGATGTCTGTCCTCGTTATCACGAACGAATTATTCGTGTATAAGGTAGAGGCCGCCTCGTGGTAGACCTTTCGACATGTCAAGAAGACTGGCAGGTAGTACGCTAATTCTGTCTTCAAGTCTTCCGTCCTCGATTATCGGCTTGTTATATGAAATAGAACCCCCCATTATGATGATGGGCTCTTGCTTTTCGAAAATAAGATTGTATACGTGGTTGCGGATTTCGGCCGGCAGTGTGAGGAACGATGCACTGCTCGGATTCGCGGGGCTCGACTCGCCCTTAGGGATGCACTTGATTGGCGGAAAGGATTCCATGATGGACAGACGGGTCTCGAAATCGCCGTTGGGTTGCGAACGGGTGTGGTGGTCGAGATTGTACCAGCAGGCGCGCTTAAATATTCAGAAGGTATTACCTACTCCTTCACTCTACAGCTTACTGTGCAAGCCGGGGAATATGAGGACTCAGACCCTATGGGCTTACCCCTCGAGTGATAACTGTCGGCCGGGGAACAGCAATGTTGGAAGCAGTGACTCACGCAGGCACGGTCCACATACTCCCACGCATACAAGTACCATCGCCGCTCCAAAATATTGCTGCCTCACTCCTCGAATTATTGAGAATCTCAACCAGCCTCACAGATCGGCGGCGAAACATGTCGTCGCTTCCATGCATCAAGTCCATCGCCAAGGGCCACTCGAAACCCGCTGACCCGAATGCTCCCTCCTTTCTCACCTTGAGTCCCGAGCTAAGGAATCGAGTCTATGATCTTCTCTATACGGGTCTAACCCCTCGAGAAGTACTTCCGCGTACGTCGACGAGCGAATCGGGATGTAGGTAGCGAGCCCCTTGAAGAACTGTACTGAATTCTTACTCTGTGATTAGTCCACCGGCCGTGTCCTATCATCATCTGGAACGGACGGCCGGGCAAAATGGAGTCTCGATCCGGCATAGGGTTGGACCTCGCTTTGTTTCTCACGTGCAGGCAGATTTACGCCGAGGCAAGTTCGTGGCTCTTTTTCAACAATACTTTCAGCATCTGGAAGTCCCCGAAGCATCTCTCAGCTGTAGGACATGCTTCGACGGCGGTCGGGTGGCTGCAGGGTCTAGGAGCACAGTGTTAATTTCTCAGGAGCCTTAAGATCGATATAAGCGCCATATGCGGCGAGGAGTGCTGGTCGCCTGCATTTCGAGACCATTCTGGAGATGGTCCAGATTTGCGGGATTCAGTCTCCATGTTTTCCCTACTGAAAGTCCTTTGGGCACGCCCCGGACCCAAATTGGATATTTCCTTCATCTATCATCCAACGCGAGCCCAGTCCCGGGGTTACCACTGCCGCAGCAAGGGTGGAGTGGGCATCGACAGGCTGAACCAAATGCTTGAGGCGCTTGTATGCGACGTGCTGGGTCTCAAAAAGTTTTGGCGCTCGATACAAGGCATTTTCGTCGCTCGAGATGGATCACGAGGCTGGGTAACATACCGCTCTTCAACGGAGGACTCCGACTTTTCGTGGCATTATAGTTGCAAGGAGTTTCGGGTCGAAGATGCGTCTGGGGGATTATCCGTCGCATTCGTGGAACCGAAGCCGACACTCGTCAGCCTTCCTCGACAGACCCTCAATCTGATATCTCGTCTCGTCACCCAAGGGAACAATGCCACCGTCGACATCGATATCGACCGCGGAACTCTCACTGGAGTCAGCCCGGCCCTTTTAGCAGTGAACCGCCAGCTTAGAACCAGCGCCGAACCTCTATTCCAGGACAATCATTTCAGGGTGAAAATGACATCGGACACCTGCCAGACAACTTTCAACGGATTCGAGGCCCTCCGGAAGTGGGTCTGTACTAGGCGATCGGGTAGTTACCCTTGGGCGCCCCAAAGCCTCCGGCATTTGACTCTCATACTACACTTCGAGACCGATGAAGCGGAGAAACTGGCAGATATCTCTATCGGCATCACGGAGCTCGTCCGTGTACTCGGAGACGTCCCCCAGAAGGACGTCAACATCTGCTTCTCGCTCTCTCGCAAACTTACTGGAAAGGACTGCAAATCCACTACCACCACCACGATCTCGCTCAAGGCCCTCCGCCTCAAAGCGCTCATTGCCCTTCACCAGATCGCGCGTAAGTATCCGTATCTCAAGCATCACCGGTGTCCCGATCTCTGGATGAACGGCCTCGGTAAAATCACAGACGCTACACGGCTTTTTCCCACTCCGGTCCTGCGCAGCACGCTGTACGACATTTACAAGCGGGAGAAGGAGCTCAGTCTGCTCAGGAGATTTGGGTGGCGGTATTCCAGCGCCTTTGAGAGTCCGGTGACTCAGCACTGTGACGGCTCGCTGGGCAACTATCTCGGATACTTGAGGCGCGTTTTGTGTCACCCTGGAGTCGCATTGGATTATAATTATTGGGCCAAGAGCTGTGAGTGGAATGACTCCTTGTTGATGCCTGATGCACTGACACCAATTCAGATTCCGTGCCGCCTTCTCAATGATGAAATGGGCGAGCTGAGCCACGTTTAGCAAAGGCCAAAAACTTTTGTTGCGCGCAGCGCAGTATCGAAATTGCGAATATGCTTTGATTGAGAAGCTTTTTTGTATTTTGGACTAGCTAGTGTCTGTGATTCTGCGGATCGTAGTCCATATTACAGTAAATGGGCGGGACGCGCCTTAACTAAGAGAATGGACTAGGGGAATGGGCAGGGAAGTTAGTCTCAGAGTCATCTTGCCAACTAGATTGATGTAACTACGCTACCTCATCTGCAGGGCACCACCCTAGAAGCACATTAACGTTCTAAGCTCGAATATGACATATATGTCGAACACTCGGCCCGTCCTAGAACAGAGGTCCTTACAGATTTTGACCACAGCTTACAGGAAGGACGAGATGGACAGCGTGTGGTTGTGACGTAGGGGAAGTGGTCGCGTTGAGTTTGCTCTTCTCGATAGGAATTGCGCCATTGGCGCCTGGATTTTGATATCCCTGACACTCAGAATAGACGCCTTTTACCCGAGCCGCTTATCATAAAACAGATTTCAGATCTCAGGCGAAAACTTAGCAGGAATGAGTTGGCGCCTGGGTTCGTAGGCTCCAAATGAACATTTGGAATCTCGATGACGCGTAGTAGCTTCATGTCTAGATTGAGGCGAGAGTGTGAACAAGATACCGCTCTTCACCCGCTATCGCTCTAGCGCAACATGACTATCCCTTCAGTAGTTGCACATTTACCTTGACATTAGGCGCGAAAGTTAAAGACGCAAGAGTCAACGATAGGCGATAAATGGAGAGGAATTGTTTGATATCGCTAGCTACTGGATTGAGAATCAAAAGTAGAAGAAGCTTTGTGTCTCTAATGGCTTGGAATATGTCTCGCTACCATCTACATTTACGTCTCAGTACGAACGTCTCAGTACGGACGTTTCAGTACAAGTGTCCCTGTGCCAAGTCGGAAAGAGAGCCAAGGCGTGTATGGAGAACGGATGGAGGTTGCCTTAAGCTCGCATGTAATATCCGAATACGGCGCTGCATATGCTTGTACGGATAATATCTCTCGGACTGGCAGATGAGCGTCGTTCACTCCACCTCTAGTGTGTTGTTCAGGGTAAATACCTACAGCGATGGTTAGCCGGGTTTCCATGGGTCTTGGGAGCCTTTCAAACGCACTCGCGATAATCCCGTCTGTCCTGGTATTTAGGCCAATGGCGGCGAAGCAATTTGCACCAAATGTTTACCAGGGAGAAGGGCGCTGGTCCTCTAGTCCGAGAATACGAGGAGTAGAAATACGTGACGTCCTGATCCGTGACAATACTTCCCAAGATTCTCTCGGCATGCGAATAGGCTATGGCCTTCACCTCCGTCTGCGTCAGCGAAGGTCTCGTATTGCCCATAACTTCCTCAGCCTTCTCAGCATTTTGTGGGAAGATTGCTCCCAGTAGGGTCCCATGACCACAGACCCAGATATCAGGGCAGTCCTCTTGCTTTCTCTCCGGCCACCCCAGGAGTATGTCGGATACCATGAGGAACAGAAGACGTTCCAGGTCCCCTAATTCGACAGAAGCCTGAGATCTGGAGTTTTGTCCCCCACTCGACTTGCACGAAAGCCGGAAATGCAGATTACTCCGGGATCTAGGATGCGTTCGACACTAATAAGGCGAAATAAGTGCTTGATGTTGATCCGGACATCCTGGAGAGAAGCGGAACCGTGTAATTCGAAGTTTAGAATGATAGAAGGTGGCTTGCATTCCGATGAAAGGGTAAGATCCGTGGAGCAACTGCGAAAGCAGTGGATACCAAGCCACTTTTCCAAGGACTGGAAGCTTCCAAAGGAGGTTCTTCTATGGGTGGTGGTCATCTCCAAGGTGAGTGGGATATCTCTTTCTAAGGCACCCCGAACCGCCTGGCGCATCTCGTGCCGCATGTTCCGGTTGACGCCAAACAGGCTAAGATCTAGACCCTGCGCTCTCGTTGAATTTGGAGGTAGTTCTTTACGTCAAGCAGCAGCACCGGGCTATCGCCCTTGAACAATAACTCGTAGACGTTGTTTCTGATCTCCGGAGGGAGCGTAGTGAGGAACGAGGGAGCGGTCAGCTCGATCGAGCTGGAATTCACCTTCGGAATTTCAATGAAGGTGGCGGCGTCCGGGGCGGACGGGCGACTCATCGCCGTCCCAGCTTGCTCCGAAGCCATTGCTCGGCCGCAGCGCCGGTAAAGTGGGTAAGAGTCGTAATCAGGAGTGGAGACAGCGATGCTGAAGATGGTGTTATTGTGGTCGTGGTTGAGGTCAAGGTTGAGCTTGGCGGAACTCGGGAAGCTCTAGGGAAGGCGGGACGGTGAGAGAAAGTGGCGCGCTGCATTGGTAGCACACCTGAGCTCGCGATCTTCACCTGGCCTCTAAGTCGCAGGCGTGACGTCATCCCATGCTGCGGGATGTCGTTCGATGAACTAGGGCCCGCCTTCCTAGCGGTGATGCGTTTTGGCTCTCTCAGTGAAGCTCGAAATCTTCATACTGCGTGCCCCTTGGTCCTTTTGCCTCCCCCTCCATCATTGTGTGGACTTAGCTCTCACCAACAAACTCATACACGCCTTCCCCGTCCCTCTTCAGATCAACTGGTACACTAATCCCAGGGACTATGCATATCTGGTCTGTCTCAACGGCCCTTTGCGGAAAGAGCGCAAGGAAATTGTGATGCTTCGGCCTAGTAATAATAACCACTTTGCTTGAATTACCTTTTAACGAGGGCGGCCCCATCCTGAAGGTGCGTAATAACTTCCACGGATCTGTGCCAGGGTTATCTCGCTAGGACCACAATGTACAGTTGCTTGCCGAGAGAGCGCAATTTCTTGAAAATTAGATTCTTACTCTATCCCATGTCTGTGCTCCCTTACACAACTCGTCCCCGGCTTACAGTCCTTTCTAGCCTTCTCATCCCATCCTCCTCCTCCGCCTCATCCACGCTCTCACCAGGGAGCAATATAGCCTTATCAATAGCTACTGGCAAGCCTCTATGCCTCCCTCGAATCATGACCACGCACAGAACCAGCTTACTCAATGTATGCCAGCCACCACAGAAACTGTATGCTTCGTTTGGCAGGCCGACAGAAATGCCAACGCAACCATAGGCCGAAACGGTCTCGAAGATGACGTTGAAAACACTGTAAACGGCGGGGTTGCTTTGGAAGTTACTGCCTTCAATGATCATGATTACGAAGACGGCGAGGACGAGCCCCCATAGATCGTGGGCGAGTTGAGCGCGCAGTTGCTGGCGGACGAAGTAGGATTTGGTCTGCTCGAGACCTTGGCCAGTCATCGTTCTCCGAACCTTTCCGAGAAAACCGGTTGGGGGCCTCGATGCCTGCTCGGCGGCGTAACCTGGATCATCGCTGTAGATACCTAGGCTTCGCTCCTCGTACACGTTTGTGTTCCTCATGGTGATAACCTGCAACGGTGGCGGTATATTTAGCGGATGCCTTAGGTAAGAGAAGGGGGCATTCTAGCATGTCTCTAGTCTTTACCTGCTGAAAGCCCTCAGGGGAGCTTTCAGCAGTTGAAATCTGAGACATGCTAGAGTGTGGACCGCGACCGACGTACCACAGGATACACCGAGATGTACATCATGATGACGTATAGTACTTGCAGCGATATTCGGACGCTGGGAATAGGGACGACGTAAAAGCCCCCGTTCCGAACAGCAAGAGCTTGGAACAAGCCGTCTAAGGCTTCGTAGCCGTCAGGCAGGGACGTGATTGCGTCGTTTCCGATGTTGAGGACCTCAAAAGCCACCCAATCTACCCCGTTCAGACCTAAGGTGGCACGATTAGCAAATGTTCGGTATGCGTATAGTAGGTTTGACGTACATATTACAGATGCTAGAAGCCACCACGTATGCCGCGACGGAAACAGGTTCGTATAACATCGCCTGGGATGATCGAGCAGGAACTGGAGCGTCTTGCGGAACTCTTTCCAGGCATCATTGTTCGATGCCACCTTCAGAGACATCCAAACGATGAGTCGGAGAAATATCGGGAAACAGGTATTCCCAGCAAGGATTAGGAAACCCATGGTAAGCAAGGTATAGGTAGAAGTCTGGTAAGCCACCATATTCGCGTCTAGAAGGCACATGCCAGAGTTGTTGAAAGCGCTAATGGCATTGAAACTGCCTACCCACCAGGGACTCAGCCCGTTTTTGCGAGCGGGCGAGGCCTTGTTGGAGGCGCTGTATGCTCCAAGGCCTATGGCACCAAATAGTTGGAATAGAACGAAGTACGAGGGGACAAGCCATGAAAGGAGGCGGATCGCTCGATATTCGCAACCTCCGAGCTTCTCGCGTTCTTCTTCGGACAAGTGGTGAAAGTGAGAGTTGCGGGACAAGAAGCCCGAGGAGGAAAAGGGTAGGTGATCATTCGCTGGCTCCAAATCGTCTGGCTGGACACGGGAGGGGGTATTGGAGAGACTCGTGCTTGGTCTTCGTTTGATGGCCGCTCCCGGATATGCTCCGACGCCTTGCATTGAGAGCAGGCGGTGATGGCCGGGCCTTGAAGGCGGTGTGCTCGGTCGGTAGAAGGCATGAGGTCCAAAGGTGATGTGCGCTGGGGTTCCATTTTCCACGACCGGGCTTGAGCCGGGCTGAATCTCACCTGGCCCCTCGCTCTGTCGGGTAGATGTGCCACTCTGCGGGAGAATCCGGTCGGGTTGTGAGGCTTCGGTTGCCTTGGAAGTTATGGGAGCTTCGTCAGAGGCTTGATTCGCTCCCCCATCTTCCTGCGGCAACTTCTCCGCCACTGGCGTATCGCTTGGGCTTGCACCAGCGCCGTCGACGAGGCGCATATCGCCAGCTTCCTCCATGTTTTGCGGCGGGCCACTGGGCTCCGGAATGGCTGAACCGCGCGGAACATCTGGATTGGCAGCTCTCGACAAGCTCCTTGTAAGGCGCCGCGCCAGGGACATAGACCCACGACGACGTCTCGCTCTCTCTGCTCTCTGCCGTCGAAGCTGTGCAATGAAGTCGAAACGTGTTTCGAAAGCTCTTTTCCGGACGTGGACTACGAATGCGGAGACAAAGATAGCCGAGCCGAGCATGATAAGAATGAAAAGCATAATTTGCTGGAATGTGTTCAACGTGGATAAATTGACGGTATTCAGACCTCTGCGGTCGATTAGCAGAGCCTAACACGACAACACCAGGCTCGGCAGCGTGCTACCGACCCGTAGCCAACAAGACCAGCAGCACTGATGCCTCCGCCGTGGTATCTATACGGGGACTCACGCCAATGTCATAGCGCTAACCGTCAGGAAGAGGGAGTCGGTGTAGCTGACACTCCTCGCCGGCGTCGACGAACCCCAGAAGATCAAGCTCGATATCAAACATGTCGCCAGAAAGTAAATATAGTGAATCGTTATAAAATTCAGCTTGGGGAAGTTCCGGCGTGCGATGCGTGCGATGCGACGAAGAGGGCCGAAGCCAGGCACTCCGGGGAGAGATGGCATAGCGACGACGAAGGACGGTGACGGATTAATGATCTATATAGGTGGTAAATAGGCGCGAATAGGCTGCGGGCGAGCAATTAGAACCGATCGGGCCCTCGAGGGCGGCGGCCGCGAGCCGCACGCTTGCTGTGAAGGCATGTTGGAAGGAGGGTGCAGGACGTAGCCGGTCTGCGGCACGGTGGCGGAGCTGCTGGGATGATTAAGCACGTCGGGCAGACGCGTTCCCGCCGTGGTTGGGACCAGTGTCTTCAGACCCCCCGGAAGGCAAAGCACTGGGGCAGGAGGTAGCAGCTGCATCTCGAAGGATAGCGAGGATAGCGGGCGGCAGTAAGCACGCCGAGCCCTGGAGGAAACCTGAGGGCTGCTCAAGAGAGGCCAAGGAAAGTGTGGCTGGCGGGCGCCACAGGCGGCGGTGCACGCATGTGACGTCAAGTCAAACGGCAAGAGCTAAGCGCGCGACACCACCAGTAACAGGTCGACGACATCAGCGGGGGATAAAAAGGCTCGTCGCTGCAATCGAAGCTGAAAATAGACGCCCCCTCCTCCCCTCCTCACACATCCTCTCACCCGTGCTATTTAAAAGCATCTGCCCCTCCTTTGCCCTCCCCGACCGCCCTCGACACCTCGCCGCACCTCTCCAGACAGCATGACCAGCCACGGCGACCCCCGTCTTCTCTACTCGATTGGAGGCATCAGAGCCTACCACATCCAGCAGGGCGAAGAGCAGCCCCTGACGCCTACAGGAGCGCAGACTCTGTCCCTGTTGATGGTCCCTACGAACTCGCCCTTCGCAGATCTCAGCAATGTACACGGCCAGAACGAAGCGCCAGAAGAGGACTTCTACCTGCACCTCAATCTGCCCCCAGAGCTCGACCTCCCGCTCCCCGCGACTACGCAGATATACCACCAGCCGCCGCGGAGCTACCTGATCCCGCGATGGGACCTCGGCCCCGACAGCGGCGCCTTCACGAGAATTGAATTCCCACCGATAGGCACCGGGCCGAATACCGTCACTCAGGAGGACATTGACACATTTGAGACCATACTCGCGCAATGTACGGCATTCCTCGAGCGTGCGCAGGCACCGCGGTCCTCCAAGGGTGGTGCTGCAAAAACATACAACCCCGCAGACTACGCCCCGGGTGAGGGTTACGTTGGGTCTGGCAAGCAGGGCGAGATTGTGCTTGTGGACGAAGACAACGGCAGCGTAGTGGGCGAGCTCGCAGAAGGCGCTCAGATTGTAGAGGATCCCAAATTGAAGCCTGGATCGAAGAGTAAGCCAGTCAATACTCCCAACAGCAATGGTCTTCTTACTAACGTAGACACAGATCCGGTTGAGATCGTCGTATCCGCAGATGGCAAGAAAATCAAGGTCCAACCCCTATCGGAAGATTACCTTGAAATCGCCCGCCACCCCGCCTACAAGGACTCGAGTCTCGTGCAGAACTCGGCCGCCGCATCGCGCCTCATCGTTACCGGCTCCAGCTATATCAGCAACATGATGATATCCGGCGCGGAATCCTTCATGAACAAGACGAAGCCGGCCGAGAAGCCCATGGTCTTCAAGCCCGTGACCCACGACCGCGTCCGTAAAATTAACACGCTTACGACTGGCGTTGCAGGCTTCTCTGCCAAGACCGTGGGCCAAGTTACAAAGTACGCGCAGAACTTCAGCGCAGGCATGGCGGGCAAGAAGGGCAAACAGTCAAAGGCCGTGCTACCGGACGGCTCGCCAAACCCCGAGTACAAGCCCGGCCTACTCAATAAGTCCCTGATAGCCTTCTCTACGGTCGCTGACGGCATTGCGCACTCGGGTAAGACCCTTCTGACGAACAGCGGTGCAGCGGCCAGCGCGGCAATTGGACATAAATACGGCCCCGAAGCCGGTAGTCTGGCGGGTGACCTTGCTGGTGGTGTCAAGAACGTGGGCCTCGTCTACATCGACGTGACGGGTGTTTCTCGAAGAGCTATTATCAAGTCGGTAGCCAAGGGCATGGTTGTCGGCAAGGTCAAAGACAAGCACGGCGCCGAGCAGACGGTGATGGTTGGAGGAGGCGATGGAGGCGTTATCAACCCTTCCGATATCCAGCCAGGCGTCAAGAACACCGGTATTCCTCCTGGTCAGAGCTCTGGTCCTGCTTCGCAGATCGGATTCGGGAACAGCGCTCCCCCAAGCTACAACTCGGGGGTTGGCGAGCCGCTTCAGGGGCAGTCCGCCTACGGATATCCGCCAGAGAAGCGGTGAGCTGTTTCCTTCGAAGGCCAGAATTTACGAGGTACGAAATTCATGATAATTCTGGGATGAGGTCATCAAGGAGCGGTAGGTGGAGGACTATGGCGTTTGGCTCGGGATTGCGTTTGTAGACCCCGGTCATTCAGACACATCTTTTCTCTCTTCACTGTTTGTCGATTGCGGTTCCGATATATACCATGGCAATAAGAACATTCCTGAATTGTGCGATTTCACTCTTCCCCGATGTTCGCGCTTTGCCAAACATAAGATCTTCGTCGCTCTCTCCTCTCCTTGCCCACCATTTTCTAAGCCCCAACTCATCGTAACAACCTACGAAACAACCGACCACTTGCTTCACTTTCCAAGGCTCTCCACGGATTCCTGTCGTTCCAAATGACCCGCCTCCTCCACGCCGCAGCCACCAACATCCGCACCGCCATGCAATCGCTGCACATACACACGCGCGTCCCGCGCCTCGCGAGCATCGAGGAGGCACTCCGCTCTTCGCTCACGCAGGAAACTTCGAAGGTCGCCACCATCCTCGCGAAGCAGGGTCAGCAGAACAGTGATACCACCCCTTTGGGCTTCTCTGACGGTAGTGGAACTCAGACGTTAACGTTAAGGCGCCGGTCGTGGCAGCGGCGGGCGGGGAGGGAGATGGAGAGGGGTACTCGGCGCATCAGAGGGTTAATGCATTCTCGTGAGGTTTCTTTGGGTGTTGTGTACTTGGCGTTGGAGGGAGGGCGGCGGCGTGCATCGTGGGCTGGTCACTCAGTGGGGAGTTAGTGCGAGGGACATGGATGGATGGGTGTATGGGATATGTTATTGCGGGGATAGATGAGTTGGTAATACACTATGCACCCCTCACGAGCTACTCATATCCCACGTAAGCTACGAAACATTCGAAGATAGCCATATGTAGCTAGTATAAGAAAGATTTCTCCTCTTGTTGGCTCATCTGAAAATGTGTGGTAATGACAGAGTTGCATTTATACAATGCAACATATCAAGTAAACGAGGTCGTAGAAGAGAGCGCTCCAGACGCAAACATTTTCCCCGTCCAAGCTGCGTGCCATCCAGGCTCCATTCGCCGCGGCAAGCCTCGCTTCCCTAATCGTAAAAGCCTAGAATCTTATTCGCCCTATCTAAGACCTCTCTCTCCCCTGGACTTAGCCCCTCCGCATCACTATCCCATTCCTTCAGCCCCATAGCCCTGCACCCTTCATCGCCTACCAAGGCTCCCATATCTTCCGCCCTGATCCGTCCTATGTGCTCCGCCTCACCGATGCCGCCGCCGAAGTCCGGACTCGGTATTCCGTTGACGAACTTCTCGCGCTGCCGCGCTAGATAGCGTGCGTTGTCTTCCGTGAGCGGGCATGCTGGGATGTACAGGACGCTGGAGTCGGACTTGCCGGCGTGCGTCTTGTCGACTGAGTGGATCGTGTCGCAGTGCCATGCTACATAATCACCTGGCTTGACGGTCGGCATGTGGATCATCGATTGGTTAAGATTGAGATGTGGATGTAGGAGGTGGGAGAGCTCTTGCCCGTGGCCCGGCGTGGCGCCTTGAATCCATGATGATGGCGTCGTGTCCATTTCCCAATTATCTGATGCCAGAAAGTCTGCCGAGTTGGAGACGGCTTCGGATGCTGTTTGGGCTCCCGGCTCAATGCCGCGCTTGGGAGAGAAATAGGGCCGAAGGAGGTAGTATGCTGTCGCCTTCGCGAGAAGAGGATTCACTAGGAGTGTGCCTTGGAAGGGTCCGGTGGTGGACAGCGACAGCCAGCCCTGGAACATTCGGAATGCGCTGCATGCGCCCACGCCTTGATGTAGATCGGACACGACGGGCAATCGGCAGCTTGACTCCCAGGGATCAAAGTCTTCCCATTTGCCTTGCCATACCGAATCGTATACCTTGCCGAGCCCGTAACCCTTCTCGTCCCAGCGCTCGACGCTTCCGCCGTCGACGTGTGGTCCCAATGCGAACCTCGAGTCGCCCGGAAGGCGCATTCGTAGTCGGTCCGCGTAGCTTATAGGGTGGCGGGTCGAGATGGGCATAGAGGGATCCTTGCTATGCCAGTAAGACATTAAGAAACGGTGGGCTTTGAGCATGTTGGGGTGTCCGCGGGCGAGGAGCTGGATGCGTGACCAGTAGAGTTCGAAGACTTGAGGATTTTCAGGAGGGAAAGCTGATGCTGTTAGATAGCATATCCTCTTGAAGACACCGGAGACGTACCTTTTGTCTGTGGATTCTGCCGTATGTATTCCCTGAGTTCTTCTTTCCATTGCAGCGCCTCCTGCTCCGGCACCACTCCTCTCACCACGGCTACGCCCCTCTTCCGCAGCTCCTTGCTGAACGTCTCGGGCGCATTGTCGATGTCCTTGTAGTCAACCTCAGGAATGACCTTAGACCCAAGCTCAACGATGAGCGGAATCTCTTCCCGTAGATGCCGAAGTAGACGTTCCCAAGATTCGCGAACCGCGTCTTCGCGTCCTTTGATCAGGCGACCTTTGAGGTCCGCATACTCCGGGGGGAGAGGCGCAAAGTTCTGGCCGGATAGCGAGACGAACGCGTCTGAGATGTCGCCTGCTCGCTTTTGGGCCTGCGTGGCTGCGGTGCGGAGCTGCGTGACGGTGCGTCTGGCGGGCGTTCGGACGGTACGCAGCGCGGAGAGCATGGCGGGCGATTGATGCTTCTGTCCTCAACTCGGAGCTCTGGCGAGGTAGAAAGGCCTCCAATTCTCCCCCATTATATACCCTCCTCAGTGCTGAAGGCCTGCAGCAACGAAGAGCAGCTTCCGACGACAAGCTCAGGTCAGGATGCGTGAGGGGCACCAAGACCCGTCGGAAGGCCCGATTAGGAATGGTTTCCTGCTTCAACGCTGTTCCCCAACAGGAAAGAGGCGTTTCGAGCGCTGCGGTCCAACATGTCAAGAGGAATCTTCCCGACAGCCTCGTATGCCCGCTCCGACGCATCGAATGAAGGCCAGAGGAGTGCCCTCTGGATGTCCTCGACGAAGCATGCGGACGTCGGGAATGAGCTCATCCGCTACCGGAGTCCGCCCTTGCCCCGCCATCCCACTTCATCTATCGCGCAGGTGCTCAGCCCAACACGCCTGGGCAAAGTCTCGCAGTCACGTTCCTGGTGGGTAAAAGGCAGCTAGAAACGACGGCCCGCCTCTCCACTGACCGCCTTCCACGGTGTTGACGGCGGCGGGCAGAATGCAGCGAAAGCTCCAGTGTCGTCAGGTGCTCGAGCAAACATCTGCTCGTCCAACATGCATACAGCGGGGCGGCGGGCTCGACCAGTCTTGGATAGACGGCGAAAGCGACATTCAGCCGTCTACCGGGCAATTGATCCTACGGAAATGCCTCACACCTGTCTTACGGCGCGTCTGATAAAGTCTTGTCGCGTCAAGACGGTTGCGGCGGGACGCTCTCCGCGACCCAACGCAGACGCGACTATATGAAGCCTAGACGGCCGTCAGTCCTCCTCAGACTGCAGTCTCAGTCCCAAACATCTTCGAATTCAGTCTGCTCTGCAACCGTTCCACCATGCCGGATTCGTACCTGCCCAAAGACTTTCTGTGGGGATTCGCGACCGCAAGGTTCGTCAGCCGCTGTTCTCTTACACTTATCACCCCGCTGCTATAGAGCTACCCCTCCGAGGCGAAGCTCCCCTCTTCCGAGTGCTGAAATAGGAATCTAGCTATCAAATCGAGGGCGCGCCCCATGAAGACGGCCGGGCGGACTCCATCTGGGACAGCTTCTGCCGCATCCCCGGAAAGATTGCTGGCGGAGCTTCGGGTGATGTGGCTTGCGACTCCTACCATCGCACAGATGAGGATATCGCGCTCCTGAAGGAAACTGGAGCTAAATCCTACCGCTTCTCGCTCTCGTGGTCTCGTATCATCCCACTCGGCGGCCGGAATGACCCCGTAAACGAGAAGGGGCTCCAGCATTATGTCAAGTTTGCCGATGACCTGCGTGCCGCGGGTATCGAGCCCATGGTCACGCTGTTCCACTGGGACCTCCCCGACAACCTCCACAAGCGCTACGGCGGTATGCTGAACAAGGACGAGTTCGTCAAGGATTATGAGAATTACGCTAGGGTCTGCTTCAAAGCCTTCGGCTCGAAAGTCAAATACTGGATCACGTTCAACGAGCCGTGGTGTAGCTCCATCCTCGGCTACGGCACGGGATTGTTTGCGCCAGGACGCTGTAGCGATCGGAGTAAAAGCGCGGAGGGTGACAGCACCACAGAGCCCTGGATTGTGGGGCATTCGTTATTGATTGCCCATGGCGCGGCCGTAAAGGCTTATAGAGACGACTTTAAAGCCAAGGATGGCGGTCAGATAGGAATAACCCTGAACGGTAAGCACTCCACGCAGCGCTCCACGTGGACCTCGTGTTCCCCAAACTTTATTCCTCCTCCTGCAGTCAGCCTTCATGCATCGAAATTCGACGCCTCAAGCGGTTGCGGATGTCTTTCCTCGTATATCGGCTGACGAGCTCTAGGGGACTGGACAGAGCCCTGGGATCCGAACGACCCGAAGGACGTCGAAGCATGCGACCGCAAGATCGAATTCGCCATCTGCTGGTTCGGTGACCCGGTCTACTTCGGAAAATACCCCGATTCCATGCGGAAGCAGCTGGGTAGCAGACTCCCAGAGTTCACGGCAGAAGAAGCTGCTCTCGTCAAAGGCAGCAATGACTTCTACGGTATGAACCACTACTGTGCCAACTACATTAAGCACAAGCAGGGCGAGCCAGAACCCGAAGACCATGCTGGCAACCTCGAGATCCTAATGCAGAACAAGGACGGAGAGTGGATTGGTCCAGAGACTCAATCTGTTTGGTTGAGGCCGATGCCTCTCGGCTTCAGGAAACTTATGAAGTGGCTTAGTGACAGGTACGGCGGACCGACCTTCTACGTGACGGAGAATGGAACAAGCTTGAAGGGCGAGAGCGACCTGCCGCTAGAGAAACTGCTGGACGACGAGTTCCGGTGCGAGTATTTCAGAGGCTACATCGGAGCTATGGCAGATGCCCACGCAAAAGACGGCGTGGACGTCAGGGGCTACTCGGCCTGGAGTCTTATGGAGTACGTCTCCCTCATTTCCTCTCTTCCTATCATCTCGCGTTATCACTATCTTCGGTCTGTGACGAATGGTCCCCGAGACCCCTTCCGCTCGGAGACCCTTTCGAATTTCTCCACCATTCCTGTTCCTATCTGTGTCCAGCCATCTCGTCACCTTTTCCTAGCGCTATTAGTACCGATGTGTGACAGGTAGCGCTAACGCAGGTACCTGCAGTAACTTCGAATGGGCCGAGGGGTACGAAACCCGCTTCGGCGTCACCTACGTCGACTACGAGGGCGGGCAAAAGCGCTATCCAAAGAAGAGCGCGTACGAGATCGGCAAGATCTTTGCGAAGTACATCAAAAAGGAGTAACGCCTCCCAATGTTGCGTCAACGGAAGTGGCGTCGACGGCAAGAGTGTGCTCGCTAGCAGAGTCAGTAGTGGTGGTGATGGTGAGGGACCGAGACAAGACCGGACGGTTTTCTACCTGGATTCTAGCGCGCGCGATGGAAAGTTCCATTTTCTTGTGGTGCGGTGGCAGTCTGAGAGTATAATAATGGTCTCGGGTTACTGGCCTTTCTGGGTGGACTGAAGCGGGTGTGCCGCGTGGTTGAGGCAATCGTCGTCTTTCGAGCATCGTACGTACCGCGCATAATATCTCCGTCTTTGATGAATGGCACCCACCCTCGCTTGCAAATCCATCTTCCCCAAAGCCAAAAGCCACCTTTCTCCCCATCAGCGGCAATGACCGGCAGGAAACGAAACTCTGTTGCTCGCTCGTACTGTTCGGCGACCACCCGCCATGGCGACATCAGCTTGAGCTCCAGCTTCGCTTGGACCGATGTTCGGGTCCCTTTCACCACCGTACCGCATTCCTTCTAGACCGAAGCTAGAAGCTTCGGCACACCTCGTGGGCGAGCGTCATGTACGAAGCAAAAACGCCATCGCGCAAGCTCGTCGACTCATTTCGCCCAGCTGGTCCCACTTCCACTTCCCCCTTCATCCCTGTTCCTGTCGTGCCCTTCGCACGCTAACAAAGTTTAAATGCACGCAAGCGTGGCAGTAGCAGCCCTGCGAACATCGTGTTTCAGACCTGTCCTCGTGGCCTCCTGGCTCGCTCTCGGCTATAGCGGGTGTCGGTGCGAAAATGTTAGTGTGTGCGGTAGCGAGCGCGGGCAGAGTTTTGGGTCCACGCCGGAGAAGGTTGACGTCGACAAGGGGTGGATTGGGCTTTTAAGTTTGCGAGGGTAGGTATTGCGTGTGTTGCGGATGGGATGGGATGGGGGATGGGGGTCGTCGGGAGACTTCCCCCGCGTTTAGCGTCACAACTGTTGGGTTGATGGTTGGACTAAGAGGCGGGTGCTCCTTGGTGAGGCTGATTGACGCGCTGCGAGATTGGGCGCCAGAAGCGCCTTTTAACAAGATGACGACGGCTGCGAGCGTAGGATGTCCTCGTCAGCTACAGAAGTTACAATATTGCATGTGTTTGTGGCTCTCGCGAAAGGAGGTTGCTCGCAAAGGATGGCGGTTCCCAGGAGGTCGCGCTGAGCTGAGGGCACGCCCTTCACTTCAGACACCGGAGGACTGGTTAACCCACGGTTCGCGGCCTCTTGCGCAATGATGAATACGATGTGTTCGCGCGAAGCGACGCATAGACGTTGCGCCGTCCCCACTGTTCGCAATATCGTGAGTGGAGATGCCGGGTTCGGCGTGTGGTTCTAATCGTGTAGCCGGATGAATCGGTAAGGTCGAGCGACCCTGAATTTCGGCGCGATATACACCGCTGCTGCCCAGTGCGGGATGCGGTGTGTTCTGGAAGATGTAACGGAGATGCAGGAAAAGTGGGTGCGGTGTGGTTCGGTTACACAGCAGCACACGAAGGGCATGTAGGTGCCACAGCATACGTACCTGTGTACATGTCAGGTACCGCGGCCCGCTGATTTGTTACGTAGGAGGTCGTATGTACCGCGATGGGGATTATTGGGCCGAGAAGCGAGCGGAGCACAGCAGTGGGGGGTTGTAAAGTTAACTTTCCAGTGTTGCATGGAGATAGGAGATCGTCTCAGGCTGAAGACGCAATCGTTGGTTTCGCAGGAGGTCATTGGTGAGGTGTACCGGATGTTATCCAGATCGCGCTAATAGCGATTGGGGGGCCTGCGTAAGTGTGGATGGTCACGCCGCAGGACAGAAACCTTAGAAAATCTGATACATGGCCCAAAGATAGACGTCTAGCTGCATGATACTCATACTATAGGCCTGGGATCTATACTGCATCGAGCGCCGTGTATCAGGATGGTGCTTCTCGGGAACATATCATACCACGATGACAGCGGCATATGGGCAGCAAAACGCATAGGATGACTTCACGATGCACTAGGTGCAGCGCTAGAGGACGTCCAGACGGCCAAACGTGACGACACCAGAGGAGGTACATATCCTCTGCGTACCGGTACCTGCTGATTCCTCAGAGCTGAGGTAGGATGTACATGCTTTTGCGATCGACGACCACGCTGTAGCCGTTTCATCTCACTTCGTGTTTCCAACGTCTACTGTGACTACCGCGCCGGCATCGCACATCGCACGCACCACCACACGACGTGCATTTGAAATGGCCAATTCCTGCGCCGTCGGATGCGCTAGGCTACTAGCCGACAGCCGCGCTGAGCATCGAATTCGTCCGATTCCTCTTTCGGCCCTCTCGGGCTTCATATGCCTTGCCGACGCAACGCGTGAGCCAATGGAGCCGCCAAGCATCTCCAACGGTGGCTGGGAGCCGGCGAGACGTCTGTGTGATGTGCGCCAAAAATACCCTTTCTCGAAGGGCCCGCCAAGCTGTGGCTGCCCCTATACCCAGAGGTACCGTAGCCGCAGGATCGCCCCTTGCGAATGAGGCGAGCAAATAACGAGCAGTCGATATCGCACCTCTACTGGCCGGGTACGGAGGTACTTGTATTGAAAGCCTCAATAACGGGACTGGCGGGATTGACAGGATTGACAGGGTTGACAGGATTCCGCTCATCGACGCCCTGCTCGTCAATCCGCATTTGCATCGGAGCCCAACATTCGGATGCGGCAGCGGTGGCGTATCGCATTTCAGGTGGCTTCGGGCGGCGCTCTGGGGGACGGCTCCCAAAAGGCAGAATACGTGACGCGAAGATGATGCTGCGGAATCCCCAGCGAGCACCGCGACCAACCCGGCAGCGCAGCAGCGCAGGCATGGACCTGGCACCTGAATGAGCGCATCACGGGCTGTGGGGCGCTGACGTGCGAAGCTAAAAGATCAATGCTTCATCTCATTTTGAGTTCGATGCTCCCAGATACTTCTGCCAGCCCAGCCGGTGGCCGGCCTGCATGGGATTGGTCCGTCAGCGCGGAGCGTTAGGCCTGCGTACTGTACGGTGCCTCCCACCTGCAGCTCGCTGCAGGCACCCCGAGCAGCGAACACTGCAAGTGCAGCACAATCTTGAAACACTTTGTTTATTGGCTCTACTGCGGCGTGCTCCGCGGTGGCCCATAGCGCACCGGCCCATGTCGCAGACAGAGAATTTGAGACTGGGCGCGGAGAGGGAGATGGGGGCACCAAGGCGTCCGGAGAGGCACGGCTTCAGCGTCTCCCGCTTGCGGCCAGGCAGAGGTGATCGCATAAAGGTCCATCAAACGATTACGGGAATGCCCCCAGCCCGACTACACAAGAGAGATGAGCCAAGAGCCGGTAGGGACGCTTTGGGCCGGCGTTGTTGCGTGCCCCCCAATATGATCGACAGGTCCCTGGCCGGCGTCGAGAAGGGGGATTGGCATTTTGCTCAGGCCAGCAGCTCGCAGTCGCGCTGCAGGAGGGCGCCGTATCTTGCGTCGCCAAGGGGCCGCTGCAGCAGCACCAGAGGCCTGCCGCGTGGTGGTCGCTCTGCAGAGCGCTGCGCAGGACGGAGGGCGGACGGCGGACGGCGGATGGGATGGGATGGGATGGGATAGGATGGGATGGGATACCAGCCCTGGAGGTCCACGGGTGCTGGAGGGGTCGCGCTGGCCCCACATCCCAGAGCGGGCTAGCGCGGGCCCGAGAACCCTGCTGCCCACGTGCGCGCAACCCCTGCGTGCCGCGTAGCCCGCCTCTCGCTGTCCTCGCCTCGCCGCCCGTCCAAAGCATCGTGACGAAAACGGCCTCCTCAGACGTCGACGCCCGCCCGCTTCGGCCTCCTTCCACTCCCTCAATCTTCGGCGCCGTGCGGCTTTTTCGCAATTCAATAATGGTGCGCGCGAAGGCCAGCCGGCATGGCGCGCCGATAAGCTCCGCCACAAAGCCTCTGATCTCTATTGCCATGGTGGACCTGCTGAGACTGTCTGTGTCCGCCATTGGCCGGGGAATATCGCGATGCCTCCCCTCCGACGAAAGGGGAAGTGGGCCGCGCCCATTCGCCCTTGTTCGCCCACGCCGGCGTGGTGTTGCGCAGGGCGCTCGGCCAGCAGATACTGTACTCGAGCCCCGCCGGCCAGTGCGTCCCCGGGAGTGCATTTTGCAGCCTAGAAGTCCGTGGTTGCTTTCTAGTACTTATCCAGAAGCGCCATAGCAAGGCTCTCAGCACGCCCGTAAGGCAGCTGCCAGGCTTCTGACACGCCCGTCCGGCGCTCTATCCCCAAAACCGCCCTCGCGAAGCCGGCCGCCGCGAGGTAACCGGCTGCGAGCGTCAGCATCCTGCAGCCGTCAGTCAACGGTCCCTTCATCCTCTCCAAGCCTCACTGCTCGTCTCCAAACTTTGTAGCGTTTCACACCTGCATTTCCCCGCAGGCCGCACGTGTGCTTACCACCGACTGCTCGGCACACTAGCCTCTGGTCCAGTTCCGGCCAGGGTCAGGGCAGTCGAAGCGCAATAGCCCGGGTCCAGGGTGCCATAGATGCGAGGACGCTATCCTCACCTGATGGCATGTTATAGCCTCGTCCCTGCCATGTATTGGGGGCCCAGCGCGTTGCCTATCTTTCCACCCCTCTTTCGTTTCCATTATTCCTATTGCTGATGTCGGGCCTGTGCTAATTTCAAGTCTCCCCATCTCACTCAGTACCCCATTCAGGCCCGTGTGTCTCCATCCGTGCACACAGCATTCACATAAACACGTCAATACGCCGTCCCAGCCCTCCAGGACCGCCCTCGCTATCCTCCAGAGGGGAAATATTCGAAGCTTGATCCGACCGTGTTTGGGGCCTTCGCTGACATAGCAACCTGCACGCTACCTGTAAAACGCTCACCGCCCCCGCGGATCCTCGATGACTTCAGTACTTCACTACCGGGACCCCATTGCGTACCGGAGCAACGACCTCATGAGTACAACCAACTATGTTCCTCCGTCCATGGCCAGCGTCAAAAAGTCTCCTCCGTACGACGGCCACTCCTCTGGCTCAGAAAAGAGGCAGATGACGCCTGGCGCCAAAAAGCGGCCGTCGAGAGCCGGCACTCGCAGCGTTACTACTCTGACCGCCGCCCAGCTGGAACGAAAACGAGCAAATGACAGAGAAGCACAACGAGCCATCCGTCAGCGGACGAAAGACCATATCGAAGGCCTGGAGCGGCAAGTTCGCGAGCTCACTGCGCAAATCGACACCAACTCGTCCACCAAGATGATGGAGCTCATCCGGCGAAATGAGGAGCTGGAACAGGAGAACGCTGTACTTCGTACACGACTATCGCACGCAGTCGCGGCCCTTGGTGTGCCCGAGAGCGGAGGTACGTTGTCTTCCATCCGCACCGATGAAACGTTCCCCTTTCGGCCTTTGGTGGGCCTCATTTGCTTTTTGGTGTCGCGGGCCGCGCCCGTTTGGGAGCAGCCGAGGTTTTCTTTTCCAGCCATTATTTTATCTTTCTGCAAGGTTCCTATTCAACTGTCTCGCTTCTGTCACTACCGCTTCTGGCGAGGTGCAGCATCTGTTACGTGTGCTCGCATCTTCGTCGGGGGCGAGACAGTGATGTTTGATATCATCACAGCACATGTGACGGCAACCGCAGCTCGGAATCCTTTGAGCTAATTTCAGTAACAGCAGGCGCCCCTTCTCCGAGCGACCGAATCCAAATGCTCAGCCAGCCGCGCCGGTCATCCACTGGCACGGCTAGGAGTGTGCACTCAATTCCAGAGATAGCCACCACACCAGGCTCACAGCCCGGGCACTGGCAGCCGCAACACCCGTATGCTCACAATGTCCCGTCACCGCACATTGAGAATCCTCAGACGAATTGGAGTCAGCACCCTTCCGCTCACCAGCAGCACCAGCAAGTGTCAATCTCGGGCCAGGATCCTTCGCTGCATGCCGTCGAGTCCGGCAACATCTCGTACCCTAGCCCATATGGCCTTGACAACAACTCCAGAGCCATGTCCTATCCTCTCGAAAACGCATCGCTTGTCACGACGCAGCCGATGCAGATGAGCGGCTACGGCACACCCACGTCGAATCCCTCACCGCATCCGCAAGAGTACCAGAGACATATGAGCCTGCCGATGAATCCGCCTCAACAAGGACCTCATCCTCCGCACCCGCACCAGCACCAGTACTCAGGTCCTGTGCACCAAGGCTACATGCCTCAAGCGAGTCACCCCGGCGAAATGCAGATGATGGCACCGGCGGCGCACCAACAGCCCCAGATGATGAGCGAACAGGGCCAGATGATGTATCATATGCCGTCGAATATGAAGGTCGAGCATTGACTGAAGGGCTCACATTGCGAACTTGAACAGCCCTCACCTGGCTCTGCAAGGTCGGGTTGTGAGGCCGTGCAGGAAAATGGCCCAGCAGCCCGCTCAATTCCAGGTTTAAGAGTCACGAATTGGGACTCCGAGATGCACTCATCGCATGAAGCCGAGAATTGGTGGGCATTGTGAGGGGCCTTGAGCTTCAGTGTTGGTATCGGAACCGCAGCGCGGTGTATTCCCTAAATCGGCGCTCTTCTCCGAACAGCATCGGCTCCGCGAACTGTCCACGCACTCATCCCTCCAGGGCAACATCCGATGACGGCTCTGAGCGCGCCAAATTTTAAAGCAAACATCTCACATCCCTTCTCGGTCCGATTACGCAGACGCTTCCGAGCCTCATGACGAAAGCACCGGCCGCACAGTGCTCCAGCACCACCGGACGCACGCCTTCGGTCCGTAGCGTTTGCCGAAACAGACATCAACTGCAGGCCGTGACGGTTGCATATCCGCCGCCGATGGGATACCCACGCACTTCCTGTGGGTGAAGCTTTGCAGGGAATACCTCGATATGCGAAAGGGACTACGTTGACGGGATCATCGAAGCATCAGAGAATATGCCAAAACGGCGCTATGCTTCTCCATCGGATGTCCGGCATTTTGCTAACGCTAACTGTGGATCCATGCCTCCGCAAAGTGTCCCGAACCATGTTCCCTGGACCAGAGGATCGCATCGCACGCTCCGACGATCTGGCCACACTTCGGCCTCAGCGCGCACGCATAACGGCACCAGCGATTGCTGCCACCGAACTCCACCGAGCTCAGCGGAAACGAGAGTGGCCTGATGCGAGAGTGCACCAATGGAAATTCTACATTCGCAAGGCGTACGTTAGGGCCACCGAATGGCCAGACTAACTGACACTAGGCGAGCGAGCCGGTCCTTCCGCCAAACACTCGACCAATCACACCGCCGAAGCGAAGACCATCACTGCATGTTTCAGCTCCTCCACCCCAGCACGCCAAACCTTCCAAGCACACCGCATTATTACCGCACCCTAAGCTCCATCGCGATGCACCTGCAGGGTGATGCAAATGGAAAGACACTCGCTGGAAAGACGGTGAACATTTCGGAAGGATGAGCGAGGCCGCTCGGCTACGATGCCTTCACGGCTTGCTGCGCACGGATCTGCGCCAGGAGCTCGGGATACTGCGGGGGAAGGCGTCAGTGGAGGCTCGTTGGGGAAGCAGACAAAAGACTTCGGGCCTCTTACCCAGCGCTCACCGACATCCGGATGCGACTTCACTCTGTTCATGAGAGTAGCCTCGCCCAGGTGTCCCCACCTTCCTTTGACGAATGTGAACTCGACGTCGTCACTCCGCGCTTTCCGAGCCTCGTCCCGAAGCTTCAACACGTCCCCCGGTACATCCATGGCTTCGAACTTGGCATCGTAGCTCACACCCTGGAAGAACGGGACCGAGTACCTCGCACCTTCGCCTTTCCGCGGGCTCAGCACACGATGCGTCGTCGACGCGCAGACACCGTCTGTCAGCGCCTCCATACCCTGCCCGATAGCGACAACAAGCGTTCCGGCGATGGGCTTGCAGTCCACCCACTCGCCCCTCGCGTTCTGCGCCTGCAGCCCCGGCTGGTCACTCGCTTGCAGCAGATAGCTCGTTAGCATGCTGTCCTTGTGCGGACCGACGCCCTGCCTCTTGATCTCCCACTTCTTCCGGTCAATCTCGCTGGCACCGGATGGCAGATCGGGCACATCGACTTCGGGATACTTGACAATCTTCAGCTTGTGCTGCTGGTCCGCGTCGAAGAACTTGTTGAATGCGTCGGCAGGGAGGCCGATGGCTTCGGCGATTAGCGAGGTAAAGAGCGTGGAGATGTGAGACATGCGGCGCATGTAGTCTTCGTAGATCGGGCGGAAGGAGGGGAGGTGCGCTGGTGAGGGCCATTGGTTCGGCGCGAGGAGGTTGTGGTATAGCGGTGCGTCAGAGCCGGGGATGGGATGCGGTGTGGAGAGGTCGAGTTGTTCGCGGTGGTCGGGATTGAAGGCTGTGGTTTCGTTGTCGAGCTGAGTCGTGGTCAGCAGCACATTTGCCGGAGAGGACTAACAAAAAGTAATGAATTGGAAAGAGAGGGGATGAGAAGAGCGGGTAATGGCAGGAGAAAAGCATGGTTGTCGGATCTTTTTTTTTGCGCAATTTCTGGTCTGAAGATACCCCCTCTTCCATGCTTTGTCTTTTTTATAGGCGTTCGGATGGGTTGGGTTGGGCGGCCGATCTGATGTCTTCATGCGTTCATGTACTTCAGCGCTTTCCTTCGCTCATGTCTTCCTCGCTCGCATTTAATATGTTCGCATACCCCCTCTATCGTTGTAATCCATAGCCGCATATATTGGTGCATACCAGTTAGATATGTTCAACAAAAGCGATCCTTCTCTTCAACCACACAACACCGCTCTCCTCGTGTGCTGAATCGCCAAAGAAAGCAATTTCAACTCACCCTGCTCCACCCCAAAAAGCTCTTCTCGTTCTTCATCTCAATCCGCTCCTTCTCCGCCCGCGGCAGCTTCTCAAAGAAGCCTGTGCACTCCGCAACCACATCGCGGATCAGCTGCTCCGGAATCCCCGTCTCGCTCAGGTACAAGAAGCCCACGTTGAGCAGCGCCGCGCGGAGGTCCGCGAGGAACTGCGGCTTTGTCGCCGGGTCGAGGGCGCGCGAGAGCGGCAGGATCGGGATGCTGGTGAAGGTCTGCGTGGCGGGCATCGTGGACGCGGCGGACGGATGGAAAGGTGGGGTGGAAAGGTGGAGTTTAGGAATTGGTTTGCGGGGAGTTAAAGGCCCGGTCGGCTTTATTTCCTTTTTTTTTTCGAGGGATGAGAGGTCGTACGATTGATTCCTGAGTTGTTCTTCTTAGGGCGTGCTTCTATGTGGGGCAGCTCTGGCATCAGCAATCTCTTCGGTTGTCGGTTTGACGCAGGGCAGTGCGTGCGATGGCGTCATTGGCGGCTAGCGAACGGGCTCAGGGTCCAGCGGAAAGAGAACGTAATTCCGCCGTGGAAATTGATATCGGAATCGCTTTGATAAGGGGGTTTATTGAACGAGATGTGGTTTTGAAAGATGGTGAGATGAGGGAGAGAAGTAGTGAAGGGAGGGTTTAATAGCGAGCCAGCCACTTGAACGCCAGCCCGATGGCTGCGAGCTTGAGCCCTGTGATGAGGAGGATGCTGCAGGCTTCGAGGAAGAACATCGCGAGTATGGAGATGCTATTGCGAGGGTTTTTTTTTCTTCTAAGATGGAACTAGGATGAGCTTCGCTTTAAGCACAGACAGACAGACAGACAGGTGCTCTTCCAAAGGAGATGTTGGCATCGCGTGTTAGGGCAACCCCGTCCCGTCCCATAATTCTACACTTGGGCAATCGAATCATGGGACGGCGTCTGGGCTAGCCTTCCACGTGCATTCACTCGGTTGGCCGGCATGACGTACATTGCGCTTGCGCGCTGCTCAGATGACTGGCTGGTGCAGACCCATCGCTACCATTAGCCCTCCAACCCATCCCGCGTGTTACCCCATACAAAAACCAGAACAGCAACGATGAACAGCCAAGAGCTACACAGCAGCGGGCTGGAGTAACACACAATCGGAAAGGGTTGTTGAGCAGTAGTAGTGAGTAGTGGTGTGATGCGCCGTCCGAACAAGCCCTCGCCCTCCCATTCCGACCCCACGGAAGCGATTCCGCCCGCGCTTCGGAAATATTCGGTTCGGCACTCCTCCTTTCCCTTTCCCTGCACGCCGGAGACGAAAGGAACTCGCGAGCTTTGTACGACCCGATCGACGCGGAATATTTCTGTTGGGTCAGATTATAGCCTTTGCGCGCACAAACATAAGATCCGAGGGGATCTCGTCTCCGGTGTGCAGGAAAAGTCCGGCGGCTTGGGTTGGGCTGGTGTGGGCTTGTGGTCGGAATCGGAAGGCCCCGACGGGTATATTGGCGGGTATTTGGGAGGGGATGATTGGGTATATCGTTGAGGATTATTGTATTGGGCATGTGTGGAAGGGGATAAGAGGTGGAATAAGTGTATAAGGTATGTTGTGCAGGGAATAGTGGGCGGTATAAATTTGTGAGAACTGGGTATAGCAGTAGGTAGGCAGCTAATGAAATACTATTCCCTCCTTCGACGGTTTTATCTTGTGCATTCGAACTATGGATTTGAAGCGCAATGGAAAACCCATTTCCATATGTCTAGTCCCAGAATCATTTTCATAAATGTGCCTCTGTCATCTAACATGTCCCTCTTTGAAATCTTAGCGTGGGAAGGGTGCGCACACTCACCCATGAACCCCCAACCCAGCAGCATAAACGTCTCTGAATCCTCAAGCCAACCTCGAACAGACTTTCTGCAGTAAACTCCTACGAAACCGATCCAGCAGAGCCCGAAGTGCCTCACATTCACCGAACTCCCGGTCTGTCTGCCCATAGCTTCTACCATCCTCGGCCAAATTGTCTAGGCAATCCACACCGTCCTTATCCAATAAACTGCCAACGCAAGGAAGAAGCCCATCGCGAGGAGACATGTGACGGGGAAGACGAATTCGAGAAGCACCGGCGGGAACGTGAGCGAGAGCCAAGAGTAGTGGGTAGAAGACATGGTTGAGAAGAAGAGGTAGACGTCGTGGTCGGGTTGTGCCGTGGGGTTGGCGATGCCGTCTCGAGCGTACTGCGGTGGGGCGTCGTTATGATGTGCTGGAGCGTCCATTCTGGAGGAGCGTGTCATCGGTGTCGTGGTCGACAGAGTGCGGATAAGTTGTGGGAGGAGCACAGTGCGTAGCTGGTGGTTTAAGAAAGCGTATGTGAAAGTTTGCTTGCCGCTTTTCTGCGGAAGAAAAAGTGAAGTATCGGACAGCACAGGTTGAAGCGGTCTGACGATTTCTCAACCTTGGTAGCTTTGACAGGCTGTGGATAGGGTCACCTCAATAGGACGCGGACTCCAGGGCCGACATTTAAAAGGAGATTCATTACTGCCGTCTATTACATCGAAGTTGTTCTAGAGCAAAAACAAGAAATAACCAGTTGCGAGTCTATCTTCCAAGCGCGCTGAGGGCACCTTACCGTGAACGCTGCATGATCCAAGAGAACCGCCAGAACCAGAAGAGTTGCGGGAGAAGATCTTAGGAAACGCAATGTGCCGTTTGAGGAGACGGAGTACTGCTCTACAGAGGGAGGCGAGCTCTCTTTCTGGGACTTCCCCTTAAACTTGGCCGCGGCAGTTCGGAAGAGGTTGCAAGTAGCTTGCGGTTGGAGTGCTTCGGTGGGCGTCACCTGGTCGACTTTCTCATTTCGCTGTCATAAGAACTTCGAGAGCACGCGATGTCGTATCCAAGATTCAGCCTCGGGTTTTGGGGGCGGCGGCGACAGGTGTTCCCATAGCTTTCCTTTATGTACTTCGTGGCTTGCAGATGCGTTGGCTGGCGCAGAGCGGTGCTTGGGCATCGCGCGCTTGAAGAACATGTTGCCAACGTTGTGGTTGAGGGCACACCGAGATTTTGGTTGTGGGTGAGATTGTATGTCGCTCGAAGCTGAGAGGAAGCTTGGGTTCCGAATTAGCGCGAACGAGCTTTTTGAACTTCAAGGCTTCCGCCCGAGTGAATTTCCCGCGGGTGCAAATGGAGTGCGTGATCATCGGGCCCTGCATGGGAAATTTTCGCCCTTGAGCGGTGAAAGACTCTCAGAGATCCTACCCCGACTAGTCTGACTCGGTCTGAGTCGCTCACTAGAGGTGGAATTTGCGATACTTCCTGAACAGGCTATAAAAGCCTCGAACCCCTTGAGCTCGTGGTAAGATAACACTGAATAAAAGAATGCGGTTTGAGGATACTGCACGTACCGACGAAGTGGAAGACGAAGCATTATGCTCCCGGCACTTGCCTTATAAACACAAGGAGGGAAATGGGATGTAGTGGTACACAACTGGCTTGGAGGAGAATGGATGCGGGGTGACTCTGCTGAGTATTTCGCAGTCCATTCTTTCTCGACAAGCCAGTAAGTTCGGGGGATAATGGGCGTTGGGGGTCACGGAGAATTGCATACTTGGAGGGGGGAGCCCTCACTATGGATAGTATCCCCCTAGGTTTGATTGCTTGTGTATAGTCTAGGTGTGAGCAGGGGTTGCTGGCTGGCGGTAGCGGCTACCAGCGACTCCTATGCTGGCCTCGCCGATAACCGATCCATGATGGTCCCAATTGTCGGTGGATAGTCAATCTATAATGTTCCTTTTGAAATAAACCTGGGGACAAACAGAACCGACATGCGCATAGGTTTCGGACCGTTGTAGCGTTTAATGACGGCCGTTGGCTAGCCATTCTTGGTTTTGGAGAGGCTAGTACGGCGAAGATAACATGTGATGTTGTTTTGATAGGAAGGGTTCAAACAGTGATGGCAAGAGGTGATTGCAAGCCGTGGGAAGAGACCCGACTCTGGGTGGGCTCGTCGGAAGAATTATCCCCCGATGGGTTTGCAGTGGAAAGAGATGCGCACTGTCCGCTGGAAGCTTTCACGATTGCATTATAGTATATCGTATGCATGGAATCATTGGTTGCTTTCGTATGCTGAGATGTATGCTAATCGTCCATCTCTCTCACGTGACTGATGTGCGGGTCTTTATTACATAAGCGGCTCGATGCATTTGAGTCGGAGCCTCCACACCACCGCCATCCATGGCTACTCAGCGTGGCTGCTCAGCGAGGTTACTCATCGCAGCAATTGTTTTCGTGGCATGCCCTTCAGCATGGATCTCACGAGCGCATGCGTCGACCATCAATCTCTGAGTGTTGTCGCGGGCACCCCATAGCGACCCTGCTCAGCCCTCTGTGGCAGCGCCCTTTCCTCCCACATCATCGGCCTCGGTCCGGTTCTCCAGCGCTAAGGCATCTCGCGAGCATGCACCAGCCGTCTTCCACTCTTCAAGCAGGACGTGCACCTAGCCGGCACCGCTAATCGGACGCGCGTACCGCTAGGTGGATAGCCACCATTGCAGTGTGTTTCCGGTGGTTTTTGAACTTCATACCCGGTCTCCATTTTAAGGCTGCTCCCCGCCATAGTCGTTCTTCCAGGTGCCAGCGTAGTGATGGGTGACCAGCGGCGGGCCCACTTCGCCTTCTCCGTACTTATTCGACGATGCGGCGAACGAATATCCCGGCATAATCAATACATCTCCCACTAGCTTGGGTTCCAAGAGTTTCGCAATGTCGGCGGGAGGGATGGTCGTGTTGAGCGTTTTCTCCAAACTCTTGAGGACGCTCCTGGTCAGCCGCCGCGGGCCCTGGTGGAACACTTAGCAGATGTCTCGAATCAAGGGAAGTGGACTCTCTAGCATGCCTTAGATTTTAACCTGCTACAAGCCTGAGAGCAGAGCTTTCCCCAGGTAAAAGCTGAGCGATGCTAGAGCGTGGATCGCGACCTACGTACCGTGATATCCACGACGTCACCGACCTTATCGAGCGTCAACTGCGCAAGAGGAACATTATGCTCCGCCATCTTTTCATGCAATCCCTCAAGGATGTCTTCGATGACCATCAACATGTGCGGCAGCCCCGGTTTTGCTAAGATAGTCCAGCTCGCAAATTGGCGCACGAAGTTGAAATCCCAACCAACATCGAACTCCCATCCCACCACCAGCCCGGCTTTGCTCTTGTACTTCGGTGGTATCCACTGGTCGATTGGAATCCCTTCGCACGATATGTCGAGATCGGACCAGATACCTCCTTGATCGAAGAGCAGCAGGTAGCGCAACAAGTCGGCTTTGAGGATTGGAATAGTCAGGTTGGAGTACGTCTCGACGAGTTCCGGACGAGACGCAAACTTGTTCGCAACATATGCATCGGCGGAGTCATCCGTCATAAACTCGGCCTGGTAGTTCGGGTTGGCGTTGATGCAGCTATCAGTCCATTCCCGGCTGTCGTTGCTTAATCCGCTCGGACCGAGCTTGTACCATATCTTCTTTGGTACGCCGTCATATAGAGGCAGGTGCAGTGGCACCGGACGTTCGCCGAAATGCCAGCAGCGGTAGAGAAAGACGACGCCGCAGAAGGTAATGAGCACAGCGGAGAATAAGAATTTGGATGATAATGGCCGGTAAGAGAGGATCATTGGGAGCCTGCTGGGTCTTCAAGAAAAGGTTTACAAGAGAAGAAGAGACATGGACGACGAAAAACGAGGGTACGGTGTCGCGGATAGGTGTGATTGCAAACTAATATTGCAACCGTACTGTGTATATTTCAAAGACAGGACGAACGACAAGCTGGCTAGGCCACGGACACATTTTACCCGAAGGCAATGCGGCGCAGTTTGTTGCCCCCTTTCTTTGTATCCGTACCGCACTCGGGGCAAACGGTGAGGGCCATGAAAGAATCCGAGCGACGGACCAATCAGAGCGACGGGCTCGAACAGGTTATGCGACGAGATTGGCAAGGCGCCTCGAAGTCAGCAACTATTTTTCGCTAAGCGAGCGCTAACGCGCATGCGGCACAGCACGAATTACACTCTGCTCCGGTCAAGAATCCTTTTCAGGCTGCTCACATGAAACGGGTGGCGTTTGTATGATTTGATCACAGAAGATGCAGGTTGACGACAAGCCACAAAACTCTAGTTTCATGGTCGGTTCTTCCGAATGAGGGGGGCGGGAGCAGACGGTATGAATCTTCCTAGCAATCATGTGGGAACCATAGCCCGTCCTCACAAACCTCGATTCGTCCCTGGCAGACGCAAAGCATGAGAACCAAACTGTGGTGGAAGATTCATTAGGAGTTTTGTCGCCCGTCTGGTGCGGGAGATAATACTGCCACCTCGTGGATGCGGAGATTGCTCCTGATCATGATCCAGCGTTGCTGCGCCGCTCTTGTGTGTCGCGGACCTTGGGATCGGGTAATTGTGCTTTGCCTGTGTGCGCACTGTCCTCTGTCCCACGATTGCACTCTCCTATCCACCTCTGCAGGGCCACCTATCACTCTCAGTGCTGCTTCCTTCTACTGCGATAATCCACCGAAATCGCTCCCTATACCTCGCATGCTACGTCTTCTCCCTTTGGCGGCCGTCCTGGTCTGCCTCCTTTGCTCAGTCTTGTGCATTGACTTCATCAATCCTCCTCCATTCGGGCGCGAAGGTGACTTCAGCTCGAACCCAATCTATCCGGAAGGCTCGACCATTACCATAGCCTGGACATCCGATAAAGCGGATAAGCCCGTGTCACTCACTCTCGTCCAACTGAACGGGACGGAATGGATGATGCCAATGGAATACATATTCCGTAGGTCTGCCTTTTCTCCAAGACTTCGACTGCGACACAGTAATAGAGTACTGATCTATTATGTAGAAAGTGTCGTGAACAAAACGGACTTCACATGGCTTGTTGGCACTACCAAAAACCTCACCCTCTCGAACATGTTCTACCTATCCATCTTCGAAGAGGGCGCTACGACATCGGATTCGAACAGCCACTACTTCAACATTTCCTCCAAAGACCTTTCACCAACAATTTCTAGCATTACAGCAACCCCATCCATTCCATTTCTTAGTACAGCGCCAGTTTCCACACCTACGGAAGCCTCCATACCTACTAGCGCACCCTCCAACGCACAGACATCCCCGCCTCCCTCACCACCTTCAGGGGGCTCCTCGACCGGCGCGAAGATCGGAATGGGCATCGGAATTCCCCTTGCTTTGGCCCTCGGTATCGGTGCTGGCTTCCTTCTGTTCAGACATCGTCGGAACCGCGACAACATCAAGACCAGGGTCCCAGACTCAGCACCACAAATGGAGTATTACAAAAGCAACTATGGCGGAGAAGCGGTAGAGGTACCTCTTCGATCGCCAGTGGAAATGGCGCCATCTGATTCCGAGTTGAATATGACAAGTCAATGTTGGCAGCCGCCGTCGATGGCGTCTGGTAGGGGCACCGTGGCAGAATCGACACAGCATGAGTTACCGGCTCTGCAGTCGCCGAAGCGCTGAGGCAGTCCTCCGGTCGGAACTCTGTGTCTCAGGCGCCTCTAGCTGTGAAATAACCCGCCAACAATGAGCCCGCTGTACGCGGGGTGACTTGCGTGGAGAACGTCCTGCTGGAGCTGAGGAGAGTAGTCATGCCAGCAAGAGAATGTGGCACAGGGAAACGAGAAAGCCTTGCGGGGTTGTTTCGTTGTGCGTGAGTGGAGCAAGCTCAATGTGGGTGCGAAGGTCCATTGCCTCGTGCATAGTAATGAACGTAATGATATAACAACTTAAACATTTCAGAAATCACATACAGTCAATTAAAACTATATACCGTGAAAGAAGTCATACATAAGAAGTGAATACAAATTCCCGGAGAGCTATCCCTAACCCCCCGCCTTCATGAAGTGCTTTGGCCGAATGATGTGTGGACAGGCGGGTTTTATCCCAACCGTCCGGTGTGTCATCGCCTCGTCTAGCCCGTTTTACCCACGCCAAGACAGCGAAGATTGGCGGGATAAGTCGAACGAAGTCGACCTTTTTGTAAACATGCCCTGAGGAGAGCTTTTTGGTTGCGCTGACTTTTCACTGCAGCAATAGCACATCCGCTTGCGAGGTCTCTGTCTGAGCTCGGAGTCCGCTCCGAGCCTGAAGTCCAATCACGGCGCGGGAGTACGGGCTTCTAGCGCCTCGGCTTGACGATAGCAGGCCTGCAGTCGATGGATTGGTAACTAAAGTCATTGTCACCTACCTTACGGTTGTCGTTGCGATTTTCCGTCCGTCCTCCCGTTCAGTCGACCGAGGTAGCGCAATTGATATAAGTCTCCCACAGGTCGCTGTTTGTCGGCATACCTGGCTCCAGAATCTTTCCAATTTCCACCTTAAGCATTTCCTCGGCTGCAGGCCAGCCCATGCCGAGCGCGACCTTGAATTCGTAGGGATCGAGGCGGAAGTTGGGAATGGAGCGCAAGAGCTTGTCGACGAAGTCGTGTACATCACCGCCCTCATACAAGGCGCAAACAGCAGCCTGATAGATGGCGGATTTGGCGGTATACTTAGCGTCGGGGTTGCCGCGCTCGTACATCGCAGTAGCATAAATGTCGCGGTAGTACGGTGTCTTCCAGGCCATATGCGGGGATACGCTTAAGCTATTGACAGTTTCGTTGAACCAATCGCGACGTAGGAACATAGGGACAGCGGCCATACCAACGCAGCGAGGTGCGGCGAATGAACCGTCCCAGTCGATGATGCCGGTGACGTTGCCGTCCTCGTCGGTCAGTATATTCTGCAGATCACTAAACAGTTTGATTAGCGTGAGGAATCTTCGGCGGGACGATATCGTCAAGACTCACAGATCATTGTGGCGGATAGTAAAGGTCTCCTTATCCGTTGGGTTGAAGACGGGGTGTGAGAAAACAATGTCAAGGACCTTGCGGACTCCAAGTTTCTTGAAGTCATCGTCATCCTTGACTTCAAGCCCGTCCACCGGATAGTCTTCGTTCAAGGCTGTCATTACGTACTCTCGAGTAGACTTGAATGTAGGGCGTGTAGTCAATTCATTCGGGTTGGTCATGGAGAGCCAGTGGTAAGCTGGACCAACTTCAGTGGGATCCTTTCCCATAGGAAGGTAAGGCTGGACAATGTTTGGGATGCCAATCTCGTCGAACTTGATATCGCGAAGATCGCTCAGCACGGTAGCGAGTGAGCGAAGGAAGTTGATGCGCTTCTTCTCGGTTTGCTCGCCGGGGCAATCCGCGTTTCGAAACGCCCACACAGGGTCATAGGAATTGTCGTACCAAACGTCGAACGCAGAATTACCTGGTAACTTCCGCATCAAGATGAATGGGAAATCAGCGAGGTCACCGATCATCGTATTACAGGCCAAGACTTCGGCGACTGGCACCTTGGTGTGGTGGTAGAGGTACACCATCAACTTGACCTCTCGATCCATCATGTAGATATCTTCTCTGCCCCAGAAGGCGACAGTACCATGAGCTGGAATACGAATGACGTATTCTTCAACGTTTCGGTTCCGGAGGAGCCCAAGAAAGACGACATGGTGATAGCTGCCTTCAGTGCGGCCGAGAACGCGCGTGTGTTCGAGCGGAAGCTTGCCGGTAGGATCTGTGAATTGAAGCAGTAGAGAACGCAGAGTATCATCGGGGATATTACGGATGACTTCCCAGTCGCTTCGGTCGGCAGGCGGGGCGATTTTATCCTTGCCCGTGTAATAGCCCTCGTCTTCGTTGCTCCGACCCCAGCAGATCTTAAATTTGGCTGCCAGATTGGAAAAGAGTTTCTTAATATTTAGCGAATTCTTCTTGTACTCTTTCTTGTCTGTGGAAGCATCTGAGCGCTTGCGCTTTAGATCTCGCTGCTGATGTGGATGAAGATATGGGGACTTGGGTAGTTGCTTGGTGTCTGGTATATCTGATGAGAACCGTTTGTTGCCTGCGGCATCTTTCTCTATAGAAAGCGAAACAGTCCGACCGGGATAGCTAGTGGACGCGGCTTCCGCCGAGTCTGGTTCGAGAGCCGTGGACGTTGACGACAGCGGGTAGTATTGCTGCGAGTGAGATTCGTTGGAGGCCGTTGAGCGGGATGAATGGCGAGCAGCCGACGATAGTGGCAGTTCGAGCTCTGCGTCCAAAGATTCGGTCGAAGCGAGCGTGGCTTCTGCGCCTTCATACATGTCATGTGGGCCTAAGTCGGGCGGCGGAATGGTGTAGTGAGTCGACGTTCCACCGATGAAGGCTTCGTGATCGACTTTGTCGCGCTTGACCAGGTCCACGATCTTGCTAGTTAAGTGACCCCACGAATCCTTCGTCTTCTTGTAGATCTTTTTGGACAGCTTCTTGAGTGTGCTGGGCCGCTTCAGCTCGATAGTATGGATATCGTACTTGTTGTCCATGTCCGGCGACGGCACCTTGATCAGCGTCATGCGAGAAAGCGCCGCCTGAATCTCAGTCTGAGATGATGGACAGCGCGGGGAGAGCTTCATCTTGAAGTTGTGCCGTTGGGGTTAGAGCTTGTGCTTCTGGGTTTGGAAGCAAAGAAGCTTATTTGCTGAGAGGGTGCAAGCGAGGCGAGTCATATAGCGCTGAAGCCCCGGCGTTGCGAAGGTGAAACCTACGACGGAGTAGTCAACGCGGTTTCAACAGATGAGGGGACGAAAACGCCTTTGGCGATTTATGAAAAACGGTTCCCCGCTATATCCAACTGTTCACAACTAAAGTCTATCGCACAGGCCAATTGCCGACTCCTAAAGCGCCTATTCGCCACACAATGTAAGGAAATATATTGAAGTTACAGGATCGTACAGCCGGGATCTTTGGTCATGGTAATTCAGACCAAATCAAGGTGAGATGATACATATACGAGCATGTTTTCGATCTTACCTTTCTAGAACGTAAGCCCCCTAAGCGAGGCGAAACCACAACGATGATCGATCCTGCAAGGAATGCTATCATTATATAAGTAGTAGCCATGAGGAGACGCCGCGGGAAACGGGATTGGTGTTCACTGGTACAGGTCCATCAGATGTCCGGCGGCGGTGCCGTTCAGTTGTGAAAGGCTTGGTGCAACGCGGAGTCGGTCGTCCGGGAGCGTGAATTATGGATGTATTTCCCCCCTGAGACCATGTTTACCTGACTCTTTCTCCCGAAATTCCCCCTATACGCCTCCACTATATAGCACCACGCCACATCACTCTCCCACTCAGTCCGCACAACAAACATCCACGTATCCAACTCGCAACTTGACCATGGGTAAGAACAAGGGCAAGAAGAAGGGTTAACCGTTACAACCGGCCCAGCTGGTCCAACAGTTCCAGCAGGTCCAACAGATCCAAGGGGGCCCACAGGTTCCGTATGCCCAGCATGTCTAGTATGTCCAACAGAACCGGCGCACCCAGGAGTTGCCAGATAATGAAGAGACGATCGTGCAAGACGAGCACAAGGAAGTGAGTTATTATATAGCTGGAACATGGATAGTTCGCTAATCTACTTACAGGACATGCACAACAAGGACGCAACCGGCAAATTTAAGTACCAGTGGTTTCCGGACGATAAGCCGCTCGATCTCGACGATCATAAGGTGTGGGAATGGCTGCTTGGCCCGAATTGACGATACGATAGGTGGAACGAGCATTTCCTCAACATACGTACTGGCGACATCCGGAGGCTTTTCGCTCCTAATAAATGGCCCGGCGGCGGCGACGCGTAATGTGATGGAGGAACGATGTTGGTGACCGAAAGCGTGGCCAAAACAAGCACCCTTCTAAGCCTTATTATAGCAATTAACAGGGGTACAGACTTAGCCTAGGGACGTTTTTGTCTCTTTGGCGGTCTCTTCTGGGGTTTTCAGCGCTACTCTAAGCGGCACCCAATCTTTCTTTCAGTGTCAACAGCAGCGGCAATGGGCGGCCCACTTCTTTCTGGCTCCAGTCTCTTCCTCAGCCGACTTATGATTGAGCTGTTCATTGACTGACTGGATAATGCTTGACTCCCGCCCTCGCCCTCCGATCCTGATTTCGGTGCTGACACAGGTGCGGCGCGAACCGCAGGGAACAAGGGACGTAACCCGGCATAGATATTAAGGCGTAGCATCCAGATGATGAGCGCTCACGTATACATGGCTGTATAGGCCGTAGGTAGAGGAGAAAGAGGGTTACGCTTTGGGTCGGAAACCGCAAAATTTTGCTCGGCAGCTGCGCAAGCCACACCAAGCCACGATCACATGCATGCCGGCCGCATTCCTACTTCATCCTTCCCTTTCCTACACCACGGTGAGCGATACTGGATAAATTATTCGCATGTCAATGCCATCGAAGAGGGGTGTATATTCTTGTAACATTATATTTCATTACCACCTCATCTTACTGTATATCCACAAGTTTTAGACAACATGAAAAGAAATATAGGAAAAGAATCTAGAAAGGTATTAGAGCGAATAGCAAATTCCCTTACCCATTCCACTCAACCACATTCAGCCACAGCCAGCGGCGCCGGATCGACTTTAGAGTTATCCCCCTTACCCCGCGACGGGTAGCCGTCCGCTGAATCGCCGTTGCTTGACTGAGACGACAACAGCGACGTTTCCGAAGTGAGGGAATGGCATGGGCTAGAATCCGAATCCGTTGAGGAAGTCGAAGTGGATGAGTCAACCATCTCGATGTCAACGCCGCCCCAGTAGTTCTCCTTCGGCAGCTCAGGGGCCATAATCTTCCGGATCTCGCGCTTCAGGAAGCGTTCCGCAGCCGGCCAGCCCTTACCCAACGTACACTTAAACGCATCCGTGTTCATCCGGAAGCCGGGGATCTCGCGAAGGATCTTATCAGTGAAATCGAAGACATCGCCACCTTCGTAGATCGCGGCGATCGCGGCTTGGTACAGGGCAGATTTGGTAGTGTACTTGGCGTCGGGGTTCTGCGCTGCCACCATGGCCTGCGCGTAGATGTTGCGATAGTAGCCTGTGTTCCAAGACATGTGGGGTGTGATGTCAATCATGTGGCTGAAATCTGGAAAGAAATCGCGTCGTAAAAACTTGGGCGCTGCGGCAGGGCCGATGCAACGGGGTGCGGCGAAGGCGCCATCCCAATCGATAATGCCGACAACATTGCCATCGTCGTCCGTTAGTATGTTTTGGAGGTCCATGTCGTGGTGGTGGATGACGAAGGTTTCGTTTTGCTTCTCAGGATTAAAGGGCGCGGTGGAGAAAACGATATCGAGGATTTTGCGGATTCCTGCCTGGAGCAGGTGTTGTTCGTGATCCTCGTGATCAATATCATCGCAATCCTCGGGACAGGTTTCAATATTCCAATCGTTTTCGAGAGCGTGCTGGATGAAATCCTGGGTGGAGACAAATGGACCGCGCTGAATGATCTTGTGGATGTCCGCTGAGGATGGCCAGTGGTATGATTGACCAACTTGTACCAAGATATCGCCGTCAGCGGAACCATCCACCTTGTGAGGCTTTGGGATGATCGGCGTGCCAACCTGGTTAAATTCGAGACGCTGTAGCTCGGTCATGATTCGGGCTAGCGAGTTGAGGAAGTTGACGCGCTTCTTGTGGGTTTCATCCGAAGGGCAATCAGCAGCAACCCAGGCGTTCTCTTCATTATAGGGCTGGTCGAACCAGATATCATAAGCATCATTGCCCTCAAGCTTCTCCATCAGGATATACGGAGCGCCGAGGTCATTGTACATGCTGGAAGAGTAGCCGAAGATCTCAGGCACAGGGACCGAAGTGTTCAGGCGAATATGCTGCATGATTTCGACCTCGCGGTCCAACATGTATTCATCCTCTTCCCGCCACAGAGCTGCAGTGCCATGAGCAGGGATTCGGATGATGTACTGCTCAACCTTCCGATGGCGATAAAGTCCAACGATGGCGACGTGATGGTAGCCACCCTCCGTACGGCCTAGTACACAGGAGCAATCGAGATCTATCGTGTGGGATGGATCGAGGCAGTCGAGCATGAGAAGCTGCAGCGACTGGTCGGAAATTGCGCGGATAGGAGCCCAATCGCTGCGGTCGGGGGCTGACCCTTCGTCTCCTTTGTTATTGCTATTGCTGCTATTTTCGTTGTCATCATCGCCCTCATTATCATCATCGTCGTCGTCGTCATCAGATTCGGTTTTAGAAGACTTGATCTTGGTCGCAAATTGGCGAATGATCCGCATCATGCGTTGCCGCTTGCTCATTCGCGCAACAACATGCACCTGTCTAACTGAGTCAGCGTCGCTGGCTTCGTCGGCATCCTCTACGCTATCCGCACCACAACAGTCGTTATCGTTCTCGTCCTGCATATTTGCCCCACCATTCTCAGGGCATGCGTTGTTCTCATCACCAGCCGAACAGAATGCCGAGCCTTGTTCAGTGGTCGAAGATGTATCCGAACCAGACGAAGTAGATTGAGCCACAAGATCGGCCTTATCTGCGCAATCCGAAATAGACGAGGACAGCGAGGATGTCTCTGAAATAATGGTAATCTCGGCCTCCATCAGCACTTCCGTGGATGGTAGGTTGAGAGGCGGGAGTGTGAAGACGCTCGACGTGTTGGTGGCTACGGAATGTGGCTTCTCGATTGCGGAACGTCCAAACAGTCGGAGGACTTTCTCCTTGCCACCGGTGTACAGATCGCCCAATGCCTTGATCAGGGTGCAGTAGGCGATACGAGGCGTCTTCTCCTGAAACTTAGTCTCGAACGTGGCTGGGATTTCAGCGTGCGGGTCTTTATTCAGCAGTGGGGTAGCCGCCATAGCCTCGTTTGAGGGAGCGGAACGCTTGAAGAAAGAACGCATGGTAGGGTGCTCGTGGGTCGAGAGGCTGTATGTGTTTGCGTTCTGGGTTGTGTGCGGCGCCGTGGTTGAAGTAGGCGTAGAACAAGCTTGCTTGCCGAAGAGCGGCGGGCGGGAGGTTATATGTAGGGTGGTGCGGTGAATTCGGGCGCGAAGCGGTGCTGCTTTGGCCACGAGAATTGCAGAAAGTGGGTCTTGGCATCTCACTTTGTTGAGGGAGATCTACTTTCACAATGACCTTCCCTATTCTTTGGGGATCCGCACGATGTGACCGGCGACGTCTCCCCTAGATATCTTAGTCAGCACACGTTCACCTGCCTATGTTGTACCAACATCGCCATGCGAGGTTAGTAACGCTATAACGTCGTAATCCACACAAAGAGGAGACGGCATTGAACAGTTCCACGCGAGTACCTGGAGTATATGAGAATTATCCTAAGGACGGAACTTCAAAAGCGACTGTATATATTCGCGGGAACAGTGGCATACTTTCGACGAACCCGCATCTGAACGCCTTCAAAAAGGGGAAATGTGATGCTGTGGTAGCACAGAGGCCGGGAGGCCGTCGTTGGAGAAGGCGACATTGGGTGCTAACGTAGGTGATCTTCGCACTGTATTCTCACAATGAGTAGTGCCATGAATGTAGGTGCGCTGTGGTGGGCAGGGCATCCCTTACGAAGCTATAGTCCTGTAGCCGATGAGGTGCGAGGAACTACTCGTGATATTTCACCACCACGATCTCCACTGGATATGAGCTGCCTAGCCGTTGCTCCTGGGTCATGGTACAGCTCCAGCAACGCAACATTTCCCTCCTCCACTAGCGCCGCCGATTAGCATCTCCCGTCGGGTACCTCCCTTCATCTTCTGAGGCAGTCCCGGTCCAGATCTTCTCAACTCAACGCAACCTTCAATCACAACAAAACAACCACGCTGCCATGAGTTCCGGACAGAGCCCCAAAGCCGACTGCGACTTTCCACTCGTGATAGCTCCCTGTTTCGAAACTCTCACCAGCCGGCATGACGACGCTCGCCAAGAAGGAGTTGAAGTTCGTAGGCGGACGGGTCGTTGAGACTATTGTCTTCCCGGCGCACGATCCCGAAGAAGAGATTGCTCGCAACCGCTTCCCATACCGGGAGGTTTACGGACCCCTCTTCGAGTCGAAATACTTCAACCCCCATTTCAAGAACTGTGGAACGGGAGAGCCCAACTCGCATGCACATCACGATCGTCGAACGGGCGCAATGTCGCGTAAATCCTTTATGGGTTGGCCGCCGTAAGTATTACCCCTTTCATCCTCTCCCGTTCAAACCAGTAGAGAATGTCAGGTAATCATGCATACAGGCAATATGGCTTTTGCCTAGAGTTCATAACCTTACCCGAGCGCGGCCGTGAACGCTGCTTGCAAGAGTTCTTCAATGACTCACCAGGTTGCGGCACTCACAAATCCACCTTCGGATTCACCATCAATAATGTCTTCGACAAGATGCGACGGGGCCAGCGGGTCTTCTGGGGGGACATTGAAGATCCGCTCATCAAGGCAGCGCGGCAGATGCCTGACCCGTACGCGACCGCCGCTATGGCGAAGCAGCTGGTGGTTGCTGCAGCCGAAGCTCATGCGGATGCCAAGTACGCTGAGAAGGGCTACATTGAGGAGGACGACGGCGCCCACACTATTTTCGAGAAGATGAAGAAGGAGCAGATGTGGGCCGCTAAGTCGAAGAAGCAGGAGGACCAGCAGATGGAGCAGGAGCAGCGCAAACAGAAGGGCGGCTATGTCAAGAACCCCAGGGGTGGTGCTTTTGTCATCGCCGGCCCGAGGGGCTCTAGCAAGCCTCCCAAAGCCGCTCTCGGAGCCGTCGCCACTAGGGACCATAGTAGCATTCTGAAGGCTCCTCTTGGCGCTGTGGCTGCTATAAACGGCTATAACCAGAATATTATAGCTCCTGTCAATGACGCCGATGCTGGTCCCACTCCTGCTATGCGGGCGATCTCCTGGGCGAACAACCTTCCGACGCCTGCGCAGAATGACGGGGCAGCGTCGGCCTTTGAGGACAAGAAGATGGCCATGCGCGAGAAACTTGAGGAGAAGTGGCTTAACGGCGGCAAGTCCAAGTCTAAGACTTTGTTGAACCGGCACGACAAGAACAATCGCACTTGGAAGGGTCGTCCCAAGAATCCGCCGCTGCCTGAGACTCCAGAAGAGGGTGAGAACGTTACTGAGACCCAGGAGGAGCAGAAGGATAGAGGTTTCGAGAGCATCGTCGCTGGCGTGTCCAAGATCGACATTGCCAAGGGCAAGAACAAGGGCAAAAAGAAGGCTCGCAAGTAGTTGTCCCTTGCGCAAGCCGAATCTGGGTTCGTCACGAATCCGCGTTGACAGGCATCTTCCTGTGATCCCTAAATCGCGCCCTTCGGTCTTCATACACCCTGTGCATCCTTAGCGGGTTCCATTACAACTCCTCACCTTTCTAAACGACAGCCGCGGCCGGCTTCCTCTCTCATCACGACTTCACGCCGCTCATCCTCTCGCCAACTCGCCGTCAGAAGACCACACCAATCTTCAGTCGCCGGCCACGGCTGCGTTCCTCTTGTGTCATCTCTATGTATCATCTTTCACGGAAAGGCGGCCGGCTCTAGTCCCCCCGCGTTGTAGGACCTCGTTGGCTAGCTGCCAGCCTCTTCCCTCTTTTACATGGTGTTTGGCTTGTTTTACGGGATCCAGGGCATGGGTAGCGGCCCTCGCTGGCTGCCATATCCCTTGCCTTTCCCCTATCTCTTTCCCCAGCATTATTATCCACGATGCAGATGTCGCCACGATACCACAGCTATCTCTTTTTTAGGTAGTTGTGCGATGTGAACGGCGTCTGTTGGTCTTCAATTTCCAGCAACGTTGGCTGGCGTCAATGGTAGTACGATATCGTAGATAGAAAATGTGAGGCTCTTAGCATCTAACGACGACCTTGTGATAGCAACGCGCGCGTGAAGGCGTACATACAAGCCGACAGAGCCATCCGAGAGGCGCTCGATGAATGAGAGGACACGACGCTGATGATGGAAAGGCGTTGCTGCTTCGCGACGCGCGAGACGAAGTTGGCGTCGTCGGTTTGGAATAATGATTGTCCGGGTGCACCTGCTTAGTCACCATATCTCCTTTCCAGCACTGTCCTCCACTAACCCAGCCACCAGATTAAAGATCGCCGAAGGCCATCAAATCGCCGCTAAATATGAGCTGTGCACACTTAATACTTGCTGTCTGGTCCTACAGCTAGACCTCAGACAGCGAAATTGCCCAAATGTCTACCCCACACTCGAAGCATAGGATATATTCGCAGCATCATTTCGCATTATCATCTCAGCTACGTTAAAATCACTTTTGAGGGGCACGAACACCTCTTATGCTCACAAGCACAAGCATCCACATCCCCTTCCGTTCACCATCCTTAAATTCACCCCCTTTCCCACCATGCGGCGTGTCCATTAGATCATTATCCCAATGTCACGCACCCTCTCCCCCTATCCAGGCACGAAGAACCTGCACGCTACAACAACACTCTCCTCTGAAAACACGCCCTGCCTCTCGCCCTTAACCTGCCTCAGCACGCCCTTCTCCCCCTTTGTCACCGCATACGCTATAACGCAGTCTTGGTTGAGCGGGGGATTATCCGTAGTTCTGAGGCGGTCGGGGTTGCGTGGAGCGCAGATACGGGGAGTTTGTACAGAAGCGCGCTTCCGCAGCGAAGTTCGGGTAACCGGAGTAGTCGGCATGGTCGTGGAGGATGGTGGTGGCCGCGATGCGGATGTCGCTGGCGCGGAGGCCGGTGCCGGTGCCGGTGCCGTGGCCGCAGGCGAAGGTTGGTTTAGCGGAAGCGGGTCTGGCTGCGAGGTTGGGGGCAGTGACAAGATTCTGATCTCTTCTGTACTGCATGGTATCCCCAGTGTTGGCATTTCGGGTGAATCAAGCAGGCTTGAGAGCACACTCGAGAGTGGAGATGAAGACCCCTTGTCAAGCGGTCTGCTTCCGACAAGTTGCTCGACGGGCTTGGCCTCTAGATCCTTAGTCCGGCTCTCCGTTGGCTGATCTGAAACAGCGCTGGCCTTCGTAGGCGAGACAGACTTCGACTTAGACGTTTTTCTCAGCAGCTCTTCCGGGTCGTCAAAAACGAACGTATTCGCTTTCGGTCCCTGCACCCCGAGGATGCCGCTAGAGGTTGTGTAGGGCCGCCCTACTCCTGGCTTAACCGGAAGGGCAGCGGCAGCAGATCGTTTAGTAGTTCGACCAGTTTTCGCTCCCGAATCCACAACGTTTTCGACGCCCTGAACTGGAGGGTTGTGAGCCAAAGCAGATCCGACAGAATGGGGCACAGGTGCAGCCTGCACGAGCACTCCATCGTGCACGGAATCCCGCTTCATCTTATCCACGCTCATTGTCAAGTCCGGATTAACGCGCTTACTGGGTGACGTAGGAGGTGGTGTCGTCAGGTGGCGCGCAATCTTCTTCCGGCGTGGAGCGTCAGAAGAAGGCTCCACACACTCCGCCGAGCCAGGTGACCTCTGCCGGGCCTTAGTGGGCGAGGTGCTCCTTTTACGCTTGAGTGGAATACGCTGCGGTATCTCCCACCGATGATCGACAACAGGCACCCCGCCCTTCCCAGTGATCGTAAGATAACTGAGCAGGATGCTAGAGCGAGGCTGCTCTGGATCAATGAGCCCAAGGTCTTTCGGCAAAGCAGACTTCGGTTTCGTTGTAGCGGCAAAGAAGCCGATTGGCGGTGGAGCACCTGCCGAAGGTCGCTTTACTGGGCGCATAAACGGACCGCCAAGGGCAGGCCGCGGCCCTACAGGACCCATGCTACGGGACAAGAGCGGTGGGCTACCCATTGCGCTTCCTGGAAGGTTAAAAGGTCCTTGAGTAGACATGAGAAAGCTGGGAGGAGTGCTCATTGGAGGTGCGTCTGGGTTAAAGGACGCAATATTCGCTGGGCCAAAAGACACCCGCCGCGACTGGTTTGGCGGTAGACTCGGAATTGGGAAGGGACTGGACGGCAAGGACAGACTGCCCGATTGACCGCCATGCATTGGCTCGGAGAAAGGAGAGCTGAACGGCGGCAAAGTGAGCTGGCTAAGAGACTCATGCCGAAGTGGGCCTGCCGCTGGCACGTCGAGCTTAGGCAAGCCTGGGGTGCTCATTGGGTCCAGACCGACCATCATGTCGGCGTATGGCATCTCATATGGGTTGGCCATATAGCCACCATACTGATTGACACCGAACTGTGAACCAGTAGTGGGATAGGAGTAGGAGTTTCTTGGGGCTGTCGGCGGAGCATGGGCAGAGGGGTAGGGTTGCCTCGCACTGCGCGCTTGCATGCCCCGATGAAGGTCACCATGATGTTCATTTCCAAATGCCGCAAATTCAGAGGATCTCCCCTTGCCAGGCTCCACTAGGCTTCGGCCATCAGTTTGGATAGCGAGGCTCGAAGATGGAGCCGAAGACGTGGGTGGTGGTAGCGATGGTATGCGCCCTCCTGTGAAAGGGTTCTGGAACGCCGGAGGCAGCGGTGCTGGAGGCAGCAGAGGGGCGGATGGTCGTCGTCCAGTCTGCACAGGCGCCAATTCTACAGGCGATTCAGGCAGATACTCAGGATCCGAGTCCCCTTCGGCATCCTGATCCGCGGGAAGCTCTTCCTGTTCGTCAAGCCCTATCGCGCCTTCCTCGGAGTCAACTTGCTCTCCCTGGTCTCCAAGGCCCATTCGCTCCTTCTCTGGTGCTTCATCCCGCGCTCCCTCGTCTTGTCCATTGCTAACCTCGTCTTCACGATTCTCCAAGTCTTGGACGGCCTCGTACGAGTACCGCGCATCTACTAATCGCATCGGTTTCAGGCAGTAGCTCGTCCCATTCGTAACCTTCTTCCCCGCCCCGACCGTAATAACTACGTCCACCACGCCGAACTTCCTACCGCCGGGCTTCTGCATATCCTTGACTCGCTCCGGCATCGCCATGGCCGATAGCTCCTTTAGAAAATGGGCGCTTGGCGGTCTCTCGCCGTTCTTGTCGACACCCCTCGCGTCCGCCTCTTTCAGCAGCTCTCGGCAGATCTGCTGCCACCGCTCTTGAGCACCGATCGTCCTTTTCGTGCCCCTCAGGCTACCATCAACGTTCATACCAGCCGGTATGATCACCCATGGCCGTTCCAGAAGGTAGTCAACACGAGTCCCAGCGAAGACCTGATGCATCGACTTAGCACCAGCACGAATATCGTTCTGGTGGATGAGCGCGCAGTGAGAGAGCTGACCGTTGAAGAAGACATCTATCATGAGGTGCTGCGGTTTTCTGTCTACGAAGCTCTCGGAGAACGTCTTCTGTGTGAGCATGACGTGTAGGACGAGTGCTTTTGGCCCTAGCTCAGCATCCTGAATCGACTGGTCGGGTGTCGAGGGTATCTGCAGCTGATAGGGCGATATTGTCATCGGTGGACTCTGCGGGTGCGCTCTCGTTGAACGCAAAGACGAACGGCGGTCCTCAGACGGCGCATCTGGCATGTCCTCTTTACCTCCACCATTTGCTCTCGACGCTGGGCGACCGCTCCTCGTCAAACTCCGCCTTCTTGACTCCTCCTCACCCTCTCCTGCCTTTCGGAGCTCATCGCCCACCAATACTTGGAAGAAGGGCGCATCACCCAGCCAATTGAGTCCGAAGTTCTCCTCATCGCCGGGAAACTGCACACGCTCCTCATCCAAGAACTCGCTCTCTCGGAGCTTCCTCTTCGCCTCATCGCTTTGCCTCGTAGCCACCCCGCCCTTCCTAAGCTCAATATTGGGCGTGACGACGTCGGAGAGGGGCATTGCCGCCAGGCGCATGCGGACGCCCGCGCCGTGGAGGGACGGCATGGTGGCCCTGCACACTCGTCAGCTATCGCAATTGTGAGCCAATTGCTGTGCTGGACCTGCCACTAGCTTCCAAAGCTGTAAACTCCTTGCCGGGGAACTGGAAAATGAGTGGTTAGCAATTGTTGTTGCGCAGAGGCTCAAACGGTTCTGCAGCAGAGACGGACGAGGATCGCGCGTAGAAATGGATTTCTCTCCTTCCGCCCAGCCGTTGCGCGGATGGAGCGCGTGCCCGCGTGACGTCAAAGTGGTGACTTCCCTTTTCGACAGCAACGCATGCGACGGGCGGCCGAAGAACCGCTTCACTCACCGCCATGCGCAATTACGCCGGTTAGCCCCGGCGCACCCCTCATTTGAAGTTCACTTTGAGAAATAGCGAAGATCGGGCTTTCTCCGCTTTCCAGAACAAGCAACGAGAGAAACACAATGGAAAGTGTACAGACTATAAGGTTTGAGAGAATTTAAGAGATCATTCAAGCATACTATGTAGAAACAAGCGCATGGCACTCAACTACTAAACGCAGCATGTGCGTCCTATCCCCTACGTGGCTATGCGTCCTTCACGCGCAGGCCGGATTGGGATGTTGTTCCTCCTCTTCCTCACAAGCTCTCGGTAGGTTGTGAGGCGGGCTGCTCGCTGCCGCAGCGGCCCTGGAGCTGATGTTCCTCTTCCCCCTCTGAGGGTAAGCACTTGGTAGTCAATAATCCTCGGCTCTAAGCACAAACCCTCAATCATCAGTGATAATCCCAATTGGTGTGCCACCCAGCACATCGCCCAACTCGCTCAACGTCCTCTCGAACACCCTGGCAATATGCCTCTCTTCCCACTCGTCATCCTCCTCATTGTGTTCAAACCCCTCAAAATGAACCATGCCCTGCTCCTCATCATCAGCGAGATCGCCATCATCAATCTCCATCTCTTCCGCGTCTTCCAGGCCATCTCCGCCCAACTTGCGGACGACCATGAGCCTCATACGCTCCACTAGCCCCTTCAGACGGACCTTGTTAGTCGTAGAAATTGTGCGTCCATGCGCGAAGCCCGGAAGAGGCTCGCCTGTATCAGCATCGCGGCCTTGTAGGAGAGAGGAGAAAGCGGCGTCTAGTTTATCGAGGAGTCGGAACGTCGAGCGCGGTGCTGGACCGAATACTGGTAGGAAGTCCGTAATCATCGCTGCAATGCCTAGAAGATATGGGATCTGCAGATTCGCTGCATATCCCGAACAATTAGCCCGCCGCACAGCTTGATAGCTTGACAGACGAGGGGGTGACTTACGCGAACCGCTCACCCAAACGACATCCACTAGCCCTTCTAAATCCTTCGCAACTTCCGAAAACGTATGATAACCCTCTTCATCGCCTTGTGTCTCCTTCTTCATCTTGCGGTTGTTCTTGCGGTTGTTGACGCGCTTCTGCACACGGGCAAGCCCGGTATCCAGATACGTAATCAACTCGCTCTCTTTCGGACCCCCCGGTTTAAGCGGATGCTTGCGAGTCTGTGGGAGCGGCGAGGGGTGATGCGAGGTAGCGACCGAGGATGCGGGCGGGGTAGGTAGATTATCGTGGAAGGGACCCGGCGGCGGGCTTGTTATGGCGGCCATGGTGGTATCTGCTTGTTGAGAGTTATAGGGATAGTTTCCGATGGGTGGTTGTGATTGGTGTTGTAAAAGGTAGCTGTCTCGATTCGGAAATTCAAGGTGGGTTGAAGTTGAACGGTCGGAATAAGGTGGATAAGCTGATTGGCGCGAAACACATCCTATGGCTAGGTGAGCCGGCCGGGTTTCTGCAGCGCCTATATAGCTCAGGTCAGGAGACGCGGGAGCTTCGGAGGTGAACGTCGGGGAGTCAAAGAGAGTGATGGTGGAGCTCTGGGGTAGCTGGTGTGGGGTGACGTTGCGATGATTTGTCGCAAATGGAAGGAAAGCCACAGGGCAGTCACGCGCCACAGGTGATCAGCCGCTCAACACCGCCAAGCAAATCGCGAGACGGGTCTCATGACGTGCTGCCCCTGTTGATCACCTCCCTCGAAGCTCGCAGTCTAATTTTGGAGTGTGGAATAGACTGTGACTGGATTCCATGTGCACAGCACGGCGTCAAGCCGTGCAGAGATTAAAGAAATATCTACTACAACTGAAAGCCTGCCGTGCCGACTCGAGGGTATCTCGGAATTTCATGACTGACGTGAAGCAGCAGCTTGCTCAGAATGACCGCGTGCCAACCAAACAAAAACACGCTTTCCTCGGTGTTTCCCAGGTGCAGGCGTGCCTTGAAGCAACGGCCTGGCGCAAGATGAGACCCTTGGCAGCTCTGAAACATTATGCACCTGCACCCCTCAGCTTCTTCGGACTTCGCTCCTTCTCTCTTCGCTCGCCCTCTCATATGCGCCCGTAGCCTGACCGTCCCGCTGCGTATTGCTGCTTGTACTGCAGGAGCTCGGCGGCCTCCTTGTCTTGTTGTGCCTGCAGGGCAGCGAATTCGCGGCGGCCGGCGCGTCGCTGCTTGATGCAGCAGAACCCGATAATGCAGGCGCAGACGACGACGAAGCCGATAATGGACGCGATGATGGCGATTTGGGCGGTCTTAGAGAGGGCGTTCCAGCGGTTCTTCACGCCGTGGGGTTTGTTGATCTCTTCGAGTTGCGTAGATTTGCCCCTACGTCCGTCAGTCCCATAACGCGCCGACTGTGCATGCACACTTACTCAATCACCTTGACCTTCTCCCACGAGCCAGAAGCGTCCATGTTCTCCCAGGAATACTCCTTTGCGGTGGTGTAATCCTGAGCGTACACCTTCTGGACAGTCATGGTGAAAGGGCCGTCATCGAAGTTGGTCTCGCCTCCTGCCCAGGTAACGGTGTCCTCGGGATTGTTCTCCGTGTCGCCGCCAGCCCAAACGCCGAGCCGAATGTTCATCGGCGTTTGAGGGTAATTGTCGCCGTTGAGAGCGTCGGCGTACTTCAATTCGCGGATCATCTTGCCGTCGAGCCACCACTGAATGCGCTCCTTGGTCCAATCAATGGTGTAATTGTGGAAATCGTCCTGCGGAGCAGCGTCCACCGTGAAGTCTTTACCGCGAGCAGGGTCGTAGGTATTGTTTCCCTTGCCGTAGTAATTTGTTAAGACGGTTGTTTTGTTTCCACCGAGGAACTCCCAGTCGATTTCGTCCAAATCCTCGGACTGCAAAATTGCGCTGGAGACGATACCTTGCCCGGGTGCGGCTTTCATTATAACCTCGGAACGTCCAAAGAACAGGTAGAAGGTGGATTGGATGTAAGGCGCATCGCCACGGCGGTCCACGGTGAAGGTGGTGCCCTTGTCACTGTAGTCGACCGATCCCGCATTCTCCTTTTTCCAGATGTTGGGATTCATGCCCCCACTGGTGGCATTGAACTCAAATGTGGCGTTGCCTCCAAGAGTTCAGCATTCGTGCCATGAGATTCCAAGGTTGCCTCTTACCTCCCAAAGCTGGCATATTAGGGCATGATGTGGTGTTGAGAGGGTTACCTGCGCAGACGATTAGCATGTTTCTCAATTGGCATTCGGGCCATACGGTGGCTTACAGGTGGTGTGCGTCTGCGCCAGAGTTGTCGGGAGAGCCGCGAGCAGGGCGACGGCAGAAAGAGCAATTGAATACATGGTGACGGTCAGTTCGCAACTGTAGACTTGAAAAATGAGTGTGTAGTCGAGCGCGTATGCCAGACGCGACTGCGATGGAGAAGGAGTGACTGGGTCGGTTGGTGAATGAGCGGACTCTCGCGGGGAGAAAGGGAGAGGGAGCGGTGGGCAGGGCTGCGTTTTGAGATGTGCCGTTGGAGGCGGGAGGCCATGGTCGTGCAGATTAAGGAGTTCCTATCCTTGGCTCCGCTTTGATTGGCGGAACGACCAGGAAACAAGCCGCCCTGCCGCCGATCGCCCGGAGCGCAAACAGCTGCAGGTCCTCGCGCGCCGCTAGTAGACGAGTAGATGCTCGTAATTTTATGTCGCAGCCCTCGTAGACCCTTTCCACTGGCTGTCGTCGTGCAATTGACATTGGGAGCACTACGCGCTTGCAAGCGCCTGTGCCACTGACGGGCTGACGGCATGCAGGTACAGCGGAGGCGCCGCGATAAGCGAACAAGCATTTGACATGAAACGCCAGGGAACTCCGTCTGCAACTCCTGGACAGCCTCAAAATAGCCTCGCCGTCTTTTCCGCAATTACCTCGCCGCCGGACTCTGCGCCGGATAGGAAGCGGTAATGAGTGCCCCAGGACACCGCAGCCGCTCGAGAAAACGCGCCGCTTCGCGCCGGGCAGGATACTCCGTTGCGAAAGTCGATCGGCTTCGAGTCTTTTTACGTGGTACGATGCGCCTGGCCGGTGGCTGTTTGAACTCGCTCAATCCAGCCACGACGTCCCTCTTCTACGGAGTACTGTGTACTTCGTACGAGAGCCCCGCGTTTCGAAGCCACCGCGGTCAGCAGCTGCCGTAGACATGCTCAATCGTGCCTGAAATCCCCAGCTTCTTGGAAGTACACCCACCAAGCGTGGTACGGTCCGTCCAGCGCAAAATTGCCCTGCTGTCGATAGCGGCCTATGAATAGGTTGAGAGTTGCAAGAACCTTCCACACGTCATCCATCTTCCACCCGTAGGATCGCTCGCCGTAGTTGGTGCTGGGATTCCCGAAATTGACGAGGTATCTCTCGCTAATCCCCCAAAGGCCATCATGGACGTGTTGATGCGGTCGTTGAGGTAGCAGAGTCTCGCTGTGCAGTTCGAGGAGCCCTTCGAAGACCTCGTTGCACGCATCTTGCACCTCTCTCGGCGTGCGCGAAAACACGACAGCCCAACTCTCTATTCGTCCCCCGCCCTGCAGGAGAAAGAGCAAATGCAGCAGTTTTTCTAATCTGCTGATGCTTCCAGAACGGCGGAGGTATTTATGGGCTACCAGCCACCCCTTCAGAGCTCTTAATTCATGAATCTTGACAAATTTCAGCTTTGGGAGGTAGTACGAGGGGTCGTCGATGCCGTTCAGGATCGCGAATGCCGCAAAGAAACCGGTGACACTCCCTTCCCTCTGTCGATCTGGATCATTCATGGCAAACGAACCGAATCTCTCCTCTTCCGCAATGCTCTGTTCGACTTCTGCGCGGGTCTTCGTTAGATGGCAGCCGATATGGACTGCTCTTTGCTTGTGGTTAACGAGCCTTGGGTAATGCCTAACGCTCGTGCCTCCCCGGACGCCTTCATCGAAGTGGATTCCATTCGGTCGCGTATACGCGCCATTCGGAAGCGTAATGACTCCGTCGCTTGGGTCCTCTTCTGCTTCGAATGGGTACTGGAGCGGACCTGCGTCGTCTTGGACGTAGGTCCCATACGGCAGCGCGCCCGACATGTACGTGTCTTGCTCATTGTCCTCATCGCCTTCTTCCGCATCGTTCAGCCAACTCATCTCAGGCACCCGGGGTTGACTGGCTTCTGAAGAGGCGTATGCCACTGCATGCTGCCTGCTTCCTTGCCCCTGGATCTCTCTAGGCATCCCCATTTCTCGCAGGTACTCTTCGAAGAACACTAGCCGTCGGTATGCCTGCCATGCTTTCCTTTTGATTTCCGCAATGGCAGTGGAAATAGAGCGATTGCTGACCCTTGTTTGCAGCTTCTCCAATCCTTTATGCGTGCCCTTTAGTCCTCGCTTGATCTCCGTAACCTGATCGACGGACGAAGGTTCGAGGAGCCCTTCAAGGTATCCGATGCGGGTATTCATCGCGTCCACGTATGCCCGAATCTGATGCAGCTCACCCGGAACCGTGTTCGTTGGCGTTGGATCGTAGTGACGCTGGCTTATCGCTTCGCGTGTCGCTGCTGTACTGGAACTGGGAGGCAAGGGAAAGTATGCGACGGGGGCCATGTTGGATTCTGTTGGGCGGACACCTCGCTCGCTCGTTCTCTCACGGGCGACCGGCACATGCGGGCCAGGAGGGCGAGGGAAGTGTGTTCCTGGAATCATCTCGGGTCTTGAAGAAGAGACTCCCGGCTGCTTGAACAGGGATGCGCCCGCTGCTAGTCTATGCAGAAGGTGGACGCTGTTTTGTTGTGGGAAGATGACTCTCCTGAGGTTGACCCAGTGTTTGGCTTGTTGGGCACCATGGTTAGAGTTGCCATCCTGCTCATCTGTTGGCCGAAACAAAGGAGGCCTGCGGGTCCAATACCCTTCAGTCCCAAGCAGATGGAAATATCGATGAGAGCGTCGAGCCGAAATTGTCGAGCGAGGATATTCGCCACCGTGAGTACCCCTCTTGTACAGTACCCATTCAATTTCAGCAAAGAGCGTGCAATGCGTGATCTATTTCCGAGAGAGGGATCTCGGGGTAACATTTTGGAGTCGACCGCGGTGTAATCTGCGCAAGCTGAAGAGAGGCAGTCGCGTTACGTCAAGACTCAAGGGTCGGTCCTTCCCAACCAACTCTGCGAGGGCTGCGATTCTCGCCACCTGCATTTCCAGCACCTCCTCCTCCTCCTCTTCTTCTTCTTCTTCTTATTATATCGTCGTCTCTCTAAAACCTTTTAGACTCCAATACAGAGTGCTTCGTCCTGTTATCGACACGTTATAGCCCTCCCACGACCTCGGTCTGCGGCTACGAACACGGAAACATGGTTCCCTAAGTACCTACGGTATACGACAGATTCGTAACAAACATTTAGGTACGCTCTTCCTCATCGAGCCTCGACCAATATCTAACTATCTGGAAACTGCATTTTCTAGGACGCCATCCCTCGAGTTCCGAATGAGCAGTCTGTAGTCAAGTCCCCTATCCCCGTCCAACCTGTCTCTTCCGGCCCCAGAAGGCTTCATGCTTATCGCCACACCCAACTTTCTCCCAGCCAACGGCGTTTGAGCCAATCTCAATCCTCAGGTATGCCCTCCCCTTCTTCCCGATCCAAGATGGCAAAGCCTAGCTATGGTCAGTCAAATCCAGGAGCGTCAGGAAGCATACCTACATCTTCGGGCAGCCAGATCAGCATCTTGCCACTCCAGAGTCGTACCAGCCAGATAACTCAGAAAATTGCCAGTTGATCCATCGAAACTGTCCTTACGATACTTGTGGGGACTACATCCCATGTAGTTGTCTCGACTCAGAATCGGTATTTTGAGGATATTCGTGGTCCCGGCGAGACGATATTCGACTGCCTGGCCGAAACCATCAATGAAATATCTGGACACCCGGCATCCGCGATCGAGGAATCGCGACTAATGATCCATGACAATGCCTGGAAAATGGTGCTCCGAAGCCAATGGAGCATAGTAGGTGTATCGGCAACGAACGTCTTGCGCCCATCCTCGTCACATTTCCATAGCACGATGCGGATCTCCACGTCGCCAAGTTTGGTCCGACGTTCGATGTGTGCAAGAATGAGAACTAGGTCGATGACGTTTATTCGCAGAGTCCCTAAATTCGGTAGCTTCGGTAGCTCCGATAACTTGAATCGCAGGGCTATCTGCAGTCCGCCCATTTCCTTGGTCTTTTCGGCCTTGCCCCCAAGGTAGGGTAGGGTGGTACTCGCCCCAGAGCACATCCAGCGGCGGAGTGCGGAGAACCCATTGAAAGACGTACGCGGGCCGCTCGTAGTCATTCCAAGAATAAAGGTATTATTCCGCCAAAATGCGGATGCATATCTGAACGCTAACTCCTGGTTGACTTGTGCAACGGAGAGTCCCAAGATGTCTGCGAAACGATTCTTCTCAAGCTCGACTATGACATCTTTGTCTAAATGGACCATCACGCCTCCTACAGGAAACATGACACGGCCGAAAATTTGATGCTGGAGATCCTTGGGTAGCCCGAGCAAGGTTGGAGGCGTTCGAGGTTCCATTCGAAGGTTCTCGCCACGGTCAGCCGCAAATCGTCGAATAGTGTTTTCGCGTGCTCCAGGTTGCAGTACGCCATATGGCCGAGGATCCACGTGCAGGGCATTCGTTCTGTACACGACAAACCCTTCTCCACCACTTCTAGCAACTGCGATATCCGAGATGAACCGACAATGTTTCCTGATACCCAGACTATCTTTATGCAAAGACCAGAGCATCTTCGATAGAGCCATAACGTCGATAGGATGGGGACACGGCATGGAAGGAAACGAGCCGTGGCTGTGCCGCCATAAACGGTCAAGCATGCCCTGTGAATGCACGAAGCTAATATCGAGGTCGTGGTCGTAGCTCCACATAGCCTGCACGAGAGGTCCAAAGCGGAGAAAATGCAGCTCGTCTCCATCCACATATAGGAAGTCAATCCCGGTCTCGCAGCTTGAGGGGCACAGAAGATCTAGATCCAGTGTGACCCGTCTAAGCATGGAAACCTGAGAACCAAGTCCGGTCAGCCACTTCGCCCCCATGGTGAGGTGCATACCCTCTGTATCGTGGGATTGAAATCGGTGCATGAACATCTTGGTGATCGAGAACGTATTGTTCGCGTAGAACACGGACGACGCCTCGGTGTAAATTTGGTGGCAAGTCAGAAAGAAATTGAGTCCGACTTGTGCAACGCCCTCCAGCTCGTACGGCTGCGGATACCCGACGAAATGGTGGCCTGCTCAGGTCAGAGCTATGGTAGCGTATGACTTACAGAATTCGAAGCTGCGAGCGCGGATGAGAGTTTGGTTTCTGTCCCCAACATGCCGATATAGCTGAGGCCGCGCCCCGTCCCACGCGCCTACGACGAGCAGCGGGTCCGGATACTCGTACAACAGGGTGTATACCAAATTTCGAACCTCCGATGATAGGTCGAGGAATGAGAGTGCGTCCTCGTTCGCAGCCTTCGAGGGCCTCGCTGCGCGCACCGCGTCCTCCATGGCGAAAGTGCGCGACGCTCGGTATGATGAGGGTGATATGAGGGTATGAGGGGCCGGGAGTGAGAGAGGACACGAACAAATGTTTGGCTTTCGAAAACACGCGAAAAATAGTGTGCACGTGAGTGCCGTTGCTTTCACTCTTTCGCCGCGCTAATCGCACGAGGCCATCTAAGGTTTGGCGACTCGAAAGCGGCAACACGACTCTGGTTCAGGTCCCACGCTACGTATTTGCTTGTAAACCTTTCGCACCTAGTCGAACTTTGTATCTCCACTGCGGCATAATTCAATTGGAGCGAACAGCAAAGCACGCGCAATTAGAAAGGCTTATGACTCACTGCAAGATTCCTTATGATGAACCAAGACAAGCGCAAAACAGAGGAGCACAAATCACACGATGGCCCTTGCGTAACGTGCTCACTGCGCTATCACGATGATGTCACGCCCCATCTGCAACCGGCGTGGGGCGAATACGTGCTCTGGCTACACAGGCCGCACAGCATCGCCCTCGTCTGAAGTACATTCTCTTTGATTGCTTACACCATAACCTTCTCTTTAGAGACAGCCTACTCTCACATCAAGGAATCATTCCTCGAGGATGGAGACGAACGTCGAACCAGCGGTTACCGTCATGTCTAAGTCCGCAAACCCTAGCGAGATCTCGTTCCTCGACTTGCCACCGGAGGCCTGTAACAGAGTGTATAGTCTGATATTTGAGCATGCCGACCCGCTGCGCATTACCGGCTACGGAGCTCGCCGTCTCTATCGCCATACGGACGACCAAAACAGCACACTAGTGGCGAGCAAATGCCAGCCAAAACTATACTATACCACTCGATGTTCGCATCCACGTCCCTCTCTTCCAAAGATTGCTAACCCAAACCTCCAGCGCGGTGATACATATACGGCAAGAGCGACTTCGAGCCATCTGACCTCATCTACGTCACCCAACAAGGGCTCTCCCTCTTCTTAACTTGCCACCAACTGCATAAGGAGGCAGCTTCGGCTTTCTACTCCAACAATTCTTTCGCAATTACGAAAGAACGTGTTGCTCGTGTTTGTGGTCATGACAACCACGGAGACTTCATCGGAGTAGGGGTGCACCAATGGCTTCGCCGTCTCGGATCCCACGTCCACTTTATTCGAAGGATACTTATCGATATGAACACTATCTGCCCTGCCGACTGCTTTGAGAGTAAGACTGGACTCTGCTCTCGATTTATGAAGGAGGAAGACGGCTGGCTTGACTTTGGGCCTCTGCTGCGAGCGGTCTGGGACTTGGACATGGCGGTCGACATTTCTGTGGTGCAGCCCATGGGAGCGGCTCATGAGGCCGTGGTACGCAAGCATATCCGCGATCGAAACGTAACTTACGAGCCAGTCACCGCCTGCAATGCTGCCTCTCTGACGGATGTAGTTCGATCACTGTGTAAAGACGAGCTGGAACTGAAGAAATATGGTCGGCAAATTAGCACCATAGGATTAGCCAGGGATGGCTCCGGTGGCGTCATCCACTTCGATAAGACGCATTGAAGTGCGCTGGGATGCTATGGCGGGCGTGAACTTCTAGGGGCATGCGGCTGTCGAGGGTCCGTGGCATACTTTTCAGCCCAGGAAGGGGGAAGTAGCCTTCGGATGAAGGAGCGCCAACCTAGCACATTCTAGGCTCTGCTAGCGAGCCTGCGCAGCAGCATCGCCGCAATGGTTGTCTGCCCAGAAGGCGGCGTGCACATTGACCTGGACAAGGACACGAGCTTTCTAGCTATCTGCGGAATGGCCTTCGTCAGCCGAGAAGTCCACCGAACTTGGACGACAATCTTCTTCCGCACCAATATTTTCCACCTCCAGCTCGCGGCAACCGACACACGTTCCTCCTTCTCCGAGTTCCGAGCCATTTCCCGCTTGCTGAGGCCTCGCAATAGGTGGAGGAATGGAGAGCCGTTCCCGGGCTTCCTCCACATCACGCTCACCTTCAACCTCAAAGAGCCGGCTTCCCTCGACGACATCCGCGTCCCCATCGTACCATTGCTACTCGCCGTGCCCGTAGGATACAGTGCCGACCGGCTCCGTTTCGTACTAGCGGACGCAGCCCCGGACCGGAACGAGGATACTACAAGCACCATCGCTTTATGCGACCTCCATCTGAAAGTCTGCGATGCACTTGCAGAGTGCCGGTCGCAGGATGTGCGCTGCAGGAAATCCATTTGTCCTCAGATCTGGATCGACGGACGAGGCCAAATTGTCGAATGCGTTATGCGTGGTGAGCAGAGCGAGGATGACCCCGTCGCAGGAGCCGCTGGCTCTTCGCGTGCACCGGCGTATCCGTGGAATAGGTCGCTTGAGAGTGTGTTCCGATACTTGGCTTGGCAGGCTGGCGGGCCCTTTCCACCTAACTAGGTAGATTGGCTGCAGGAACACGTTAGACCATACGTCAGGGGGCTGGAGCCTATAGAGGAAGCTGGATACGCAACGGGCCTTGATTCGCGTCGTTCCGTTGGCTGTCGAAGGAAGAGGTAGTAACTGCCTCGAGAGTGGATGCCTCTGGAATATCTGCCTTGAGGATGGATTGCCCCTGGCGAATGTATGGTGTTGGGTTTATGCATTGCTCTCTAGTATCAGGCATCAGCCTGAATAGATTTCGTCTGCTTTTATCTCGTTCAATTACAAAGAGTCGAATATCCTAAACTTGAAAGCGACCTAGACCAGGGGTTGACTGAGAGTCCCGCTCGTGGAATCTTCCGCTTAGAATCATGAAATCTTGTTTCTTGTTGCCTAGTTACTAGGTAGGGCGAAGTAGCTCGAATGGTATCTGTACATCCAAGTCATCTCATCCGAAAAAAAAAATCGTGAAGGGAGCCATCCCTCCCTCCCTCCCAAGGCCCCCACACCCATGAAGACCAACCCAAGTCATTATACACAAGAAGTGTAGGGAAAAAAAATCTTCCCTTTCCTACCCCGATACGCCTGCCACCATGGGTCTTATATCTCCGTGCTGTCCTATACCCCTGGACGGAGACTCCTCGCTCACAAAAGCCAACGCCATGCTCATGCCCCGACTCTCTCAAATCAAGCAGGCGGCGTCCTCACGGTTCCCAACTCCGCTGCCTCCGGGGGCGTCCTGACAGTGCTCAGCTCCGCCATCTCAGGCACATGGTGCAGTCCACCGCCGCCACCGGTAGTGTCCAGTTCCTGCGGCACGGGGCCATGCCCCGGTGGTGGCCGGTACGGGATATACCCGCCGCCTTCCGCGCGCACCCCCGCGGCTCCTCCGTCCGGCATCGAGCCCATGGAATTCTGCTGCGCGTGTCCCGGCGCCCACGCCGCCTGGTTCATGCCCGGCGAATACATCGGCGGCGCACTTCCCCAGCTGCTCTGCGGCGTGTGACCCGTCATGCCGTTTCCGCCACCCAGTCCCACAAGATGCGGCGCGTGCGGCGTGGTTCCCGGCACGAATCCGGCTCCCGAATCTAGTTCGGCGCGGCCCTTGATGGTCGATATCGGGCGGCCGGGGCCGACGCCCTGGCCGGCGAGTTCGGGCATGCCGGGACCGTCGGATTCGGATCTGTACTTGGTCGCGCCCCCGTTCTTGTGCAGTTTCGCGCCGCCGGCAAATTCGGGCGAGGCGCTGCCATTGCTGTAGGGATCCGGGGTTTCGGAGTAGGGGTGTGTCTTTTGGTGGCGCCGCTTGCGGAGGAGCCAGATGAGGATGCCGATTAGCGCGAGGGCGAGGGGGATGCCGACGGCGCAGCCGACAATGAGGCCGATGTTGGATTTGGACTTGGACTTGGAGGATGTGGCGGTGGGGCCGGAGCTGGAAGAGGGGACAGGAGCTGGGGTGACGACTGTTTGGATGACGGTGGAGACTCCTGCAGTGCCGGACGCGACGCTCGTTTGGAGCGAGGTTACGGGTGTAGACTCTGCGCTCTTGGACGGTGAGTTGGCTGAGTTTGAGGAGGGTGAGTCGGAGCTTGAAGGTGCTGGTGTAGATGAGGCACCGCCGCCACTACCGCTGCCGGTAGCAAGGCCAGTGATGGACGCAAGGTCTGGGACTGATGATGCTGATGATCCGCCGATAGTCGCATATGCTTGTCCGTCCTGAAGAGCGAAGAATGGTCGTGGCTCTGGGCTCTCCTGGCAGCAATTGACATGGGTGGCGTCGGCATTGCAGCACCATTGGTTATCGTGGCTTGAACATTGGGTGATTGATTCACCGCCGCCAGCGCTCATGTCTATTCGCTGTCAATTGATCTTCTCTCACGCATCGTCATCAAAAAAAAGCGTACCATAAGTGCACATATTCGAAGGACAGCCTGGTGACTTCCAGCTCTTGTCTGTACAGCTATACCTCCCATGGAGATTGTCCGGCTCATAGTAGCAGAGACCATTGTCGAGACATTCCCATTTATCAGGGCAGCAGGCCGACCCTTCTGCCGACGAGCATGGCTTCTCCGAGCCGGCGGCTTCGTCGCCGTTCGGGTAGTCTTTTATCGTCAGTAGCTATTCCCAACTCCGCGACGATAGCAATGGGGAGAACTTACAGCATGTCTGCGCGACCGCCACCTGCTGGAAAGCCAGAGCGATGCCCGCCACGCGCAAACACGTGAAGATTGCCCTGTTCATCGTGCCGGAACCATTGATCGTTTGTAGATGTAGCCTTGACCGCGATCCGCCTCAAGTCCCAAGCTCTTGCGCACAGAAAAGTTTTCGGGTGAGAGCAGCAGATTTCAACGGCAGGATGAGAGTGAAGGAAAGCAGAAGGGGGCAAGAGAGAGAAGCTGCACGATGATGAGCGCACATGTCCAGGTCCCGTCGTCGGCCAACGCTTTCCCGTTTACACTCCGCCCAGTAGCAGCGCTCCCCTCTCACAAGCGACACGACACACAAGTCCAATGGGCCGTCTGGCAGCTCTCCGTATCCCAAATTATCCCAGGTCACAGTGACGCCATTGCACAAGTGCACAGCCCACCCCTGCAACGGTACATCGCTCTTGGCACTCCACGCGAGGCGTCACATCTGCTGCAAGGTCCGACTGCGATCGACTTCTCTTTTCGCCTCTCGAAACCGCGATATGCATTGACAGCCCACTAAAAGAATGCGGAAGTGCGACCTTGAGAAAAGAAAAGGCTGTTGAGAGAACAAACTCACACCTCGTCCGTACAGGCGATACTTGGCGAACCCCCGGCACATATCGATACGAGACCAACATCGAGAAACCGGCTTTCCCGCACCGCAGGGACATTCTTCCCGCCACATTAACAACGCCCTAACATGCAGTTTCCCTTTGCCGTCAGCCTCGCACCCAATCGCCGTCTACCTCGCTTGGCATCCCTCCACGACGCGCTCGCACCGCAGTGGTCCATCTGCCTTATTTAGATCGTCGTATTGGCCACCTTCCTTTCGTGCCTCAGATCGCGAGCCCGAGCGCGTTTGCGGCCGGTAAATCGCTCTCACGTGTTTGTCGCGGACTGCTGGATTAGGTAGGTGAGGACCGAGGGTGACGTTTTGGAGTGGTACACGGAGAGGAACGCGGAGGTTGGAGGGGGACGGCCGGCGGATGATCGTTGGTTTGGCGCAGATTTGTGGGTGTGGCGGTATGTGGCGGTGCGCGGCGATGTGGCGCTCACGGACTAGATGATCGACGGGCGGAGAGATGGCACGATTAGCCGTGAGACAGGAGGGATATCCTTCTTTGAAAATGCATCTCGGTTGGGAACCGAGAATCAGAAAGCACCCGGATGCAAACAAACGGAGGAAGCTGGTTTCTTTTTCTCTTTTCCCGAATTCTTTCCCAAAGAGAAGGAAACGAATCCCGTGCTAAAAGCTTCTCCGTGTTCCACCTTGGTTCAATCTGAGGCAAAGGCAGATCGAGTGAGCATGGCTAATGTGGTGTGGAACCTCTCTGAGTGCCACGCTCCTTGGAGAACGGGACTACCTCGATGCTTTCCGGCAGCCATTTCGAGATAAGCAGAATCATGAGCCTTAGCAGTCAAGCATTCCACATCAGAGCACCACGGCTCAAAAAAAAGCAAGGTGAGTCTGTTCCCAAAGCTTCTTTTTCTACTTCCTATTATTCTCTTCAACGTATGTATCATGTATCGAAATACACAGACCAATTTGAATCCCAGGAGACCAAGACAGGACAACAACGCCCACTTCCCAAGCCCACAGCTCTAGTCGCGTGTCAAACCAAGTCCATCCGCAACAGCTCATTCCCTCTAACACCTCGCCCGCCTCCTCATCTGCAGCGCCCGCATCATCTGCGTCGCATACTCGTCCGGCCCACCACTCCCCATGCCCATCTTGCCGCTGGGCCACTCCTCCGTCTTCGTACTATCCATCTCCGCATGCAGCACGCGGATCTGATGCTTGATCACCTTGAGCAGCAAGTTATCCGCCAGGTGGTCTGGGACGTCGACGCTAGGAATAACCAGCCGTTTATTCTTGCCTGTTTCGGGCTTCGTGGAGTTCGCTTCGCAGGCAGCGGCGGCATCATTGGGATCGGAGGAGAGAACGGGCTTGCCGCACTTGTCGCACTTTGACGCGCACGTGCAGATTTCCGACTCCTTGTCGACGACTTCGGGCGTTGTGGATTCAGTGGCTGTGTCTTCGGGCGCGGAGTCTGCTTCCTCAGCCTCTACGATTTCAAAGTCGTCGCCTTTGGAGCCGCGCACTAGGCTGAGGAGCGCCATGACGAACAGTTCCTTCAGATAGGCGAAGCTGAACCCGTCCGTCAACTGCGCGACAATGCCGCACAGTTCCTCGGGGAACTCAATACTCTGGTTCTTCGCAAGGAGCTTATTGCGCCAGTAGTCTGCGTACAGCGTGCGTTCCTTGTCCCCGGGCAGCTTGAAGTGGTACTTGCGGTCGAAGCGTGAGGGGCGCTTAGCGATAGCCGGGTCGAGCTTGTCAAGATGGTTGGTCGACCCGATCATCAGGATGCCGTCGTTGGATTCAAGGCCATCGACTTCGTTGAGGAAGTAGCTGCGGATGTTGTCGTCGACGAGAGAGTCCAGATCCTCGAAGATAAGTAGGCAAGGGGCGCACTTGCGCGCTTGGAGGAAGATCTGCCGGATGGAGTACTGCTCCGTCTGGCACTTTGTCTCGAACGACTTGACGTAAAGCGAGGAGATTTGGTCAGGGCGCGCGTAGAGCGAGTTGATGAGTGCTTTGATGGAGACGGTTTTGCCGTTGCCGGGCACACCGTGGAGGATAATGCCGCGCTTCCAGGGGACTGCGTACTGCCCGTACAGATCCTTGTTGTCGAAGAAGCCCTGTACATCTTCGATGAGGTTCTTCTTCATCTCGGGGTCCAGGATGACGTCGTCCCAAGAGGAGCCGTCAACAGCCTTCCAGAGCTCTTTGCTCTTCTCCCAGAAGCCGTTGTCGAAGACCCAGATCTCTTCGTGCAGTAGACTGGTCCACTTGCCCGCAGCGAGGACGAGCGCGTCGGTCTCAATGCAGTGACCGTCGATGATGTTGTCTTCGAGGCGGGGATGTAGGATGAAGAACTCGCGAGTTTGGGCCTGGAACACGTCTTGATAGACGACAAAATAGACCAGATATTCGTGGTCTTCCCAGGTGTAGTGGAATCTAAAGTCTTTATCAGACATAGGTTTTCAAATGACTGCAATGGGAAACGAACCTAGCAAACCGGAAGTCATCATCCAGCTTTCCTGGATGCATCTTCTTCTCAATACCATCGCCTACGGTCTTCCACGCCCGCGTGGCATCGAATGACTCTTCTTCCGCGTCGAACTTGAGCGTAGCCTTGCCGGCAGCAGCGTAGTCAAAGAGAGAGGCCGATTGCTCGGCCACTTCAGTGACGTGGAAGTCTGGGTAAGCATGGCGGACAGCATTGAGGACATTGCTCTTGGTCTCGACACGCTTGCCCTGACAATGCTGCTTGAAGTCCTCGAAGACATTTTTGCTGTTGCCTTGGGTGGTGGCGATAACATCTTGAATGGAACCCATGGTAGGCGGGGTTTGATACGTAGTACGGTACTAGATGACGAAGCAATGATGTACGTTTCCGCAACAGTGAGCGAAGATATGATATGAAACTTGAAGCCTGAGGAGAGAAAAGACAGACAACGAAGGCAATCCCTCTCCCTTAAATACTACTTCCCTCGAGCGAGCGGCCTCCAAGAGCCAACAGAGCAGTTCTTGGCCCTAGTTCCCGATCCAGCAAACTTGTACCAAGACCACTCCGTCTTACTGCAAAAATTGTGCGTCCACCCTGGCTAGGCAACAGGACCATCTGACGATCAAGCCCCAACGGTGGGATTCCGCTAAGAAGCGGGGAAACCACCCAATGCCACTGTTGAGAAAACCCTACCTAGATAAGCGCGATGGATGCTGTCGGAGGCTTCTGATAGGTCCAGGTCCAGGTCCAAGCGTAGTCTCCATGCCGCTGCATGGCATCCTTTACAGCATGGCTGTGCGTGCACAGGGCAACCAATGTACCCCGCCACGACTTCGGCTCCGCCCCGAACCCATTGGTTTACAGCAACTGCGCATGAGCGTCGTAAAGGTCTGGAAGCGGAACATAGACGAAGGATACAGGCGAGTCGTAGCAAGGCTGAGTAGAAGGGTGCAGGGCGACCCCTGCCCAGGTTCAGAGCCTTGCCCCACTAAATGCGGGGTGCGGATTGGCTCCTCTAAGACACTAAGCCAAAGCCGGCACTGTGGAGAGCCAGCATAAACGAACTTCAACCACAGCCTTTCTTCAGAAAATTTTCAGATAGACCGTGATAAGCGAGAGAAAGCGCGATGCAGGGCCTCAGCTGTGGGGTCATTTCGCCGACGTGAGCCGGTAGTTGAGCTGTCATGCGCAGCGAAGATATTGAACACGGCTTGATCACACCGGAAACGGATGGTACAATGTTACATCGCGACTGCAGGACGCGAGGGCTGAATTGAAAAGCTGGGGAAAGAACTGAGCCTCAAGTTTCAGTATCGAGCGGCATCCCTCATCTTCCCGCAGCCTACGAGTCTGGCGGGCCATCAGTTGGACTTGGTCCGTCTAGAAGGGTGCATCAGGCTGTGGTCAACATCCATTATCACGCATAATAAGCTAAGCGACCATATGTTGTAGCATGATGGATGCAATTCTTTTATTGATATCTTTTTCGAGGGAGTCACCCTCGCATTTACGCAAAAGGGATCAATCCCTCCATATGCACTCCAACCAGCCCATCATCGTTCCGGCCTCGGCAAAGGAAGCACCAGCTCTACGCCTTGTGTCCCTACCATCCATCCATCCGCCCATGCACATGCAATTGTCGTGATAAATCGTAAGAAGGGGGCAGCTTAGTGTGCCACGGTGCCACCTTGCGTGATGTTCTTGTCGCCTTGGCGCTCCCTGCTCTGTTGTACCTTGTCAGCCCTTTGTCCGTATGGGAGGAGTGCATAAGATGCGGATGAGGAGTAGGGCTTGGAATTGGAGGCTGAGATAGGGTCTAACGTACCTCAGATTCCTGCACCGTGCCGCTCGTCAGGATGGCCTTCACGACCTCATCCTCCTGGTGGGTGCCGAACTCAGAGTCTAGCTGGCCGTTGCTCGCGCCGTCCAATATGCCCTGGGTGCCTTGCCTGCGACCTATTAGCTTTCCATTTCCTAATCTAATCCATGCCCGCAGATACAGCACGCAGCGACCTCAGCTACCGTTGGGAGCTTCAAGGCGGGATGACTCACTTGTGCGTAATGAACACCTTCCAGCCGTTCACCACCTGCGCCAGCGGAATCGACGAGTCCTTCTTCCAGTTCTGGACCGCCTCGACGCTCTCGACGAAGATGACGAAGTCGTCCTCCTTGCCCTTGTAGTGGACCTTTGTCTGACCTGCGTTGCCCTTCATGATTGTTGCGGTAGAGTCGTTGTAGCTTGGAAAGAAAGACTGTCTCTTGCCGTGTGGAAAAGGTGGGTCGAGCAGAGTATAAGTCGTGCGTTGAGTGTGGTGTGATGTGAGGACTGTCGAGCTGCAGGCAGTGGGCTTTTAGCTCGTGTGAGCAGCGTGGTACGTCATTGCGCCAAGCCCTCTCACCCCGCGCCCAAACAGCAGCCCACACATTCACGTTACCCCTGTGAAACACCAAATTGCCAAGTTTCCACTCTCACGCAAAGGCCACATGACGCTATCAGTATGATCGGGATTGTTGCTACTATCCAATATGCGCGTCGGCCTACAGAAATTCTTCTCATCTATGTTGCGCGCCCGATTGGTGACGTCACCCGGCCGCTGACCAGCACCGCAAACGCAACAATCTCAACGTGGCAGCGGGTGTGCCTTGCAGCGCCCCTAATGATCTGCATGTGCCTCTCGCAGCCCGACCGCCATTGAGCACTGATACTCGCATCTAAACTTATCCATATCATGCACCGTCGTGTTCCGCAAGAATGCTCCTAGCGTCGTTGCATCGTGACAAATCCTCCATGACCTCTTCCTTCATCCCTCATTCAAAAGACGCCAAAAGGCAGTGCAATCCAAGCTTCCAAAAGCTTCTTGATCCAATCCAATTACCATCAACCGGGCCTCATACCCAAAAAATTGAAAATCCTGCTCTTGCTCTTCAAGAACTTCTTTGGCGGAGCGTTACCTGAGGATGCATCCCTCTGCAAGCTCCTATTCTTTTCCTTCGCCTCCCTCCTCTGCTTCTCGTTCTCCTGGCCCTTCGCTACGTCGCCAACAACCTCGTTCGAACGCAACATAGTGGAATTAGATGCGGCCGACGTAGTTCTCGCCTCAACACGACTGCTCGAATCCGTCCGGGGTAGGCTGATGATGTGCGAAGAAAGGCGTCGCGTTCGCTTCGGTTTACCAGGCGTACTCTTCTGTGTCTTCTCACTCCAGCGCTCGGTGCCGGCTGCCTTGTTTGCTAGTCGTCGACGACGGCTGGAAGGTCTCGTGTCCTGAAGCTCGAAATCTGCGGGAAGAAATGCGGCTGGGGCGTTGTGGAAGTCGACCACAGCAGGTGCTGGACGACGCTCTGTGGCCGATCGCGCTCGCAAGTTTCCGTGGGAAATCTTGTGCACTCTGCTACCGAAAGAATCTTCGGATTGTGTATTGCTCATGCTAGTGAAGCTGGGAGAACGACGAGAAAAGTTGCTTGCGATGCTGGCCATGCTCAGCTTCCTCATTACCGAGTTGGCGGATGCGCGGATCTGATTTTCCACTCTCCGGTTTCCCATTCCCGGAAAAGGTAAGATGTCTTTCGTCCAAACGTCTTCCAGTGCTGTTTCAAGACGGATTCTTTCAGCCCTTCTTGGAGCCAATGTAGGGACGTGATTTGTAGACATGTGTGATTGCGACCGAGTAACCAAATTCGGCGCAAACGTGGGCGGCGGCTCTGGCGTCTTCTGCGCTTGCGTGTTTTTGATAATGACCTGAGCCATATGCGATTTTGATCCAAGAGTGGCGGCTCGGTGAACAGACATACGCCGTACTAGGCTGTCTGCATGCCCGAAGACAGGCCCGATAGATTTGATGTCCAAGGATAAGGATGAGAACATGTCCTGCATGGTAGACTGTCCTTCCACGAAATCATGAGTCTCACATACAATACGTTGGCGTAGCTGCTTCTTCCAGACTTCTTCTTCTGGAGAGGAGCATGCGCTTAATATGATCTCGTGTAAGCGATGGCCATGTTCAAACACTAACTTCCAAGTGTGTGTCGCAGTGTGGCATTGGAGACCTGGCGAATATCAGTATGATGCAGGCTGGCTTGATGAGGGCAGCCTACCTCGCCCATTATCCGGCTCCTCGATACTGGCATTGGCGAGACTGATGCAGGCAACGGCATTGTATGGTGTGAAGAACCGCGCCGCTGTTGCGAGAACGAGGCATGATTTGTACAGAACACAAACCACGTACTGGCCCTTGACGCGCTCAGGGGTTTGGTAGGCAACGTGCAGCACTCCGCACACAAGGACGTGACCGAGCAGTCGAAAGACGAGAGCGCGGGAAAGAGTCTGATTTATCAGCAGTGTCTGCTGGGGCTGGGAAGAACGCATACCTGCTCCGGAAACACCAAGCGATCCTGGAGCTGCCAGGTGATCTCGATCAAGCGGCGGGTTTTTGGATCGTCTTTTGCTTTATTGACTTCCCGGATGGTCTCTTGCAGTCGAAAAAGTGCCTTCTCTAGCTCGGCATGTGCCTCGGGGTCGTCGTACACGGGCGTCTGACGACAGAGATCGTCGAACAGGAGCGGATACTTGCACACTCTTTGGATTGGCTGAGGCGCACTGTCAGTATACGAGAACACTTATGAAGGGAGAAGTAGGTACCTTGATGAGCAAGTCCGGAAAGCTCAGTGCTTTTCGACTGCTTAACTGTCGATTATTCTCCGAAGCGACCACTTTTGAGAGTGCCTCAACTCCCCGTTCGTACTCTTGCCAGCCATGCAATCCTTTGCACGTCGAAGTAAGGTCCTGAGACATTGTAGTCCAATGCGCACCATACTCTTCGTATGCGAAAAACCGTTTCATCTGGAGATTCATCAGTATCTGCGGCGGCTCTAGATGACCCGGCAGACCTACATGCTTGTTGAAGATGGCGGCAATATCCCCTACGACTTTGGTGTCCGTCACCAAGCCCTGAGGCCGCCTATCCGGCGATCTCCCAATTTCGAGCGAGTGCCTGAGCTTTCGAGTGATTTTGTGTTCTGCGAAACGTCCGGGCATCATGTCTGCACTGTGGAAACGGATATGTTTTGCTTTTGTTACAGGATAGGTCTCTTGTTGTGCACTCTGGGTAAAATCTATCTGAGGGACGGCATGGTGGAGCTCGGCCATCAGATCCTCGTGCAGCTGCAGAATCTGAGAGATATTCTGTTGAATGGATGCTCGGGTCTGGGCTGGTAATGCGGGAACGGCGGTTAGGATCATGAAATAGTCCTTGCAAAGGTCAATGCAAAGCTGCTCATAAGATGATGTAGGGACATGCTTACGTTAATCAAGACTTTCAAGTCCGCAATGTAGCTCTCCTCCGAGGAAATGAGCTCTTCGACAACCTTCCGGCGCTGGAGGGATCTCAACCAAGCGCTTTCGTCGATGATTGGGCCTAAACCTCCTCCATGGCTGTCTGTTGATCTTCGAACCTCTGAGTAGTGACTGCTCCTGTTTCCAAGACGAGCTGGGCCATGGAAACCACCTGCGTCTGAACGCGGAGCAATGCTTGTGCTTGCCACGGTCATCGAAGCCGACTTGATCGCTGTGACGCAGCCCATGGATGAGGATATCGATACCGACATCCTGCGAACCGATTCGGACATGGCGGGAGCAAGTAGCATGGTCGGGCCCCCTTCGGTGGTATCATCTGATAGATGTACCGCCTCTGAGATGTGGTCTTTGCGCCTGTGGATATGTCGACGTCTTAGGGTACTCATCCAGCGCCGGAATGGTTGTGCATTGACGACAACTGCCACTGCTGGAGGGTCAACATCCTCATGTGATTCACTACCAGTGTTATCCGAGAAGCGGCCTTCAGGCAGGGGAATGTGGATTGCGTTGTACAGATCGAAGAATTCGGTATCATCATCGGTATTGCTATCCACGACCATTGGTTCTGGCGAGCTTGGTACGCTGCTTGAGGGCTCGGGCGCCGGTTTGATGCCTGCGGCCTTCCTCGAATGCGGATTGGAAGGTACTGCAACGCGTGAAAACGACGGAGGCGGTCGATTTGGGCCACAGCTCCGCTTTCGTGGTACATCATCGGTGGACCGGGAAAAGGCATCGTGTCCTTCCTTTTCAGGAACGAGATCCAGCAGAGAGACCGAGGTGAGTAGTGGTGGAGTGTTCTCGGTACCGCGGAGCCAGTCTGCAGCTTTGCTCGATCCTAGGGAGTAAACAGAGCACGCTGATGCGTTGCGAGGCGTGATTTCGCGGAGTGCGCCGCAGGGGACATCTTTGAGAGGGGAACAGGAGCGGAGATAAGGATTGTCGCTGAAGGAGCGCTTCAGAGGACTGGGAGGCCGGACGGAGAGCATGTGGGCCATTTTGATGTTGTTCAGCGCTTTAGGCACTACTGCGGAGGGTGAGCATCGGGGCGTGACGGATCATGGGAGATAAATAGTATTCTTGTGCAATGGCGACGGCTTAAGGAAAGACGGGGGAGCTGAAGGAGGGTGGAAGAAGGCCCATGGAGAGATGTGCGTAACAGCTGCCGGAGAAGAAGAAAGCAGGCTTTGAAGGCTCGGAAAGTGCAGAGAGACGACAACGAGCATGTTTGTGAGGTCAATGGGGATGGAGAGCTGTAGGCAAGGGCCGTCGCGCGTCCGAGCACAGGCGCAAGGCACTGAGCTTCGAGACTGCTGAGCTACAAGACGCGTGAAATTCACGGCGGCCAGGAAATTCTGGGAAGCTGCAAGCCAAATGCAAGATGCAGTCGCGCGTCTGATAGCTGTGGCCGCACTACCGGCTCGGCGATCCATTTTGACGTCTGCGACCCAACACAACCGGGGTTTCGAGGGACTCGGATTGTTTCGCCGTAGCGTATTGTCGGGAGACGATCCGGGGTCCTATGTGCGCTCAGCGGCGCTCTGCTTGGTGGAACGCGGAGGGGGAAGTGAGGGGATTCGGGCGAAGCACAGGTGTAGTTACGCGGCCCGCGTGGGTGAAGCTTTCGCGATGGCCTGGGCGGGCGCAGCTAAGGGCGCCCCCTCACCCCCACCCGGGCCATTCGTGCAGCTCCTCGCAGTGCTATCGCCGGTGCCTCCAGATATCGCTCAACCGCAACAACAGCAACCCCGCATCAGCCTTATGGGATTACGCATGGACGACATCCACGCACCGACAGTGGCCGCGGGCCCGACGTCCGCCGGCTACTCCAATGGCGTGCCCAAGGAGCAGCTGTCGCTGCAGGAGCTCATCGCAGAGAAGGACCGCCTGGAGGAGGAGCTCAAAGCTCTGGGGCAGGTTTTGGACTCCGTACGTGTCAATGCTCTCCACTATGCAGGCCGCTGATGCTGATATCTTCTCCGCAGCACGGCGTCAACATGAACACCAGCCTGACCACCTTCGACGGCTTCCCGCGCGCAGACATCGACGTCGCCCAAAGTACGCTTACCTCCGGCGCGCGAAGACTTCATCTGACAGGGCATGGCAGTTCGGACAACGCGGGCGCGGATAGTGCGGCTGAAGAATGACTACAAAGACCTCATGTCGCGCATCGAGAAGGGTCTCCACGAGCACCACGCACGGCTTCAGGAACAAGCCCAGAACAACGCCGCAGCTCCTAGCCAAGCACTGGCAGCTCCCACCTCCGCGTCGACCGCCCTCCAAGCCCCCTTCGCAAAAGTCAACAGCATCGTGGCAGGCAGCCCGGCGGACTCGGCTGGATTGAAGGTTGGCGATAGCATAACTAAGTTTGGCTGGGTGGACTGGACAAACCACGACAAGCTGGCCCGTCTGGCCCAGGTCGTCTCGCAGAACGAAGGGGTGAGTGAGTCTACGACGTACGGCTGGCGCATCTCGAAGATTCGCGAAATCCTCGAGCTGCGCGTCACGCTACCGCTGGGATTGCTAGGCTCCGTGGACGATGCTGACAGGCCATAGCTCCCGATAGCAGTGAAGGTGCTGCGACCGAGTCCCTCAGGCGGTCCGTCGGAACCTGTAGAGGTGCAGCTCACGCCACGGCGGAACTGGGGCGGAAGGGGAATGTTGGGATGCAACCTGCTTCCAGTGTAGTCTATCCGGGCGAAGGTGACAGCGCGGGTTGCTGCGTGGCATGCATGGAATGGCGTTTGTGTTAATGGGCATGATATCCCCGGTGCAAGCTGCATCGTAGAGCAATAAAAGCAATTCGGGCCCTCTCGCGATCAAAAACTGCTTCACGTCCGCGGGTCCTTGCGCCAGCGGCCTTCCTGCCACTGCCTGCCTGCTGTTGCCTGTGCGCTGCGTGCAGCCTCGCTTACGTAAGGTGCCTTGGCTCACCGCCCCCGGCCGACAGCCAACTCACATAGGCATAAAAACATCGCCCTCTGCTTGCCCCACGACACCGCAACCCTCCAGCAGCCCCTCGCTCCCCACTTCCACTACAAAGGTGCCCCCGCCTCCTCTCACGCCCAAATTAATCTAACCTACCCGGCCGCAACTGAGGCTAACGCTCGATATTTTCAGCTTTCCCGTAATCACAACATCACCCATCACCCCGCCACAACAAACCGCAACAATGGCCGAAGCTGCTGCTGCGCCCAATGTGCCCACGTTCAAGCTCGTCCTTGTCGGTGACGGCGGTACTGGCAAGGTAAGTCCGCCCTTTCGGTAGCCCTGCGCTTGTCGGGAGGGCCGCCCCCCGTTTGCCGATAACCATCGCGGTCGTGATCGTGTGCGCGGAACATTGGCTAACCATGTCGCTCTCCAGACCACCTTCGTCAAGCGCCATCTGACGGGCGAGTTCGAGAAGAAGTACATCGCAACTCTCGGTGTCGAGGTGCACCCGCTCGGCTTCACAACCGTACGAATTCCTCCTCGCGCGATAATTGGGACGGCATACTGATAAAGGGCAGAACCTCGGCCAGATCCAGTTCGACGTCTGGGATACGGCCGGCCAGGAGAAGTTCGGTGGCCTCCGCGATGGATACTACATCAACGGCCAGTGCGGTATCATCATGTTCGACGTGACCTCGCGTATCACATACAAGAACGTCCCCAACTGGCACCGTACGTCTCTCCCAATCCTCGCGGCTTATTACTCCTGCTAACAGACTCCAGGCGATTTGGTCCGCGTCTGCGAGAACATCCCCATCGTCCTCTGCGGCAACAAGGTCGACGTCAAGGAGCGCAAGGTGAAGGCCAAGTCCATCACCTTCCATCGAAAGAAGAACCTGCAGTACTACGACATCTCGGCCAAGTCAAACTATAACTTCGAGAAGCCCTTCCTCTGGCTCGCCCGGAAACTCGTCGGTAACCAGACCCTGGTATGTCTCAGCCTACAACGCTCACGTCGAACGACAAGCTAATCAAGTGTACAGGAATTCGTCGCTGCCCCCGCCTTGGCTCCCCCGGAAGTCCAGGTCGACCAGGCCGTGCTCGAGCAGTACCAGAAGGAGATGCAGGACGCCGCCCAGATGCCCCTGCCCGACGAGGAAGACGCCGACTTGTAGATACCGTCATCAGCCTGGCTCGCTCAGCCCACGGGCTGTAGGAGAGTGTAATGGGTAGCACGACACGAACACCGGCAATCTAGCAATCTGAGATAGTGGCATGATTGGCATCACGAGCTAGGACATTTTAGTGGAAAATGGGCATGAGGATGGATGATTGACGGATGGGCGGGGCTTTCTTTCCACCACATGGGGACGCTGGATTAGCTGGCGTTTCCGATGAATAGCTTAGACTGCTCATATGGGCATTTCTTGGTTCTGGCTTGCAATCCGCTATGAGTGATCGTGATATTATGTTATGCGTGCTGGCTTGTGCGCGCAGAAGCTTCTCGGCTCCCTGCACCCAGGTCGTCTGAGAAAAGTTTTTCTGCTACCTGGAATTTGACGTCATTCGATACCCCGCCACCACCCACCATCCAGACCGACCAATGCCACGTAGAGGTATTTCAGGCTTGACTTTTCCACTTTGAGAGGTGTTAATACCGTGCACAGGAGCGAAGGACGTACAAATCACGCTGCCATTTCCTACATCTACAGCTAAATATCACTTTTTCTCTTCGCTCACAGGGAGAGAGAAAGAGAGAGAAAGATCCCACCATCATCAAATCATTGCCCCACCCATTTACTTGCTATTCCCAATTCCGCTCGCTGCATCCCGATTAGATTCCAAGCACACACAACATCGATCGCTTGCTTGCTTGCTTGCTTGCTATTAGACAACATAGAAATCAGGCAGAAGGAAAGAAACAGGATATCTTAGAACGCCAGCAGACAGTGATTGGGGGGGGAAGGAGAAATACTGAAGGAGAGGATATACCAAGTATTATACAGTGACGGAAGAGAAGAAAAGGAGTGAAGGGAAGAAACGAGACGAGAGGATCGGTCGTTAGGTATCGTAGTGGTATTTGGGAAGTTTGGAGTAGATAGGAAAGCATAGGAAGCCGCCCGAACATATGAGAGAAGAATGCAAGGAAATGGTGGGTAGTCTCATGACTTGAGCATACTAGTGAGCATCGTTAGTGTGTTGTAGCGTGCAGAGGGGTGATAGGTACTCACGGAGTCAAGAGCGAGCTGTAGTTTTCCAACGGCTCGCTTCCGCCGTCTTCAATAACGCCACGTATCATGTCGTCTTGTGCGATGTTGTTCCACAGGTGGATGCTCATTGCCTTCTTGCTGTTGAAGAGTGTATGTGCCACGCCGCGGACTTGGCCTAGCACCACGTTCGCGATGCCCCACGTGCTCGAGTACTGCTGCAGGGTTCCAACGTCCAGCCTAATAGATTGCTTGATAACGTCGTCCTGGCCATCCGGAACGAGGAACGACCAATACGAGAGGTGGACGACTGACGCCATGACGACAACGCAGGTGAAGAAGGGCGTGTGGTGCATCAGCTTGCCGGGCAGCTTAATCAAGCTCGAGATATTCTCCGCAGACGTAAGACACTTAGCCGTATGAATCTCTCTCGTCTGCGTCGGCAACAGCACCTGACCAGGCTGTACACAAATATTCACATTCTCGACCCTGCCAAAGCCCAGATTCGATCGCGGTCGGTGCAGCATAATGGTGCTCCCTGCGTTCACCATGTGCGCCTGGAACAGCACCTCGTCGATCTGGCCGTCGTTGTTGACTATCTCGAGCTTTTGGGCGGGCAGGTGCAGACGCCAGTTGACGAGGTAGGAATCTACGACGTCGACAGCATGGTACTCAAAGGTGCTGTCTAGACGCGCGACTTCGAAGACTTTGCCTAGGATGCGAATGGCGTCGATCAGGTAGGTGAAGGAGGAGAAGATGATTTCTTCGGGGGCGAAGGCGGATTCGTCGTAGTCCTGGAGGGTGCGAGGGTAGGGTATTTGCTAGGTGAATGTCAGCGAATGATGTTCTGAATTCAACGGTGACACGAAACGGGGGCCTCAGTTGTGGTAGGCATGGTAGGAGGGGTAGGAGATGATGTAAGACGAAACGAACGAGAAGAGAAATGATGCCAAGGGACCGGAGATTCGGCATCGATCTGCAAATTACACGTACCCCTGAGAAATACTCGTCATCCTCGCATGGCAGCGGGACGTCTGTCATGATGTCCTTGAGACGGAACTGTACGCCGGGATTGACAGCTGCCATCATGCCGTTGACAGTGTACATGGACCACCAGGTCCGTCTCCAGCTCTCTTCCAGGACGCGGTCGTTGTTTCCGTTTAGAATGGCATAATCAATACGATTTATGCCAAGCTCGAGCGTCAAAGCCTGAGCTATACCGAATATTTGGCCTGCTCGTGGAACGTCATTGTTTGCGTGAAGACCAATGGCGAAGAGCATCAGAGCCTGCACCGAGAAGCCGTCTTTCGGATAGCTTCCGCTGTTGACAGTCCGGTTCAACGCTTCTTTGTACATTTCCGTCGGGATCTCCGGAATGTAGCTTGATCCAATATACTGGATGGCATATTCAAGTAGGGGTGCTTTTCTTTCCTTGAAGAGCGCTAGTAGCCTAGCTTGGGGTAGACAGAACGGATGCGAGTTGTAGAAGTAATGATAGAAGGCCTGAATAGCTGTGGGTGGTCCGGCGTGCCCAAACTGGTTGACTCTTTGGGTTCCATTGAGGTTGAGCTGGGCGGGAGGCCCTGCAGATGCGACAAGGCCTAGACTGTTGGCGGCAGTGCTCAGCTGATTTGCAACGGCAGGGTCTGTGCTGTACGCATATTCTGGCGATGGGATTCCACTGCTGGTAGAAGGCAAAGCAGAATTTATCAGTGAGCTCTGAAGCAGGCCGTTGCTGTCTGTAAGGGATGTTAGAGCACAAGCCTGGAGAAGGCTGCGGCAACAACGAACCTGGCAGTGTCACGGTAGGGGCACCGTTTTCACCCGGCTTCTTCCTCTTTCCTTTCCATCCACGGCGTGACTTGATGTAGGTGCACTCGACGCCGTCGGCCCTGCATCTGGAGCATCGCACGCCCCCGTCGCACTTCAGATGTCTGCTACGACACGGGACGCAAGCGACTGCGACCGATGTCCTGGTCTGGCTCGCGTTTTGGCTATTCTGCGCACTCTGGCCGGTTTTTCCACTGTCGGACCTGGGAGTCTGCGCTGGCGGAGTGACGCTGTGCACGCTGTCTTGCGTCGTAGAGCTGGCGCCGGGCGAGAGTTGTAGGGCCAGTGGTGACGAGTCGGATAAGTCCTGGGTCCAGAATGCGGGATCTACGGCAGCCGACACAGGAATATTCGACGCGGGACGCGCCTGCGACGCCATGGCGAACGGCGTTGTTGGGGGTGCACTGTGATGCGCTCTATTTCGCGAGGCCTACAGCGGGTCCACGGCATGCGTTCTCGGTGTGGGAGGTGATGTCGAGGCCAGCGGCGCAGATAGAAGAGGAAGTCGCACGCCAGATGGTCACGTGAACGAGATTAGCGCGGCGATCTAGGCCGAATGGCGGCTCGCGTAGCGCCCAGACGAGAACTCTGCGGCTGCAAACATCATTCCTTGCTTTTGGCCGACGCATCTCAACGCTTCTCCTTTGTTGCACCGCGTACTACCTGGCCAAGTCTGTTCCAGCCATGCCATTCTACGCCGCTTCTTCGCCAGCCATGGTACTTTCGGCTCGCGCTTCAGCAGCCCCGCAATGGCGGGGTTTGCCGCCTCGTATTGTCCTGGAACGAGAATGTCACTGTACCTGTGTATCGCCCGACGTCCCCCGGCGTCCCTTTATCAAAGGCAGCCCGCAGCCCTCGCTCCAATCACGCCGGGCCCCTTTTCTAGCTCGCTGCTCGATCGGTGGCGCTCGGTCCAGGGCTACCGAATACGAAGCGGAAGCCTGCAGCTCCACGTCACATGGCTTCAGTGGATCCTCACGTTTTTAGGACTGCTATCTGATGTACGACAAGCCTCGCTGGGCTGCGGATTATCTGCTGCCTCGGTCGAGACTCCTACGCTTAGAGCTTGCACCCTTTCCGAGCACCCGGGGCCCTCCCCACACGCTAACCGCCTTCGAGCACTACGGATTTGATTATGGGAGGCTATCAAGAGATATGCTTAATTACGACCAGAGCGGCCTTGGTATCCCACTGAAGATAAGGAATCTATAAGAGCATGCAGATGCCGCCTGTGCAGAAAAAGAATGTCGGACGCCAATACGCCATGCAAGAGCCGTTAGAATCGGTACTATACAATGATTCCGAAACGCGGGTATCTTTCGCTAACCTATGTTTTTGGGCCCGCCATCCTCCTGTTAGCACTGCATCGTGTCAGAAGCTTGCGGACACCGGCCCTTGGTAAAGTTCCAAACGTCAACCGAGCAGTCCCTGAGGGACTTCTGTGCCTTCCACTCCAGCTCAGTTTCTGCTCTGCGGACCTCAGCCACGCAGAAGCCGACGTCGCCCGCTCGCCGGCCCACCTCTCTAACAGGTATCGTACGGCGCGACGTTTCCTCGAGGCTCTGCAGCACTTCGCGGACTGTATGTCCTCTTCCCGTTCCTAGTCTCTGTTAGACACTGTTGCCTACGGACGCACGATGCTGAGCAATGGAGGACGCACCGAGATTGTAAGCCCGGAAAGGGGCTTTGATACGGCCGGCTGCTGAAGCCGCCAGAGCGGCGATATGTCCCCGGGCTAGATCAACGACATGGATGAAGTCTCGAACGGCCGTTCCATCCGGAGTACTCCAGTCGGTACCGAAGATGTCCAGGACGGGCTTAGTGCCGGTCAAAACTGTGGCAATCACGGGGATCAGGTTGCTTGGTTTCTGCCGAGGATCTTCGCCAAGCATCCCAGACTCGTGGCACCCAACCTAATTCATCCTGGTCAGTCACCCATGCGACCTCATACAAACGATGGACATACCGGATTGAAATATCTCAAGGCCGTAATGGACCAAGATGGGTCTGACCGCGCAATGTCGGCGAGAATGGATTCGCACATATACTTCGAGCGACCGTAGGGCGAGGTGAGACCCAAGACGCCGGGGACGACGTGGCGTTCGAGCCCGTCGTCGTCGTGGAAGGACTCGTGGTGATGTACGCAGAGTTCTTCGCGCAGAGGGACGCCACAGTTCGCGCCTTCGCCATAGACTGTAGCCGAGGAAGAGAAGACGAAGTTCTTGATACCGAAGTCTTCGAGCAGGCCGAGGAAATCCACCAGCCCGCAGACGTTGTTGCTGTAGTACTTTAGTGGCATGCGGATGCTCTCTTCCACGGACTTGTAGGCAGCGAAGTGGATCACTCCCGATATCCTGGACTGCCGCCTCAACACCGGTTCGTGTTCGTCCGCGGGCGCCATGTCGATGCCGGAATCGGTGCGTTGGAGAGCAGAAAATGGAAAGCGCGAGGGGATGGCTTTCACGACGTCTTCCATCGGTGTAGAGATGACATTGTTCGTGTCGAGCGAGTATGACGAATAACTGGCGAGGACCGACCGCATGCAGGGGCTCCGGTAATCAAGCTGCTGGAAATGTAAGGCGGGCATAGACCTGTCCTGCGCTGCGAAGTGCTCTGCCGCCAGAGCCTTTATCCGATGTAGAACGCTCTCATACGAGTTGCTCAAATCGTCGATGATGAGGACGTTGTAGTTCTCTTTGAGCAACTCAAGAACGGTGTGCGATCCGATATAACCAAGGCCTCCCACCACCATAATGAATGGCGAACTCGGTCCCCCAATGTCGAGAGGGTCCGCGCCGACATCGTCGTCGAAAAGCACCGATCTTTGGGTGCCTGGAGTGTTGACAGCGTCCCGCTCATCCGAGGCAGACAACGAAAATGTGGAGGGGGATGAAGATCCGGTCTCCGAGATCGTGAAATCTTCCATGGCGACACTGGGTGGAGGGAGGTAAAACGATTGAAACTCAGCCCGACCGTCTCAATGTGATCCAGATCGGTATGTGGAAATCGCTTATATATGTCCAAGCGTTGGTGAGCTCACAAAGTATGATCCGAATTAGGCAGAAGAAATTCGATGCAAGTTTTTCCCAGTACCGCTCAATATCGTTTATGCTGGGCCGTCCTTGGCATGCTCCGGCGTTTTCATCCCGAACTATTCTGGTTGGAAACTGGGACCTTCGGTCTAGCACTCTCGAATATAGTCCATATTCGGTTATAATCCCTGCACAATTTGTATGGCCTCACATCTCGACTACGTACCCATATGGCGCGCAATGCCGCGCGGTCTCCAGAGCCTTCTATTGTTTTTATGAGCTGCAAGCTGACCCTTCTGCAGTGATGGTGCTTCTCCGCCGCCTGAAACCCGGATTTGGCTCCTTGTCCATTGCCGCCCAATTTTCGTCCTCAGTCTTCCGCAGCACGCAGAGTCCACCAACCATACTTCGCCCATCTTTGTTAGACGTGCGCCGCTCTGATCCTGCTGAGCAATCGGAACACATCGGGCAGTCTGCGCGTCCAGAGTCATGGACGCGTCTGTGATCGTCCCGCTCTATGTCTACCCCTCTGCCGGAGCATGGAGTCCAGTCTTCGAGATGTAGGAATACCCTTTTTGGTGGGCCATATGTTACGGTGGTTAACATCTGATCGTTGCAGGGCTTCATCATACCCGCGAGTGCATTTCACGGCAATCGTCAACCCCAACAGCGGCCCCGGCGAAGGCGCGCTGCCGAACGAGGATTACACGCAAGCCATTCAAACATTAAACTCGTTTGCCAATGTTCGCACCGTCGGTTATGTGGCTACCACGTGGTGCATGAAGAACGTGAGCTCGGTACTGGACGAGATCGCAGTGTACTCAGGATGGGGTGCATACGACTCCTCATTGGCTATGAGCGGGATTTTTTTCGATGAGACTCCCACGCATTACACTCCCGAGTACGTTTCATATCTGCAAACCATATCGCAAGCCGTCCGCGACGGCCACGGGTTAAAGGGATCCTACGTTGGTAAGAGAGAGTCCTTCATTTCGGCATTCCGTGTTTTGGATGCCTCCCTCCACGCCCGAAGTCGGTGCGCCCGATCTAAGGGTCCCCTCACTATATCGCCATAATTTCTCTAAAATAGCGAGTTTTTGTTGCCCACATTCCAAAAAATGGGGCACAACGACTCGGCAGTTGCGAGCGTCAAGGCTGACAGTGTGCCCAGTTCTCAATCCAGGCGCGCTGCCTGAGGCGCAGTATTTCAGCGATCCAAATTTCGTCGAACCCGCTGACCTTACCGTCATCTTCGAGGATACTTTCGCAAACTGGTCGGCTAGCGCAGATGCGCTCATCCAAGCAACACAATCATATGATCATGAAAGGCTCGCATTAATGCTCCATTCGGTGCCAGTCCTGAGCGACAGCGACACAGAGACAGCTCTGCTAGACCTCCTCGCGATCGGACATAGCATATGGCTTACCGGGACAACGAATTATACCGCATTCGACTCACATTCCTCCGCTTTTGTTGACTGTTTGGATGGATTACTGAGCTAGCACTATTACCAATAAGAGTTACCTTCGTCTTACACACGCCATGTCGGACATGAATATAAGCTGCATAGAAAATTCGGCTCAGCAGCATTTCCACCGTGGAGTGACCCGGGTCAGGCCACAGCTGGAGCGCAGAGAGCGACGATATTGCTATGGTGCGCATCTTGCTGGATACAACCGAACGTCATGTTCCTGACAATCACCTTTGACCGACATCGCGGACCCGTGACGAATACGGCAGACCACTGCTGCCGCGAGGCTGGAAAGATCTCAACAGTTGGGCACCTTCACATCTGGCGGTCCAGCTGGCGGGATCGTGGCTGGATGATGCGAGACGGGGTTCGGATGCTGCGAGAAAAGAGTAAGGATATTCGCGTAAGGTGACTGGAGCATGCTCGTGGCTTCGACTATGCGGACCGTGAGCCCGCCGGAAGAATCTGCAGTTGCTCAGCCCAGGAACAGGCACGGCCAGCGAATAGGAGCAAGCGATCACAAAACAAGCAACGATCTTCATCGACCCTGTCTCTGCCCCACGAAACGCGAAGAGGCTTTGGCGTCCAGATCACGGCGGGGTTCTCTCGCTGCTTTTGTGCGGAGTGGTCCGGGATGGAGCGACCCCTGCCCCTTTCCCTGCACTTTCGCGCGCTAAATTCGCGTGATCACTCTATTTCAACCCTACCTCTTCATCTCTCTGCGTCGACACTACAGCAACGGCCCCTTCACCGGCTTCAACTAGCCCCGACCTCCATATTTCTCACGCGCCATGCAATACAGATTCAATATCCCCCCCGCAATTGACCCAAGGTTCGGACGCCGGCGACTCGTTCTGTTGACGTGGCGTTCACTGCCGGCGGCTCTGCACGAACTTTAGAGGGCTGCAGAGGACAATGACTCTTCTTACTACTTCAGATCGAGATCGATCGATGCGCTTCGGTACTTCTCTACGCGACACGCTCTGGGTTTGCTGGGGTCATGCGCTTCTTTCGAGCTCTTCTGTCGCTGCTTCAGCGGTGCAGACATACCCGTCGCTGGGACCAATGCTCCAGCACTCCGGGGATGATATACCCTGGTCATCCGCCCCGTTGGATCGTCAGCCGCACGTCGTTCAATGAGATGCGCTGTTGCGTAACACAGCACTTTACCTGCAGCGCCGCCCATCAAAGTTCACCAGTGCCCTGGCCCACACGGCGCGTGGCGTGAGGGTAAAATAACGAAAGTCGCGATTTTCGAACTTCTAGATGCGTCACGAATACGGCAATCCGCTGTGAGGCGCTTCTGCGTCTTGCCACGATAATACACGGGGCCCAGGGAGTGCGCTCCCTTTCCAGCGTCAACAGGTTTTCCGTTGCCTCCGACTTCCAAGCACAACCTAGTGCTCCTTAATGGTTTGCCTGAACTGGAACCGCCCTGCCCGCCAATGACTGCAAGAAGCTTGAACAGGTGCCGCAGCTTCAGGCTCTACTCTCACCATGATCGAGTTGAGCGAATATCAGATTTTTCCGCCACCCGCTAGGAAAACCCTGCTCCCATCTGAACCGCCAAACTGAGTTTCGGCACCCCGGACGTACAACTCAACTCTCAGCATTCTGGTCTGGAATGCTTCCATCTCAATTACAAGGCTACGGATCTCGCTTGCTCTCTGTGCGACTGAGGCCTAGAAGAGCAAGAGAGCAAGAAGTACCTCTTCCAATACCCGACTTCAGCAACCGTTCGTCAGCCACGGACTTTATTGAAGAGCATACACGAGGCTCACATACGTACTGCAGGCTTGGCGAAGCCAGTCATGTCACCGCTGGCGATGGGGAACATATGCAGTGCGGTACCGGAGTTCGTATGCATAGGTGCAGCTGCAGCCGCGGAGTCCGCAAATTGGGCCGCAACTGCCTCAGAGCCTTCAGCCTTGCATCCTTCACACTTGTTGGTCTCCGACCTTGCGGGTCACTGAGAAACACAGCTGTGAACAAGTTTCGCGAAACCCCTCATGCCAGTATCATTCAGAATGCGATCAACTAGTCGGCTCTTCCAAAGGTAGCAGGGGCACACCGCTCCCGTAGGCACATGAAGCGCCGAACTGTAAGTTTCGCTTGCTTTGGCAACGTTCCAGAACAACTCGTATACGCCGAAAAAGGAGCAAGGCGCGAGCACTCGTACCAGGTGCCTTCGTTCTTCCGTCCTGGTCCTCGACTGGTCGGAGAATAGGGTAAATGCGCAGAAACGCCTCGCATCGTCCCGATTTTGCGAACGCCTTTCGCATTCAAGTCATTTCGTTCTCGAGCATGGTTTCAATCGTTCGTCGGCTTCGGGTGGGTCCGCATACTTCCATAAGCGACGCCAACGCCGAAGATCGTGGTCTGATGCTCTAACGGAAGACATCAGCGCGAGAGGAGCCGGTCCGTTTCCAATCCGGAAGGCACAGCCTGCCAACACACCGCTTGGAAGAAGACTTTCTCGTGCTACCTCTGACCTACTCAAACGGACAACATATTGAATTGGGGACGCGTACACCCTACTCTTCAAATCTGGTACAGAAGCAATTGCGGCTCTTGCTTCGGTATAACTTTCGTCCAATGCAGCGAGGTCCCTGTAGCGATCTCCACATCAAGATCTCGTAGGATTTTCCCGCATTCAACCGTTCGCGGATCCGCGGCCTTTTACACTAGCAGGCCCCATCGGCAGAGCAGTTCGAATATGCCTCGAAGGGATTCCCATGTTCGGTTCAAACCTCCGCAGCCGGCGCTAATACTTCGCCTCAAAGGCACCTGCTAACATTGTCAACCAGGCGTTGCATCTCAACAGACTGGTTCGGTAGCCGTACCTTCCCCGGACTCGCTTGGCCGGTTGTTCTTGAGGGCGTGCCGATATGAAGTTTCAGTTAAGAGAAGGGATCAGCGCGAGCCACACCAAGACACTGCCACGGGCCTGCGGATGCGCGGAAGTTGGGCATCGGCACAGCGGCTTCCGCCATCTAACAGGGCGTAGAATGACGTCTTTTAGCACGATCAGACTTGGTTGATCAGCAAGCCACCGATCTCATCGATCCATGATTTTGGAAGGGTCTTCATTATTGACTCGTACGGCCGCAGTCCCTCCAGGACCCTGATCTGCAATCCAACAGCCGCCTTGAAATTCTTGAAATCCTTATTTCCATGCTAACCGCCGCTCCCAGTGCACTGCCCTACCAAACGATTGACTTAAGCCTTCTTTGCCTGTTTGCTTAATTGCGCTGACGAAGCTTCCTGGAATGCTTCCTCATGCACCCCACAACACACGCACCCCGCAGTTTCCAGAGAAGGAACAGGCCTCGGTACAAACTCCTCGGCAGAAGTCGAAGGGCAATGCCACATGGTCTGGATCTGTCCGAGACGACGTTCCTGCGTAGAGCGATGGGGAACCAGGCGTCTTCATCTATGTTAGATGAGCGCTTACGTCAGGCGCACCACGCGTGACTTCGGTACCTGCGCGAGTATGCATGCGCGAGAATTTTTTTCTCCCGGGACGTCTGGACGAGGAAACGGCAAAGGCCGTTGGACGTATTTTGCGCATTTTGCGTACTCGTTTTCTTCCGAACTTTTGCTCCCTCCACTAACTCGAACTCGTCTGATTAACCGCCGTAGTCTCCACCCGCTGATCGCAATACTCAACCCATCCATCCAGATCCATCGTCTTCAGCACGGTGCTAAACCCATCACTCCCTGTCCCATCGCCCTTGTGTCCGCAATACTTCTCCACCTCGTCCGCTTTCAGCTCCCCATTGCCCGCGCCGTCCGGATACTCGATGTGGAAGACGGGCTTTCCGGCGTCGACGAAGGCGTGGAAAGTTGTGCACTCGCCGTACTCGACGCACTGCTCGTTGACGGACCAGTGCATGATGGGGAGCACTTGCGGAATGATATCGCCGGCGTTTTTGAGGCCCATGGTGAGATTGGACGGGACTGTGAGGGATGAGAGGTAGGACAAGAAGGAGACGGAGTCGGCGGCTGTAAGGTCGAGGCCGTTGTCGTTTTGCTGTTGCCTCGTGTCAGCGCTCATTCCCTCTGCTATTTTCTTTTATAGAGTTCATAATGACTAGTATAGGTCAAGATTCGGAATAGCGCACAAAATATACTCACATATCCATCAACGTTATCCGGATCCACGCCATCACACCCCTTCTCGCTCGCCAGTTCCACCCTCCCTTTCATAATCCTCCGTACATTCTCACTACTCAGCTTCAACCACTTCTCCCCCGGCCATCCATCTAGCTCCTTCCCTAAATCCGCCTCTTCAAACTCCCCGGAATCCGGGCGTCCCGGCTCGTAGCTTCCCCCGCTGAAATAACAAATCACCTTTTTGCCCAGCCGGTGCAGCGTGTCGATCGTCTCCCTCGGCGTGTCAAACAAATCAATGTCGTAGATGGCTACGTCCGGCGTTACTCGCGTCGCATTCTCCTCCAGGATGATGTTGTTCTGCAGCACGATCTGCCAGGTGTCGTTTACCTTGGGCGTCCATGCCAGCGTCCCCGTGGGTGTGGGCAGGGGCGTGCCTGAAGAGGTTGGTTCTGAGCCTCCTTCGTTGCCGCCGCCATTGTCCTTTCCAACCGTCAGGCCCAAGCCTAGTCCCAAGGCGAGGCCGAGGATGAGGACGGCGAGGACGGCGCCGAGGAGGAGCCTGCGGCGCAGAGACCATGGGGTGCGGGTGCTGGTGGGCTTTTCGGGCATTATGTACTCCTGCTCCAGCAGGTGAGGTGAAGCGAAGCAAGCAAGCGGAAGCGTCGGAATGGGAGAGCGCGCTGGCAACAGCGGAAGGGTATCTAGAAAGGGCAACGAGGGACGCCGAGCGAAGCGCTGTCTTTCGCTACAGAAGAAACGTGCTTATAACGCCGTTGAAGTAAAGCGCCAAGAGTGCCGTTTTCCGTTCCGTCGCGTCTTGATCGACGTGGACCGCACCAGCTGCTTATGAGCTCATGAGCGTTGAGACGCGGTGAGGGCGCAGTTAGACTAAAGGGGCGGTGCGACGTGCCGCCTACTTTCCGGAAGGAGAGCGATCGCGCGCGGCGTGGAGCGCGGAATTGTGTCGTTTGGGAAAGCTTGGAGTGCGGATGGGGGAGGATCGGGTAGGCTTTCCGCTGTGAGTTAATATGTGGATTGTGGGTAGCGTTTTGGGTAGGGAGGGATTGGATGGATGGGGAATGGCGGGGACGAGGTATATGGAGTGTGGCGCGGTGCGGTGTGTTGCGTTGGGGCTGGGGGTATTGTATTGGCCTTGAACGGGATGAATGGATTGGGGAGTGCAATGTGCAACAGCTGTAGGTAGGCAGCGCACACACGGCTCGCAAGGTTCGTGAGCGACGTTCGTTCGCTGTAGAGGAAGAAAATCTCACACGGAAAGAAAAAAAATTCCCCCAGGAGATGGAACCAACACCCGCCAAAGTCCGCGAATAAATGAAAAAAAAAGTTCCCCGCGCACCTTACCCCTGCCTGCGGTCCAGAATCTCACCCCATATATTGCGGCTGTTAATAAGCCCTCGTCGTGGCTGTGCCCGCAGTACTCAAATATATGCAACTCCATCCTTCGTGGCTCAGCCACACCCACCAGCGGAGCTCCTTCAGCGATGCATGGCCTCCGCAAGAGGTCGGAATAAGCTTTTAGAGGTGAGAAAGTACGTGTGAAGAAGCACGCAGATACGGACGATCAAGGCCAACGTGTGGGTTTTGCGGATAAAAGTCGGGTCCGGGCCGAGAAGCGGGTGATGTGAAGAGGCTAGCTGGAAAGGGGATAGTGGGAGCGGAGGAGATGGGATTGGCTGAGGATAGAGGTTTTGGGTTTTGGGTGTGGGTTTGCGGAGGATAGAGGGAGGGTGAGTACCTTGATGGACGCTCGTGATTGAGATCTTGGGGCGTGCTTTTCGAGTGGTTGCGGTTGCGTAGCAGCTGATCTGGCCCTATATAGCTTTCAGCCTGCGATGCTACGGGACTTATAGAGCTAGGTATGAAACGAGCGATGGTGACGCGCGGTGCTACGATATCCGTATCGACGGCCGTTCGGGAGAAGTATGAGTTCTGAGGTTAGAGCGTGCAATTGCTCGCCACACGCCGAGACACAGACATCTACCGACGAAGAAGCTTCGGAGCCAAGATACCGAGCGGTCTCTAGACAATATGCAGATACTACTCACAAACTATATACACTGAAGAAAAGTGTAACAAAAGTCCCCAAAGACGAACCCTTCAAGCAAAATGCAAAACGCGATGCAACTGTAACCGTAACGCAGAAACCCCAAATCCGAATGTCTTTTAAATTACAAATTTGGGCGTTGAAGAAACCGCCTGCCCTTTTGATATGTAATGCAACGTCGCGCTATTGGGTATCACTACCTCATTGCATGCTCTCTGTATAGTGAATACTTCTGTTTGATCTTAATATACACAAATGCTGTGCTCTGCATCTATAGAGGAATGCCTTTTCCGGAAAACTTGTAGGTCCGGGACGCGCCGCTCATGGTCACCCAGAGCGTAAGCGGGTCCGTGCCAAGCTGCTCCTTGGTCGCGCCTGTGGTGGAAGTGGGCGTGACCGGGACGGTGACGGGGATCGTGGTGCCGCACTTGTTGCCTCCAGCTGTGTAGACGGAGAAGCTTTCGATGTAGTTGCCGTCAGAAGAGGTTTGCCATGTCAGGCTCGGCCTGCACAGATCACGGGTTTGGCGGTTGAGGAATTGTTGAGCGAGATCGTCGTGCTTGAGGGTCTTGAATGCCCAGGTTGTGCTACGTGGTTATTAGATTGAGATGAAGGAGGGAAATTGGGGGGGAGGGGGGACATACAGGCGCATCATCTCAGCAGTCACAACCTCGACCCAGGTCATGAGGAGTGAGTATTGGCCTCGCTTGCCGTTCACCGTTGTGGTCGGGACATCGCTGACCCTCAAGTTGGCTTGGTGGAACATGTACCTGAAATATCAGTCAGTGCATGAAGTTAGAACCTAGGGGGGTGACTCACGGATCCCAGTGCAGACCCATCAAGTTTCGGATAGCCGTGTCTCTAGCATTCGTAAGGAGATCGTCAAATGTACCCTTCCCGCCTGAGGTGTCGATCCATTCCTGCAGAGTGCAAGCTGGGAGATCGCAGTTGTAGTAGATGACTGAGGCCCACCGCGGCATGACGTTTACTCCAGCATAACCGTTACGCTCGACGGTGGTGTTGAGCGGCCAGAACTTGTTCACTGTGTTAAGAAGAAGGGGTCTCGTGTTGTCGCCAACGACATTCTTGATTCCGTTGTCCAGCCAGGCCTTGAGAGCGTCCGCGTTATGGAGACCTGTGATCGCGGGAGGGATGATACCGTTGGGGCTAAAGCGTTTAGCGTTGGAAAGACCCACTTGCTTAAGCCAGGCTTGGTTCCAAGAAATTTCCTTTGAGGTGTCAGAGTATGTGGCATTGGTCAAATCTTCATGTGTACTACGAATTATTAGATTGAGCTTTCACCAAGTCGTGAAAACTTACAATGTGTGAGAGATGTGTGCAAAGGCGTCTCGGTTTGTTTCGTCCGCGAACCAGTTCTGCAATTCGTCGATCTCAGCGCACTCAAGGCTCCACGTATACTCGGTGGGAGTGGTGGGCCAGATATCCTTCCCAGTCCCTGGAGGCTTGGTGTAGTCTGGAGGCCCGTCGATCTGGTCCGGGTATTCGATACCTGTGTCGGGGTTGCAGATTGTAGCGCCTTCAGTGGTGTCGGTGGAAGCCTCGATGTCTCCATTGCCGTTGTGGCCAACTTCAATGAAGTATTCTGAACCCTTCGGCATCTTCGCGTTGAGCGTAGCCTGCCAGGTTACATGTACATCAAGATCGTCAGGCTTGAGGCGGAATGACTGTCCTTGCGGCCGGTAGAGCGGCGTCTCAAGGAACATATCGTCCACCTGAGTGCTGAAGTAGGTCCTTCGGAACCCGACATAGAGGCCTCTTGTGACCCAGTTGATCCACGCATGTTGTAGGTAGTTCGACGATGGAGCCCAGTCGAGAGCAAATGGAAGGAACCATACCATCTGCTGGCGAGAGCCGATCTGGTTAATGACGGCAGCGGTACCAGAGCCCTGGAACTTCGCGATCTCCCAGGCGATTGAGGAATTGGTGATAGTTGCGGGGTTGTGGAAGATGTTCACGATGGTCACATTTGCATTCCTGCCAAGTCTGTTAGTCATCGTGTGCAGATGGAAAGATTAAGTGCATCGGAAATCGACAGGGTTTCGCAGCCGATCTACAAAAATTTATGAGGGGTAAAGGCTCGGTGGCAACTTACATCTTCAGGCCAGCGGTCTGGAATCCAGTAACGTTGGTGAAGACGACAGGCTCGTCCTTGACATTGCCGCCCTTGCTTGTAACACCGAAGTCGCTCGTTGGGAACACGTCCAGACGCACCATGCGCACACCAAACTGCGTCTGGTAGTCCCACAGCTGATTCCATTGCCTCCTCGTAAGAGCGCTGTAGTATTGGTTGTCGTAGTTGTAGCCAACTTCGCTCAGTACAACAATGCCTCCGTAGTTTCCGTGCGTAGCGGAGCCGTTGAGGATGGGGAGGCTGGAGATGCCAGCTTGCGGGACGGCCAGCACCTCGAAGGGGATTCCATAGCCTTGCAAGCCAGAGGTGGCACCATTCAGGGCAGAAGTCTCATCGCGTGCAAGGACGAGGATCGTGCTCGAGACAGTGGCGCCAGAAATCGCAGCGGCAGCAGCAGAGACGTTTTGCGAGAAGAGTAGAAGCGCCGTCAAGGCGCTTGCCCACAGCAACGAGACAAAAGAAGATGCCATCGCGATGAGATGGACTTGGAGAACAGCGTGAAGATACAAAAGTTTGGGGAAGAAGGCTGAATTAATAAAGAAAGTCTCGGCAGAAATACCACGTCCACTATTGGGCAATGGCAAAGTATTGGCCGAGACGAAGCATATACTACCAACCGCGTAAAACTATCGATTTGCAATGTTCAGCACTCGCGTCCAGGCGCCGAAATCAGGAACGGGCTCGAACTATGACGCGGCACGAACAGCTACGGCGGCGTGTGGTAGTGTGCACTGCAACCCCGAAGCTACGCTCGATATGTGAGGTATCGTCGAGCGAGCTTCAGGTGACGCTGGGGGTTATTATGTGAACAGGGTTCTTGGCGGGTCTCCATCTGGATGATCCGGGGGGGGGACGAGAAATTTCTGCGCCACGTGTGTACACTGTGGCATCGCTTCATAGAGAAAACGTGACTGCTGGACGTCTTGCGGAGCCATGCACGCCGGCGGTGCTTGCAGCCGGCGCAATCCAGGGACGGCCCAGCCCAGCCTGCGGAGGTCGCGTCGAGGGCGCCAGACCGGGCTCCGCGCAGGTACTCTCCGAGGTGGCATCGCGGCTGCAGGCCGTCAGTACTACAGATCTTGCTCATGCTCGTGGTGATATTGAAGCCGACGCGTCCTGTGCCCGAAGAGAGTCTTCTGGCCTGCTTCCACGCAAGCTCGCCTTCTGACAGATTGGGCCATCATTTACGGCCCCGGACTTCATCTGGCAAGGGCGCGTTGTGCGACGCAGTGGACGGAAGTGATCGCTGTATGTGAGGCCGGGATTGATGAAGACGATATTAACGACATGAGGTGGAGGAGGTTAGGCTAAACAGCCTGTTAAAACGGCGTGGCGCACGGGCCATGCGCTAGCGGACAATCCCCGGCGCCGCTCTCAGCCTCCCCCAGACGTCGCTCCTCCACCACTCGCGTCACGCCTCAGCCCCATCTCGTCCCCAGACCGCACCTCGTCATCCATATATGCTATTCCCGCTGCCATGCTGCCCCACAGCGCCTACGTGCCGTCGGCGATAGATTGCTACGTCGCTTGGCCGCCTAAGCTGCTCTGGCGACGGCCTGCCAATGCCCGGTCGAAAGGCTTCCGCATGCCAGGCCTCTTTATGGCCGCGTCTCACTGCCTTTCCAGGCTGCCAAGAGCGGATTCACAGGCTTCTGGAAGGATGGTAGTGCTTCTCTGGCAGCGGTGCCTATACAGCCGCCGTCGAGTCCTAGCAGCCAGCTGCCGCGCCATTTGCTAACGCTGCTAGCTGATAGACACCAAGACACATGACTGCCTTATACACAGCTTTCTACGTGCGTCTGCCCGGATCAAGAACTAGGTAGCGTCTGCCGGCAGTCGTGGCCCATAGTGGGATGATGGCCTTATAGTAACAAATTTCTCCGCATTGTTTTGCTGCTCTGTGGGCATCCAAGCCATCACAAGTTATTCAGCATGAAACATTGCACTCTCTCTTATCTTTTCTTCCTTCATCTCTCGTTTTGTTAATAGGATTTGCGCTATAACAGCGGTTCCCCACGCTTTCCAGCCCATTGCCGGGCCTGATCTCGGCCCGCTGTTCAACCCTCAAAAGCTGCATCTGTCCTTCGGGTGAGGGTTTGCGGAGCCATGGCCAATAACCTAAGCATCCAGGCCTTCAGCAACGGTACTATTCTGAAGGTGTGGTGGGAATGGACCCTCGTGGCCATAATCTGTGCCAGTGGGCTTGTTGGCATAATCGCATTCCTCTGGACATCATACAATGCCATTCGGGCGCTGCTTATAGTAAGTGTCAAGCGACATCAGACACTCCGCGCCTCGTAGCTCACCACACCTTTGTAGGGGAATAACGATGAGCTTCAATTGCCTCGAGCCGTCCAGGAGCGGATACACCTCCTATCCCGTAGCGCGAATTTCGTCCGCCCAAAGCAAGCCCTTCTAGAGAAGCCTTCATCGTTTGGCGTATACCTCGGCCTGTTGAACACACCCATTACGGTGGAAGAACACCAATTGCTGTCAAGATGGGAAGCTGTAGTGTTGGACTATTGCGAGCCTGGGGTCCTGGAGGCAGTCAGCGATGAAGGTGTGGCTCTTGGGCCGCATATCATCGCCAGATTAGATCTGCTCCAGATATTGCCCTTCCCCGCTATGGACAATGAAGTCGAAATGCTGCGGGCTGTATACCTCGTCTCCAAGGTCCTCAAGCAAACCCTGCGGCAACCCGGTCAGCGCAGATACTTCACTGGTGTATTGGTAGCCGGCTGGAGAGAAAGAGTATGCACACCGCTGCTTAACGGCTTGGCACGGCTCTTCTTCGCGCACGGTCTGGACGTTTTTCTTGAGATCGGGCCACCAGACTTTTTGGATGGAGTCGAGAAGCTTAACCTTAAGCTTTTCGCTGGTGCCATTGTAAGGAATGGCACCATACTCCGTAACGGAGAACGCCGAGACTTCTTCGCTATGGACAAGATGAAGACTACGACGAAAGCATTCGTATCACAAGCCTGTTTGCGACCCTTCATCACAATGATGTGGGACACGCTCGATGACGACGCCGACTTATCGCACGCGGTCGCAAGGAGGGCTCACATGTGGTGCAGCTATCACGGAGCCATACCTTACTTTGCGCGCGAATGTGCCCTCAAGGATCTGTCCGAGCTCCGTTCCTGTGAGGAGCCACTAGCTGCCTTTCAATGGCTCAAGGATCGACGAGTCATGAGTGTTCACGAGAAGTTCCGAACGACCCGCATTGTAAGTATTTCCACGTAGCTTCTTCCCGGCTACAGTGTCTATATACTAACCTGTCCGGTAGCTCTCTCCCGGCTTTTCGAGCATCATCGATGACTACCTTCCTTTGCAAGAAGTATTTCCACTTTTGGGAAGCACAATCGCGGGCCTCGATGGCTCCGAGTCCGACTCAGAGGAAAGCTCAAATGCATCTACCCTCACTGTTCAATATCCAGAGATTGATGAAAATGGAGCCCTATTGCCACAAGAACCGGATTCTCCTGTCTCCTCGGGTCTGGATTGGAGTACGTCCGTGGAGAAACATTCGGCCAATCCCCTGTCTTGCTCGTTCGCTGGTACTTTCTATGGGCCTCTGGGATGTTTTCCAATTGGTCTCAATGCGTCCCAGGAAGACTTCGAGCATGTTCTACGCTCTCAGCAGCGGTTGCGAAATTTAAATCTGCTTAGCAGGCTTCCAGCGAAACAACTGCACGCTACCGCAAACGTCCTCAGCAGCTACAGCGCCTCAGCGTCCGGCGTACTGAACATTGTTCCTACGTCACGAGATGCTGTCCGGAATCTCGCCGACGCACTTGCTCGCACAAGCGACGAAGATGACCCCTACCAGGTCCGAGTGTATTCTGGGCTCGACTCCGGATTCCACACCCCTTCCGGAGGTCAATTCTGGGCAGTCTGGGAAGTGGAGCAGAGGACATCTTCCCTGATCATTTATCTTTCCAAATCAGCGCAGGATATACCCGGCATATTGCTCCACACGCACCTTAGCAAATCAAGCTTCACCAGATATCAGTGTTTCCTTTTGGAATACGGTTTGAGCGAACATCGGAGCGAATCTAGCTCGTTGAAAAGGTTACCGCCACGGTTGCAGCAAGATGTCAACCTCCTCTCGACTTCGGATCTCCTTCTATACCTACAGCATCTACAGTATTCTGAATGGGACGAGTCATGCCCACTACTCTCGGCTATACGCTCTGAATGCGAAGAGCTCCTCATCGACGTCCCAACATACCGCCAGCTGAAGAAGCTTAGCAATATGGACTACATCAGCGGAACAACCACCGACGAACAGCTTGTTTATGCGCGAGTCAAATGGTATCGACTTTGCCGCCTTCCGTGCCTCGACCGTCAGCTCGCGCTAGAGCTATTCAGACACGTCGATTACAACTTCCGCAGCCTTCTCTGGTATCGCGATTACCAGAGCCTGGACGCCATCACTGCAGCGATCGAACAGCTCACAAGCAGAGAGAATATCGATTCCGTGTCCGACTTTGTCCTCTTTTGCATCTTCTGCGCAGCTAGGAAAGCTGGTTTTGAAGAAGTCTACATCGAAGTATCAGACCGTAACCCTCTTTTCAACCAGTACTCAGACCAGAGTGCCGCGTTCGCTGAGTTATTTGCTCTGGGTTCTCGTTGCGAAGCTTACTTCGATATCACCCCTAGTGACATGGGTGTGCTGTTATCCAAGAAACATCGGGACTATTACAACGAGCCGGAACATCAGCCTCCCATGTGGATCTTTAACGCTCCCTCGTTTGCTTCAGCATATGCCGCAGCTCAGACGGATATCGATCCCGCCCAAAAGCCATCTGTGTTGCCAGGATATCGTCGCTTCACCTTCCTCAGTGTCTTCGCCATACCAGCGCTCGTGGGTACGTACAACCTAGTCTTCTGTGATGGATATGGATGTAACTAAGTCATGCAGATATCCTGCTTCTATCCACTACCGGTCATGGGCTTTATTTGAGCGCCGCTATGACATTCGAGGAGAGCAAATACGCGACGTTAGCCCTGATGGTTTCGCTGCTGCTTTCTGGAGCCATTGGAACCTGGATATCGATCGGCGGCACCTACTATCTGATCTCCATGGCCTTTTCTGCCGCAAACATGTTCGTTCTCACTCGCTTGATCGGAGGCCTCGCCTTTACCGTCGCTGCTAGCGCTGTCGGGTTTATCGTCATCGCAGCCGTTGTCGGAGCAAAGCCCGCCGCCATATTCTTCTTCTATCTTCTCGGGTTGACTTCTTACCTCTCGGTTTTGGCCGTTCTCTCCTCTTACCAAGTCCCTGGATCGGCATTTCTCAATGGTCGGAAAGCGATCATCTGCCTCATCCCGACCCTCATCATATCCCCCATCCTTACGCTGTGGATTTCAGGATACGATATCATCATCTACCCATGCGTGCTATACATCTTCGTCTTTCTCCTCCTCTTAGGGACTCGGCACGTCGCCACCGAATGGGTGACCTGGTATCACAACATCAAAACGCTCAATGACGCAGACGTGAAGGACTGGTACGTGCGGACGCACACGAGGAGGGAGCCACCCCCCAAAGCCGGCAATACTCAAGGTAAGACGTCTACAGCACTCTCGATGAAGGCCTTCACTGAGCATCGGGCAGGCAAACGATTAAGCAAAGGGCCGAGAACCTCCTTGGCTCCTAGTTCGTCACTTGCACCATCTATAGAGATGTCGTCCGGTGAAGCAGACCTGTTTCATGGCCTTAGCGAACCAGCTATTCTCGCCCTTTGCCGGAAAGAGCTGTACGATGCTGTGATGAAAGAGAAGAACCGCCACTTTTGGGTCAAGCCCACGGATGATGCCTTGGTCAGGGAGCTGGCTGAGTGCTGGGATTCTACAATTTTCTTGCTGGATTGGTACTGCCGACTTACCGACACAAGACGACCGATTCCCTACAGCTCGACCTGGAACCTGGAGACGCAGGTTGCTCTTGAGAGCATGCAGCAGTCGCAAAAAGGCATTCGACTGCACAATTCTTTCATTCATTGGCGCAATGCTGGTGATGAGGTCGGTTGCGGTCTGCTTTATTTCCTCACGGCCCTTATGGATCGCTGGCTCGACTTGGTACGGGGCGGCAGCCACTTGGTGGGTTTGTCCCGAGAAATGAACACAACTCTTCGACTGGCTGTGGGCTTTGGTCTCGCATACTACTTGATAGGAGCCGTCCTCCTCGACTACAAGGCCCAGCATTTGCACCAATTGTCCGAACAACAATCGCCCGTCTCAGTTGAGAACATCCCACATATCCGCAAGGCAAAGGCCAATGATCAGAAGTTCAGACGCCATCTCTACTGGAACACCATGTGGCGCTTCATCGGTGTCCATGTTTGGGCGCTGTCACTTAGCGCTGCGCTGGTCTGGATCTTTAATGACGACCCAACGGGAACGAAAATGTTTCTTGCCTACGTAGGGTCTTACAGCGGCTTGCTTCTCTATCAGTACAACAAGATCTTCTCTGGGCCCCATGCATTAATGCCCCTACTTGTGGCAGTAATCCTCGGTTTCGTCGTTGGCAACATCCTGAAATCAGTGCGAACTACCCAGTACGATAATGTTATCGCTCTCGCGGTGTCAACCTGGACGGCCGCTCTTCTCTCTTTCCACACAGCCAAGCTAGGCTTGCCTGAAGCATTTGACATTCAGATGTGGCTCTCCGAGAAAATGGAAAATTACAGGCGGCCAAAGAGACCTAACGAGTCCACCGATTCCGTCAATATTCGAGGACTACCATCTCAATACCGGATTCATTGGTCCAGCATCGAGAAGTTCCACGCCTACACCGGCGCGGGTCCTGATGAAGAATGGAGCCAAAGCGAGCTTCAGGCCTTTGCAGACAAGTTGCGTACCGGGCCGAAGGAGGATCGGTTTAGAGTGCTACCTTTCGGCCACCCCGGAGACCAGATCACCGCGATCTTACTTTCATGCACTCACGACACCTTATCCAGACTCGCACTACAGGCGTATCCCGCTATGCCGTTCCTGGTGCAGCGAATTGTCTTGGCATGGCAGAATGGTCTCATTAAAGTATTTATCGTCCCGATGCATTCAGTGGCAGGCGACACATCCGATCTTCGAGCCATCTCTCACTATTCAGATGGTCGCATGACGCTATACATCGCTTCGGACGCGAAAGGCTCCTCATCGGTACAGATGAATGTCAGCAGCAATTCTCGCACTATTGCGGAGACATTGCTGCACGCCTGTTCGGAGACCATGTTCGGCATGTCTCACCATCAAGCGGAGCTGGCTGAGTCGATCCTAGTATGTCGTCCGGTTAGCGACGATCCGTATTCCGTGTCAGAATGCAGCAAACGCTCTATGCCGTCGAAGGCGACAGGGCCTCAGGCTATTGCGTTCGAGACTATGTGTCGAAAAGAACTGTTGCGAAATCTATGCCTTGGCTCTGAATGCGACATGCATTGGGACAACCTACCACTGGACATCCGCCGCATGTTCCTTCGACGATGCCTCGGCGCCAGGGGTCCGTACACGAACACTGAGATGTCATGGATCAATTCCAATGTGCCGGCGGAAGATGCTTGTACTATACTCTCTAGATTGGCTCGTTACGATCTTGGAGCGTACTTGGCCGTCCATAAGTACAACTATTTCAAGAACCGGGGCGAGCAGGTGCTCAACGAAAAGGAGTATCGTCAAATCACCGCCGACATCCAACAATCTCATCACCCCGTCCTCAACCGCTCTGCAACGTCCATCTTCACCGACTTTGCTAACCGCATCCGAGTCCCTCTCGCATACGGCTATCATACGATCGGAACGTGGATCAAGTTCTTCGTGCTTGCATGCATGGCTGATCCAGAGTACCAACGAGAGTTGAACTGTGCATTGGGAAGGACGCCAAAATTCCTAGCGAAACCAGCCACATTCATCCTTACTGGGCTCTGGATCTACAGCCGCGCTGCCTTGTCGTTCAGTCTCCCCTTCTTCCTCTACCATGACCGTAAAGATATTGCCGATCTCGCCACTACAGTCAAGGGTAGCATTGTAGCTCAGAAAAAGGACCGCCTCATCATTCGCAGCTATGGAGACACTGAGACGGCATTCGTTCATCCGACTGATGAAGGCGGCTTCAAGTTAGTCTTCTACCAAGGCATTCTGAAGCAAGAGCCGAAGTGGGGCCACACCAGGATCTCGGAGTATGCAAAAGACATGCGGATCAATTCACGGAAGGAGTACAAGAACGGGGAAATTACTAATGAGTTTGTCTACGACTTCCCCGCCAAACGAACGTCACGAATAAGCAAGATCACCAAGGTGCAGAATACCAAGCTCCCCAACAGTCGACACTGCGTGCGCGGCAGCGATGAAGGCACGAAGGTTCACTACAACCACAAGGGTCATATCGAGTCCGGCAGCTACATTCAGCATGGAAACTTGGTGCGATTCAAGTACCACTACCGCAAGAATGCGAAGTACGACGATGAGCTGCTGAGAGCTGAGTTTGTGCTCCCGCACATGTCAGTCAACGTGAGCTGGTGCGCGCCTCCTGTTCGCCATGCTGAGAAGATGGAGCGATGGATTCCGACGCCGCGTGTGCACGAAGCGACTTTTGTCCAAGGAGCAGATGTCTACGAATGCTCGTGGCTCTATGATCACAAGTTCCATCCAGTTATTTCCACGAAGCTCAATGGCGAGACCGTTGATACACCGGACATGATCCGCTATGACTGGCTCGGTGTATTGAAGAAGCCGTCACGTTGTAATTTCATGGACGAAAACCCGCTCTTGGACTTCAAAGCACCCACCTCCAGCTTCATGAGCCGCCTTTTCCGCAACAACATCAAGCGTCAGGAAATTTCAACCTCAAGAGCTCGATCTCAGCTCTGGAAGGCCTGGAAGAAGCGCTTGGATCTCGACGGTGTAGTCGTTCGCTTCGTAGATGAAGAGCTTATTCGTAAGGAGGCTCTTCTGAGGCCTTACTGGCGCCGACGAGACCGTGGTAGTCTTCTGAAGGCGGAAGATTATCTCGCCCTGCACGCTGATGCAATCATGGCAAGCTCTGACCTAACGAGCGATATTAGCGCATGGACTCCACTCGCCATTCGCATGAGCGACCTGTTCAGCTTCGGGCAAGGTGGTGATGCGGTCATCTTCACAAGGACGAAGACACTCCAGCGCGACACCGACAAGAACCTCCACGTCATTGCCGTCGACACCGGCACCTGGCCTAACGAAGGTGGTGGCGTCTCGGCATGTCGGCGCGATCTGATTAACAACTTGCGGACAATCAAGTGGCACATGGTCGTCGAATCTGCGAACGACTTTGGTCTACCCAAGCACCAGACGGAGGAGAATGTGGAGTCGCTCAAAATCATACCGCTTTGGGGTCTTGACTTTCTCCACCCTTGCCATGGCATGTTCACGAACAAACTGGACAGCGAGGTCGATCACTCAGTCAAAGAGGCTACCATCAACGATATCAAGGTCAACTTTATCCCCACATTGACTGCTCTGGTTCGAGGCGCACGAGCCATCAACATGACCCCAGCCGATGTCAAGCAAGCTACTCGAGCTCTGGTCAATCTCAACACCTACTTCCAGGACTCTCGTCATTGGAAGGAGGTATGGACGAGCGATACCGTGAAAGACACGTGGAGGAAGCTCTGGCTGGCGGAAGATATGCCCAACGCCCAGCCGCCGTCCGAGTGGTTCCGCACGGAACTGCCGACTCTCGGTCATCTCGACACTGCGCTAGAGTTGTGGTTTAGATGTAAGTTACCCATCCTAATATGTGATAGGATACGGCTGACTTGTATAGACCTCTTTATCTTCTCTATCCCCATTCCCGAGAAGATTCCCAACGTCTTCCAGGCTTCGCATCACAGTGTCTCGGCTTCGTACGGCATTGTGTGCAAGCTCAAGCGCAACTGTACTCTCCAGATTTGGGACCATGCCATCTCGTGGCGTGAGACCAATCTCTACCTCTCTTCCGCCATGTGCACGCTCCCGCCGTTCATCCGGAATGCCCTTCTTGGGTTGATGAAGCTGACGTCGTGTCTTATTCTGCATCACGCCGACCAGATTCTTCCTTGTGCAGGTACGTACTTTTCTTCGCATCCTATGGAAACCAACCTAACCATGCATCCAAGACTTCTTCAACCCAGGATGGGAGGTCGAGATCGGCAGCTCCAAAGGCCAGCTCACGCACCGCAATGTCTTCCGCCGAAAGGTCGACCCGATCGTCAACGGCATTACCGACATGCAAAAGTTCGCGCCCGTGACTGAAATCAAGACTAAGAGTCCCACCGTCACCATGCTTTCCCACGTGTGGTTTGCAAAAGACATCAAGACCGCGCTGCTAGCAGCAGATATCATCTCCAACGAATGGGGCTTCAAAGATTACAAACTCGACATCTATGGCGCGCTCAACAAGGCACCGGTATATTCATCCGAATGCCAAGAGATCCTTGCCTGTAAGGGTCTGGGGCAGAGCGTCACGCTGCGAGGCACCGCCGACCCGGCCATGGTACTCGCAAACACCTGGCTCTTCCTCAACTCGTCTGTCTCCGAAGGCCTGCCTCTTGCTCTCGGAGAAGCCGCGCTCACAGGCGCACCCGTCGTCTGCACCGATGTCGGCGCCTCCCTCCGCGTCCTCACCGATCCCGACGATGGAAAGCGCTATAGCGAAGTCGTCGCACCAAACGACGCCTACGGCCTCGCCCGCGCGCAAATCAATCTCCTCGCCATGCTCGACGAATGGGCGCAATTCGCCGACGATCCTCCAGATCAGCCCGCTCCCGTCCTCCCACACAAACCTACACCCCGCGATGTCGAAATCATCACACGCCGCATGTACGAGAAGAGCGACCATCGCCGCAAATTGGGTATGATGGCGCGCAACATCGTGCAGAAGTCCTTTGGCGGCGAGCGCTACCTCCGCGAGCACGAGCAAATGCTCTGGATCGGCAAGGCCTGCTACGAGATGCTCGGTCTCGAGAAGCGCATCCCGCCGCCTAAGCACCCCGGTCGCATGCTTTCTCTGAGACGACGCTCCATCGCGCGACAGCAGACGGATACCGCGTCGAGCAACGTCATTGACCCACAGCTCGAGAAGATGCAGCATCCACGCCCGCCGCTCACCAAACAATACTCAGCCGCTACGTCCTTTTCTTCCGTCTACATGGATGAGCCCGCCGGCTCGTCGAACCACATATACGGCGATGACTGGGACCCCACAACACCCGATTCCCCCGTCCTGTATCCACACGACGAGAATGAAGAGGGATACTTCGCGCCGCTATCTCGCCCACCGAAGATATACGCAAAGACGCAGGCATCGGCGTCAACGTCGAGCTCGGTAGTCGCGATGGGCAAGCGGCCCGTACAGTACGGATATGGCTATGGGCATGCCGGCGGCTGGAAGCATGTGCCTGCTACTGTGGTGCCGAAGATGGACCCGAAGAGAAGTGCGATGATGAGGCAGAGTATGGTGGCAGGGAGTGCGAGGAGTAGCGTGAGGACGAGGAGTCATTTGAATGAGGTGGTGTATGCGGAGGACTATGGGAATGTGGATGGGCGGTTGTAAGGGGGATGGGAAAGCAGACTGTGTATATGTATATAGCCTTTTATCTTGCATTGGGTAGGGCGTTCAAAAAGTTAGGCGTTTCGGGTTGTCGCATTGCATACGCGCTCGCTACTCGCGTACTCGGAGAGTTTCGCCATACCTTCGCAAAAGTAACTATCCTTGTGCATGCTTCCGTCACCATATGAACGTGCAAATAAATATGCAATACTATCAAAGGCGAAGCCGCTTTAGTAAACCAAAGCTATCTCCCTAAGAGGAGAAAAGGTATTGTTCATGAAAAGTGAGCAGTGCTGGTACGCTGAATGCTGTTCAGAATATCCTTTGACCAATGCCGGGATAACAAAGGATCGAAAGCGCAAGGCTGCCAAACATGGCGGTAGACATTGGCAAGGTCTCGGGGTTTCTCAATGCCTCTCAAAAGCTCACACGTTGAAGGTCGGCAGGAGTGGCTTTCCAGAGCTAAACCGAGCTCTGCTGCTATGTGGACCGCGATGGCTATCTACAAACCATAACCATCTCCCCACTGTCCTCTTTTCAATGGATTCGATCTGAATGCACTAATGGCATATCTATCATCGCGGTCACCTATGATCTCGCTCACGACGAACGCGCTGTGGTGCTTCATGCTCGCGAGCGCAAGTGCACACCATCAACACTGAATCGTCCGAACCTCCACCAGACTGCCATTATCTCTCCCAGTATCTAATCTCTCGCTAAAAGCCCCCACCAATCTCCGCACACTCAGTCCAAAATGAAATTGCGTCACATACCTCTCGCAGCGTCCTCGCGGCCCGCTCCCGCCACGCGAAAAAAATCGCACAACAATTACCCGCGGTGCAGCAATTACACGTATATATTTTATTTAAATCTGCTCAGTTTCTAACAAAACAAGCCATAAGAATTGCGCACCATCTTATCTCGATATCTGCCACTTATCGAGACCCGCGCCGTTCGAGCCTGCATACATCCAAAGGATTTATCGTTCATCACGACCTATTCTCCCCCCAAGATTATAGGCCGTGAAATCCTGTCGGTAGCAGTGTAGAAATCCTGAGCTTGTGGGTAACAATCAGTAAACTACTTTAATAATCCCCCAGGACCGGCCAGGATCTGGGGGTGTCGTCAAAGGTGCTAGCGAGTTGTAGTTTCTGGAGCTGGGCAGAGGCTTTCTTTTGCCATTTTTTCTCTCTTTTTACTTTAGAGGGTAAATGACGTTTTGCCTTTTTGCTAGAGGTGAGGGAGGAGCTGGACCTGACAGAATTATAGACTGGGAGAATATGCGCTTCTTTAAGAGTCTACGCGGATCCATTGCGCATCTGCGCGACTGAGAACCACGTCGCGCAGCTCTACTAACAAGCCAACGACTGCAATAACGAGCTTTCTGCCACGCGACGGAAGGATTACAAGTGTAAGTCAGTTCCGCCGTTATAGCACGGCCTACGCTAACCACGCGAGCAGCTTCTGCGCTCGACGGCACCGATAGAGGTAGACAAGAGGGATAGTCGCAAACGCCCAGCTTGCTGACTGCTAAAGCTCATCTTGAGCTGCGGATAGATCTACAAATAGCGGCGTCAGTGTTCTACTAATGTTCGCCGTCTCGCATCAGAACCGCGTCTCGACCTACGAAAGCTAGCTGGGCCTGCAGGAAGGTACGATCAACAAAGTACCTGCCAGCTATGTTGCTAACCTTAGTCTCAATCTCCAGTTCCGTGTGGAGCAGAAGGTCACTCTAAAGCAGCTGCGCATTAACATAGTGGCCTTCATCCTAGCCGCCGCTCACTTGTGCAACGAGCGAGAACACTGCAAAGTACACTTTTAGCTTGCACCATCTTCGCCACCGCATCCTCACCGCCGTGCCCCCGTCAAGGTCAGAGAATCGAACCCGCACGCAGCTGGCGAACGTCGCGTGTCCCTCGATATGGCTCGCCGGTTTCGCAACCAAGACGCATGGAATAACACACTCTAAGGCAGCAACGCGAAACACGCGATACAAAAACCAGACGAGGACCTGACCACAGACAGCGGGAGCAGCGCGGTTGGATCTCAACTCCAAGTCCCTGAGAATTATTTCGATTGTTGGGATGTGGATTGTACACACGCCAGGGAAGGCACGAGCCTGAAATGCCCAAGGTGCCTTTGAACGGCTCGAGAAAAAGCTTCGTCGGGTACTTGCGTCAGACCCTTCGAGGCGGGGACGCAGGTAATTAGGCCTAGACGTGTGAGTGCGTACCTGAAGCTGTCTGGTGGCAATAGCCGACCATGCGACAGACTTTGCAGCCTCACCTGAGGAGCTATACATGTGACATGCGATTGGGATAGGTAGAAGGTAGAAGGTCACTAGGCGGTGGATGAAGAAACGCATTAGGAAATGCAGCAAGTCGCTACCCCAGTCGTTCCCCCACAGCACACACAAAGTGATCACCCCAGTCATCCCTCTCCTACCGCTATCGTTGACACACCACCCTTTAGAGTAGTAGCACGCCACACCAACCTCTCAAACCAGTGCAGTGAAATACGGAAGCATGAAACAAGACCGTAAATTGCATATACTGAGTTGCCCCCTCCTTTCCCTTCCCCCAATAATTCACCCTCTCCTGCCTTTCCACCTTGTTTTAAAAAGCGCAAGCCAAAGCCAAAGCCGAAGCCAAAGCCATTCAAATTCACCAAGAGGAGAAAACAAAAAAAAGGGGGCGCCAACACCAGCAGCACCGTATAATATGATGAGCCTGCAAGAGCATCAAGAGAAGACGAAAAACAACAGCAATTAAACCATTTGCTTTCGAAATAAAGGCGATGTCGCCCACACAAGAGTTAAAAAAAACATCAATATGGTATAACACCCCTCATGAACACACGCTCGATCTTATGATGTAGTTGAGAAGAAAAGGCCAAAAGTGGGAATACCAAAATCCCCGCACCAAGCGAATGGTAGGAGAATGGGAAAACAAATATGTAGGGCCAAAAACGGAAATTTCCTCATAAATGAACACCAGAGTTCGCGACTAAAAACGCCGTAATTCCCAGCACCAGAACGAAGTCACGCCACCCCCCATTCCTCCCTTTCCCTCGCCCTTATGCTCCGGAAAGAAAGCGTGAGTGAGGTCTCGAAAAGACGGGTATATGAACGATTTTTGTGAATCCACCACCACCCCGATCTTGCTCTGCACCACAAACTCTAGCAAAACGAACTGCCGCACCCCCCACTTTAACCGATCCATTGTTCCGACCCTGGGCTCGTCTCGACTGAAGGCACAATGGGTGTCTGCCGTACACCAAAGCGAGTCAGCAGGCAAGCCACGACGCTCATATTTCGCCACCGGCCTGTACTTCGTCACCAAAGCCAAAGTCGGCGCCTATCGAGCCAAAGCCGGTGTCGTCGCCAACGTGCAAGAACGAGTCAAAGTCAAAGTTCTCGAGAGCGTTCTCATCGCCAAAGCCCAAAGTGAAGGTCTGGAGTACGTTAGCTCGTCCTTCGCATGGGAATGAGGATCGCTTACATCATCGATATTGCCGAATGGCGGACCGGGGTCGGCGTTATTCTCCATGGGAGGAGGCTGCTGCTGTTGCGGCGCTGCTGGTGGTTGAGGTTGCGCAGGGGCCTGCGGTGGCTGCTGCTGTCCATTCTTGAAGGAATTAGGATGCATAGGCGTAATCGGCGTGGAAGGCGTAGGCGTCGGCGGTTCTTCGCCAGCCGACGTTGCTGGAGGAGCACCTGCGTTTGCCCCTTTTGCTTTGCTTGCGGGCTTCTGCAATCAACATCAACGATGCTCAATATGAAATAGGAAGCGCGCCACTTTACCTTATTGTCCTTGGTGGGCTTCTTCTTCGGAGCCGGCTTGTTTGCTTGAGAGGGCGTGGGCGGTGCTTGAGCTGGTTGCGAGGGTGAGGGTTCCTGTGCTCGAGGCTGTTCGTTGGCGGGAGCTGGGGGCGGTGGCATCTGTCCTCTCTGCTGTGGCTGGTTGCCCATGGGACCCATTTGTTGCTGGCCCGGCATCATCCCAGGCGGTGGGCCTCGCCAGGCACCGTTCTGCATGGCGCCGCTCGCACGCATAGCTTCTATTTGCTGGGGTGTCAACTGCTGTGCGTTGAAGTTACCAGGGTGCGAGCTCGGCGGTCTCATCATGGGGTTCTGCGGCATCTGGCCCGGGAAACCGTATTGTGGTGGCATTCCTGGAGGCATTGCGTTGGGGTCGAAGTTGGGTACTGGAGAATTGCGTTGCTGCTGCATCGCGCCTTCTGGCATCGGGGAGCCGGGGAGCCCTTGTTGGCCCATTCTCGGAGTGCCTTTCTTCATCTGGTCTGTGGGGTTAGGTGAGGGGCCCGCCCTGCTGCCCTGAGGGGACATCGAGGGCGGGAATCCGGGTGCACCAACCGCGCCCTGTGCGTGGGGACCAGAGATGTTGTCCTGCTCCTGCCGGGCCATTAGCAGCCTCTTCTTGTTCTGCTGCTCGAGCAGCATGAGCTGCATTTGGTAGTCCTGCAGCGCGTGGTTGCCCTGTGGCGGTCCAGGAGCACCGGCAGGCATTCCGGGTCGTGGCTGGTTGCCAGCGAAAAGGTCGTGTTGGCCGTCCAGGCCTTGTTGGGTCATTGGAGATCCTTGGACGCCAGAATTCATCCCCTGAGCAATAGCATGGTTATTGAGTGCCATTCGCTGCTGTTGGACCAGACTTTGGGCGTATACCTCAATAGACTTTTGCTGCACATTCTGTGCCTGCTGAAATTCAAACTGGTTACCGGGCATGTTGCCCGGATTCATTGGTCCTGCAAGTGGCGCACCGTCAGCAGCGTTCATTTTGGGGAAACGCGGAGTCATTACCTTCAACGCGAGGGCGCTTATTCGGAGATGGCGCATTCTCATTCGAGCCTGGCGACTGAGGCCGCTGCCCGTTCATGTCCATCTGAGAGCCGTCTCTCTGCATCTGTGCTGCCATCATGCCTTGGTTCTTCATCTGGTTCATGTTTGCCATCGGGTTCGCATTACTATAGAAAGCATGAGGGGTCAGTGGGGAGACTGCTGGCAAAAGATAGTGTTCGATACGTACGGGTTGCGGTTCATGGCGGCCGCGCGCTTGAGATCATTCGGAGCGACGCCGTTCGGCATTGCCCGCATCATGTTCTGATACTGCGCGGCGCCCATGGCACCACCAGCCATCATCATGCGCTGGTTCCGCTGGTCAGTCTGCATCTGGGTGATATTCTGCGCAACCGTCAGCACCTTGCAGCGCTCTTAGAGCAGCGTCCGTCTTACTCGTGTGTGTCCAATGTACTGTGCGCCTTTTGTGTTCTTGCCACGGGCAGCACTGAAGATGTCCCAGAACTGGACCCACCAGTCTAGCAGGAAGGAATTGTCCGTCGCCTGGCCGGTGGGCAGCTTCGGGTTGGGCAGGTCGTCCTTGGAGTCGTGGTCCATGGCGTCGACGCCGTTGACGTTTCTGCCGCTAGGGCTCGGCTTTTGCGGCGGGTGCACATTCATCTTCATGTCGCACTCGAGCATGGTTCGCGCGAGCCGGTGGTGGTTGTTCCGTAGGAAGTAGTCGTAGATGTAGGTGTTGAGCTGGTCGCGCGGATCGAGGTTCTGCATCTGCTGCCCGCGCTGGCCGTTGCCCATGATGGGGGTGCCGTCGACGGGGCCTGCGTTGGCATTCATGCCCGCCATGGCGGCCATCTGCTGGCTCTGCATCGCGAAGTGGAGGGTGAGCGGGCGGCTGCGTCAGGCGCAGTCGGTAGATGGACGGTATAGGGATGGGCCGCGCTGGGGGAGCAATGTGCGGTGTCGTGTTTCGCACCTGGGCGCTTTAGTGGTGTGGATTATAGCAGCATGCCCACGCCGTGGCGACGGAGGTCGGGTGTCGGGGGGCGGGCGCGGAGGAGCAGCGCCGGGTGCGAGCGTTTGCTGCGCGAGCTGGCGGCAGAGCGAGGGCGCGCGGCAGCGAGGGCGAGCGCAATGACGGCGGCGATGGGTGCCGTGCGATGTCTGGGGGACGGCGTTGATGTAGGGCGCCAGGCGGATGTATGAGGCAGGGTCTCAAGCGATGGCGTGGAGCGACCCGTGGACAGGTGAAGGCTCTTAGCAGCGCTCGCGGTGAGCCGGCGGGAACTGCGCACGCCGAACGGGGCCGCCAGAGAGCACAACAACTGCGAGAGCGCTGCGGTGCGGTGCAGTGCGAATGCAAGCCGCCGAGCGATGGGGCGCGATGGGATTGAGAAAGTCAGCACGGAGGGCAGCGTAGCGCAGCGATGGGAGAGGGGGGCAGACGCTGGCGAGCGGCCCATCGCTTGAGGACTAGCGGCGCCCGCCACGTGATTTATATTTAGAAGGCACCCCAACCACTCTCACCCCATCCGCTGCGGCGTCGTCGTCGTCGCACTCTCCGTTATAGTTGCACGGCGCTTGTTTGCACGCATTTGAGGCCGTGGACACGGCGCGGCTTGCACCTCTTGGAAGCGTGGGGCCGCCGATTAGTCGTCGCCGCTGAAACGCACATCATCACGAACACGCGGACAGCATCCCGCTGCTGCAGAATCGTCGCTGACCCGGCGTGCACTCGCTTTGCGCAGAGCACGGCGCAGCATCGTGGGACTGTTGGCTCACTGTCCCAGCCAAGTTGCGCCGGAAGATTGCATCTGCCGGTGTGCAAGGTGGTTCAGGTGGTGTGGCTGCCTTGGCGGCGGTCGCGCAGGATATTGCCATTTTGCACTCTGGCTGCCGAGAAGCGACCGCGACACCGTCCGGTGCAAGACCCAGTCAATTGTCCGTGTATTCCTCCAACCCTAGACGCCGCTCCATGCAATTATCTAAAATCCAAATGGGTATTCGGCGCATGACTCGTCGCAACCTTCCGTCAGCCTCACTCGTCGTCTGGCGGCATCTCGTCGTCGATGTAGCGGATTAGCGATATCCTCATCTCGGTGCTGTCGTTGCCTCGAAGGACGTCGCTGATGAAGTGTGCCTCCACCTGCATGTGTACCTGGTGCGGGGGTCAGCACAACGCACCCGTATAGCTCGACGAGCGGAGGAACATGCCATCTCGAGCGCTCCACGCAAGACTCCCACAAGTATATTCGAGAACCAGAGCTCGTCCTGTGCCCGGCCGTCGTCCGGCAGCTCCACGAAGTCGGCGAGCGGGTTTTCGTCGAAGATAAGGGAGAACTGCTTGTTGTCGCTTGACCAATTCGTGATCGTGGGAGTTACGTTCAGGAAGATCTTGAATCCGACCTGCCAATCGCGTGTGAGCCTTTGTTCAACGGGAATGAGAGCCAGCGGGGTACCTTTGAGATCATCTCCGCAACTTCACGGAAGTTGGAGCAGGCTGGCGCACTCGACTTTGCCAGGAAATCCTCAATCAGACGAAGCCCGATGTTGTAGCCCATCCGGTCCAGCTGTTTGTTGACCTCCACGTAGTTGAACTCGTAGTCTTTGCACAGCTGAGCAACGATGGTGCCATATGTGAGGGTTACCAGCTCAGCGCTGACCTTGTCCACCCGCGTCCTTTCACATCAGACTGCAGTTTGACCATGTGGAGGCAGTAACTTACTTCCAGACTCTAACAAAGATTAGCGCATCGTACGGGTTGCTGGCTAGACGGTCTGGAGCTCACTCCTCGCCCAAACGGGCTGCCTTTGTCGAAGCCATCTTTTGTAAACGATAGCCTGGGGTGCTTCAGGTCTGGGAAAGCTCGAAAATTGCGGGTAATGAGGATGTGGGCGCGCACATAAACCGGGGTCGTCGATATAAGGTTCCGTGAAGCGGGCAAGCAGCGGTTGTAACATGCAGTTGACTAAGCCAGTTAGCGCTTGGCTTAGCGTGGAGGACTTCGAGAAAGTTCACGAGCTTCCCCCGAAGCTGCGGCCACACTCTCCGCACCCTCACCCTTTCCTAGCTGCCGAATTCACAATCTGCGCGACTTAGTACACGTCCTACGCCATGTCTGGCGAGAAGCGACCCGCCGCCGACTCGTTCGGCTCGACCCAGCTGGTCAAACGCGCGAAGTCGGATGCGAATCTCAACGGGGGCTCTGCGGTAGCGGTGGTGAACGGGTCAGCGCAACATGGCGCACTCATACAAGCGGTATGTCATGTCCTTGAATTTGCATACCTTGGATGCTGAAGTTTGCACTGGCTGACAGGCACGATAGGTCCCCCGCACAAGCTATCTCCAGTCTCCGGTTATGGAATTGACTGGACATTCTGGGGAGGTATTCGCAGCACGCTTCGACCCGACCGGCCAATTCATCGCTTCGGGGTCCATGGACAGATCCATACGTCGGTTCATCTTCCTCGCGTTGAAGGATACATACTGACGGGGAGCAGTGCTTTGGCGCAGTTCTGGAGCCTGCGAAAACTACGGCATCCTCACTGGTCACAAGCAAGCCGTCCTAGACGTACACTGGTCGAGAGACTCGAAGGTGCTATTCTCAGCTTCCGCAGATATGCACCTGGCAAGCTGGGACGTGGAAACTGGAGAGAGGATACGAAGGCATCCTGGGCATGAGGAAGTGATAAACTGCATGGATGTCAGCAAGCGCGGCGAAGAGATGCTCGTGAGCGGCTCTGATGACGGATACATTGGGGTATATTGCGCCCTAAACAACACACATTGGAGCAGCGCTAATGGGTACGGTAGCTTTGGGATACGCGGACGAAAGATGCCATTACTTTCATTCCGACCGAATTCCCTATCACGTCAATAGCCTTGTCGGAAGCTGGCAACGAGCTATTCACTGGCGGCATTGACAACGACATCAAGGTCTGGGATCTGAGGAAGAAGGCAGTCACCTATGCGCTGCTTGGCCACACTGACACGGTCACCTCGCTGCAGCTCTCGCCCGATAACACGACATTACTGTCCAACGCGCACGATTCCACCGTTCGCACGTGGGACGTCCGACCTTTCGCTCCAGCAGACAGACGGATCCTCACGTACGACGGCGCACCGACAGGGCAAGAGCGGAACCTCCTCAAAGCAAGCTGGGACTCGAAGGGCGAGAGGATTGCGGCGGGCAGTGGGGATCAAAGTGTGGCAATATGGGAAGCGCGCACCGGGAAGCTGCTGCATAAGCTCCCCGGCCATAGGGGAGCAGTGAACGATGTCCGCTTCCATCCGCGAGGTGAACCGCTCCGTAAGTCAACCCGGATTCCCTTCGCCCTCGTGGTGCGTAGCTTCTGGGCGGGTCTCTGTCACCTGCGTGGATTCTTCTCGTATCCAAGGACTTTGCAGTCCCAGCTCCATGGTCGGTGATTCGGACGAGCAGTGCCCAAGCCGTCGGAGGAAATATCCAAACGAGAGCTTGCGGCCGGCTTCGTCTCGAAAGCCTAGCCTCGTTGGGATAGGAGTTCTTCCGCGAGGCTATACAATATCAGCGCACCTATAGGAAACTGAATCATGCTGACCTGGCGTTCTACAGTGGTCTCCGCATCGTCAGATCGCACGCTCATGGTGGGAGAGTTGGGAAAGTGAGTTCGTGAGGACAGTGCCATTTGGCTCGGCAGCGATTCCGTGGCTTTAGAACGAGTGCGCAATCCGTGGCAGGAAACAAAAGCGCCACCGCCGGCGTCGAGATGCCCCACACGTCCCAGGGGCTCTGTCTGCACACTGGACACGCCGGTGCGACATGGAGTGCTGGGGATCAAGGGTCCTGAGGTCAGCAGCGGTTTTCGAGGACGCGTCAAGGACGCGAACATGTATTTATCTGCCGTACGACGACACGCTGCGCACGTTGTCCGACAAAACAACGAGAAAGAGATTTGGCATTGTCAATCTGGACCTTCATGCCCTTTTGTAGAACTGTTGTGCCTGCAGCTGGTGTCGTGGATTTAGCGCGCCGCCGAGGATTGATTGGCGTGGAGTGCATGCTCAGTTTCGGAGGATTTGCAGAAGCACCAATCGCCTCGCCAGCCCTCCGACTCCTTCAGCCCTCCCACGCAGACAAGCACCTCGCCTCTTGTACGAAACGGACACGCCCGCGCCGCAAAGGGCATTTTTAACGGGCAGCAATGGCTGCCAGACGGCCCGTGTCGCTGTCCCGGAGGGCTGCAGCACCTCCGCGTTTCACCTCCGTCGCAAGAGGGCCTCAGCGCTCAATGCATGGGCTAGCTCGACAACCAGCAGCCCGTCCTTGCAACCCGTTCGTGCAACTTGCTCCCTTCCCTCCCCTCCCTAATACTCTTTTCCCTTAAGTCACGTCTATTGGAAGCTGTGCTGTTGACCACCGGTTTCGCCTCTCTTTAACCCTCGTCTCTCGTTTGGTCCGCGAGCTTTTTCCACACTTCAGACCGAGTGGTGAACTGCTAGGGAGCCTTTCCTCAGCAGCTTGCCCGGCTGGTCGAGCTACAGGTCCTCGGACTTTCTCTTCGATAACGTGCCTAACGGATTCGGTTGTCTTCGATATGCACGGCTTTTCTTGAACGACGGGCGGGCTCCAGTCATCTCTATCTCTCTCGATACGATACGCTTCTTTCCTGCTACCTACCCTACTACGGTTCGCGGCCCGTTGCTTGGGAGGCTGTCGCATGGCCGGCAGTCCTAGCCACTCATTCGCTTCTAATACCCTGAATTGAGGAGTAAACAATAGATACGTGTCTGCGTGGGACACTACGGGCAGATATAAGGGAACGCGGTACAAGAGTTGGGACCGCTAAGGCTTAGGAACCATATATCCTTAGCCCCTCGAGACCTCAACACTGAAATAGGTGCCGGCCTGGAGGTCTATCAACAGTCATGCCTGTCCCACAGCTGTTTAGGTGGTCTCCTCGACCTGACCAGTCCCCGGACGCTTCTCCCGCCTCGCAATCCTCCTCCCGCTTCGGCCTGCTACACAGCAACGTCCGCTCCATGATCAATGGGTCCTCTGTATACTCCCAAGACTCGCCGGCTCCCTCGGCCAACAACACGCCAAAGATCCCCTTCCTAGGCTTCCTCCGCCGCCCGCCATCCCCACCTGCTCCCATCGTCGTCCCCGACGCTCCCCGCGACTCGAGCGACTCCCGATCTCCCCTCCAACCCCGACACACAGCAGCATCGTATATGCGCACCATTGCTCCGCTACAAGACCCGCGAGAGCCCGAAACGATATACAACCGAGACCCGCCGGAGCGACATCCCGCAGACGTACCGCTAGATTACAATAACAACAACAATGGACAGAGCGTGGACCCGGAAACAGAGCAGCTACAGGACGAGATCCACAACAGCCAGCGGCGGAGGAAGCGCAGACGGCACAGGAGGAAACACCACCGGCAACAGGCCCAATGGGTACGGCGGGGTGAACAGCGCGGTCGCTGCGTGCCCTCTGCCCGCGGCGCAGCGACGCGGAGCAAGCTTCTCGCATGCATTATATCAGGGCTCTTCCTCGCTACCGTCCTAGCAATCTGTACGTACCTCCCCATCCCCGCCCCCTGCTCTCCATGCTAACCCCGCCTCCCCAGACCTCGCCCTCGCCCTCTCGCGCCACGACCTCGGCCAAGAAGTCCACGTCCTCTTCATCATGATCGTGCTGGGCACCACCATCTTCTTCTGCCACTCGCTGATCCGGCTGTGCATGCTGATCCTGCACCCGCGGCCCGAGTCCGACATGCCGCACATACCCAGCATGACGGGGCCCGAGGGCTTCCACCCCGTGCGCCCCATCCGCGTGCATCTCGCGCGCGACGAGGAGCTCGCTGACGACTACGACGAGGAGGACGCCGTCGAGGGGCGCGAGCAGGCGGAGAAGAAACTCGCGCATCCGCCGCCTGCGTATGGCCTTTGGCGGAGTAGTGTAAGGGTCGATCCGAATTTGCTGCATTGGCAGCGCGTGGAGCAGGAGCAGCAGGAGCAGCAACGGCTTCAGAATGCTAACAATGGCGAGGGGTCGTCGTCCTCTTCGAGGCAGGGATCCAGGAACGGGTCCGTGTCGGAGGGAGGGCCTGCTGCGGCGGCCAGCACCACCGAGCAGCAGGGCCCCAGGCCGCCGTCGTACGTCTCCGACGACGGCGTGAGCTATGTTGTCGAAGCTGCTCCGCGGTCCGTGGCGCCCAGCCACACCGGCGTGAGCGATATCCATCCCGCGTGGCGGCCGGGGTATGCGATATCTGAAGTGCGCATGGAGGAGTGGCCGCGTGCGACGCGGGTGTAAAAAAAGTCAAGTCGGAGTATTGGCGCAATTTGGGTATATACGCACATGATCGTTTTCATCTTTTGCCTTCCCGTTCCTTTCGTTCTTTCTTCCTTGCATGGCGTGGTATATGGGGCCTTCATGTAATATGTGCTTCTGTTTTGTTCCTTTGCTGTTAGTGATTTCCTCTTGTTCGGCATTGCAAGGCCCTCGGCAGGCTTTTCCATTGCCGCAGCTGAACGGGTTCTGTGCGGAGTTCGTTTATGCAGCGGAGGCGTTGTGGGGTCCTTTGCGCTCTCTGTACATGTAGGATAGGGATTCGGGGCTTGAGTGGAAATTTCATCAGAAATCGACGTGATTCGCAAAACTATCATCTTGACCTCCACACTCTCCAGTCATCAGGTGAGATGGTCTCCTAGAAAGACAATTACATACGGGCATCATAGGGGTATCTAGCGAAGGGGAGAGAGATGAGACGGGGAAAAAAATCCTAGCACTAAGCGAAAGACGATAGAGTAACTCGGAATGACAACATCGGCAAGCTCAACAATCAATACGACCCCGCGGCACTATGAGATGCCTGCCCTCCAGTCTTCCTATGGCGTTGGCGAATTCCTCTCTTCGATCTTGCTCAGTGGTCTTTTCCCCATGGCCAGTGCATCCATCCCACCTCTGCTGCTTCTCCTAGGCCTGCCTACCGGACTCAATGGCTCCAGCTTGATACTCCCCGTCGGAGGGATAGGAGGCAGCTTTGGGCTTCCCCCATTGCCTGGCGTCAGGTTTAACGGTAGCATCGGTATCGTGTCACTACCTCTACTCCGTGACCTCGGCCGTCCGTACTGTCCAGTGTCTAGCTCCTCTTCGTCATCGTAGGGTCTCCGCGTGGTCACACCAAAACTGTGCTCGAACGACGGGCGGGCTTGGCTAGGGCTAGCGTCACTGACGCTGCTCATGCCCCTCCTGTGACCTCTTCCTCTCAGGCTGCTATGACCGGAAGATCCACACATCATCTCTCCCAAGCCCGATTCTTCAGCTCCGCTCCTATACTTGTTCCTGGGCGTTCCGGCGATGCCGGTTGCGTATACAGTGCCGTTCCAGACAAGCTCATCGCCATCGTGCGCCACCCTTTCGTGCCCGACCTCTTTGATAATAGCTCGTGCTTCTTGTTCAGGGCCTGCCGTCGTGAGAACGGGTGCGCCGAATGCCTTCCCTGTCTCGAGGGGTGAAAGTGTGACGTATCGGTCCAGCTGCCACCATCCCCACAGCAAAGACATAGCAGCTATGCTGCCGAGGACCATGACAGCCACCGAAGCCGCGAGCCACCCGAAGTCGGTGATATACCAGAGCTCCTGGCCGCTATATACGGCGTCGAACGTCTGCTTGTAACTGTTTTTGTCTTCGCTGGTCAAAGCAACACTATATGCGGTCTTGAACATCAGATCAAGTATGCGCATCATAACGTGCTCGACCGGTGAATCCCACACTAATGGGCATCTGGCAATGGACTGAGGTTGTACCGTATTCAGAAACATATTAGCCCAAAACGGGGCCGACCTGTTCTGAGTTGTGTAATCGTAGCCTGCAGCTTCAAAGTCTGGGGTTTGGGAGCGAACTAGATAAGCCTCGGACCTGTAAACGGTACCAAGGGCCGCCAATGTTCCCTGTAGAGGACCCATGGGCGCCAATAGATCCTCCAGCTCTGCGTCGCCAGCAGATGTATAATTCTTGATAACGGCGGGATTGTATAATACATCGGTGAGATTCGGCACCAGGATACCGTCTTTTATGGTGAGGGGATATAACATCGTAGCCGGAATCATTTTGCAACTCGTTGTCGTGAGAGTGCCGATACAGTCACCATTGACTGCCGAGATGTACTTCGAGTCAAGGAACAGCTGCGGCAGTCCATCATCCATTTCAAAGACGATGTCTATGCTGAACACCGTAGAATACTCGTTCGCAGGATCGAGCAAATCGAATGTTTCCGAGCTAGAACCGCAGTCGAAGTTCAATCCGGCTGCAGTTACCCTGCCCTCGCATGTGCCATTTCCTGGACAGGAGTACCCTTCTCTCTTTTCAGTCGTAAAGTTGTTGCCGTAAAAGGCTAGTTGCTGCATGAAGATGCCGTAAACGCTGAAGTGGCCAACCTGGCCGAACGTGCCATCGGGTATTTCGGGAGCGAGGCGAATGTTCATACTGATATTCCTCGTCACGTCGCGCATCTCTGGCTTCGTGGAGCGCTGCAGGAGAGGTCCTATCGCCAGCTTCGCACTGAACACAACCAAAGCTGCCAGCGCGACCCTTGTTGCATGACCGCCAGCTAGGAAGGAACCAATGAAGTCTTTCGGGCTAGCTCCAGCGTGGATGTAGTGGAGCCTCTTCAACGTCGTGCCGTAGATAATGCTTCTCCACCAGATGACCGCTACTCCGGCTGTGAAAAGGCCCCCGAGAACAATCGCGTAGACTCCGGCTAAAACTGAGAGTAGGATGGAAGGCCTGATGCTCCATGATCCAACGACGTCTTCGTGGGACCCCAGTAAGACGAATATGGACGCGATGATGCAGCCGATGAGGAGAGTGAGGAAGGTGAGAATGAGTCCCGGTAGCTTGTAGGTCGACCGCTGGCCCTTCCAGGCGCTCTGGTGTTTGGTGTATCCTCCAGAAGGTGCGAGCAAAGATCGGGAGGAGCTGTCGCCCATTTTGTCAGGTGATCGGGATGCCTAATAGGCATACCTAGGTAGTTGAAAGAAGATCGCTCGTCGAAGTGCACCAGAATATGTGTTGGTTCGGATGGAATGAAATGGGATGAGAATTCCATCGCGACCATATCTATTATCCGGCCTACCAGGATCGTGTTTGTGGCATGTAGGCACCTGCTGCGGCGTGGAGGCGCATGCCTGCAGCCACAGTGGAGGTCGTGACCACACACAACCACGACCATTTCCAAGAGCCTATGCTTGCGTATGCGAATGTTGCGCGTCTCCAGCTCTTGAGTAGACGGTATAGAAGAGTTAATGGTGGAATAAAGAAACTGGCTCAAGCCGGCGGGCAAATAATGACTCCGCTGCCCGAAAGGCAAGTGGCTTTGAGCTCAAGGTGTCGTGTTGGACCCCACGAGGTATGTTGCGCGGTCCGCAGCTGAACCGTGAAGCCATCCCATTGGATCCCGCCCGTATCTGCAGTGGCTCAGCTGCAAAGAAAATAGAATTCCAGAGGAACAGCGATGACGGACAAGAAACGACGAGAAACGGCGCCGAGAAAGAAGACCGTCAGCCGCACTTGAGAATGATCGACCACACCATTCGCCGATGAGGAAGACCTCTGGGAGTGAATGATGGCAGGCCGGCTTCTTAGCATTAGCAGTCATTTCCAAGACATGTATAGATCAAAAGCTGGCGAGGTTAGGCACATGCCCAAGCCATCGCTAGCAGCGAAGAGGGCGACGGCAGGCCCGGATTTGACCGACTGCTGGCCTCGTATTGCTCGTATTCGATGACGGGAGATCGGAAGCGTCGAGTTCGCGTCTTGCAGAGCAAGAATCTGAATTGCTGGAGATCGACGCGCAGAGTAAACCCGACCTGAAGGATACCTAGGTATGCAAGAGATGCAGGAGGTTGAAGTAAGCCTCTAGCGACATCTTCAACAGCGGACGCCAAGCCGCCCAGTTGGGAAGGGTCCACCCACACGGTGCCTATGCGTCGATGATAACTCAGCACCTTATCGGGACATCCTCGTCTTTGATATGTGTGCGACACCTGGAGCTCCCAATCAGCATTTCTAAAAGGAGATCTAAGACTGGTCTCAGGTATGATATCTACCGAATAATCAGTGTCGCACACCAAACCTTCAAAGACGTAGACAGGCGAACTCTGTTTGGATAAGGATATGATTCGAACGTGTAACTCTACAGTCCATATCCCCTCAACCACCTCAACTCCCTCGCCTGCTGCTCTAACGCCCTTCGCATCTCAGCCCCATACTCCCTCTCCCTCACCCTCAACTCTTCGCTCCGCTGCTCCTCCGCTACACCCTCCCACTGGTCCACATTGAACGCTTGCTCGCGGCCAAACCCCACCATACCCAGCTTGCCATCGCCCGTCCAAATAATAAGATTGTCTTGCCCAGGAGGCACATCTCTCGGAGGCGAGTGCAGCGAGGTTGACACAGTCGGCAAAATCTTCTGCACAATATCGCCCCAGCCCGCCTCAAGCCCGACCTGCGATGAATCCGCGGTGTCATTGATATTAAAATGACGGACCGGCGTCGATCCATCGCGCTCCACCCATTTGAGGTTTCCGTCGCCGTCGGAGAAGACGAGGCGGGTGCCATGTTGGGCTACAGAGAGGAGCTTGGAGCTGGACGCCGTTTGTCTGTTCTGGTAGAATGCGTGATTGTTACGGGTCGTGCGGTTGTCGGATGAGTTGATAGAGCGACCAGGCTCGGGAGACAGCCCATATAGTTCGAGGGATCCTTTTCCTTTGTATTCACCCGCAGCGATCAGTGTGTGGCCCGGGATAGACTTCGCCTCACGGAGCAGGCCAGGTGAGGCGTATGGCCGATGGACTCGCAGCTCGTGAGGCATGAACGGGTGTGGAATCGCGGTCAAACATGATAGTCGAGCACCCGAATGGACCGTGCCGCGTAATCGGGGGAAGAAGCGCCGGTCGAAGTTGAGGAAGCTCGTAAAGCGGCCCGCAAGCCAAATGTCGCCGTTACCGTCCCAATCTCGCGTTGTCGGCAGATGAAGGATTGATAACGCACCAGGTTGGGCAAGCGAGACATGGCCGCCGAAGTCGCCAGTTTCGAGACGTGAAAATGAATCTGCTGCAGAGCCGCCAATGAGCTCGCACCGGACCGATGAGGACGCAGGTGGAGGTTTGCGGGTATCGTGCAAATGGACTGTCCAGTTCGTCCCAACCGTTAGAGGCGTCGGATGATGCGCCTCGGACAGAGCCGTGATCGAAAATGGGTAGGGTGTCCTAGAGACGACCTGAAGCGTACGCAGATCAACCTCAGTGAGTATGTTCTGAACAGCGAAGAAGCCCTTCTTCTGCCTGCTGTCGATGCTGACACATTCCACCGCCCCGGTCTCCGTCATTATAGTCTGGCTCTGAATGAGCCTGGTATCGTAGTCCAGATCCGAGCCTTTATTCGGCAGCAGCCCAATCGCGGTCCTAGCAATAATCCTGCCCTGGCGCCCGTTGCTCGAGCGAGCATCCCAAATGCTGACACTTCCGTCCTCCAACGGCGCGACGAGCTTATCTGCCAAACCATCCTGATCATACAGTATGCCCGCGCCCGTCGCTTCGCGGTGGAGATTATCGTCGCGATGTCCGTGTTTCGCGTCTTGGAACCAGCTTATCGAGTGGGGCGCATGCCGCTGTACGAATTCCCGATAGAAGTTCACCTTCTCTCCCGGATATGTTGGGTCCCAGTTCGATAACAGGGCAGCCCGCCTCTTCGACTGGTTCTTCTGTGCCTGTACATCCGCACTCGGCGCGCTTGGATCGTGTACCGCCGTTGTAAATGCCCCGGTAATGTTATCCGCAGCTCTGATTAACTCCGCCAATCGCGGGTCCATATCCGCAGTCGACAACAGTCGGCGTCGGCGCCGCTCGGCGGCGGAGTGCTCGAAGCATAGTTGTTTCCACAGATTATTATCTCGGGAGAGGTTTAGGAACTGGCGGGATACGTAGGATAGGTTTACCAGTTCTTCCGGCTCCAGGACTAGACAATTTTTAGCTGCGCAGCGATGGCGTTGTTTTGGGAGAAAGTCTCACAGGCGATTATGTGGAGGATGATCTCATCGGGTAGGTGCCTCATGTTAAGGGAAGTGAGAGTGAAAGACGCGATACGTGGAAGAGTCGAGAAAACCGGGGATACGGACTTAGTAAGATAATGCAAGGTGTTGGATCTCGAGTCCTGAAGCGTCTCATAGCTCCGGAATCGCGGGCACAAGCGCTGACGACATCGACATGACTCGCGTCTCTTATCTGCTAATCGCTGGCTGGGCTGGCTTTGCTTGTTACAAAATGTGTTCGCCACAAGAGCGCCTCACAAACACAGGACTAGATTCTGAACGTTCAACAATGCATTCGATCCGCGCTACATCGCTCCGGATGTACGTTCCTATCCGCGCATATACCATGTCTGTCGTTATGCTTCCAGACGCCAACCGAGATCCCTGCCCATAATGAAGGGGTATCAAACGCATGAAGTAGATGCCCTATATATACATATGAACCAAAAGTATGATCCTTATAGAGGCCACCATATCCTAAGTGCCCTGTAGTGAGAGCTCCGTGCGTAGTGACGCGTCCTCGAAGTATTCCGGATACGCAATGAGCTTGAGACCACGCAGGTCATTCTTGGTGACTCAGACTCTCCGACCTACGTTATCCGTTCGCAGAGGTCGAACCGCTTCGGCTGCAGTAAACACCTAAGCATGGTCTCTGAGCCCGAAAAGATACTGCAACTCGCGGACGCCTAGCCGCGTAATACTTTTGCCGGCTCGCTCGTCAAGTGCGGTGTTGATAATGTCGCGCTTCTTGTCCTGTAGCGCGCAAATTCGATCTTCGACCTAGAGAGAGCATAGTTAGGAAAAGAGCCTATTATTTATGCTAAAGAGACCCTGCTATCTGTACTTCGGTGTTACGTACCGTCTCGGGTACCAAGACTCTGTGCACATGAACCTCACGGTGTTGAGGCATTCGATGAGCGCGATCAACAGCCTGGTCTTCGATAAACGGATTCCCTGTGACGATATGTTAGCATGTTTCCAGGCGAAGACAACGACTGAAGAAAGAAGGGTAGCGGCAGCACCCAAGAATATCAAGCAGTTCAAACTGCCCAGGAGCGGCTTTCACAGCCGCCACTAAGACTTTTTGTGCGCTCCAGGGAATACGTACAGAATGGATCCAGGATGATCACTTGAGATGCTTTGTACAGGTTGAGTCCTGCGTTGCCAGCTTTAAGAGAAACTAGCATGATCTTCTCATTTGCATGATCCATGAAGCGATTGACAGCCTCCACGCGGTCATTCTGCGAACGGCGTTAGCAAATGTTTTGGGCGAAAGCAGGGAAGCGTCAGCACCGCAGAATACGTACCATTTGCATGCTCCCGTCATAACGCTGATATGTGAAATTCTGCTGCAGAAGAGGGACCTCGAGGAGATCTAGCAGCGAGGTAAACTGAGAGAAGATGAGTGTCTTCTCCGTCGGGTCATTGGCATGGATCGCGGTGAGCAGCTCCATAGTTTTGTCGATCTTCGCTGAGCTTGTCCATGTCTTCTGGAGCCGCTTGAGATACTTGCGCTTGGCCTTCTTGTTCCGGAGAGACTCTTTCTTTAACTGTGCGAGTGTGGCCTTTGGTTTGGCATTTGTCTTGCCCATAGCCTTCGCCTTGCCTTTAACCTTCTTAACCTGAACAGGACCTTGCGCATCGTCCGATTCGTTTTGTTCATCTTGGCGATGATCGTCCTCGAAGTCATCGTCTGGCACGATGAATCCATCAAGCGAATCGTCGTCATCTTCTTCTTCTTCCTCCTCCTCCTCTTCTTCGGGATATGACTCTGCATCGCTCGTACCACCTACAGAATCAAGCTTCTCAGGGCAGTAAACCTTGCAGAAATGCTGGTAGTCGGTGATCCTACTCGAGCTGAGGGTTCCTCGGCAGTGAGGGCACTTTGGGACGCTATCTTCATTGCCTTCTCGGAGGGCAGGATCAACCAGTTTCTGAAAGCACTCTCCACACGCCGTATGTCCACAGGGCATGATGATGGTCGGGTTAAGATCAGCTTCGAGGCATATAGGGCACTCAAAACCCTCGGCGTCTTGCAAGCGTTTGACAACATCATCGCTGAGTTGCCGGGCACGTATCAAAAGATCGTCTTCTGCAATTCCTTCGGTGGACACCTGTACGCCCAAATCCTGGACCAAGTGAGGATGGCAGCAAATCTGGCGGAGACGCAGCAGCATGACCAGCACGTTTGCATAGTTGTTGTTGACAGTGCCGTTCTCAAGATACTTGTTGAACTTCAGCTGCGAATGAGTCTCAACGGCCTTGTACAACTGTTGCTCCTCGTCGGAAAACTCAACAGGTTGATGCTTGGTATGCTTGGGCGGAATCTCGCAAATCTGCTTCCCATCAACGACTGTGGTCTTACCGCGGCGCAGCATGATCGATTTTAAGAGCGCCTGGACACGATTCATGGCCCTCTTTCGCACCGCATCGTTAGCCCTCAGCGGTCGGGAGATGGAGTCGGAGAACCTTCCCCACTCATGGTAGGGAGGAATTTTCAGGAAGCGGATCAAGGGAAACAACTCGTCGATGGAGTTCATCATCGGTGTGCCCGTCATGCACAGCCTATATCGGCTCTGAAGATCATTGGCGGCTTTTGAGACGAGGGTCGACCTGTTCTTGATACACTGGGCTTCATCAATGATCACCCTGTACCACATGCACTCGCGGCCCAGCAGCGCCAAAGTCTCTTTCGCGGGACGGATATATCTGGGGTCCTGGCGCTCGCGCTGCGCTGCCTCCGCTTCCACTCGCTTCTCTTTCGTCTTCATCTCAGACGACAGAGTTCCAAAGGTGGTGAGGACGACGTCATAGCTTCGCAGCTTGTTGAAGTCGGCCTTCTTGCCATTCCCGTGGTAGATGTATACTTTGAGCCGGTGGGTTGGTCGCACATGCCGCTCGAGCTCCTTTTCCCATTGCTTCATCAGGGCGACGGGGGCGATGATCAGGGTCGTCTTACACGCGGGGTCCCTCGAAGGGTTGGCCAGAATCAAGGACAGAGCCTCTACGGTCTTGCCGAGGCCCATTTCATCGGCAAGTATGCCGCCTTTCGTCTTGTTGCCATTCTCCATTTTTAGGAGCCAGGTCAAGGCGATTTTTTGGTGCTCCATGAGCTGCGACTCCATAGCTTTCGGAGTTTGCTCCCTCATAGGAGGCGGAAGGTCATCAGCAGTAGTAATGTTGCGGATGAGATGATCGACGGCCTCAGGGCTCGCGCGGGAAATCGGCAGCGGATCATCGTCACCGAAGAGCTCCTCCTCGAGGGCCATCTTTCTTGGCTCGCCAACGGGACCCTGCATTGGATCTGGCTCGGTCGGGCCTTGGTGGTTCCAAGCTTGATTCACGTAGGCGTACCCACCGCCAGCTGGCGTAGGGGCAAGCAGGAACTGGGCGAGGTCCTCCGTACTCATCCATTCCTGAGTGAAGGCATCAGCAGGTGCCGTTTGGTTCGGTTGGTAAGCGTTGGCGAGCTCAGGAAATGGATCAGCGTTCGGGAACAGTACGTCATCGTCGCCCGTCAGATCGATGTAGCCACCGCGAAGTTGGGGTTGAGCATTGTCCTCGGGCTTGACCTGGCGAGCGTCTGCCTGCGGACTCAGATCTAGCCAGGCACCAGGCATTTGATAGTCAATCGACATAGGGGTGCCTGGAGTGCCACCGGGGGTTGACTCCAAGCTGACACGCTTCGAGCGCGAGCCCTCAAGTTCAGGTGTTGAATCAAGGCTGCGCTTCCTAGACCTAGAGTTGCTTTCACCTAGCGTGGGGAACGCTGGATAGACAGGTGCAGTTGAAGGACCAGCGATAGAAGCTAGGCGGGCATGAAGATCCTCCAGAGTACGCTCGTAGTAATCCTTATGTCCTAGATACTCTGGGGAATCCGGATCGAGAGACAGAATACACGTGTTAAGGAAGTTTATCTCTCCTTCCAAGTCCACGGGCTGGGCCTGAGGTGGAATTTCGGGTATGTAGAGTCCGTCCATGTTGCCGTCGTCGGACGTGTCTTAGCCCAGGCGGGCGTGCTTCAGGGAGATTGTACGCAGAGGGGGGGGTGGGGGGTCGTTGGGCTTCGGCCAGGTTCGAGGGCAGGAGCGATTGAGGAGGAAGAGGGGCCGTCGGTCGGGTGTGGAGCGGGCGTCGCTTATTGGAATATAGACCTGGGATGAAGGTGAATAACGCCCGCGGCGCGAGCAGTGAAGGTGAAAGAAGAGCCGAAGGACTTCGGTACAGGCGATGAAGAGGCGAGAAAATGAGGCTCGATATGCGTTGCCAGATTTAGCAGCCTTGGGGAAAGAAGGCAACTGCGACTGCAGAGCGCGCGCGCGCGAGGAAGAAGAAACGTTGCGAAAAGATTGGCGCCTGAGACAGGCTGAGGAGAGACAGGAAGAAAAGAAAAGAGAGGTATTGGAGCTCTACGCCGGGCCATGGAGCCTGTGTGGCGCGTAGGGGCGTAGAGAAGTCGTGGTGAAGGTGGAACAGGCGCGGCAGGGTAACGGGCATCGACATGGTCCGTCAGTCGCGGTTGCCCTTTCCGGTGAGCAGCCCCAGAAACACCGCCAACGAGAAGCCGTCCACAAAGAAGGCTGAGAACACAAGCTGTGAGCTGTCTTGCTGTCCTCAAGGCTGAGGTCTGATCGTATGCAGCTAACGGGGCGCGACAAAAGAGTGTTGCTTGGCAGCGCCGCGTCGCACAAAGACGCGAGACCCTGGTTGGTGGATCGTGACCAACGAGCTGGGTGACGCGAAGAGAACACGGCAGCAAGTGACCTCTCTTTACGGAACCCAGCGCGTATCAGAGCCTGTCCGTCCTGTCGGACTATTCCCAGCAATTTTACACCTACTTAAAACGATATCTAGCTCCTGAACCATGCAGCTGAACGCAGTATCGAGCTACGGTGAGATTTTCGGGGACACATCTTCTGGAGTATGCTTTCATTCCTTCCGCAAAGGATGCTACCCTTGCAAGTGAATCCTAGTCCCTAGATGAGCAGTAGGGGATCTCCCCAAAATGCTATGGTATGCAGGATCAAATGTAAGTCTTCTATATGCTCACATCGGCATAATGCTACCCGCCCGCCACACACCCAGAAATCAAAGATCTTTTACTCCCGAAATAACCTCATCCAAAGCGTCGCAGCCGCTCTAGCACACCGAACGTTCTCAACCTTCAGCTTCGATCTCGTAGCTATTGGACTTGTGCTTCGGCTCGAATTTGAAGCCCTCCGTCGCAGGACCAAGGAACATTTCACTACCTTTGTTAGCGTCACGGTGTAAAGCCGGGGGTGTGAACGGCATACCTGATTTTCATCCAGTCCTTGTAGTTGTCACTAGCCATCAGCGTCTCCAATTCGTTTCGTCCTCGGAAGCGCGGAGGCCTGTCCTGAATGTTTGGCGGCAAGTGCTCCAACAAGGCAACGGGCACATAGCGATGCGAGAAGCTGAGCCACTCTAGAAGGAAGCGCCGGGTGGTACCAATGCCGAGCTCGTCCGATCCCCACGTCTGCAGCCCGTACTTCGCAAACTTCTCCACGTAGCTGAGGCGCTCGCTCGCCGACTTGTCAAGGTACTGTCCTTTCTCGATCTCTTCAAAGATCCAGGGCTTGATGAGAGCACCGCGTGCCACCATAACGGAGTCGACTTTGGCATTCTCGAGATGGTTGTAGTAGTCAACATGCGAGTAGCAGTCACCGTTACCGACGAAGTAGACATGGCCGTCATTCGCAAGGTCTCGGGGGTCAGCTTCCGCAATGGTATCCGTCCGCGAGCTCTTCTCCCTCTTTAGTCTGTCAATGAGGGCAGCGCATTCTGCGATGTAGCCCCAGTCGGCGCCCCTTGTGTAGCGCTGTTGCTTGCTGCGTCCGTGCAGAGTAATAGCTGCGACACCTGCAGTGCCTTTGCCGGACTCAACAGCCTCGTACCCGCCGAGCACCAGACGCTTAATGAGTTTTTCGGCGGTTGGCTGGCCATCTTTCGTACCCATACGAATCTTGACCGTGATTGGCACCTCGTTCGACACGTAGTTCATGCCCCGCAGGATACTCTCCAAGCGGGCGTTGCTGTCCAGAAGCGCGGAGCCGCAACCTTTCTCGCAGACAAGATTGATCGGGCAGCCGCAGTTCAGGTCAATAGCTCGGAGCTGTGGGCACAACGAGGTAAGCACTTCCACCGTCTTCGTTGCCAACCATGGCTTGTTCGCCGCGATCTGCGCACCGAATTTGAGATCTTTTGCATTATCGTAGCCTCGCACAACAGCATTCTTGTGCTCGAACTTTGGAGGTCGGATCTCAGATTCATGGGCCTTCATAAGAGCCCACTCGCCCTTGTCGCCTTGGATAAGTGGAAGGCCCATCGCCATCTCGGACCACGTTACTTGAGCACCAAGCTCAACACATAGTCGGCGGAACGGAAGGTTACCTTGGGTGGTCAAGGGTGCCAGTATGGGTGTCTCGGGTCCGTAGTAGATGCGACGCTTCTCCGATGGTCTAAAAGGAGGCTCAACGAACTGCGCTCGGTTGTCTTCGTCCTCCTCTTTCTTGATGTCAGGCTCTTCCTCTTTCTTGATAGCACGTTCTTCCTCCTCTTTCTTAATGGTAAGCTCTTCCTCCGGCTGGCCAATCGCACCTGATCGAGGCTTCCTGTCAAAATGTACTCTCTCAGCATCCGCATTTGCATTCACCCATTCGAGGTACGCATCTGCCCTGGGGGTTCCTGTTCGCCTTCTTGAGAGGTTGATCTTAGCTTCCTTGGAAACGATGTTGAAGACTCCAACCTCGTAATCCGGGTCCTGAGTTCCTTCAGCCGGTTTTCGTTCAGTGTCCTCGAGCAAGATCAGCTCCCTCCTGCCGTCGTCGGTCTCCCGCTCCGTAGAATGACTGCTGTGGAAACGGCATTTCCAGCCGAGGTTACAGTAACCCTTCGCCTCGTAGATGGGGCATTTTCCGTCAAGAGTCGTGAGATCCCCGCGTCGGCCTTCGTTGAGGTATTTGCGGAGGTTATGTTCGAACTTGCACTTGCTGCCAAACGGGCACTCCTTCGGTGAGAACTCAGGACTGAGCTGGCGTGTTCCACACAACTGGAGCTTGTCATGCGAAGATCCAAAGGTGCGACTGGTATTCTGGCCTTTTTGGCCCCTCTGCTGTTTCTTGTCTTTTTTGCCCTTGCCACCCTGACGGCTGTCTCGCCTATAAAGGCAGCGGAATTAGCAGATGTCTCAGAGCAAAGGGGAATGAAGTTGGCGCCTCAGTATGTCTCCGCTTTTATCAATTGCAGGAAGCCATACCTAAAGGCTTTCGGAAGGAAGAGACCTAAGACGTGATGAAATGTATTGGGAACCCACGTACCCGCGTCCGTCAATCTTCTGGTACCGATCATCAGCAGCTTCCGCCGCGTCGTCGTACTCCACACCACCCTTCTCGTCCTCAGTCCAGTTACCAGTTGATCGTAATAGGTACCTTTTGGTGTTAATATCTCGAGTGAAATTTTGTGTGGGCGAGGTGCGGCTTACTCTGCTTTGATTGGTGCGACACCCTTCTGACGCTTGACCGCGTTTTCTGTGCACTCGGTTGCTTCATTGTAAGATCTGTCTCGTTTCCTGGGGCTCAACGGGTCGACCTTACGGCTGGTATCGAGCTGTTCCTCGCTTCCATTGGGAGCAGTGGTATCCAATGCTACACCTCCATTCGAAAGGAGCGAGCCAGTGGTGGCCTTCTCCGTCTCAGCTTCTGCCATTGCTCGCCAAAGGACCCTAGGTCTAGGTATGAGAAGTCGGCCTGTGCAGTGAGTTGGTTTCTGCTTTGGGTGAGACCTCGGGAGGGCACTGGCAGATTTGCGTGAACAGGTGTGGTCTAACCCAGAGCGGCTAGCGCGATCCGTGCGCCACTTCCAGCTGCAAAGAGGTGACGTATTTTCACGAGCTAGGCAGTCGCGGCTCCCACTCCTGCACCGCGTTGCTGCTCTTCTCCCCACTTCACACACTCTCGTATAGTCAGACAACCGCAGCTTTCACGCCGCGTCATCTTCCTGTCCGCCCTTGAAGTCTCGCCGACCTCCTCACCCGCATCTTCCGCGACATCCACGCCAAACCCCGCCGCAAACAATCACGAGAGCCCGTTGCAGCTTCCAGCCACGTAGCAAACATGACGCTCTACTACAGTCTTGTAGGTTCTTGCCCATCGCTACGATAGCTTCCCCAAGAGGGCCTTCAGGTGCAGCGGCGCCAATGGCGACCCCTCCGAGCATCTCGCTCGTGGGGAGCTCACCGCCGCCCAAAAGCCACGACATCCACAATGTTACCCACATGCTTACTCTTACTTTTCTTCCAGGTCTTCCTCCTCCTCGTGGCCGAGATGGTCATCTTCCTCGCCCTTATCGTCCCGCTGCCGTTTACATGGCGCCGCAAGCTGTTCACGTTCATCTCGGAGAGCCCTTTAGTCGCGAAGCTACAATATGGCATGAAGGTACGGAAAGATGGCCTCCTATAGCATACTCGGCTAAATTGTCCCAGATTACGTTCATCTTCATCCTCATCCTCTTCATCGATAGCGTCAACCGTGTTTACCGCGTCCAGGTCGAACTGTCTGCCTTCTCCAAGAACGAGCGTGGCGGAGGGTGAGTGGAGCTACGATAATACAACTAGTTGAACGCTTGCTGATAACATTCAGAGCCACGGTCATGGGTGGATCCGAGCGCATGGAAGTACAGGCTCGCAAGTTCTACTCCCAGCGCAACATGTATCTCTGCGGCTTCACCCTCTTCCTGTCCCTCATTCTTAACCGAACCTACGTCATGATCCTCGACGTGCTCCGTCTCGAAGAGGAGGTCAAGAATCTCAAGGGTGAGCCCGCTGGCAAGGGCAAGGGGTCCTCGCTTAAGAACATCGGCGGTGCTGGCGAGGTCGGTCGTCTCAAGGAGGAGCTTGCAAGCAAAGATCGCGACATGGAGAACCTGAAGAAGCAGGTCGAAAATATGCAGAAGGAATACAACCGAATGGGCGACCAGGTGTCCGGCTCAGGCTCTACTCCCAAGAAGGGTCAGTAGATGCTGACCCAGTATCGAAGCTCGAGCAGGCCGGGTCAAGTCCATCGTGAACGGCATGTGCTGACGACGTAAAGCCGCGCCAGGGAAAGCGATCTCTGCTCGGCTGACCGTCAGCAAGAAACGTTGAGGGCGCGCTGGGGCGAGGAGTTTAACGACGGAGTGATTGTTCGGAAAGCATACCATTGTAGTATTCTTGTCTTGGAGCACCTTGCATGGAAAGGAGCTGGAGTTTCAGATCGGAAAACTATGGGTCCAGCCTTGAACATAACGCTTTGAAATGAATATTATCCTTTCTCCTCTAGACAGCGTCGAGTGCGTTAGCTTGACTGGCACGAGCTGCCTCGGTGGTGTCAACCTAGCTTAAGTGGCGCACCTCAACGACCCAAACTGTGACCTGAGCACCTTTGTAGTGCGTTTCCTGCATCCTTATTACCAAAGGCCTGAGAATCAACCACTCACCCCTGCATCGAGTAGCAGCCAAGATGCCGGAGGGACGTGCTTCGTTCATTAACTATCCCATGCCAAAAGCTCACGATGTACCATACCAACCCCCGCCTACCCCAAAGAATCCCGTCGTGAAAGGCCTTGCGCTTCACTATCTTGCAAATATGTACGTTCTTATCAGCTTTGGCTACTCCAGCTTACCGATGCAGCGTCACGACCATACCCCTCCTTCCGTACCTTCTCTGGAGCAACGCTGGCTTCAGTTCGCTGCGGAATCGCAAGGAGCTTGAGGGCATCGAGGCGCGCTATGATCCTACCGTGATTCAGTTACCAGAGCCTGGGGCCGAAGCTCCCGCCAGCTATACAAACGCGACGAATCTCCGCGTGCCGCCGGACGCCAACGGGCGATTCTACACCGTCGCTGACTTTCACGACGCGTATAAGAGCGGTAGACTCGCGCCTATTGATGTCGTAGAAGCGCTACTTCCCCTCATCCGCCGAGATGTCGCGCACAGATCCTCGCACTCGACGGCGTTTGTGGATAGCAAGGTGGAGCTTGTAAGAAAGGCGGCGGAGGCTTCAACCAAGAGATGGAAGGAGGGAAAGCCGCTGGGCATACTGGATGGGGTGCCGTTCGCGGTCAAGGATGATCTGGATGTCAAGGGGTATAAGAGATACGTGGGCACGAAGAGAGATCACACAGAGGGAAAGGAAGTTGAGACGAGTTGGTGCGTGAGGAAGGTTGAGGAAGAGGGCGCTGTGCTGGTAGGGAAGTTGAATATGCATGAATTGGGTCTCGGTGGGTAGAAACCTGTTCCTGATTCTCGTGCCTTTCGTGCTTGAGCCCTGGTGCTGCCGTTGGACGCTTTGGAAAACTATGTGAAGAAGCTAATCTCCTATGAAGATACGACGAACAACAATCCGAACTGGGGCACGCCGCTTAATCCGTACAACGACAAGTACTATACTGGAGGCTCTTCGGGGGGCCCTGCCTATGCCGTCGCAACCGGACTCATTCCGTTCGCCATCGGATCCGATGGTGGTGGCTCGATCCGCATCCCAACCAACTACTGCGGACTGTATGGTCTGAAGCCGTCACATGGACGGGTATCTACAGCACCACTGCTCAAACCCGATAGGTCTGTTGTCGTTATAGGTCCTCTTACGAGCAACATGGCCGACCTAGAAGTCTCCTTCCGTGTGCTCGCGCAGCCCAATACGTCCGACCATCCATCTGCCCAATTCTCGCCTCCGAAACCTCTGTCAGGCTCTCGGAACAAGGTCCTAGGGGTCTGCAAGCCCTGGTTCGACCGCGCCGATCCCGCTGTGCAAGAAGCGTGCCACTCTGCAATCCAGTACTTCGTTTCCGAGCTCGGCTACCAAATAATCGATATCTCGCTGCCGCTGCTGCACGAAGGGCAAATCGCACATGCAATAACCATCTTAGCCGAAGCTGCGGCGGCGCAACGTTCGCTCACGGACCTCACTGCACCCAACAAAGTGCTTCTGAAAGTGGCTCAGCAAACTCCCGCTATGGATTTCCTCCTCGCTCAGCGCCTGCGGAACTTACTCATGCAGCACCTCGGTTATCTGTTCCAGAAACATCCAGGTCTCATTATTGTGGTACGTATTCGGCTGCACCTGCCAACAAGTCGTAGCTCGGGCTCTGAAAAACCGTTCCGGAAAGCTTTCCACAGGTAAAGGCTACGACACTCTGGGTTCTACTGTTGACTTATCCCAACTCTTCCAAGGCATGTGCTAACACCGGATTTCGCAGACACCGACGACGCCCAACGCCGGCTGGCCGATTGGAGCCGGAGAGCTCAGCTATGGTGTCAGCGATGGCAATACGCAGGTTCGGAACATGGAGTACGTATGGCTGGCAAACTTCACGGGGGTTCCGTGTATACAGTTCCCCGTGGGGTATGTAGAGCCTGTGCAGGGAAAAGGCAAGATACCTGTGGGCCTGAGCGGTCATGGAGAATGGGGCAGCGAAGATGCATTGATCGAGTTCGGGTTCGATGGGGAGGAATGGCTGAATAAGGGGTGCGTAGGTAACGCCCAGCCCGGAGGCCTTCAACATCCTTTGGGCAGGCTGAGGCCCGAGGGGTGGGTGGATATCCTGGGGATGGGTTCGGGTGAGTAAAGGCTTTCCTGGAGGTCTTCAGTGACCTATCGGGAGGCCGAGACTGCAAGGGTAGGTAAAAATTGAAGGTTTGAGTTTGAGAAAGGAAAGTTCAGCCGGGAGGCCTTCCGCTGGTTTTACATCTGAATATGTGAGTGAGTTTTCTGAGTCATGGTGAAAAACGGAACAGCCAGTCTGGAGGCCTTCAACAGCATATGGCGAGGCCAATGCCGGCCGGAGTGGTAGGTTGGTATTCCAAGGTCCGCGTCCAAGTAAGTAACGGTTATCCCGAAGTCCTTCGAAACATTTTCATGCCCAATCATCTCAAAGATCTCGTTCCCTCTTCGAAAAATTGATCCGTTCCCTAAGCGAGCGAGCGGAGAGCACACGCAGGCCTATATAAGGGGTCCCCCCGCCCTTACTATTCTACTCATCTCCATCTCACTTCCCATCACGACTTGAAGCACTCCAAGCTCACTTTTCCAAAGCCCAAGCCGCTTTACCACCACTTCACAAGCCCCTGAGTACTTCTCACCACCACTATCACCACCACCACCATCACCATGTCAGCACAGCAGAACTTCCTCGCCTACGAGGCCCCCTGCGAAGAAGCCCGCCTCCAGCTCCTCTCCGCCAACTCCGCTCCCTGCCGCGGAGCAGACCTCGCCCTCGCCGAAGAGTGCAGCATCTGCACATGCGACTTCGCCTGCCCCTCCTCCGAATCCGGAGACGAAGAAAACGCCGACCCCGCCGTCAAGCTCTCTTCCTGTGGCCACGCCTTCCACCAGTCCTGCGTCCTGCCCTGGACCGAGCGCAGTTCGCGCTGCCCGAACTGCAGGGCAGAAATGTTCCCGAACCCTTCCGCCTTGGAACCGGCTCGGCACTCGATTCGGGCTTGGAACGCCCTCCTGTTCGACCCGAGCCTCTACATTTTCACGGACGAGGACCAGGAAGAGGACGAGGAGGATGACGAAGAGGCTTGGGAAGAGGAAGAGGGAACCACGGATCGCGAGCGGAAATTTGCGATCCCGTTCGATTCCGGCGACTTCGTCATCAGCGAGGATGTGTACCGCCGGTTGGTGGAGACGGAGGCCCAGGATGAGATTTTGGGGCAGGAGGTGTTGGGGAGTATTCAGGAGTTGAGGATTGAGGAGGAAGGGGAGAGCCAGGCGCGGAGGGAGATGAGGGAGTTTTGGTTTGGGTCGTAGTTCTCTTTTGGGTTTGGGAGCGTTTGGGGCGTGTGGGCTTGGAACAATTTTGGGTTTTTTTGGATGTTGGGGTGGATTTTTCTTCGTTTCGTTTTTTCCTTATTTAGTACTAATATTTGGATTTTTCCTTCATGAATATTTCCTGAATGTTCACAGTGTGCTGAAGGGCTTCAGGCTCGGTGATACACAGTGACTAGGGGTTTTCCTCATCGCCTACTAATCGTGTGCTGAAGCATTCCAGGCTCCGCAATACGAAGCAGGTATAAATTGACCTCGCCGCCTACTGATAATGTGCTGAAGTACTTCACGCTCCACAATACAGAGGAGACATATTCAGACCTCGTTGCCGATGTATAACCACCTAAAGCCCCTCAGGCTCCACTATCCCTAGTCGACATACTCCGATGCCACCGCCTACCCATAATTCCCTGAAGCCCCCAAGGCTCCATTATCCCTAGTCCGCAGCTCAGCTACGTAATCTTCAGTGGACATCCCGTATTCTCAAAGATCGGGTTGATCTGGGTCAAGACCCAAGTCAGCACCTCCAACGGCAGCTCCGCCTCGTTCGCCTAGCAGCGCACATTAGCAAATGTCTTTGATCAGCAGAAGAGCGCAGTCCACAACCCAGCACGTCAGCCTGCACGCCGTCCCTTGAAGGTCTCTAGGATGGGCTTTCCACCGGCTAAACTTGACATGCTAGGATGCGCTCCGCGACATATACGTACCACGGTCCCCGGCACATTGTCTACTGCGAGCTGATACAACAAGCACACGAGGTCCTTCGCGGTGACCTCATTCGGCAGCGTCCCATTCTCGATGAGCCCAAACGTCGTGTTCAGAGCCAGGAAGTTATTCGTCCCCACGTTGCCGCCGAACAGCTTGGGAAACCGCCCGTACTGATACGCGATCTCACTGCCGATTTCCAGCAGGCCGTACGCAGTGCGTCGATTAGACCAGTTCTCGGGGATACGCTCGGGGACGTGGTCATACCCGCCGCTGCCATTTGGCACTGCGCCGAAGAAGGTAGAAATCGTATCGATATCCGCATCGCCTTCCGGTCCGAAGACGGGAAACACGTTATACACGAAGCTAGCCGCGCCATACAGAAGCAACGCCTTAGGGCCAAAGTAGAAATTCGGGTTCTCTGCAAGACTCTCGTCGTACCGCTGGCTGCGATACACGGCAATAGTGTCGCGGTCGAACAGCCCGTTCGACGTCTCATTCGCAACGCGATACATGTCCGCGAACATGTCGCCCTGGAAGGTAAACGCGTCACCGTTGTTGAGGAAGTAGTCGCGGCGTGTGAGCGAAGTGTCACCTTCGAACTTGTTGTGTGCGTTGAGACCTGGTTCGCGGCCGAGGGTTCCCGTGGGGTCGATGGATGTGCGCTCCGTGGCGTCACAGCCAATGCTGAGTTTGGTGGTGACGACGTCGCCGTCAAGGGCGATGGCGCGCACAGCGATGAATGTTGCTAGATCGAAGTGGAGGTTATAGAGGTTTTGCTGCGCGGAGACGAGTTCGGCGAGGTTGGTGATCCCATCATGGGAGAGGAACTGGCGAAGTGTTAGTCGGTGATGGAAGTGGCTATAGAAGACGGAGACATGGATACATTGTGATTTGCCGCAGTGTTCATCCCAGGGCATGGTCCTCTGATGTCGTTCGGGCCGGGAGGCGTAAAAGCATGCGCAGTGTCTCCTGGGGCAGGGACTTGGATGCCGCCTATTCCAGTTCCTGGGAGCCCGTCGATAGATCCCGTATATGGGTACTGGGGATCAAAGGGCGCGGCGCCGGGATGGTCCGGGTTGAAGGGGCAGGTGGGATCGAGCCCAGTCTGGCGACGTTGGTTGGGGAAGTTCTCTGGGTGCGCGTACATGGCTGAAAGGTCGATACCGGGGGCGTTGGCAATCCACGGCCAGGCTGCGATGGATGGCACATGGTGTGCAAGAACGAGGAGAGGAAGGAGCATCATTCTGATGAGATACGTGCTTGTGCGAAGTAGGCTGGACCTGAAGGCTGCCCAAGAAGGAACCACCCATACACTTTCCCTCCTCTTTATACATCTTTTCGCCCTCGATGCTGCTCAAATGCCGATGCCAACGCCATCGCATTCTCTTCAATTCGCTCCAGGATCTCGCAGGCGTGAGGACCAACACCGCGATGCCGATTCCCCTTGCTGACCAGTAGTCTTCGCGCCCTCATAATCGATGCCTCGGGAATCGTCTTCTGCACTACAAGGACGTTTGAATAGGCGTTGCACCGCGGAGCCTAGCAGCGGGAAGACGCAAGGGCTGAGATTGCGGGGAAGTATTGGACATGGGATCGGCCTGGTTGACGAGACCGAATGTGATAGGCTGGACCCCCTCAAAGTAGTCAAGCGGACTGCTGCTTTGGGAACATCTCCCCAAGATACGTGACCGCGGTAGGGGTAACGAGCACGACTCTGTCTAGAACAGAAATCTAGTTCGTGGATCTTAGATTGAGCCAAGAAAGCTTCGTCGTCCTTGCGTATGACCGAGGCTCGTGAGGCCGTGCGGCGCCTTCGACATCTGATAATTTGCATGCGATTCTTGTCTTTCCCATTGCCACAGCGGACTTGGCAATGGAACTGGGGAGATTACGGGCCTCGGGAGTTTGAGCTCGTCTGCAAACATGAGGCTTTCGGCCGTAGCTCCCACAGAGCCGGACAAGAGCCAACGATCGAGCCTCTGCAGTGCTTCAATTTCCGCAATGCGAAGCAGCGCCGATTCGATGTCGCAGACTGCTCGTCGCCCGTTGCCGCCCTTTAGGACGCTTTATTTCCTGTCTGGCGGCCTTCCATCCGTAACGTCCCCGTACTCCCCAGCATCATAATCCCCGAAGCAAGCATACTCATAATCCGCCAGCTCAATCTGCTTCTTCTGCACCTCCAAGAACGTCTGCATCTCGCACCACCCATCATCCCTGTCCCCACACTCCTCTAGACTCTTTCCCAGCGGTATCGTCCGCTGATTCAGCACAAAATGCACGTAGCTGGTCGGCGGACCGTCTACATAGATCTCTGGCTGGGAGACAGATCGGCTAGCATTTACGGGCGCGGGTGCTTTGATGATTTCAATGTCCAAGCGCCCGGCGAAAGGTTCTACATGCGAGAGGACGAATTCACGGTCGTGCAGGATGTGCGTGGTGGGAAGGAAGGTGTTGAATTGGGTGAGACCGAAAGCGGTGAGGATGCTGATGATATTGCTGTCGTGGCTGAAGTCTAGGTTTAGAGCTTGGTCGACAGGGAAGGTTATTGTGTTGTTGTCGAGCGTAATGTTGATCTGAGCGGCTGGATCGGTGAGTAGGTGGTGTTGCATTCGGGCGAGCACTTCTTGGACGTAGCCTATGATGCGTTAGGTTTTCAAGTTCTTCGTAGGCAATTAGGCGTGAAACCTATTCCGATGGCTCGGCCAACGGGCGACTGGAAGCCTGAGCCTACAGCAAAGCCAATATCAAGCGAATACTCAAATCCTTCCCATTCTTCATAGGTGAAGAGCCCACACCAGTGGGAAAAGCCGAGGCCGACCGTTTCATAGGCGCAAAGTGCTTGAGCGTTATCTCCAAGTGCGTCAGCGGATATGGGTTTCGTGAAGCAAGATGACGTACAGGTATCCTCAAGAGTCCAATCCAGGTTTCCCGACAGATTCGCCTTGATACGCTCATGAGCGTCTGCGAGATAGACGCCCGCCCATTCGTGCGCAACTGCCTATCATTAGCTACTGAACTTGCGGATAATTGTTGGCGGAGCTTACGCTTGCCCGTCATATCCCAGTTCGAACGATTGCAGGCCTTATAGCCCGCCATCGTATTGTTGAAGCCATCACTCTCAATGATCAGCTCCAGGGTCGCATTCTGCGTCCAGCCAAGCCCAAAGAACCCGGCTAGAAAATACTCAGCAGACTCTAGCATACGCCGCTGCGTTGTACTCCTCGCGATGATCTTACTCCCATTATTCGGGAACAGGTGCCCATACTGATAGTAATGCAGGGTCCCAGAATCAAAGAGTTGCTGCTTTCCTACTGGGACCAGGATTTCGGCTCCGCCCATCCACCTCCAGTCATGCAGGAAAGAGAGGGGCCCATAGGCTGTGAACCTGCCCTTCGCATCCATGATCTTCTTTGCCAGAGTGATTTCTCGCCCACCGGCTTCCGGATACCGGCTGCCGTGGCGATGGACTATGTTCACCCATGTCGCATTGGAGCCTGGAGGCATCGGGTACTCCTTCACGCCAAAGCCGCGAGGATTGGGGAAGTACGGACTTAAGTTTCCGAGGCGCTCGAAAATGTTACGGTTGTCAACGTTGCCATGGATAGGAACTTGGGTCTCCAGTGGGGTGTTGGGAATGTATGAGACTCCAGTGAATGGTGCTACATTCGTTTGCGCGAGCCATGGTGCTTCTCCCGTCTGCGTTGGACCTTTGGATGGTGAGTTGACGAGTTGGCGGGACGGTTGGGGGATTATTCTTACCGGCATACCAGCCTATTGTTGTGTCGAAGTAGTCCGGTACCCTCGAAGAAACGGTAGTTGGTGCTGCTGCCGCTCGATAAGCTACTTGTATAGGAGATAGAGGCACCGGCACGTGATATTGCTCGTGGTACTCACGCTCCAAACAGTCATTCTGCCCTCTGAGGGGTGCTTGAGCCCCGAAAGTCCTGCTTTCTCCTTTCTGTCAACTCATACTCTAGAATACACCAAGCAAGATATGTGCTACAAAGCACTGTTGGAGCGCACACACCGAAACCTGCGCCGTTCAAGGCGCTTAGAAGCTGAAGAGAGAGCTCAAGTATCCACAACATCCCGACGACGCGAGAATTATTCGTTCATCGATGTGAAAATAAAAGATCAAATGTAACATGAATAAGAAGCGTGAAGTAAATGACAAGATCAAGGGCAGGCACACGCTGATGGACGGCGTCGAAATTTGGGATGGAAGAAGCTCGAGCGCTCGGGCCAACCGCACTAGTTGACACCACTATGTGGGCGCTAATTCACTGAGCTTCGGAGAATCATAGCTCCGGCCACAACGAAATGCCATCTAGACATAGGGAACACGATACGCAAATATTGATGCGTGGAACATGGAGAGACCTTTCCGAGTTGATTATCGAATACGCCGAAACAACTTCAGCTCTTGAAAATTTGGGGGACCTGAGAAGCATGAACACCTTCTGCCGTTCAAGGCCTGGAGAAGGGGGAAGGTGAGAAGTACACAGTAAAGGTTCGAGAGAGAAATCGTTTTAAGTGGTGGCATACTTCGAGAACAGGTTACTAGGGATAGTCCTCAAGCGCTATTCCCTCGGTAGTCTATGCAGTAGGCATGCGCAACCCGCCGACACAAAGCACATCTGCGGTGACCGCTCGACCGACGACTGGACTACTGATTCCCGGTAAGAGTACCCCGCCATTCAACAGGATGAGAGCTCGTGAAACGCTTCCTGACTTGGGCAGCCCTGAGACGACCCACCCTCTCACGGAACTCCCCATTCGGCAAGACGGCTCCGGAGCATTACCACGGTTCATACTATTATTTCCCTACGCAGGCACACACAGGGACAAGAGCTTGGTAATTGCCCTGCATCTAGCAATCGGACCGAAGCGAGTTATTACCGCCAGAAAACCGGCTGCGGGTAACCGCGACCCATAATTGAACGGGGCTGCACGGTACGAGAATGCAGATGACCTTGCGGCGAACGCTGTCATTGGTGTCGTAGGGGATCTGCGTGTTGGGATCATAGGCCTGAATGTTGTAAGGAGGGCAAGAGGTGACGCGATAAGAGAAGAGTGGGACAGACGAGTGCATAGATAATGTAATATGGGGGAACCAGAGCGTCCACCGATAAAATTGGAAAAAGAAAGGCTGCGTCGTAGAGGTGTTAAGATGTTTAGACGCGATAGTCCACCGTAGAAGAAAACCTGAAATATGCCACCTACGTACCCCGCCATTCACGTTGAGGCGGAGCGATGACAATCCGCCGAGCGGATCTTACCCTGAGCTTGAAACATATGTCCGCAGGTCGTACAGCTGCAGCTGAATGCGGAATACGCAGTCATCGTCAAGGCCAGCTATTCCCGCCTCACCATCACAGCACGGCGATAAATTCTCGAAGTGGCAGTGGCCACCGGGTGTCTTCGGCCGACATATAATCCAGCTCTGTCCCACACTCGGCCCGAGTGTGGTGAAACCACGAAGCCCATCATGTCCTCTCGTGCAACGCTTGACTACCCAGAACCACGTACCCTCTTAGGGGATCGACTCCTCCTCATGCCGAAGAAGATCGCCGCCGAGCAGAAGAGCGGTCAGGCCTCCGCTTCCAAGGTCCTCAAACCGCACATCACTGGGGCCAGCGGGTTTCCTTATACAAAAGCGCAAGAAAGAGGACGACAATTGTCGTAGCGAGATGGAAGATTCTTGGATACGAAATTGCGAGCTGTGCGAGCTTTGACGCGGGTGTTTGCGCAAGAAGGAAAGGTCCCTGCGCATGATGCAGGACGTCATTCTCTTAAGTGATCGTCGTTATTCAAAACGAAGGGAAAACAGATTGAGCAGGTGGGCTGCGGATTGCGACATAGTTCCCCAGGACGGGGGCCTCGGGATAAATGCCTTCCAGTGAATTATTAGACAGTGTTTTCTTCTGCGCCGGAGATTTTCTCCAACTGCTAGCTGTGGCTGCCTTGACTCGGCAGCGAAAGCGGTCCAACAGCGGAGCATCCAAAGTACAAGGTTAGACGACGATCAAACCAAGCGTCGTGTCCCATTGGGCTCTGCGTTCACCGAGAGATTCTCACGAGGAGCGCAAAAGCCAGTAGGAGCGGAGGAGGCCCTGTTCAGGGGGCAGCAAACAGCGGGCGGCTGTCTCTGACCGGAAAGGCAACAAGGAGGAACAGCGTTAGGTGACCCAAGAGTGACAGATCAAAGTCGCAGGTGCCGCAGGGTCCAAGATATTACGACGATCCTGTATGTGGTTGGGCCTCTCGACGAAGGAGAGCTAGGGACCCTGCCGCGCTGAGAGGATCGGCGCTCAAGGCCGACGGCGAGGGGGCGCGTAGTTGGGTAATTTTAGCAGTAGCGGTCGTGGATATTTCCGTACAACGTGCTGCCAACGGCTCTGGGTAGGTATGAGATGCCGGGGGTTGCAAAGTCGTTGATCTTTTCGAAGGCATGTCGAAAGGCGGTGCAGGCGCGCGCAACAGTGGGAAGATGCACGCTTAAGGGGCTGCGCTGGTGTCCGCTGGTGTAGTCGCTGGGAGGGCGGTGGGCGGGCGCTGGGATGGCAGGCATATCGTCATCTCAGGAGCGGGTAGGACGGCCACACACAAGGGGGCCGGGAGTGATGTCAATCGCAGTGTCAGGTGAAGGAGCTTGAGACAGCGTGCGGCGAGCGGCTGTGGGGGGCAACCCTGCAGGTGCCAATCCGGCACCGGACCCGGCTAGCGGCGAGCCCAACGACGTCATATCGTCATGGCCTCAGCCTTCTGCGGTGCGCTGCCAGGCCGCGCAGGTGCCGGCACGCTGTGGCTGTCCAGCGTCCCAGCCGCCGTTCGCAGACACGTCCGCTTGAATAATAGCAGCCGCTGCCGCGAGTTTCTTCACCAGCAGGTCTGCATCTTCAGCGTCCACGTCCGCCGCCCACCACGTCGCGCTGCCGGCAACACGAGCCCGCCGCTAGCTGTGCTCGACTACCGCTTTTAGCCATCCGCTCCTCGTCCTGGCTCTGCGCGCCTAGTGCCCTCGACGATCGACATCACGAAAAAACTTGGAGTCGACACCGCCGGAGAGCCTGCCGGAGAGCCTGCCGGGGCAGGAGCAGTGGCAGCAGCAGTGGCCTGCCCGCCGCCCGCTACTCGCCAAAAAAAAAGCTGCGTCTCCCCATCATCCCACCGTGCTGCAGCCACCACGTTTCCCGGGCCCTAGGACGCTGCATACGCTGCATTCCTCCCAGCGCCGAAAGCAGGGCGCACACGACTTCCCCTTCCAGCCGCGCTACTGCTGTTCAGGACCCTTGGACGCGGGAATTGCTCTAGCGTCATTCGGCCGCCGCATCCTCGCCCTCCCAAATCACCCACTCTCAAAACCCTTGGCACAGCGCCCACTTGATCTAACGGCGCCGTCTTTTCCGGTTCTCGCTCCCACGACACCAAACCTCGTCTCCTGGAGCCGCACTGTGCTCTGCTGCCTCTGAGATGTCGGCGCAGCCCCCCGCTACGCCCTACCCCCTCGCAGCCCACAGCGACCGCCGTGCCTCGTCCCCAGACGACATGAGCTCCGCCTCGTCCAACTCGTCGGTCAGCGATCAGGACCAGCCCAAGCAGGACCCCTCCAAGCTGGGCCGCCCGCGCCTAGGCAGCAGGAAGTCGAGCGGCACCATCATAATACCGCGCGACAGCCCCCAGGTCGAACTCAAGGAGGAGGAGTACGACGACGGCGATGCCCGCACCATGAGCCCGCGAAGAAGCAGCGAGGAGATTGAGAAGATGGGCCAGGAGGCGCGCCAGGCCTTGATCGAGTGAGTAGCAATTTTGGTTCCCGAGTCCCCGTTGCGCCCTTCTGGTTTCCGCGTTGCTGCCTCGCACAGCAGTCACTCGACCATGACATCAGTGTTGGCGTCGTTGCACACGCCAGCGCGAGACACCCACTTTCTCTTATTCCCCTGCACATTGCTGTTTCGTCGCTTATCCCCAGCAAGCCCATGGACCCCGAGACTGACTGCCTTCGCCAGGCAAGCCAAAGCTCTCCAGCAGAGCTTGATGGAAATCGTGGACCGCGTCGAAATTGTAAAGTCGGAACACGAGAAGCTCGAAGGCGGCAACAAGTTCCTCCAATCGTAAGTGCCATCCTCCTTCCCCTTTGGAGCAACATCTAACGCATCTAGCTATATTGGCGAGCTCATGCAGACGAGTAAAATCACCTCTACGGGCGCCGCCAAAGTGAAGGGCAAGGGCAAAGGGCGAAGTACAAAATAACAATCAGCGCTCCCGTCGCCCGGGCCGCCTTTCTTCGAGTCCACCCTGGGCCGTGGAGCACACCATGTCGGCATTCCACCCATACCTCGACGCATCATTGAGACGACCCGCCCAAACAACCTGCATTACGACTTCATCATGACCGTGTACCGGCTCACCCAGTACCAAAAATTCCAGCAAATTCAGCAAACAACATACACCTATTGTTGATCGCGTTTACGAGCGTTGCATAGCGGCACGGGGGCTGGTTAACTCGGCGTTCATCGATCCCCTCTCATTCGACGCACCCACTTTCAAAACTTATCAGCCTCGACCCGGCTGCCTAACTTTTATTCCAACACGCCGATTAGATTTAGGCTTCTTCGATCATCACTTTCTTCGCTTCAGCACAACCCCATTTTACAACCTGCGCCCAGCTCAGACTTATACCTCGGCACTCACGTTGCCGTTACTTTTACCCGCATTAGGCCCCTCTGCTGGGCTCGGGCGTTTATTCCTCTTTCTATTGTCTCGCCGCATGGCGCACGGCGTATCTGGTGTTTGGAGTTATTGCTTACTACCGGCTCGGAGGACAACTACGTTCTGTTACACTCGCTAGACCACCGGAGAGTGTGGCGCCTGGTGTACGAGCCTCTGCTTTGGGATGCTGGCTTTGCGCTAGGGCTATCTATCTCGGGGTCTTTTGCAATGGCCTGGATACAGGGATGGGCTGATTCTGAGTGGAGAGGCTGTCAGATAGTTACCCCATTATATATATCCCTAGAGCTTCGTCATCGAAGCAAGTGTCTGTTGAATGCAACTACTACGATTTCCAAAAGCAACCTTCCTTTCCGAAAGTCGTGCTCATCAGTGTCAGCCTCGCCAATTGAGCCAGCACGTCTTCAATTGACCTCCTTCACCCAGCGGTTGTGGGAATTTGGCGCCTTGCATCCAAAACTGCCCACAATGACGCCATATATCGCATCTCCCAGCACGAACGATGGCATGTTCAAAGAAACAGGGTTTTCGATGCGATGGGGTGAGGTGAGGTTAAGGTTGTAATGCCGTGTCGTGTCGCGTTATCGAGATTCGCTCGATGTTGGGGAGCTGCATTATCTAGCATCGCTTGCACATACCAGTAGATGCAGACACACAGATCGAACCACTTTTCCGGGGCGCGGGGTGCTTCCCAGCAACCGCGTCCGCAGGTCTCAGGCGACCTTTTTTTATTTGCGCGAGATTATTGGATGCGGGCGTTCTTGAGGGAAAATGTCTGGTTCGTGTGTGTGGAGGGCTTGGTGGGCTTGGTGGGCTTGGTGGGCTGTTCTTTTTTTTTTCTTTCGGGAAGGGGGTCGGTAGGTGGAGTGAGCGTACCTAGGGCTTGGGTATGGGAGTATAGTTCGAGCTGCAAGAGGCATGAGGAGCATTGCTGAGAACTGCAAATGCAAGGAAGGAAGTATATACTCTAATCTACTATAATCCAGCCTCTTCCATGATTCCATCAGTTCAAGGCCTTCAGAATTGCCTAGGAAGCTTAGGTAGCTTTTCCCACACAGCACAAAGCCTCAACGCCAATCATGCCGGTAGACGCATGCACGCGACATCGATGCAGCGTGTCGCTATGCGAAACCCATCATTTATATGTTCTTGCATCGTCCGGGCCCTTACCCGTATCACATACATAGAATAGACTACTTTACCTAGAAAACGATAGAAGGTATAACATTGGAACGTTCTAGCTGCCTTCAGAAGCCAAGTCTATGTATGGCCGGCCAATGGCGACACCACTAACTAGATAGCTGGCTAGGGTAGGGGCCTTCGAGAAATGCTCTTCTACCTTGCTGTCTCTCTCCCCGCACGCACGATGCATTACTTCACATATGCGGCGTTCGTAGCCTTGGACCCTTCGAACAGGTTCAAGGCTTAGCCTGGAAGATACAATCTTCCCAGCACTCCTTGTATCTCCCTAGAGCACAAACCGGATGACTTGGAGGTCACGAACTTCAGCCGGCGTCCTCAGTTGCACACAGCTGAGATGAATGAACGAACTCAGTGTCAAACATGCGTTCCTAACCCAAAACATGTACACGAAGCTCGAAGAGCCGAGACACACATATCGACACGTCAAAGGAAATCTTTCTTGTATCAGTTCAGCTAAGTGTACACAAAATACAGTGCCCATCGCTTATCCCCGCACGACCCCACCGCTATACACGCATCCCCGCCTATGATCAGAAGATTATGACAGCATCCTGCTCATATCGTTCCTGATCCGGTTGTAGTCAAACAGACCTTCAATCTGGCCAACCGCCGAGACGGCAACGTCACGATCCCATAGCTTCCTCTTGGCAAAATCCATAACGTCCTTCTCAGTGATGGCGCCAACGACGCGCTCCACCTCCTCGGGTGATAACCTCCGACCAGTAGTAATGATCTGGCGGCCAATGTCCTCGGCGACGGCGGTGGTGCCGTCTAGAGAAAGGAGGATGGAAGCCTTCAGTTGGGCCTTTGCGCGCTCGGTTTCGGCAGAGGTAACGTTAAGGGAGAGTCGAGACCATTCGCGGAGGGTGAAGTGGACCAAATCATCCAAGCGGGTGGGAGATTGGGAGACGAGGTAGATACCCCAGAGACTAGAATAGTTAGCATATACTGGTGACAATAGACAGATCAAGGCTTACCCAGTGTCCGAGTAGCTGGTAGAGAAGCTCATGAAGCTGTTGGCGAGGTTGTTGTTCGAAATGAAGGTGCTGAGCTTGCTACCCAGATACGGCGAGTGGCCCATAGCGCGGTCCCAGTTACCGACGATAGCCTGAGTCACCAATGCCGTGAAGTAGTCTTCGTCGTTCCAGCTGACACCCTCGACAGCGATGGCGATGTTGGCACTGCCCATGGTGTCGTCTCGGATTCTGACCTCAGAGCCAATAAACTCGGGCTTCTGCTTCTGCTCTGCGGCAATGGACTTCGCGGTGTAGTTCGGCGGTTCGGCCGGGAGTCCGGAGAAGTACTTCTCGGCGAGGTCAACGAGCTGCTGGTGGGGGACGCCACCAGCTCCGACGAGCACCATGCGGTCAGCGGTGTAGTTGGTCTTGATGTAGTCGAGCAAGTCCGAACGCTGTATGCTCTCGATGTTCTCCTTGGGGCCGAGGATAGTTCGTCCGAGGGGCTGGCCCTGAAAAGCGGTGGCGTGGAGATGGTCGAAGACGACTTCCTCAAGCTGCTTGTCTACCTCTTCCTGTTCGCGGAGAATGACGTCGCGCTCGCGCTCGATGGCCTGGGGGTCTAGTTTCGAGTTTTGCAGAATGTCGGAGAGGATGTCGACGGTAGCTGGGACGTCGTTGTTAAAGGACTTAGCGTAGTAGACGGTGTTTTCGCGCTGTTCCTCCTATCAATACCCATTCCCGCAGAGCTCCATCCTCATTCCGGATGACATACCGACGTGTAGGCGTTGAGATGACCACCCATATTTTCTATCTCAAGCTCCAGCTGTTGCTGTGTTCGCTTCTGCGTTCCCTATCCCCGAGCATTAGCATCCGGCCCTATTCCATCGCCGTGATGATGTGTCCGTACCTTGAAAGCAAGGTGCTCCAGGAAGTGTGCTGTTCCGTTGGTCCTGTCGGTCTCCGCGCGGCTTCCGGCATCGATCCAGACGCCGACGGTCGACGTCTGAGCCCATGGAGAGTGCTCGGTAGCGATCTGCGCAAAGGGGTCAATTGCAGTCCTCATAGCTGCCAAAAGGTCCGGCATACCGTGAAGCCATTGGTGAGGGTGGTGGACTCGGTCTTGGAGCCATGGGAGACGGGCGTCGCAAGGCCTCTTGTCAAGGGCGAGCTCCTGCTGCTCTTGACGGCATTGATGGCAGCGCGGGAGCGCAGGGCCGTCTGCAGGTTCAATGCGAGCCGCCGGGAAGCCATTGCGTTCGCTCGCGGAGCAGTCGGAAGCGGAGGGGATGGGAGGCGGCGGGTGAGGAGGATGAGTTATCTGGAGCTGTAGGGCTTGGCCAAAGGAAGTCGTGAGCGTTCTTCACTGCCAAGCGGCAAGGAATCTTCCGGGAAGGCGCGGCCCAATCAGCGCGCGGTTATTGCTCGACGCCTCTGATCCGAGGTCTGCATCATTGAGCTCAAACCACCTTCAAGACGACATCACCACCGGCGACACCTCCTCTCCACTCTCCATTGCACGGCACCAGCAGCAGCAATGGCCTCGATAATGCGCCCGGGCCTGCTCAGGCAAGGCCTCCAGAGCCCCGCCGCCTCCCAGCGCATGTTTTCGACCATCACGAGCTCGTCCATCAGACAGACCTCGCCGTTGGTCCAGAAGCTCCGGCCGGCCCTTGCGCGCTCAGCGATCCCCAAGTCGACGAGAATTGCCGCCTTCCATGCGACCCAGCGCCAGCAGATCCTCCCGCCGCTGCCCCAGAAGATCAAGGGCACGTTGAACGACCCCACACCGATTCCTGATCCCGCGCCGGTACATGGAAGCTATCACTGGAGCTTTGAGCGGTGTGTGCCCTTCTCCAGCCCATCGCACCCTTGCTACATAATCCAATTGCAGGACAAGAAGAGTACGGATACTTGAACACTTCGCTAACAGTATGCAACAGACTCGTCGCTGTGGGCCTCGTTCCTTTGACGCTAGCTCCCTTCGCGGCCGGATCCCTCAATCCAGTCATGGACTCCATTCTCTGTGCTCTACTGGTTGTCCACTCGCACATTGGCTTTGAGTATGTTCTCTCTGCCTTTCTAATCCGATTGGTCCTTGGACCTCATGCAGAGGATGATCAACGGAAACATATGCGATACTAACGATAGCTTAGGTCCTGCATCATCGACTACATTCCCAAGCCCCGGATCCCCGTCGCCCGCAGCCTCGCCATGTGGGCTCTACGAATTGGCACCATTACCCTTGGCGTTGCCCTTTATTCTTTCGAGACCAACGACGTCGGTATCACCGAGGCTGTAACGAGGCTCTGGCATGCTTAGCAGCCCACTGTGTAAATACAAATAGAGGGATTCTGGCGTGGAAATTGAACCAGTTTGGAGCGCCGTGCAAGGCAGGTCGTGTGAGGATTACATGTATCAGAACGCCAATGTGAAATGCCAGTTTATTTCTTATTCAAGTGCCCAGTGCACGAATCAGAAGCGGGCAAAATCAACCCAGAAGTTGAATGGTAAGTCTTCGCAGATCAGAAGCATAAACTAACTTTTGAGAGCCCGATAAAAATAGCCGTGTGTCCCAGACTATCCATTTTCCTCCTGTCTCGAAGTCCTTCTGTCCCTCCTCAATTTGGTGCCGAACCAACCGCTCCATTCGCTCCTCCTTCCTCCAACTCCCCAACCCTTCCCACTGCCTCCCTATCCTCGCTCCCAAACCTCAACCCATACCTGCTCCTCACAGCCGCGTCCTCAATCCCCAACTTCCTCCCCCAAATCCCCACCATCCACGCCTCCTCGCCCCTAGCCAAGCTCCCCAGAATCCTCACTTTCTTTGCCCTCATCCGCTCCAAGTACTCTATGCCCCCATACATTAGCCGACAGCACCCAAGCGCGCAGAAAGAATTCGTAATGTCGATCTCGAGGTACTCGATTGTCGGGGAGGAGAAGAGGCAGAGCGCTTTGGTGATCACGGACCAGTGGGCGGCGAGGCGATCGTTGGCCATTTTGTGCGCGATGCGCTGGCGGTCCGGGGATGTGGTGGCGAAGAATCCGGGGGCTCCGGGGGAGGAGTTCGGGTGAGAGTTCCAGATTGAGCGGGTCAGAGCGAAGGCGTGCAACGGTGAGGGACGGTTGCAGAACGCGAAGCTCACATGGCGGACAAGCTGCAAGCCTTTGGTCGAGAACAGCGGGCGGTATCCCGGGCCGAACGTACACTGCTTCCTTCCGCCCTGCTGCGCACCAGCACCGCCGCTACGGCTACGGCTATCCGCCCTGAACAATTCGCTGTTCGTCCTGATCAAGGCGCCGCTAAATGGGTGGCACACCAGCCACATGTGCGGCAGCACGAAGATGTTCTTGGCGAGGTAGATCTCCTCTGCTTCGGCGTGTATCTGTTTGCTGACGCGCAGTACTTGGACCTCGGGCTTGCGGTACCGCTCCATGTCCGTGAATCGGATTCCTTCGCGCTGCTCGAACCAGTCCGGAGTGTAGAAGACTCTGCCCACAACCAGAAGGACCTCGTAGACTTGGACTCTCAGCTCAATGGGTAGGTCGAGGAAGCGGAAGGCCTGAGCACACCTGCGGGAGGCGGCTGAGGTCGGGTCGAACACGGCGAGGGTTTCTGAGGCCAAGTTGGCGGACCTCATAGTTAGGCGGAGGCTGCCGTTGCGGGCGGGTCGCATGGTGGAGGTGTGTTGGGGTGTGGTCTGGTGGATTGGTTTGGTGGCTGTTTCGGTGGGATAGCGAACTCGCATTCACGTGGAATTGTACAAGAGCGTGCGAATACCTAGACCAGTGATCCCACAGTGGACGGAGAATGGCCGAGCGCAAGGGTATCGGACTTCTTGCTGACGGCGTACGCAGACGAGGAGTGTAGGTCGAAGTCCTAGAGCAGGGTGGCGGCGGGTGTTGGTGTTTATATAGCCAGTGGACTGTTGTGGTATTGACGGTGACGGAGGAAGTGAAGTCGAGCGAAGATCTAGCCTAAGAGACGGACAAGCTACCAGAACTCATGGTGACTGAGACTTCAGGCGTCAGAACTCGCATTCATGTCAAGATCCACAGGTAAAGGCTGCGGGTTAGTCGGCAACAACACGACAATGAGATTGAACAATTCGATACGCTAATGCTTATGGTGACTATTCTCTGTGAACAGTGAATCTATGATTGTCTATTATAGTTCTCCTTGAATGAATCCACCTCAAAGTGTGAAATTGGAAAGTACATGGCTCAGGTAGTTTCGAAACGCCTTGACGAATATGAGATGCGGTCCAGCATATTACGCATGATAGAAGCTCTGACGACGGAAAAGCGTAGAGAAAGCCTCTCGTCCCGCCATATGATGTTCCGACAATGAAAACGACGACTAAGCCCATTCTTGAATATAAATCTGGCTGCTGGGAAATGTGCTCTTTCGATCCTTGTCGCTAGAGCGCGAGCCAGGATTGAACACTAAGTCATATCAGGCCCCCATATCTCAAAACCCTCCTTCAGTTCTGTCCATTGTATTCCTCCGTAATGACTAGGGAAGCGTATAAACCGCCGCTGGATGTCGAATCTGCTTCCGAGAAAATGAGGTCAGAACTTTCAGTGGGCTGTGGTTTTTCGTCCGCATTCTCACTCACCATCCACTCGTCCCATGGCGTAGGCTCGCCGGGCTGTCGGAAGCGCAATCCGTATTGTTGCTTGAGGATTCTCCGGGTATAGTGCATTCCGTTGAGATCCACATACGTGAATTGCCGCTCCTCATCAGGAAGCACTCCTATGACATCGAGCTTCTTCGGCGCCACCAATGTGATCCAATCGCCCACAGCTAGGTGGATTGGCCGACAGCAGCCGATGGGACAATAAGCGTTGGTAAAGTCGACTTCGAGATAATGCAGGCCGGTAGGGGGAACCGGAAGAGAATGCACCAAGTCGAGCCACTGATCTGCGACATCGTCCAGCTCCAGATCGTGGATATGGTCGAAGCGTTGATGCCGAGTAAGCTGGTCGAAAGGTCCGATTGCTGGTTCGTAGATCTGCGTCCATGCCGAGTGAGAACACCCATAGTGCTCTAGTTGCTTTTGGTCAATGGAGATGCTGATATTCTTAACGCTATCAAGCGCCGAAGCGGAGAAAAGGTAGCGTGGTGCAGCGGGTTGCTTGGAGGATTCGTCATCGTCTTCGACCTCGTCGGACGTGTTCCTCGTAGTGAACGGTTGGAACGCTGGCCAGTTGACAGGAAGCACAAATAAGTTCTTGGTGAGATAGACTTTTTCCGCTTCCGTGTGTATCTGCTTGCAGACTAGGAAGATGGTCAATTTGGGCTTCTTGAAGAGCTCGAATCCGTGACAGCGCCTGCCGTTTTCGACGTCGTGGAGGTTATGCGTGTAGAAGATCTTTCCGACTACGACAAGTTCTTCGTAGATCATAACCCTCATTTCGGCTGGAAGATCGAGAAAGCGAAAGTGGGGTGAAGGGGCGTCGGGTTGGCCGCAGCAAAGGAATCGAGAATCGACAGACGGTGAGGAGCCATTGCTGGAGCACGCTGTTGCCAGTGCCGGAGAAGATGGAGACTGCTGGATTTCGTTGCTGGGCTGGCATGTCCGCTTCGCGTTCTGCCCCAGAACCTTGGACGTTGAGGTCCCCATTGCGCAGCTCTGCCGCCCACGTACAGAGTTGACAGCTACTGATAAGGTTAGCTGCCTGCTCTTTATTGTCCTTGATTTGTGGCAACACTCACGCAATCGGACTCACCCCGGTGGATAGAAGGATATTGTTAACCAAATAAAGAGGAAGGCTACCCGTGAAGTATGCTGCCTTATACCAGGCCTCCGGCGATGAAGGTGAGAGCGGCGGCAGTCGCGGCGAACTTTCAGACTTTCTCGGTCGGTTCTCTCACTCGTCGACCGAGTACATATGTCGTCTATTACTTGACGCCGATAGGTAGTATGGATGCGGCCGTGAGGAGCTTCGGGGCGTTGACAGCCGTGTGAGAGATTTGGCCGGGGAATTGAGTTCCGGAAGCAGGAAGGAGCGGAGGGAAGCTTTCGGCTGATGATACAGTTAGTGATCTTCCGACAGATGCTGAGTAGATAGACGGATGTTGGTGGAAATAAATGAGTGGTGTATAAGTAAGCGAACAGCTTTCCAAGGTTTCGGAGCGTTGGCAGGTGAGAAAAACGTGATCTAGACGAAGAAGGAAGGAGCGGAGGAGAGCCATCGGACGACAACACAAAACGAATCGTGCTGAAAGAGAGAAATACAAAAGACGTTTGAAACGCGGCGAATGGAAGAGAACACGCAGTGCACTTTGGTTTGTAGCTTTCGATGTGCCTGAGGGTGGGCGTCAGTAGGGGTGATACAGCAGTGTACCACACAACCCAGCGGCGGGCATATTAGCGAAAGACCTCGCGTCAAGGTGCGAGAGCTAGCATAACTCAGTTACCTTCATCTACTGAAGGTATTATGAAGCGGCATCGCAGACTTCCATCTCACATATGCTGATAGGCGTGTGCTGCCATCTATGTGCGTGCAGTGTGGCCTCGGACCTAACGCTTCGGATATAGATACAAGATAGCAAAATAGGAGATCATTGCTTTTAGTATCTGGAATAGGATACCATATCACGGTCACCAACAGGGTTGCGCCTAGCTCCTGTAAAATCCTAGTGAACCCTCTCCAAATCGGTTGGCAGCGTTGGCCACGGTCCGTACGCCACTATTAAGACCACCCCCAAAGGCTTGGGTCCCCGAAATTTCGCTCAAAGCATTTCTTCGAAGAATTCCCGATGTATCGCTACCACAAAGTGATCTGACTCTATTCTTGCCACATGCCGAGACCGCTGACTGTAAGCGTCGCAAACCGTCAGTGATAGCCAACTACCTCGCCGTGGCGTTGCGGTTCTTCATGTTTCCAGCGGCTCCATCGGACTGAGTCTCGAGCCTCTCGGATCTGTACACCATGGCGGGCGATTAGCATCTCAGGCTCCGTGTCATTGTCCTCCGCCATATGGGATAGGATTCTTCTCTCCTCTCTTTCTGTCCACGTCCCAATGATGTCAATGCATGTCGGTTTGAGATGTTGGATCCAGGCATAGTCCACCAGCTCCAATGGACGGCAGCACCCTACCGGACAAAATGCGTTCGTATAGTCTATCTCCACGTAGTTTAGTGGGTGGTCTCGCCTGGAATTGTTGATAAGGGTGCCGACTGTGTCCATTACTTGCAACCAGTTGTAGTTTACTCCGTCGTTCTCAGACAATTGATCCAGCATGTCCTCATGGACTATATCGTGCCGCCTATAATGCGATATGCTGTCGTACGATCTCGTTAACCAGGTGTTGCAATTCCAACGATTCAGCGGATCCAAGAACAGATCCTTTTGGTCGATAGCGAGACTTAAGCTCTGCAAATATTTCAATCCGTTGTCTGAGAACAGTTGTTGCGTTTCGAGACAGAGTGGCTCGGTGTGCCCTTCCCTACGAAATGGTATTTGAAGGTGCCAGTGCAGCGGCAGGACGAACAGATTCTTCGAAAGATAGATCGGTTCGGCTTCGCAATGCACCAGCTTGCAAACTTGCAGAATCTTCAAGAAAGGCTTTTGATAGTATGCCTTTTCCCGGTACCGTAAAGTGTGCGAGTGCTCTTGGTCGGTGTCTTTGAAATAAACCTTGCCGACCACCAACAGCTCCTCGTATACAAGGCAGCGTATCTCTACCGGAAGATCGAGGAATCGAAACGGAGTAATGACAGGCTGGGTGACTTTGGAGGGCGCTAGCGAAGCGAGGCGCGTATATACATGGGATGTCGACTTTGGGACAAACAGCGGTTGAGGTACTTTGCCTAGCTGGCAGAGGCAGCAAGTGCAATGCTCCACCTTGTCCTTGCGGCTCGGCGCTCTGCGAGACCGAAGCACTTTTGAGATCGTGGCGCCCATTCCTACGGTATTGTAGTCGAACGCTCCCCGGCTACTCTTCGCGTGGTACGACGATCGGAAGGAAGTATTAACGAGATATAGGCTCGATTAGGTCGTGGTGCGACGTAGCAACCTGGAGTAGCGGAAGTGTGTTAGTATCGATGCAGAGCGAATTAAGAGGAGCAACTTTACTCACCAATGTCAGTGAAGTCGCCCTCGGAAGGGGCTATGAGATCTTCTGAAGCTGTCAGCATCCGCACTAAACACCCCACAACCAAAGCCCTAACTCACAAGTGACCCTAGCGTCCCGATTGCCAGCGAAAACGACGAATTCGTCACCCAAACACGCGGCGCTCTCAACCGACGCCTCCCTTCTACCTGCTATGGACTTAGCTCCCACCTGCGACTGCCACGCCCAACGGACTCACCAGATAGCGCACGGAAACTCACGCTACACTCTCAAACGGAGCGCGCGAGCCTCCCTTCTCCGTCACTGAGATTGGGATAGAAGCGGAAGGAATCGACTGTTTTTCGCAGACGGCGAGGTAAGAAGGGGATGTGGATGTGGCAAGATTTTGAAGGGGCGAGGTGGTGTCACGGGAGAAGAAGGGAGTCGCGATGGGGAAGCGGTGAAAATCACCCTCGCCTATCGTTCCCATTTTCCTCTCCACTCCAAATCAAAACAGTGGGAAAGTGAATGAACACTGTATGTAAAAAACTTTGTCAATCCAGCTCTTGCGAGCCCATTGTATCTTATTTCATTTTTCTTTTTTAAGTGGCGACCTAAACATCGAAAGCACTTCGTGTACAGCAGCCGCGGAGCACAAAAGCCACCACACCATCAAGAAACACCACAAGCATTGTAGAGAGAAAAAGAGAGAAAGAAAGGAGATATTGTCCTTGAATCATACTCATCAGACGTGATGCTTCCGGCGGTCAAGCCAAGAGGTCCCGACCGTCTGGCAGAACCGCGTACATGACGGGTGCAGGGTGAACGGGGAAGGTGCAGAAATTAGGGGAGATCAAAAGACAAGGAGTGGAGGGGATGGAGACGATAAGATGTTGACAGGATGAAGATTTCGGAGTCTAATGAAGCGAAGCCCTTAGCACCCTAGAGAACCTTCCATGCCGCGAGATCAACGGATCCTACGTCGTTGATCCTTTCCAATGCACCGAACCATGAAGCCGTTCACTTTTGCCTCTCCGGATAGAGCGTGGGAAATGTCTAAGCCTTCGCCTCTTCGGTGGCAGCCGGAGCGGCGGGCTCCTCCTTGGGAGCTTCGGGTGCAGGCTCCGCGGCGGGCTCCTGGGTGGTGTCGGCCTCGGAAGACGTCCAGAGGGTCTGAAAGCACATTAGCCATTTTCGGTTCCTATGCTGTTCTCTATGCGACGTACCAAGTTATCCCGCAGAAGTTGCATGATGAGGGTGGAGTCCTTGTAGCTCTCCTCGGACAGGGTGTCAAGCTCTGGGTGTTGTTAGCCTCTTCTAATTGTGTGCGCTTAGATTCTAAACATACCGGCAATGGCGTCATCGAAAGCCTGCTTAGCCAACTGGCAAGCCTGGTCGGGGGAGTTGAGGATCTCGTAGTAGAAGACGGAGAAGTTCAGAGCGAGACCGAGACGGATGGGGTGCGTGGGGGCCAAGCTGCTAGCAGCGACGTCGGTGGCAGCCTTGTAGGCCTCGAGCGACTTGTCGGCGGAGGTCTTACGCTTGTCGCCAACAGCGAACTCGGCGAGGTAGCGGTGGTAGTCACCCTTCCTGCAAGCGCAACATTATTAGCTTTGGAAAGACCAAAAATCTGAGACTACTCACATCTTGTGGTAGAACACCTTAGACTCGCCGCTCTCAGCGTGGGGAATCAGGTGGCTGTCCAAGCACTCCAAGATATCCTCGCAAATTTTGGCGAGCTCGGCCTCGATCTTCTGGCGGTACTCCTTGATGAGACCAACCTGAGTCTCATTGCCCTTGGACTCCTCCTTCTGCTCGATGGATGTGACAATCCTCCACGAGGCGCGGCGAGCACCAATGACGTTCTTGTAGGCAACCGACAGGAGATTTCGCTCCTCAACGGAGAGTTCCTGGTCTGCAGAAGCGACGGCCTTCATGTTCTCGACCATCTCTGTGCACTGTGGTTAGCCCCGCAAATCGCGCACAGCCCGAGGAGCACTTACCCTCGTAACGTTCGGCCTGCTCGGCCAGCTTGGCCAGGTAGACTGAGTCCTCGTAACCCATTTTGATAGGAAGATCTGGATTGGTTGAGCGTTAGCTGGGGATGAATTGAGACAGCGCGCAATGTATGACGGGTGGAGGTTCCTGTGTGCGCCAACTGCTTGGAGTGCGGTCCAATATGCGAGCGTGGAAGGTGCGGTCGGGGCGGAGAATCGGCCGACGTGTCGAGGATTTATCCCATGCAAGTTGCACGGCGAGTGAGATCTCTCGGTCAGTGGTGAAGGGGACGGTTGGTAGCGGGTGACGAAGGAGCAAGGAGGAGTCGCTTGCAGGGCCTTCACCTAACCCGCTCAACGAAATTCACACCGTCGGCGCCGAAGGACGCAGCAGCGAGGCTGGGTAAGGCGGCTGAGCTTGATGTAGGCACCGTGTTGATGGCGCGTGTTGACCGGGCGTGCGTGGAGGCCGCCGTGAGAGCGAATTGAGGCCCGATACGCGGACGTCGGGGGGAAATGACGAAAGCGAGGGCTTGGAGGCACTTACTGGGAAGCAGAGAAGAAAGCGATTGTAGCTGCAGGGAAATTGGAGGTTGAGTGTGCTGAGGCGGGCGAGAGAGTGTGTAGGTCTCGTACAGAGGGCGGTTCGGTGGTGTTGATATGAAGTGGGGAGGTTGAGGATGGAGCCCTGGAGGTCAAAGCGAGCGTATTTTGCCAAGACGCTGCGGTCGATGGTGCCTACCGTCACGGCCCAGAATGCTCTTCACTGCAACGCGGACAATATTTTCACGAGCAGCCAGACGGGCGTTTGTCTAGGCGGTCCACGGGCGGCAGCCTTGCATGTGCCTATCTCCCAGTGGATGCCGCCCAGCTGGAGGTGCGGCGGCTGCCGGCCCCGTGATGGTCCGCGCCGCGCAGTCTGAAGGTGCTCGCAGTTCTTGCTGGACGTTGCACGATGCATAGCACACACGCAGTATGCTTGACCAGGCCTCAGACAGCTGCCACGCCGCTGCCATGGAAAACGCCGTTCTGAAACTGCAGCGCTCTAGACCAGAAATGCCTTATGCACTCGGGTTGTCTCAGCCATTGGGTGAACATGATGTGCGCTTCTTCGGCCCGTCTGCGACCTGAACAAGCGAGATGTAGAAGATTTGGCCACGGTAAAGCAAAGCCAGAGTCCATCAATCACGCGTAACCCGATCAGATGCTACTCATGGTTCGAGCTGCGAGATCCATATTCGCACGTGACCGGCAGGGATCTCATGACGCACGGCTTCACCCGAGCTTAACCTCGTCCACCAGACAAAGCTATCATACCACCTCGCTCTCCCCCACCTATATATTCCATTGCCACACCCCGCCAATTGCCCTCTTCATCCACAAGCTCACAATGCTCCGCGCATCGCTCATCAAGAACGCTCGTCCACTTGCCACTCGGCGCCTCTTCTCCACATCTACCCGCGTCATGTCTGCTGGTGACACTGGGTCCGGCGTGTCCAGGGCGGAAGGTATGCGCGCAGGGTAAGTCAAGCTGGAACGGCCATATTGTGTACCATTGAAGGATCTCGGCTAATGCAGCTGGCTTTGATAGCGATGCCTGGACGAAGCGCGAGACCGCCGCCGAGGAAATGTACATCAAGCAGGAAGAGAGGGCCAAGTACGTCGACTGATCGCATCAGCGAAGCTCCCCAATTGGTTCATACGTGCGCTAACGCGGGCACAGGCTGCTAGCCATCAAGGCGAAGCTCCAGCAGCAGCAAAAGCACATCGACGAGCTCACGAAGCACATGTCCGTTGGCCCGTCCCCGCCCTCCACTCCCAAGAAAACTAATACTTGACGCAGCGACGAAGTCACCAAGGAGAGCGGTGGCCAGGGCGAGCAGCAGCATTGAGCTCTACAGTCGCGACGGAATATTTGCATAGAGGATAGCGACGGAATAGGGAAGCCGGAATAGCAAACTGTGGTTCTGGTCGTCACTTTTGGCATGCGTATCTCTTTGTACAACATATGAGACGACTCTCCGATCTCGAAGTAGCTCCAAACACAATGTATACCTGATCGCATTTGCACTGCGCTTTTTCATTAAGTGCTTGTCCTATGGTACAAATCCCATGCGGGCCGTAGTCTCGCTTGGCCGAGCTTTCGGGATGTGTTACCCTAACGCCGGCCTCCCATGCAGTCCTAGATAGGTGTTTCAAATAGTTCGCTTTTAATGGCCAGTTCATCCCGCTTTCTCCAGAACGAAATGCTGCCTACGAGACGCCTCCAAATCGATCGGTCCGGCCACCTCTATAGCTCCGATAGAAGTCCTCCGCTGGATCGGTTCCAAGCCCATTCCAGCCATTGGCACCAACGCGCTGGCTCTCCTTCCGCGCTGCGTCAATCTTCTCTTGTAGCTGAGCAGCCCCAGAGTCGATAAGCTGGAGCTGCGAGAGCTGCGAATTGAGGACCCGGACGACCTTTGTCAACTGTGACATGGTTAGCGATTAGGCCGTACTAATATTGGCGTATGAACTTACGGGATCATCTGGTTTGCCCGTCTTGCTCAGGGTCTGTGACGTGCTGTTGATCTCCTCAATCATCTCGGTGAGGTCCTTGTTGAGCTCGTTGAGCCTGTCCTGGAGCTTCTCGGCCAGTTTGTAGCTGTTCCAGCGATCAGCGGATGGCGCCCGGGGTAGACTGTCGTCAGTTGAAGCGGGTAAAGAAAAGTCAACGTACGTCCTCTCACGTTCCTGATCCGGCCCGCGGAGGCCATCAGACCTCCCGCCGACGCCATGTATCTTCATCAAGTTCTCGATCTCCTTCTCATACCGATCCAAGTATTGATCTAGCTCCTGCTGGTTCTCTTCCATCATGGTCAACTGCCTCTCGACCTCAGCTGCATCGCGTTCCGCTTGAAACGTCTTCGAGTACAGTTGCTTAACCTTGTCCGAATTCTCGACCAACGCCCGATCCCACTTGGCGACCGTGTCGGCTTGTGTCTGGAATTCTTTCTGGTACTTTGACAAATCCGCTGCCCAACGCGTGATGATTTCGTCCATCGACTTGTTCTTCAGGCGGGACTGCGCGGACGGGGCAGGTCCGGCCGTCGAGCTGGCAAGTCCACTCTTAGCCGCGTCACCGCCTGCTGTTGTCGTGGTTCCCCCAAAAGAAGCAGCAGGTGCCGTTGTATTTGTGGATGTAGAGGGCTGCGCAGTGGTACCGGCAGGCTTGGCTCCTCCTAAGCTGAAGAGCCCAGGCGCAGCGGTGCTTGTCGATGCGGCCCCTGAGCTAGCTGCACTGGCACCGCCTCCTAGGCTAGGAAAGAGAGACAGACCGGAGGTTGCGGTAGTAGCGGTTCCGGCACCAGGTGAAGCTGTCGAACCACCCAAGGGGGCAGCTGTAGATGCCGGAGCATTGCCGCCCGGTTTAAGAAAACCGAATCCACCAGAGCCGGAGCCCCCAGAAGGACCGGATCCAGCACTTGCGGCCGAAAACATGTTGCTTGCTGGCGCTCCCGTCGATACAGGAGTCGATCTGTCGCCACCTAAGCTCAAGGGGTTTGCTGGAGTTGTTGCAGAAGGTTGCGATGAGGCTGGCTGCGCGGAAGCTGGTGTTGCGCCTAGACTGAATGCCGGTGGTTTACTCGCTGGTGTAGAAGACGGTGTTGTGCTACCTAGGTTGCCGAACAAAGACGGCTTTGGAGTGGCTTGCGTGCCTTGTCCGCCAGACGCTCCGGATTGGGCGGCACCACCGAAAATGTTTGTCGGGGCAGGCGATGGTTGCGTAGGCGTGCTTTTGTTCGCATCGGCTGTCGCATCTTTATTTCCAAAGCTGAAGAGGCCTGAGCCACCTGGGGTACTGCCCAACGGCTTCGCTGGGGTCGAGCTCGAAGCTGCAGCACCGAAGGGGCTTGTTGTAGGTGTGGATGCGGTGGCTGGCTTCGTTCCGAACAGCGAAGGGGCCTGGGAGCTTGCGCTTGTGCCTGTCTGAGCCGATTGACCGCCGAACAAGCTTGTGCCGGGCGGAGGTCCAGCTGGAGTCGTCGAAGGCAGGGAGAATGTTTTGTTTGCGGCGGGCGTCGCAGCTGGAGTAGAGGACGCTATCGCTTCAGGGTCAGCTTGGGGTATACGACTCGCGATTTAGATGTGGCATCATTGAAGGTACGAACCTGCCGTATTGCCAAACGAGAACGTCGGCGTAGACGTTGAAGTGGTTCCTCCTGTAGTTGCCACCGTGGTGCCACTTGTTCCAGCACCTCCGAATAGAGTCGGTTTAGCTGCGTTTGCTCCTCCGACGTTCCCAAACGAGAATGAACTTGATACCGGCTGGGAGGCTCCTGAAGTTGCTTGATTCCCTCCAAAGACACCACCGGGCTTGCTTGCAGCAGGCGCGTTCGACGAGGTATTTCCAAACAGCGTCGAGGAGGATCCTGTGTTCGCGCTTCCGAAGAGATTAGGACCGCTTGGAGTGCTGGAGCCTGTGTTTGCGTTGGTGGTTCCGCCGAAGAGAGAGCCTGTTCCGCCAGAGCTGGTGGCGCCAAAGAGGGGTTTGTTCGGCGTGTTACTGCCGCTGCCGCTACCGCCCGTCTGTCCAAAGCTGAACGACATTATGTCCGTATCTATGAAGCCTGTATAGAAGGGATTAGCCCTGGTGGAGGTATGGGCTAGGAACTATTTACCTGCGTGTATGGAGCGGGTGTACGGAGCGCGACTTGAGAAGCAGCGCGCGTTGAACAAAGTGCAAAGGCGCAGCAGCTGGCCAAATAATCAAGGGACCTTGCGTTGGTCAACAGGCGCAAGCAGCTCGTCACCTTCACGCGTCGCTGCAGCTCTAAAACTTAGGCAAGCACGACCGCCAAGCCCGGTGAATCGTTTCGCCGCTCCTGCCAGTTCCAGACCCCCCGCGATTGCCGGGCGTGTCGTGCCTGAAACAGACTCGTTCACGACCCGCCGTCCAGCACGCCTCTTCGCTATTCACTAGCCTTCTTCGACTGCTCTTCTGCCCTACGTCACTTCTCACGTCTCTCGTTCTCTCTACCTACACCTGTGAAGACATTCAGATCCATTAGGCTTTGTATCAAGCCTGCGTGTCACACTTCCGCAAGCCGCAATGACGGACGAACTGTCACCGCCCCGCAAGAGCGTGGAGCTCGAGGACCCGGGCGCGCGAGAGCTGGGTGTGTTCACCGCCTAGGCCATAAATGTTCCCTCTGCTGATCATCTTAGAATCTTCGAGCGACGAGCACTTCTCCGATGCTTCAGAAGGCCGCGCCGGACAGACCGGAAGGTCCAATGTCACTTCACCGATCCCAACTACCCGTGTAGAGCGGGTAGACGATGAGCCCAGCTACGGCGAAGTCCCAGGCACAGAAGCATACAAGAAGAGGGTTCAAGATGCGGTCCCCGACGAGGTAGAAGTCGTACCGGAAGGTTCGCGAAGCCGCAGTGCCTCCCGAGTCGGCTTAGGTGACCGCCCCTACACGCCTGGAGGCACTCCTGTTCCAAAGACTGTGGTGGAGAAGGTGGACCCGGAACAGCCCAGCTATGGCGACGTCCCTGGCACGCATGCCTACGAGGTTCGTGCTGCTGACGCTGTTCCTGACGTTGTCGTGAAGGTGCCCCAGCCGCCAGAGCGCAAACCGGAGGGTACGTAAGGGAGTTTCTTTGTGTTTTCCTGCGTCAATTGACGGAAGAAGGGTCGCCAACAGCCTCGATAAGCAGATCTCCCGTGAACTCCGAGCACGAAGACGAAGACGCCGACGAGTCAGATGCATCTGCTGCTGACTCACGAGAAGATACCAAGGGTACCTGCGAAACGGAGGATGGTGGCGAATTCGGCGATGATTTCGATGACTTCGAAGAGGGCGGGGAGGGAGATGATTTCGGGGATTTTGACGATGGATTTCAGCAAGGCGAGGAACACACTGAGACTACATTTGACAAACCCCCTGATCAGCCTTCTGTATCCGCCCCCTCTCCGGGCCCTGTAAGTCATAACTATTCAATCCTAAGTCAATTGTTACTCCAAGCACCGTTCGCAGTGATGTTTTGGCTGACGTTCGATCACGCAGCCCGTGCTCGACTTCGAGGAGCTCACCACGCTTGAAGACGTTGTCAACGCGACGCACCCATATCTTGATGAAATATACTCATCCATGAAAGAGATACCTAGCATATCCACGACGAACCAAGACGCCCTGCGATCAATATTCCTCTCCGACCGCAGTGTCTCTTTGTGGTCACAGCTCGTCGCTCCGCCGCCTCTGCAGCCTCCGGATTGGGTTCGGTCTCGGATACGGCGGCTATTCTTGGTGTCTCTCGGCGTGCCAGTTGACCTAGACGAGATACTTCCAGCATCCAAACAGAAAAAGCTCGTCCTGCCTTCCATACATATACCTGGCGAAAAGTCTCCGAGGCCTTCAGCAGACGGTCGAAATGGAGCGTTAGGACGCGTGAAAAAGGGAAATGCTTCGTCGACCTCACTCGATTCCTCAGCCTCCAGATCAGAGAGGAAACGGAAAGGCCCCCCTCCGCCTCCGCAATTGGACATCAGCTCCACAAGCATGCTGTGTTCTACCACTGAAGCCGCTCTCAGTAACTTCACCGATGAGGAGCTGCAGGCCCATGTCAAGAGGCTAGAGGAACTGAAAGAGCGCGCAAATGAGGTGTTTGAGTACTGGCAGCAGCGCTTGGAGAGCGCTCTGGGGGACAAAGATGCCTTTGAGCAGGTCATTGAGAGCCTTGTCGCGCACGCCAAGAAGCTCAGATGAGGGTATATTTTCGGATCGATTCTTTGTGGCTGCCAGACAACCGTTGAAGGCCTATCGACGGCGAGGCTTGGGGCTCCGCGGGGACGCTGCGACATGAACCGGTGAAAGACCTCAAGCTACGGGCTGCACGTGATAGGGAGACTAGCGTTCTCGGCTGCGCCTGCACGAGCCTACGTTCAAGATAGGTTGATTGGGCACGTGTATTAGTCTGTGGATGTAGTGTGGGGTTTGTCAGGGAATCATCCATGGGATGGCATGGATGTGGATATCGAAGGGCTGTCAGCCAAAGCACCGTCACCATCGGTCGCGCAGGTGCCCCGCTTGGAGGGGTTGACGATAATGAGTGGAATCAGCAACGCTGTCGTCCGATGTTTCCGGACGGAATACTAGACTGCACAGAGTGCTCTGTGACAGCGATGATCAAACAGGGGTGCTGTTACTTCGCCTTTATTAGACGGCATGTGGTGTATGCGGTTGAGGCGGCGGATGCCATTGCAGGCCCGATGGCAGAATGCGATGCTGCACAGAAGAGTGAATGCCAGCTCCTGCGGCGCCCGCCAGATGCAGGCAAGATTGGCGCTCAGCGTCGGACGGATGTCTCGTGTATCTGCCTCTAGGGGCTCGCGGATTGAATTGCGAAATCTCAGGGGCGACCTCCCCGCGGCAGGCCAGGCTCGTAGGGCCCGAGTCTGCGTGTTCGGCAGCCTCTCACCGGCAACGACAGCCGTGTTTTGCCCCCTCCTATTCTCGCATTGGGCTAAGGGCTGCATGCCGAGGCGAGGGCGACGATGGATTGCGGACACCAGCCATTGGCCTCCTTGCACGTTACTACAACAGGTCACACGCTGGGCCCTCGAGACCGGCGAGCCAGCAGAGGCCTGCGAGCGCGCGTCGTGCTGCTGTGCGCGGACGGCTCTTCTTATCGAGGGCGGAGGAATGAGGGCTGTGGCCACCGACGTCATCTCTGCCGCTCAGGCCAATTTGCCTCCCCGATGCTGCGGCTTTGTATCAAATCATTGTCTAGCGGACGCCCAGCGCGCGCACAAAGCAGCCCGCTCGCCTAGCGGACACCCGCTGCGTAGGCTAGCACGGGGAAGGGAATGCAGACGGGGCAAGGGACAGGGTGCATCGCTAATCCTGTAGCGCAGTGAAACGGAAGACCAGGTCTTCTTTGTACATGATTATCGCCGATTTGGTTTTACCAGACCACGAATAATCTAACAGCGCAGCGCTTTTGCCTGTGGCCGTTTCCATCTGCGCTCCTTCTCTCCACCGCTGCTTTTCGTGAACGCCCCGTATCGCCTCGTTAGTGCGCCTATTCTAGACCTTCACTCGGCCTCCCTCCCTCGACTAGCAGGAGCCGCCCAGCCCCAGCACGCTTCTTGCGCGGGGACCTCCTGGCCGGCCGCCACGACCCTACACCACCCCAGAGTCACGACAATCCAGCTCTCTATCCCCCCCAGCGCTCGCTGTTCTGCTGTCCGTCCGGAGTGCATCCATCCGCCCGAGGCTGAGCGCGCCTGCCTCCGCGTCCCCATGCCCATCTAGCAGGCCAGCTCACAGATACTCGCCAGAGCGATGACGGCCGAAACGTACCACGGGCTCTCGCAGATCCTCAAAAACCTCGCAAGACAGCATGATCCCGCGCTAGACGCCTCGTTCAGCGCCCAAATCGCCGCGAATGGCGCGAAGCAGAATGCCGTTACCGTCCCCGGCTCCGACTCCTCGGAAAAGGCCAGCCTCGAGCAAGAGCTGGCCGCGCTCGCTGCCCGCATACAGTATCTCGAAGCAAAAGCGAACGTGGTCGACAACCGCACCTTCCCCATAACGCCCGGCGAGCCCGCCAACTCGCCGTTCCTCTACCCTGCCACCGCAGCACCCGCCTCGCGCAACGGCGGCCCGCCCGGTCGTCGCGGTTCATACAAGGAGCAAAGAGCGACATGGGTCAGCAACTGGCTGGCGGCGAAGGAGCCAAATGGCGGCTCAGAGCAGCCCGCAGCTGCCCTCACCGAGGAGCAGCTCAATTACCTGCGCGACCACCTCAACAAGCAGGCCGACCAGATTAAGAACCAGCGCGAGCACATTGACAACCTCAGCGCCGAGGTCAACAAGCAATTGAACAACCAGAACATGGCGTTTGAGCATGGCATTGAGGACATTGGCGCGTTGAAGCGCGAGCTGGGAAAGCACCAGCAGGCCAACCTCGCTTTCCAGAAGGCTCTCCGCGAAATCGGAAGCATCGTCACGGCCGTCGCTATGGGCGACCTGAGCAAGAAAGTTCTGATCCATGCCAAGGAGATGGACCCTGAGATCACGCTGTTCAAGCGCACGATTAACAAGATGGTGGACCAGCTGCAGGAATTCGCCAGTCAGGTCACGTTTCTAGCCAAGGAAGTCGGCACCGAAGGCAGGCTCGGTGGGCAGGCGAATCTACCGGGCGTGGACGGCATTTGGGCAGAGCTGACGGACAGCGGTAAGTTGCGTTTTGTAAATCACTCCTATCGGCCCTTCTCACAGACCCTGCAGTAAACGTTATGGCGAAAAACCTCACCGAGCAGGTGCGCGAAATCGCAATTGTGACCACTGCCGTAGCGCATGGTGATCTGAGCAAGAAAATTGAGCGACCGGCGCGAGGCGAGATTCTTCAGCTGCAGCAGACTATCAATACCATGGTGGACCAGCTGCAGTCGTTTGCCACCGAAGTCACCAAGGTCGCCAGGGATGTCGGCACAGAAGGCAAGCTCGGTGGCCAGGCTGAAATTGCTGGCGTAAAAGGCATGTGGAACGAGCTGACGGTCAACGTGAACGCCATGGCACAGAACCTTACTACGCAGGTCAGAGATATCGCACAGGTTACCACCGCAGTCGCACAAGGAAACCTCACGCGGAAGGTCGAAGCCGAGTGCAAGGGCGAGATCTTGGAGCTGAAGAACACCATCAACCGCATGGTTGACCAACTGCAGCAATTTGCACATGAAGTAACAAAGATAGCACGGGAGGTCGGCTCTGAAGGCCGACTTGGAGGACAGGCTACCGTTCATGGTGTGGAAGGTACTTGGAAAGATCTGACCGAGAACGTGAACGGTATGGCGATGAACCTCACAACCCAGGTGCGAGAGATTGCAGAGGTCACGACGGCCGTCGCCCGCGGAGACCTTAGCCGGAAAGTGAAGGCCGAGGTCCAAGGCGAGATTCTCTCTCTCAAGATTACTATCAACACCATGGTGGACCGTCTTAATACCTTTGCGCAGGAAGTGAGCAAAGTGGCTCGCGAAGTGGGAACGGATGGTATCCTGGGCGGACAGGCCAAGGTGGACAATGTTGAGGGCAAGTGGAAAGACTTGACCAACAATGTCAACACCATGGCGCAGAACCTCACGCTTCAGGTGAGAAGTATTTCGGAGGTCACACAAGCCATCGCGAAGGGCGACATGAGCAGAAGAGTGCATGTTGACGCCGAGGGAGAGATCCGGCTGCTCAAAGATACTATCAACGACATGGTGACACGTCTCGACGACTGGTCGCTCGCAGTCAAGCGTGTCGCTCGCGACGTAGGGGTGGATGGAAAGATGGGTGGCCAGGCCGATGTTCAGGACATCGACGGACGCTGGAAAGAAATTACTACAGATGTCAACACGATGGCACAGAACCTGACGTCCCAGGTGCGTGCATTTGGTGACATTACCAACGCAGCCATGGAGGGCAAGTTCACACAGATCACCGTCGAAGCATCTGGTGAGATGGACGAGCTGAAGAGGAAGATCAATCAGATGGTCTCCAGTCTTCGAGAGAGTATCCAGAGGAATACCGCCGCCAGGGAGGCCGCAGAATTGGCGAACAAGACGAAATCCGAGTTCCTGGCCAACATGTCTCATGAGATCCGGACGCCGATGAACGGTATCATCGGAATGACACAGCTGACCCTCGACACGGACCTAACGCATGCGCAGCGGGAGATGCTGACCATCGTCCATAACTTGGCTGGCCAGCTTCTCACCATCATTGACGACATTCTCGATATCAGCAAGATTGAGGCTAACCGAATGGTTATGGAGGAGATTCCCTTCTCCCTTCGTGGCACAATATTCAATGCCCTCAAGTCTCTAGCTTCAAGAGCGAACGAACGGAAACTGAATCTGGCATACGACGTCTCTTACTCTGTTCCCGACTACGTGATCGGCGACTCTTTCAGGCTGAGGCAGATTATTTTGAATCTCGTTGGCAACGCTATCAAATTCACCGAGCACGGTGAGGTCAAGGTTGCCATATCCATGGCGGCAGAGCAAAATTGCGCAGCAGACCACTATGTCTTCCAGTTTGCGGTTTCCGACACCGGCATTGGAATCCACGGGGACAAACTCAACCTCATTTTCGACACCTTCCAGCAGGCAGACGGATCAACGACGCGCAAGTTCGGTGGTACAGGTCTAGGTCTTTCCATCTCGAAGCGTCTCGTCACGCTCATGGGCGGGAGGATGTGGGTGGAATCCGACTATGGAAAGGGTAGCACATTCTATTTCACGTGCAGAGTCCGCCTCGGACACCCTGACCTGAGTGCTATCCAGCCACAGCTCACGCCCTACAGCAAGCACACCGTGCTTTTCGTAGACCAAGGCCATACTCGCTTCTCGGATAATATCGTAGAGCAACTAAAGACCCTTGACCTAGTGCCGGTTATCGTTCACTCCATCGATGAGGTGCCAGCTTCGGACAAGAGGATCGCTCCGGATATGCCGTTTGACTGTGTCATCGTGGACAACGAAAGGACGGCAAGAGAGCTCAGGATTGCGGAACGCTTCAAATACATTCCGCTTGTGATGCTCACTCCGCGGGTATCGATCAGCCTGAGGTCTGCGCTCGAGAATGGTATTTCAAGCTATATGACGACACCATGCTTGCCCATCGATTTAGGCAATGCCCTGATCCCAGCTCTTGACGGACGAGCGGCGCCGTTGGTGTCTGATCATTCGAAATCGTTCAACATCCTCCTTGCAGAGGATAACGCCGTCAACCAGAAGCTCGCTGTCAGAATCCTCGAGAAGTACCATCACAGGGTAACAGTGGCGAACAACGGTCTGGAAGCACTTGAGCTCATCAAGAAGAAGCGGTACGACGTCGTCCTCATGGATGTACAAATGCCCGTCATGGTAGGTCAATGAATCAAGTTCCGCGAGAAGCGCTTCGCTAATTCAGTGTAACAGGGTGGTTTCGAGGCCACTGCCAAGATTCGTGAATGGGAGCGCGAGAACGTCTTACCATCGACACCGGTCATTGCTCTGACTGCTCACGCTATGGTGGGCGACCGTGAGAAGTGTCTCGCCGCTCAGATGGATGTAAGTGCCTCCTCGCCTTTCCTTATGTGGGTTTGATCGCTGACAAAAATAGGACTATCTATCAAAGCCGTTGAGGCAAAATCAACTGATCCAGACTATCCTACGGTGTGCGACATTGGGTGGTGGACCTCTGTACGATCACGACCAGCGACATTCTATAGAGCACATGGCCGCTCCCGAACTCAACCTTCCTTCCGAAAGTCCGAACTCGACACCCAAGGGCACTCCGCGGAGACCACAACTCGAGGCGAGAGGCTACACGGAGCGGGGCGTTCTCGCGGACGGCAGTCCTTCGCTCTTGGCTGCTGATCAATCCGATCCCGTAGATAGGCTTTTGCTTCGGTCGCACAGCAGCTGACTATAGCGGTCGACGACACGCCCAAAGCGTCGTCACGAGCTCTGCAAAATTTTGCAGTTCTGAGACTGTTGAGTTGAAGTCTCGATTGGTATGGTTAGTGGATACCCCTGGGTACACAAGTGATGGCAATTTCTTTGTAGCGAAAGAGCACGAATTGGTCGACCATATAGTCTCTTCATACCCAGCGCTTGTTCTTCTTCTCTTAGCTCTTTCAATTATTTCTTCACCACCGTTATCTGAGGAGGAAGGTGCATAAGTCTCGGACGAGACAGGCAGAAGGGACGGAAGAGGAGAGGAGAAAGAATTGCGACATTTCTGGTCTTGGAAGCCTTCTCTCTTCTTCGGTGCTAGCCAGGTTGGCCGGGCAGGTTCATTTGCATTTGTGGGAGTTTGTAGGGTTGTTACTGTTCCCCGCAGGGCCTGACAGACAGGATGGGGCGTGCATAGGAGTCAGGTTTTGTATGAAGTTTCTCTGTTCTTGCTTTCTCTTTTTCGAAGTATTTCTGTTCCGTATCTTTCGCTTGTAAGGCATTCTTTTTTCTCGATCGGATACTACTTCTCTCAAGAGCGATGTATAGGATTTGATAGTGGAAATTGATGCATGATGCCCAGACATATCATTTGCTGAGCTGTGAGATTGGTCCTGAACACCGATCTTTGTAACGTAGAATTGTTATTCCATAGCGATATCTGAATGTGCCATTCTAAATGGAATGACTTTTCGGGTTCGTGAAAAGGTGTTTCTTCATGTCCAAGGTCCTTGGCTTCACTAGCGCGGCTTTTGCGACACTGAACCATACGAAGTATCTAGTCCACATTGACCGGTCGAGTTTCATGTCCAATACGGTCGCCGTGGTACAGAAGCACTGCAGCCTCGCCAGCTCCCGCCATGCTTTCCTCTTCGATAATTCATTCCAGGACCCTGTCCGGGTGGTTCTTTGGCTCTCCCTGCCACCATGGAAGCCCCAGGGTCTCTGCTTCTGAAACTACCCCGCCCGTATTGCGAGAAGTATACCGATGTTCTACGAGTGTGAAGCTTTAGCGAAAGCGTAGGTCGCATTGCTCGAAGTACCTGTGCTGTAGCCGAAATATACTTCATCAGTAATCAGGGACGGAAGGCGGGTCGATTGAAAGTAGGCGAATTCTGTCTGGGATAATGAAAATGATGATTAATAAAGCATACATGGTATCTCCCGGCATCCCTGAGGCGATGCATAAGCTGCGTTCGAGTCATCTGGCTGGCAATTCATACATCCCGACTTGTCTGGCCGGCAATTCATACCTCCCTCCGGTCGGGACGTACGACTCGTCTGTCTTCGGACGTGCATATAGGCTAACGCCGTGCACCCCTGAACCGTTGTTTTCTATTAGCTTGCCAAACCCGTTACCGTGTAGGCTCCTTTTCCTTCTCTTTCCAATGACAAATCCAATGGTGAGCGCCAATACAGTAAGGAGAACAGCACCCATAACACCAACCCCAATGCCGACTTTTGCGCCCAAGCTGAGGCCGCCGGATGAAGACGGGAGAGGAGACGCTGGCAGGGTGGAAGAGGTGCTTGTTTCGGAAGTGGCTGTCTGCAGAAAGAGCTCAGTGAATTGAACGCTACGCGCGCATTAGAAAAACATACGGACGTCGGCGTCGAAGTCGCAAAATCAGTCGCTTGGAATCTCACTTGGATTCCATATGCGTTTAAAGCGGCAATGCCGTCCACAGTAACAAAATCCACAGTGGGTGTGTCTCCTGCGCGGGACGATGTGACGGTGAAGGATGCGGTCTCCGTGAACTTTGACTCACACATGAGCGTGGTTAGAAAGGGCAATGCGGTGTCATCTTTTGCCGTTTGGATATGGTATGGTATTGCACTACAACGAGCTGCGGTTAGTGGCACGGTTCGGTGGTGGTGGTGCGGAGGACGACTAGCCTTGGGCAGCAGAAGTGCGTGGTCTCTGTCACAGAGCCCGCTGTGTTCACATCGCTGGACGCCGCAGTGTACCCCGAGGGACAAAGTCCTGGCGAGTAGAATGCTGTTGTCGTTGGCACGTAGCCTGAGGGGAAGCATTCTGCTCTTGTTGGCCCGCCTTGGACAAAATAGCGGCGACCTGGTGGATCGGCATAGAATGCCCAAATGTCATCTGTTGCTAGGCACGATGGCGGAGGTGTGAATGCCGCCAAGGAAGTGATAGACATCTAGGCAATCAGATCCTATATACTCTTTGTGAGCGCGTGGAGGTCGCAATGAGGAAGTCTGCAAGGCGAAGAGGAGAAGCAGGCGCAACTCCGCCCCGCGCGTGCGCCTGGTTATGTATGCCTGCCCATGAATCCTTTTGCATTGCGCCCCCAAATGGACGGAAGCTCCAACTGTCTCGGAGCATGCACATATCGTGTCTCGATATTTACGCCCGCTTGGCTGCGACGCGGGGACTGGTGGCCTTAAAAGCGCGCTAGTAGCGAAGCTTGGGCCATCCTCACCTGCGAACCTTGAGTGAGCTGCAAGCTGAACAAGGCCATATATCCTCGTCCTGCTTTTTGCTTTCCTTCCGTCACCGCAATGACAGGTATAGACGACATTTTCAAGCACCCAGTCGCCGCGACGAAGCGCAAATTCGAGGACCCTTCCGAAGCCGACCCGACGCAAGCCTACAAATCCGCGAAACTCAACTCCAACGGCGCTGTGAAGCGATCAGCACACGATTCGGTAGCAGACGAAGATGACGAAGACGAAGCCGGTCCCTCTTTACCTCCGGACTTCGAGGAGGAGCCCGGCGACGACGAGGAGGGGAGATTCTTCGGAGGCGGCATAGACGAGGACGCGAAGGACGCAATGGACTTCCTGGACGCACAAGATAAGGAAGAGGCAATTACGGAAGAGAAGTACGACTCTGCGTGGCTGCGGAAGCTGGCTCTCAACTTCGAGAAGAAGGTGAATAAGAATGCTTCATTGCGCGCAAAGTACGAGGACGATCCGTCTAAGTTCATGGAATCAGAAGGCGACCTAGATGAGGGTATCAAGGCCCTGAGCATACTATCCGAGCACTCGGAGCTATATGAGGAATTTGCGAAGAATCCGGCAGCCACGAAACTGGTCGAGCTGCTTGCGCACGAGAACACGGACGTCGCAATCGGCGCCATCGAGATCATATCGGAGCTCACAGACGAGGATGTGGAGGCGGAGCAGGAGCAGTGGGATACTCTTGTGACGGCACTCTTGGAAGCAGACCTGCTCAGTCTGCTCATATCCAATTTCTCACGCTTCGACGAGAGCAACGCCGAAGACTCCTCCGGAGTGTACCACTCGCTCAGCGTTATAGAAAACCTACTCTCACAGCCAGCAAATATGGACCTGGTGGGCAAGGAGACTAAATTCCTCACGTGGCTGCTCAACCGCATCCAAAAGCAGGAGAAGCCTACCTCGCAGAACAAGCAGTACGCCTCCGAAATCCTGTCCATCCTCACACAGTCGTCCCGTCCGAACCGTAATCGCCTCACCGAAGCGAACGGTGTCGAAATATTCCTCACGCAGCTCGCCCCATACCGAAGAAGCGACCCAGAAAAGGAAAGTGAGGAGGAAGAATACATGGAGAATTTGTTCAACTGCTTAACGTCATTGGTGGATGAACCAGAGGGCAAAGTGAAGTTTTTGGAGGCAGAAGGCGTTGAGCTGTGTCTGCTTATGGTGAGGGACGGCAAGACGAGCAAGAGCCGAGCATTGAAAGTGTTGGATCACGCCTGCGGATATGCCGAATCAACGCCTCCAGAGGAGAACCGGACGAATGGCGTAAGTAAAAGAAGGGAGGATGAGGATGCAGAGGATAGCAAGCCAAATCTCGCTGCTCCAGTATGCGAAAAGGTCGTCGAAGCAAGAGGTCTTAAGCCTATATTCAGCACTTTTATGAAGACAAAAAAGCACGACCCAGAGACCACGGAACACATCCTTGGCATCTTTGCATCTCTCCTACGCTCTCTACCCGGAAACTCAGACTCGCGGTTCAGAGTGCTCGCTAAGTTCTTGGAGAAGGACTACGAGAAGCTCATTAAGCTCGTCACCCTACGAAGAGACTATGCGGCTCGCGTGGCGGCTTTCGACGCCAGATTGAAAGAAAAGAAAATAGGGCTCTCGAAACAGGAACAAGAGGCGCTCGATATGGAGAATATCCCTTCGCGGCTTGATGAGGGACTGTACTGCCTAGAGCGTATTGACGTGATCTTGGCGTGGGTGGCAGCTGAGGACGATGGAGCGAAGAGAGCTATCGTCAAGGCATTAGGGGAGAGAGATGAGACCCTGGTAGACGTTCGGAGGACGCTGCAGGCGCAGCTTGATGGAGTTTTAGAAGTGGAGCCTGCGGAGAGGGAGATGTTAGAGGCTTTGATCGAGTTCTTGAGTTGAAGAACCCTAATCTTGGCGATTTTGCTGCTGCAACGTCTGGTATAGCGAGCGAGCTTGTGAGTACTGTATCATATCCCCACGAGGAGCATAGCATAATTGCAGTCAGGGGGAGTAGGAAAAGACCAACGCTTCAACCAAGATTTATCTATTCTTCCGTGTCCGAGCTCAGCATCATTCTAATCCTAAAGATCAATTAGCAAAGAAACTTCAAATGTCCTCGATCACCGCTCTCGCCCGCGGCACACATCTCCCCGGGTGCCAAACCGCCAGCAACCACACCGCCACCACAACGGGCGCAAACTCCAAACACCCAAAATACACCTCATGCGTATTCAAATCGCCATACAGCCCCTGCGCCGTCTCCGCCAGCCTAAAACACACCCGCAAATACATTAACACCACCGCGATGCTAAAACTCGTATAGAAACTCTTCCTCACGACTTTAAACATCACCCCCCTCGCGCTCCACACAAACGCCACAAACAGGCCAATAAATACCAGAAACGTAAACGCCTGGAACGCCAGCCCCGCCAGCAGAATATTATTCGCCGTCGTGGGATCCTTGCGGTTCGATTCCGCGACGCCAATGAGCGCGGCGCCGAGGATTTGCACCACGGTCGCGACGACGTCGCACGAAATGAAGATCCAGAGGATGAGCTTGGGCGGGATGGGCGCGTAGTGCCGGCCTGTGGCATTGATGAGGAGCGAGAGGATGGTGTAGATGGCGGCGGCGAAGAAGACGGGGGCCACGACTATGAAGAAGTATTGTATGACGAAGAAGGTTACGCGGTAGGGGTCGAGCTGCGAGGAGAGGCTGCGGAATATGTAACCGACGATTTCCTGTGGAGTGTGTGTTAGTGTTGGGGAGAAGAAGACGGGTGAATGAGTGAGTGGAGCGGAACGTACGAAGATTATCCCGACCATGACGGTGCTGAAGTACCATGCGCGGTACTTGAACAGCTGCCATCCGTGCAGGATGCCCGCGAGGAAGAAGAGAACGCAACCCAGCACGCCGACGACGATGGAGGGCGTGTATCCGTAGATTATTATGCTGGCGTCGTCTGGGCCTCCCGGGTTGGGGAAGTTGGGGTCGATGTAGCCCCGTGGCGGCGGTTGGGAGGACATCTTGACCGTAATTCAGTAGAGACGGGATTCCGGCGCAAGAAGGAAGACGAGTGGAATAGTAGAGCCAGCAGTGTACGTGAAATTATTTTATTAGATATGGAAAAGGGCAGAGATATCGTTGCTCTGGGATTGACAAGGGAAGAAGAACTCGGTTGGGGATATCTCGAGAGGCGAATATCACAACACAGTCTATCGATAAGCCCAAGCGGAAGTAACACAAATTATATGGAGCAAGATATAAACTACGCTGTGACGAGTTGGTTCGACCTCGCGATCCCCATACAAAGTCGTGCCCATCGTTTCCGCATGCGGATCGTCAAAGCCGTCATTCAAGCCTTGGCTTTTTCGCTACAATATTGCTTGTTTAAACCACCGCACTTCCTTGGCGACGGCGGAGCTACAGCTCAGCAGTCGAATTCTTCGCGCGATGGAAGTTAAAAGACGGAGTTGAGTGGGCGTGGCCTTGGGAAGGGTGATGATTTGAGGTCAGATGATCTGGAATGGCTGGAAATGTCATTGACGGAGAGTAAGTTTAAGGGAGAAAGCTTGGCTAAGTAGGACAAAGGCTTTGTAGTGGTGCTTGGCTTTTAGGTGGATATCAACCTCGGGGAAGTCCGCCGCAGTGCATGGGAGGTATGCGATTCTTGCTCAGTTAGTTGTAAGGATTCCCTCTTGATTCTCGGAAGGATTCTCGATACTTGAGAAGAATCTCAATATATGATTAGGGAAGTGTGTACCGAAACTTAGAGTGTGTCCCGCACTGTCTTCTTGTAGAATAAGCTGCACGCGTATTCCTCCAAGCTCAAGACCTAGCAGGGATATCGAGGCTATTGTGCCGCCTTCGAGGACGCTGCCAGTAAACTTCAATCATCCTTGCTTAGTACTTTCGGTCACATTCGCGGGGTTTTCGTGTAGCGGAGGGAGATGGTGGATGAAGGACGACGGGTGAAAGCGAGTGGGGCATCTGTCGATGGGAAGTAGCATCCTCCCTATCTCAAGTTAGCTTCTGCTTCACTGGTGTATCAATAGAGCCAACGTACCTTGTCGAGCCCTGTTCAGAGATCGCGGCATCCGTTATAAGCGTCGATATGGCTGTGGTGGAGTGCTGACAGCACCCTCTTTTCGATGAGGTCGCAGAGCGGACTGCCTAGAATTGCGCCTTACTAAGAATTCTAGCCTGCTTGATGGTTCCATTGCCAGGTCCGTAATCCATGGTCAGCGCCAGCAGGTTCAAGAAAACGGAAGAGCGAGAACAGAGCTTGGGGGGTGGAGGGAAGCCGAACTAGACCCGCTAGGTTAGCGCCCTGTCAGTGTTGTTTCTAGCAATGGCCTCAGTGTTGATTAAAGTTCTCTGGCCATATCATTTTTGCCTTCAAAGGGAGATACTGCCTGACTAGATATGGGATGAGTATGTTGCAGATTCCGAGGTTGCTGCTCGTAAAAGGACCCCGATACTAGGCTTTATTGGGTCTAGCGGCCGAGCTCGGTCTTCTGCGAGTGCGGGGATCTCCACCGCACACACATCACACCATCAAGGTCCTCAGCTTCAAATATGGCTGGCCTTATTCCTCTGAAGAACAGGAGTACTTATAGTAAGCGTCTCTAGTTATGAGTTCTCCCTCAGCCACAGCGAGCACCAGCGCATCGTCGGAAGCAGACAATGACCCAATCGAACACGTTCAAGTTCAGAAGAGGGGACCTAAGAGATCGATCCTATGGAGGCTCTATCTATCTCATACGCTATCAACATGGAACGCCCGCACCTTTGAGTTTGGAGCCGTAATCTTCCTGGCCGCTATCTTTCCGGGCACGCTTTTCTACGCATCCTGCTATGCTCTCTTCCGCTCTGCAGCAGCAGCGCTCCTCAGCTCTTGGATCGGCGGAGTCGTCGATAGAAAGGAGCGTCTTTATGTGGTCCGCATGAGCATCGTCTACCAGCGATACGCCGTCGCCGCCTCGTGTCTCGTACTCCTCGTCCTCCTGCGGGGTCCGGAAAGTGTGCTTGTTACTATTGGCTGGTTCATCATATGCGTGCTGCTGGCATGCATCGAGAAGCTGGCGTTCGTGGGAAACACGGTCGCTGTAGAAAGAGACTGGGTTATTGTGGTTTCGGATAGCCTGGGGCTACCAAGGGAGGAACTGAATAGTACCATGAGGAGGATCGATCTTGTATGCAAGCTGGTAGCTCCTCTTTGCATTTCGCTGGTGGATGGGTATTCGACGAGGGCTGCGCTATGGGTCGTCTTCGGTCAGAATGCTTTAAGCGTCATTTTCGTAAGTCCTCTTTGGAGGCCAAGTGAGAATCATCGGCTAATCATACCAGGAATACTTCGCCATTGCCCAGGTCTTCACGGCTGTGCCTGAGCTAGCACAAGGGAAGGGAGAGCACCGACCCGCACTATTCGAACTCGAAAACCGACGGGATCCAGAATCATCGAGCCCTGAACCACCATCGTCCGGATTCTCCTCGCGGATGCACAACATCCTCCGACCTTGGAAATCCTACGTGCTGAACCCCGCCTTCCTCGCCTCCTTCTCCCTCGCCCTTCTCTACCTCACGGTCCTGAGCTTCGCCTCGCAAATGACAACCTACCTCCTGACTCTCGGCTACACTAGCATCCATGCCTCCGTCATGCGGCTCGTCGCCGTGATTGTCGAGCTCTCAGCTACCTGTGCCGCCCCAGCTTTAATGCGTCGGATAGGCGCAGTCCGCTCGGGCCTCTGGTTCATCAACGAGCAACTCCTCTCTGCAGCCCTAGCAATCGCCCTCTTCACCACCCTCGGTTCACAGACAAAGCTGGCGGGCGGCGCGCTCGTCGTTGGCGTAATACTTTCCCGCCTCGGTCTCTGGGGCTTCGATCTCTGCGTGCAGTATCTGGTCCAAGAAGACGCTCCCGAAGCGACGCGCGGCTCTTTCTCTGCCGTGGAAGCCTCACTACAGAACCTATTCGAGCTCGTTTCATTCGCGGCGACTATGGTCTTCGCGAAACCCGAGCAGTTTAAGTACCCGGTGTATATTAGCGCCGGTGCCATCGCGATGAGTGCGATTTGTTACGCAGGCTTTGTTCGGCAGAAGAGAGGGCACTTGCTGCATACCTCAAAGTGCTTCAGAAGGCAGGGGAGGGACAAGTATCAAGTCCTGCCCACCATAGAGGAGGAGGAAGAAGAGCTGCAGGAGTTGCCGAGTGGAGCGAGGTAACATGATCCACCTCTTTAGCTGTATGTAGTAGGAAACCCACATGTTTCTCGAACATGCAACACTTTCATGATCCACACCCGCAATCTCTCCCATAGCGAATCCCCTTCTCAATTCCCTATCCCCCATTTCTCCTATAACATAACAAAATCCACATGTCTCAGTTCCCCTTGCTCTCCCATCCCATCCCATCCCATCCCATCCCAAAGCGGCTCCCTTCCCCCAATCCGAACCTTAGCCGAAACAGAGCCGCATCGCATCTGACCGCTCGCAACCTCGGCGTCTTCCGGCAAACCGCACCCCGGCATCCCCGTACGTAACAACGCCGCTGACATGGCCCAAGCAAAATTCACGACTGCCGCAAGCGTGACACCGCCGCCTTTGTCCTAGCCTCCTTTGCGTGGCTTTCCCAGCGGTTCCCAGCGGTCTTCGCTAGCGTACGGCGGGCGCGCGCCCCTTGCATCGCTGCATCGCAACGTGGTGGCAAAAAAAGCCCGCAATAAGCGGCGACCACACCCCCCAACAACTGTCAACAAGCCTGCAGGTCGCAGTGTCAAACACGTGGAAGGGGCGGGCCAAGCGGGCCCACAATACGACGTATATCAGAGAACGCGTAAGATCGGCGACGTCGCGAGTGCTTTGGCTGGCTCGAACGCTCTGGTAGCGAGCGCATTAGTATAGCGCGTGGCTGGGAGCGTTTGGCGTCGGGAGATGGGTTATGGCTCTGGTAGCGATGGTGCGCAGATCGAGAGGCGTAGCAGCGCTGACGCTTTGGGCCGTACCTTGGATCAGAACACATGGCGCAGGGACGGTGTACCGGGCGGGTTTGAGCACGGGAGATGAGATGGGTATAAGATTGGCGGTGTGAAGCCTAAGTAGGTAGATATGGGTGTATGAGGAGATATGTAGGTTGGGAGAGGCCGCAGGGACGTTCAGGGTGTTGGTAATGCAGCACATTCCCGGGTTAGAGTAGATGATGGAAGGGAACTTGTCCACAGTTCTATCCTCGAGGTAAGTTTGTAATGGCGATGAAGTGGGAATAGTATCTTTATTCCCGCTACCTAGTGCTGGGAACGTTTGAACGGTACGGATGACAAAGAGAAGTATTCTTTTGAAGAGCAGAGTAGAGATACCAACGTATATTGAGCCAGAAAAAGACAGTCTAGTGATCAAATCGCGTGGTATATGGAAGGAGAAAATGGAGACCCAATCCCCCCACTGTAAAGACTTCTATACGACCCGAAAGGACATAACCCAAGGGGCAGCGCATAAGCATACCCGTATAGAACTTTTGTTATCGTCCCTCATTAACGCCAACGACCCATCTAACAAAGCAATAAACGCGGGGATTAGGGGATATATCCGGGGATCGAAAGCCAAAGAAAAAAACTGAAACCACTCAGAACACCTCTCTAATGCACATCAAATCGTCATACCAGCACTGCTCTGCGGCCGGTCAAAAAAGATGCGACTCAAGAGATGTACACGAAGCGAAATGTAGTGTGTTATGCAAAACGCGCCAATATCCAACAACGAATCCGGTCCTCTGTTGCTCTTGGTCCGGCCATCGTGCAACACCAAGAAGCGCCAAAACCGGATGCTAGGGATGCGATGCTGAATAACCGTGACTTTTATGTAATGCCCGTACGCCTAAAGAGAGCTCAAGCCAAATCAGCGAAGCCAGATCTATGTCGTAGAGAACGCCAGCCAGATGTCGGAGATCGAATCATGGGTATCAGGGAGAACATGAACCGTGTAAGGGCGGTGGAGATGTCGATAAAGATGTCGATGTAGGCCATGTTCTTTAGAACATGGAGGCGTCCATCCCCGTCATCCCGGCTCCAGCAACATTTGCGCCGACGTTCATCCCCTGCAGAGCCGGGAGCTGGCTGAACTGCGCTCCCAATTCTGGATTGCACCTCGGGGCGTGAGCGCGGTGGTACTTGAGGCCGTTCAGGTTCTTATATCGCTTTCCGCACATCTCGCAGCGGTATGGCTTCTCCTTCTCCATCCCGATAGTACCGGGATAAGGTATTGAGGTCAGCGGGTCGACAATCGAAAAGGTTCCGTCGTCGTTCTCTTTCAGCTGCTGGTTCTGGTGGCCATGCTGGATATATGTTAGCAGGTTGGTCAAGGCCGAGGAAAATAGTGAACTTACCTGCTTGTGGTACTTGAGACCATTCTGATTCTTGTACGCCTTTTCGCAGCCTATGACCGGGCACCTGAAAGGCTTAACTTCCTCCGGGAACGGGAACTGGGGGACATTGGCGCCGTTGAGGAGCTGCTGCTCTCGGATCCTCTGGTCGGCTCCTCCAAGCTGGTAGTTCTTGAAAGCCGCCTGCAGTTGTTGCTGGCTGAGACCAGCGCCCTGCTTGCTGAATAGACGCTTGCCTGGCTGATCAATGGTGCCATCGAATCCGGGCATGCCAGTCCCGAAGTTGGCATTGCCGAAGTTCATATCCATGCCATGCATGCCCATCATTGGAGGATTCAGGTTGTTCGCAAAGTCCATATCGAGCTCGGCAGGGGTGCTGGGATGCGAGGACTCTGGGGATGTCAGGCTCTGCGTGTTCTGCATAGGTGCGGCTCCGAGGGTCGGTGTATTTACGGAGGAGACGGTAGGGTTGTTCTGCAGGCTAAATTGCTGCGAAGCGGCCGGTGTTGTCGGTGTCGATGTCCGCAGTCCCTGGTGGGTCTGCATCGTATTTGCCATGTTCACGTTCAGTGGCTGGAGCTGACTTTGATTCTGGCTGAACTGAGACTGTTGCGCGGGGAACGCCGATGGAGCTTCTTCGATTGTGGCCAGTTCGTTCCCTACGTCGTCCATCTCCATGTCTTCTAGCGAATCCAAATCCTGCACAGTCGATAGATTCGTGCGGTTGAAGCCGTCCGAGCCTAGCCGCTGAGACCGGAATCCGCCCATTGAGCCTGACCGGGGGTGGAAGCCGTGCTGTGTGTGCGTTGCTGGCTCACCGTGCGTCTGCGTCTGACCAGGCGTAATGCTGGCAGCGGAGGCACCCGTTGTCGGCGGGAGGCCGCCCTGGGCTGACTGAGACGCGCGCGAGGCCGGGGCATTCGCGTGCACCTCTTCAAAGTGCTGCAGCAGGTCGTGCAACGAGGCGAGGGTGAGGCCGCAGCATGTGAAATCCTTCATAAAGGCGGCTTCCATCTTGGGCAGGTAAGACGAAGAGTGGAACGAGGGCGACTGGTTGTTGAAGGCGGCGGGCGAAGTGCCTGTCATCATGATGCTGGTTGTGGGTTAGCAATATGTTCATCCACGGTGCTGACAGGCTGCTGTTGCCTTCTGTGCTACTTACTCATCGCGGATCCATGATCCGACGGACACGCCGCCCCAGCTCAGACCGCCGGCGAAGCTGCCCATGGTGTTGCTCTCGCGCCGCGGTCTGTCTTTCATCGAAATGGGACGCGCGCCACTACCGTAATATGACGAGCCGAGGCCGTTGCTGATGGAGTCGTGGCGACCGCCGATGCTCGGGCGGCCATCGCGGAAGTCGCTGCTGTGTGCATTGTGCTGGTTCGACGTTGCGCTGAGGTCGCGGCTCGCCCCGGCCTCCCGCAGCGCAGAGGTGAGGTTTGACGTCTGGTTGTGCGGGGAGTGGGAGCCGTAGCGCGGGGGCGTCGTGATATCGATAGGCGAGGCTGCCTGTGCCATGTCTCGCAACAGGCTGTGCTGTGGCGGGCTCTCTGGAAACAGCGGGAAGCTGCAGTCGCCCGCGTCTTCAAACAGAAGATCGGACTCGGGCAGCAGGCTGCGGTGGGCGCCCAGCTCGTGCGGCTTGCGGTGCCAGGCGAAGTAGAGGTTGCTGTCCTTCTTTGCGCGGCCAAACTGTGGCGATGCGGCCTGTTCGACGGGCGTGCTGATGGGAGTGGTGTCTGCTGTCGATTCGCGCCCACGGTCGCTGGCGATGGGCGAGTAGCAGAGGGGTGGCGGCGTCTCCTGGGAATCCAGCTTCACGGTAGCGGAGGGGACGGCGGGAAAATGGGGCCTGGCGGCGTCGAGAGCGGGTCCGGAGGGGAGTGCGGCTGCCGTCGGGGCTCAGCACGGGGGCACGGCGGGAGAACAGGAGGAAAGAAAGAAAGCTGGTGTGCGCAATTGAGGCGGGTTGCAGCGCCGGGGCACGCGGGCGGGATAAATGTTGGAGCGCGATCTGAGCGGTGACGAGTGACGGGTTTAGTGGTCGCTGGACGAAAGGACTAGCTCTGGGCGTGGTACTCGAACCCTGGCGAGGTCTGCCGAATCACAGCGCAGGCCCGGCGGATGCGCGATTTGGGTCTGGCGTCGCCGTCTCGGATGCTGCAGCGTCAACAGCGGGTCGGCGATCAGCGGGACGGCTATGATGCGCGAGTGATGGCGAGGGGGCCGGCGAGGGCGAAGGGGTGCTGGCGAAGGGCGTTAGGGACGAGTACGGGCGGGTTTGGAGGTGCACTGCTCCGGCTGGCATTATATACATTCGGCGCTGCTGGCCGAGGCTCTGGGAGGGCACGTCCGCCATCGCCGCTTGGATGCCCCGTTCTCGAGCCACCATGTCGGCGGGCAGTCGCTGTCACGGCCGCGCCCTCCTCAGTCGCGCGCCGGCCCTAGCACGCAGCGCCGCGGGCATGCTCCTGGCGGCAGGCGACAGGCGACAGGCTACACGGCGTTATACTGTGCAACACTATAACATGCCATTTGCCGGGCCATCCTCCAGTATGTATTCCACCGCCCGCGCGCTCCTTCTAGAAGGCGGTCCGCTGTTCTCTTCTCCACGTGGCGCTGGACCAGTTCCCTCGCCCTTGGGACTCCCAAGCAGCCGATGACATCCCCGCGCAACCGCCGCCAGAGCGTCCGAGTCCGCACACAGCACCACAGCAACGCATTCACCCCTTTTGCCTTGTTCGTCTGGCAGTCCGGCAGTCCGTCAACAAGGCCTCACCACATGTCATCCAAAAAGCACACGTCGCTGCATATGCAGCTCGACCCACCGCTAGCCGGTGATTGGCGTGCGTAATTACTTTTGGCACTCGCGCCTGTGAACCCATTTACCATGGCATGCCTGCCGTGCTACCGCCGCCCACTATCTAACTATCCCCAAACCCCGCCATCCAGTCCTCACCACAGGACGCCTTTTCCTCCCCTGCCCCCGTCACGCCAGCTTTTTCCTGCCTTCGCTGCCCCTAAGTTCGCACTTACTTCGTGTCACGAAAGCCGTTGACGTCGACCATCGGGCAATTCGGCAGAATGCGTCGTCGGTTTCCCGGATTCGCCCTCGGCTGTCTATCCGCTTTGGGACTTTGGGGCCGGGTTACCTCTTCGGCAGCCTACATACAGCAGCCGCTGCTATTAGCCTACGATCAACCTCCGTACTGTCCATCCCATTATTTCTTCACATGTGCAGCTGGCCGACAGGTCCAAGACGCAGTCGGCTGAACCTGCTTCAATTAGACGCCTATCTGTGCTTCTGCCAGGGCATGTACTGTAGCAGGCCTCAACATCTCATGTCCACGAGCACGCTACCAGGCTATAGTCCGGTCTTGGTCGAGACCCGAGGCCACGACGCGCCAAACGACGCGATTCAACATGAGTTCGCCTTGTAGGTCCCGCGCTATCAGTATCTGGGGGTGGGGACGGGCTGGCTGACTTGCATGAACGTCACCATTTCTTGGTGGCATGTTCAATACTCACTAATCCACCACCATAGCGGAGTCGCAAAATCGAGCCACGTCTCCAGACTTTGGCCAGCGTGGCGCCTCCCCAGCTACATCCTCATCCACCTTTCGCCCTAGACGCCCACCCTCGACAGCACTTCAACCTGAGGACGAGCCTCTCCTAAAGCAGCGCTTCAGCACCCCTCGTGACTGTATCCGAAGACCGGAGCACAGGTACCGCATTACTGGGCCAATCAAGATCTGGCAGACCTGGTAAATAATATCCCTGACCCCGGTGATTGGCTCGACGGCGGCCCATAACCTGTCATTATTGGACCCTGCGTCTGCCCAAGTCCTTCGAATCCCACGTCGCCATCCTAATGCGGTCCTTTATATTAATTGCTACGTATCTTACAGAACGTTGAAGTTGACCATGGCAGATCAGATCCCACGGCGTTTATCATTCCGAAACATCCAGCCCGCCGCCCAAGCAGAAGATCATATGTAATCGACCTTCTTCAGTCGGAAAGCGAGCTTGTTTCAGCATTCGGAATCGACCGGCTCAAACACTAGGCATGCGACGGCGCCGTCGTCATGCTTACTGCGCCCAGCCCACTGCCAGGAACTCGCAACGCCCGTGCTACACTCGCAGCTTGCAGACATCAAATCTCGCGAACGCTGCCAAGACTTCATCGGAGGGACTAGCCGAGCCCAGATCCGACGCCAGCTACCATTTTTCGGTGGCGTCAGCGCGCCTGAAATGCAACTTGTCGTTCGGAGTTTAGCAGGCCAACGACAGTTCGTACAAATGTGACTCTCTGCAACACCACGACATCATTTCAGCTCAGCATGAACGAATTTCGGACGATGGGAGACTGCTTGGCCCTCAGCTTTCATGTCTGCGCGCCAGGGACATATCCATGCACATCCCGCGCTACGCAACCAGCACCCAAGGTCTATCCTAGCAGTGCTGTCCGTTGGAGTAGGTCAGGCGAACACGAACAACGCCCCATCCAGGAGCCAAAATCCAGGGACCTCACTACCATTCGGAGTTAGGGTCGGTGACCAAACGTCGATAAGTGTAGGATGTAGTGGTATGCAATGCGGGAAAGTGAGATGTCGGTTCCATATTTCCCACTTCTACATTTCGCAACTGGCTTTGGAGTCTAGTTCTTCTTCTTCCGGACATTGACACATGGGGGACTTCAAACCAGCCTCCAGAATGTGCTAATATTGTGGTGTTGCGGGTTGTGGGTCGCGACTTCCCAAGCTTCCCAAGTTGAGGTAGATCGCCAAGGGTCGTGGTGATGCAGGTGGCCCAATCCTACTCAAACCACCAACCCCGGCGACGACATAGCATCAACGCCATTCCAAGACCAGCGATTTGTGCACCTCGATGTCACCCCACCAGTGCGGTGTTTCGTGAGGCTTTCCTCAAAGATCCAGACCGTCATAGCGCCAGCCGCTTACAGCTAAATACATCCAGCACCGTCTTATATGCTAACCGTCCATACATCCACGCTACGCACGGAGTCAAAACATCAGCCGACTACCAGGGACCCAACCATCGGCGCACCGGCATTGGGCGCCTCGACAGCTTAACAGGGTAGACCGTCCTTTAGACCGCTTCCTTAATTCAACTACACGCCTCAGACTACAGCGCCCTACAATGAAGCCACCATGTTCTAGGGGAGACTAGCTGCGGGGAGCCGAGTCCTGGGCTTCACGCACTCACCGCCTGTTTGCACCGAGCTGTTCGCTTTCAGCAACGGGGTTGTCTCGACTGTTTGTCGGCGCCTTCTCGATGTGATTAGTAACCTCACAACCTCACGTGCCTGTGCTGTATTACTGCAGTTCGAAATCTACACTCCGGCAATTGCTTCCAGGCATGTATCGATCGCTAGACCGACTGTTGTCGTCACTGCCTGTGTAGTATTCGGCAGGTATTCTCGTAGTTGGATGGGTTCAGATCGCATCTACGGCTGGGCGGAGGTGTTTTCCTAGGCGAGCTTGAGTATCACTCGAGATAGTACCCTGCTCTAAGCTTTGGAGATGGACGTTGAGGTGGGAAGAATGGAGTTTGGGTTAAGTGACGAGTATGGTCACTTTGATGGCGCCGACTCGTGGACTGTTTTGTCGTCTGGACATACGACGACGGATAAGTGGCCGGTCGTTGGTGTTTTATGATATGTAAGGCAAGGTGGGGGGACTACATGGATGTGTATGAAAGGAGAAGTATAGCGTCAAGTTCGCTCTATGGTACACTGCTCATCCACTTGAAAAACGTGTTGTCAACAGTGTTTGACATGGACGGAGTGTTTTCCTCTGTATTCCTCCATAGAGTGTAAGTAGAGTAGCATGTAAGAAACAAGGACATATCAAGAGGCTTGCTTCTGTAGGTGCCTTTTTCGTTCGCTAAGTTAAGAACAACTTAACCTTAGCAACGAGTGGAGGGCAAAGCTTACGAGCTACAACATGGCTCTCCACAACCATTCCTCCACCTCTATGAAGGAGTATGGAGCGTTGGAGAGAACATATGCTCCATCCATGTCAAAAATTGTCTGTCACCAAGCCATTAATCTAGTAGAAGCGCAACTAATCGGATACAACACTCCCCGATCTCCCACACACCTAACACAAGTCATGCCCTTTCCGAACCACTCCGTCACCAATCTGTTCCTGGGCTTTCCAATTCCGCCCTATGGCTCGCTCACCGCGGCTGAGCCTGCACCCTGCATTGCGGACACCGCTCCCCATGCTGACAGCCCGGGCCTTGGCAGGAGTTTCCGAAGGCGTTGCCCGACGAGCACCAGCAACATGTCCAGTCTGGAGGGCTGATGGCATTGACAGGGCCATTGATGAAGATAGTGTGGGAGTGATGGGAAGGCATAGTCCCTGTGGACGGTCGAAGGGCCTTTGAGTCTAGAGGTGAGCTGATGCCGTGATGTGGAGTGGATGTTGTTGCTGCCCGCAGCGTTTCGCGTCTGTGGTCTGGATTCTCCGAGATTCGTACCGTGCTCTCGCTGGGGAGAAGTTTCTAGCTTGGATCGTCATGATAGGTTCATTCGTGTGTGTGGCGCTGGTAGTGTGAATCTGTGTCTGGATCTGAGGAAGAAAAGCTCCCATATCACAGACAACCCACAGAAACGTACCTGCCACTTCCCAGATGGCGGAGTCGTTCTTGAAATGGGCAATCAAAGAACTAGATAGCACCTACCATAATATTTACGGTAGTCATTACCCCGTAGCGGCCCCTCCTTTTCTCCCTCTTCTAACATCTACAGTCCTACGCGTTGAATGTTACCATCTTTAACTTACCACTCACTCGAACGAAGCAAACCACGCCTACCTTTCAAAGCAGAAACGCGGCCTCGTCTTAGGTACGCTGCGTGGTCCCTGGCGCCTCAATCGCACACGCTCTTTCCGAAGTATCGTCGCTTCCTACCGAAGAAACGGCGTGATGTTCTTTCCTTATAAACTATATAGTGTTGGCTTAGACGCCTTCATATATGGAGGACTTTCCATCCAAAAATAGAGGCCTCCAAGCCAGCGATCTTAGCATACCGGGAAATCTTAGATCCGCAGCTAGTCCTGTAATGGTCTTTCCATGTTGTAATAAAGCATCAAAGTTGCCATTCTTCTAGTCCACGGGACTCTGCGCCTGCTTCGTCTCAGCGGCTCCTCCTCCACGATAACGCTCTCCTGCTTCGTGATTTATCTCGTACGCTCTTCTGTTGTTATGAGATTAGGATAGAAAAAGGAAGGCGGCCCTCCTTCATCTGCATATATAGCTCGCACTCCCTCCAAATCCTTCCAACGCTCTTCTACATCCCTCCAAATGCACAACTTGTTCACATTAGTGCCCGAAGCCATCCAATTCTTATTGCAGATTGCCTTCTCATTTATCGCTGCCCTCATTATTCATCTCCACTTCCATCACTGCACCTCCAACCTCCACCACACTTTCTCATCGACCATGCACTTAAGGACCACTGTGGACCTCAGCTAGTGCCTAATGTTCCCAGGTTTGACTCGCTCTTCCGTAACGAAAGAAAGAATCTAACCTAAGAGTCTAGGCATCATATCATCATCGGTCCTCGTTTCGATCCATATTCCTTCCTTCTTCAGAACGTCCATACACAAGGCAGACAGCGTTCCCAAATACTCAACCTACAGCCTGTCCCCTTATCGGTGGCAATGACTGTGGTTCGACTATCAGAATTGCGGTATGCCTGGTGTAGGGGATGTTCTGAAGCAGGGTAGGGATCCCCTGCTCAACCCCTGTGAAGAAGATTGTCATCCTTCCGACAGGAGTCCCTCGACAAGAGGGATACTATTTAATGGAGATATAAGTGCATATAGAGGGGCACTGATGGGGGGTCGGGTCTTTTATAGTTTTTCCTCCGCACCCTACTCAGTCTTTATGGCTGACAAAGAAAAACTACAGGGCGACTCAACCATTGGATTGCTGGGACATGGCTTGGTGGATAATACTACTAGTATCACGGTTGGAAGGTGAGTTAGGTCCTCGCTAGTTGATTAAATAGGTATCTCCAAATTTGTTGAGTGCAGTGGGTGCATGGACCTTGCCAACTTGCGTACACTTTTCATAGCAAATTGATCCCGTGTTCATATTTCTCATTACTTCAAATTCTGTCTCTTGCGCACGACCAAGCCGGGTGAAATTCGCTTTGAGCATATGGTCCCTCGGGGGTTACTTCGCGTGCTTTGTGACCGGGTAGAGATGGGAGTTAGTGGTGATTGTTATGTTCTTACGTATCGTTTCCAAGACCATTCGATTTGCTGGTTTCAGTGCGATGATTTTATTGGGAAAATCAGGTGTAGCAGTTGCCGCAAAGCTTTAGCTCGCGATTAAAGACACAGTATATAGACACAAAAGAAGGACTGCAGTGCTCAAGTACCTTCGGACGCAACAGTAATCAGTTGGCCAGACGAACGTTGATTACGCTTGCTGACGATGGACTGAGTCGCGAGTTGCAGTGGTTGATGACTCCCTCAACAAATCGTTGTAGGGCTCAACAGATCGAGCCCGTCGTACTGGAACTAACAATGGGCAGAGACTTCAGTGGTTAAAGAGTAAAGCTGAGTAATCGACAGTGAAACTATCGCTCGCCGCTCAACAACAGTGGCAAAAGTAACAATATTCTTTTGTTCTCATACGTTGATGCTGGATTGGATGAATCCAAACAGCCGGGAGAGCTGAGCTCAACCGTGGTTCAAGATATGACTCCCACTTTGACCATGGTACGTCATTGTTGAGGTGGATCCCACTGATGAGTCGTACTCTGGTTGAGAGGAGGGCGGAAGTGTAGGGTATAAAGCTATGCGCTCATGCCGTTGCTCATTCACACCACAAACCACAAATCGCAACGCATCATGAGTATCCCACAACGCTACACCATCAAGGGCCCAGTCCCAGCCCTGTACCGTCCCAACGATGGCATGTATGCCAACAGAGCAACTCCTTCATAAACTCAACAACAACAAGGCCATAACAAAGGATGAGAGCAGTTTTCTTGGCCATGTTGAGACGTTCTTCGAAAAGCAGGGCGGCGAGCATACCCTCATCCAGCCGTTTATCGACTACCTGTGAGGAGTGCGGAGGTGTTCGAGGGCAAGGGCGAGGGCGAGGGCGAGGGTGAGATCGGACGGGCGGCGCGGATGAAGGCAGTGGCGGAGGGAGGACGTGGGTAGCAACAATCAACTAGGCTCGTGTAAACAAACAGTCCGATGAGTGGTATCCATCACTTCAGTGGTTGAAAGCGACTAAGTTGTTGAACGTGATAGCGGAGCTTCACATAACCCAGTCGCTGCCTGTTAGCACTGTGCCCTATAAATACTGTACTCACGAAGGTCCACCTCTCTTACGATACCCACAGTACACATCTCTTATATCGATCGCATCGCATCGCCGTTGAACGACTACACTCTGCGACAGATCCTCTGTCCTTCATGCGCCGGCAGGCCTTCCCACCGCCATCGTCGTCCTTAGCGCATTACCATCAAGTTGAGTCCGAGTCCCGTCGCGTCAAGTCCGTGTCGAAATCGTAACTTCCGCCGAACGTCCAGACGCACACCGTTCCCGTTCTTCGCGATGTCCGACACTGACGCCGCAGGTATCGTCGCCGGGCGCCCCGTCACACGCTTGTTGGGGAAATCGGAATAGAGTTGGGGAGATGGAATTTGTTGCCGGATATGGTTACTACTTCACGTGACCTGGTCATGTATATATATAGCCATATTTCTCGTATTCTTAATTAATTAACTTATGTCTTAATACTCTATAATTTACCTAATAGTTATAAGCCTAGATTTGCCTACTACTATAAATTAAACCTGCTAAGTTTATTTAATATAATTAGATAATAGAGTTACTAACTTATACACCTTATTATTACTAATAGATTCTAGAGTTACTCTAGAAATACGCTATATATAATTAAATTAGCTCTACGCACTATAATTTCTATAATAGAGAATACTATTACTATTACTAACGTTATAAAAGCTATTAAAATACTTAGTATACTATAGAATTAGCTTTACTAGAAGTTTCTTATAAAGAAAAAGGCTATATAATATAGAGTTTAGGCCTACTATAACCTAGATCTAAAAGAGATAGAATATAAGAGAATTTAGAAGAAGTCTAAACGCTTAATACTATTAATAATTAAGTAAGAAGCTATAAAGATAGAGAACCTTAATACTAATAAAAAGTTAGAGTATTAGAACTAGAAAGAAAGATATAAGAAGAATCTTAAGAAGTACCTCTTTATATAGAAAGGTCTAAAAGAAGTATTAGTATATATTACTATAATAATTAATACCTACCTTATACTATATATTATAGATAAAGATATAGCTTATAAAAGGCTTATAAGCTTAAAGAAATAGGTTACTATAACTAACGTGTTACGTTAAAACGTACTACTAGAATAATATAAGAAAGTCTAGAAGACTTAAAAAGGTAATAAACTAGATAACTAGCTTAATAAATAGATTTAGATTACTAACTATATAGCTAAACTTAATATACTAGACGTATAGAGTATATAAGCCTAGAGAGAGCTACTTAAGACTTTTTAACTAATTAATAAAGCGTACTTTATACTTAGAATTACGTAGCTATTTACCTAGCTAGAAAATTAAGCTTCTATAGTTATAGACCTTATTATAAAATTTAGATAGCTATAGAAAGCTACTAAACCTATTATAGCTAGCCTAGAGACGTATATAATACTAGGTATAGTACTATAATAATAGAACTAGAGCTAGAGATATAGTAAGTTTTAAGAAGAGATACTAGAGTACTTCTATAGGCGTTACTACTAGTTTAGTAGGTACTCTTACGTTAATCTAAAGATCTACCTAATAGGCTAGAAGCCTAACACAGAAATTTAGGCTAAGTTTAATAAGAAAAAGAAGAAAAAGAAGTAGGCTAAGAAGTTTAAATAAGCTACTAATTAGAGAACCTCTAAATAGTAAAATAAACCTACCTTAAAAGTAAGCACTACTCTACTAAGCTTTAATAATAATAAGCTAATAAGTAGTACCTCTTCTACTAACTCTATATTCTACTTCTTTAGTATAATAGCTAAGGTTTTAGAAACTTAGAAGGTAGTTCTAATAGCTCTATACCTTATTAATAGGTAGATCTATAACTCTAGCTCTAATATTTACGTCTATAACTTAGAGAATTAGAGCTAGAAAAAGATAGTAGAAGCTAACTTAAACGTTATTATATACGCTAGAGAGCAAGCTATAAGAGTTAAGACTTAGAGAGAGATAATTCTCTAGACTAATACTCTATTAGAACTAACTCTAATACGCCTTACCTATATAGCGTTAGTAGAGAGCTTCTTTACAAACGTTATAGAGCTTACGCACTTTTAAGATATTAAAATCTACTTTAACTCTAGTAGAGACGTCTTATATAAGAATAAGCCTAGTAATATAGTCTATAACTTAGAGTATAAATAGAGATACTAGCTACTTAATATAAATAAAAATAGCTACTCTAATCTATAGAAAATATTTACTATATTTATAATAGTATATTAACTATTAAAGAATTTATAACTAGTAATAATTACTACTAGAGCTAAGACCTATTAACTATAGGTATATCTAAATAAGAAAGCTATTACGTACCTAGAAGAGGCTATTACTAGCTTTAAGCTTAAGAAAAATATACCTCTAGTTAACTAGAAGAACTATAACACCTATATATAGTTAAAAATAAATTATTAAGTCTTCTAGAGACCTAGATTAATATCTATAAAGTGTCTCTTCTACTAAATAGAGATAAATTTAGTTTAACTACTACTAATAGAAGAAATCTATTTTAATAAGAATAAGTAAAAACTCTATATAATTAATAAATTCTTAGACTAGTATAAAGAACGTACGTTACCTATAAAAAGTAAAGTAGTATTAATACCTACTATACGTAGAATAATTACTAAACTATAGCGTTAATTTAAGTACTTAGTTATTATACTTAAGACTAATAATAAGAAGAGTTTTAGTAATAAGCTTACTAAGATCTATATTAAATTAGGTATTAAATATAAGCCTAGCTTACCTAAGACACCTAAGTAGAATAGTTATATAAAGAAAGCTAGAGACGTAATAATTATAAAAAGCTAAGTAATAAAAATTATAGCTAGATTATCTAAGAAGCTAGCTTTAGAGCTATTTATTATAGCTATTTAGATTCTTAATACTACGCTAATTAAATTAAATCGCTAGAAAACTCTATATAAGGTAGTAATAGATTATAAACTATTAGTAGCTTATTACGTCTCTATTAGCTATTAAGCGTATATTTATAGAAAGAATCTTAAAAAAGCTAATAAACTAAAAGCACGTACTATATTAGTTACCTACTAGAATAAAACTTCTTAAATATCTTTAGAATCTAGATACTCTTAAAGAATAAGGTTATCTAAACTTAAGATATCTTATTTATACGCAATAAGCTATACAAGAATAATAGTAGTAAATATAGAAAGTCTCTAGTAGTTAATATAAGTAATATTAAGGTATATAATATCTCTTATAAAGAGCTTATAGTAGAGGTTAAAGATCTACTACTATAGAGCTAATTACGCCTATTTAATATAACTTTAGATAAATAGACGTTAATACTAGAGTAATATATACTAGCTAAAGAATTAGTAGAAGAAGACCTAGAAATATAAATCTAGAAGAAGTAATAATAAGCTAAGAAGCGTAATAAGTTTCTAAGAGGTTACTTAATTACTCTAGTGTTGTTAAGATACTCTACTCTATATAGTAAGAGCTTAAGAGGCGTATTAAGAGAGACTAACCTCTCTAAGCTAAGCTTATTTACTATTTAAGCTAAATTACTATAAAGACCTCTTAGAGCTATAGAAAACTCTAAATATATGCTAGATAGATACTAGAATAATACTCTACTACGTTAAAACCTTAATTCTAAAGATCTAAGTAATATAATATAGAGTAGACGCTATAGATACTCTTCTCTAAGACCTAAATACATAGCTAGCGTAATTAAAGCATAAAAGAAAGCTTAAATATTTAACTTAATACTATTAATAAACTTGTATAACTACGTATTTATAGCTTTAGTAAGCTATATTAATAAACTAAAAGTTAATAAAGAGCCTATAAGGTTAAAACACTACTATAATTAGATACTACCTCTACCTAAGCGTTATAAGAATATTAAAGGCTATATATTTAAAGCTAAGTTTAAAGAGGCTATATAGAAGAAGTTTAATAACTACTTTAAGAAAGAGTACTTTAAGAAGACGTTAGTAACGCTAGCATTAACTATAGTAGAATACCTTCTACTTATATAGATATTATTATATAAATTTAATAAAGATAAATATCTACTTAAGTATAAAGCTTATCTAGTAGTTTAAAAAGACCTCTAAATATAATAGAGTAATACCTATACTACTACCTTAGTAGTAAGAACCTTTTAAGCTCTAGTAGCTATAGTAACTATCTTTAGATTACTAATATATTAGTATAACGCTATAAACGCCTTTCTAAACGTAAAGCTTCTATAAAAGCTCTACTACTATACTCTAGAAGGTTTTACTAGTTAGTTTAGCAAGCTCTTAGAGTTGTATTAAGCTCTATATAGGCTAAAGAAAGTATCTCTACTATAGTATAAGAACCTTATAAAGACTCTTAAGAAGTTAGAACTTATTAAAATAAGTATTATACTATATCTATAGGCTAGTAACAAGCTTATAGTCTTCTTTTTTATTAATAATATTATTATACTTATCTACCTAGATAATATAGACGTTTACGTAGAGTTTAAACGCTACCTACTTAAAAAGTATAAGATTAGAAAGATAGATTAACTTAATTAGTTTCTAGGTATACGAGTTGTAAGAGATATAGAAGTAGCGTTAACCTAGCTAATTTAGAATTTCTTTATTAATAAGGTTACTAATAAGTTTAATCTACTTCTAAAACTAGGTACTAAGTATCTATAATTCTCTATAAAAGAGAACAACCTCGCAAAATCTATAGAGGCACCTAATAGAGAGTAAATAAAGCTTTTCTAGTAGCTAGTTAGCTTACTAGTATATATTTTCTACTTTATACGTCTAGATATATTAAGAGCTTACTTAGTATTAGCTTAATACTTAATTAACCTAGGTTAATAATATCTCTACGCTACTATACACATGTAGTAATACCTTATAGAGTTAAAAACTCTTACGCTTAAAGCGTTACAATACGCTACAAAGAAGAAACACTTCTAGAAAATAAATTTTAAAGAGCCTATCTTCTATAGAGCCTTAGATACTTTATTTAGTAATAACCTAGATACTAGAGTAAGCTCTAAAGGCTATATCTTTAAGCTATATAGATTACCTATAGATTAGAAAGCTATAAAATAATAAATAGTAACTAAATTAATAACTAAGATAGAGCTTCTAGCGCTTTTAAAGATAGCTTTAGAAATAGAGTAGTAAAATCTACTTTTCTACTACTTAAAGCTAAACCTTAATATTAAACTAAAGCTTTAGTATAATAATTAGTAGACTATAGGTATAGTAACTAAGGCTATAGAGAAGCTTTAGATAAAGCTTAAATACGTTAACGTATACTAAATATAGCTCTACTAGAAAGTTAAGAACTAAAGAATTAACGTTAAATAGATTTCTATAAGTTAAATACTAGCTAATAGACTTATAAAGATTCTATTACCTTAAAAACACGTCTACTTTATTTAATACTAGCTAGGGCTTAAGAATATTTCTAGTAAGTTAAAGCTTCTACTATTTATAGTAGAGTAGTAGAAGCTATCTAAGAACCTCTTACGCTAGTACTAGATTAGATAGTAAACTTAACCTAAGTAATATATACCTAATTTACTAGTATTTTAGAACTTTTAAGGTAACTATTTATCTATATTTTACTTCTAGCTCTACTATAGAAGCGTCTACTACACTTATTTAACTATTTTCTATTAATTTTAATATATATATATATATATACTAGTTTTATACGTAATTCTATTATATCTTAACTAGCTACGTTTATTATAATTTATTAGATTAACTATAAAATTAATAGGCTACGTTTATTATAATAAGCCTAGTCTTAATAAAATACGTAGTAACGTGTTAACGTCTACTTAACAATCTACTCTATAAAGTTGCTATAAGCTATAGAGAGCCGCGGTAACTATAAAAATACTCTAAAAGCTATTAAATAAGGTGTTCTTTCTTTTACTCTCTACTCTTAAGTTTAATTTACGTCTTTGCTATTACTCTATCTCTCTTTTTACCTACGTAGAAGCTATAGAGGTTAGTAGTAGAGAGGTGTTATACTATTACTTAAATACTTAAACGCTCTACTATCTAAACCTAACCTTTAGAACCTATATTAGACTTTCTAATTAGGAATAGGCATAGCCTTATGTATAGATCTCTTATCTCTCTACTTTCTATACTTCTCTTTTAACTCTACAGAGTTCTCTTATAAGAGAAGTAGCCCTTATAGAACCTTATAGTACTAAGAGGTGTATTTATAGAAGACGATTATTAATTACCTTTTTAGGTATAGTTAAAAGCCTTACCTTCTTAGATAGCTTTCTGTATACACTCTAAGCTAGAGAAGTGTGTTACTAGATATAGTTACTACTTTACGTAACCTAGTTATGTATATATATAGCTATATTTCTCGTATTCTTAATTAATTAACTTATGTCTTAATACTCTGCAATTCACCTAATAGAATTAGATGCCAGGTAGTAGTTAAGAAATTGAGAGATTTAAGTAAGTAGGTAGCTTTTTTAACCGTTATCGACTTCTATGTGTGATCGACTACCCAGGTGTCTCGCTTAGGTAGTTTACGATACCTTTCTAAGCACAGCTACACCGCTAAGGCTAAACATGTGGCTGGTACAAACGCCTACAGTAGTGACTTTCCACTAACTCAAACTCACGCCACTTCGGAGGCTTATAACTTTAGCGTGTATTGCACTTTCCCAACCGGGGAATTCGTATCGAACTGGATCTTCCTCCTCTCGCGTGTCGAGCAACACGTTGGCCAGGGCGGAGAAGGGGAAAGGCGGAGGAATTGCAGCATTGAGTAGTTTGCGAGAGGCAGCTGAATACTTGAGGAATGTTTGGAGGTTGGGGATGCGCTGGGTTTGGGGGAAGGAAGGGGGCGTGGCAGAGCAGTGATATGGTGAGCGCGGGAAGAGCACTTATGGGGCGGAAATCGATTGAAGGAGTAAAGAGTACTTAGGCTTATCTTCCTAGAGACTAGCGGAGGACATGCTGGCGCTATGTCGGCAGCGGCAGCGATGTGCCTTTTCAGCCATAGGCCCCCGAGAGATGCGTCACGTGACCTTGACGTTCGCGTGCTCCAAGGTTGCAGTGTCTGTTTCCCGACGGCCCTAGTGTCTCAGACGTTCTCAAGTATTGTCTAGTACCCTTCTCGGCCACGCCCCATGGGAGCTGCAAGTCGAGTACATGCATGAGGGAAAGAGTATCAGCCGGTGATCATAGGAACACTAACCGGGTGAACACTTTGCACTCGATACGCGCATATTCGCCAAGGATATACCGGAGAGCAGTCAACTTGCTACTATGCTCGCTCTCAGCGCACAGCCAAGCGGTGCAAGTTCTTGCAGCGGAACTATCCTCCTTCCAGACATCGCACATAGCCTTTTGCCTTAGCCAGGACTCCTGCAAGTCAACCTGCGTCCGCGTCCCCTGAACGGCAGAACTCAACATCGCACGTCTAAGCCGCGTTCTCTCTATCACACCTCCGCGCAAATTCTGTCCTGGAACCCAGCATTCCCCTCGCCACGCTCCTCTATCAAACCTTCATGAACCCATCGTCAACAAACTCCCCGGTATAACCGTCGGCGGCGGGGACAGCGGCTAGCGCAGCAGTCTGCAGAATAGGCTACTGAATTGCTGAATCGAGAAGGCGAAGACAATACTCAGGGAAGGGAAAACGGGGAGAATAAGAGCTACCAGAAAAGTCGTGGAAGGATATCTTTTGCTGGTCACCGACAAAAGACGGATGAGGAAATAATGAAAGAGGTGGATACCCGCTGAAGGGGCGGGTCCTATGCACTTGGCCACCTGGGGTCTCTCTCAAATCGATAGAGTGCTTTCCGGGTAGTGTTTAGGCGTGGAAATAAGATAGTGGAAGAGGTGTATGCATGCATATGCGGATGCGTAGAGCAGGATCTCTCAGAAAATCAAATTGTTCGTGCATCGTACGAGATGGTAGCAGATGGGTCCTTCGGGAAGAAAGCTCATCGGAGTCGACTTAGTCGATAGGATGGAGTCGCATATGAATCCGAGGCAACCTTGCAATCGCTGCTGATCCGCGGTTCTGAGGTTGTATAATCCTAAACAGTCATATCAGCCAGCAGTAATCCTGAGATCTGCCCGAGGCTGTTCTAGCACTTGAACCTGCTATTACCGATCTGGTTGTGTCTGTCGAGGTCTCCTGTCGCTTCGCCGCACAAGGGCGTTTGCGGACCGGAGTTGCTCGGATCACGAAACGGCACGCGCACACCGCTACGTCCTTGTCTCACTCACCCCTCGACGTCAGGTCTTACAGAGCAAACATCAACGGCGTTTTAAAGCTCCTTACTCAAACTCAATCGCCTGAATTTCGCTCATCGCGTAGCTATGGCCTCCGAGCTTGGTAAACATCCTGTCCAACATGCGCCGGCGCCTTGGACCACGAAATCGGAATGCTATTGGCTGTTTCTGAACTTGAAGAAGCTGCCTGAAGGCGTCTATGATCCGCTGGAACAGTCGTGTCTACAGCATGGGGAATTCAAAGGCGGCTTGGGATTCGCCATGGTAGTGAGGTATAGCGATACGCCGGTCGGTAAGTGGCCGTCTTTTCCTCCTCTTGTACTCGGGCTTGCCCTCCGGCTGCGAAGCGATTCCTGGAACTTCATCAGCCTAATTACGAACAGGCACGTACGACGAGCTTGCGCTTATCCCAGGCAATTTCAGTGTACCCAAGCCATCAGAGGGCCCTCCCAGGATCCCTAAGAAAGCCCTTCGCGTATCCCGTATCTACGTATCACAGCGCACAACCACTTATAACGGTCGCCTCAATTGGAACATCCCAAAGCGCTTGGCTCGCTTTACGTTCTCCGCCCCGCCGACGCCCGCGGGGAGCCGTCCGCCAGAGACCCTCACCATCAATGTGTTTCTGCCTGGCACCGTGGAAGGAGATGGTGTAGCACCCTTCTTCGCATGCACTCTGAAACCATTCACGTGGATTCCAAGCGTTCCTATGAGCACGCGGTGGCTGCCACTGAGCACGGTGATGGCGCAGCCGCCACTTACTGAGGCTGCGGGCTTCAAGCTTGGTGACGAAGCGGAGGTGGAAAGCGCTAAGATCGACCCGTATGACACCAGTCCGAAGGATGAGGATGCCCTTCTCTGCGGTACAGACCGCTGGTGCTCTTTCCCTATTGATGCGTACGTGCGCAGAGCGCGGGGTTGCTGGGTGAAGGTCCACGAGCCTGGAAAAGGCGACGAGGGTGCGACAAGAGCGGCCGAACAGCCGGACCGATACTGGCCTCAAGACGTCCGGCCATGGAGCATTGGAGCGTGGATGGAGGATACGGAGATGATCGTCCCGACTCCATTGGAATGGAAGCTCTAAGCATCTCTGCGTAGTGGTGCTGGTTCCTTGAGACGCGCACGGTGGTTCGAGGTGGAGAGCAGAGTGAAGACAACAACACATCCGGAAAGCTGCGTCAAACGAAATTCTTAGGCTTCAGCCTAGGGCTTTCGCCAGCTGCATGAAATGTCGAAATTTCCTGTCGCTCCTCTCTCTCTCTTCTTCTTCTTCTTCTTCTTCTTCTTCTTCCTTCTTCCTTCTTCCTTCTTCCTTCCTTCCTTCCACTCTGCACCACACTCGAGATATCAACCGCTTCGAGCCACATTTGCACTTGCAGCTCATTCCACAACAGCACTTCTTGCCATCAGCTTCATTTCCAACTTCCCGACAGCCTCTAGCCAGCTATTTTCTTTGCCCACCATCGCCGCAATGGTTCTCTCACCGCTGCCATACCGCGTCCGCGAGACCTTCAAGCTCATCAAGCGCGACGTCAAGAACCTCTTCCGCAAGGCTACTGTCGACGACAGGAACTCATTCGACCGAAGGATAACCGAGATCGAAAGACTTCAGCAGCGTGTCACTTCCCTTCCAGAGCGACACCCCCCATTAGCGCCCTCTACCGCCCCTACCACCGTCTCCCGCCGCCCATCCAGCGAGCGACTCAACACAGGCACGACCGCCACCGAGTACAGCGATGCGCCTTTTCCTCTTCTTCCTAGCTACCAATGCGTAGATGCCCTGCGGGCCGACTGGTACAAGTCTCGGCCGAGGGATGTTGCTACTGAAGAACGATGGCTTACCCGTGGCATAGCCGTCATCCTCGCGATTGCGTTGTGTTACTGGCCGTCGAATCCCATCTGGGGCATCTGCCCAAGAAATGTTCGTAAAGGTCTTCAGGCCCCTTTTACCCACGGCGACCTCCTCCTCGCCGTCATCGACCACTCTAGAACGCGAGAGATCGTCGAAGACCTTTTGGTTGCCGTATTACCAGGCGTCGATCCCGTCGAGTTCCTCATCCACGCTGGTGACCCAGCTCAACGACTCGCCGACGACGAAAGCAATTTGCTGCACGAAAAATTCTGTTTACTACTGATGCCAGACTATGTGTCATCGGCAGTGGCCGACACCGGACTTCGGCGCCCACTAGCCTGAAGACCCTCGGCACCCACACGCTAACCTCCGATATTTAACCCCGCTTCAACCTCCATCTTCCCTACGATTTACTCATGGACACCACAATCCCACCGACCGATATACCGAAGACCGAAGACGACGAGATCTCATACCCTGAAGGCGGCCTGCAATCATGGCTCGTGGTGCTGGGGTCATTCTCGGCCTGCCTCGTTGGCTTCGGGCTCATGAACATCGTCGGAATATTCGCGTCATACCTCAGCGAACACCAGTTGAAGGGTTATAACGAGAGTACGATCGGATGGATCTTCAGCGTTTACGTCTTCCTCGCTTTCGGACTGGGCATTCAGATCGGACCCATCTTTGACGCTCACGGGCCTCGACTTCTCATCTTGGCCGGAGGGATATGCACTTCCTTATGCATGCTACTTTTGGGGCTTTGTACAAAATATTGGCATTTCATGCTTGCCTTCGGTGTACTTGGTGGAGTCGGTACGTATGGTCTTGGTACAAACTGTGTTAAAATGTGTGCGCTAGTTTTGTGGGGTGACCCTCAAGGGGCGTTTCGCGAGAGCGCAAGCACTCGATTAAGACATGAAGAACTATCACATATACTTTGAGAGCCATTCTGACTGTGTATCCCTACCCTTAGGCACATCTTTACTCTTCACACCAGCACTCTCAGCAGTGAGCCATTGGTTTCTCGAAAAGCGTGGCAGCGCCACAGGTATTGCAGCGGCAGGCGGCTCGCTAGGTGGCATCATCTTCCCTCTCGCCTTGCAGAAGCTGTTTCCCAAAGTCGGATTTGCCTGGGCGACGAGAATAATCGGATTTATCTTCATCTTCTGCTCGGCCATTGCAGTTCTTTTGATCCGCTCACGACTCCCACCAAAGCCAGGACAGTCTGTTATGCCTGACCTGCGCATATTTCGCTCGAATCGATCGTACCTGCTGCTTACCCTCGGAATATATTTCATGGAATGGGCGTTATTTGTCCCGATTACCTACTTGACCACCTTCGCCACGTCGACTGGAGCGCTTTCGCCTGCCTTTTCTTACCAGCTCATTGCAATAATGAACGCCGGATCTTGCTTGGGGCGATGGGCCCCTGGATATATTGCCGATAAGCTTGGACGCTTCAACTCGATGATCGCCGCACTTGCAGTCTGCACCGCAACGACCATCACGCTCTGGCTGCCGGCATCAATCCTCACACCCCACACCGCCGCAGAAGCCACTACCATCAAAGCGCTATCGATCGTCTACGCGGTGATTTTCGGTTTTGCATCAGGATCTAATATTTCCTTGACGCCAGTCTGTGTCGGTCAGCTGTGCGATACCAACGAGTATGGCCGCTACTATGCGACCTGTTACACAATTGTCAGTTTCGGTACTCTGACAGGTATACCGATCGCGGGCAGCTTGATCTCGGCGGCCGGTGGGCATTACTGGGGAGTGGTGGTCTGGACTGGGCTGTGTTATATCGTGTCTTTGGGCTGCTTCATCTGGTCGAGGGCTTGTAGGGTAGGGTGGAAGTTGCCGGTAAAGTACTAGGGCTGAAAGCCTTCAGGCCACCCGTTGCATGTTCTGGGGTGAGCAGGACGATCCGGCGATAGGATAGGCTGGGCAGGGCTTCGAAACCTTCCAGGTTTAGTTTTACATTTGCTGTTTTGTTGTACGGTTTTTGGTACCTTGCATATAGAAAAGTCGATAGCAACTGTTCTTGTTTCTCTCACGATACAAAGAAACTCTCGAATCGCCGTGATTTCTGCCTAAGCGTTCAATGGCGAAGGGTTCCTGGACCCCTTTTGCCATGTTGTTTCAGACGTTAGCGAGCTAGAGAATGTGGCGATGGGATAGTTTGGGTAAGGGTACGAAGGCGGTTTGGACCTTCTTTGCCATGCTGCTTCAGGTGGTACGTTAGCCGGACGATGTGGCGATAGGATAGGTTCGGTAGAGGTGTGAAGGGCCTGTAGGCCGGCTTTCGCCATGTCGGTTCAGAAACCTGGGTGAGACGTCGCGAACTCGAGTCTGCGTCTCTGAGGCAAAACATTCTGCAGCTAGAGGTATATAAATTTAGATAGCGCACATATCCCTAGCTCACGAAAGTGATCGTCGTCGTCGTCTGCGGTGTTCGGGTCAGGAACGCGGAGTTGCCACTGCGGAGCGGACCAAATTGCCCCTGCTATTATTGCAGCACGGTTTCTTACCTTGGGGCGTTGAGCTTCATCTCCATCCAATACTCTCCTCCCCGATGCTATCCCCTGCCACATATCATTTCCCCGGAACGCAGTCAGGGGCAATAAACCCATTCCCGCGCCATCCACGTGATGCGAGCGCTAAGCCCATTCGTATAACCGCCACCATCGCGCCGGGGCTCTCCACTTCCGACCACCCAGTTTCCAACTTTCGCGCGTCAATCTTCGCCCCAACGACTCGACGCCGCCACGACAGCTGTCAATTGCCCGTAGCGCAAACGCCTCGGACTAGCGATTGATAGGGCGGAGCGTGCAAATGGCGGACGCAAGAGTCAGGACATGCTGCAGGGCTTCGTCTGCGATAGCTCGTTTGAGCTCTGGCTCAGCGCTCGGCACGCGCCGTGGCGACGCTTTCGGAGGGCCAGCGCAGCGGAATGGGCGACGGACGGAAGATCGAGGCGGAAAAAGGAATAGGCGGTCTGAGCATTGAGGTGAGATATTGGGCTCGAGCAAAGGTTTGGGTCCGTGAGTGCGACCATGCTCTTCTCCTTGAGTACACCTGTGTAACGCTCAATTTCACCATCGTTTAGTCTTCACGCTCATGAGTCGTCGTTCTCGTTTCTTTGCTGTCTTCTACTCTCGTTTCTCCCTTTCCTGTCGTTAATGACTCTATGCGACCATGAAGAGCCTCTCCTGTATCTCGTTGTCGAGGACCCAAGATGATCCGCCAACCCGTCACGTCCCGATCGATTCGTACAAGGATAACACGAATACCACGATCGTGACCCACAACAAGGGTCCAAAGATACAGACCTTAATTGAAGTATTAAGGTGTGACTTTGCAAGGCCTGGACGCCCTTCGGGGAATGCAGATAATGGCCTCGCTCCCACAAAGCAATGGACTCCGCTCTACTACGCCGTACAACACAACCGACAGGCAGCTCTCCTACACTTCCTTCGAGCAGGCCAGTCGCCGGATGGCGTTGCAGGGACTGGACAACCGCCCTTATGTATAGCTGTGGCAGCTGGACACGTCGACATTGTCAGAATACTCTGCGAAGCAAGCGCGGACACGAAGGCCACGACAAGGCATAATGGAGAGACTGCCCTTCATCTCGCGATCAAGACCGGACGCAGCGACATGATGGACATCATCCTACCATACGGACCCGACCTCGACGCGCGAACAATATACACGGGCGAAACAACACTGCATTACGCTGCGGCTAGGCCAGGATCACTCGCTGCTGTGGTCGCCCTGCTCAAACGCGGAGCAAAATACGATGCTCTGAATGCGAAGGGTTGCAGTCCAGCTGAGGTTGCATTGCAGTCGCAGAATCTACACGCCGCAGTTGCCATCATCAGTGCTGCACGTGGGAGACGGAATAAGCTGGCAAAGGAAAAGGAAATGCTGCTGAAGCATGTCGAGAAAGCGCAGAACCGATTCTCAATGGGCAATGAGCTCATCGCTGATATCTTTGAAGCCGGCTGTGACCCTGACTCTACGGTCTTGGTTGAGGCCATCAAGAGGGACGACGCAGGCTTGGTGGAGATGTTTCTGGAGAAGGGTGCTGATGCGAATCGCGCGACGGCGACCGGCATACGCCCGATCTTCGCAGCCCTGAACTGCTCCGGCGCACAGACAGTTCATGCACTCGTCCGACACCGCGCCGACGTCACGTTACGGGATTCGGAAGGACTTACTGTCCTCCAAGCCGCTTTCGACAGTCCTTTGGCCCACGACAAGGCGGCCATCTCGGGGGTGATCGAAGCGTTACTTGCAGCTGGAGCTGATCCGTGTTTGAAGTACTCTGACGGGACGACCCTCCTTCATCACGCTGTTAGGCCAGGTCTGAGCTTGGCGAGGGTAGCGCAACTACTTCTTCAGGACGGGTTCGATGCGAACGAGCAAGACTATCTCGGCAATACCGCGTTGCATGCCGCGACCCATAGCAGGTCATGCACCGAGGTTCTCCTCAAGCATGGTGCGGATGCGAACCTAGTCAATCACAAGGGCCTTACGCCTCTCCTATTAGCTACGACATCGCCCAAGGAGGAGCCCGATCTCGAGCTGTTAATCAAAAGATCAGACATCCGAAAAATCGACCGTGGCGGGAAGACCGCTCTTCATCTCGCCGCGAAGAATGGTCTCGAGAAGACTGTCAAATTCCTGCTCCAAGCGCATGCAGAAACCACCGCAGTCGATTCCAAGAAACGCACCCCGCTACTACTTTCCGTACTCAACCATCGATGGGCGATCGTTCCTCTGCTAGCAATCCAACCCGGCATCAACTCCTGGGATGAGGACGGAAAGACGGCTCTGCACCACATCGCAATGAGCACGCCAAAGGCTCCGGTAACCTGGCAAGATATTGCAGCCGCTGTAGCACCGTTCTGCGAAAAAGGCGTAAGCAGGAGCATGCGTGATCGCTCCGGAGCGACTCCGCTCATCCAAGCTGTGAAGACGCTCCCCGAGGAAGGTCTTCCCGTCATCGAAGCCCTCCTGGCACAGAGGGGTTTGGAGAGGAACAACTGCGTGGGCCATGAGGACCACAAGCAAAAAAGCGCACTCTATTATGCCGCAACATCAGGCAAGCCTTCGTTCGTTTCAGCACTGCTGAAGCGTGGTGCGCCATTCTCCTTGAAGGAATGGAAGACGAGCAAAGGACCGATTCGACCAGACAACGCCATCAACAAGAAGATACTGGAAACCTTTGCCGAGCATGAGTGGCTGCGCCGCGCGACGATGCTGCAAAGACAATCCGGAGTCGGCTTAGATAGCCATGTTCTTCCCAAGGTCCTGCCGATTCGAGATCTGGACGCACTGCTCTTGATGGGTCTCGACCCTAACGCCCTACCCAAGTCCAAGTTCACTAATCCAATCCTGTGGGTCATCCTCAATCAGACTCTCCTACCACCGCCTCTTCCGCCACAGTATCTCTACGACATTTTGAAGCTGCTCCTTTCATTCGGCGCGGATCCGAATGCGACCACCACCCGGACGACCAAGCGTTCTTCTCAAGGTCGCAGCTCACCACAGCCTCTCTCCCTCCGCCCTCTCACTTTCCTACTCGAACAATATCCGAGCGTCGACATCGATCTCATTACCCTCTTCCTCGATAATGGCACGGACCTGTCCACTCCATCGCCCTTCTATGACGGCCGCTACTCGCTACACTCCGCTGTTCAAGCGAACCGCCTCGACAGCGTAGACGAATTTCTGACTCGTCGCGCCGAAGCGGATTGCAAAGACACGAAAGGGCGGACTCCTCTATTCATCGCTGCGGAAAAGAGCTTCTGGGAGATTGCCGAGCTTCTGCTCCGTTGTGGCGCAAAGGCTGACGTCTCGGATAAGGAGGGTAGCACACCACTGCACTCTGCTGTCGTCGGCGGAAGCCAAAGAATTGTTGCATCTTTGCTGCGCGCTGGCGCTAAAGCAGGCGTGAAGAATGCGAAGGGCGCCACACCCCTGGCGTGTGTCCCCGAAAACATTAATGAAAAGGACAAAGGCAAGATCGTTGCGTTGCTCAAGTATGCAGAAGAGCAGGAGAAGCGCGAGGAAGAGCGCAAGCAGAAGCAGTTGGAGCGAGAAGCGGTACAGGAAGGGAGGGAAAGAGTGCGCAAAGAGCGCGAGCTCAAGCAGCAGAAGTCGAAGTCTGACCTTCATCAGCCGACAACCCGATCACCGACTCTCGCATCTCCACTACTACCGCCGACTAAACAGCCGAACCCCACTCCGCGGCCCGTCATTGTTTCTCGACCCTCGGCTCCCGTCGGACCTCCAGTCGCTTCATCTCCCGTTCATATGCCCAAGCAATTGGTCAGCACCAGCATTCGTTACACGCCCCCGTCGCCGAAACGCCAACAGTCCTACCCAGCTCCGAAGCCCACCGTGAAGACCGAGAAACCTCTGCCGCAGCCAAGAGTGGACAGCGGTTTCGGCCAGAAGCAGGCTGTCCCGGTCGATAAGCCTCTACCTGTGCTTGACCGGAGTAAGATGACTTTCGATGGAAAGGGTGGAGGACAGAAGTCAGAGCCACAAGATGAGCTCGCTAGCTGGCTGGCTTTGAGTAAGGCGCTAGATAGGCTATGAGCCTACCCAGCACGCATACACTTTCTTTATCTTGTCTCATACACACTTATTTGCTTTTCTGGTTTCTTGCCTCCATTCCTTTTATCAAAAACCTAGGTACTTGGGTTGTTCTTTCATTCCTTGACATACATTCTTTTGCTTGCAGGCGCTTTGCATTCCGGGGCATGGGCGAAAACACAAAGATACCCAACTTCGGTTACTGTCCTTTTATATATGCTATCCTCATTGGGAAAGGGAATACTGCTACTTTACCGGGGGATGTTGGAGGATATATACATACACGGGCCGGGTTTTTTCACCTTCCTTTTCTCCCGTCTTTTACGGTCAAATACCTGGCGCATAGCACACATACATCGTCTTTCACGACATAGTAGATAATGATCGTAATACTACTCTCATACACATACATAACTCTGACTTGCTTCCTTCACTTCCGTGTGCTAAACGTTGGATATCGCTACCCCACCACGGGGCACTCTTGTCTAATCGAAACAAGGATATTTCGAGACTTCTATTAAAGGCGTAGATTTGATAAACCAGCTACTCAGAATATGCTTTACAAGTCACGAGCGTTGTATTGCAGCGAAGGGATGTCTCGAATAAGGAAATATCGTTCAGAGCTCAGATACGTGGAAATCAACTCGTTATTCATATGTTCCATGAAGGGAACGATAGTTTCTATCATGCTTTCATATCTTTGAAGCGTGCAGAGTCTCACTGACACCGTTAGCCACAATCCCACAATCATGACGACCAACTCGCCTTATCCTTCTCCATATCCGCAATCTGCAAGATCGCCTTCCCGAAGTTTTCACCCTTCAGCATGCCCAAGAACCCATCAACTGCATTGTCGATGCCCTCCGTAACACTGATCTTAGCCTTGAATGTGCCGTCCGCAATCCACTTCTGCACCTTCTCCTGGTGCTCCTTGGCGTACTTCGGTCCCATGTTCGCGTCGCCCACGATAAAGCCGCGGATGGTGATGCGTTTGGAGACTACCTGCATTATGTTACGGATGGGATACAGTTCCTCGGGCTTGGCGTTGTATTGCGAGATCATGCCGCAGGCGACTGAGCTTTGTTAGCCGATGCTTCGGTAGTATTATGGGAATCATACTCACCGATGCGGCCAAAGTTCTTCATGGCGTTGAGGGCTGCCTCGAGATGCTCTCCACCCACGTTCTCGTAGTAGATGTCGATGCCGTCTGGGGCAAGACGGGTAAGAGCGTCGCCGGGTTTCTCCTTCTTGTAGTTGAAGCCCGCGTCGAAGCCCAGCTCGTTTAGGATGAAGTCTAGCTTCTTGTCGTTTCCAACGCTGCCGATGACCTTCAAGCCCTCATGCTTCGCCAGCTGTCCGACTAGTTGACCAACAGCTCCAGAAGCTGCAGAGATGAAGATGGTCTCCCCTTTCTTCGGCTGACCGATCTCGTAGAAGGATGAGTAGGCCGTAAGACCAGGCATTCCGAGGGCACCAAGGAAGTGTCTAGGGTCCAGGTTGTACGGGTTGTCCAGCTTGCGTGCCTTCTCGACGAAATCCGGGCCGAGGACCGAGTACTCTTCAATTGGAGAGACATCTGTGGAGATGATCACGTCACCCGCGCTGAACTTTGGCGTGTTCGACTTGATGACCTTCATGATGGAGCGGTTCGTGATGGGCTTCCCCAGCTCGAAGGCAGGGGAGTAGGACTTGACATGCGCCGGGCGCATTCGTCCGCGCTGGTACGGATCGAACGAGGCATAGTAGTTCTTGACGATGATGCCACCTTCGGGAGGATTCTGGTCAAGGTCCAAGGGTCGGTCTTCAATGACGAGATCCTGGCCGGGGACAGGCCACCCGCTGGGGACCTTCTTGAATATAACTCCTTTGTTTTGGACCATGGTGTTGTCGCTTTTGCGGTGATAGAGGGGTATGAAGCGGGGTACTCAAAGGCTGTCTCTGGGAGGAAAGTAACACTGAAAGGCACGAATTGATTCTGCCTGGCAAACGAGTGGACTGACACACTTACATTTATATCGCGCAACAGCTTATAAATGTGAAGTCACCCTTTAAGGAGCTACTACCGAAAACGGATTGCATCATGATGAACAATCCACTCCTTGCAGCGACACCTTGGCCGGCGGAACTGGCGGGCACACGAACCTGCCCGTGCTTTGGGTCTTGCCTCGGTCGGAGGAGATGGCGATTGGTTTGCCGTTGTAAAGTGTCGGACAGAAACTTCTACTGGCGTTTGGAAGGTCGCGGATGACGATGGCCGATCGGCTTTAGTGCTGAATCGGTAAAGTGCCCGCTCGCAAAGTGCCTCGGTAAGTGGCGGGTCGTTAGTAATAGACAGCGGTGCTGCAGAAGTCGGGGCAATTGGCGTTCTCTACGCGCGTAGAAGAAGCAGTTTGACGAGGGGTGTCGCTGATGCCATTCCTCTGGCATTGGATGATTCGGGGCGGTGGAACTTGGTGGCCGGTGCACGCAGTGGGATTGCAGAGGATGAGTAAGCATACTACAGCAAGGGTTACAACCTTGGAAGATATAAGACGAAGGGCCCATCCGCAGACACCACCCTCTCTGAAGGCGAGGAACTGCCACTGCTTCCGTTGTAGGATCTGTTTAACACAGTATGCCGTCCATGTGTCCTCGACTGGTATGGCTCTAGGCATAGTGACCTCTCGGGGAGCAGAACCAGCATACTACGAGCATTGTACGAAGCCCCTCCTGCTTGTGCAAGATAGCTCAAGGACTCGGTCAAACTGATACTTTCCTAAGAGTAACATTCCAATACCGTCGCTTAGCCGCCAGAGAGTGCCAAAGTGCCTTCGAATGGCTGGGTCGCCCGAGCAGGAAGGTAGCCAGGCACCGATACCCGTATCTCCATCTAAGTATGGAGGCCTCGTCTATCACTGCCTCGCTGTATTCGTCACGCAGGATGCCCCGAGCAGGTTTCGAGAGAATCGATACATGCGCGCTGCAGGAATCAATAGTTGCTTGATTAGTCACCGCCGTATCCGTAGCGGGCAGTATGGAGAAGCGACAGTTTCATGCTAAGAATAGCGGCGTACCGACATGGCGCTCCATAGCACCTCGTATCGATGTCTCGGAAGATGAGGCTCGAGGAAGGAAGACTGCGAAGATCAGTGTGTGTTTGAGGTAAGTCGCGCCGGGAGCTCGGGCCTCCGTGTCTCTCGCCGCCGAAAGTGTGTAGCACGGTTCGACAACTTTCAATGTTCATCATCGTCCCCTCGCAACTATAAACCACGCGCTCTCTCGCTTGTATGCTCTAGCAACTGAGTATATTTCCACTCGCGAAGTGTACGTGTCTCTCGCTATCGTCACAGAGCAGCAATTGGCCCCGCTATGTCGCCTCAGCCACCCTCAGACCCCCCACCTTCGTACGAACAGACGATAACACCCACCCCAACCATGAACCGACCAGCGCCGCCAGAGCCTTTGAGGTCACCCACAGCGCCGAGGCGAGGCCCGCCACTGCCGCCGCCGCCATTGGACCTACCGGCGTTGAACAAGCTGAGAGGGAAACGAGTAGTGCTGGCCTCGAAATCACCCAGAAGGAAGTTCTTACTCGCACAAGCACGTCTCCTCCCACCTGTCCCTTCCACGCCCTCGCTAACCATCATATAGCTCGGCCTAACCAACATCGATATCGTGCCCTCCACCTTCGCCGAGAACCTCTCCAAAACCCTCTCTCCCTTCGAATACGTGCTCGAGACCGCGTCCGAGAAAGCGCGCGACGTCTACCGGCGCGAGATTGACAATCACGAGAAGGGCGAGCCCGCGCTCATCATAGCCGCCGACACCATCATCATAAGTCATGGCGGCAAGATCCTCGAGAAGCCGCGGAGTCCGCAAGACCACTTCCAGATGCTGCAGACGCTCAGGGATGAGGGCACGCATAAGGTCACGACGGCAATTGCGGTCATGACACCCCTAGAGAGCGCGGTCGATCCGGGGTATCGTATGGAGACGCACGTCGAAGAAACGACGGTGAAGTTTGATCCGAATGGTATGCGCGACGCTCCTCAAAACAAGGCTTGAACTGACGGGGGTAGTGACCGACGAGCTGATCCTGGCCTACGTCAAGACGCGCGACGGGAACGACAAAGCGGGCGGGTACGGCATCCAGACCGCAGGCTCCGTCCTCATCGAACGCATCGAGGGTTCGTACGACAATGTAGTCGGCCTACCGTTACGCGCTGCGCTCACTCTCATTGAGAAGGTCATGGTGCCGGAGGAGGAGCTGGATGATCATATGGATAATATGTTTTCGCGTAGTGATGGCGAGGATGACGATAATGAGAGCCTGTGACGTTGACGAGTAATAGGAAGCTCGATCACGGATGAGCCGTGCTCTACCACGAAGAGCTCACTCCCGGTGGACGCAGAGGACGCAGAGGAAGAAGCCGGAGACGTCACCTGGTAATGTCTTGCACGTTCGTCGATAGGCGGATAGGGGAGCTAATGTATTTGCATAGGTGCAGTACAATGTGAAGACAGAGTCAGTTGGCCTAATGCTTGTCGACTGGGCGTACCGTTCCTGGCTCCGGTACACACATGGATACCAAGGAACACGCAGCGGATCGTGTGGGTGTCTTCGAATACAGTTGTTGTTCCTGATTCCATGATTCGGTTCTTGCTTTCCTGTTACACACACATCCCTCCGAGCTACTCATACCAAGCGGCTCATTCATCCATCAAGCTCAGACCTTCAAGCCTATCTGCCCAATCTCGCCGTTCAACCCCCCGTTCACTGACATCGAGCGCTCCTTCTCTCGCCCGCTCAGTGGGAACCCATCGTCGACACCCTTTAAACGCTTCGCCAGCGGCCCACTCCATCCCTCTTGATGCTCCAAACTCGCCCCCATGATCTTCAGCAGCGCGAGCAGCGTGTACGTCGCATCGTTCCCGAGCTATGGAACCTCCCAGCCTCAATGCCGGCCCGCATACATAATAACACCTTCAGCGTCATCTCCCTGCCGTACAGTCTCTGACCAATCTTCTACGTATCGAGAACGGCGGTGGGGGCATGTTTGGAGCGAGTGGAGTTGGCTTTTCAGGGGGCATCGAGGCCGCTGGGGACGTTGTGACCGATGAGGACGAGTGGAGGGGTAGCGGTAGTCATATACTGGAGCGTGGTTGTATCAAAAGCTCCAACTTTCTGAGCTCCACAGCATGCATGCACCCCTTCGGTCTGCTGCTCATAGCAATTCAAAAGCTTCCGCGGATCTTCCCTCCCACGCTCGCCTTGGCGAAACGGAAATATCGTTTTGCGCGTCGATATGCATAGCTCGTTTGCGTTCGCTTTTTCGTTACGCAGTAGTTGTGGGCGGATATGGTCGGCGGGGTACAGGCTGCCGCCTGCGTGGCGAGGAGTCGATAGTCTCAGGGGAAGACGCCGATCTCAGTGAAGCCGCTGGGATTGGAATTTCCGCCGCTGATGTCGAGGGGGAGGGGATTGTGCGGAGTGAGGGGGGCGGGCCGGGTGAAGTTGAGACGTGAGCGAAGAAGAAGCAATCGGTACGGAGTATTGGAGCAGGAAATGCGGGAGAGAGCGCGGCGAACAGCGCAGCGGAACCTATAATTAAGGTTCTAATTATTCTGTCAGTATTATGGATGTTGCTCCGAGTCGTCCACAGCTCCTTCCGCCGGTGGAAATGCGTTGTTGATTGCGCTCCAGTGGAAGATACAATGTCGCGCTATAAACGGTGAAACCCAAGATTAGAGAAGAAAGAGTTGGAGTTTGGGGATAAGGATGTCCAGAAGAAAGTCAGTGCTCTATGAGAGAGCGAGCTAGCACGACCGTTCGTACAAGTAGATGCGCGAGCTCCAGCTAAGGTCTCTACAGTACTAGAGAAGATTCTGCACTGTTTTGATAGATCAACCACTTATCTCCATCCACATCTCAAGCCAAGCCAAGTCAAATCAGCCCTTCCAATCTTAGCCTCCCGCAGCCACTCGTCAGCCCAATCCACCACCTTCCCGTCCCAGCTCCGGCACGTACAGTACCTGCCTTCGTATCCGTATCCGCATTCCCTCGTTTCCCTCCCTTGGCTTAATATCAACCTCCCCCTTCCTTCTCCGACCCGATAACGAGAACCGTGCAATTTAGATTGAGCTGCGGTTCTGGATGGATCGACGGCCGGGGCAGCGGGGAGAGCTGAGCATGGATGGCACAGATGGGCTTGGCCCGCATGGGGGCTGAATGATGGTATGGGATATGGTTGGCCTGGGAAGGTACGTGTGCGTGGAGGGGGGCCGTTCATATATAGATTGGTAGGTAGGATGACGATTGCGCGGTTTTGCCTGAGCTGTTCTTTTTTGTTTTGCTTTGCTTTGCCGGGCTGAGTTTTTTCAATCTTTCTTTCCTCTCGCTCTCGTTCGCGACAACGACCATGTGTGGTGGTTAGTTAGTCGCTCCTTTTACATCGGTTCAAGAATGACTTAGAACCCAGTCAGTCGTACATATATTTACGATAGAGCTGTATATCCAGTTTCCAACAGGTCGCGACTATGACATCCTCCAGCTCCCTCGTCTATGTCGTCTACCTCCTCCTCTTCAGCCTTCCCACAACAGCATTCGCTGCCAAATGCGCCGCCCCGCCTCTCAATCTCCCCTACCGCAACGTCTCGATTACGCCCGGCGTGCTCACATACGGAATCCCAATACACATCGGCTCGCCATGGCAGTCCGTCGCCCTAACGCCCTCGCTCCAACTCGACAACACGTTCATCCCGCGCTTTACAAACACCTGCGTGCACAACGACGCGATGCCCATGTCCAGCAACAACGCGACACGGCGCTCCATCCCACTCGTCAAGCGCAAAGAGCACCCCGGCTCCTTCGAAGAGAACAGCAGCAGCGATGGTGCTGGAAAAACTGGCTGGGAGGGCGACAACTGGTGGGTGCAATGCAGCGAGCTGTACGGCGGCGGGTACGCGCCAGAGCTCTCGTCCAGCTTCCACGACAACGGGACGAACGACCAGGTGCGCGAGAGCTGGCTGAAAACCGCGGGGTTCTCGGACTGGCACTTCGTTACTGAACAGTTTGTCTTGGCTGATTATCTGGATGTGTATGCGCGGACGAATGAGGCTTTGCCGGAGAAGACGAATCTGACGACGAGCTTCATCCTGCCGGATGCGGGGGCGCTGTTTGGCGGCATGGGCGCGTCGGCGCTGGGGATCACGCCGAATTCGACACTCTTGAGGGCGCTGCATGATGTGAAGGTACGTAGGGCGCGGCATACACTTCGGTCAGCATGTCTTCCAACTGCGCATAGCTGTTCCTAGAGGCCTTCAGCGGGTAAAACGCTTTAGCTTTGGACTGCGAAGAGCTCTACTTGGAGGCCGCCAGCAGGGAAAGTCCTGAGACATGCTACCGAGTTAACTTTCCTCCTCCTTCATTTGAGATATCTGCTAAGTGTATCGCCACCTCAGATGATTCCGTCGACTTCTTGGACTTTGACGAATTCAAGCTTGTGTCTAGGTTGTACGGACGCGAATGCGCACACGAGCGACTTCCAATCGTTCAAGCCGGCGGATCGAGCGGCGGATTCGAAATTACCCTGCCTTATCCAAGCGAAAGTCGAAGCGTTGAACTGGCACCCGAAAAAGGGTGTCGAAGGCGCGACCTTGATCCAGGACACGTTCACTGCGTGCATTGATCCCGGAGTCAAGTTCCTAGTGTTGCCGGACGACGCGCGGGATGCGTTCAAGGAGATCGTGGAGCGGGATGTGAAAGGCGAGTATGAGGATTACATTGCGTTCAAGGGGCCGCCGAAAGAGGATGTCGGGATTTTGACGTTCAGGCTTGAGGGAGGCCTGGTGGTCAATGTGACTGTGCCTGGAGTCGGAAGAGTCGGAGCGGAAGAGGTGGGCGAGTGGAAGGTACCCATTGGCAGGGGCGGGTGGGGCGCCTATGGCAATCAGACCTGGACGCTTGGGAAGCCGTTTACGGATCGCGTAGTGATCAAATGGGACGAAGGAGCGAAGGAGTATGGAATCGCGAACTTGAATGATGACCCGTCGAGAAAAGAGGATATTCAGCCATTGGGGTGCGATGAGTTTCCAAAGGTTGAGAAGATCGTCACTTCGTCGCCAGGAACGGGGGTACTCGTCGGATCGGTGATCGGAGGATTCGTTGGTGGGTTGGTGTTTGCGATGGCCGGCTTGTGGTTCTTCAAGAGAGGGGAGAAAGGCGTCAAATCCAAATATGAGCCTCTTGAAGAGACGCTGCCGATGACCCGTATCCCAACGGATAGGCGCACAATGGATTCCGCCATGTCCGGAGCGTTGAGCCCACCAAGTGTGAGGGAATCGATGCGGTCGCAGATGGGTTCGCGTTCGGCGTCGCCAATGGCACCGCAGCTGGTCGCCGATAACTCCATTTATGAGGCTCCCGAGGGTGGGACGGCGTATCCTACGAAACGAGAACGACCGGAGATGAGCGGGCTCGGCCTGAGATGAAAAACGCTTTTCTTCATATACTCGTCGAGGGACCTTCCCCTTTCAAGATTAAGAAAGCAAGAAATCCTTCACGAAACTATCGCCGCTGAGTTTGACCACTTTCTCTGCTCTGGCGTATGTTAGGGGAAAAGGATGTACAAACCAATGCTTCGCTGAGCTCGCCGTCTCACTCCCATCAACTGCTGGCTCCCAGGTAATCGCTACATCATAGATGAGGTAGATAGCTGCTCCACTCTGGGGTCTTGTATATCTCTGCAGGGGCGCGCCGAAGACTGATGAAAGCTTCGACGACAATGAAAACTCGGCACACGAGGAAGAGAGGCCCAAGGACGGATGCGCCCATCCAAGTCAGCGTCCGGCTGTTCCGAATGAAGTGCTCCAGATTCTCGAAGGCTCGGATCTTCTGCGTTGCGAGGAAGAACAGTGCAAGTATGATACCGGACGCCCCAGTCGCCAGCGAACATGAGATCCATAGCCACCGTTCTTCTTGTGTGGGGAAATAATCGTTCCATGCCGAGAGGTGGAGGCCACCGTATGCTGAACCAGCAAATGCGAGTACGGATTTCAGCATGTCCCTGTGGACATTCACACTGCCGAGATACGATAGACTAGGGAGGTTCGGGATATGGTCGGACACGTATATCAGCTCGCCAACAAAGATCCCGAGAGAGGAGGTAGTGAAGAAAAAGTCGCTGTAGTCAGGACGTTTCTCGCACTCGATCCAGAGTTCGTCGACCAATTCATTAGCGAGGCGCCAGCGTTCGATAGCGCATTCTGGCAGAGGCTCGTGTGTGTCGCAGTCCTTTAAAGCTCGGCGGCAGTAGTTCTTGGAATGCTGGAGGCCCTGGTGCGATTTTTGAATCTGAAAGAAGATTTCATGCTCTTTCGCTACGTTGATCGTCGTGCCGCTGATCACGTAGCTTACATCATGGTCCAGCTGCTGCCCATCAGCATCGACTTGGAACTCTTCCAATGGTCCGATGAACTTTTTCGGGTCCCGGGCGCCTATTGACCCAACAGAGAAATGGGTCTTGTGTGGCTTCAAAACGTCCTTCCTGGCTGTCTTTGGCTTCTCTTCCTCCGCGACAGTGACCGTAGGATTGCGTTGCGACACCCTTTGAGCCGGCGGTAGGTAATTCATGCATCGAATTTCGCTGATGTAGTCGTCCTTGTTCCAGCATATGGGACTGCACATCCACATGAGCGACACAAACTTATCCATCCACTCTTCTCTGCGAATCAAGACTGGGTCTTTGATGTCGAGTGGCTTGCTCCACCACAGCGCATAGAGAGCAAAAGCGCAAATCACGTGTCCGATCGTGTTGATTTCCAGTAGCGAGACTGGCAAGTGCTGTTGTACTCGGGCGATCGTTTGAAGGATCATCCACCCCGCCTGGAGGACGACAAGGGATTTTGCGAGTCCGTCAGCCTTGCTTTTGTCTTTGATTTGCTTCTCCTGGATTTCGGGCAGTCGTCCGAGGAACGAGAGAAGGCGGACACCTTCTGCTGTTAGGCTGAGTCGTGGATTTCCAGCTATGCAATCCCCTGTCTGAATTCGGCACCCTCCCATTACTGCGAAGTAACACTGTGTTATGGTCCATTCTTGGAGTTGCTGCTCGGAGCTCCAGGCCGGATTAACACCCTATCACTGTCAGCCCTACCCCCTGCCTGATCGACTCCAAGGCCCTCTGTACCTCCTGTTTCCTCCACTTGACATCTTTTCGAATCTCGCGGCACAGCCACTTTGCCGTAAGAAACTGGGCGAACGCCGTAGATACGACCAGCTCGGGCGCAAAGATACCCAGGAGAATCCATCGCAAACGTTTGACATTCCTATTCCTAAGTCTCGAATCCTCGGTCGGCACGTTAAGATGCAGGGCAGACCAGACACACACGACTAACGTGAGTAAGCAACTGATGATTAAATCCCATGTGCCACGCTCATTGGGAGCCGAGAACCAGCCTGAAAGCTCAGGATCCGCGGAAGTCGTCGTCTGCGCTAACAAGAGCGACACGAGAAGGAAAAGAGACATATTGAAATCCGCATGCTATCGAAGCGGGGAGGGGAACAGTGTAAAAGACGACGTCCACGAGGCTGGAGGATTCGTCTAGTTTGCTTCGGTTGCAGATGTTGTGCAGGGATGGGCGTCAACCCATGTCATTCGCTGGCTGACCGGGAGCTGAGGAAACACCAACATGGAGACTTGGGTCAGATGCGCTGTCCCTTGTGCCGTGAAACTAAACCGGCAAAAGGCGCTGGCTATCGAGCGCACTTTGCCAGCCCTGGCGGGGCGTTACCCATTTTGAGATGAAACGGAAGGCCTACTGTGGTGGGCAGTTCGTGCCATGTTCTCGACGAGCATCGACACCATGAATGCCATGGCGGAGATAGCTAGATATGTACGAAGGAGAGCCAGGCTTGGGTGTTGGCCTAAATGATGCTGACTAGTGGTGGTGGGTCGGACGGAGAGACAGAGCAGCGTAATTCAACTAAGCAGCCTGCGAGCGCAGCAACTCCGAAACAAACAGAAACGAGAGAACGAAAAATAGATGAAGAGCGGGCTGTGTGCCTGTATCTACTGTCGCAGAGGTTCCTTGGTGTGGTGTTGCGATGCGGAGGTTCGGGATCCCCCAGCTCTCTCCGCTTCCGAATACCTGGTCTGTGCGCTATCCGGCATCGAAGCTCAACTGCGCGCAATCCGCGACTTCAGCGAGACAGAACAGCGGAGATCCAGGAACACCCGCTCCGCGCGCGCGCCCGAGAGTGGCTGCGGCCCCGTCCTGCCCGCAATGGAGGCTGGTGGCACCGATGCTGCCAGGCCTTCGACGCACGGAGGCCGATGGGACGGTGGGGACCCGAGCGGTATACCGGAATCCTCAATACGACACCAGTATCAGAGATACATATAAAGATGCTGCGAAGAGCGTTTATACATTCCAGATACAACCATAATACCAGTTGGAGATCAAGATCAAGCAACAAGAATCCTCAGAAACCCATAGCAATCAGCAATCATGGCCCAGCAAAAGTTGAAGCCTACCTTCGATGGTGAGTTGCACTATCGAACATTCCGAGAGCGTTCGGAACTGACAGCATACAGATGTGATGGGCTGCCAGGCGGCATGCTACGAGTGGGCGGACAGCTACGACAGCAAGGTAGGACTCCTTCTCAAGCTTGTAAGACAGTCGGTCTGATCTAGTATAGGACTGGGAGCGTCTGCGCAAGTGCATCGCCCCTACGCTGAGGATCGACTACCGCTCCTTCCTCGACAAGATGTGGGAGGCCATGCCCGCGGACGAGTTCGTCGCCATGGCGTCTGACCCCGCCGTGCTTGGAAACCCCCTCCTTAAGACGCAGCACTTCATCGGCGGCACGCGGTGGGAGAAGACGTCGGACGACGAGATGGTCGGCTACCACCAGCTGCGCGTGCCTCACCAGAGATACACGGACGAGACGCGCTCCAAGGTTGCGGTCAAGGGACACGCCCACAGCTTCAACACGCACTGGTACAAGAAGGTGGACGGCGAGTGGAAGTTCGCCGGCCTCAACCCGGACATCAGGTGGTTCGAGTACGACTTCGACAAGGTGTTCTCGGAGGGCCGGGATTCGTTCGGAGAGGCCAAGCAGGCGGCAGGCATTCCGTCGGAGACGTGAGGGGAGTGGTGGGGTCGAGCTGATGTTAGGAGGTACTATGGTTCATTGAATGGCGCTTCGTGTGATGGGATATTGGATACCAACGAGACGAAATTGATTTCAATGCTGTGTTCTGCCCAACGTATAAGTTATGTCGACTGATGATGAGACGGTGGGATCGGGGCGCGGGCGCGGTTTCATCTGGACGACCTGCCTCTGTGCCTGCCTTGTACCATGGGCGCAAATATTGATCTGCTGCAGAACGCTCACGGCCGCCCAATCTCTTCTGCTGCTGGGTGAGCGAGCGGTGCGCTAGTGGTGAGAAGAGACTGGCCTGCGCGCCCGCTCTGAGGGGTAGCTCTCGTCCAGCCAGTCATGCATCGCGCAGCCACCTGCAGAGAGGGGGAGAGGTGTCCTAGGAGCGGTCGGCGACGCTTGGAGTCTTTGGCGTCGGCTCAACCTGCTGCGCGCACTGGATGTGAAGAGAGATTGCTCGCTGCTGCAGCCACGAAACGAAACCGGCGATGAAACATGTGGTGGTGGTGCGGAGGCCCCACGGCTGCTCGATATCGCTCTGCGGCGCGGTGACCACGGCAGCATGCGGGTCATCGAGGCCTATTAATAACGCAGTTGCCAGGCAGGCGGCCAATCTGAGGCGGCAGAGGCAGTCTGTCGCCGGATCTCGAGCGCAGCGTGGCAGCCCTGTTGAGCAGCAGAGGCGAGGTGTGACGAACCATTCAGGGCGTTGGGATAAATGGAGGCCATCGAAGATCCGGAAAGCTTGATTCAGCCCGCTCACCGATGCGCCGTCGCCTCCCCAGCGCCGGCGGCGGTCCTGGTTTGCTGGCCTGGGCTGGGGGCTCGTTACCGACTGCCTCCGCCACCTGACCCGTACGGATTGGCCGGCAGCGCTGCGAGCCTTGAAAGCGCCGGGGTGCGGGCGCGCTTCATCATCCATCATCTGCTCGCCTTTTCCTCTCCTACCCCACCTCTCTCGCTCGCTGCCATCGACGCCCTCGCCCGCAGCACTCGACTCCCCGTGTGCGGCGCTGATCGCCTGTTCCCTTGCGTTGCGGTGTTTGCTTTGCTGGCGGTGGGATTGCACTCTCGTCTTGTCCGGGCGGTGTCTGTTGGCCTTTTCGGTGCGTGCCTGGTCCTCCCTCTCAAATTTCTGCACGCCTTGGCGGCCTGCCTGCACCACGCCCGCCGCCGTCACCTGCATGCCTGGTGACGCGCATGCTCGCCGGGCCTCGCGGACGCGCCTCAATTGGCACTGCGCTGCGCTGCGCTGTGCTGAGGGCGCGGGCGAGTGCTCCGGCGGCGGCCGCGCGCTGACTGGCTGCGCGCCCGTCGCGTCGTGGGACCGCTTCGTCTCCCACCTCGCAGCGCCGCAGAACAAAGGCCGCGGGGCGGGCGCTGGAGCGTGAGCGAGCGAGCTGTCGCCCGTCCTCGTGCGACCGCTGGTCACGGCCCACGCATGTGATTGCCTGGTGCAACCTGGCTGACCGCCCGCAGATTCGCGAGACCCGTTCCTATCTCTCCGTCGAGCTTCACTCCACTGCTCCGCTGCTCCACTCCCGCCACCGCCTCTCGTTCACTCTCTCAGTCTTCTCGGCGCACCCCCGGAGTTCTGTCGCAGTCTTCCTGGGTCTCTTTCAGCTTCCTGCCCCGACAGTCCGCCTTCTCTTCTCGACTATATAGCCCCAGCGTCCTTTGCGCCTGTCCGCCGCCGTGCCCGCCACCCCCCCGCGCCTCCGACAGCAACAGCACCAGGCACGCGCTCCCAGTGATAGAAGGAGACACCGGCCTGCGTCGGTAAGTGCAGCCTGGCCCTCTTGCGCGCCCGCCCTCACCCCGCCGCTGCGTTGAGGCCTTCGCGCGCTTTCACCCGACGCTAGCTAACAAGCTTTCTCGCGCCCAGATCGACTGCACCACCTCAGCTTCTTCTCTACTCCCACATACTTAGACGACACACTTATTTCCTGTCTCAACCATCAACGAATCTCCTTCGTTTGCTTCAGCGACAATGAGTTTCCAAAACGACTACGCCTTCCAGGGCCAGCCGACCGGCGAGCAGGCCGGCGCGCCCGCCCCGCAGCCCGACCTCGGACAGCCGATGGACACTTCTGCGCCCGGTTTTCCCGCCGGCAACATGGGCGCTCCCGGCGGCGCTCCGCAGGATCAACAGCAGGACGGCAGCGGCAAGACCACGCTCTGGTGAGTCCTCACCAGCGCCGTCACCGGGCTTCGCGATGGTCGCGGCGGCCATTGCATGCTGGCGATGACGGCGCATTACATCTGCCAAGGGCACTGAGCTAACTGGTGCGCAGGATGGGCGAACTCGAGCCCTGGATCGACGAAAACTTCGTCCGCAGCATTTGGTACAACATGGGCGAGAATGTCAACGTCAAGATGATTCGCGACAAGTTCTCTGGGTAAGCGGGCGAATCAGATGTGCAGCATCACAGACACTAACATCGCGCGAGCAGCAGTAATGCCGGATACTGCTTCGTCGACTTTGCCAGCCCTGCCGCTGCATCCAAGGCCCTTACGCTCAACGGCACCCTGATCCCGAACTCCAACCGCCCGTTCAAGCTCAACTGGGCGTCAGGTGGTGGCCTCGCCGACCGGAGGTTAGTAATGCACCTTTTAATTAATGCGCGCATGACCAGACCGTGCTGACGTGTTAGCGACAGCCGCGATGATCGCGGTCCAGAGTACTCCATCTTTGTTGGCGACCTGGGCCCTGAGGTCAATGAATTCGTTCTGGTGCAGCTCTTCCAGAACAAGTATCCTTCGTGCAAGTCCGCCAAGATCATGTCCGATCCCATCTCAGGAATGTCCCGCGGGTACGGCTTCGTCCGCTTTACTAGCGAGGAGGATCAGCAGAAGGCACTATCCGAGATGCAAGGTGTTTACTGCGGCAACCGACCTATGCGCATCTCAACGGCGACTCCCAAGAACAAGAGCGGCGGACCCGGCGGACCGGGTATGGGCATGCCCCCTGGCGGCGGCGGACCGGTCGGCATGTACTCCATGGGCGCTCCCCCAATGGGATACTACGGTGCACCGCAGCCGATGAACCAGTTCACCGACCCGAATAATACCACTGTCTTTGTCGGCGGTCTCTCCGGCTACGTCACCGAGGACGAGCTCCGCTCATTCTTCCAGGGCTTTGGCGAGATCACCTACGTCAAGATTCCGCCAGGCAAGGGATGCGGTTTCGTCCAGTTCGTCCAGCGTCACGCTGCAGAGATGGCCATCAACCAGATGCAAGGCTATCCCATCGGCAACTCTCGCGTTCGTCTCTCTTGGGGCCGGAGCCAGAATAACTCTGGTCCGGCGGGAACCCCTTACCGCCCGGCGCCTCCCCCACCGGTCTACCCCTCAATGGGTATGCCACCTCAGCACCCTTACGGCAACTTTGCCCCTATGAAGGTAGGTGACGCGCTGAACCCAACAAACGGCATTCACTAACTTAGCCTAGTAAGCAATTTCTTTCCTTCATTTGCCTTGCGCTACAGCATGATTCCACCCGGTTGGCCTTTCCAATGACCCCTTATGACGCCCATAATGACTCTAGCGATCTGGTCTTCATTTCTGTCCCGGGCGGTTCTCAAAAGTTTCATTTGACGACACAAATTTTGCTGGACGGTCTTAGAGGGTCTTTGTATAACAGCTGCCCGCCGGTTCGCCACCGGCATCGTACGGAATTCGGATGTAGCTAGTACTTCAGCTTGGGGTCGGATGCTTTTTGCCTTTCTTTCTGAGTGCGCAATGGTTGGCATTCCAATCGACAATTCCTTCGATGTTTCGTGCTTGACGACTTGCCTTCGCCTTGTTTGCAGCAGCCTTGTTTCCGTTCGCCTTTATCTTGAGCTTCGTCGTTCGGCTTGGGCGCTTGTTGACTGCTTACTCTTTGATCACATTTGGGCATACTATGCTAACTTGTCTTCTTGTAGTCCCTACGCCGTCCAGATGCAACAACCGTCCATCCCGCTCATGCAGCAGGCTGGCGTCCCGAACGGCCGCCCGACCGCCTTTTCCCCTGGCATGCCTGGATCCGCGGACGGCGCCAACGGGTTTGGCATGAGCAATGTGGGATTGGGGCAAAGCCAAACCATTGGCGAAGCCGGCGGTCATGACGGTGCTTTCTCTAATCAGCTCCCTTAGTGGGTGAGCCGCAATCATACTAATGGCCACAACATTACAGGCCGAGCCGCTCGATTTATGCGACCCCCCGTCCCTTTCTCTACACGTACCGGTTCGAGTAAGCGATACTCTCGTCCTCGCAGAGACTCCCTCACGTCCAATTGGCGAGGTTATTCGTCCCATTAGCACGGCGTCTGGCGCGAAGACAATACCCAAAAGACTGGCTAGGGTTTGCATTCGCATGTTGGTGCTTGCTTCATCATTAGAGGTTGCATATGACTCTCGGGTCGCTGGGTGTCTTTCATTGCTCTTCTGTTTTGTTTAGTGGTTCTCCATATCGGTGGTTAGCGGCATGTGCATGGTGGCAAGGTGTCCGGTTCAGCAGCTGTTAGGCAGCGGTTTTCGGCTATGGATTCCATCACTTGCTTGGAATATATCATGTTTTATTTCACTGCTTGTTCTCTCCTTCATGCCCATGTTATGATAGCACTGTAAGAGGCGCTAACATGTTTCCCAGTAGGCGTGGGGGAGGAGACTTCTACCCCAAATCATTATGGCTAATTACGCTTTCTTCTACCCAGTGCTTTCCGTGAGCAAGAGGACGGCAATGCTCCGCTCCGCGGCGCTCTTGCGACTTCCTCCTAAGAGACGCCACTACCTCGGTCTGCTCCTCAGACAAACATCTCAATGCTGCTCGTCACTCTTCCTCCAACATTCCTCCGCCGTAGCTTGCCGTGGTTCAGCCCAGCACTCGCCTGCCATGCGCTACGACAACTGGGATGTTATCCTTTTCCCCAGAGACTCTCTGGTGCCCATTCAGGAGTTCCGAACTGCCTGCTATGTGTCCCAGGACGACCGTAAGTCAAAAGCCCACGCTCCAATTCATTGTGCTTGCTGCTGACACGTCTTGAACAGATGGCCGCAACCTTCCAACGTTGACCTGTTACATTGCCTCGCTCCCTACGTCGACGCCGTTCCGCATCTCGATCCATTCGTGGGCCGTCCCAGCGAAGCCGTCCGCCCTCATCGAGTCCCGGCGGAAGACAAATCAGCGAGTCGTCTACACGACACAGGTCATTGCTGACGGAGCTCGAGTTTTGTGAGCAGCAGCCATAGAGCCTCTCGTACTGCATGCTGTATGCTAATGCGCTGCAGTCATGGCTTCTACGAGGTGACGTCCAAATGGCCGCAAGAGATTGGTCAGCTTAGTTTCTCTCAACCACTGGTGCATCTGTTGACCTCACAACAGTGAACGAAAAGCGATCGATTACATATCCGGAACAGCAGTCGAGCCACCGCGGCCCTTTCCTCGAGTTCCCGCCTTTCCATCAGAATGTTCTTATGCAGAGCGCCTGGGACGCTCGCGAACACAATGGAAGGATCAAGGTCCTGCTGTCGGAGCAATTGATTCGCAAGTCGAATAACCCTGGCGAATTGGACCTCGGGGCGACGAACGATATTGTTTGCTTCGCTTTCCAGCATGCTCCCAGAGGTCAATCTATGGTGCTGCCACATGCTAAATGTTATGTGCTAACCGATCTCAGATATTCTTGAACAAGCCGGCATTTCGTGGCCGATCCGCAATCCTCTCTACCTGCCATCCACGAACAACACCCGCCCCTTAGCCTCGCAGATGCCTCCTCCGTACGGCAAACCCCGCGATCCGATCTCGGAAGCCCGTGTGGAATCGCCTCTCTCTCACCACACCGGGTACGGATTTGCCAGGACTCAGAATCCCGAGCCACATGCGAGGCCGCGGACCGATCCGCCTCCTCAATTCTCCCAGTTTCCTAAGCCCGCTACAGGCGGAGGACGAGGTCCACGGGCAGGCATGTGGGATAACTCTATGGCGGAGTCATTCGGGGACACTTTCGACCACATGAGCATGGACACATGGTCGACGAAACGAACCAGTTCTCATGGTACCGGCGATATATCTATGACGGACTTCATGTACCCTCCGACATCCTTTGCGAACCCGACCGACGCTTGGAATAGTTCCAGCACGCAGTATGACCAGGACGCGAGCAGATTTTGGGAAGGCAACCAACCACGACGGGATAGGAAGGCAAGGCAAGTAATCGTAACACTGCGAGACGACCAGCTCGGGCAGCTGATCGAAGCCATCAGTCCACCAAAGAAAGCCCGGGATCGAGACACGAGCAGCCAGCGCTCTGATCACGGCCATGGGCAATCCGTACAAACGGGACTTCAGCCTCCGCCCCCAAGAATGGCTGGTATGCCTCTCACGACACGGCCTTCTGCTGCATCGCTGGCACGCAAGCAATCATATCCAGAGTTCAACCCACATTTGCGCAATGTGCCCAGCAAGGCCTCGCCGGACAAGGGCGCTCCAAGTGAACTAGCACACAAGTCTCCAGCCATGTATCACGCCTCGTTCACGAGCGACAAGGAGAACCGTCCCCCGTCCCAACAGGACTCTCGCCTACCGACTCCATATCCAATCGCGAACAGGGTTCCCACTCCGCACCCCTTCGTTCCGCAACTCGGCAGATGGGACTCCGATGCCTCCATGCGCGACCCATCGTCCGTATTCTCGAGCCTCTCGCGCTTCGAGCAGCTCCAGCAGGCGCGGCCTGAAGGCAAGAGCAGCCCCATCCCCGGCCCTTCGGCGGGCGGCAGCATCCGGTCCCGAAAAGAAGGGCTCGGTGTCAACTCCCCAGCGCCCGCAGCAGCAGTGCCTCCGCACCACGACATCCGGCACGACAAGAGCCTGCTCCCCGCGCTCGACACCACCACAACGACGACGGCAAAGCAGCACGACAAAGTCCCCCACAACACACCCATCACCACCTCGCCGCACACGCGCATCGAAGACATCATCAATCCCAACCCGCACTCCGCCTCCGACAACGGTAGCAGGTCTTTCCTGCCCAGCCACAAGAGCGGCATGTCCAGCATTGACAGCACGGGCCGCCTCGAGAGACAGCTGTTCAGCGCGCTGGGCGAGGAGCTGAATAGCTTCGCCGATAACCTCGATGCGCCGTCGGGCTTGGTGGAGAGTGCGGCGCTGCCGGGGTTGGAGGAGCTGGATGCGCCGCTTGTTAAGAGGAAGAGGCAGGGCACGTTTGGAGCGGAGAGGGGACGTAGTCCGATGGCGAAGATGGTCAGGGAGGAGAGGGGTGGTGAGGTGGTGGTGCAGGGGGCGGAGATGCCGCATTTGAGGGGGGATTGATGGGGCGGCGGACTTGAGCGTCATTGGAGCCGTTCGATACAACACTTGCTGGGCCTATGCTTTCTTGAAGCATTGTACTTGTATTTCTTGGGACTGGCATTGACTCTGTCTGTAAACTGGAGACTGACGGCATTGGATTAGTAAAAGCAAGACCGCTTTTGAGATAGAAACTGAATCGAGTAGAATTTACTGAAGGATATTGATTTCAATTTTGGCATGAAGAGTGATGAGAACGTGGTATCTGTAGGGTGTTTCCCGAAAAAACGCCGCATTATGCTTCCCTTCCCGCTCATGGGATCTAAGAGGACCATCCTAGGAGACTTTCCCTGCCCTGCCCTTGCGCCTCGCTCTTGTAATTGCGCGACACTACACCGTCCTTGTGTCGCTACGTACGACAGCCACAGCTCCCTTAACAACCCCGCTGCCCCAAAACGCCCATTATCCTCCGCATCTGCATCCACGTATCCTCCTCCCCGTTCCCTTCTTCATCACCGACCTACTTGTACTGCTGCGGCACGCCCGCCGGCGGCGGTCCATACCCCGCGCCACCGTGCCCAGCAGCACCACCCGCCATATTATACCCCTGCTGTCCGCCTCCGCCTCCGCCTCCGCCTCCAGCTGCAGCTCCGCCTTCCATCTGCTGCAGCACGTCCGGCCGGTACTTGATGTCCTGCCAGAAGTTGCAGATGTGGCAGCCGACTTCCTTGTACGGCTTCAGGCTGAAGGGGATGATGGGGACGAAGCAGAATGTGAACCTAAACGTTGGGAGGTGGTCAGCGAGCGTTATGAATTTGGGGGATGAACTGGGGGTGAGGGGGAGAGGAAGCGTTGGAAGGGGGGACTGAGGGAAAAGAGGATGAGGGGCATACCATTCCCAGCGCTTCATCACGCGGCCGGACCAGTTGCCGCAGTTTTGACACTGCACTGTCAGGCCCTCGGCGCCTTTGAGCGGCGACGAGAAGGTGTGTGTGCCGCAGGTGAAGAAGAAGAACATTTTGGCGGCGGGGCGGGGGTTTGGCGATCAACGCTCTTGCTCTGGACAGTTTCTTAAGGCGCGGGCGCGGGCGTGGGTGGATCGAGTTCGCGGGTTTCGGTTCGGTTCGGTGATGTGATGTGAGGTCGTGTGAGTGCGGCGAGTAGTGCTTCGGGAGTTCTGGGGATCAATCGACTCCCTTTCTTTGTTGATGTAAAGCTTGCTTGCTCGTAGAGGACTTTCCGCCGCGACGATACAAATGGTAGGGAGTGGAATGGCGACGTGTCAAGTGTTGAGGGAATGTTGCAGCGTTTGTTGCGGCGCGACTGCCGGGTTAATGTGAAAGATGGAGGGTGCATTGGCGCCAAGCGCGGGTCGTCATCGTCGCTCAGCCACACTTGGCTCGAGCTTGAGCTACGGCGGGCTGGAGAGTGCAGGTGTGCAGAATGTGGGCTGGCATGCGTGTGCTAATATGCACGTCTTCTGCGCAGGTTGTCGCGATCACTTGATTTGGAGCGGAAGGATGCGTTGTGGTTTTCGTAGAAGGGCTTTTCCGAAAATCTGCGTCATGAAGGGCTGGAGGATGATTCCTGAGCAAATGGTAAAAGAGATTCTTTGTGGGTGGGTTTGTTCAAATGGTATGCTATGGCCTTGAGGGGCGAAAGTGGAAATCACTCGCGGGAGGGATTGAGAACCTTGTCAGTCCGTTGAAAAAGTAGTGTATACAGAGTAGACATCACACCGCTCATTCAAGTTATACATATCCGCTAAGAGTCATTCCATTACGAGCACATACCTAACCGCCAGATCCAGACTTTTGGAAAGAAGACTCGTGGCAGTCATCCAGATTAAGCCTTCATAGCCTCATACATGGCCATCGTCAGAGAAACGCCGTATGAACCCCAAGCCGTAACTGCCTCATTGGTCCGATTGCCGAGATGCCGTCTTGCCGAGTGGAAAGGGAAGAAGTCCAGGAGGTTCAGGGGGAGGAAGCCATCCTATAGCCTAGGGCGAGGTGAGAAGGTGACGCGAAAGAGCGAGAGAACAAGGTGCAGCAAAAACGGAGGTATCCGGGAATCCAGAATCCGCGGAGGGCCAGAGGGTGGTCGCTTGTAGGGGCTTACTGGGTCTTGAAGAGCAGGATGGCGCAGTGTCCGAGGTAGAAATATATGAAGTGCTTGGTCTCTGCGGAGGTGTCAGATTATCTGATGAATGGGGAGCTGGAAGAGTAGCTGGGCATACCGTGAGTGACGAAGCTGCCAAAGTTCCGGCCGACGATGCAATGCCAGGTTGCGCCCTTGCGGCTGTCGAACTGCGTGGAGTCAGCGCGCGCTTAGGAGGTAGGATCGAATGATCTGCTCACCTCCTTCTTGATGTACTGCGCGATGTCCTGGACAAAGATTAGCCCGCGTTCCTGCAAGAGCCTTCCATGGACTGAAGAGGCGCAAGATAGTAGTTGGTCTGTCGTACCTTCTCGATGGTGAACTGCTCCATGGCTGATTGGGCTACAGGGGAGTCAGCGTTTCAGGCGGCCGAATCTGGAGCTGGACGAAAGACTGACCAACTTCGATCGCCTCCTGTTGCATCTCTTCACTCTGTCGCACAAGCCGTTAGCGAAAAAAGACATGGTCGGTCTCCACGGGCACAACTACCATGTCTGCCGACTTGATCTGGGCTGTGCACGTGTTAGCTCGCGATGCTCCCATCATGTACAACGTCAAGCTGTCGAAGTGTAGCGCGCGTACCTTCTTGCTTGTTAACAAGCGTGTCCGACTTCTCGCTTGCCATGGCGGGCGGAGGTGTGCTGGAGCTGGGGGAGGGAGCCTGTTGCGTGGAGTTTAGCGGAGAGTTTAGGTCGGCGTCTGCAGGCAGCAATTCGTCGTCCTGGAGTGGAGTGTTTGTCGTTGCAGGGCTGGGCCGGCGCAGCCTTTTGTGATCGTCTCCAGTTCCCAGGCGCAGGTGCCACTGGCCGGCCCGAACGGCGACCGAGGCTTTCGCTTCGACCCGCCCAGCTGAAATTTTCGGGACTTTGCTCTCCTCCGCTTTCACACGTCACGCTTCGCGCCCGTCACGGCTCGCCTGCACGCGCAATGGAGTCGTCGCGCGTCTTTGTGCGCGGCCTGCCGCCCAAGTACACCGACGCAGACGTCCGGAAGCACTTCGCCGCATTCCCCGTAACCGATCTCAAGTGGATACCGCATCGCAGAATTGCCTTCATAGGCTACCGCAGCTCCGAGGATGCGCTCAAGGCCGTCAAACACTTCAACAAGTCCTTCGTCGGCATGGCCAAGATACACGTCGAGATAGCAAAATCCGTGAGCTCTGTCTGCGACGCGCGTGTTGAGGGACCCAGCTAACCCGCACTCAGTTCACCGACCAAGACCTCCCCACGTCGCGACGACAGCGGAAAGCAGAGCAACGCGCGCCTAGAGATGACTTCATCCCGCTGCCGAAGGAAAACGCACTGAAGCGGAAGAGGGACGAGGCAGAGCAGGATCCGAAGCTCAAGGAGTTCCTCGATGTAATGCAACCGCCCTCAAAAACGAAGGTCTGGGCAAACGAGGGGGCACAACTTGGTCCTACGACCGCACTTGCGGTGCAGCCGGTAGAAGAGGTGGCGGTTCCGGACGGCGAGACCGACGACGAATACCAGGATATCACAAAGAAGGCCAAGACTGCGCAGCGGCAGCCGGCACCCGAGGCACGCCCGTCAGCGAATACCCCAGAAAAGCAAACAGAAGCCGATGAAGAGAAGGATGAGGAACATGGCGTAGAAGAGCACGCGGAAGCGGCGGCGGAGGACCAAGGCCCTGTGTCTGATGCCGACTGGCTGAGGTCCCGCACAAACCGTGTCCTGGATCTGGTCGAAGATGACGATCCTCCGGGACAAGACCCAAAAGTTGACGAGGAGATGGAGGACGCCCCGAACGTCGTAGAAGCGCCGCTCGAAGCCCCCAAGACTGCGGATAGGAAGGCTGCGGACAGCGCACCGTCGGAGGAGGATAAGATTCGCCAGACCGGCCGACTCTACCTCCGAAATCTCCATTACGAAGTCACCGAGGATGACATCCGTGAGCGTTTTGATAAATACGGCTCACTAGAAGAGGTGAGCGGCCTTTTTCACACTTTTCTCCCTTCGCTGTGATGAATATCCAAGATAGGGACAACTGATGCTTAGCACATGAGGTCCATTGGGAGAGTATTTTAGTAGATGTCTCTCTTATCTGAACTTTGGCGAATTCTTCTGTTTCATAGTCATACAGAAACATCTCGAACGGCTGCTAACTGCTCGCAGGTGCACATCCCACAGAAAAAAGCCGACGGCAAGGGCAAAGGCTTTGCGTTCCTGCAGTACGGTGAACCTGAGCACGCGGTCGAGGCATTTTCGCAAAATGATGGGACCATCTTTCAGGGACGGTTGCTCCATATCATTCCAGCGACTTCAAAACGAGAAACCATGGATGACTATGAAATTTCGAAACTCCCTTTGAAGAAACAACGCGAAGTGAGAAGGAAGATGGAAGCTGGGAAGGCCACCTTCAACTGGAACTCGCTGTATCTCAACGTATGTGTGATCGCAATTCCTCTAATGGTTCGGTACTAACGGCGACAGGCCGACGCGGTCATGTCTACTGTGGCGGATCGCATGGGGATCACGAAAGGCGAACTCCTGGATCCATCCTCTTCCGACGCCGCTGTCAAGCAAGCTTTAGCGGAAACACATCTCATCCAAGAGACCAAAGCCTATTTCGCTTCACATGGTGTCGACCTAGAGGCTTTCAAGAGAAGTTCCCGAGGGGACACCGCTCTTCTCGTGAAGAATCTCCCAGCTTCGACGATCCCGGGGGAGGTGCGGAAATTGTTTGAAGAGCATGGCACCATCAAGAGATTCATCATGCCTCCAACAGGACTGACCGCCATTGTGGAATTCGATAACTCTACACAGGCGAAGTCAGCGCTCTCGTCGCTGGCCTACCGCAAAATTCAAGGGTCGATATTGTATCTGGAGAAAGCACCCAAGGACCTGTTCTCTGGCCAACCTACAATTGCTCTCCAGACGGCAGCCCCAACTAAGCCAGGTGCGAAGATCTCCGCTCAAGATCTGTTAGAGGAGTCAACGGCAGAGTCGACTAGCACGGCTACGCTGCATGTAAAGAATTTGAATTTCTCCACGACGACCGCGAAGCTAAACGAGACTTTTGCACCACTCGCTGGGTTCCGAAGCGCAGTTGTGAGGACCAAGGTCGATCCTAAGCGAGGCGTGCTCTCGATGGGCTTGTAAGTACAACCTCTTGAGTGTAAATGATTTGTTGGCTGACCGGTCTGTGACTAGTGGTTTCCTCGAGTTCGATGGTGCTGAAGCGGCCGATGCAGCATTAAAGGCCATGCAGGGCTATATGCTTGAAGGTCATTCATTGAAGATCCAAGCCTCTCGCAAGGGCGCGGAAGAGCGCGGAAATGCCGACGCAGCGAAGAAGGCCGCCGGCACCAAGATTCTCATCAAGAATCTGCCTTTCGAAGCCACCGTAAGATTTCTCCATATCGATCGAACACATCTGCTCACATTATTACAGAAGAAAGATGTTCGCGCGTTATTTAGCCCGTACGGCACCTTGCGTTCTGTTCGGGTCCCTCGCAAATTTGACTCCAAGTCGCGAGGGTTTGCTTTCGCAGAATTTGCGACCCAGAGAGATGCTTCTAACGCCATGAACGCTCTCTCTAATACTCATTTGCTGGGCCGACGTCTTGTGTTATCCTTCGCCGAGTCCGAGTCGGAGGATCCGGAGAAGGAGTTGGAGAAGATGCAGCAGAAGGTTGGGTCACAGGCCAACAAAGTCGCCCTCCAGAAGCTCACGTCAGGCGGGCGCAAAAAGTTTAACGTTGCAGGCACCGACGATCTAGACGAAGCTTGACCGGCAAGCGTGTCCAGGTAAAATTCGCGTCGCGACACCATCGTGTCCCTTGGGCAGCCCCTTGCTGTTCTGACTAAGGACGCGAGGCTGCCAACGCCCACCCTTTCACCTATATTAAGACATTGGCGTCACGCCCCCTTGGCACACGATCTTACAATCTCCACTACCCGCGACAGGAGATTTTGCTGCCTACACGGGACTGAATCAAGCGCATGGCCACTACACCGCGTTTGCTGCCTTGCTCCCTATGTCTTAGACGCGAAAAACATTCGTCGATCTCACACGCTCGCAAGCCACGCTTGTAACGTAATTACTTGTTTACGACTGCTGACATTCTTCAACCTCAGAGCATTCCCGTGTCTCGCCTCCCTCGCACAAGATACGTGAGCGGGCTCGCTCCAATCGGATGATTTCTGGCCAGACGGCAGTTGCTCCTGCCCTTGCTCACCTTGCTAATCATGATGGATGAAGCACATGTTATCATTCCGCGAGCAAAGGAATCGCGGGGAGTAATTACATGGACGGCAAGCGAGATGGTGCTGGCTGCGCTTGACTCTCTATAGTGTGTTAGCCTAATCTCAACGTGAGGTTATGTCACCGTGGTGACTGCTCCATCTCGACGGTAACCTGCCGTGACCTGCAGAGGCAAAACCCCCCCTTCTGACTGGCCATCTAGACTTGCTCTATATCACATCATGGCCCTCTCCTACATTTCTTGATTGCCACACACATTCTCTCCCACAGTCATTCTTTGCTCCAACTCTCTACGTTCTTTCTCTCAGACATTCTTAGATTTCATTCTTTTCCACCACCAGCATTCCCAACAATGGAACTACATCATCATTCATGCGTGCTACCGTCGAACGCTCCAGCCTTGTCGGAGCCCGATTCCTCCATACCCAGCCGTGTCCTCCAGGAGCGCTCTGCGAACAAACGACACGGCTACCCTGAGGGCTCAACATCATGGAAACCCCCATCGTCACCAACGGAGAATATCTACTCTCGTCAGCTGGGCAGCTACTTCGCTGGCAACATTGCCACACAGCTCAGCGGCGAGAAGTCTGAGGCCCAGATCGAGCATGAGACCAGGCGGCTGATGGCACTGTTGCGCCGGTGCGAGAAATATCAAAAGTATCGTGACCGACAGCCACAGACAGCGAAAGAAAAGGAGCACAGATGGCCCGACTATCTCGAGGAAGCCTTCTTTAGAGGTATGGCAGTATCCCTTCCTGCATTGACCGCATGGCACGCAGATGCTTATTTGTCTAGGCTTGGTCCGATGGCCGCCTATGGGCCGGCGGAAACAGATGCTCGATGGACAGCTTCGAGGGCGGAATGAGCTGGTTGCTAATTCGATTGAACGGGATACTGGTGAGGAACGGACGAGGAAGCAGGTCTCGAGTCATATCCAGGTTCTCAAGAACATGCTACAAGACCAACCGCAAAGTAAGGGCAGCGCAGGAACAAACTTGAGCGGATGCTGACGGAATCAGTCTTGGTATATATGTCCACAGCGGACATGGGTGCTAGGAGGAGCCGTCATAGTAGCTCACACCTAAGCCACTTGCGGAGCCGACACTACTCTTCGTCCCATTCGTCTAAGTACGATTACGCTCAGGGCGGCTCGAGCATGTACCAAGGCTTCGGGCAGCTACCTTCTTCCCTTGCGCTTGCAAAGATTCAGTCCGGGCACGACGACCCGCCGTACACTGTTTCGTTGTTCGAAGTATTCGTTGGAGTATCCAACCGACGAGCTCACGACTTCACGCAACTCGCCGGTAATGCGCGCCTCAGCGATCTCAACGTCACCGACACCACATCCTGGCACAAGCAATACCCCGAGCTGAACTTCCATCGCACGGATGACCTCAAAGATCGCCAAGTCCTCGTTTGTGACGCCTCGATCAAGGTCATGACGGCGGAACGGCCCGCGGACGCCGCACTCAGCATTAACTTTGACCTCCGCTCGCAGGTCGACCTCTCCGTCTACGACGCGCTTGAAACTCGCACGCGCTTCTACGAAAGCGGCAAGCTAGCTGATCAGTGGGACGGGCGCGTGAAGGTGGGCAAGGAGACACGTACGAATTGCGAGTACTACCGCGAACACGGACTCATGCGTGTCAAGTTTGGGTCGGGGTTCTGGGCGCATCAGATGCAGAGGCTAGGGCATATGCTGCAGACTGCGCATGCACAGGAGGAGCAGACCGCGCGGAGCAGGATCGAGGCCCTTGTTAGACGGGATCTGCAGTACATGACGGCTGCACAGGACATCTACGGGATCAGAGACGGAGAGGCGAAGTGCTTCTTGACCATCCTCTGGCGGTTCAGCCAGACACGGAATAGCCATGAGGCAGGACGAATGACCTGGCGCGTCGTCAATTTCGGCGCGGGCCGCGAGCGCAGATGGTGCAAAGAGGAGGAGCTGGAGGAGATCAGGAATGCGGAGGCGCTGCAGCAAGTAGTTAGCAGCACAGCTTCCGCTGCGGTCTGTCTGCCTACGTCGGCCAGCTCGATATATCCGTCTCTGCCGCTGGAATACCACCACCAACCGTTCGGCCAACACAACCCACCTCCTCCGCTCGATCTCGACACCCTCGCAATGGAGTCCATCGGGGCAGCAGACTTCTCAGTCCCGAACTCAGCAACAGCGCCCAGTCTCGCGACCGACTACTCACAGGCGCATTCCCTGCCCTCGCTCTCCCACAGCCAGGACACAGCCGTCTCACACCAGTCGCAGCCCTTCCACGACCCAAACGACTTCGACTTCAACGGCGGACACATCACCATCTCCGGCTGCCTCGAGCCGGCCATCAATCTCGGCGCGTACGAGGCGTATTCGCACGCGCAACACCCTATCTCTCTGCACGCCATCGCTGGCCTCGAGCACGATCCGCACGCAGACCCCTCCTTTAGCGATCTCGCCATGGCGGTCTCGATGCCGCCGGGCTGCTATGCGACGAAGCCGAGCTGGCACCACGCAAATCTCATCTCGCATTTGGAAAGCGCGGCGGAGCAGTATGGCGATTTTGTGGGGCACGCGCCGACGAGCCATGCGGGTGATCTAGCTGGGCACGGCGTGTTGCACGATGGGCAGATGGGCGTGGGCGGGCTGTGGAAGCTGCAGAGTGCGTTTGGGGAGGATACGGGTGTTGGGGCTGATCGGAGGGACGAGGGCGAGGAGAGGTATAGGGGGTACTGAGATGGGTGGGAGGCGGTGTGGTAATGGCTATGGCTTTATGATGATTAATGACTGGTGTGGCGGGCTTTCAGTTCAGAGTCTCTTTAATCTGCTTAATGGTAATTATAATTATGCTCCCGGCTCGAATAGAGTAGCACTACTATTCTTCTTGTCTCATCGCGGTGGCATTTTGTGAAGCTCGGGCGTGGAGGAACATGGCGAACGCCACGGTGACATTGTGGTTGATGGGACGACGGGGGAACGTGAGGGCTTGTCTTGTCTGAAGAGCTCAGCGGCGCAATTGTCTCGAGCAAAGCTCATGGCAATCTTCGGTGGCGCTCTCGAACCGTTTTTGCGCGATGGTTGGCTTGACGAAGGGGTGTCCGCAATGCAGGGTCTACAAACCGCGTCCGTCCGTCAATTTGAATCTGCGGTGAGTACGCGCGACTAAGAGTTTGCGTGTACAATCAGCACTTACCGGCCCAGCGTAGGCGTACTGCAGGAGAGAGATTGCGGAGGCTGAAGGAAGAGGCTGTGATTTTAGGCAGGGTTTGGAGTAAGGGTTGGACAAGAAAAGGCGCTGAAGCGCCTCGAATCGCGCGCATAGGGACCGCCTCCTATGAAGCCATATGCTAATAGTCCGTCTCATTTCCGCCAAAAAAAAAAATAAAGACGTCAATTGCCCGCCGCCGCACCCTCACCGCAGCTGGTCTAATCTAAGTTGCAAACGCCCCTCCATCAACGCGGTGTCGCGCAATCACCTGCACGCTACCCCTCCCTCCGCAAATCAGAACCCCCGTCTCTCCACCGCGCCGCAAACCTCAAAGCTCCCCACTATCGCATGTCTCCACCCCGCCCCAGCGAAACGCCCTCCTTCAGTACTTCACTTAATCGTCCCTCGCTTGCCGGCCGTGGATTCATCTCCGACAACTGCCCTTCGAATTCAGTCCTCCCGCTTCCGAGCTCGCGAGTCAGAAATTGCATGAGTTTGTTTGGGGAAGCGAAGAAGAGCAAGCAAGGCTGAAGAAGGTGGGAGCGGCGTGGAGATCGATACACCGACGACGGCGCCGCTCATGTCCGCGCACGCCGTGGAGGAGCCTTCAATGGCGGCGAGGGAGGCAGGAAAAGGAGCAATAGACCGCGTCTTCAACCTCGACGAGTATCTCTCGCAGAACCCGCCCGCCGCCCCTCAACAGTCCTCCACCTCGCATCAGCCCCTCCCCCGCGCCGTCGGCGCCCGCAGCTCCAGGCACACCATCCTCCTGCACGAGAAGTACCAGGCGCTCGCGATTCCGCAGCCGGTATTCAGCTTCTCGGGCGGCAGCGAGCTGGGCTGGGCCGGGAAGGTGGTTTTTCTGGACGAGGAGGTGCATGAGGGGGGCCCGTTTAATAGTAAGCAGGAGGCGAAGGAGGCGTTAAGCAAGCGGGCGTTGGCGGTGCTGGAGAGGTTGGAGAGGGAGGGGAAGGTGGCGAGGCCGGAGAAGGGGAAGAGACAGAAGGTAGCAGTGCAGGAGGTTGTGGAGAAAGAGAAGGAGAAGAAGGAGCAGGGGCCGAATTATGTGGGCCAGTTGCTTGGTATGTTATCCCGTTCAAGATTCTCAGGCCTAGCTATCCCATCTCCAACAAACGGGGATGTAGGATCCCACCCTTCAGTCCTCCCCACTACCAACCATACATGTCCAAAACTTAACTAACTCCCCTCCCAGAATTCCAGCGCTCCACCTCCTCCCCGCAACCAACCTACACCGACTACCAACTCGGCTCCCACTTCTCCTGCCTGCTCACCCTCGACAACCACGCCGAACCATTCGGCTCCACCACCGCGCTCTTCTCCTCCAAGAAAGCCGCCCGCCAAGACGCCGCCCGCTGCGCAGTCGAGCACTTCAAGGCCCTCGGCCTCTGGCCCGAATCCTGCACTCCCCTCGGCGGCATCAAGAAGAAGAAAAAACCAAACCCGCCGCCGCAGCTCCAACCCAGCCCGACCTCCCCATCTCCAACCCCAACCTCAAGCCCCGGAAACCCCCCTCTCTCTCCGTCCGCGGACCCCACTCCCACTCCCACTTCCCCAGGAGCAAGCCCGGGAGCGTCAAGCTACGCCCAGCAAGTCGCGCAACTCGCCCTGCAGCTCTCCCTGCCCACCCCGCTCTGGCAGTACGTCTCCGACCCCGCCGCGCCGGGCTGCCATACCGTGAGCTGCGTGTTTAAGAACGGCGGCGCGCACGAGGGCCCGCTGGGCGAGGCGCGGCATATCTTCGGCAAGAAGAAGGCGAAGGAGGAGTGTGCGCGGTTGACGCTGCGGTACTTGCAGGAGGTAAGGGAGAGGCGGGTGAGCTATGGGAGGAGGATGATGGAGGGCGTTGGTGGTGGGGGCGAGGGTGTGGGGAAGGGGAAGGGGACGGAGGCGGAGGAGGGGCGCGGAGGGGATGAGATGCGGGGAGAAGATGAGATGGATGGGGAGGCTGAGGGTGAGGAGTTTGAGGATGCGCTGGAGGAGATGGATTCCATATATGGGGATGGGGAAGGTGATGTTTAGGCGGGGAGTTGGGTGCGTGTGGATAGGGGCGTTGACGGCCCTTTAGGACCCGATTTCCGGGCGCTAATGGGGGGATGGGAGCTGGGTGTTGGAGGGTGAGGATTCACATGTGCTGGTGGTTTGGATACGGTCTGCTTGCTTGCTTGCATGGCATGGCATGGCATGGCGTGGGAGTCTCTTTTGATATTAGCAAGACACGGCACGGCATGGCATGGCATGATGGATATTGGTATTGGCAGACATGGCATGGTCATACGTACCCCCTTAGATCATGAATGAATGAATGAATGAATGAACAAATGAACTCCTCGAAGAAAGACACATTACCAGCGCCCTAAGACGGTAGAAGCCCGTCCTAGTCGCGGGTCAAATGATGACAGCAGCGAGACTCCAAACTAGGCCACATTCGTCCCGCCCAAGTACCATGTAGAAGAGCGCTAAAGCAGGCAGCCACGCATAGAACAAACATACACTGCATAAGGAATCGCAAGTCGTATAAGAACATTCCCATTCCTATCACCGTTCTCCATCCCTGTGATCCAAAACGCCGCCCTATTTTTCATCCGCTCCAACGCAAAGGAGGCATAAGATACCGCAGTAGTAACTACTATGAATCGAACGTAACCACCCCCGTAATATTGGAATGTGCATGTATCCTCGGAAGACATTGGGAAGAAGCGAAGACAAGAAGAAGCTCCAGCATCAGCCCCTCCCACCACCCTTGGGGAAGACGCCATTACCACCGCATTTCCAACGCGAGCGCCATAACAGAAGGTAGTTACCCGCGAGAGATGAAGAGAAAGGAAGAAAGAAATCTAGCGCCGTTTATCGATACGCTCAAAGCGGCCCATCCGCCTCTCGATAGTCGCACTGCGTTGGTTCGCATCCCGGACATCGAGCGGATTCGGAACGTGAGTCGCAAACTGCACTGCTGGACGCTCGAGTTAACTGGGAAAAAGGCAGGCCGTGGAAGACTGAGCCGCTTAGGCAGCAGCAGCCTCGCTCTTCCTCTTACTGCGATCTCGCTTCTTTGGAACCTTGTTCTCCTTCTCCTGGCTCTGCGCCGCCGCCGTCTCGGCATCCACATCCGCATTGCGCGTGGTACGGCCGCTCTTGGTCTTCTTCTTGCCATCATCGGGCGAGGGCTCTTTGCCAGGAGCAGGGGCGGGCGCAATCGGGACGTTGGCCGACTTCTTCTTCTTGTCCTTCTTCTCCTTTGCTGAGGTGGTGTTTACAGCGGGTTCGACGTTGGATGTTGGAGGGACAGCCTGCGCTGCTTGACGAGAGCTAATAGGGAGGGGGACGGGCGTAGGTCCGGAGCCAGCTGGGGCAATTGGGATAGGGATGGTGGTCCCGTTGACCTGGGGGGCCTGGGCGGTCTTCTGGCGCTTGGTGGCGCGCGGTGTCTTGCCGTTGGCGGCGGGTGGAGAATGTGCCTTGGCGACGGGAGAAGGTTCGGGGGCAGCTTCATCCTCAGAGTCAAACTCAGCCTCGGAGTCGAGAGCACCAGCCTCGAGAACACCGGCCTCAGCTTCGTCAGATACCTCTTCGTCCTCGTGCGGCAAGTCAGCTCCGGAGCCCTTGCTAACCTTGTACGCGGCCAGGTCTTCTTTGAACTGCTCCATGGAGGAGCGGTAGGATGCCCGCCATTTCTACAACAATGTTAGAGACGGGCTCTAGAAGAAAGGTAGAATGGGCGTAGGGGGTGGATGACTGACCTCCTTGTCCTCCTCCAGCATCTCGTTCCACCGCTTGTTCACCTCAAAGTTGACAGCATTCGGCTCGAGCTTTGCACCGGGAGCAAGCGAAGACTCCAAGTCTCTCTTGACAATGGGTCGAGCATGTTGCGCATACAAGAAGGCTGCCGTCAAGGGGCGCTTCGGCGCATTCGGGTCCTTTTCCTTCTTCTCGCGCTTGCGCTTTTTGGTCTTGCCTGGCTCGGGTTCTGCAGCGGGAGTAGCAGCCGCGACACTTTGATTGACGTTGTTGACTGCGGAAGTTGCAGCGGCCATGGCATCTTTGGCGGTCTCGGCGATGTTCAATGGCAGAACAGAGAGGGCCTCGAGGGCGCCATCCTCTCCGGCGATGACAGAGGTGGTGTGCTTGATGTAGGCGTTCATCATGTCCTGGAGGCCATTTTGGACGTGTGAGAGGCCCTTCTGGAGGTTCGAGAGGGACACAATGACCTGCTCAGGTGTGAGTTGGTGCGCTTCAATCTTCCGCTTGGTGGCCGCTTTCTTGGGCAACGCGCGGCGCGGTGCAGCTATCTCTGGGCTCTGCGAAGGACGACGTGCGGGGAGCTGCGCCAAACGGGCCATGATGGAGTCGCATAAACGAGGCGACCGGGGAAAGGGAACAATGGAACAATGAAACGGGATGGTGGACGATGAATGCCGTGCTGGGCACCCAAGCGCAAAGCTTAGTAGCGCATCGCGACGAAGCTGAGGGCAAGCGCGTCCCCAGCAAAGAACAACAGACTGGACTTACCGAGTCGCGAGTGCGCGAAAACTGCTCAATGGAGATCATGAGCTCGCCCGTGTCTTCTTTCTTTTGCTTGACCATGGTGGCAGCCGTGGTAGCACGCGATGGAACGGGTGCGCTGAGGTGCTGTTTTGATGGGGCGCGACGGCGGGCGTGTTGCGGGCTGTTGGGCGCAGGTGTTGGTGAGGAGGCGCTGAGCGAGCGAGAAATTTGGGGGGTGGAGCACTAAAGTAGGGCGGGGCTGCCGAGCTTTGGGCGGCCCTCGCAAACTTGGGGTGCTGCAGCTGGCGGGCGACGCCCCAAAACAGGCTGCAGGCGGCGCGCCAGCTGCTTTCCCGCTGCTTTCGCGCGGCTTTGCTTCACCGCGCGCGCAAAACAGGAGCCTCTCGCCTCCCGCCTCTCACCACGCGCGGCGCGACCAACAGCCCCGTCCGCCGTAGACGCCCGCCTTTCGAGGCGCGGTTTGCAATTTTCCTTGCCCCGACGCTCTGCTGCGCTGCCGTCGCGCCTTCGTGTTCTCGGCATTGGCAATTTGGGCGCGAGCCGCCCGTAAAGGCAGCGAGAGGCAGCGCGGGACTCGCTGCATGCAGGCCCCCAGTTGGTTGGCTGGCCGCCGAGAGCCACTGGCACACAGCGCGTCACAGCCCGCTCTTCTCGGGCACCCTGCGCCGCTCTCTTGCCCGCCCTGCCGCCCTCGCTCTTTGGCCCGCTGCCCACGCTTCGAAACCCCCCCCATTTTCGCTGGCCCTTTTCGCCTTCTGCGGCGGGTGTCAGCCCACCACTTGCGCTGCACCTGCGGCTTAGTAAATAAGATAGCATTGTAGCCAGTATAACGGAGCATTTCCACGCCATCACAAATTGCATTTTCGCTTCAATCTACGGCCATCGCGTTCACTATGAGCTGCATTTCCTCGTCTTTTTCATCAATACACGAAATATCCCTGCGTCAAAGGCAAGCTCTCGGCCGGCTCTGCAGTGCACACCATGCCGTCCGCCTCCACCGTATACCTCTCTGGATCGACCTTCATCTTCGGCCTCGTGTCGTTGTACTTCATGTCCTTCTTGCCAATCTTCCTGCAGTTCTTCACCGCCTCAACGCGCTTCTTCAGCCCGTAGGACTTGATGACGCCAGACGAAATCGACGCCTGTGACACGAATGTGATGCTGCTCTGTGGCACCAGCGGCGCAAACATCGGGCGCATGATGATCGGTTCAACCGTCGGGATAGAGGCGTTTGGATCACCCTGCTAATGTCAGTCTACTCTTTCTCGAACCATAAAGAGCACCCACCATTTGCGCCCACGAGCAGAAGCCGCTCTTGATCACCAACGTCGGCTTCACGCCGAAGCTGGCTGGGTTCCACAGGACCAAGTCCGCAACCTTGCCGACCTCGATGCTGCCAATGAGGTGGCCCATGCCCTGGGCAATGGCAGGGTTGATCGTGTATTTGCTGATATATCTCTTCACTCTAAAGTTATCTGCATCCGTACCTTCATCCTCCTTCAACGTACCCCTCTGGACCTTGTTCTTGTGAGCCGTGTTCCAGGTCCGAAGGATGACTTCGCCGCAACGGCCCATGGCTTGGGAATCTGATGACATCATTGAGATGGCTCCCAGATCGTGCAGCACATCTTCTGCTGCGATCGTCTCCGCACGAATACGCGATTCGGCGAAGGCTACATCTTCGGGGATATTGCGGGAGAGGTGGTGGCAGACCATCAACATGTCGAGATGCTCGTCGAGCGTATTCTTCGTGTATGGCCTAGTCGGATTCGTTGATGAAGGGAGGACGTTGTCGTGCTCGACGACACTGATGATATCAGGCGCATGGCCCCCTCCAGCACCCTCGGTATGGTAAGTATGGATAGCCCTGTTCTTGAACGCTTTAATGGTTTGCTCGACAAAGCCAGACTCGTTCAAAGTATCGGTGTGAATGAGCGTCTGTATGTCGTATTCATCACAAACAGTGAGGCAGGCATCGATTGTTGCTGGCGTGGTTCCCCAATCCTCGTGCAGCTTCAGTCCACAGGCACCGGCTTCGGCCTGTTGTTGCAGAGGGCGAGTCTCGGCGTCGTTTCCTTTGCCCGTGATGCCGAAGTTCAGAGGAAGCTCATCAACAGCCTGTAGCATCTGCTTAATGTGCGACTTGCCAGGAGTGCACGTAGTCGCGTTAGTGCCAGTGCTACGATATGGTCAGTTTCGATCCTTTGCGGGTGTTAGACAACTAGACGTACCTTGGTCCTGTTCCGCCTCCTAGCATGGTCGTGATACCAGACGCAATGGCCTCATATGCCTGCTGAGGGCAGATGAAGTGGATGTGCGTATCAAAGCCCCCTGCGGTGACGATGTCATGCTCAGCGGCAATGACATCGGTGCAAGAGCCAACGACCATGTTGGGGTCAACTCCCTCCATGACATCTGGATTGCCCGCCTTGCCCACACCAACGATAAGGCCATTCTTGATTCCGATATCAGCCTTGTAAATGCCAGTCCAGTCGACAATCAACGCGTTCGTGATGACGGTATCCAAGCTCTCGTTATCTGATCTGCCTCCCGCTTGGCCCATTCCATCTCTCAGAGTTTTGCCGCCTCCAAACGAGCATTCGTCGCCATACTTGGTCATATCCTTTTCGACCTTGATCCACAGGTCGGTAGCTCCCAGTCTGACCAAATCGCCAGTAGTGGGCCCAAACATGCTGATATATGCCTGCCGCTCCATGGTGCAGATATCGATATGCACCGCGTCGCCCATTGGCTCAGGCTCGTGCAAGAAACCGCCAGCCTTGATTTTGTCCACGATCCCCTCCGCAATGGAGGCATCTTCGATAAAGCCCGAAGCGAGATTGTTTCCGCCCTTGATGACCTGGTTGCCGGCGATTTTCACTAGAGTCACCGTCTTGGTGTCGCCGGGTTCAAAGCGCACGGAAGTCCCTGCGGGAATGTCTAGACGGTAGCCGTGCGCCCGTACGCGATCGAACTGAAGCTGAGGGTTCGTCTCGATAAAGTGGTAGTGTGATCCAACCTGTGCTAACGTCAGCATCCCCAGAGTTTTAGACCCCGTGGTTCACCCACCTGAATTGGCCTGTCGCCCATGCTCTTGACCTTGAGCTTGATTCTCTTTCGCCCTTCGTTCAGCTTGATTGTTCCTGCCTCGCCCTTGACCGCCACAATAGCGCCAGGCTGCTTTGTGCCCTCGTATACGCTTGCTTCGGGCAGCGGAAACATGTCGTTCGAGGGGACAGGGAGGAACGATCCGTAGAGCGCTTTCTCGAGGTCGCCATCGTCGGTGCTGATCGGGTGGTGGACCGTGACGAGGTATGTACCGGATGGAAAGGTGCCCTCGACCATCAGCTCGGACAAGGTCGAGACAACGGAGGGAACGACGTGGCGACGACCAAGCATGGTCTTGCCAATGGACATGAGATCCGCGACCGTGTGGTTCCCATCGCGGATGAGCTAGACGAGTTCAGAAATGCTGGCGATTTGGGGCGTGAAGGGGCGTACTTCTTGGAGGTTGTTCGCGATCAGCGCCTGGGTCCGGTCAGTTTCCGCGCTCTGTAGGGCATTGGAGACGTACGGTTGCTTCGGAATGGTTCAGTTTCACGCCGCGAGCGAGCCGACGTTGTGCGAGCAGGCCAAGCTGCGAGATGACAAGCTTGTCAAGCTGTCCGAAACCAGTTAGCGGAGAGGGGCAGCGTGGACAGGGACAGGCCCACTTCCTTGGGACACAGCTGCATGCTGAAGCGGTTTCTATGTGTCAATCGAGGGGACCACGGCACACTTCGCAGTATTGACGAGAGCTTGACGCAGGACAGAGCTCTGCGAGGGGACTCCCAGCGCCTGTGGCCTGAGATGCGCCGCTCACGCCTCGCCCTTTGGAGATATTGCGGGGTCAGTCGCCCGATAACGCCCGGCAAGGCCACTGATAAGGCACCCGGATGTGGCGCCTAAAAGCAACACACCCTTTCCATGCTGCCGAATCACCATAGCCCCCCGCGAGCGCGAACTACTGCAGGCAGCGCAGGCTCGCCGTCGTGACACATGACCAGGCGCAGGTGCGGCCAAGAGGCGAGATGCCGTCTTCGAGAGGCCTCGCCCACCTCACTGATGTGTAGGCATCGCGTTCTGGCTTCAGCGCCCCGACACAGGCGCCGTCTCGCGCACGTGTTTCTTCATAGGTGCCTTGCAGATCGCTGAGAGCCTTTCTCTTATTGCCGTGGGGGTGCCCTCCTCAGTCGCTCCTTCCCGATAGACTCCAACCTCTATCCGTGAAGCGTGAAGCGTCTCCATCGCATAACTCTCGCCATCATGCCACCGACGTCCCACCTCCCAAGAGAATTATCGGACTGTTGGTAGCCATACTGTCATATAACACCCTCACACTTCGGCAATCCCAGAATCGGCTGACCGCTGGCCGCCTTCCACGCCTTGCTGTGTCACATCGAACAATATTATCAATACATCGACGAGCTCCGATGAGTTCGTGGCTCCAGCGACTGCGTGGGACGTACGATGCGGCCTCTCACGCGGATCCGACCCAGCGTCATGCGCCCTCGAAAGAGCCTGGAATCAAAAACCCCGAAAAGCCCGCGAAGCCGGAACCGAAGGACCCCAATGCGCCATTGAAGCGACTCCAACTGCATCAGAAATGCCTTTATGAACGCACGCTCCCCGGAAAGGCCTTCATATCCGCCCATGTGAATCGGCTACAGCATGGATTCTACCAGAGTAACGCTCTTCATGAGCCTACGATGGACAACGTCTACTTCGTGTCGGTCCACTTCGTCTTCCACCCACATGATCCCAGATCTCATCGCTTCAAATCAGCCGTTATAAAGGTCTCAATACACGGTGACTTCAACCCGTCCACCGACTACGAGAATGGCTGGTATCGACCGCCACCATCCAGTCCGCGGATTTTGAGACATGCTCCTGAACTCATCTACGGCGCGGTAGGTATCATGCCTGTGTGGCCTCGGTTTTTCACGACATACTTACTCGCGCTAGGTGTCTCCCGAGAATCTGCAATGGAACTTCAGCCTTTCGAGCTCTCTCGGTGTTTCACAAGCGCCTGTGTCTGCAACATTGAATCCCAATGGCGGCGTTAAGAGCAGCTATAAGGTGTACGACATGATGTCTATACAAGGGTCTTTGCGATCGCTGAAGAGTCCGCTAGGTCCAGAGTACGATATTGAGGATGCGATGGCCGTTTGGACGCTTGAAGAAAACCTGCTCCAGAGGTCCGGTCTTCCAAGAGACTTCGACTTTTGTCTTCTAGTACACAAGCCGGATGATGTCAAGAATGTGTACCTGAGTGTCGACGTGGATGCTGTTGTAGAGGCATGGTTTGGCGAGTATCCGCAGTGGTACACCAATCTCTCACGATATCTACCAACTCAGGACCTTACTTTCGGCTTCAATACGGACATTGGGCAGAGGTTCCTACCTATTCATGCAGGACGTGGTTTCAATTTTGCGGACCTTCCTCATCCGCTCGAACAGTACGTAACGATGCCAGGGACTGTTTATCCAACGAATGTACGTATTTCACCTGTCTCTGAAGCTCGGTTCTGATGGTTTTAGGACGCAGCGTACGATAAGCCGACCTCAGGGAGGCGTAGAACATTCGATGATTCTCCTGGCCAAGGCCGAACGTTCGGGCATACAGCCACGGAACGCAAAGCGATTGAAGCTTCCCCTATACTGGAGCAACCAGTAACCCCCACAAGAGGCAACAGGACATCTAGCCAGGCCCACGTTCCCACCCGACAAAGCTGGGGCCCTGATACTCTCAATGTCCGTGTCATGTTAGAACACAGTAGTCCCGGCTCTTCAGGCGCACGGCGATACTCTGGGTCTCCCACCGGCCACCAAGAACAGAATCGGACCCACTCTATCCGACGTAGAAGATCACGCTCGGGGCTCAAGGAATACAGTGCTCAGCAAGCTCTCCATGAAATTGCTCGAGAAACGCTGAAGGAGGATGATGATCCACCACATCGAGCAAGTCACGGAGAGGGTGTCGGGAGGACCAAGGGATTGGAGGCTGGGGTCAATGGATACACCTGAAGGCATGGCGTCGGACCCTGCGTGGATTGTACGACTGTGGACCTTTCACTACTCAGCCGCCTCCGAACTGGCGACCTCGGGGTATCCGAATATTGAGGAATGTAGAGAAGGTGTCTTAACGTAAGTGGCATCAGCTCCGCATATAGTTCCTGCTGACACGGTTGCACAGCAGCACCTTTTTTCGCAGGTATGAGCGGATTGGTTAGTTCCGCCTCAATCACATTCTATCGTCTCCCTCTTCGGATTGCCTTGCGGTCCCAAGGCTCAGATACGCTGGGGTAACGGGGCCCCGCCATTGCCTCCTACCACCTGCTGCACCCTCACGCAAGTCGTCGCACAGTCATGCTTGTGGAACTGTGCAGTGCGTGGGGATCTGTGGTTTAACTCAAGGATGCAGTACCTCGTAAGGTCGCATTGGTGGCAATTAATTCAACGTAGCCAGCTTGGTGGTAGTGGGCGAGGTGGGACGGCTACACGGTACCTCAATATCGCGAGGTGGCAGTCAGATGTTCCACGAGCATTATGGCACACTCGCTTTCGAGTCCGCTTCTTGTTCGTCCAACATGGGCCCCGTCATTCTGTATATCTGGGATCTCTAATATTAGACTCGCGACGACTATGACCTCACTGTACATAGCTCTCTAAAGCTCGAACTGTTTGTACACGTGCGCGTTCCCTAACAACCATCGGGAATGGCTCCACAGTCTGTTATGCATCCAGGGTCCTTTCGGTAACTTCGAGAGTTGAAGTCGAACGGAGTCTACGCGCCGTGCCACTTGCTGCGTGCCTGCTGCGAAAACGTTGAAGCGCCACGCCGATGCAGGATCATGCAGGTACACTGCAGCTGGCCGCCAGCCAATAAGGGATACCAAAGATGGGGTATTCATGATCCGTAAACGCGTGTTCGGGGGAAGACACGTCCTCTCAAAGCAGGACGTAGTCGGCGCTATGTGATGTACCACAATATTCGCCGAAGCCGATGTGCCGGTATCGAAGAACAGCGCTTGGAAGAAATTCGGTAGTGCAACGCTCTCACACGAACGGCAATCTGCATCTTCCACTACACAGCAGAACTGCTAGTCCGCTCGTCTCAACACGGGCATTTCTCCGAAGAGCCGCACACCCAGGCAGGCTGCCCTCGAGAAATTGCGGCGGGCAGCTGAAGTAAGACCTCACGCTACCAAATCTCGCGGGAACGAGGATGCTGGCGTGGACGGCGCAGGCAAGGCTTCGGGAGTGGCGGATTGGACGGTTCGCAGCAGCACCACAATGTTGAAACGAAATGACGGGCATTAGAGCCCGGCATGAGTGGTAGATCACTGGCAGAGGCATGCTCGCCACACCCCCAGCCCATCAGCTTGTGTCGCGTCCCGGCAGACGCCTGAGGCGCCTGATTGGCTGCCATCCCTGCCACTTTAGTTTCGCGTTTCTTAAACAGCACCCATACACGGCGCTCCATCGCTCTCTCCTCTCACACGGCCACACGGCGCCCGTGGATGATGGCGAGAAAAGGCGGATGCGGTGGGACTGGGGACCAGTGGGCTGCTGAGATGATGTGTGGGCGGGCCCGGCGTGCCTTCTCTTTTAATCTGTGCTTGCTGTTGTTCGTCATTTCTTCTGGAAGCGTGAGCAGACGTCGTGCGTCCTTCCTCTGCTGGCGTGCCTGCCCGTCCTACTCTCCTCCTCGTGGCCGCTTCCTCTTTCTGCTTCGGATCGCATGTTTCTTTCTTGTCGTATCACCTTTTAATCGTAATATCTCTCCACCTTTCCATCACTTGTGTCCTGAGTCCTGAGCCCCGAGCCCCGCCGTCTCGAAGTCTTCAACCACCCTCGCCTACAGCTCACCCGTCACCACATCGCAGGGCGACGTAATCGCAAGCGTCGAACAGAAATTGGCATTCTTTGTGTCTGTCTCGGGGAAAAGGAGTAGAGAGAGTCTGTATTTACAGCCAGAGGCAGACGTCTGAGCCACGCACTCCGAGATTTGATCCGGGCATCAGTCAAGGTACATTCCGGCGAAAGCAACAAGAGGAGGTGATATCGCTAACAACCGTTGCCCCAGGTGTTCAAGTCTGTCCGGCCATCACACCAACCCATGGCTTGCGGCTCGCCATGTACCAGCTAGACGTCCCCCACGCCGGAGCCATCGCGGAGGACAACAGAAGAGATAGTCCGAGGTGACAGCGAGCGTAGACGGGGCGCCGCGTAGGAGACAAGTCTGCGTGCGCAAGACCCGGCAAAGGCGGTGTGCGGCGGGCGCGACAGCCAAACGCAGTAAACATGGCAGATCACATCGCGTACTCGCATTCACCGCGAGTTCGCGAGCGGGATCCCGTGACGCCAGTTCACTCCGCACACCACTCCGTAAACAGCTCCATTTCTTCTCGCACTCCTCTCCACACTCTCACACTCCACGAATATCGCAAACAACAAAACTCGCCCGCATCCCAATTCGCAACGCCGCCTGGCAAGACTCTCCGGAGGAAGGCCGCGGCACCTGCGCTGAACGAGGTCGAGCGTGTCTCGTCGATATCTCGTACGCCGCTTTCTGCCTCTCGTCCAATTCCTCGTCCTTTATCTTTGTCTCGCTCAGCCCACCAGCTGAGTTACCAACCCCTCCCTCCGTCTCCTCCGCACGCCACCCAACAGCACCCGCTGCCTGACCCAAGCCTTCGATCGCAGTCCGCCGAGCCACATAGGCAAGGCGGTATTGCTTCAGGAGATCTCTTTTGCAGCTCTTCTGAAAGGGTACGTACCTTCAAGTCTATCAAAAAACTACCAAAGCCGCCCGCCGCCAACGGGATCACCGGCTTTGGTCTCCCCCCTCCCCCTCTTGCACCTGTGACTTCAACGCATCCGCGTCTCTCGCCTCTTCGAACGACCTCGTTCCCTTCGGCGGAAAATTCAGATTCGAACGGTACGCAAACTACGCCGTCGACTTTTTCACTCTCCCGATTTCCGCAGCCGCCGCACTTAGTCGACCCCTCGCTTTCACCTCCAAACGACGAAAATGAGCATCCGCGCCTGAACGCGGTTAGTTTCACAACAACAGCGCCTGCGACGCCGCCCGCAACGCCAGCCATCTATCATTACCGCGGCACATCTTTTGACTTGCTCAACCCGCATGAGTCGCTAGCGTTCCATGACATCGTAACGCCATCGCGAGATCTCGACTCCAGCGATTATCTGCCATTGCGGTCATCCGAGAGCCCCCTTGGCTTCTCAGAGGTAGTATAAGCCCCTCTGTCCAAACAACTAGGACAGACTGACACTCTCTAGATGGCGCCAAAACGGGCTCTCTACGGAGACTTGTCTTCCGCCTATCAAAACATCACCTCTCGGCGAACTGACGACCCACCCGCTACTCCTAACTTGGACCTTCCCGTCCCGCCCATTCCGGTCGCCCGGAGCCCCGGGTCGTCTCAATATACATCTCCGTTGTATAGCCCCGACTCCGACTACGCCGTTTCACCACTGTCGGTCAGGAAGCCCGGCTCCGAATCGCGTTTCTCTCTCAAGCAGCTCACCCGGTCACTCACCAAGAAGCTCGGTAAAACTCCGGAGAAGGTCGAGGAGCAAGAGCTGCAAGACTTCTCAGAGTCTCGCGTCAGTATAGCATCAGCGAGCTTCGACGGGGAGTATCCACGCCCCCTTAAGCAGAGTTATCCCGCGGTGACGCCGAAGTCTCCATCCTTCTCGGGCGAGCTGCCCACGTCACATTCCCCAGTGTCACCGCTAGGACAGACCGCGGGATGGCGAGATTCAGACGTGTCGGTCGAGTATGACCAGTTCACAAGTCACCAATACGACTCCGCGCCGCTCACATCGATGGTTCCGGATGATCCATCCAGCCAACTTGCACGAGGCGAAGAGTCAGAACTCCATCCCTCGCTGTCAGGTAGCGATATGTTGACGAAGCCCTACTATGATGATCTACAGTCTATCTATCCGTCATCATCAGTTTACACGGGCGACGGCCAGGCGCAATCGAACTATGCGCCGAGTCTCTCTAGCACAAGGCAGAGCAATCCGTACATGCGCTACAGTGGCGGAGCAGATGCGCTCGCCAAGGATTATCAACAGGGTGGACCATATGCGCATTCGAATTCTCGCCGTACTAGCCGCCGAACTTCAAGGCCTCTGACCCAAGACATCTTCCGACGTTCTATTGCACAGCAGGGAAATGAGAAGACTGATACAATCAGCAAATTCATTGATCATTACGGCGAAGGCGATGGCACTAACACATCGATGCCAACGCTCAATGAACATAGAACGAGCGACAATGACCTCCGCACGTCCGCTTCTGGTGCTTTTGAGGATGCCGTAGGTCTTGAGCGACCTCAGCCCGCTAGGATTACTTCCGGGCTTAGTCAATTCGAGTTCAATATTCCTCAAGACAACGACGACCCGCTGATTCAACCTGGCTTTGCCAGGAAACCGGCTATTGCATACAGTCCAGCGGGCTCGCCTCCTCCGGTGGCGGCTCCATTGGCGCCTGCCTTCGAATACGACGAGTTTTTCCAGGCACAGCAGCGGCCTGAGCAATCCGGGATGTTTTCTGGAGCCTCTTCATACGGAGACACCCGCCAACTGCTCCAGTTGTCCCAGCCGATGGTTGCCGAAGCTGTGGACCCGGAGGCCCTAGGTCCTCCCTCTCCTGGACGAGCGCTTGAGCCCTCTTCCTCCTACTCTCAGCCAGACGCGCAACCCAGTCCACACACGCCACAAGAGGCGCTCGATCAAGCAGAACAAATTTTCGAGAGTGCTAGGGCTGAGCGGAAAGAGGAAGCAGGTATCCCAGCCATGTGGGCTAGACGAAGCTCCGGGAACCTGCTCCGCAGCAAACAATTTGTCGACAACGATGCTGATGCTCGCGATGACTATCACCAGCGTGTACCTTCCTTCGCGGTGGATGATGCAGTAGACAACAACGGTGACTGGGAGACCGAGAATGGCAGTCTGCAGCACCAGCGAGTAGATCCCCGAGAGGACATCGGCGACTGGGAGACCGAGAATGGCAGTCAGATCGGACGGCCGTCCGCCGATATGCGGGATAGCATTGCCGATTACAGCAGTTCAGAGGGCAGCGGGTCCAGTCTAGGGTTCTCAAGGTCCCTACCGAGGGTGGAGCAACCCGTGGAGAGTGGTTCCTCCTACTACAATTACCCGAGCCCCCTCCCTGCTCACAATCATCCGTTCAGCTCGTCCCCGCCACCAATGACGCGGGTCAGTGCCCGTTCCGCACCGGATGAAGCTCCCCCAAGCTCACCCGTGTCGTCTCCTCCAGTCTCATGGACCATGCCTGCGTTTCGTGGCGGATATGGTAACATTGATGCTGCGGCTTCTCCCACGCAGCCCTTTGGCTTTGCACCCTGGACGGATCCTTTTCCCCTGAGCAACAAAGAGACGCAGGAGCTGCTGGCTTCTGGCCCTAACGAGGAGATTCTCTATGAGAGCCCTGGTCATGAAGATGCTCAGCCATATCCGCGACATGGCGATCAGGACCTTCGTGCGGGGCATCCGAGCCCATACCTGGAGCGAGAAAACACTTTCGACAAGTTCTCCGTTGTTGGTCCCAAGGGAAACCTTACTGGTACTCCTCAGGGGACCGGAATGCACGAAGTGGGCTCCAGCATCGCCGATAATAGTAGTCCAGGTGCGGTTCTTCGGTCTAGCCCTTCCGATCGCACCAAGCGGCAAGGCTACCCAGCGCATTATCAAACGCCTAGTAAACCAGCCACCGTTCATCGTGGCGTCCCTAGCTTCCTCGGAAACCCGCGTGAGACACCTAACGTGAACCAATGCGTCTCTAACTTCTACGTCACACCGGATCGTCGGGCCAGCGTCACTCGAATCAAGCCACGAGTGATCATACCAGAACCGGAGCACGAGAGGACCCCATCACAGGTCACCCTATTTCCGCGCGTCATTCCGGAGGAGGATTTCAGTGAAGACAGTCGTCGCTCTAGTCGGTCCTTTAGCTCGCTTCGACGTCCTAGTCGCCATAGTCGCTCAGCCGTACCCGGACAGACGAAATTGCGACATATGGTGCTTGCCCCCGATGCGCGTACCTTATCATCGGAGGATAGCACACAGATTTCTCGGATAATCCGAACTGCGGACAGCGAGCGACCATCTTCTAGCAATACGCACACGCCGCTGAGGGCCCATATTAGCGAGTCCACCATGAGATCGGATATCGCCAATGAGTACTCGCCGCATCTGCTTTGCCCCGAGCGTGCCATGGACCCCGAGGAGGAGGAGCAGCGACGCAAGTTGTCATGGGTCATCTTCGCCATCTTCTGCATCCTTCCGCCCATGCTCATCCTATATCGCTCGATGGCGGACTTTGTCATCGTCAATGTGACTAAAGGCCGCATTCTGCATGCCGCAGCCAAGCCAAAGAGGATCGCTCTCGGCGTTGGCATTGTTATCAATGTTGGTCTTAGTGGTGCGATCTTGATCCCCATTCTGATCGCACATGCAACTGGCGCCTTGTGAGCAAGGAAGAGTAGAGCGTCGTGAGCTACATGGTAAGTGATACCTCTCTCTTCATCTACGTGAGGCTAATATCAACCCAGATTCACTCTACAAAAGTTCGTTCGTTGGCGTCGTTGAGCATCATCCCTTCGGAAGCGAAACGACTTGTTGCGCTTGGAGAGGCGTTCTCTCTCATTGCAAAGCCACGTAATGCTCAAAGAAGCTCGATAACAGCTTCACCAATTTCCGATCTCGCATTTTTTCCCGCGGATCCTGTAATACTCTCTTTGACGGTCTCTTTTGTCACTCCTTTTGCATTGCCGGCGTAATTGGTGGCGAGCCGACTTGCTAAGAGGCACTCGCTTCTCCCGCACAGTCATGGCTGCTGGTTGCATATGGGGCGCGGATGGACACATGGTGTTATACCCGGACGGATTCTTTCAGGCCTGAGTGCTTATGCATTTGGACCGGCATTCGGCGAGGCGTCTAAGCATTTTCTTTCGATCTTGTTCTTATTATGATGATTCATGGCAATGGCGGCAATGGATCCAACGGGGGTACCTCTTTTAAGGTGGAATTTTTGGACCGAAGCATGTAACTGTATGCGAGATTAGAGAAGCTGAGGGACCATCGAAAGTACAACAAATCTTCAAAAACCACATCTCTTGCCACACCATTTTCATACAGCGCAGATGCTCGAAGGGCCAAATCTCGCGTGGCAAGTTTAGCCGACAGGACATGCCCGTCATTCGGCCTAACGTCACAGCAAACCTCCATCCCACTTACCATGCCACCATCCCACTTTGAGCCGCCCTGAAGCCATTCTGTCCTCCGAAGGCCCTCAGTTACTTCTACATCCTCAATTGGCATCCCCAAAACGGCCGTCAAAATGTCGCAGCTCCTCAAGCAATCCGTAAAACTCGCCCTCATCCAGCTCGCCTGCACCGCCGACAAAGCGCACAACCTCTCGCACGCGCGCACCAAGGTCCTCGAAGCCACCAAGCAAGGCGCAAAGATCGTCGTCCTCCCCGAATGCTTCAATTCGCCCTACGGCACAAAGTACTTCCCCAAATACGCGGAAACGCTACTCCCATCCCCGCCGACCGAAGAGCAGTCCCCGACGTTCCACGCGCTGTCGCAGCTCGCGAAAGAGGCGGGTGCATATATAGTAGGCGGCAGTATACCAGAGCGGGAGAAGAAGGACGGTGACAGCGAGGAGAAGCTGTACAACACGAGTCTGACATTCGGCCCGAGCGGCGAGCTGTTGGCGACGCATCGCAAGGTGCATCTCTTCGACATCGACATCCCCGGCAAGATCACCTTCCGCGAGAGCGACGTGTTATCCCCCGGGAACAGGATCACGCTGATCGACCTGCCCGAGTACGGCAAGATCGCCGTCGCCATCTGCTACGACATCCGCTTCCCCGAGCTCGCGATGATTGCGGCACGGAAGGGCGCGTTCCTTTTGCTCTACCCCGGCGCGTTTAATCTTACCACCGGCGCGCTGCATTGGGAGCTGCAGGCTAGAGCAAGGGCCATGGATAATCAGGTTTATGTCGGGTTGTGCAGCCCGAGTCGCGATATGCAGGCGGATTATAATGCCTGGGGGCATAGCATGCTGGTCGATCCTAATGCCGAGGTGCTGGCGCAGTTGGATGAGAAGGAGGGAATGGTTGTGGGCGAGTTGAAGGTGGGCAGGATTGAGGAGGTGAGGAAGGGGATTCCACTTTATGGGCAGAGGCGGTTTGATGTTTATGAGGATGTGGCGAGGTTTTGGAAGGGTGAGCAGTAGGGGATAGGGGGTGGAGGATGGTGTTGGGCGAGGGATAGGAGGTTCTTTCGCGATTACAGCGGGCCAATTGTCGGTGTACGCGGCTCTACGTCTGGAGCAGATGTTTTAGCATGGGCATGTGAGAACCATGAGGGCGGTCCATCGGATCCGGGAAGGTACATCTAGAAGGTAAATATGTTTAACAGGATACGAACTCGAATCACGCCGTCGTTAGACTCACCGATCCTCGCGGAGGGGATATAGCTAACAACGCAACGTCAAGCTCCTTAGTTTCCTCCTTCAAGAGTAGTTGAAGTCGATACGTCTGCTTGAAGTGCCCCAGATGGAGCTAGATTATCATGCAAGAACAAGGGTATTTCATTGCAATTCCTCCCGCCTATCTCGAGGGAGGCTTGCTCAAAGGTACGTGCTCCTCCACCCTCTATCCACATACCGAGTGCTGACGGACATTCATCCCCCCTAGCAGTGGTCCGCGTCCTACTGCTCCCACGCTGCATTTACCTCGTCCGATTTAAACCCCTTCCCGCTTCTCCGTTCACCCGCTTCGACTTTGAGCGCAAAGAACTTCCGTGCGTACCAGTCGTCGCTGTACTTCTGCATCTGCAGCGTCTTCTTCATCACCTCTCCCAGATACCTCAAATAATGTATTATAGACCCATCATAAGTCTGCACCGGCCACGGGTGCCCTGCACGGACTGGACTGAAACGATCCTCTTCCCCGAATTTTCCGTATAGAACCCTAATCCGCGATTCTAACTCCTCCTGTACGAACTCGTGGTCGTGGAAAATTTTGCACTGATTCGAGGAGCCGATTACGACGTTTCGAGCCGCGCCCGTGCCGTCGACGAAGACGCGGAAATCGCTCGTAAAGGCTTCCTTTGCATTGGCTTGGTTGACTTGAGAAAGGAGTTCGAGCACCCGAGCCCGGAGCGAGTGGAGGGGGACGGTCTGCTTTTCAATAGCGATACCCGTGTTGGAAGAGGAGGGCAGCGAGAACACGATGTTCGTGCTCTTTCCGTCTGCGTGTGCTGTTATGCGTAGGAGGCTCATGATGCTGATACGTAAATCTGTCAGTGTCATAAGCTTCTTGAGCACGAAGCGTAGCTCGATCGTGATGAGCTTGTGGCCCGGGTCGAAGTGGCATGTCCAAGGGTATCGAAAGCCGCCATGCTCTGTCTTGCGGCAAAATAACTTTTCGAGGGCGCGGAAGTCGTCAAAGTCTACCAGTGGGTCGGAGGATGTCATTCTGTAAGTGAACCGGTTGTGTTGCCAAAATATGCTGCGAGGACTTGGTGTCAGGCTCTTGCTGACAGACAGCAACGACAGGTCGACGGGGCTATGTGCCTTGGTGTCCACATTGACAAATATCCCCTTTGGTGGACAGAGCACGTATTCGAATATCCTCTCTCGGAGCAGTTTGGAGAGGCTAAGAAGTCCTCCAGCGGATCCACCCTCCGTCTCTTCAAACCGCATCGTCTTCCCTCCATCTTCGACCAAAAAACACCGCGCCCAGTTCGCCTCTCTCGCGCGCCGCTCCTCGCCAGCTTGCCCAAACACAACCGCACCAAACTGATGCCGCACTCCATCATCTCCAGACAGCACAACGGGCGCCGTGTACGTCTCCATACTCAAAATCTGCGCCGCATACTTCCTCAGGCCCAGCGTATCTCGCGCAATACACCCCAGCACATTATTCATCCTCTCCACCTCAAACTCCAGCCCCCCTCCCGCCCCCGACCTCGCAAACTCAAACGCACACTTCCCCCCTTTCGCCCAGACAACCCGCGCCAGAGGCGCAAGATCCACCGTGCGCGCTGGCCCAACATGCGGGAACGCACACGCATGCGCGCACACGCCGTCCAGGTCTATCACCACCGCGCGCAGGTACTCCAGCCCGGACGCGAGTTTGGCACAGAAGACCACTGCCTGCGCCAGCTGGCCGATGCATGCGACGTGTTGCTGCGGGATTTTGGCGAATGTGAAGGTGTGCTTGCTGTACAGCATGCTGGCTGTTTCGTGGTAGATCTGGCGGCAGGTCCGCATGAGGTTTGTGCTTGCGAGGATGCGGGAGACGGCTGCGCGGGACGCTGGGGTGATGCGGGGAGGGGGAGGTGGCGGTGGTGATGACTCGTTGTCGTTGTCATGGCTTTGGAAGAAGTGGTGCTGGTTGAGAACGTAGTGCTGGTCTGCGACGTATTGGAAGACGATGGTGGATGGGGTTCCGAGGAGCAGGGAGTAGACTATGTTCCGTATCTCGGGGTGCAGGGAGAGGAAGGAGAGTCCGGTGTGGAGGGATGGAGAGGTTAGCTTTGGGATGGGCGTAAGGTTTCGCATGGTTGGTGTTTTTGGTCGGATGGTTGGTAGACTGTTGACTTGGTTGGGTTACCCTTGAGTAAGGAGGGCTGGCTATGCTCTGAGCACAAGTGCCTATTTGTTGCTCGCTCGAGGTAAAGCACCGCTTCCTGTAGTCTTTCACCCGGGAAGACTGGTGTTCGGTCCACTGCTTGACTCCAAGACTGAGTCACGGTATAATGACGAGGGGCCCGGTCGACGCAGGCGCTCTTATTGCCTAACGAAGGGAGTGGCGCGTACATAACTGGAGGTACTATGATTAACATAAATTTGGCCACTACTCCACTCATACCTCTGTTTGTACATCTGGGGGGTCTCTCGTAGGGGTAGGTTCTACGGGTCTAGGCTTTTACATGTTCTAGGTGAAATGTCTATAATCCTTAGGTTTTCTACGCTTTTTCTTTAGATTCTTAATGCCATATTATTGGAAGTTAGTAAGAGGATGTTATATAGGGTAGAAGAAGTAAAAAGGATGAGTATTTCGTCGTCGTGTTGTGTTGGTTTCGGCTGAGTAAGCAGGTGGAGCGCTACCACTGTGCTACGAAGATTGTCATATGGTTTGAGTCACCGATGTTGGTGCACCGGCCATCTAGTTCAGTGACTCAAAAAAACGACAATCTTCGTAGAGAGTACTCCTCATTGTTAGACGACTGACTCTTCAGCACCAACCACCTGCTCCATGAGATTCGAATGATGAGTGCGGGTCCGGATCTGATCATGAGCAGCTTATTGATTCCATCCTCAAGATTACCGGCCTGCGTCGCACCCTGGTGGCGATACCCCACGTGGGCACAGAGTCGGGAAAAGCGGTCTTCGCACACACCACCTGAGCCTGCCAATCCCAGGAATATACCGTACCTACCGCGCGAGATACATACGTTGATCTGCTCGTACCTACCCGGCGAAGCTTTGTGTAGCTATCGACGCGCTAGCAAAGCCTTTGCCCATATTGGCGCCAAATGCCTCTTCCAGACGATCAAGTTTCACGCCAGCAATTCCAGCTTCAACCGCCTCGCCTCAATTGCGACGCATGATATACGCAGAAAATCCGTCGATACTATCCTCTGGGATACCCACCTTTGGAATCTGAAGCTCCGTTGGGAAGAGGATGACGACGAGATCGCCGACGAGGTGGAATTCGAGAGGTGGTTGGGAGCTGTAAATGAGTTCGGAAAACTCCGGCTAGCAGCCTTGGGAGAAGCGCCTGGTTCACTCCAGAAAGCTCACCAGCTCCTCCGCGCTGGGGGATTGGCGGGGCTCTCCGACACGCAACAATTTGCGCTTCAAATACAGTTCGAACAATACCGAGTCCGGAGACGCGAGGAGGTGAACCTACTCAAGGGCCTGCTAAGCCCTCCTAGCATGCGTCGTGTGCTCGAGCGTTTCCCGAATCTCAAAACTATTTCTATCAAGAAGAACCACCTTAAATACTACCTGGGCAGGAGTCATATGGATGATCCGCCAGCTGGCCCTGTTCACCCGATTGAGCTTGTCCCAAGGGGCGTCGGAAGCCACGCTGATTTGTACGAAGAGGATCTTTCCGACGTACTGGCCCTTCAATCCGCTCTCTATGCCGGGCACCCAACTTTGCAACAGGTCCACGCGGATGAGCTAACTTGGAGGGCCTTTGACCCGTCGAACTATCATCCCTGGCTAGGAAGAAGCACTGCCGATCTTACAAGCATCCGTTTGAAATTCAATCTGGTTCCTGCAGTGTCGGATACGATCGCCGGGCGGTTGAATATTAGGGAGATCCAAGATACCTTCCGCGAAGGCCTATTGAAGGAGTTTCTGTTCTCTTTCAAGAGTCTCCGGACAATCGAGATCGACTTCAACGTTCCCCGATATGAAGTGCAAGACACTTGGGATCGGGGAGGTGTCGATCTCTGTGATGTATTCCCAAACCACCAAGCATGGCCTCATCTGCAGAACCTGTCAATGGCCTACATCGACTCCTCGCAAAAAGATCTCGTAGACCTGCTCAGCAGTCACGCATCTTCCCTCCGATCTTTGACCTTAATCGATGTCGAGCTCCGCCAGCCCGGCTCCTGGAGAGCCATTCTGACTTGTATACAGCCTCTCCTTTCCTCCCTCCGGCATGCGAGCATCGAGAACAAGAGCTACCCTGTGTGCCACGGCTTCGACAATGCAGATGATATGGAGATACTGTACGTGAATGCGGCTGAGCTTGGGAAGCAACTGGGTGATTTTCTGGTCCGTGGTGGTGAATGTCCTATCGGGCGGGATGAGGTGGAGGGGAAATGCTATTGGGATAATCCGGTCACGCAGCAACGTGAATGGGCGACTCAGTTTCAGCTTCCCCTTGATTGACACAGTTGATCACTTGTGGCGTCTGAAAATGTTGGAGGGGAGGTAGAACCACCTCGGGAGTCCTTCCGGTGGGGATATTGGGAGAAGGCCGTCCTGTGGCTGAGTCGAAGCTCAATCTATCTCCACTTTCCAAAAGACACTTCAACGGGCATGCACGCTAAGGATGTCTACACGTGATGGCGCGTTTATGGACTAGCGTGTAACAAATCTCTAGGGCTCTAAGGTGTCATCGCGTTCGATTTCCAACAACTCTCCTCATCATCACTTCACCTCCGCTTCTGACCTCATCACACGCTTTCAATTGCCATATTACGCTCTCGAACTAGCTCCGCCAATGCCCGAACCAGCGTTGTGCCGCTGCGGCGCGCGTAGCACCTCGTCCCAGCCGTTCAGCGCGACAGAAGCGCATCCCTTTTCCGCGTCCACCCCATACATTCCACCCGAAATCCTCGCAAGCATTTGCGCATACCTTCCCGACGCCGAGCTTCGCAGCGTTCGACTCGCTAGCAGGGCTTGCGCCGGTATTGCGGCGAAATACCTCTTTCACGCGATTAAATTTCACGCTAGTAACGCGAGCTACGATCGGCTGGTTTCCATCGCGAAGAATGAGCGGCTTAGGAGATGCGTTAAGAGCATTTTTTGGGATACAAATCTCTGGGATTTAGGAGTACACAGTTTTCAGGAATGGTTGGACTACATACATTGCGGCGGCGAGTTCCTCAGAAAGCACTGGTCCCACGAGACTCTGGAAGAGATGGAGCAAGCGCTTCCCAAACCGAATACCACGGAACAAACTGAGCTCGATTCATGGGAACGACGGTGCGATAACTTCTACTACCCGGTGCTAGAAATTAAGATCGCTACCTCTTATCGTCGATACGTGGACCAAAGAGAAGACGAGGAGGATATGTTGCTATCCGGCCGGCTGCAGCCAGAAAACTTGCGAGTCATTCTCCGGGACTTCACAGCTCTGCGGGCGATAGGAATCATCAATGGTTGCCTTCGATTTCGGAATGGCGATATTTACGTCCATTCGGAGCGGGGATTATGGAGGGGCATGAGGAGGCACCGCAAAGACCTTCCAGACAGTTTCTTCGACATCCTGTCCTTTCAAGCAGCCCTTCTTGCCGCACCGGATCTTCGCGCAATCGAGGCACATGAAATAGATTGGCGAGCATTCCAACCGGATCACTACTTCTCTGGCCTGGACCATGTCGTTGCGGACAGCCTTACTAGCCTTCATCTGACGTTCGCATTATTCGTGGAAGAGGAGCAGGATAATGCCATCGACGAATGCGACGCAGCACTTTCAAAGGGACTGTTGAAGCGATTCCTCACCAAATTCGCGAGTCTTCGTACCTTGTACCTTGACCTAAACTGCCGGGGGAACCCACCACACAACAACGCTCCGGGCGAGGTGCGCCATATCTTCCCTCCCCATCGAGCCTGGCCACGTCTCGAGAATCTCACCCTCAAACACGTTGACTCTACGGAGCAGGACATGATTCAATTGCTCAGCAACCACGCCTGCTCACTGAAACAGCTGCATCTTCAAGACATCTATCTCGATCCGAAGGGTTCCTGGATTAACATCGTTACGACTATCCAACCTCTCCTCACACTCGACTCGGCTAGCTTCTCTGGTGATATTTACAACCAATTGGGTATGACTGAGGGCGTGGATACGCATGACGACTGGGATGGGTGGAACATGAATGATAGCAAATTAGCCAAAGCCTTGAGCGATTATCTGGTCCATGGCGGGGACTGTCCAATCAAGCACAACAATCAAGCGGGTGTCATCAAAGGAGTCGTACAGCCCATCCCGGAGTAGTGGCAATCGAGGACTGCTCATAACGGACATCGAAGTCGTTCGGCTGCTTTTCGAGGAAGGAGAACGAGTTCAGGACGAAGGAAGAAGGCGCAACCACATCTTTACGCAACAACAAACGATTTTCATACGCTTTTCTGGACGTATTTCTTTCCCACTTTGAAGCAAGACATGCATTGATCTATATTGGGTGGATTCGGAGTCTTGGCGTAAGCTTAGTTCGACGGAGGAGTGCCAGCTCCTAGGGATTCGGACTCTAATACGTCTTGGCGCTTAGGCATCTAGATGCGCTGTCAAGAATGCTTGAGGCCAGAATACACCTGACCTCCAAGAAAGTTCCATATGTGGTCAGCCAGTGGATACTGCGAAGTGCGAAACACGAGCTTCAACCATTATCAGTTTCTCGCGCCTACTCCGCATCAGCATTTGACGGCAATGTCCGGCATCGTATTCAGTAAATGCAGGGTTTCCGAATGATGATGTCGAAGTATATATACCACGATGCTCAATCGCATCACTCTAGACCTTAGCTCAGGCCATAGTCGTTCGCTCCTTGACTACAGTCATTCTTTTCCTTCAGACGCCCCTTTTTTCGGATTTCTCTCATTCGTTTCTGATCTATCTTTACATTCGCTTCTCTAGCGTTGCATCTCTGAGTCTACTATTGCACGATGCGTGCAAGCTTTTCCGCCTTAGCTGCGGCTCTCTTGAGCTTGCATGCTTCCACTGCGTATGGAATAACTTGCAATTCGGATTCTGCTCTGGGCACCGGGGAATCTCTCTCTGCTAAAGATGCCCTGGAAGGCGCGAATAGTCACGCCGTTAACGATCTCTGCAACTCCAACAGCAATGGCGCCATTACTTACCACTCTGGCTTGGTAACTTTCAGCGTCACTGGCACCAACGCCAATCTGGGTGCTGCAGACTGCAAGTCTGTTTTCCAGTCCATTGTCCAGCAATGTATTGTGGAGAAGGGCTTCTCCGGTGGATCCCTGAATGCTTATGGAGGGCGTTTTGAGGTGTATCGGGACAGTGGACTTGAACGCAGGGGAAAGAAGAAGCCTCCGACGAAACCTCCGCCATCGAAGCCCACGTCCAAGAAAGCGGACGCTCCGCCGAAGACGAGCGAGGCACCTCCACCTCCTTCTAGTGCGGCTCTTCCGCCGCCACCGCCTCCGTCAAGTGCTCCACCTCCACCTCCTCCATCGTCAAGCAGGGCTCCACCGCCTTCTTCGACCGCGCCTGCTCCATCGACGTCTTCGGTACTGAGCGCAAGCGCGCAGGTGTCTTCAAGTACTCCAGCACCCAGCACCAAGATTTCTAGCTCGGCGGGGTTTTCAGTCTCTACCACCGGCGCTTCCAACTCTGGGGTATCTACCTCCCTGGCTTCTGGCTCAACGGCTTCTACTTCTAGTGCTACCTCGGCTCTCTCCACGACCTCCACCTCACTGGTGTCTTCACAGACCAGCAGTGCTACTACCGTTTCTGGAACCTCGAGCTCTGCAACGCTCTCTCTATCAACCTCTTCCATCTCTAGCACAACTTCCTCGGTCTCATGCGTCTCTGGAACAAAGACATTGTCCGGAGCTGCCTGCAGTGCAACAACTTCTTCATGCAAGATCGCGAACCCCGACCGGGGTATCGATGTTGATGATGTGAGCGGACGCGGATTAGGATATCGCAGTCCGCGCCACGCTATGCTTCAAAAGCGGGACCGCAAGTCAGGAAACCCGTGCTGGGAGAAGGGACAGAGCGACGAAACGTATAAGAGCTTCTCTCTGGAGTCTAACCCTTACCCGTCGAACGGCGACCTGCCCGCCACCGCCAAAGCCTACGGATACGAACTGCAAAACGACTACTGCTCCTACAAGTGGCAATCAGGCAGCGCAAAGATTCCCAGCAACAAGTACGACAGCGAGCATGTCATGGAATGGCAGCTCGTCACCGACTTCTTCCGCGGTATCTCCAAAAGCGGAGGGGATGCTTGGGTGCACCCGGATCCAGCCCAGAACGGCAAGAAAGTCAACTTTTGCACGTATTGGATCGAGAGCTGGGGTGGTGCGAACAAAGACGGCGTCTCCGGCTTTGCTATCGATAGTAGCTCGGCACTGACGCCTTGGGAGCATATTGCGGGCGCTTATCCAAGCACGATGAAGAATAAGGATGAGTTTGTGACACTGCAGGATAATATTAACAAGCCTGCGAAGGCAAATGTGAGTTTCAAATGTCGTTGCCGTTGAGAACCAGCGAACTGACCTAGATCGACCAGCTGTTCGACGAGCGCGTACCGTATGTCTGGACCGAGGCCACCATGAACTCGTACGCCCAAACCACCAAAAAGCGCGACAAAGTCCTCGAGCGCCTCCGCCAGCTCCACGGCGCGCAACTCTATCTCGTCGAAACGACCATCAAAAAGATCTTCAAGGACCAAAAGACGCGCATGGGCGACATCCTCGGCAAGCTCGACACGCAAATGACCAGCCATCCCCGCACAGCAGTCGATCCGGCGACGAGCACCGTGACGACGTACACGGCGTGGGCGAAGCAGGATCTGAAGGACAAGTGGGATAGCTATATGGATAAGAAGTGGGAGGCGGCTGTGGACAAGCATAAGAAGGTTTTTGATAAGTATTATAAGGCGTTGCACGACAAGTGGTGCAAGAAGACACCGGATGCGAAGGACGCGCCGTTGGTGTTGTTTTGCAAGAGGCTTGCGAATCTGAAAAATAACCATGATGGGGCGGGGGCTTTTGCGAAGCCTTGGTGAGTGTTCTTAACTGTTTAACGAGCGGGTTGTGGTAGTTGTAAGGTGGCTGAGTTGATGGAGTTCGGGTGATAAAAAGGAAGTGGAGAAGTATGTTGTGGAAATATGAATGTATTCTTTTTCGAACTCCCAATCAAGACGAAATTCTCAAAAGGCGGCAATAAACTCGAACGCTCCAAAGAAGGGCAATCTCTTGTCCCAGTGCTCAACAAGTTCCGTGTCCTGGCCACCAATCTGCTTAAATAGCTGCTGCAGCTCTTCATCCGGACGCCAAGTGGGCGTCACCCACCATAGCTGCCTCTCTGGGACATTGCCCTCGCCAGGAAAGCAGTGGTTGACAGGTATGGACGGCGCAACAAACGCAATTCCCCAGGCACGCCACTTGTCGAAAATATTGTCGTACTCTGGATCGCGGGGCAGATCTTTAATACCTCTATTGAAATAGAGTGTCGTCCATATGCATGCTTCCTTCAGAGATCGCATCTTGCATGCGGCTCTTGCGAAAGAGGCCAAGAAGGGGACTAGGACGTCGTCGTTGGGCACGACTCTGAACCTAGCGTCTGTGATGGTGCATGTGTCCAGGCCGTGATCATCGACCCATTCGTACCAGTGCTCATCGTCGGAGGTGTCTTCCAAGGGCGGATACGACGCTTCCGTTATAGAGAGACCCTTCCTGCGTCGGAATATGCCCTTGGGTCCGTCGAAGTACCAGAGACCGGAAGGACTGGCTATGTGGAACATAACGTTTAGTATCTCTAGGCATGGCCAGAAAGCTTCTCCGCCGTCTGCGGGCCAGAATAGCGTCTCATCGGCAACGGCTGTAAGTTGTAGTTTGCGCAGGTGCTGGGACAGTAGACGCAGACTCGAGCTGAACGGATCGTGCGTGGCCGGGCTTACGAGATCTGGCATTTCTTCCCGATGGTCGATGCGGTCAGCCTCAAAGAGCGGGGACAAGAAATCCAGACGCGCTTCCCGCAGCTTTGAAGGCAGCGTGGCAACTTCAAGAGCCTTGGCGAAGTCGTGCCGGCTGTCGCGACGAGGGCCTGCTGCATCACGAGTGTAGTGTTGGATTGCCTCTAAGGAATGATAGCTCGTCCATTCGCCGCTGCCGAGTTTACAGCTTAGGTACTCGAGGTTTGGTAGCTTGACCGCTAGGTCGATCAGGACGCGGAGATCTAGCTTCAGCAGCGATTTGTCTTCTTCCAGGGGCAGTATGACGCCTCCGTTCTCTACACTGAGACCGCGGATTGAGGCGAGTTGTGGGAGCGTGGTGGGACTGAGGAGGTGGAGACGCCAGCTGATGAATTTTCGCTGGAGGGGCGCTTGGACTTCCCTGACGGGAGTGTATATGGTGAGATTGAGCTTTCCGGACCGTTTCACGCGCTTCTCCAGGGCTTGCAAAGTGGAAAAGAGGAGGTTGATTTGTTTGGTGAAGAGTTCGTCTTTCTCTTGAAGCTCGCAAGCAGATTCTCGGAAGCGGTGTGTACTCTCACGAGCTTCATTGCCCTCTTCTGCAGATCCGTTCTCTCCATCTTCCTCTTCATCACATACATCCTCTTCTTCCTCAACATACGGCGGCATAGTGCACCTAAACACCACCTGCCGCAAATACCCAGATCTCCGTCCGCTAAAAAGCTCCACAAACTCCTTCCCGTTCTCTTCCGTCAGCTCAAAGCTCGTGTACACTCCAGAAGCGCGTTCCGATGCATATTGGAAGTTTCGCGAGACGGTGAGGGTCTGCTTGAGGTCGTCAACGCTTAGGTAGTCGCAGATGCGATCGATCATTTCTTGTGGGAGTTCAGCCATGGATAGAGTGATTGGCTGTACGTTCGCAACGGTAGATTTGAGCTCTTGCGTAGAATGTGCTCTCGAAATAGGCGAGTTGGTAAGTGTGGAAGAAGAATGCTGGGAGTGGGAGTCGGGAGCTTGTCGGGAATCGACAGAAGTCCGCCTTGGCATAAGCGCACGTGATGTGGCCTTTCACTGGTCGTACCGTGGAAACACGTATCTATTTTGTCTGGACGCACCAGCCGCAGGTTCCAAACTAGTTATTGTTCTGGCCGCTCGCCTGGGCACTGCCGGGGTTTTCCTTGCTCTGGTAGGCGTGCATTAGTCAGCCACGCCCGCTCTTGGCGGTCCGTTGACCTCAAACACTTCTGTTTGCCTCGCGACATCCGGACAATTCATAGACGACTACATCCAACCGCAACTATGGCTCCGCCTCGCGGGCGTCAAGACCTCCTTGCCCTGCTCATGCCTACAATTATCGGCCACAAAGACGAATTTGGCAAAGAGGAAACTTGTCCGCTCCCACTCACGTTCGACCGCATCAACGAAGGCCGGCCGTTCTCAAGGAACTTTATCCTTGCCCGCCTGCCCATAGAGTTGGTATGGGAGACCATTCAACTCGTCCCCAAGGCTGACCTCGACAACCTTGCTCTGGTGAATCGTGACTGCCGTTAGCTAGCTCGGTCGCGGCAATTCGCAAGCATCGCATTTGATTACAGCGATAGCGCTGTAGGAATCCTTCGCATTCTGCTACAAGAACAGGCGGAACGTAGTCGTAATGGTGGTCGGACACGGCTGCCATCCATCGGCGCCTGCATTCGAGGAATCATCGTCGCAACAAATCCCGGATCGATCAAATACCGCCACGGGCTCGATCTTGATGGAAAATTCAGCGAACTTGACAAAGAAGAAAAAGAGCAGATACTCGATCAGGCAGACGAGGCTTTCTTTGGCTCCTATATGCATCCTCTCATTATGGCCCTCACCGATACTTCCGTTTTGCCACATTTGGAACGCTTCGAATGGTGCGATAACGTCATTTTCGACAAAAGTATCTTTGAGGCAATCACATGCTCAAGGATCCAGCATCTTTTGTTGCGTCATGTCTCGGTAGATCAAGAGTTCACCCTGGATAAGATACCCGGTAGTTGTGGGTGGCGGTTGAAGTCACTCTACCTTGACGTGAGGTGGACGTTTGGCGGCGGCTTGGGTAAGGAAACTGGAAGAACATCCCCGCTCATCGCCCAACTTCTTGCACTGGCGGCGCAAACATTGGAATCACTGGTATGGAGCTGCTTCCCCAACCCTCTAGACAACACGGCCTTGCTCACCGATTGCGCCGACGGGGTACCATCGTTCCCCAAGTTGAATGACCTCCACATCAGTTTCACCATGCCGTATGATCCAGCTTGGCTGGAAGTATTGATCCAACCAGGAAACCGCAGCCCGATCCGCCACTTGGACATGGATATTGCGAGTAGTCCCCGGGTCACAGATTTCTTCAAGACATGCGGTACATTGCCGCGTCTGGAGACCTTCGTATGGAAAACTTATTACAAGGAGGAACTGGACTGCTCCTTTCTCAGAGCCAATCCGCGGCTTTGCAAGCTCATGCTCGATGGTTCGGTACCAGCTCATTTGCTTGAAGAGGAGGTCCTGCCTACGCTAAGCCAGTCCTTTGACAATCTTGTGTCCTTGAGTCTGACGTGGGAGAGTGACGATATTTCGCGGAAGGCCCTCACCCAGATCTCGACGTTGCGAGGCCTCGAGCAGCTGTGCCTTAGTGCCGGAAACCAGTTCGGGCCGCGATACACTTGGATTGCCGATCACGATGTCATTTTAGACTGTTGTCGCGGCCTGCAAAGGGTTCGAAAGCTTGCTTTTCGCCGGGACACTTACCAGCTCGAACCATATCATCTTCTGGAGCATCCAGATCCTCAGCGCTACTACGGGCAGAGGATTCCCCGCGACTTGGTGAACATGATGGACGATCCAGAGTGGTTCCTGCAAGAAATGGACCCGGTCACAGCGACTGAAAAATCTTGGGAAATGCAACATCTAGGTGACATGGTTAGGATAGCCGAGAAGTACGCGACAGCCCTGCCTCATCTGGATTGGGTCTATCTTGGAGAGCTTCCTATGCAAATTAAAAGGGGACCAGATGGGCACCTGAAAGTCATTCCGCTATCTCAGGAGCGGGACTCGTGCTGGACGCTTCTGCGAAGGATGTTTGGGAGGTCAAATGATACCAGCCTCTGAAGACTCGGGCCGCGGCATCCACAAGACAAGGTCTGCGGTTGAAGGATTGGCATTGGAAGCAAATTCCCAGATTCCCTTAGCGGCGGCATAACCCACGTATTTGGTCTATTAGAGCGCAACCCTAGTCTTATCTACTAAGATTCGAGATGGAATACAGAGGCGGAATAACTTTTATCTTCTCTCCTCGACCCAATATCATAGAGATGCCGCGACAACTTTTCGTTACTCCTGTGATCTGAGGACAATGGTAGCTCTTCCATTCCTTTCGCAGCTCTTCTAGTACCAACAAACCAAGAGACTCATAGCCCCATCATCGACATGAATGGTGGGCCGTCCCCCCCACCTCCACCCTCCATAGCCATCATCAGAGCCCTCATCCCCCTGCCGCTCGAACTCCCCGGCGGACCCGGCGGCGGACCCCCCGGCGGCGGCCTCTGATACACCTCTTCCGCAAACATTCTCAACTGCATCGGCATCTTCGGTTCGCCATAATGCTCAATGACGTCGGCTTTCGTCACCTGCTTCTTCAAACTGCTCCAATTCGCGCCGCTCTCCCCAAATTCCTCGCACTCTTTCTGCTTCTCGGTGTTCCACCAGGGCGGCAGCAAGCCAGGGCGCGATGACAGCACATTCATGAAAGCCTGGAAACCAGGCAGGCTGGACGCAGCACCCGTGTAGACGCTGTTGGGCTCGCGTCGACCTTCGAATGTGAAGCCGTCGGCTTGGTGCATGCGGAACGCATCGATCAGCAACTTGTAGACATCCTTCTCCGGCCGGTCGTACAGGTATGTGTTGTCGTCGAGACGAGTGAATGGGTTCGGAACGTGCTTCTCGAGGTTCGTGACGCGGGGGGGTCTGGTAGTTCGTGTTGTGCTCGATTCTAGGGCCGTTGGCCGCGGCGTTGGAAGAGCAGACTTTCTTGTGCGTCTTCCAGTCTGCTTTTTGGCAGTCGCGCGAGCAGTAGTCGGTGGATTGGCATTTCGCGCAGCGCTTCATGTTGGGGACCTCGGCGGAGGTCTTTTTGCAGGAGGCGCAGGTGCGGAATTCGGAGGCCATTTTGAGAGGTTTGGGGTGTTGGGTTCCGATGGAGAGAGGGTTGAAGCAGGGCGAACGTCGGTCTCTTTATTGGTTTATTGATTGAGGCGGTGAAAGAAGGAAGCAAGGAGGTCTTTGGTTGAGGTGGCGCGTCGCGTGCCCTGCAAATCACATACGCGTACCCCACGCTCCTGACACTAAATCCTGGGCTAGCGGGCGGGGAAGCTGCGGGAGGCGTTTTGCGAAACCAAACGAGAACCGGCGTATATGCAAGAACGGGGGCGAACTTTCCTGCATGGTTCTGGCCTCGACGGCCCCGCACCTCCCCGCGGGAGATCCCGCTACGACGGAGTGAACAGTGGCCGTATCCTGCTCAGGGAGAAGACTACCACAGTACCCTACCAATTGTACCTTATCATCCGTGGTGATCCGGGCCGAGTTAGACGTGTGTAGACGGCTGTGTCGGGCCGTAGAGTCGCACCGGCGAGACATGGCCCGAGGATCTGCTCAACATCCGCTCACGTCAGCATGACGATAAGAGCATATCTCCTACGAAGACAATATCATATATACAAGCTCTAGGTGTATTAAAGAACTATCATACGCTTAAGACACCAGCAGTTATCCAACGTCCCATCTTACAATGTCTTCCGCGACCACAACGTCTTCGATGCAGAACCCTTCGATAGTGCTCTACGGCCCGGGAAAGGCAAAGCTGGAAGATAAGCCAGTACCGGATATTTTAGACGGACACGATGTCATAGTGCGAATCGCATTCGTCGGCGTCTGCGGGAGCGATGTGAGTTCTTTCTCCACCCTTCCATGCCCTGCCCAAACCCCTAAGCCCTATCCCGAAAGCTTATCTTAACCTCTCTTCTTGCCATTACTAAGGATGACCAGGTCCACTTCTGGAGACACGGCGGCATCGGCGAGCATCACGCCGACCCCGTAGCCGGCATCGTAATGGGCCACGAAGCCGCAGGCACCATCTCGTCCATCGGCCCGTCCGTAACCCGCGTCAAGCCCGGCGACCGGGTAGCCATCGAGCCCGGAGTCCCCTGCCGCTACTGCCGCGCCTGCAAATCCGGCTCCTACCACTTCTGCAAAGACATGCGCTTCGCCGCTGCCCCCGGCCCGCCAGATACCCAGGGCACGCTGTGCAAATACTTCAAGGTTGCCGAGGACTTTGTGTACAAGATTCCGCAGACGTTGAGTCTTGAAGAGGCGGTGCTTGTCGAGCCTACGAGTGTCGGGGTGCATGCTGTGAAGCTTGGAGATGTGAGGCCCGGGGAGACGGTGGTGGTGATGGGGAGCGGGACGATTGGGCTGCTGTGTGCGGCTGTGGCTAAGGTCTATGGGGCACACCGCGTTATCCTCGTCGATATTCTGGATCGCAAGCTCGAATTCGCCCGGGAATTCCTGCACTGTGGGACTTTCAAGCCAGACACCAGCGCCAGCGCTGAGCAAAACGCCGCGGGTCTCCTCAAAGATCTCGGGCTTGATGAGGTAGATACCGTGATTGAAGCCTCGGGCGCAGCATCTAGCACTGAGACCGGCATCTACATTCTTCGTCCCGGAGGCAAATTTGTGCAGACAGGGATGGGACGGCCGAAGATCGAATTTCCGATCGGGGCTATGAGTGAGAAGGAGTTGATGGTTCGAGGATGTTTTCGGTATCGTTCGGGCGATTACGAGTTGGCGGTGAGTCTGCTGTCGAAGGGGATGATCGATGTAAAGCCTTTGATGAGTTCGATGACGCCGTTTGAAGACGCTACGGCGGCCTGGGAGAAGACGGCTAAAGGAGAGGGGATTAAGAATTTGATTCGGGGCGCGCAGGACTAAGTTGAACCCGGGGATCGAAATTCACTGCGTTTGCATTTATGTCAAATACCTTACAGTGCCGCGGTATATCTACCATCTTCTAGGGGACCTGGTACATACACGCACAGCTAATCCGCTACTTGGTTAGTTCGCATCGCATACTTCAGCTATACCCGAGGATGGCGAGCTCGGGCTGAAGCAGGCGCAGAAAATGAATTCCCCCGAACTGATACGATCGCTTCGACCTCGACAAACTCTTCCTATAGATCCGCATGTCCGCCCACTTCTATTTAATACGATGAGTCTGGCCTCTCGGGTAGGAGAAGGTCACCAAGGTTGTTGAAGAAGCTGACGTCACTAGGTTTCGGACCTCAAACCATGGCTCGCACCCCAAATTCTACACACCCCAAAGCTAAGATCAAGCAGGTTTTGAAACGACATACTTTGAAGTGATATGTACGGGGATCTTTGCTGATTAGCAAATATGCTGGAGAGATAATTGAATGCGCAGACACGTCGCGAAACTCCTGATGGCTTCACTATGGGGGCACTGAATGGAGGACACTATATTCGGAGAGTGAGAGCGAGGTATGGCCTTCAGTTGCAGTAACATTCTGAAATGCGAAGCTAATGACCGTTCAGAGTCCTCAATCCAGCTGCGGCTCGAAGTTGCTCCTTCTAACAAACAGCGCGCTGCTCTCTTTCCGTCGTTCTGAGCCGTCGCTGCAATGTCTGCTTTTCTTTTCCGTCGTGGCTGCGCAAATCTGATCGTTGATCTTGCTTGTAGCCGCGAAGCCCGTCTGTAGTCGTAAGAATGAGCGTCGGGTCGACTCTCGCTGCCCTGCACTCCGCTCATACTATCTCAAAGACAATCGAATATCGATACATATCTTCCTGCGACGCCCACTATCGGTGGATCCACGAGCGCAGCATCCACAGTATCTGCCACAGCGGGTCTGGCCTTTATTTCTTTGCGACGGTTCCATCGAGATCGATTCTCCACCTTGTCCCTCACCGCGACGACCCATTCTCATTTCGAATTGGGCCCTTACTAGAGACTACCTCCCCATTCTCCAAGCACACGAAGCTGTCTACTGGCATAGCTATAAATAACGCCGGGGCCTTGGCCTGGTCCGTAGGCTCACAACAGCCGTCGCGACAAACATCACCACAACTGCAACAATGCCAACAGCAAACAACACGCGACATATCAACGAGCCACGCAACGTACTACCAGGTGCCATCTTCCATTATCTCGATTTAGACGACATCCGTCGGGCACCGCAAGTCATTTCAGTAGAAGGCCACTGGGCCAGCTTCAGAAGCCTAGACACTCCCCTCTACAACACCTACGACATTATAACCCAAGGCTCCCGGCCTCCCCGAGTCTGCTACGGTGATGGAGCACCATTCCGCCTCGTGGTATCATCCATCTTGCTTACCCCGTACCGACCTGCGCGCGAGATCCCGCTCACAACCCGCGACGCCTGTCGTTGCGAACACTACGACTTCGAAGTCCGACCCTGGCGCCTGTACCGCAACCACCCTGAGATTATGATAAACGAGTACGAGAGGGAGCGGGTGGACCTGGCGCGACAACGGGCACTTGGACAATCGGGTGCCTTTAACTCTTGGAGAGAAAGACAGCTGGTGGAGATGAGGGAGGCTCGAGGGCTCGCGGGTCTTAACACTAGCGAGTATGATTGGGAGATCGCTAGGCGTGTGCTTGAGGATCCTCCGCCGTGGGGCTGGGTTGGGAAGGTCATGGCTGGTATGGGATGGGTTATGGAAGCGGAGCAGGTTGGAAGGGAATGCCTGGGATTTGACTGAGGTGGTGGCTCTACGGCGGCAATAACGGCGATGGAACGCAATGAGAAGGATGGGTGTGCTACTGTGAGAGGTGTGCTTGGACTGACGTCCAGCAAGCCTTCTTCCTACTCGGTGAGAATAGTGAGTGCAACACTGTTCCGTGCTCTCACTCTGAGATCACTCGGCCAATCTCGGCGAGTGTTAGCTGCTGGATCGCAATGCACTGTGCAAAAATATTCAAGGATGTACTAGACGGTCTCGGTGGTGATGACATGTTATCTCCGCGGTTAACTCCAGCTCAGGGATATCGCCGTCAACTGATAGCTCTGTATTGCCCATCACGAAGGTATCTATAAAGCTCAGGATGGTTCCAAATAGCCCAGTGACAGTTCCAACAAGGCTCCTACATGACCATCGCTTAGAGCGCACCGAGCAATTTCAACATTCAAACCATGGCGTCTACAACCGTTCTAATCACTGGTAACCACCACGAAGAGTACCCATCCTTCCCCCTTGCTAACGAAGTCCCGCAGGCGCCAACTCCGGAGCCGGCCTCGCAGCAACCAAAGAGCTCGCCCGGGCATCACCCACCCTCCACATCATCATGGCGTGCCGCTCTCTCAAGCCCAAGCAGCAAAGTCCGACATCGAAGCCACCTCCATCCAAGGCACCCTCTCGGTTCTTAAACTCGATGTCACAGACTAGCAGTCCATCGAAGAAGCCGCTGCGCACATAGAGCAAATCTTCGGCCGCCTAGACGTGCTCGTGAACAACGCGGCGTCAGGCAGCGGTGACCCGGACGTCAAAACGCGTTTCAGCCTCTGCTTGGAGACAAACGTCACAGGGCCCGCCATGGTCGCCGCGGCGTTAAGACCACTGCTCCTCAAGTCTGCAAACCGCTACTCCCTCTACATCAGCAGCGGCCAACGCACGCTCGTGCGCAACGCAACTCAGAGGCCCCCAACTCACTCTCTCCATCTTCAGAATCTCGACGCGTACATGGTCAGCAAGGCAGCGCTGAATATGCTGGCCGTGCTTGAATAGCGCGACTATGGGCCACAGGGACTGAAGGTGTTTGTTGTGAGCCCGGGGTTTGTGAGGAGCAATTTGAGGGGGACGAGCGAGGAGGCGAGGAGCGGGTGGGGTCAGGCTGGGGATCCGGAGGCGGCCGGGGAGCTTATCTTGAGTGTTGTCCAGGGGAAGCGGGACGGGGATGTGGGGTCTTTGGTTCATGCGGATGGAGTGTATCCTTGGTGAAGGATACCATTTTGGTGGCCTGCGACACATGATGGATAAGGATTGGAAGCTAGGGCGTGTCGAAGGTATCGTTCCTGCGAACAAATAACAGACTTAGAGTCCTCGCATGATGTGAGGCCGAATAGAATACATATGTGGAATTGGGGCGTATGGTAAGGATATCGGATCTGGGGTTCGTGCGCTCCGAACGGTCTCTTAGCTGGGCTGACGGACAGGATAGGACGTCATGGGGACACCCGTTGTCGCCAACAGGAATTAAGGCTATAGTCGCAATCGTTAGCAGTACGAGGTATCTACCTAAACTGCCAGTTCTGCTGCTTCAGATGCAGTGCAAACGCGCTCGCCTACCGTGCTTCCTGGCGACAATGTAACCTACACTTCACTCCAGGAGCCTGATATGGAAAGTAGCTGCAGAACTTGGACTGCGATTTTGCACTCTCACTTGGGAAGTCTTGCTCTGAACTGTAAGTTGGCTACGATGTTAGGTCGAGATCAGATAAATGGAAGTCGAGGTGGTCATATTCACCGCTCGGTAATGAAAATCCGCTATTTGTCGAGATCGAAGTCTGACGGACCGATTGGCATCGGCTACAACCAGTAAAGAAGAGGATCGCAAGTGCGGCGAGATAGTCTGAAACTTGTTTCATGATGTCGGGTGGCGGGGAGAGGTGGTTGGGTCTTAAGTTGGAAGCGGGTCGGGCAGCATGGCATCGTAAGTTGACTAGCCGGGCCTATTGTTTGCGAAAACAGGCATTTGTGTTGTGGCTTTGAGACAGCATATGCCGAGGCGTCCTTGGCGATACATCGTCTGTACCAATATCGTCACTTCAGCCTTGGAGTGACCCTGAAGTTCCCTGTCCAGCGCAACATTCCGAAAGCGCGATACACTCCAAGCTGCTTGGGCAGTCACCGTACTTGCTACTGTGAAGAGATTGCAAAACATTTGATCTTCTCTCTCTTCCATGTGGTGCGGACTGGACATCTTCGTCCAGCCTCGTTGCCTGAGGCTGGCTTCGGGCGCCACTTCGTCTAAGCCCGTCCTCCGACTCAGTCCTCCGACCACGCTAAGCGAACCCACTTCCAATAGTAAGCAGAAGGGCTATCTGTGAAGGCAAAGATAACGACTCGTAGTGGAATCTGAGCGTTGTTCGCATTGTCGCTGACCACAGAGCCGCAGCGAATCTAGGCAAACCTGCAGCCTAGTAGATAACCATTAGCATATAGAAACCTGGGATGTACCCACGTTTCCAATCATTCTTTGTCTAATTGTTTTTGGCGTCTCACAAGGTCGTACTTGTACGTAATAAGTGTTGCGATGCTGGATCCGTTTTCTGCACTGGCAGTTGCGGCTGGGTGTGTACAGTTCCTTGATTTCGCGTGGAAGGCGGTCACGGTGAAATCAGGCATCTTTAACAAATCCAATTCGACCGCAAAGAAAGATGAGCTAGCCTCTGTCGCTGAAAGGCTGCATACACTAAGTGTGGGGCTGGGACAGTCGAGGAAGCCCGCTGGTGAGCAGGAAGGGGTGTATAAGATTCGCGATGCGTGTCGCGCCATTGAAGAGGAGTTAAATTTGGTGCTTAATCGGCTGAAAGATACTGGGGAAGCGAAATCGGATCGTACGGGCCGAGGGGGTTCAAGAAAATGGACGAGCACGAGGCAGGCATTGCAAAGCGAGTGGAAAGACGAGCAGCTGATCCAGCTCGAGAAAAGGCTGAAGGAGTTGCGAGAGGATTTGATTTTGAATATCCTGGTTGAGCTCAGGTGCGTCTTGATGCCCTTCTTTTGCATTGCATGTGCTGATCAAAAGTAGAGAGGAGCAGGCGCCCCGGGCCCAGCCGGCGTCCAAAGATTCGGAAGCGCTCCGGAAAAGCCGCGACCCGATCCCAATTGGGCAGCAATTCCTCGAGAGCATCGACAAGAAGGAACGCTGGCAGAGAGATCTTGTTGCAACAATCTTGAACCAGAACGACCCCTTGTGGGACTCGCTGGAGCCCTCTGCACTCGACGAGCGCTCGTCGGAATGGTTTTTGGACAACCTCGCCTATCCCGAGATGTACGTGAGAGAATCCCAGGTTTCGCAGGCATTCAACGAGACTTTTAAATGGCTATTTGAACCAAGCCACGAACAAGCTTCCTGGACAGGCTTCCAGGCCTGGTTGGCGGACGCCGAAGCTGAGAATACATACTGGATCTCTGGGAAGCCGGGTTCCGGGAAGTCCACCCTCGTGAAGTTCATCGCCAACGAGGAACAAACGAACCAGCAGCTCCAGGAGTGGGCGCAAGGAAACACACTGGTGCGGGCGTGTTTCTACTTTTGGTCGGCAGGATCCAGGTTATATAAGACCCGCGAGGGGCTTCTAAGGTCTTTGCTCTTTCAAATATTCCGAGAGCACGGCGACATGACGACCCTCTACTGTCCGAGACGCGCCCAGGTCCACCGGCTTTTTGGCAGTTATCCCCTTCCGTGGACGATCGATGAACTCGAGGAAGCCATTGTGAAGGTGCTGCAAGCTAACGGGACGAAATTCTTCTTTTTGATCGACGGCCTAGACGAATGTGCTGAGGACCACGACGATCTTGTCCGTTTCATGCGCCACCTTACTGAGGGTAAAAACGTCAAGATGTGCATCTCCAGTCGTCCATGGGCCGAGTTCGAAGATAGTTATCAAGACGCCCCTCATCTAAAGGTTCATGAGCGCACCAGCGACGGCGTTCGACATTTTGTACAATGCCATCTCAGTCAGAGTCGGGGATTTGGCGAGCTGAGAAAGAGAGATGAAATATTTGCCGACTCCCTGGTTGAAAGCATCGCAGAGAAGTCGCAAGGTGTTTTCCTTTGGGTTCAATTCGTCGTTAGGGCGATCCTAATCGACCTCAAGCATGGGAACCGTATTGAGATCCTTCGTGGCCGATTGAAGGAGCTACCAGAGGATCTGGAAGAGCTGTTTCAGAAGCTGATTGACATGATCGAGGACAGCTACAAGGAGGATGCTTACCAGATCTTTCAGCTGATTGGGGCGGTGCACACACCGATCACACTCTTAGCACTGTCCTTCGCACACGAAGACGGACGTTCGTCGGATGTCAGTAACTACCCCTATGAGCCCCTTAGCCGGGACCAAATAGAGGGCAGATGCAGCCAGATGCAACGTCGGTTGATGAGCCACTGCAAAGGGCTTCTAGAGGTAGTCCCTGTCGTCAACGAAGCCCAGAGCAACACCAGCCCGGACGGCAATTTGGACGGAAGTGCGGGTCCAGCACGTTGCGCGTCTAGCCGCTCTCACAACGATGAAGCTAGCAAAGTTGGCACACATGCGGCATGCACTGTCCAATACATGCACCGGACGGTGAAGGACTTCCTCAAGAAGCGCGGAATATGGAAGTCGTTTGCGCATATCATCTCGGCGAGTTCATTCGATCCATATGCGGCTTTGTCTCGCGCATCGCTCATTGGGCTGAAGACTGCGAGCATCGAGACGATGACAACTGACCTTTTCTGGGAGGCGGTGTCCAATACTCTGCATTACGCCACGCTGAGTGGAGTCGAGGCCAATACTTCACTAGCGGCCGAGTTGGATGAACTGGATAGAACGGCGGACAAGATTGCGCGTATGCCATGGCCAAAAGAACCGAGCGGAAACCTAATTAAACGGCACATGGGAATCCCGCATCCGCATCAGAGAGTACCGCGCAGGGTCCAAGGTCACAACGAAGCTTGTTCGCACTGGTCGGCAGCCCAAGCCAAAGGAGGAAGCCAGCATTCCTTCCTTTGCATGGCCGTCCAGTTCGGTCTCAGCTCTTATGTGGAGGAGAAGCTCAAGTCTGGAGCACAGGTCGAGCAGTCCCCACGGTCGCGGTCCCTCCTAGATTGCGCGGTTCGGGACCATGTGAAATTGAGCGAGCTACCGCGGGCTCCACCAGTGGGGTTCGACCAAAGGCTATCGATGATCAAGATGCTCCTCGAGCAGGGCGACGATCCGAACAGGGTGGACGCTTATCGGGGAACGCCATGGATGCATCTCGAGGCGGAAATCAAAGCTTCATTGATAGGAGCAAGCAAGCCGGCGCGAGAACGACGGTACTCTAGAGTCTTCCTTCCGCGGCAGGCTCAGTCTACTGTACAACGCCAGCCAGCGCTAGACGCGTCCAAAGCCGCATTTTTGCTAAGCTCTGCCGAGCTATTCGTCAAATACCGGGCGAGCTGCTGGGGCGTAGACATAAAAGGCGTGACCGAGGCACTTGGCCGTGTCGATGAACAGCGTGCAACCGCATTGGGAAGGGCGATGAAGACGCGTCGCCTCAGTCTCTCGCACCTCTGGAGCTCGTCGGGGCGGCGGAAGGGCCAGATTGTTGTGCATGTGGTAGAGGTGTCGCAGACATCGGACGACGACAAAGCATGGGTTAAGTAGATACTTCACAAGCCTGGGAGAGATGGAGGTGTGAGGTGTTTTGCGGAATTTGAGAAGGTTTCGCGGGGCACGCTAGCTTCATCCGGTTAGCCTATCCCGGAACGAAAAAGCTCGCGTTTCATACCCTCTATAAACACCAGCACACCCGCACCACCTCGTCCACAGCACATCATCATTTTCCATCTCAGCGCACTTCCGCTTCTACATCCATTATCTAGACCTTTGTTTACAATTCGCGGGCGTGTGTATCTCGACCTCTTACATTGCCTGTCCTGCGTGAGCCTGTTGAGCGGCCCAACCTTCACGTCATCCAACCCCTGAGGCTTCTTAAGTCAATCTATGAGGATTCCCAACGCCCAAGGAACCTAAAGCGGGTTCAGCGAGCTTCAGCTAGCGGCTAAGGGCTGGAAAGAGCGAGTGATTCGTGGAAGGCAGGCGAGACTTTTGGCATATGCATTCTGAGCCTCGAAGAACCGTCGCCAGCACGGCTCGCGTGTAACGAATACCGTCATCTCGATCTTGACTTTCTGTCCTTGTATCTGGACAAAATGGATTCTGTTAATTCCTTTCGTTTGGCTTAACCGGGGCATGTCGTCTAAGGTCTGGATGGAAACAGCTGCGCTAATTATTCCGATGGAGCCGAACTCGAAGGGCCGGAGCACGCGAGCCTCTGTAGTTCGGAATTGTAAGCCTAGGGAGGCTGCAGCATTTCAAGAACGGGGAACGATAGCCGTGATCGGCCTCGCCGTGGCTCGGTCGCAGTATGCCGTGCCTCATCTGATGGAAGCGATTTGGGAAGCTCCATGGAAGCCGGGAACAAGCGAAGAATCTCGGTTACGGGTCCGCCATCCCTCGGCGAACCACTCCTTCTTAGGAAAGCAGAGGCCTGTTGCTGGAGAAAATGATGGCTAGAGCACTGCAACGACATCTACCAGCAATCTAGGCTTGGCACACGGCAGAGAGCGGAGCAGAACGACGAGCGCGACTCCTAGTCTGGCAGGTCTCTGGTTTACCAAGCTACGATAAAGGCTCTGGTAAGCTTGGAGCTTAGGCTGTGCACAATACCAGTGGGATGGGAGAGCCCGCTGCCTCTCCATATTCGAAAACCTGGAAGCTCCCACGGCTCACTTAGGACTGCGCCGAGAAGGATCTCGGATCCAACGACGCAGCGGTAACTCATATATCCAGGTACCGGACGGGGTGGTTAATCAGCTCCGAGTTACCTTCAAATCCTGGTATCTGGGAGCGGCTGTGTTCTGCGGGTATCTTGGCACCTTCCTCTTTCAGCCAAGCCCAAGCATTATCAACACCTCCCGCCCAGATCAGCCAAGCTGCACGTGACGGTAGAGCCAAGAGGAGGAACATGAACATTTTCGCGCCATGGCCGAACCGAGCGAGTAATAAGCTGCTTCGAACGAACCCCATGATTTCCCAAGACCGCCAAGCCCTGCTGTAGCGGTTTCTGGATCCTTAGATACGAAGCCTTGCCTTTAGTCCATCTGCGATAGGAAGGTATGATGGCATTCAAGTTTGCATCGGCATCGCGTATTACGGAGCACAACATGGAAAACCGCGTTTTGGGGTTGGCGCCGGTGGGATGGAGAGGATATAAGGCGGACGCTTTATTTGCGAATTGGTTGCGCCCACCCCCAGCATCTTCTCGGTGACGTCGCAACCATGAAGTTGATTACTGTTGTGGCAGCGCTCCTACCGCTGGCCTCGGCCGCAGGGTACTCCAAGCAAGAGTATGACTCTGGCGCGGTCATGGCGAAGATGATGGCTAAGAAAGAGGTCAGACCTTCATTATTTCTGTTCTCCAAAACGCTAATAAAATCAGGCTGCGTGGGCTCAGCACAAGGCAGCAGGCCGCTACGACAACAAGAGATGGAATGGCTTCGATAAGAAGCGAGGGGGTCGTGACGTTATCCGTTGCATTAACGGCAAAGCCGAAGCCGTGAAAGGCGACCCTGATCAGACGTACAAGTGCAAAGACATCGTAAGTACAGGATTCGTTAATGCGCAGTAGCTTCCACGCGAAGAGAACCAACTTGGGGGCTAAGTCCTGACGCATTGCAGGACATGTACGACTTCAAGACGCACGAAGAGCTAGGTAGCAATGATGGCGAAGGTTCCGGCTCCTGGGGTTGGACTTACTGGGGCCGCGAGTTCATCGCCATCGGCCAGACTGATGGCGCTGCTTTCGCCGAAGTCACCCGACAGGGCAAGCTGGTGTATCTCGGTCGCCTGCCTGCACAGGCATCGCCGGTCATCTGGCGCGAGATCAAGACTAATGGCAACTATCTTATTGTCGGTTCTGAAGGCGTAGGGCACAACGTGCAGATCTTCGACATGCGCAAACTCCTCAAGGTGGACCCAAGGCGACCAAAAGTCTTCTCAACCGAGACGGATCTGACGAGTCTATTCACGGGTAAGTAAAAGCACGTGTAAATTTCGTGATCTCAGGACACTGTATGCTGACGCCCCTTTTCTAGACCTGCCGATCGGACGTTCGCACAACGTCGTGGTTAATGAAGAGAAGGGCTATGCTGTTGCTGTCGGTGCGCAGCCTCGGAATAGCTCATGTGCTGCCGGCCTCATCTTCATCAATATGGATAACCCGGCCAAGCCTTACTCTCCCGGCTGTGCTCCTCAAGATGGCTATGTACACGACGCACAGTGCATAGTATACCGTGGTCCGCACAGGAAATACTACGGCCGTGACATCTGCTATGGCTACAATGAGGACACGTTGACCATCTACGACGTCACGAATAAGAAGGGACCACAGGCCGCTTCGGTCATCTCTCGAACCCCCTACAAGGGAGCCTCCTACACTGTACGTCTCATGCTAGCGTATCATTCTTCGCCATAGGCTAACGAATCTTCTAGCACCAAGGCTGGATCATCGACCCAATGTGGCAGACTCACCTCGTCCTTGACGACGAGCTAGACGAAGGCGAGCTCGACCCTGACCGCACACCACCGGACAGCCCAGCCATCGACGGATTCCCAGTGACCTACATCTTCGACATCACCAACCTCGAGAAGCCCGTCAACACAGGCTACTACAAATCTAGCGTGCGCTCCGTCGACCACAACCAATTCATCTACGACGGCCTTGCCTACCAGTCCAACTACCAGGCCGGTCTGCGCATTCTCGACGTCAGCACCATTCCTTCGGATCCATCCGGCAAGAGCGTCAAAGAGATCGCGTACTTTGATGTCTATCCCCCGGACGATGACGAGGAGGGTGGAGGGATCGCGGTTTGGGACTTCGGCACCTGGAGCCATTTTACGTTCCCGAGTGGTTGGATTGTTATTAACACGATTGATCGCGGTGCGTTTGTTGTGAAGATGAGCAAATTTGCGGGAAGAGGATATGGAAAGCGCCACGTCAAGAGGGTGAGGTAAGACGCGGTTTGTAATATATGGCCCATGAAAAGGGCGCGTTCGGGTAATGCTTAGTTTAAAGCTCACTTGAAATATTTGTGATACCATTAAGCATCTTCTTGCAGCTCTCGGTGCTGTGTGCCATGGAATGTTGCATCCAAACAGGAAGTTTGCATCGCCAGTTGGAGGACTTTCCGCGCCGGCAAGTGCGAATGAATTATGGATGTACGCACGTTCTCTTCGGGACTACTACTGATAGGTTAGTCTCTGCCTGGCTTTATTCTCGAGTTCAGCTCAGCTGCAACACTGCCACCGCCCATGCAGCCACGATGGCTTGGCGTTAGCGTCATCTGCAGATTCCGAACTTCAGAGCCCCCAGCAACATACTTCCTCACTCCACCACGATAAGCTCGCCGTAGTTATGGCTAGTTTACCTACTGTATACTCACGGCCCCACCAAGCTCGTCGTCGACCACTCATACTATATGAAGTCGACGGGTATCCATATGACTTCGCCGACGAGAATCACGATAAGCGAACGTTCAACAAACCACCAAAATCCCTTAGAAGATCCGTACAACGAGAATATCGACAAGAGTTCAAACTTCTCAAACCGGGAGTTCATGCGCTCTGCCCAGAATGCCAGGGCCTCCGTTTCGATCCAGAACGCGACCTAAGTGAGGAAGATGCTCCATTCCAACAGGATTCCTCCAACCATCAGAGTGAGGATGATCTTCGCGGAGATTCCAGCAGCGACGGCGACGGTAGTACAACTCCCGGCTCCCCGGAGAGATATGGAAACACGTCGACTTCTGAACTGTCGGTAGCGAGTTCCAACGAATCGGTAGCTCTGGAGACTGCGGTGGACTCCCTTCTTGGATCTAGCAATGCTGGTTGCCATCTTTGCACACTGGTAGTAGGTGCACTCATGTCGGCCTTTGGTGAAGGGTGGCATAAAGCGTTGTCTGCACCATCAATTTCGGTCCTCATCACGATCAACGAATCGAGTTTAGTGATATGCTGCGGGAGCGAAAGGACTTCGCTGTCAATTGGAGATGTTCCTCCCGACTCATCGCCAGTCAGAGGTCATTCAAAGCTGTTTTACCCGGCCACTATGGATATGAAAGAGGTTAGCATGCCGTTGCCAGATAACTGCTTCACCGTAATGGATTCTCCCGGAGCAACTATGTCCATTGTGGGCTCGTTATATCATGAACTAAAGCCTAGAAGGCATAAGAAGGTATAAATCGTGCTACCGCGAGACTGATCCAAAGGGCTACCGCTAAAATAATGTAGGCTGTTTTCGTTCCCTCATCGACTTGGAATAAACTTTCGGAACCCGTGCCTCCTCGTACCACGATCATATTTGAATACACTGAGGAAGGGATGAGAGCTAGATGGGAAAATGCAAACGAGCCCTCAAGGCGGTATATGAACATTTTCCCTTCCAGGTCCGATTCATACTATTTGGAGCCACCACATCCTTACTGTATGCTTCTCTTAGAGGGCATATATTCCTGATACTAATTCATAATAGGCTCATGCGGTGAAGGGCTCTGGGAAGCGTCCCTGATACAACAGGGAGACACATGCTACATCCACCAGAATCCACTGGGGAATGGCTTGATACAGCAGATCAAACATTGGATGGCTACCTGCGATAAGCTTCATCCTGACTGTGAACGCGAAAGTGAGCGCATTCAGTCACTGAGACTGATAGATGTGGGCTCGCCCGACGGCAAGCAGCTACCGGCTCTCATAGAAGGTTTTGAGGATACCCGCGAAGTTGAGTACATCACACTCAGCTACAGGTGGGGGAACCCCTCCGCTGACATGCTCACTACAACGGCGGAGACCATTGACCAACGGAAAGCTGGTATCCCTATGGAACTGCTTCCAAAGACGATGCGCGATGCTGTCATCATTACCCGCAGGCTGGGAATACGATATTTGTGGATCGATGCTTTATGTATCATCCAGGGTTCAAGAACTGACTGGGAGGAGCAGTCCGCAAACATGGCGCAAATTTATTCAAGGTCGGTCTTATCCATCTCAGCCCACGGAGCCCGCACCGTCCATGATGGCTTCCTCAACCCGAGGAATCCGTTACAGGTCCGAGGATGCATCCACCCATCCCTCATTCCAGGGCGAAACGTAGTAATTTGCCCCGACATAATCGAGCCAGACGCTGCGATAGAAGGGAGCATTCTCAGCCAGCGAGGTTGGACATTGCAGGAACAGATTCTGCCACACCGCATTCTCCATTGGGGCCCTCATGAAGTATCGTGGGAGTGTCGGACGATGCGAGCAACGGAGAGGCGTCCGCTCGGAAAGTCTAAGGACTCGACCCGAAACAGCTATGCCACCAGGACCAGTCCGATGGAAGTCAGAAATGACTGGGTAGGCCTCGTCGAAAACTACTCCAGAAGGCAGCTCACCGTACCGAGCGATAAGCTCCCTGCGATTTCTGGGCTTGCGAGTTCGTTCCAGCGAAACTTTTCGCCTCCTCCGGTGTATATCGCCGGAATATGGTACGAAGCTGCTGTACCCTACCTGGGGTGGCATCGAGATACTTGGGATTACCCGCGAAGGGGAAATTCCAATGACAGCTCCACGACCCGAAGCGAGACCCAGGGCCACGGTCCTACCAGTCCGCAAGCTCGCGAAGTTCCCAGTTATCCCGTGCGGATGCCTACGTTCTCATGGTCATCGACGGACTCCGCGATAAAATTCGTGCAATATTCTCCAAGCCCATTCGATGCAGTTATGGCCGAGACAGTGACGTACGATCTAGACCTCGACGGCCGGTCTGAGTTCGGAGCTGTCAAGAGCGCGTCAATTACTCTTCACGGATATACCAGCCGCCTACAACGACCCGAAACCCCGCTGGGTTATGGCATAATCTTGGATGATGACCGCTTCGAGCTCGGGGATCTTGGGGAAGACTGCTTGCTACTCCATCTCTTCTGTTCTATCGAACAAGGGGCGTTTAGGTGCTCGCAGGGATTCAGTCGGGAGAGCGTATCACAGCATTCGCTGATTCTTCTCCCGGAGGTCTCAAAGGGGCCTGAGACTTATCGTCGGATTGGCCTGATGAACAGGAGCTTTTCAAGCTTGGCCGGGCCTGGAGAAGCACATCAAAGTGTTTATCCCAACGTTGTGGCCGAACTCGAGCGCTGGATAACAAAAGAGATAGTACTGGTATAAGGAAATATCCTCGCTGGATATAGATGTGAGAAGTTCAGGCCATGGAAATTGTTCTAGCTACTACCGATGAATACCGCCAATGCATTTCGCCTTACTACTGGCTGCCGTCTTCTATTGCTCACTCCTCCCACAGCGGAAAACAACTTACATCATGTTTCCCACAAACCCTCTCAGTAGGCACCGGTGTTTCCCACTGCTTACACATATACCTCGCCGCGCAATACGCCCAACTCGCACAGAACCCACTGCCGCAATCTCTCGGGCCCCCACCCGTCATTCCACTTCCATATTCCGTGACACATTGGTACTCCACTTCCTCAAACAGCACCTTCCCCGCATAAACACCCGTTTTCAGCCTCCCACTCACCGACGTGGATGGGATCTGGATAGAGAGTAGACCCTGAGGCCAGCCATACGCAAGCGTTGCATTGCCAGGGATGGGCGGGAACTCCATATGGGTCGAAGACCAGAAGAACGCGCTCATGTTGGTGGCGCCGGCGAAGGGTGTGTAGGGGAAGCTAGTCGATACGTATTGGGTGGTGTTTGTGGAGGGTGCGTATAGTGCGACGAGGTTGAAGGTGCGGGCTGCGGCGCCGTGTGGGTCGGGGAGGTTGTAGGGATCCCTGGCGAGCGAGTTGTCGCAGTGCATGAGTGAGAATTGGAGATCTGAGCGTGGTGCGGTGGCGTTTTGAGCTGCTATCGGGATGGCGGTTGCGCAGAGGAGAAAGAGTTTTACACTCTGTTTCATTTTGGGCTTTTCTTGGATTCGTAGTGAGGGAAATTTCCCCGCTCAATGCTAATCACGGCGGTGAGCGATGTGTTGTATATGTTGCAGTCTGCGCAAAGGCTTTATGTACATTTGGAACATTCGCCTCTACGCCGGCCAGATTGGCAGGATGCGAATATCGTGAGGTTGCAATGGAACGTTAATATGTTGGGTCCTAACCTTAGGCGGGAACAATATAAAGACGAGAAATTACCCGGATGCACCCTTGGAATCCTACAGCCGAAGATCAGTTGCGAGTGCCTACCGAAGCGATATTAATCGAAGTCCAGTTTTACATCCAATGAGCCAGGTCTCCTGTATACTGCAAGTGCATCAGGTGACGAGAAAGGCCCCCAAGAATAAAACTGCATTCTGGTCACGGTAGAGTATGTTAAACCGGATTAAATAGTAGTGATGTCACTGACGCAAAGTATAAGATCAACTCCTTATTCATTCACCTACAAATCGAAGCGCCGTTGTGGGGAGCCATGGCCCTATGATGTGCTTGCTGACTACGAGACCGCCGAGCTTGAGGCCTTTTGGGGGCATGGTTTGAAGTGAAGAGTTGAGAAATGTGAACCACGGGGAACTCCTTAAATAGTGCTTTGAAGCGTGGGCGGGGAACGAGGAAGGCGTGCCGAGAAAAGGAGACGTGCGTGGAGTGTCTTTTAGGGAATTCTAGTAATTTCGAGCGCTCCTCTTGCGTTTGCTTGTGCCTTCCAGAACTTTGATGGTCCATTCTCATCATATGTCTCTTGGATGGCAAGTCGATGGTCCTGGAGTAATTCAAACTTCAGTCTTGAGTGCTGCGCCCCTCCAGAGCAAGAATGCTGCTTGCCGAGATGTTATAAACCGCAGACAGAGGCCTTGCGACAGGGATAGCTACTGGTCGGTCAATGGGCGCTCGAATTGAGCGCGCACACCATTTCATGAGCCATCAGATTTTACCACCACCATCTAGTAGGCACTCAGCCATTACTCAAGCATAACCATCTCCCAAGTTCGGTCCGATTTGGCCCAGTCTTTCAAATACACCCATCCGAGTTCCCTTCGATATGCATACTTCCCTCTCCGCTGAATCATGAATAGGTTGACAATAGGCAACATATCCAGCATTTTACCCTCTACATCTGAATAATTCTTCGTCTCTCGCTCCTTTCCAGAATAAGGCCGAATATGCAGACCCGAAATAGAACATGCAATGAATTCGCACGTAGCAGTCCTTTCGTATTGAGGGGAATCGACTTCCTCTCTCAACTGGGTCACCTCTCCGCACAGTTCGCCGATGGCATTGTCTTCTGAGTCGAAGATAGCCAGACCATAGCTTTTTGACGGCTTGGTTCCGACTCGGAAGAAGGCAGTTTGGGGTTCTGCCAGGATAACACCATCTTTGACATCGCCGGCTGGAATGTGCAAGTTCTCGGACCATTGAGACAGCTCTCGCGACTGCAGTGTGTCTTTCCGGAATGCGTGATAATTTGACCAGCGAGCAGTGAAGGACTCCCGAATAGTCGAAAACGAATTGCTCTTTAATGACCATGAAGTGGATGCATTTCGTACACAACCCTCTTCACAAGAAATTGCCATATAGGTTTCCCAGCCTTCATCCACTTTCGTATTGATGTGAGTGTTGATTGCTTCCAGCTGCTCATCTCCCGGCATAGGAGTGGCACTTTTTCTATACCAGAGTGTCAGTGCCCCATAAAATTTCGTTTCTTGATAGTGCACTTCATCCGAGTGACCCATAGCGGATGACCATGACCAAGTGGGACAGGTGATATCCTGCGTTTCCAACCTAGATGGGGTACTGGTGCCCATATTTGCATACCACCGCAGCGCTCGATCGAAATCCACTTTTGGTAAGCCATATATGAATGTGCTTTCAGAATGCGACCCATATAATAGGTTCGTGATGCCAATGAAGGCGTTGTAGGTATCGGAGCGGTACGACAGGCTTCGAGATGAATAGTTTTTGAGATGGCGGGCGAAAGCTTCGAAGCCTGGGTTCTCTGACTCTAGAAGGAGCCCATAGGAAGTGAACTCGTTCAATGCAGTCTCTGAGTTGTATGCGTCTTCGTGAAAGATAGAGGTCCTGCATTCAAAGTATGCTCGTGTGTTCGTGAAGTGAAGTCGACGGTTTGCGCAGACGGCTTCCTGGTATGTCCATCCTCGAGTATGCCATAGAGCGAAGTGGTCCTCTTCGGGGTCTCGAACGATGTTTGTAACGCGAAGGCCAGTGATACCTTCATGGTGTTGAACGGTTGGTCGTTGATGGCTAATGCCGTGGATTCCGAAATCCATGCTGTCGCCATAGGCTACGACCAGCACTAATAGCGCTGAAGAGTATACATCGTTCATTGCGCTAATTTGATTGATCTTGTCTTCAGCATCGTCCTGTATGATGCAGAGACGGTCAGCCCATAGATATCTAATCCCAAGTCGGGTGCAAGCGCTCATAGCATCTTCTATCGTTCGAGGAATCTGCGATACGGACAGGCCGCCGTCCATCTTCATGGCTGCAATGGTTGCGCGGGTAGCGGTAAGAAGTGATGGTCGTGTGTCCCTGCCCCAGACGTAGCTAAGAGCGACGAATGAAGCGTCATTCGTTTCCACAATGCGTCGTCTAGGGATATCGATAACCCGGAATCCTCGTGGCAGAGCTGGGTTGATTTCTCCGCGGCATTTAATATGCTCCCGACGACACTCATTTATCTTCTCTTCAAAGCGCGACCAGGAAATCCTCTCGCCAATGCTGGATGTGTTCGATTCTTCTCACTGTTAGATTACTGCCTTAGAATCTTGCAAAGATAACCCACCGTACCATTGCTGATGTCAATATGAAGATCTCCTACCCACAAGTTCGCCTGACCGTTTTCTTCTGCATACTGGAGATAGATATCTGCCGCGACGCTAGATTTATGCTCGTCAAGCGGGCCTAGAAAGAGGCAGATATTATGGTCGCTCCTCATGATAGCCGAAACTCGGTTTTTATCGAAAGCATGCAAGATCATATGCCAAACGAGGCGACAAAGCGGGCACCTCGGAACCACGTCTTCTTGCACAAGGCCTTGTCGCAGATGAAACAAGAACCTCCTTCGAGATTCCACTGACACGCACGTCACCAAGTGCCTCAATCGTAAGTGTTGACAGATGGGACAGAGACGCTCGTCCTGGAAGGCTGAGAGGGAACATGGGTGGCAGGGTTGGTGGAAGAGCTCCTCCCTTTCCGCTGTAGTTGGACCGCTCTCACTGTACTCGTAGTAAAACAGTGAGAACGGACAGTATTCACAAATGCCCATCGCGGATTGTTGACGAGGTCGTCGTATACAGACGGCGAAGGGTGTGATGACAAAGGTGGGGCCAGTTTGGATGAGTCAGCCTTACAGAGGACGGGGCCCGCATTTTACTTCCCGACCTAGCAGCTACAAGAATGCGATAAGCTGGGCTTCCCAACACTGCTTTCGGGGGCCACCATTTGTGGGCCTACAATCCCAGATGCTCCTCAGCTTGTTTACTGAGCTTGTTTCAGATGGAATATTCGGACTGGACGGATGCACCAAGCCTGCCGGAGGGTTCATACCAGACGACCTGTTTATTAACCGAGTACCCGAGGATCGGTTGAGGATAACTCTGAGTGCTAGAGGAAGACGAGATACCTAATTCTTTAAGAAGGCTTACCAGCCATTGTCGTGCCGATAAGATTATCCGTCGAAAGGCTTGAGCTCCACAACGCATCCCTCCGCACTCGCAACTACAAGAGTGAGAGCCTGCCTCTCTTTCCCCACCCCCACCTTCGCCTCCTCTTCCGAAAGTCCGATTTCAGGAAAGACCTGGAGAATACGCACAATGGTATAAGAGGCCTCGAGGAGGGCAAAGTCCTGTCCAAGGCATAGTCTCGGGCCGCCATTGAATGGAAGGTACGCATAACCAATGTCTTTGAGAGCGTCGCCTTCCCAACGCTCGGGCCGAAATTCTTCCGCGTCCTCTCCGTATATGTCCTTCCGCCGATGCATTACGTAGACAGAATATCCCACCGCTTCACCACGACGGACTAGAACGGGCGCTTTCCCGTCTTCGCCGCCGCCTACGGGGAGGGTGGTGGTCTTGAGTGCCGCGCGCCCGTTGACTGGGACCGAAGGATATAGTCGAAGCACTATTGTAGCAACGATTAGTATCCCAACTTTAAGTCATGTCGCGCGATGTACCTTCTTTGATGACGATGCCGAGATAGGCCATCTTCTTCAGGTCGTTTCGAGACGGCTCCGGTGCGTTCTTGCCAAGTCCAACTGTGCTTTCGATCTCGGAGCGAAGCTTCTCCAGCACCTTTGGATGGCGAGCTAAGAGGCGGCTAGCAGGAAGTTAGTGTCGGCCTTCGTGACTATGGTACCATATGCCTACAATGTCCATGACAAGCAGCACGCTGTCGTATCCCGTCCCGCAAGAAGGACATTCAGACATTGATCCCGAAGCACTTTTGGGTCTTGAGTTTCCTGGATCAAGGCGTCGATAAAGACGTAGTGTTTCCGCTCCGCCATCTCAGTTGTCTGTCGCTTCGAGTCTTCCAAAGCCTTCTTCACCGCATTATCCACGAATTTATGACAAGTATCGCATGCTTTCCGGAACTCCCTGTCATTCGCCACCCAATAGAAATCTCCCAAGCGCCCAAAGTGCGCCAAATAGTCCTGGCCCACATTGAAGGCGTCTGCGAATTCGGATTCCTGGCCGGCGACTTCTTCGGAAGCTAACGACGACATGGACCGACCGAATAAGAGGAACGTGGTAGTGTCGAAGGTGAGGCGAAAGAAGAGTGGTTGTAGGTCGACGATACCGGAGGAAGGTATGCACTCAATGAGGTCTTGGACGCTTCGCTTTATCTGCTCGAGGTTCTGAAACCTATTCGACATGAACTGTGGGCGCAGGAGCTCGCGAGAATGCTTCCATTCTGCGCCCTCCTGGGTGAAAATGCCGCTGCCCATCAGAGGGTAGAAGTGTTTTGAACGGAGACCCAGTCCGTAGTCTTCCGCGCTTAGCTGCCATGACAGTGTTCGTAACTAGAGGTATACGTACTACTGAAATCCTTCGACAGGATCGTCTCGATATTCTGGGGATCGACTGTGTCGATGCCCCGCGCACCAAGGAGGTTCTGCTCAAACGTCGTCCCGGACTCCGCGACCAAGGCAACGAAGAACTGCAGAATCCGCTCTTCCCTTGCGTAACGTAATGCTTTTGAAAGGAGATCAAGGCCGAAGGGCCAACTCGACTTCCAAGCTTTGAGAGGTTTGCAGCCATGCTGCGCGGCGAACTGTTGGTCAATCTGTCATCTCTGGTCAGCCTGAGAGCACAGAGCGGCTAGGGACCCTCATGCCTTATATTGGACGTGCCCCTTCCACAGCCTTGCGCATAGAAGTGCAGCAGCGGCGCAGAGAATAAGGTATTTGTATTCGAAAAGAGCGGATGACAGGCTCGCCATCTTGTACGAAACCGAACGACCGGAATTGCAGAGGAGGTAAATATCACTACATTGAGACCAGGCTGAGAGGAGGGTGGGTATTTGGATGGTCTTTATCGCAAGGCTGTCTGGCGTCCCGCAGAGGGATGTTGGGGGCCGGACGGAATGGGTTAGTCGCCGTCGCACTTGGGCTTAGCATCCTGCGGACTAGGCTGCCTTTTGCTGCAACGTCATCCCCCCGGCGCCCATATCCGGCGAGCTGCCAACCATGAGCGGGGCAGTCGAAGATTACTGGATTTTTCGACACGCGGGTGGTGGAGGCGCAGCTCACATGGCAGTCTATCGTTGCGTACCCCACCTTCCCGGCTGAACACCCCTCTGCGACAACCCCATAAGGCTGCGACTCTCAATCCATTCCCGCCGCGTCCCGTCGCAAGTGAAGGGCGGATGTAGCGCCGGTCATGGACCCGCTGTCTGTGATAGCGAGCACGATCAGCATCGCCGACGTCTGCGTCCGTCTCGTCAGCTATCTACGAGACGTCCAAAAGGCGACGGCGACTGTTGAAGGCGACATCGCCTCGCTGATCCACGAAATTGAAGCTCTTGACGCCGTCAGCTTCTCCGTGAACAGGACACTGAGCGATCTCAGGCGCTCAGACTTGTCGCCGGGCGAGCAAGGCAAATGCGACGACCTTTGGAAGCATGTCGGGCCAACGTTGCGCGATTGCAAGACTGTCGTGGAGAGATTAGAGGCCATTGCAAAAGAGATATATGGAAAGGCAGGCCCGGCTGTGACTGGCTTCCGGGATGCAGTAGCGAAGGTCCATAGGAGGAGGAACAGAGACGGGGATCTGAGGCAGTGTCGAGATCAGCTTGCGACTTACCAGAACGTGCTTCAGATCTTGTTAGCATTCATCAACATGTACGTCCCATATCGACCCGCTAACCTAGGCCTGTAACTCATGTCAACCTCGCAGCCACAGCACGAGGGGATCCCAGGAGGAGAATGCTCGTTCATTCCGAAGCCTGGCGGATGACCTTCGCAACGTGGACCGTCGGCTCGGCACCCAGATTGCCACACTGCAAGACACCATCGAGTCCTCTAATGTTTCATCCTCACCACAGGATGCGGGCACGCTTTCAGCTCTGCGGGGCTTGCGCCAGTCCGTCGAGTATGCGGCTAGCACGATAAAGTCGGTATCCTCCAACAAACACTTCGATATCCCACAGTCGGTCAGCAGCATCTTCACTGGTCGAGAAGACGCCCTGCAAGATCTCAAGAGGCGTTTCATTGCTCCTCCTGTTGTTCCATCCCACAGCCAGCAGCAACGGTTCGTTATCTACGGCATCGGAGGTTCTGGCAAGACTCAGTTTTGCTGCAAGTTCGCCGAAGATAATCGGGATAGGTAGGCTCAGCTTACAACGCTATCTTCCCAGGCTAACGCCCGTCTTCTAGCTTTTGGGGAGTGTTTTGGGTGGACGCAAGTACCACCCAGCGCATCAAGCAGACATACGCTGTCATCGCGAAGATCGGAGAGGTCGATCCGAACGAAAACGCAGCCATGCACTGGCTCTCCAATCTCGAACATCGATGGCTCCTCATCATAGACAACGCGGACGACCCAAGAATCCCACTGGAAAAGTACCTGCCCAAAGGCAATCGCGGTCACATTCTCATAACGACGCGAAACCCCGCTCACAAAGTGCATGGGAATGTCGGGCCCGGATTCCTCGAATTCCGTGGCCTGGACAACCGAGAGGCAAATGACTTGCTCCTCAAAGCAGCCAACCAACCCATCCCCTGGGATGACACCTGCGAAACCTCGGCGTCGTCAATTACAGAAACTCTAGGCTTTCTCGTCTTGGCCATCGTTCACGCTGGGGCGGCCATAAGAGAAGGTTTATGCACCTTGAAGACGTATCTGAGTTTCTACCAACGAGGTTGGAAAAGGATAAGACGGGCGCGCGAGGGGCGAGGGGAGACAATCGATAAATCAGATGACCACATGGACGTCTACACAACGTGGGAAATCTGCTATCAACACATCGAATCAAAGGCGAAGGAAGGGAGCGAGGCTGCCCAAGATGCGATCCAGCTTCTCGCCACGTTTTCATTCTTCCACTGGAAAAATATACGGTACGATACGCTAAGGCGGGCCCTGGAGAATCCGGTCATTGAAGCCAGACACGCAAGCAAGGAGATGCAGTCGCAAGAGCGAAATCCCCTAGTCAAGCCTCCGACAATGTCTCAAAGGATCCGAGGCCTCAACATTGTGCTCCTCACGCTGTTGCTCAGAGATCGAAGTCCACCCGCCCTCCCACGCCTTATCCGTGAGGCCCGCACAGCGACAAATTTTGACGAGCTCGGGGAACACCATGACAGGCTGCGCTATGCACTGAAGGAGCTGGTGCAGATGTCGCTAGTCACTTACAGTGAGATAAATGACAGCTACTCGATGCATCCCATTGTGCATCAGTGGGCGCGGGAACGACCGGGTATGCGTCTTGCCGAACAGGCCGTCTGGGCTGAAGCAGCAGCTATGGTCCTGTCGTCCTCAATTCTTCTACCTCACCTTCGGAATAATGCGCATGACGAGGACTACAATCGCGACGTGCTACCGCATGTCGACCACGTCCACATGTGCCGCCGGTCCGTCATGGGTCGCATCGGGGTAAAACTGCAGGAGCATTGGACTTCCTGGTTCATACCTCGACCCCGACCGACTATGACCCCAGCACGAGCTCTTATGTACGCAAAGTTCAGTATAGTATATTCGCATTGTGGGCACTGGAACCATGCCGAGCAGCTCCAGTCCGAAGTCAAAAGCTATACGGAGAAGTTTCTTGGATCTGGCAATGAGAAGACACGCCGCATCACGATTGCCTTGGCTGGGACGTACTGGAACATGGGTCGTGGTGCCGACGCTGAGCGACTGCAAAGAGCAGTTCTTAACACATGTCTGATCTCCTTAGGCCCAGAACACCTTGACACACTACGAGCCAAAGACATGCTCGGGCAAACTCTCTGGCAGCGGGGGCGATATAAGGAAGCAAAGGAACTCCAGGAAGATGCCCTTAGGGGTCTGCGAAAGATGCTGGGATCAAAGCACGAAGACTACTTGAACGCGTTGGACAACTTTGCGAGAACTGTCGCCAGTTTCCGAGAGGACAATCTACTGGAAGATGCGTATAGAATGCACTCCGACGCAATCAAGGGTATGGATAATGTTCACGGACACGACCATCCTCGGACTCTGATGGCGAAGGAGAACTTAGTCCGAGTGGCTGCTTATATGGGCGAAGTTACGCCGGAGGTCGACCAGTTGATAAGCCAGGTTATCGAGGGCCGAAAGAGGCGGCTAGGAAAGGAGCACCCCTACACCCTTCTTGCAATGGCTAACGCAGCCATTGTAAAATGCGCGCTCGGGCGACCAGATGAGGCTGACGAGTTAATATTGGCAGGAATCCCAATTGCCGAGCGGAATCTAGGCGAGGACCACATCGGTACGCTCTTCGGCTACCTTACTTTGGGCTCCGTTCGCATATGTCAGCAACGCTACAGAGAGGCCGAGCAAGTCCTTGTCGAGCTGATCAAGCGGCAGAAGGAGATGCAGTCCCATCCAGAAGAGTATCATCCGGATCGCTTAGGCGCCATGATAGAGCTAGCAAAGTGCTACCGGCTTCAGAACAGGATTGATGAAAGTATCCGCATGTGCGATGAGACGCTGGTGGGGTTTGAGAAAATTGGTGCGAGAGATTACCCTCTTGCAAGGCATATGCACAGGGCAAGAATAAGAATGCTAGAGCATCAAGCGCGCATTTCGAGAGGGGACCGAGGAGAGGAGGGAATTGCTGAAGAAGGCAGGGGCACTTATAGACAGTTCCATATTTTCCACGGTTAGACGGGTCTGTGGATGGACCGGAGTACTTCGAATTCGGCTTGAAGTGCGCGATTAATGAGATCCGCTCGCATCTCGCATAGAGAGGATATCATGTCTTTTGTGGCCTCCTGGTTGTAAGATTGGCAGGGTTCATACGATGACAGGGTTCATACGAGAGCACCGGGCTCGCCTCTTATTCTACGCCGGTTATTAGTGTATTGGGGCTAGATGTATTCCAAATGCCAACGGCCTCTTCCAATCAGAACTATGATCTTACTCATCGAAGTGAGCCGAGCAGAATCCTTCCCGCACACCTAAGTTCCGCCGCACGTGCATCGTTTAACAACCCGAATATTTGTCACCACGTAATCCAATCCTTCCTACTGGCTTGCGAAATTGCGCAAGCTGCAGCATAAAACCTTATTAGGGGAATCTGCTGTATAAAAAAGTCCACAACTGCGCGCGATAATCAGCTGAGAGAGCGGTCACCGTCTAGCAGAGACTAGTTCGTGAATTCGAATACGGCTAGAGTAACCAGCTGAGGAAGGCGAGGTGGAGTCTAACTAAGGCCAGTGCTCTTGCTAGCTGTTCCTTCCCTGCTCGAAAAAGTCAGAACGTCGTAGCGCCATGGTCCCTTGAGACCAACATGAGCACCGCCTCAACGCAGTCAATGTCCGAATCACCCATTGACAAATTCCAAACTCTCGGCTCTGGCAAATTTGGTTTATATAACACAGCTTCTGCCACTGACGCTTTCTTGAAACATACTCACGCACACATACTACGACTATCTATTCAGATTCTGTCCATCTATCATGAAATTCATCATTCTTTCCACGATCCTCGCTTTCGGGCTTGTCTCTGCCAGACCCTCTTTCGAGGAAAGGTCAATCCCAGCATGGCACCCACCTACGCGAGGCGATCGTAAGTGCACTAAGCACGGTGGTTCGAGAAGTGCTAACAAAACAACGCAGTCCGAAGCCCCTGCCCCGGACTCAACACGCTAGCAAACCACGGTCTCCTCCCACGCGATGGCAATAACCTTAGACGAGCCGTCGTGGTAGATGCTCTGAAGACAGGCTACAACTTCGACGATGCGTTAGCGAACGGCCTCTTTGAAACGGGACTTACCACAAACCCTGAGCCGAACGCGACATGGTTTTCTCTGTAAGCGTTCGCCACCGTCTCTCTTGTCCATTTGCCCAGAGCTAATCTGGAGATCCGCAGAGAACACCTCAACACACATGGCATCATCGAGCACGATGCAAGTCTCAGCCGCGCCGACGCCTACACCGGCAACAACCACGCCTTCAATCCGAGCATCTTCGCACAGACAAGCAAGTACTGGACGGGAGCGACGCTCACGCCTACGACTATGGCATATGCTAGGATCGCACGGGAGCTAGACTCGAAGGTCTTCAACCCGGAATACGCGTTCGACGCCAGCAGGGAAATACAGGCCTGGGGAGAATCCGCGATCTTCACTGCGGCTCTGGGAAATATACAGGAAGGAACGGCAGATAAGAACATCGTCGAGTACTTCTTTAGTATGTGAATGCCTCTTCTGAAGGCTTTATCTGAAGACTAATATGTGAGGCAGAGAAAGAAAGGCTCCCGGTTGCGCTGGGATGGAAGAAGCAAGCTGTTCCTGTGCAAAATTCGGACCTGGCTCACATAACGAACTTGATTGGGAACGTCACGGGCAGCGTGCCCGTTTTGTTGACTCCGTCTGAAAACCCTCTGAGAAGCCGTGGTCTTCATGGCCTGGGCGTTTGAACGAGGAATATCGCTTCAACTAGGGATGTGGGGTGTTAGAGAAAAGATATTGAGGGTTACTGCATTGAGAATGGCAATCATCACTACCTTAGCGCAACCAACTTCCAAGTGGGATCAGCAGCAATCCAAGCAGCTTCCTCAATCTCTCCGATATTCACGCGCTCTGCAACCCCATTTTCCCAGCGTACCTGTAGCGCTAAAATGATGGCCGGGAACCCCGGCAATTCTTGTAGAGCGCGTCTCCCGACGGCCACAAACTCCTGCAAGCCCGTTGTCTGTCGAGTTTGGACCCAGTGGCGCTCGCCCATGTGATCGAGACTGCCGATTGAAGTCCCTTCATGATCTTTGATACTAGGCTGACTGGGCTTGCCGAAATATGTGCTCCATCCACCTCTCTTCTGATCCAGGTCCAACGGACTTTCAACAATGAACTTTGCAGACGATGCCCAGAAAAATAGAATGTGGCCTTCTGGCTCGCGTTGCAGCCTGGCTTCGGTGAGCTCGGGTAGATGATGTTGGACATTACGCCAAATCACGTCTTCCCCGTTGCATTTATGCCACGTTGGTAGTTCCTGCGCTTGCGCTTGTTTCTCCTCGCTGGAGCTGTATAGATCGAATCGGTTATTGCGTTGTATAGGAGCAAACCGTAACGGGAAGCTACGGTGCTCGAAACAGGAGACTACTGAACGTTCGCTGGAGGAACACCGGGCGTTCGATTAGCTCTTAACCTTGCAACGCGACTAACTTTCGAGTAATATGAAGAACACATACCTCTCAAGCCTTGCATCATCCACTAGAAACTCGACTGCGCCAACCCATCCCATCCATGACCAACTCGGAAGACAGACCTGCGTGTTTAAGGAAGTCATCGGCAGGGTGGTCTTCTCCGTTCGGCGATACAGAGTGTAATTAGAACTTGGAGACCTCCAGGAAAGCGATATGCCGAATCGAGATCGTGGGTGGCCCCAAAGAAATTGCTCCTGAGAGAGTCGTCCGAATGCCTCCGTAACTGCGCTGAAGGCGTCATATATGTCTCCCTGGAAGGACATACGCCGGTGCGAGTAGACGCCAACGTATCGTTTATATCTAGTCCAGAAACCTCGGCTCGTGATCGTCATCCGATCCAGCGGGCCATCGAGGCTCTTCATGCGGAGTGGCACCGCGTTGCCTCCGAAAAGTTCTAATCTCAAGGGCGTATCAAATTCACTCTTTTCGTATAGATTCGGGTGTTCGAAAGAGGACTCTTCACAGAACACGGCACCGTCGCATACCCAGTGTACTTGCTCGGACGTAAATACGAGGCAGCGGCGCGACATGCAGCGTTCTTGGAACGTCCAGGCTCGTGTACTCCAGACGCTCTGGTCTACATCCTGTTCTGACGGAGAGGAGCCGTTGATAATTACGGAACGGGAAGAGCATGTCGAGGCAAGCGCGAGGCCCGCATGCTTGGAAGTGGCGTTTACGGGGATGATCTGTACGAGTTGCTGGTTTGAAGACCTAGACCCGGGCCGGATTCCGGGAAGGCCGGCATTCGCGTGGTCACCGGATGCGGCTATGATTGTGACAAATGCTTCTCGGTATATATTTCCCATGTTGCTGACTTGACTTTGCTGGTCCTGGATGTCGTCCGGAGTACGCCCTTGGCAGATAAAAAGCACATCAACCCAGATCCATTTGAGGCCTAGGGATCTCACTAAATCAATTGAGTCCCGGATGGTATGTGGTAACACAGCTCGTGAGAGAGCACCGGGGACTTGAAACTCGCGCTCGTTCTTCCGCTCAAGTTTGAGTTGCTGCGCGCCACCCCACACGTAGCTCAACGCTGCATATCGAGCTTGTGGAATCTCATCGCCTCGCAGCACTGTCAGGCACCCTCGCTCAACATTGATGAGTCGAAGAATCCTAGATTGAGGGGCACTAGTCGTATTAGGCTCAGTCAATAACCAGAAGCCAAACTCTTTCGTGACAACTTACTCAGCAGATGTTGTCGACAACTGTTCGAAATCGCAACAGGTTCCCTCATGATCCTTTTCGCATATTTCTACCCAATGACGCAACAATGACGTGTTCACTAAGGGAGGTCTCCTTCTGCCACCGAATAACATTCGTGGAGGCCACCTCCAATTGTCCCCATAGAGACCCGGTAGCGTCGCTTCCTCAAAATCGCCCATGTGACACACCTGTGCGATCTGGCTGTAAAACGCTAGGCCCACATGCGGATGTACAATCCTTCCATCAATATCGGTACTCTTCTTGAGTGATACTGTCAGACCGAGGCGTCGCAGAACGAAGAGTGCCTCTGGAGAAGCGTTAACCGACGCATCCATAAGAGACTCCGTCAAAGCGGACACGCCGCGCTTCGCTGGCGAAGCTGCGCGAGGCACCCCAGGCTTACATCTGGGCATTCGAACTCGTCGGCAAAGGATTTTCGAAACGGAAGTACTCTAGGGAACTTTACGCCGTCGCGCCTTGCTTGTCGCGCTTCGATGATTTCATCTGCTGTGGGACAGCAAAGAGCGAGGAATTGTATGCTTTTGCATGTGCTGCAGAGATGGTCCATGGTATAAGCTCGGGTTTTGTGCTTAGAAGTGACAGACAAGTTGTTGTAAGAGGTATCAAGTAAGAGTCGTTAACCAGATAGGCTGAGAGCCCCGCAAATGTGGTAACCGGATTTGTATAGCGTCGCACGTGAGATTGGATAACTCAGCAAGACCCGCATGTAGATTGCCCTGTTTAGCAAGGCCTGTATAGGTAGCCTTTTTCTATGTAGAAACAATAATCTTGTCTTCATTTTTGCGGCCTGGCCACTATCGGTGTGGTACTTGTGGCCCAATCTAGCTCCTATTCACGTGACCTTATAGCCCTATGTATATAGCCTTTCTTCCGTAGCCTCCTGCAATCAGCTCATGCCTCCTTAGTAGCCTATTCACTGCGACTACTTCATATGTTCCTAGTACGTATTTGTTGCCAAGACATCTTCCAGTCACACATCGACATCTTTTACGCTAAGATATTGCCCACTCCTACCGACAAATCAGTTCTGCGAAATCAAATTCAAAATTCACCCGCACCTCTAACTCTTTGCACTGCCCCAACGACCCCTTTTGCCCAGGCAAACCGACCTGGGTCCTTGCCAATTGCGCCTTCCGCTTCTTTACCATCCGCGTCGCGCCATATGCCGTCTTGTTGTGACGCTTTCCCATAAATATGCGTATCTACGCAGCAGTTAGCACCTGCGAAGCAGCAGCCACGAAACGAGAACACTGACTCTGATTCCTCCAGATCGCGTCCATCCAATCTCGACAAATCTGCTCAGAGTCGATCATTATGTTGACCTCCATGGAGTGGAACCACGACTGGGTGTCCTGATTGCCATTGCCCTGGATGCCCAAGTGACCGTCCACGATCATGAGCTTGATGTGGCAGCTGCGGGCCTTGAACTTGTTATGTATTGGCAGAACCTGATCCTTGGCGACGTAGTAGTAGACGTGCAGTCGCTGCTTCGCGTGAGCGTCAAGACTCCCGTAGAGCTTGTTGGCTACCATCTCATTGGTTCCGCCTTGGAATGGAAGAAGCTCGCCTGCGTCGTTGTAGCCAAGGCAGACGTAGTAGGTCACTCCGATTCCTCGCTCCAAGGCGTGTTGAAGGGCGGGGATGAGCGGTTCGGCGTTGAGATCGGGCGTTTGGATGAAGATAGATGAGGTTGCGTTACGAACTGCCGATAGCCAGGCCTCGTTTTGCGGTACGTTAACACATTGGTGGTTAAGCGCGCCCCACGGTCTTCGATTGACGAGTGCGATTGGAAACGGGGTATGGGGCTTATGGGGGACCATTGGAACCATCTCGTCCTCTGGTGCGCACTCGGGCGCAGTGCAATTTCGGGATATTTTTGTCGGCAGGTTGAGGTGCCTCGTCACAGCCTGCGTTCTGGTCTCTCCATTCATGGGCGTCAACGCGTGCTGTACCCGCCCAATCTCGGAGGCTAGGTCGGGGTCGTAATGCGGATCTCCAGCAACATGTAGTGGGAGCCGCTCTCCCTGGCCCTCTTCATGCAATGCAATTCCAGTAACAGAATCTTGCGGGCTGTTGCCATTAAGCATCATCGCTTGAAATGTTGGCTCCGTGAAAGTGTTCTCAGCGTTATTCGCTGCCGGCTTGGCCAGACAAGGAAGCGGAGGCTGCAGGTGTATATACCAAGCGATGAGGGCCGTATCGTAAAAAGAGTCTACGATTGGACCTTCTAACTGCGTCATCATCTCCAGATTGTCATTGTCTTGTATGTTGTTGCTCTGCACGATTGCAAGCCTCCTATCCACAACCATAAACTTGGAGTGAAATGTTCCTAGGGCAGGACGATGGTAGTTCTGGACCTCCAGGTCGATATTCGGTATGTCGGCTGGTGAAGGCAGCTTGACCGCATCGCTAGTGTACTGCGCCACTGACATAATTTGATGGTTATTGATGACCTGCTTGATGTTGCCGCGATCGTACATGACTTTAACCGTAACCTTGTTGCCTCGTTCGCCGGCTCTTCGGGAGAGCTCGACCAACGAGTCCGTGATCAGGCGCGATGCGTCGGAAGATATCCAGAAGTTCGTGGCCAGGAAGACTTCGTGCTCCGCACGAGCAATGAGATTGGACATGTGTCTGCAGATGTCTGGAAGTGGCGCCACAATGGTCACTGGAATGATGCCATTGCTTCCCATGAGACTTGGGCTCACGACTCCTGCCAGTGTATCGTGCTCGAGCGAGCAAAGGGCGTCATGGAAGCAGTGAAGAAATAATTCGCTTGGTTCCGCGCTTCCCCACTGCCCGCATTGACGCGCGCGTTCGAGGTCTTCTTTCGTAAGCTGCCTCCGCTCATGTGGGGGTTTGTGCTCCGTTATCGAAGGCGTTTCGCCGCCGTAGAGTCGCTCTGCGTGGTCGCCTGGCGATTGGGACGTGTCGTTTGCATACTCGCTGGTGACGCTTCTTTGATCCGTGCAGAGACCATAAATCCTGTCCGATATGTGTGATGCCATCGGTTTCCGCGGGATCAAATGGAGTTTATGAGACCTATACAGGAGGTAAGCAAAGGGAAGAGTGAGGGTGAGACCAACACTGGAGGGGAAAGTCAAATTCTTAGTTAGATATTCGATAAACCATCTGAAGGCTGCGGTTGGGCTCATCATGGTCGCGACGTCTTACGCGGCCTTTAGTTCGCGACGTCGCTTCGAGGGCATGTAGGCTCCGTCGGCTTCGTCTGCCCTATTCGCGCTTGCCCGGTCAGTGACGTAAGAAGGCCGCAATGGGATCGCTGAGTGGTTGTGCCTGGCTCAGAACCAGCTCCAGGCCCCCGTAGCTCCATCAAAAGCTTGATTTTGCTCGCAGAGGCTTGGTTGCAGCTGATCAAAGCTTGGTCTGGGTTGTGAATGGCTCGATTGGCGGCCTAAAAGCTTGATGTTGCCGTCTCAAAGCTTGTTTTGCGGGGTCACTAAATAATAGCCGCAGCTTATTCCCACCATTACCATTTCATTGGACAGTGTTGAGAGAATCAAGCCAGTTTAGCCTACCAGAAATCTGATGCCGTCATATTCCGTATTCTGCCCCACGACCCGTGTTCACGACAATGCCCAAACCCAAACCTTGCTCGCCAACTTCCAATAGCTCTTCGCATTACCACTCCACTCATCCTCATGTAACTCCGCGCTGAAATTGGTCCCATCCCACAGATCAAAGTGCGCATCTGGCGACCCTTCGGGCATTTCAAAATATACAACGCCCTTCGTCTTCCTGAGCTTCGCAATCTTGTTCGCATCCCAATCTTCACCGACCTTCTTCTCGACCGTAACCCCCGGCTGTGCCCAAACATGAAGAAGGTACTCTCTCATAGACTCAGGGTGTATGATGTAGTAGGCTTGTTGGATGTCGGACCAGAAAGTCTTGACTCCGGGGACGGAATTAGCATTCGAAGGAATTGGACAGCCGGTTTCGCGGAGGGCTTGAGAGAGACGCATGCATGATGTGTCTTGGTAGAGTCGAATGCCTTCCCACTCAGGCCTTATCGCTTGACGGACGTCTGATGAGTTCTTCTTCCCGTACGTCCAGTATTTGCTGACAAAGCTTGACCAATTCGGTCGAGCGCCGCGCACATCAACCCGTCCTGCCGTTTCTGGATCGAGGGTTGGCTCCTCTGGGCTGCCAGACTCTCCTGGCTCTTCCCCTGGATCGGTTCTGCTCGGCCTCTTTGGGGTCCTGTCGTCCGTCTCGATCGATACCTCACCTCCTTCGGCAGTCTTGACAGATAATTTCTTCGTACAAGATTTATCGTCTTTCAGGCCCTCGAGCAGCTTTTGGATTGCCCGGTCCTCGTGCACAGCCTTCGGTACGCTATTACCGCCGAATTGGCTAAGCGCTTCATTGGTAAGCTTTGCTGCGTCTTCCTTGGATATCAAACCTTTCTCCTTCGCACGCTCGATGGAGGCCATCTTCCGGTCCATGGTGTCCACTGCTTGCCTTTGTTGCGCCAGGGCAACAGCGCGCTCTCCAAAGCTCGTTGCTAGACCTGCGGCGGCCGTCATTGAGGATTGCACCAGCTCTTGGGTTTTTGCTAGACCAGTCATGTCCCTGAATGCTTCGCCATTCTGTACCGCCTCTAGCACGCCTGCAATTCCTTGGGCCTGGGGTACTGGACTAAAGTTGGTAAAGTTGATGATGGAACTGGGGAGCTCCGTGGGCTTGAGCTTGCTTGTGTCAACTTTAGACTCAGGTGCGAGTTCGCTCCAGCTTAGAGTCCCGAGATCAGGATCCTTGTCCGCCAACGCCCAGTCGTGGTTACCGTAGTGCTCCTCGAGCGCGACGCACTCGTCCATAAGAGTCTGAGCGTAGACTCCGTCCGTCGGCAGACTGATATGCATTGGTTCGGAAACTGTTGTGGGATGGTACAAATTGTATAGCTCTTCGGTGCTGGTGATGCTTCCGTCTGGAGTCCCCAAGAATATTCCAGGAGAGACCCGGTAGACGAGGCAATTACCCGCCACCGTAATCGGATCCCGCTCGACGATGTTAGCCAGGCTCACTTGCTGATCGTTGTACAACATTGTCATTGAGTCGAGGAGCATGAAGAGTTTGTCGCGATCCATGGTCCACCAAATAGCTTTATGGTAATATTCGAGGTTCGCGTTGAGATGGTCAACCAGATCCGTGACCGCCTCTTCGGAGTTGCCGTACTGGATACCAGGACCGTACACCTCTTCTGGGCACGATATAAATGCCGAGCTATAGGTCTCGCCTTGCGACCAGAGGGTAAGCAACGGCTGTTCAATCGAGCCGACGGACGTCCGTACTTCCGTAGCTAAAGACGACTTATATTCGAGGTCCACCGACTTGATCTCGGCTGTGGAGCCACTGGGGAGCGTCCAAGTCGCCCTCACAGAAAGCTCTTTCAGTCGGTTTCTTTCGGAGGCGGGAATTTCGGAGGTGATAGTGAAACTTGCCCACACAGTCCCGTCAGACTGGTACCGAGCCGCATTCGACCGCCACACCACCGAGTTGAACTTCTGGCCATTGTTGTCATAAAGCGCGAAATCGGACAACCATTTGGATGCCAAAAGTGGCGCGTAGTTTGCTTGGAACGTCATACTTCCTGCGCTATTGTGGGTCTTCGTCCAAATAGTTTGCGGGGATTCCGCGACCGGCAGGTGGGATTCTATAGACTTCCAATTTGCTGCGCAAAACTTTCCTTCCGAGTCGCCTGCCGGTTCTGCGATTACGAGCTTGATGCCCAGTGAACCCTGGAGCATTTGCAGTGAGTCAGTCGTGGTCGGCGGCTCTTGCCCATTTCCATGATAAAAGCACTGCTTGAGAGCTCCGAGTCCGACAAGGTACTGAGGTTTTAACAAGACAGCTCCCAGGGTGTCTTTCCATCGATATGCTCGCCGATCATTGAATGGCCGCATGGCAAATGGCACGAATAAACACTCGCGAGCCGAGGCGAAATCCACATCGATCCTCAGGTGGCGCAAGATGTTGTGGTATATGACGGTAATGCTGTGCGCATAATTGATGTTGCGGATGACTTCCGTGGAGCCTGTAGAAAGATCAGTGGTTGCATACAGCAGGGGCTGACTATAACGGCCGCATACCTTCCACATTCTCATCCTCCTGCACCTCCTCCACTACGGTCGTTTCGTATTGGCGAACCGCATCCCCTTGCCTTCGGATAGCTTCCCTCCACTTTGTATTCTCAGATGCAGTCGCGTCTCTTCGAGCATTTTGCTGGCTCTTAGCAGACGCCGATCCACGTACAGCGCCGCCGCCGAAGACGCAGCCGCCTAGAGCTCCCCCAAAGCCAGCGGCTTGAGCAGAAGCCTTCGCAGAAGAGCTCCCCGATAGCTGTTCTTTGAGAGTCGAGGCAACCACATCGCTGTACGAGGTGTTGTGGGTTGACACTTCAGAGCTTGTGTCGGCCAGTCGCTGTTGTTCGCTCCGTTGCGCCCTTTCCGATCTGGACCACGCTATCGTGTGGATGCCTGAAATCACAGTTAGACGCCTTCCTCTGGGAGATGCGATGCACTGAGACCCCGACCGACTAATGATCGCGGGTGCGTAAGCACTTACGTTTGGTTTGACGAGGGGCCAGCGTGAGAGTCCTGGCCACGCTTCCCAAGCTGTACCCATTGTTCCTCGTCCGAATGCGGAACTCGATGATATGTCCTCTGGCAACGGTACAAGCCTGATAGCGCATTCCTTCGCCTTCCCACTGAATTGGACGATGTTCGTCCAAAATGCCCCGCTCCGACCCAAGTGCTATCAATTTATCCATCTGTGCTTGCATACTTCCGGTGAGCATCTTCCCGTATCTCTCCACGAAGAAAGCGGGTTCTTGGAGAGCGCCAGTTGTGGCTACCGAAAGACCCGGCTGCTCCACTCGAAAGACGCTATATACTGAGGTTTCGGAAACGATGCGCTCCGGATTGGAGAAGGGCTTTCCGTACGAACCTGGGTCCTCGGTGTAGATCTCAGGATTGGCTGCGATCTCTGCTTCCGAACTGGCTGTAGGAACTCGTCTTTGGATAGCGCTGCTCGGCATCAAATCCGTCGTAGCCTCTCCCTCGTCCTTCCGTACACTTCGTAGGAGACGCGCTCGTTTCGGCAGAAACACGGCCCTTGGAGGAGGAACAGCACCTTCGTTAACCTCATCCACCACAACGCCGGCCAAATTAGTTTGCTCGGGGAACATAAGGATCCAGGCCCATATGGTGGGGCCGGGCGCGTCCTTTAGGGCAAGGGGCACTGAGAATCGGCCATCCACGGCAAGTGGGCATTCCTGCCAACAGAGGGACAAAAAACAGGCTGGTATTTCGGTCCCAACATCGGTGGAGAGCGTTGCGGGCCCGTCTTGTTGCCCGAAGAGGTCGTAGAAGCCCTTGCCTCTCCATTGCGTCGCGGCATCTGCAGCTTCAAGAGACTTTATAGCGGCAGTGAGAAGGCGTACGCCTGAGAAGTTAGAGTTCGCATTTATGCTACCCCCGTGTAGATCCACAAACACGACCTCTCGACTAACAGACGCCTCCATGATGATACGCCGCTCTGAATCTTGCTCCCGATGGAGGACTGGATCACCGATGCAAGGAAGAATCGAAGAATTTGGAGTGCTTTGTACGGCGGAGTCGGGGCTCGCTTGAGGCGCACTTGCCATAATCGCGAAGTTGGAACGAATTCGACACGAGCACTGATTTTCAGGCGACACAAGGAAAGTGCAACGAAACTGTTTAATATTGTAAGCATCGTGAGAATGTGATGACCGTGGCCCAATATCACGTCGCATTCCTCATGGTCTGACCTGGAGTGGTTCGATAAAGCTGGCATATTTACGATGATGGCCTCATGTTGTGTTACCCCCGCGTAAAGGCGATTGGACGCCACTCATGCGATGAGAATCACGTGTGCTACGATTTTCTACCCGCCATTTTGTATGACACGATATTTTAGTTGGTCAGGAGATGCGAATATCACGATCATACATTATATATCGCTTCATCTCTGGTATCCAATACACCTTCTCTCGATGACATCGCTACCTAGGTAATTCAGCCTCGCTGTGAAAACTTGTCATTATTCGGTTGGTTGAACCTCTATTTCATGTCTGCTGTATTTTGACTTAGGTCTAGGCGTGAACAACGATTTTTAGCATGCAACGGATACATGTCGAACGGCCCCAAGGGGAAACATCGTCCAATAAGAGCGTGAGGTTCCTTCAGTGCACAGTACCTGCAATCAGCGGAGACTTTCGACGAATAACCGTTAGATTGTGGGATTGGACCAGCGATATGGGCAACTTTCCCATCGTTCCCCCGACATTCGCCGAGGTCTGGGAATTGGCCCTTAGAAAAGACAGTCGTTATGATTGGAACCGACAGACGGTGGATATCAGTATCAGCCGTACGGGAAACAACGAGACAGCGGTGGCAGCTAGCGACATCCAATTGTATGGGGGCGACGAGCAGAATCGAATCACCTTCACCCTTCAGCCTTTGGGGGGCCCCATAACTCTCAATATGGAGTTCTCGATCATGCGGCCGGCTAGAGGTTGGCCTAGAAATACGGGCCATGTCATTGAAGTCTTGGGCGAGAGAGGATATCGGCGCTTACGGGTCGGAGGCGCCAAATCTAACCATGGCACCATCCAGCCACTGCAAATTCGGGAGGTTTCCGTGCTATATGGTTTTGAAGAAACCGTCGAATTCCATCATCCCAGTCATCCAAAGAGAATCGACTTCTTCACCGACCCCGACTTCCAAGCACCGCTCGCCGTCGCAGGCTGGACCGATATAGAAGTCGAAGTGGACCGGGTGCCAATCCAAGTCACCCCGGATCCCCAAGTAGGAGATAGATTGAGACTTGGTCAGCGCAACAGCATCCAGTGGGAGCAGGAACGGTTGGGACTGGTTTCACTGTTAGTTCGCTTCTCACTACCGAAGGAGGATGGCACGGAGGAAACGCTGCCGTTGTATTATCGGATCACCGAGCTTGAGGATGAACAATCGGGCCAGGGTGGACATGTTGACCCCCCCGAGGATAAATTGACGGAACTTGAGGACAGGGAGCGGCGTGTTGAATCGCGGGAGGTTTGTGTTCGTTTGGCGCTACTGAAGTTGAGGGATCTGAAGAGAGAGATGGAACATACGCTTGAATCTCTTGGTGATATTGTTTGAGATTAGTGCTCATGCGCATTCGCAATCATATTATATAGTCCACATTTTGAGTCTTGCTGAGCTGTACTTTGTGTTTCAGCGCCAGAGAAGATGTACCGAAATATGCGCACCAAGGTACCCAAAACACGCCACTTCATAGCCGATGGAATGAGGACCCCTGCGGATGTATCCTACTTTGTGATGTCGGATTTCTGGGTCCACACACCCAAGAGACGTAACAGAGATCATAAAGCGAGCGTGGTGGTTTGCTACTCTCATTTGAGGGAGGATCTCTTGAAAGATGATGGAGGCCTAGAGCTGGGTTTGTCTTATTTATGTCTCAACTGCGAACTTCCTATCTGGGATATGATTTTCGTGCGAGGGATAGCCTGTCTCAAGTTCAGGCGGGGCAGCGTACAGGATCTACGCGAGTCGACGATACAGGAGGTGTGGTAGATATTTTAGAGAACTTTTGCGAAACGTTCGTCTTCCCGCGTAAGGAAGGACCTCGCTTCCATGCATGCTGACAATAGTGTAGGGGTGAAATGTGTGGGTGCGACAGTATCGATGTTCTCCGTGCATACGTCAGCATGGGCACATGCTAGATCGTAACGGCCAATAATCGGCGCCTTGCGTTTTATAAACGACCGGTCAGTGGCCAGTACCCCTTGCCCCATTTCATCGCCACTGCACACCGCCCCACTCATCTACAATAACGTCGTTTCTTAGCTTACACCCAGCAGCTGAATCCATAATCAATCCAACCTTCACCCTTCGCTAACACTCAATACGGCATGCTCGCAAACACACGCATACCACTAATCAACGGTCGCTTCCCAATGGAGAAGTATATCTCGATACCTGGGCCGGCCGATCTGGGGAATAGTCCTAAGCCGAAGTATGGCTATGTCTAAAAACTCCGTTCAATCTCGAACGGACTCTCCGACGGCCATCTATTTACCCTCTAGCTCGCACGGACCGCCGCCCGGAAGAAGCATATGGCAGTTCCGCGTAGAATAGCACAAGGGACTAAGCTCTTATTTGAGTGGACCCACCTGCCGACTACAACATGGTATTCCGGGAAAGAAAAACGGGGCCAAATGCGTTTGGCGCCATCGTTCACTCCATACGGACAATGTAAAACGCCACAAATGTCAGACTGCTCAGCAACCGTTATATAAACCTTTAGCGTATTCCAGCACGAGGGATTACTGGGCAAACAGCGTTGGACATCACCCACTATCACTGGCTTTTTCCAGGTCTACTAATGGATCATTTTGAATGGTTTGAAACGACTTCAGCAGCATCCATCGAAACACAAGAACATGCCGACCCGAAGGAAAGACGAAAGCAGCAGAACAGAGTTGCTCAGAGGAAATATCGTAAGTGCTCCGAGCGGCTCTTCTGGTGAATGACTGACATGTATAGGACGCAAGATCGCACAACAAGCCAAACAGACCGAAAAGTTCGTGCAGCAGGCACATCTGGTACTGACCGAGATGGTCAAGAGCAAAAGGAGTGTGAATGGATGTTCGGAATGCAGCCACTGCCGGAATCGCGGCTTCAGTTCCGAACGCCCTACTCCTACCCCATCGAGCCTACCAGTCCTGCCTTCAGTCTCGGAATCCATACCGCACGGCACTGGAGTTTTGGACACGGAAGCTGCGGAGGGCTCCTCCAGTGCTTCACTACTTCACTTTGAGGAAGAAATATATGGGAGTGGGCCCAGCATTCCGAAGGGGGGATCACATGCATTAATTGCCTCAAGCACCAGCGAATCTTCTACTATGCCGTTCGCGTTTGACGATATTTTCGAACAATTCGCTCTCTCGCCGTCCTATCACCCGGAAATACCCACGCATTCGAGCGCGCAGGGCGCTACCACCGAATTACCTCACGATTGCGGCTTGCTCGAAACTGGTGCGCTGGACCTTGGCCTCGCGACAAGTGACACGGAGGCTAAAGCGGACATCATGAACGTATCCAAGCGCAGAAGCCACAATTCAAGTCAGACAGAAGCAGCGATGCACCTAGCTGCTCGCGAAGGCCGCAGCGCTATTCTCTCTATTCTGCTTCGCAACGGGGCTTCGGTTGACAGCCTTGACGCGGATGGGCGGACGCCACTGCACAATGCCGCCGAGAACGGGCACGCCGAGGCAGTGCACGTCCTCTTAGCAGCGGGCGCTGACCCCACTGCTGTGGATAATGAAGGATCGAGCGTCATCCTTACGGCTGTAAGAGGTGGAAGGGAAGATGTTGTGGAGATACTCTTGGGACTTCTGAAGGATTAATGACACCGGGTCCTGTTTCCATTGATTGCTATGCTAAGGGAATCATGAAGGAAAGCTCAAGTTTATCTTCACTTTTTCATTTCACACCCGCCGGAAGGCGCATGTCATCAGTCACGCGAGATGCCAATATAGAAAGAGTGACGGTGTTCAATTCTTTGATGCACAGCTCTACACAACCGCACTACCCACCCCATGACAGATACTAACTGTTTCCTACGGCCAAATTCCTCAAAAGGCGCTGATGCAAATGTAAACTTTAGTAGCCACCGCGGGACCTCTTCCAAGGGATTCCTCCACGTTCGGTGTCAGTGGTAGCATCCTCTCGCTTCCATGGAATACCTCCACGCTCGGTTTCAGTGCTTGCCTCCTCCCTCTTCCAGGGGATGCCACCGCGTTCAGTATCAGTGCTAGCTTCCTCTCGCTTCCACGGAATACCTCCACGTTCGGTCTCGGTGGTAGCTTCGCCCCTCTTCCAAGGGATGTCGCCTCGTTCGGTGTCTTCTGCGCGCTTATTTTCATGGCGTTTGTAGATGTCGCCTGGCTTCTTGGGGTCTGGCGTAGGGGCGGCAATGGTGACGGCCACCAGTGCAGCGAGGACGGGGAGGATGAAACGCATTTTGGTTGGTGGGAATTTCCGAAGAATGAATGATGAGGGATAATGTTTGGGTACTGTGCAGTAGAGGAGGATTGGCGTGATTGGTGATCTGCTTCCACGGCCTCTCGGAAGGGGGTTTACATAGCCATGGGCAGTGCAATACCTCTCGAGTGCGCTTTGTAGTCTCCCGTCATCAGTCACGAAGATGCGCACATCTCGCTTCCACGTGACTGAGTAATGTGCGAGGTGATGTTCGCGCGAACTTGCATCAGCTCTGCTCAGCTCATCATGCCATAAGCCATTTCGGTGCACGGGGCTCCGTGATCATGGTGATCACCGTCATTTCGCGCCGCCCTTTTGGTTACCAGTAGTAGTGCCATGAAATAGGCATGTGGAGCGAAACAATAGGGCCCTCGGTTTGGTTCAGTTTACTCCCAAAGGCGCAACTCCGCTAGGTCCAGCACATCAACGAAAAACAGGGAAACACTCAGGCCCAAGCTATTGTTTTGGTCTCGACATGAGTGGGCTAGAGGAGTCCCAGCCTTTCCTACGGGATTCCCAAGGTGCGCTGGAGCACAAGTCGACGTTCCGGCATCGCATCGTCATTCCCGTCTTGAGTTCAAGGAAGCAGTGGCTGAAGAAGCTGTCGCCCGTATCATCACACTTCGCGATTTTCCTCGCAACGTCTTTTATATGGGCATTCATTATCCTTTTCTTCATTCAAATTCCGCCAAAGCCTTCCGAATCATCGCCCAACCCCGCAACTCCACGCCATCCAGATACTGGCTTCCTCGCAGCAGAGGTGGACTACTTGACTTGCGGACATTCAGCCGAAGAAGCGAAAACTAAGGGATGCGAGTACGATATCCTCAGCAATCACTGGATCCCCAGACAGTGCAATGACGAATATTCCATCGAGGAATATCAGGCAGACGGATCGTGGTTCCCCTATGCCGATGAGAATCGAACCATCCCTTTGACCAGAGCGGAACTGGGCGATCGTGAGTTCTATTACACGTCCATGAGGGACCATATCGTGCACTGCGCCGTACTTTGGAGGAGGCAATATCGCGCGTGGGCCGAGGGTTGGAAGTTCTTGGATGATATTATCGCGGGAGAGGAGCACACGATGCATTGCTCAAAGTTTTTGATTGACATGACGGACAAAGGGCAGGATTTCCGGAATATTCCGATTCGCGTCTTTCCAGGTAAGGCTGGGTGTCACGTTCGGGGTGTGTAACTTTCCAGGATTCTTGGTCTATGTATTTCTCCATTGGATTCTGTAAATACGTCCCGATGTTGAATCACAGAAGTCGGTGATGGCGACTTAATGCGGCATTGCGACGTTATAGATGATGCAAATATTCTTACCCACAGACAATTTACAGTCTGAAAATCAGATATTCCTTTTCACGGCCAGTTTACAGTCCAAAAATAAATTACGCTACTCGCAGCCACTGTCGAAGAAGCCTTGTGATATCCTCCCAAAACCTCTTGGTGGCCTGCAATTCCCAAAACTCTGCAAAATTGTGAGGAACGCCCTTGTAAATCTCCAAATCAACCTGAACACCTGAGCTCTCCAAATTTCGAGCATAGGCGATACCTTCATCTCGAAGTGCGTCCTGGCCGGCCACAAAGATCAAGTGGCGCGGGAGATTGGTCAAGTCTCCAAGCAATGGTGAAGCTTTCGGCTCAGCGCTAGATGCAGGAGACGGATGCACTGTGTTCCAGACCCACATCATAGCACGGGAGCTCAGAAACGTGTCCGCAGCTTGCGCGTATGAAGTAAACGCATCTTGTGTTGGGAAATGCCGGTAGTCGCAGAGGACGGGAACGTTGAGAATAACGCCAGATATCGGAATGCCCTTGTCACGACAAGTTTGCGAAAGTGAGGCGCTGATTTCTGCACCAGCAGAGGAGCCGGCCAGGATGATGTTATGGGTGTGTAACTTAATATCCAGCGTAGTGAAGATAGGCTCGTTCCCCGATAGCAACTTCTGAAGCACATCCCACGAATCATCGATCCAGGTAGGATACTGATGTTCTGGAGCTAGGCGATAGTTGACGCTGACGATAGCGAGATCGAAATGATTGTATAGAGGCCACAGGAGCCACGCTTCCTCGGAGGTATGGCTGCCTTGGATCCAACCTCCGCCGTGGGTGACAAACAGGACCGGTAATGGTTTTGGCCCCCTGGTACGAAGGCGAGCAGTATCGGGATATGAAATCTTGACACTTAGTTCGGTTCCATCACGAGTTGTGACCGTTGCAAGACGTGCCACGTAGCCGATAGAGTCGAGAGGATGCTTTTCTGTCCATTGCGTATGGTCGGTGGCTTGGTGGGCTCTCGCCGCCTCAACGTCGAGTTCCATTGGTTCGATAGTTTCCAAGGGGGCTGGCTCAGCCCCTGTCGGAAGTGGGTAACCATGCTTGGAGGCGAACGCTTCCCAATCAGGATCAGAGCTGAAATAGTCATTAGCCATTGCCACCTTTGGCGTTATTCGGACGAAGCGCGAGGCTAGTGGTCTCGAGAAACGAGTTGCGAGATGAGGCTGTGAATTCGCGGGATGACGCCCGCTGCAGTGAGATCGACCAGCTGACTGCGAGAAAATCTTTTGCAATAATGCCTTAAGCGGGGGTGCCATAAGCAGTAAATAATAGCGCGTGCTAAGAGTTACCGCGGCGTCGAAATATGTCATCACTGCTGATGCATATCACCGCGATGACGAGTATGCGCGATTGCTCACCGTAATCGTTTTGGTCTCCTAGATTCGGTGGACCACCTAAGCTGGAACTTGGTTCAGTGTACCTACCTGTACTCTGCCTGGGATTTCTCGACGACTTTCACATGAAACATCTCCTTTAGATACTCTACCTGACTACTTTACGGAAGACTTACACACCCAAACTACGTCTCACCAATCCCTCCTTCCGGACGATGGCTTTCCGCTCCTCAACCCTCGAAAAGCTCATAAAACCACTCAAAGCTCTCAAATCCGGCTCCGGCAAATATGAGGTCGTTCAAGATTCCGATGGCGACTCGTACTCCGAGGACCCCGAGAAGAGAGGCCTGATCGAGGAAACAGTTCGCACTCCCCAAGCGAGAAGCAAGCTAGGGCTGCCTTGGTACATCATGACACTTGTACTTGGCGGGCTCGCTGCATTTTTCTTTGCGCAGAATGTAAAACTTAGGAGATATGGAAGCTTTCAAACGGGTTACAGCAGCGAAATGGGTAGAGTTTCCCTTGAATGGCGGTTGTTTGGCGCGCAATGACTGATCAAGCTCATTCCAGTACTCGCTACTCCCGCCATCAGAGTATCGGAGATGCGCTTTACGGGCGGCATTAAGTTCCACGATAACGGCACCATGTTTCGTGACCCGGGACCGGGCAAGCAATATGTTGGACGGCCATCTACGGATATTGATGCCGCATGGGACGACTTGATTGGAACGCGGTATTTGGCATTCACAGACGACCAGAAGTCATCCTTCCAGGTCGACATGGACCGCGATGATGAAGACGGCCTGTATCGCGCTGGACCCGATGTCCTGCACTCTCTGCACTGCGTCAATAAGCTCCGGCAAACGATCGATGGCTACTTGTATAAGATACCTGATCAGGTGGATGAGACGTTCAACAACGTGATTCATGTTGAACACTGCCTCGACTTCCTGCGTCAGCTGGTGCAGTGCACGTCGGACTTGACGCCGATTCCGCTAGTGTATTCAAAGGGTGCAGGTTTCGTCATTCCGGACTTTGAGCAGGTGCATACTTGTCGCAGCTTTGACCCAATTCGGGAGTGGGCTCTGAAGCAGAATGAGAACGCGTTGAAGGCGGTTGGTGCTTCGCCTGGGAATTCGCGGGCGCCTTGATGAGCTGGAGACATGGAGTCTTTCTGAACTGGGCATGGGGCGGTCTCTCCTGTAATACTAGTGATATCACGAATTGAGCTTGACTTCGAAATGATATCGGTCTCCCGCTACTAGCCCTTTGTGCGATTGTGATTAGGTTTCCTGTTATTTCATGGAACATAACCTAGTGCCCGAGATGTAAGCACTGTTTTCGCATTTCAGTGCAGCCTCGAGATCACCAGTGTATCTTGTGGTGTAATGCAGAGTGTATTAAAGCAGATGGGATACACTTCTTAGGCAAACAATAGAGTTGCAATGAGATTGTTTCCATTGTGCTTTTGCAGTATCACTGAGCCTATGTTGATGCGAGTAGTTATTAACAGGACAACTGGTCATGAGGAAAACTCCATGCAGTCCAATTAAGAACAAGGCAAGATGCGCGCCTCTAAGCACAAGATGCATATAAGTCATTAAAAGGTCATTGTGGTTACATCTAGAGATGCAAGGAACAGATGTATATTCAATGCGTGAGAATTCCCCACTGGCATACATCTTTGACACTCATGCTATGTCCTCCCAGTCTTCAACTTCTCCGCATTCTCCTCCCAAACCGCCTCATCCAAAGCATCGCGCCCCTTTGCCCACCTCTGAACGGCACTAAAATCGCGACATGTGTGCTCGATCTGAAATATGGGAAGCGCGCTACCATTAGGTTTCAAAGTTGTGTAGGTCTCGGGTATGGGCGTCAGGTCCGCGGTGCACATAATGCTTTGGCGCAGAGAATCAATGCAGTGCTCTGTAGTGGTCCAATTAGAAGATCTCGCGGGCGGCTGTCGGAGGGAACTTACCTAGGTGAGGCCAGAATACATCACTGATTTCCTCAGGGTAGTAGTCGATGTATATCGCGCGACGCAGCTTGTCCTAGAGAGGTGTCATCAGCGGGATTTTAGACACAAGACGAGGGACTTACTAGGCAATGCAAATCATGGAATACAGTCGGCCTTGTCATTGTCAAAATTGCGCTTACACTTGTGTCGGCTTCCTACTCACACTGCTTGATTCAACCCGACAAAGGGATCGGTGTACAATGGCTCATCGTGCGGTAAGTTGGTAAAGGTGCCGCGGTGTTCGATGTTCTCACGCACTTCTTTCTCCGTCAGGAAGATATCGGTAGCTGAGCAGGCGTGTCAGATTAGCGGTGTTGTATCCAAGCATGAAATATCACATACTCGATATCAGCTTCTCCCACGCATTGGTAATTTCGGGCGTGGGAGTTCCCGCATAGTCAGTAATCCCGGGCTCTTTCTCGCGATAGAGTTGCTTGGTATTGTTGAAACGCAGCCCTCCTGTGAATCTCACACGCTTGAGCGTTGCCGGAACTTCTCGTCTTGCAACCTCTACTTAACCGTTAGAAGTCAGTATGAGGATGGAATTGAAGCTGGACATACCGAGCTCAAGTTCTGTCCAATACCCGATCGAAGGGCCGCCAATTGCGCCGTCTATGCGCAAGCCCAGGAGAACATTCCCTATGAGCAGCACAACACAGAGTACCCACGGGACTACCAATGCTAGGTTCAGTCGCCTCCTCACTCGTATGTATTTTGTAGAGCCGTTTAATTTCTCAAAGTCTTTTAGGAAAGGTGTTTCGGAGTCGTGGGAAGATTCGGAGCTACTTCGAGAGCTCTTCTCCATTGTGGGAAGGCAAAGACGTTGAGAAGCGGTATATGCAATGCGGCTTTCTGTAGCAGAGATTGCACGTAGTATTGGTGATGCAATTCTTGCTCGCCTAGGTTCGAGACAGGATTAGAAGCCCATTGACACGTGCTTGCTGACGGGGGAAGGCCTCATCACGTGCATTTCCTCCGATGCCGTGAGCAGATGATGTGAGCAATCCCAGGACGCGGATACTTGTGGTGAGCAATTTTGGTGAGGTGATATCAATTACTCGCAAGATCAGCACAGCCTAGGGATGATAACGTATTCGTGTGCTGAACTCAATTTTCGGGGTCGATCAATCCACGCTTCGGTGTAAGATTCTTGCTGCTTTCACAACGAACGACGCCCATTTCTGTGATACAGAGACTCAACGCTCACTCAGTGAATTATTCATCCAATCTTGCACCATGTTTGCCTTCTGGAAATTCTGGCAACGCTCTCCACAATACAGCCCTGTCAAATGCTTGCCCTACAGCGATCCTGACGACAAACGAATATCGGAACGAAGCTCAGAGGAGAGGGAGCCATTGCATGAGCAATCATGCCACTGCGGCCAGCCCAGAGACCAAACATCTCAAACCCAAAAGAAGGTCATCATCGGCCTCGGCATACTTTCAATACTGCTCGCTGCCACCACAATTGCACTAGCGATTTCCAATTCCTCCGGCCGAAGACCTCAAAAATGGTCGAGCGAGGGTTGGACCATCGAAGCCAACGTATCTTCCGCGAGCAAAACAAACGACAAGCCCCATCTCTGCGGCAACTCCTCCAAGCAGGCTCGAGCCCTCGGCTGCAAATGGGACCAGTTATCCTGGGCATGGCTTCCCCCAAACTGCCCATCCTACGCGAACGATCTATTCATGAGCGCGGAGGAGGACCCGTGGGTGTACTACGAAGATATCGAACAAACACGCGTCGTTAGCGAAGAAGCTTGGGAGCAGGTGCTTGACGGCGAGCTGCGAGTGTTCGGGGAGCGAAGGGAGCATCTGAGTCACTGCGTCTATCTGCTGCTGAGTATTTCGCAGATCGTACGGGATGGGACACCGTTTACGGAGAAGTTGACGAACTATGAGCATTCGGAGCACTGCGCGAATGTGCTGTTGGAACAGCTGAGGAAGTCGCCGGATTGGAGTGAGCTGCAGACCTTTGCTGGTACGGCATCTTTCGACCAGTACTGCGATGACTCGCGGGTTGTACCTAGATCTGGATCAGACATTTGTTAGACGTTCTTTGCTTGAAGCTAAGCTCGTTTGCTTTCATCACGAGCAGCCGTCTAGGAAACGGTCGACCTAGAAGTGATGATGACGCAATGAACTGGTTCTCGCCAAACACGCCCAAATTATGATATCCTTCCGGTACGCCCTACCTTAATCTTATCCCAATTTTTATACACGCGCTGCTTCGACGCCATTGTGCTGCGTCAAGCGCTGCTGCTCTCCCGTCTAATGTTGTCTCCTCTTTGTCCTCACTACCTTTCTCAAACAGCCGTTAGTTACTCGGCCATACTTCCCGCCCGTTTTGAGTTCGGCGGGAGTTTCTCCTCCGGTGGTTGGATGCCGCTCCTGCGAAAAAGCACTATCAGTGCGGAGCTGCCTTAAGCTCAGGTTTTGGTGACCGTGACTACTTCCTGCTTTGTTTATATATTAACATTGACATCTAATATATTTGTTTAGACTTCTGCCTTCGCACTTTATTCAGGACGAACGCTATTATTCAGAGAGAAAAAGCAATAGCGCGTCCTCGAAAGAGAGTTGTCGGAATCGAATGAGGTGCGCAAATCTCATCATGGGCCGGCAGATCTCATCACAAGATAACTTCACCCCAGACTAGTGAAGCACATACCCGTATAAGATCCAAGCGTTTTCACGCTAGGCGCACGGGCCACGCACTAAGCCTTATACGCGCAGTACGCGGGTGAGATTTAGTTGTCACCGAATCCTAACCACCCCCAGCCCCGCGTTTTATAGCACGAAAAAAGGCCTTACTTCTTCAGCCCACCGAGACATGCTCTGAGCTTCGAAGCAGTTCAACCGTCGAGCATCAGACAAACCTGAGAAGCCCGTAGCAAACCCAATCCTCAATCGCAGCTCTTCGCCATGCCACCCTCGCGGCGTAGAGGCAGACCGCGATCACGTATGTCAACCCCCCTCTCACGCACCAGCTCCTCCGCCACACAGCCCAACGGCACCAACAAACTGCTTTCCCTCCACGCTCTCAGCAAGCGCTACCCAAACCTGCAGCAGCCGCTCAAGCGCACGCACTGGGAGGGCTGCCGATGCGCTGGCACCTGCACGCCGACAACCTGCACCTGCCTCCAGGACGGCGCGCCCTGCCGCCAATCCTGCAAATGTGGACCCAGCTGCGAGCACCAGTTCCCGCCATGCACGTGCAAAACGAATGGCGGTGCTTGTGGCGAGAAGTGTCCGTGTTATCTGGCGCATCACCAGTGCTCGACGGCGTGTGCGTGCCCTGACGACAAGTGCGATGATGAAAATAACTTGCCCGAAGTTGAGGTCAAGGACTCGCAGATTCCGAGTGCGGGACTAGGACTGTTTGCCAAGCAGGACATTGAGAAGAGGCGGTTGATAGGATGGCTGGAGGGGCAGGTGGAGCCGCATCCGAAGGAGCCGGATTTCGATTGCTTTGACATTGCGAAAGGTAAAGTTTGACTTTTAGCTTCGAATAATAGTCCGAGCAACAAACACGGAAGTAGGCTGCGCTGACATGGGAATAGATCATTCGTTGCGCTGCTCCAAAGAAGGCGCGTATTTCACCAACGAGATGCTGTTCAAGGAAGCAAATGCAGAGTTCCGGTACATGGAGGGTAAGCGGCGAAGAGAGATTGTGATCAGAGCGAAGAGGGATATCAAGGCTGGCGAGGAGATAACCTCGCAGTATACGGACAGGAAACAGTAAGCAATCTCTGCCATTCGTCGTTCAGGACAGCGTGGGATTGATGCCTCGCAGACCTCCGTGCTTTCCGCCTGAAGACTTCCAGACTGGCTCATACGTGCTGGTCAAAGGCGAAGGCGAAGACGATCCTTGGGTCGCACAAATAGTGTCCATGGGAGCCGGGAAGAAAAAGATGACTGTGCAATGGCTTCTTCGAAAGCAGGATCTGGGCATTATCCCCCCGCCCTTGCGAAAGAGCATCCGGTTGGACAAGGGAGAGCTCATCATGACTGAGGGCTGGAGGGATATTTTGGACTGGGAGACCATGATTAGGGTTATCTACGTACGGGAAGAGCGGCCGGAGGACGATGAGTTGGGTAGCAATGTGTGGTGGTGGACGAGGTGCTATGATGCGAAGAAAAAGAAGCTGAAGTAGGAGGACGAGACGTGCGACAGAACCGAAAAGTATCTCGGAAGAAGGATCGAAGGGGAGAACGGGAGAGCGTTATGGTGATGAGGGTTCCAAGTGTGCGGCCCGAAAAAAAGGTGATAGCTGCGAAAGAGTGTCCGAGGTATTGTGCTAGTCCCTATCCATCGCAGCGAGAGCCTGTCTGACGCCGAATGCCTCTAGCTCGACGAGCGTCTCGTCCCAAAGGCGTTGCATCGTCTGCCTACCTTCCGCAGTGTACAGCATCTCGTGGAATCTACAATGTCAGCGCTGCTGCAATCAGCGACGGAACGCATTGGCACACTCACGGATAGATGTCCCAATTCGCAAGAAAAGAGCCATGCGTTTCCTTCCCCTTAATCACTGCAGCATCAACATACGTCCAGGCGCCCTGTTCAGCACTCCGGCCCAGAACAGCATGCAGCGCGCCAAGGAATATCTTCGCGACACCAGACGCTTCCCTCGCAAAGCCCGTAGTACCGCTGAATCCAGGGTCAACGGTATTCACGATGACTTGCTCAGCGCTGACAAGCTGACTGAGCCTCAGCACCAGCATGAACACCAGCGTTTTCGACACGCTGTAGCGCTCCGATGACGCGGCAATGCCCTTCCATTCCTTATCGAACGACGGGAGCAGCGGTACGGCATCTCGACTAGGAAACTTCGCGTTCAGACCCATCGCAGATCCCACAATCGTGAGCCGCCCGGGGCCGTCTCGCGGGGCTCTGGGCTTGAGGAGCGGGAGGAGCAGTATGGCTAGCAGCGTGGTGGACAGGTAGTTCACCTGTATCACCTCTTCGTGGCCAGTAGATGGACAGACGGCGAATTCCAATTTGTTGATGCCCGCGTTCAGAATAACGATATCGAGGCGAGGGAGGGTAGCGCATCGTTGGGTGAAAGCTTGAACAGACTCGTACGACAGCATGTCCAGCTCCCACACGTCGATCTTAGTGTGAGGATGCGCGTTCCGCAGGGGAGCAGCGGCCTGCTCCCCTCTCTCGACCGATCGCACGGCAAGAACGAGATGGGAGAGGCGAAGGGTGGGCAGAATGCCGGCGCATGCGAGACCGAAGCCGCTGCTGCCGCCGGTGATGATGGCTGTCTTGCCGTCTAGGGGAGGTACTGGTGTTGATGGTCGGTCTTTCGTGCACGCCATTATTTTCATGCGCTTTAACTCGGAGCGCCTGGGCTGGAGGGTGATGGACGACATGTTGAGGCAATGGCGAGGATGCGCACAGAGAGGAGTGCAGGGAGTCTTGGAGTTCTATTGTAGTGTGGTGGGGCGTTTTGTAGGTGAGAGGAGCCATACGGACGAATTGGTCCTCGATCTGCTGGACAAGATCATGCAAGGCCTGAGTTTGTGGATAAGAATCACGGACGAGGTGGCGTTGCGTAGATGGGTGTGCTAGTGGAGGACCTTTCCGAAAAGGGTTTGCATTCTGGCCTGGTCCGTGCACTGAGCGTTAACCCTTGTCCTAACCCTAGCCCTAACCTCTGAGATTCATGCGTGATTTGCTCTTCCCTTGCTACGCACGAGCGCGTCATCGGCGAATGCCCAGCACCGTCTCCCCGACGAAAGTGTTACTTCCGCAGCTTAATGCCGCGCCGTTCTTATCTATGCACAGCTTTATGCGGGTTTTCTTGACCGCTCGAACCACCCCTGCATACTGACCAATCACAAATCGTCTACGTAGCTCCCCTCGCAAACCATGATATAAGAGCTTACTCTCCGCCGAAACCAGAAAGCAATCTGGCCGCTGTGCACTACTTCGTCTAAATATGTCAGCCACCTTCGAGTTTGTTCCCGCCGGCAGGTCCGGAAGACCAAAACCAGCCGATCGAGCGCGCATACGAAGCCGATGCATGCAGGGCAGGAACAAGCGAGAGGACTCCCGTCGCTCACTAAGAGAAGCCAGGCGATTCGATGCTTCGAGTGCGAACTATTCATCCTCCGCGTCCCGAATGCCGCCGCCTCCTCCAAGGGACCTGGCGCTCGTCCAGCTCGTTGCCAATGTTGGACCACCCTCCCAGGATACCCTGTTCAAGAGTGAGCATGCTAATGCTTTCTGTGCATCTCCTGTTGCAGAACTGAATTTTCGTAGTCTTTACCTGCAATGTGCTCAACCAGGCCATGTCTCCTCTCGAGCCCTGCGTTGACTACAACTATGTGGAGACCGCCTGCTTCCACTGGCTCTTCGAGGACGTCGCGTTCCTGCATGCGCTCCTCTTCATTGGTTCGATGATGGACGATCTTGTCTCTCACAAGCAGCCGCAGCCTGGGAGGAAAACATACGCCCATTTACGCCAGACCATAGCTGCGCTCAACACAGCCTTGTGCGCAAAAGACGCCCATCTCAAGGACTCCACCCTGTATGTCGTGATTGCGCTCACTAGCTTAGCGGTGGCATCTAGGGACCTGCGTGCCGCTGCTGCGCATATGGATGGCCTCCGTAAGATCGTACAGCTGAGGGGTGGGCTGGAGTACCTTGCGCAGCGACCAAAGCTGCACTTCAAGCTCGACCGGTAAGATTGTGCTTCATCCGGCTCCAGCACTGACTGACGTTCCATCAAGCATCGATCTCGCGTGGACTCTTAGTTCTGGCGAGAAGCCACGCTTTCTACCAAGATCAACCTCGCGCGGTCCACTCTTCATGACGGCAGAGCGCGTCCCCATGCCGCGTACCGTACAATCGATTGACGGACTGGTAGACGCCAGGCTGGGAATCGTCTACGAAGACCTCCAGCGTCTGACCTTTGGCCTAAACGAAAGCGCCCAAAAACATGAGCGATGGAATGTTGGCGCCTTCCAGAACGTTATCACCTGCATACAATCCCAACTTCTTCGGCTCGAGGACAACCTCAAAGATAGCCCGTCCGAATGCTTACGGCTCGCTATGCTCGCATTTCTCACCACATTGTTCAAGATTCCCGGGAGGAATACCCCGTACACATATCTAGCAAAACGGCTTCGAAGCTTGTATCCGACGGTATTCGAAGGGACTCTATCGAATGGTGCCTCGAGCCTGCACTTTTGGTTCATAATGGTGGGTACCATTACTGTTGTGGACCCTGACGAGGAGTGGCTGGTGCAGATGTTTACCGCAGTCCATGCGTCGCCACTGTCCTGGGAAGAAGCTAAGAAACGACTGCTAAGCGTCATGTGGATAGAGTGTATCCATGATGCTCCCGCGAAAAGAATGTTCGAGCAGCTCACAGCCCGGGCGCAGAAGTACCACTAAGAAGCAACGGCAGTCCAACCAAAACCCGCCAATGAAGGGGACCGTGTCATTCTCCGCTAAATGTATCCACACTATGCCACCTCTTCTCATCCTTATACCGCGGCAGGCCAAGCATGTGAAACTTCCAGCACATATCATCCGCCGTCCACTCCCTCCACTTCTCGCTCCTTGGCTCCGGCAATCTCAGCCATTCAGCTCTCCACTTCTGCTGCTGTTCCTCCGCCTCCTTCCGCTCAGCCACACGCTTCTTATTCCCTTGGCCTCTACATCGGCCCCGTTTACACTTCCCTCCGCACATTGTGCACCACCAGTTCCCACCGTTTCCATGATATGCACCCGAGCTGTGTTTCCACCCATATCCCGCGAATCGCGTTGGCAAACAGAGATGGCTGGTATCGAGCTGTTTCGTATTGTAATTATCGTTGGTGAGCATGCTATCTTGTGGTACTCCAGGGCTCACATGGTGCCAGAACCAATGCTCGTAGTCAAACCGCAGGGTTGGGGTCAAAAAGTCAATAAGGTAGTCGGACTCTTGTAGCATGATCTCGTCACACTCCTCGTCGTCTGCGCCGCTGATTCGAGTTGCGATTCCTGCGTCTGCGCATCGCTTCTGGAGCTTCTGGCCTGAAGGTGTCGAAGACCGGGAGCGCGGGATGCGGAACTCGACGTCCGAACGGGCCATGCGCTTGAATGCCCATTGCTCTGACTCTGAGGGCAATTGTGCAGGGGTGCGAGGCTCGATTTTCGCGATGAAGAAGTCCAGGATTTGCGCGTCGAATGCGTTCGCGGAGCCGACGAGGAAGCGATGGCGTGGGGACGCGCCCCCGCCGGCTTGTGGCAATGGTTGACTTACGTGCGAGGCGATGAAACTGAATATCTCTGCTGGGTGTTTCGGTGGGGGGACGGTTCGGATGTAGGCGACACGAAGGGACGTTGGCGTGGGTTCTGTCATGGCGCCGCGATTCTCGGGAGATAGGGGAATTGGAGACCTCGAGATGGAGGACGATGCGGGAACCGGCGAGCATATGTGTGAGTGGAAGAGTCATATGGTTGCCCGATCTAGCTTTCGATATGCTGACTGATGATTGGCAGTGGCGTACTGACCTAATGTGGAATAGTTCAAATGAATACGATCGTGAGGCTGAGCCACACCCCGCAGCTTACCTGGTGCCTATTCACGAGCCCTCACGCTTTCGACTACCTCCACGCAGCATTTAAAACGGCATAAATCTTTCCGGGAAGTATCGAGTGAGGTGCAGAAGTGTCATAGTCCTTACTCGGCAAATGGCACCCCGAAAATCGTCTCATCCAATTAAAACTGCAAAGAGACGGTCTCGAGGCGTCGTTTCCTTCCCTCTATAGGCCCCTACTTCCTTGCCCTTCTAGTGCTTAATCCTCGAGATGGAGGAAATTCTCAGAGAAGCACACAGCCGGCGTCGCCATAGGGAGTTCGCCTTGACGCGTTACCAAAACTGTATGTCGCGGTTCCTATCCTCGGACGCTACCGGCTAATCCGCAAAGTCTACTGTTACAAGTATTCGCCAGCGCGAAGGCGGAAACAATGGCCTCCTACTTCGAAAGATCTGAGCTCCACAGATTTTGTGCGCAGGCCAGATGCAGTCCCGAACCTACGGAGCATTGGTGCCGTTCTAGACGAGTCGCATGATGTCACTAACACTGCGCCCTCGTTCTGTAGCGAACTGCGCAATATAGCGCAACTCGCTGCTGGGAGAGACGTTATCTATCACCCTCTGCACAATGGAGATACCATCAGAATTATGGAGCTTCATCGAGGTCGGTTCGACGACCCACTGTCTTGCTCCTTTCATTACGCAAGCTTGCGAAATCTACACCTGGAGTACGACGCTCTTTCATACGTCTGGGCTGAGAGGACCCCATTTTGGGTCTCCGACAGCTACCGCCACGGTTTCACAGCTTCCATGGAGTGTAATGGCCATTCAACTGCCATTGGTGCCAACCTAGAAAACGCGCTGCGACACATTCGATCCCCATCAAGTCCTCTATTCTTATGGGCGGATGCAATTTGTATCAACCAAGATGATGTCCTAGAGCGAGGACATCAAGTCGGCCTCATGGGGTCCATCTATCGTAATGCCAAGAAGGTGGTCTTCTGGATCGACGAAAACGATGCGCCTGGTATCTGGGACGAAGAAGTCGGGGAGATCAAGCAGGAACCAAGAGTTACTGAAGATGTAAGGGCCCAGCGTGCCTTTGGCGCGATTTGCGACATTGTGAATCGATGGAAGGCTATTGGGCCGGCCGGGGAAGTCGCGAAGTATACCGTTCGCTTGCCATTTCCGCCTTCGTCCGAATTAGAGTTTAGCTCTTTCGAAGAGTATCCTTGGGTGGCCCAAAAATTCGAAGACGAAAGGCTCTTGCGTAAGATTCTGGAAACCGTCTACCATCCGCGGCGTCGGTTTCAGCTTCCCCTGGACTCCGACGGAGACAAGGACGCTCCGCCGCCCGATCATGGTATCGACACATCACCGGAAGAAGCTTCGAATTCGCAACTCTGGCTCTCAATTGCCGACGTGTTCCATCGTTCATGGTTCTGGCGAGTATGGGTCATCCAGGAGGCCGTGCTCGCCAAGGACGCAGTGGTCAAATGGGGAAACGTTGAAATCGACTGGCGATGGGTGGGTCTTTCTGCTGCAATCATTCGTTCCAATTATCATGGCATATGCGAGGCGATGCAGATGGGTGGCGTGTACAACGCGTATCTTATCTTTCGCATGTCACGCTTGAGCGATCTTCCTCCACTGCAGGTGACGTTTCCGCACCTGCTGAAACTGACTCGACAGTTCGAAACTACGGATCCACGGGACCGCGTCTATGGGCTTCTTGGAATGAAGTCCGGTGGCAATGAACCTGATAGCGGTCGTCTTTTTATCACTCCAGATTATACCATATCTGCAGGTGAGCTCTGGGTAAGACTGGCCCGCCAGGTGATCCAAAGCTCACAGAATCTGTCGATTCTTTCAAGCGTTCAATCCACATACGGCGGAGCCCAAAGCGAAGACGCCACAAGAGACCCCCCTGACGATTCTGATGATGAGGGAAGCGGAAGGCTACCCTCTTGGGTTCCCAACTGGCAATTCGTCTATCGAACCTCGTTAACCGCGTGGGATGCCGATGATTCTTTCACGGCTGCAAAAATGCTCCCACTCCAGCTGACCGCACAGCCTGAGTCGGCACCTCGAATCCTCGGCGTGCAAGGCATCAAGATTGGTACAGTGGGATGCGTGCACGAGCACTTATGGCACGACGAAGACACAATACCTTTGGCCTGGGAGCATCTTGGACCTTTTTTTGCATCCGAAGCAGGTTTCCGTCTCCTTGCGAGGACATATACTGCAGGCCGCAATGCATATGGCTCTCTGACTGCGCCAACCGACGAGCATGCGATGTGTGATTTTGCCGCCTACATCCGTTCACTATACGAGAAAGACGCGCGTCTTGACGATGAAGGGCGCGAACACTACAGCTGGCTCCGTATTACTGGACGCTATGGTGCGTTGCAGGCGTGGGCGAGCTTACCGTCGTTGTTTAAAATGCATCCCGGGTTGAAAGAAAGGCTCGAAAATTGGGGGAGGCGGGGCGATGCGAACCGTTTTGCCGAGACTGCATACGCTGTTTGTAAACGTAGGAGGTTATTTTTGACGGTGAATGGCTTTCTGGGGATAGGGCCGGATACGGTGCAAGAAGGCGACTTGGTGACTGTCCTCTCTGGGGGCGACGTCCCATTTCTCCTGCGACCGATCGCACATACCGATTACTCCGACGTTTCGGCGCTTGAATGCCTCTCAACAGATGCACCACTTATACAGGGATACCTTCTCGTGGGAGAATGCTTCGTGGAAGGCTTAATGCAAGGCGAAGCAGTACAGGCATTGGACCGAGACCTACCGTTCACAGGACCTATACCCACCGGGCTGGTCGCTCAGAAGATTCTGACCTTCGTGAACTTACCGGTCGACGATTTCAATGATGCTTCGTGGGATGAGAGCGAGTGGACCGAAGCAAAGAAGAAGGAAGGACCCAAAAGACACATCTTCACTGTAGAAATACTGGAACACCATAAGTCAGCACGACTTAGGAAAGAGTCTTTTGCCATATGGTAGATGAATGGATTAGAGGGATGTGGAGACAAGGGGTTTCCGGGGTCGATAACGGCTGCAATCTATCGTCATGTGGGGCACATTTTCAAAAAACCTGGGCATGCAGGTACCACGACACTTCAACCGCATATTGATTGCCTCCGTCGCACAAGCACTGAAGCGCCTAGAACACACTCAAATGTGCGCTTCATATCGAAATGAATTGCATGGCTGCCTAGGGAGGCATTTCGCGCGCCTATCATTTGCCACTTCTGGAGCCCAATCTGTCCGCGCATCAGATAAAAGCCACCGATCGCCGCCATCCGCACTCGAGGGCTCCTCAACCAAAGCAAGTCACCATGCTCCGAACCTCTCTCCTCGCGCTCGCCTTCGGGGCGTGCGCCTCAGCGCACTGCACCATGAAGCAGCTCTTGGAAACAGTCGATTCGTACCTCGCGGCGCAAACCAGCGGCCAGATCTCCGCCTTCACCTCGCGCTTCGACAACTCCACCTGGCTCGGCTACTACGAAAACTCCGTCAAGATGCCAGTCAACACCGGTATCCTCAACAAACCCCTGACGATCACGCACAACCGCTCCATCTACGACATGACCGGCTGCGCGACCTACACCGAAGTCGTGGTGAACAGCACAACGGATCCTTATGTTATCGGCACGCAATTGCATATCGCGAACCATAATATTAACAAGGTCGACTCGCTGGTCACCAAGCCGGGCGACTGGCTGTTCAACGTCACGGGCACCGCGTATTGGACCGCGCAAGAGAACTGGGACCCCATTCCCGAAGCGAAACGCGATTCGCGCGAGATGATCAAGAAGGCCGCAGATGCATACTGCGATCTATTCAACAACCCGAATGTAACGGTTCCCTGGGGGACACCCTGCGTGCGTCTCGAAGGCGGGCTATACGGCGATCCGGGACCGAATGGGAGCTGCAATGTTGGCGTCCCGTCTGGTGTTCCGCTCACGAATCGCCGCTATGTGATTGATGAGAGCATGGGCTCGGTCGATGTTATGCTGGACTTTGGGAACAGCAAGTGGCCCGATAGCCATCAGTTTAGGGTCGAGAATGGGAGGATTAGGTATGTGCATACGCTGACGCACTGTGGGGTGGCGAATTGTGGGTTGGTAAATGGAATGATGGCGGCGAGAAGGTGGCCGGTGAGGCCGTGCTTGCATTGAGATAGTTACGGGGATGGAGTATTGAGGCGCGGCATGGGGCGGCAGGTTAGAGGCGGTTGGTACGGGGCGTTGAGTCTAGTATATGTGTTGCTTCGTGAAAGACTGGCTACGAGTGGCGTCGAGTTGCGTCCTTAGCGTCCCGTTCTCTATTTCGAGATCTTCAACTTGCCTCTTCAAGTTCTTTATCTGTTTCTATAGTACCTTGGCATCTGCATGACTGTCAAACTGTGTCCTCAAGGTCTTTTTATACTTCCAGAGATCCCCAATCTCCTCTCTCATTTTATCCTTTTCTCCCTGTTCCCTACCTAAGCCCTGCGTAGCCAACATCAGGATCTCATACTCGTGCTTCGCATCTTGTAGCTCTTCCTTTCGCCCTTCGCTTTCCTCTCGCGATTTCTTCAACCCGCCCTGAGCGCCTCGCTCTTCGATCAACCTCTTCAATTTCTGGCCCTGTCTCCGTCCTTGCAACCTCAACCCCAGCCTCGACCGGCGAAATCTCCGCAGGATATGCTCCCGGCATCCGTGCCATCTCTTCCTCCACACAGGCTGAAGCAGATAAGTCCCAGCCACCCCCAGCTCGCGCCTGCGCATCTTGGAGCTGGATCCGCAACGCCGCGATTTCACTCTGGAGCTCCTCATTCCTCTTCAAAACACGCTCCACCCCGCGGTTCGCATCCTCTCGGCCTGCAGCACGCGGCGTTGGAGGCGGGATGGCTGGGCTTCCAGAGTCGAATCTGCCTGGGCCGAGGCGAGGCGTTGGCGGGATCTCGCTGGCTTGCGTGGAGTCCCCGTCAACGTCGGCAAGCGACCAGATCTGAGTGGTGAGATTGGTGAGGCTGCGCGAGATGTTGTCGCGGATGCGGAGGAAGTCTGCGTCGGGGTTTGGCATTGCGCTGGGGTTTGAGCGGTGGGTTGGGTGCAGGGATGAGATGAGGGGTTATCTTGGAGAAGGTTGGAAGATACTGCTTGGTGAGTTATGGTGGAAAGTGGCAGTTAGGAGGGAAGCGGATGAATGAATGAGGACTCATCCGATGTCTCGATAGAGAAGGAGTATTCTTTATCTTCGAAGCAAAACAAAGAGCCCCAGCCCAACCGCAGCCCGTCCAAAAATACAAGCCCAATCTAGTCAAACAAAGAACCCCCTCTAATCTCCAAACTCAAAGAAACCCCTACCCCGTCAAAACTTACTCACATCCACCGCAACCACACTCCTCCACCCGGGCTGCTCCATCATCGACCAAAGCCCCACGCCCTTCTCATAGCTCAAATCCTCGGGTACCTTCGGAAACGTGTCCGCCGTCGTCTTCTTACCGCCCTTCCACGAGTAGCTAATCAAGCTGCCGCCGCTCTGCGTAAGGAAGAACTTTCCATCGATTGTCGCCGCGCCCTGGATCTTCGTGTTCCCGTGCGACACGGCCTGCGAGGCGGTCGCGAGGCCGTTGGAGGTTTTGAGCAGGCGCGTCGTGTAGTCCACGTCCCAGCGCACGAGGCGGCAGTCGGTGCGCGTGGCGTGGTATTCGCCGATGAGGAGCGAGTCGGGAGTTGTGGTGCGGTCGAGTGAGATGAAGGAGAAGCGCATGTTTGTGAGGCCGGATTTGGGCTGCCATGTATAGGTGCGGACTTGCGGGAGGATGTATCTTTGCACACGCGGTTAGCTTCCTGACATCCCAATGATGGTGTGGCGGGGTGGGGTGGGGATGCTTACTTGTATCCATATGCGGCGTACTTCCCGCCAGACTGCCGCCCAATCTTGTCCTTGATACTTGCATCGACCTTGTAGAGATGGTTGAGATCGAATACGCGGAGTCCGCCCGTGGTGTCGACCACGTAGACTAAGTTACCATACCACGCCACTCCGCCGGCATGCAGACCCTTGATGGCCTCGAAGTTGTCCTCACCCTTTGGCTGCACGAGCAAGACATGTCTGTACTTCCTCGCGCTCGCACTGCCCTGCTTCACGAAACTCACTCTCGCCCCTCTCTTCCCGTCCTCGTAATGATCCGAGTGCCACGTCACAAGCTGCACTCTGTGCCCCTCATACGTTCCACTTTGATATGCATCTGCGGACGTGGTGATGCCCTGCGGATACCACTTCTCGGTATTCTGGTCGTCGAAGTCGGAGGAGTCTTCCCAGCCGTATGCGGAAGAGGCGACAAGGTGCTTGACGCTGGGGCTTTTGGGGGGGTTGACGTGGTTAAGATCCTCGATTATGTCGCTTACTTTAACGTTCGGGAGCGCGGCGTCGAGGTTGGCGATGGCGGAGGAGTAGGCGCCTTGCTTTAGGGCGTAGTCGGAGAGAGTGAGGTTTTTCCATGCTGCGAGGGTGGGATGCGAGAGCGCTAGGATGGCGACGAGCGAATACGCCGCTTTTGATGTTGGCTTCATGTTTGCCGATAGAAAGGACAGACTGGAGTCGGTACTCTCTTCCTTACATCCGGCTGCACTTACATATGTACTTGTCCTCTCATCCCTTCCCGTCAGCTGAACCCTCAAATTTTCACCACGACGCTGATCCTGTGATGCTCATCCCATCATTTAGGAAGCCCGTTTCACATCGCGATGCAATACGCGCACATCGGAGATTTGATGATCGTGTATGCAAGGGCCATGCCGCAAATGCGATGAATGCGGGAGGCAGCCACGTTGTGGGGAAGCCGAGAGAGGCTAAGCGTGTTTCTATTTATAGGGCGATCGCCCTACAGCTGAGGATCCTGTACGACTGTCGATCGTGAGTGTTCTAGAAAATGACAGTGGAACGGAACGGCACGGATGGGTGCGGGATGGCGAAATTTGGGGCGAACGTGGACGAAACTCGTGCGCAGGTCACTGTTTGAATACGATGGACCCGAAGCAAGGGGAGGAACTTGCTGCATTAGAAGAGAGTCTGAACGAGCGTTCACGAAGGGAATGCGCAAATATCTAGCAGTAACACATCCGCTTTCGACTCCACCGGCTGCCCACTCTCGATCGACGAAAGTATGAGAACGCAAAGTAGACGCAACTTAAGCCTTGGAAGGCGGCTAGAAAACGACAGTTGGGTCGCCGGGGAGTTGGCCGAGCCCTGTGCAAGATTAGTCAATACAAGTTCGAGCGAGACGGACCGTAGGAAGCCAACTTACATCCTTCGAAGGGCTCCTGAACGGCCTGCTTCTTCTGGCAGTTCATCGCCTGCTGGGCGGTCTGCGTCTTCAGCGCAGCGCAGTTGTTCAGGTTGCACCTTGCATCGAGGGCCTTCTGGAGCGCGCCGTCCTCCCAGCCGAACAAGTAGTCACCGTGCTGGCCGTAGCCAGTGCTATCGTGAGTCAGTTGCCGTGCCGCAGGGCTTACGAGTACAGGATTTTGCTTACCCGTCACCCATGGAGTAAACGAATGGCTGCGTGCCATCGGCTGGCCAGTCGTTGGCGAAGGGAGTAGTGTCCCACATAACCTCGTACATAAGCTGGGGCAGCTTCACTGGGTGAGTCGATGGGCAAGGGCCGCCAGATTCGAAGGATCCCGAGCTAGGGTATGCGACGTGCTCCTTGTGGTTCGGGCTGTCGACGTTCTTGCCGTCCCAGCATCTGTTCCACTGTCAGTACGCGGTATCAAACATGATAGGATGGGGAGTAGAGAGCGTACGTCGGGAAGGTAACAGTCGCGCGGATACCGCCTCCGCACTTGCCCTTGGGCAGCGCGGCCGTATCAGAACCAGTGCACGGAGCGCCGCCGAACGGGTTTTGCTGCTTATTGGGGGAGCAACGATGGCAGATACCTTTTTGCATGCCGGTTCCGGAACGGAGACCAGCATCACCCGCGAGCATGCGGAAGCCCTAGTCATAAGGTTAGATATATTAACCGGCGCATCGTATCTGTTCTCGACTTACCTTCGGGAAGGCGGTCACCTTTGTCTTTCCATCGTAAGGCGGGATGTAGTAGACGGTGACACCCTCGCGACCTGAGAGGCCCAAGTTGACCATCTGCGGCACGCGCTTGTAGGTGCCGTTCTTGGCGCGGAAGTACAAGTTTGCGGTCCAGTAGTTGGAGAACTAAAGCGTGGCATTGCCGTTAGTATATGCGATGAGATGGGAAGTATGTCGGGACTCCAAGATCCGCTTGATCCTCGCAGTGTTGGTTCAGAAATACCATCCAAGCTCGGATGGAATCTCAGAACGACAGCCTCGGATCGAAGCGAATATGCTGCGTGCACCATGAGCATACGTACATCTTGAGAGTAGTCGCATGTCGTGCAAGTGGCCGCCTTAGACGGGTCGTAGTCAATGGGTTTCATGGTGACGTTGAAAGCGTTGCCGCCAACGATCTGGTGCATATGGGTCGAAGGAGCGATGCCGGGCTGGACCAAAGGGTCGATGCGGTCGATAACGAGCTGAGAGCACTGGAAACGCATCATAGCGGCGCCGCCCTGGCGTTTCGCCATGAGGCCGTGGGCCGGACCTGCCTGAGCATCCTGCGCCGCGAGGGCAAGCGTGAGGGCAAGAGACTTCCAGTACATGATGGACGAGCTGAGACCTTGTTTCCAGACTCAGAAGCGAAAGCGTACGAAAGAACGACTTGGAGACGAAGGGGAGCAGAGGAACGGGACCATAGCGGCGACTTGGCATCTTTTTGTATGCGCCGCCCGCCAATGCCGATATTTCCAGAGTTTGATAGAAAAGAAGCGTGGTATATACAAGCTCCCCGCATTCTGTGTGGAGACAACCCGTCTGGCGATATTTGCAGTGCATTGTCGCCTATCGGAGAATGGAGGATCAACTGCCGTAGATTAAGCCTTAATTGTTCATCTGCGTCGTGGTCTCGACGAATCAGAGCGCGGCATTCTGTTTCACAGGGTGAAATGCCGGACATGGGTATTCCGGAAATCTGCCGAATCAGAGGACGATCTTAACTGGCTTGGTGGCGAAAGGAGAGTGCGCAATATAGGTATAGAAAAGGACGAGCGGATTTGGAATATCTCGGCACTGCGGATGGCGACGGGCTTGGTCGAGCCCAATATCCTTAGGAATGACGTCTGGACGCAGATGGCTCATCTCTGGAAAGGCGAATGGAAGCACAAGAGAAAGCTCTCGAAGGCATTCGGCTCTCGGGTACCGGACATGGCAGCAGAGCAATGTTGGCATATCCTCCATCGACTCGCCGGTCGGGCAGAAAATAACCTGGTTCTGGTGGTAGACCACTCGCCCGTAGCAAGCTCTCGAAAGCGGGCATGGATATGGTGTATTCGACGTTGGGGACGCGCTTTCGAAAGATTTCAGTGAGGAAGTTGGTGGCTTGACTGAAGTTGGTGATCCAATGCCGCAATGGTGGCTGGCCCGCGGCGCTTAGACCAGGTGCCCCAAACAGAAATGGGAGCCGTCAAGGAAGAGCGTAACGCAGTTGGTGCCCCGAGGCTCAAGAATGCGCGCGCTCCAGATATTCCTCAGTCGGCCGAGGAAAGCGTCGGCTGCTACGAATCATGTAGGAATCCCCTGGTCCCCGCACAGCGCGTCCATATAGTCCATTCTATCCCACTGCTCAGCCTCCACTTGTAGATTCGCATAGTACTTCTCTCCAGAGGCCCACACATGATCAGGGTCAGCATTCTTGCCCCTCACACCGCGGTCCCAACTTGTATCGATGATGTCTAGCTCGGCCCGCGGCGCCCATTTGGCTTGGTAGTCGCGGTGGCGCTGGTTCTTGCGGGTGAAGAAGCGCCTATCTCGCGACGGGGAGTCGCTGAGGGGCATTTTGGTGTGGGCGGGTGGCGGCTGCGGGGGATTGGTTGGGTGGCGGGCAGCAGTTTGTTCGCTCGTGCGTAGGATGCCACATGGTGGTGGTGCTGACTTGTTGGGGTTTGTGTTGAAGGTGGCTGATTTGCGCAGGACGTCGATATCCGCGTCTGTGCGGACGAAGACATCGGGGTGGAATGACACTCCCTCAATGCTGCGGCGCTTGCGCTTTGGTGGAGCTTGGGCGACAGTGCCTGTTAGGGACTGTTCGGGACTATAGGCGCCAGGGATTATGCCGCGAGATAGCTTCTTTGCTAAATCGGCAGCTTCTTCCTCTTCCTCTTCCTCGTCTTCATTGTCTTCTGTATCTCGCTTGCGCTTCAGGACGCTCTCATTGACGAGGCCTCTCGCGCGGCTATAGATCGCTGCGCCATCTTGCACAGTACTCAGGAGTCCGCTGCTCACTGCGTGCTCATACATCTGCAAGGCCCGCTTTGCACTGGGACCTAGCCACTCCCCGTTGTTTTTCGCCCACTTCGCCTCCTGCGTAGCCAAACCCTCCAACTTTGCCAGCACATTCGCCATCTTTATTCTCGACTGTCGCCAGCCCTCAACCTCTCTATCCAGATGTTTATTCTTTGTCCTATCCCAGCCGTAGGTAGCTTGCTCAAAGTCAGTTCGCGGCTTCCGCGCTTCTGAGCCCTTGCGCTCCTTTTTGTAGGGTTTGATGGCTTTGCGCCACTGGTACCACCCGCCGTGGCTGATGATCGTGGATGCATGAGTAGAAAGCGACGTTATGTGCGCCTCGATGACGCAAATCGGGCAATGTTCTAGGCCGGGGATAGAGAGGTGTGTAGGGTGGAATATGTGGCCGCATTTGTAGGTCGGGGATTGAGGCCTAGCCCCATCCTGGGCCTCTATAACCCGTGATAGTCGTGGGGAGGGGTCTCTCGAGGGCTGATGGAGACTGAGCGGTGGAGGCGGCGTCTCAGGAGCAGACTGTGAGGAGGCAGACCATTCGAGAGATGGAGAGGGTGACGACAAAGAGGAGCCACCTGCGCATGTTGAGGACGAGCGTCGGGTAGCCGGATAGGAAGGCGCAGCAGGTTGGCTGGGAGTTGTTTTCCCTGCCCCACGAGCACGAGGCTTCGTCGAGGAGGACACACGAATAGGAGTCTGTGAGCTGGTTGCATCCGACGACGCGTTCTTCGCCTTAGGACGGGCTGACCGGCGGGGCTCCGCGACAGCCTTATCCACCCGGGCACTAGACGATGCCGATTGGGCGGGAGAAAGATGGAGACGCGGCGACCGACGAAGAGATGGAGTAGTCTTGGAAGGGTTTTGCGAGCCAGTCGACGTTGGACCAGCATTGGAAGCGGATCTCGAGCCACCGGCGCGGACCGGAGGCATAAACACTGAAGTAGTCGTAGCGTGGGTAGTCGGCGTACGCGGCATGCGCATTCGGGGCATATTGTGCAAGGCGCTAGCAGCGAGACGCGAGACGGTGGAGCTGCCGGAGCTGGAGGAGGCCTGGGAGCAGCCGTTGGGTGCAATTGGAAGCATTTTCGAATAGGGTTAGCGGACGTGTTTAATGTGGGATAAGTAGTTGAGAGAATAAGGTGGTGTGCGACTTGGTGTTGTGGAATGCAAGGGGTCGCGGTGTTCGGAGTGGGTGTTTGGAGGTGGAGGAAGCCTTGAGCTGACGCCGAAGGAAGGGCATCGGAGGAATATCGGAAGGGAAACGAATGCTATGACGCAGAAAGTAAAGACTTAGAGATAAGGACTCGAGAGAAAGCAGACTGTTGCTGGGACATTGGTCCTGCGTTGAAACCAAGTGAACGTTAGAAAATTGAGAAGGTTCATCTCCCCGGCGCACGTTAACCATTCAACACTACAACAGTCAGGCTCTTACACGCACTCCCAGCTCTCTATCTCCTTCGGATCGCCCTCTCCCTTATACATGTTCCTCTTCGGATACTTACAATGCGCTCTCTTATAATCCACCCCAGCACTCTGAGTATCATTTACCCACCGAGTGCCCACAATGGTCTCTGGCGCAACATCGCTCTCCACCCAATTCACCATCGCCATAAGCACGTTCTCGCTCGGGTCCACACTCTCTACTGAGGTCCTACCCTGCCCAATAACGTGCGCGCCGTCCCCGCCGGTGCAATGCCCTGTCCCGCTGATGCGGAAGAAGCGGTAGAAAGAGTCAAGTTCTGCCGGGCTGAGACCCATGGTAGCAGAGACGTGCTCGTAGTATCGAGGCGAGTTCTCAGAGCTGATGATGCCGTCCATTTGCCCGTGGTAGTGGAGGATCTTCGTGCCGCGAGCTTGCACGGCGCTGAGGTCTCCTTTCCATGTTTCAATATTGAAGGGGTTGACGCGCGCTGCGGTGGCGTAGTCGCTTGTGTTGATCTTTGTAGGATCCCAGGAAAGGTCGTTATAAATGGCGTAGCGGAACCAGTCGGTTGTATACGGGAAGGGCTGACCGGAGTAGAGGAGAAAGGAGGCTACGATCTCGGAGCCGGGCTGCATTCGTGGGTATATTAGGGAGCCGTCTTGTGCGAGAAGAGGGGAGAAAATCTTCTGGACTGTGTCCGCTTGGGTTGGAGTCAGGCAAGCTGTTGAGTTTGCTCCGTTGCCGCAGATCAGGCCCGAAGAAGTGTAATTGCAAAGCGAAGCAGCCTCGATGATCCCGTCCGCGTACCCATCGATGGTATCACATTGCTTCATGATATCCTCGTGTATGACGGTCCACATGCTTTGCGGGACGAAAGTAGAGGAGTTGGCGGAACCCGTGATCGGATAGAAATGCCCACTCCAGGAAGTGAGGTTGTTGAACGCGAAAGCTGGTGCGCCCGCCACGATACCATCGAAATCCTCCGGGAAGTCTTGCGCGGACTTGAAACCTTGACGCCCGCCGGTAGAACAGCCTAGGTAGTAGGACTTATTGTGCGCTTCTCCATAGAATGTTTCGGTTATCTGTTTGCCAACTACGACGCCGGTGTGGACACTTCCATCGTTAGCATTTGCTCCTCGGGGCTAACTTGAGAAACCTTACGAGCGATACGCAAAATCTTCCACGACCTCAGGACTATTATAGAAAGCACCGCCGCTCGTCCCATTATGGCCGTTATTCGCTCCCACGCTCGCAAAACCCAAGCTCGTAGTATACGCCATGTCATTGTAGCCAATGCACCCGGCGAGACCTCCATTCCCTGTACTCAAGAACCTTCCAGTCCAGTTTGCCGGTAACCAAGCTTCCATGTTGATCCCCGAACTATTCGAGGTTGCGACATACAGCGCGACGCGGCATATGTCCGAAGGGACGACCTGCGATGGTGCGCCACATGTTACATTGTAGTCTGGTATGCTGAGATTCGTGCCAGCGCTCACGAATTGCGAGAAGTAGACGGTTGCATTGTCGATTTGTAGCGTTGAGGCAATGGAGTCGCAGCTGGTTTGGAAATCATCGGCCGCATCTCTCCGGGCCCGCTCGCCGCCGTATGCCCAGGAGCCACAGGCGCTGAGAAGCATGAAACAAAGCCATTGGATAATCGCCATCTTGGATGCTGAAGACATGAAAGCCGATGTTGCGTAAAGTCGAGAAATGTCTGTCTTTTAAACTCCGAATAGTTCATAAGCCACTCCATGGCCCCCGCAGCCGAGGCTGTGACGTGCAGTACCTGCATTTCGGTGGAAACCGCATTGGGGAAGTGAAACGAAGTTTTCATATCGAATCAGGAGAAAACCAGGACTAGCTGGGTCCGACGCGGTCGTTTGGAAGATCGTCCGGGGAAACCGCGGTGCGAGGTATGATTAGGGCTCGCCTTTCGCAGGGGCTCCCCCGCCTCGCGGCTAGAGGATCGGCATTTCGTCTCGAAGAAAGCACGAACGCAGGAAAAGAGGTTACCCGCCTAGCTTCCAGTGTTAGACGAGCATGGAGGCTGTGATGGGAGTGTGGGTCGGATTGAAGCTGAGAGTCGTGAGGAGGGGAAGCGAACACGAGGTGGACAATCACTTGGCCGTTTGGCAAGGTTGTTCCCCTGGTTTGGGAGCGCGGTGGCTGAGGGCGCGGGGAGAGACGGTGGGTGTGAAGGTCGATGAGGGGGTGATAGTAATTGTTGACTGATTGTTGCGTGCAGGCTGGAGTCGTGTCCGCATGTTTCCGACGGTGCAGCGTGCGGTGACGAGGATTAATTCTGCGTTGTTCTTTGGGGAAGATGTCGGTAGGTTTTTGGTGAGCGTGAGTTATTGGACCTGATTATACTGAGAATGGCGTAGCTTTTGATGAGGCGTTTACGACGCATGGGTTGAACTTCATCTCGCAGGTGGCGCTTGTGCCTGAAGCGGTTCGACTGGTGCCTTCTTTCCTGCGGCCGTAAGTTTCAGTCCAGTGCATACATCCATCCACACCGCACATGCATGCCTTGGTACTGTGCTAACGGCGGCTCAGCCTAGTAACCAAGCTCATCAAAGGCCGGAACGCGGATCAGAAGTTCGTCTTCAGCATCATGACGCAGATGATCGAGCAGCGTTTAGCGTATAATACCTCGACGCCGGAGTCTTCCCGTCGAAATCCAGTACGTGCATCTCATCTCTTCCAGCTAGCATCAGCGAGTACCTCCACTGACGCTCCCCACCCCAGCAGACCTTCACAGAAGGCTACATCGACCACCACCCCTCCGATCACACCACCGCCAACATCCTCAACTCCATCAACACAACCTGGGTCACCTCCTCGCTCGCCATCCCCATCCTAACCTGCCACCTCCTGCAAGACCTCTACACGCACGCCGCGCATCTCCCCGCCCTCACCTAAGAAGCAGACTCTGTCCCCCTCGACGACACCGCCGAGATCGCCGCGCAGCTCGACAAGCTCCCCCTGCTCGAAGCATTCGCCATGGAGTCGATGCGCACGAAATGCTTCCAGGCGAACACGTGCCACCGCGTGGCGGTGAAGCCGTTCGAGTTCTCAGACGGGCACACAGCGCGCGTTGGCGATGCCGTGGAGTTTAATCAGCACGCAGTGCTGAGCGATGCGGTGACGTATCCTAATCCGAAGGAATTCGATCCGGGGCGCTTTCTAAACAAGGGGAGGAGTGTTGTTGATACTGGGATTGGGTGGCCGTTCTGGGGCGTGCCGAGGATGCTGTGGTGAGTGGAGAGACTGTTTAGTGCTGGCGAAGGGAAGCTGATTCTGAATTCGTAGCCCGGGTAGGTGGCAGGTTGCGAATGTGACGAAGCTGGTGGCGGTGTATTTGCTGGCGAATTTTGAGTGCAGGGTGGAGGATACGAGGGGGATGAATTTTGAGTGGAGGGATGCGCTTGTGCCGAATGCGAAGACAGTGCTGTTGATGCAGGCTAGGCAGAAGGAGTAAAGCAGACGGTGCTGGGTTGGTCGGTTGGATGGAGGCACACATGTGAGCTTGCAAATGATAGTTTGATCGTGCGTGGTATCTCATTCATCGTAAGATTGTTCCGGTTCTGGAGAATGAAGCTTGAGGTCCTCCACTACCCAGATCAGTCTTCGTCTAGCCCTTCCACGACCATGTCCAATACCACCCTAACACCTTCTACGTTCAAAGCCGTATTCTCCTCCGTCGCTATTGACACCGCGCACGCAACTGCGTTCTTGATCTGCCTTCCATTGAGCTGCAGGGCGGCCAGTTCCTTAATTGCCTTATCCGCAATCTCCACCTTCGCGGCGTTGGAAGGGACACTGGCAAGGCAATTCCGCCAAATGGCCTCGCGAGACTCTGGCGAGAGGTCCGGATAGTGTAGCTTGAAGTGTATCCGGCTATCGAACGCGGCGTCGATGGTGTGCTTCCGGTTCGTGGTCATGATGAGGACGCCTTGGAAGTACTCGAGCCGCCGCAGGAATATGCTGACTAGAGCATTCCTCTCCAGACTGACAGTATCGCGCTGTTGTAGGAAGACGTCTACCTCGTCTATCAGCAGTACGCATCCCCACCGTCTCGTAACGTCCAGCACCATGCCCAGCTTCTTCTCCACGTCATCGACGCTCGTGCCAAGCTCACCTGCGCTGAGCATATATAGCGGACGCTTCGTAACCTCGGCGATGACCTCTGCCGTGAGGGTCTTGCCGACTCCTGGGTTACCATTTAGTAGGCCCACTAGCCCCTGCCTTTCCCGCTTACAACGTCATCGAATGTGTCCTGTCCGTTCCAGTGGGACTTGACTAATGAGTGGACGAGATTACGCCTCCTAGGATCAATGACGAGCTTGGAGAAGGCGTCCGTGTTCCACGTGACAGGGCCCATGCGACTGATGGCGAAACAACCCCATCGTTTCTGGCTGAAGCTGAAGCCGGCAACATGGTTGTTGCAGAAGAGGAGTTCGCTGTCGGTTATTGACGGAGTGTGGACTTCGGTCTCAACGGCGGGTTTGAGGAGGTCGGTGAAGTCGTTCTGTTGGAGGAATGTTGGTGGATCGAGCATTATGCGTCCGGACGCCTACGGGGTGATCAGTTGCATGACCCGCGGAGGGCTAGTGTTATGCTTACATGGATGAGCACTTGCTTGTACTCGCCTTCGATGACGACCTCGCGGTTTTCCGTAATTGCGGCTCCAGTGTACTCCAAGTAGGTGGGCTGAAGCAACTCAACATACCTTCTTCCACGCTGAATCAGCTTCGTGCGAATATCATCTTGGTCTGGGTGATGGCTGAGCGGGAAGCACTTCAGATGATGCACCTTCTTCGCACCCTCGAACTGGTCAATCTGCATACTTGTTTCTTGTATCCATCCGAATTTCTCGCCGTCATGGGAGATATGTCGCACGTTGAGCGAGAAATACCGCGAGCCGTTCGCCCGCGCGCCGTATTCACCCGTCTGCAGCTTCAGCACTTGGTCTTCGCGTAGAAGATTGTGTTTGGTAAAGATCTCTGTGTTCGGAGGGAAGAGCGTCCAGAGGAGGTTGAAGGTGATCTCGTAGTGAGACGATAGTGAGGCGAGAGTCTCTAGGGTCGAGTCGTAGTCTTCTGCGATGTACTGGAGGGCCACATTGAGGTCGTCTATAACAGCCTTGTTGGTATGCGCTTTTCCTTGTTCGGCTTTCAGTCGCTCCTCGAGACCGATGCGGGCATGAAAAAGCAGCTCAGGGCTTGCGACAGGCGGCGATTCATTCAGCTTCAAGCCTTCAACGCCCTCAAAGATCTCCTGAAGCGCATCCTTGAGCAAGTCGGACTTGATATCGATTTCGGTATCTGTTGGAAAGCCCTTATCGCAGATGATGCGGCGAACTTTGAGAACGACATGGGAGCTGGAACCGTGGATTTCGCGATCGGCTTGGACCTTGGGAGTAGGGACGAAGTACGTCTGTCGCTTCTTCTTGCTGTATCTATTTCCCTGTCAGATGAAGGGTGGCTGAAGGGAGTAGAGTGAAACTCACAGCTGATCAAGCCTCTGGATGCGTTCCTTTTCTTGATTCTCGCTCCTCTTCTTGCCCTTGCCCTTGCCTGTCGACTTCTTCCGTTCATCTCACCATGGGCCTTCTGGCTATTGACCTCTCCGTTCACGGCCACACCATTTTCAAGGTCGGCAGCCATATTGGATCTGATCGGGCCAGGTAGCTGGAGGATCGGCCGCGCGTCGAATACGCTAGTGGAAAAGAACGTCAAATTTTGAACAAAAAAATTGTTGCACTGCTCTGCATTTTAAGTACCTCAGTGTTCGCTGATGAGTCATGCGGGATGCACTCAGCTTGCGCAGTCCTGCGTTTCGAATGCATCGCAAACTCAGGTCCGATGGCGGTAACAAGAAGAAGCCTGTGATTCGCTCATGATAGACACCATCAGATGGCGATGCAAGAGGGAGTCTGCTCGGGCCAGGAACGCGCCAATGCTGTGTGGCAGTGTTGGCTGTGGGGAGCTGAGGGGGGCTGAAACGCCGCGTTTTTGTTCTCAGCCTCATCGGACGCACGAGGGGCTACGCTGCGCCCTTGTTTACACACGGCCGTGGGAGAGTCACTGGTGTTGATAATAGGTTGGTTGAAGCATTGATTGTCCAGTCTGAGTGGGAGGAGAGGCGAGGCTTATAGAGTCCTACTGCGAAGCCTTGCCAAGCATGAATGTACAAGTCACGTGATAGAAATCACTATAGAAATTAACAACTGGCAATTCTTAAGGGCCAAATTAGGCATTGTTGGCATCTTCGGAGATGCTGGGTGGAAACAAGACCAGCGCGGGGGAAAGGCGAGGGTAGGGGCTAACGCCATTTGGGAAAAATCACGTGATCTCATTTGACAACATAGGATTGAAAGTCAGAATGAGGCAAGGGAGTCCCCCACTCCTCGGGACTCCTTCAATGGAGGTCCTCCGCTTGGCATCCTTCTCCTGCATCGAAATCTGGTAGAGAAGTTCATCCCTCCCCACAAAGTCTCTCATCCTCTCTCTGTGAGAAACGTCCGAAAGGCTTCATTATCGGCCCGACCGCCCAGCGCACCACCCCGCGCTCCCATAGATATACCCCCAACCACAACCTCAAGAAATTGACCGCAAGCGACCAAAGAGACGCGCAGGATCTGCAACCAGCATCAGTGTCTCGCTAATCTCTGCCAAGACCGATCGCAGATGTACCACGCATGTGCATAGCGCTTGCGGCGAGACGGAGGCGGGGGTGGCATTAAAGCAGGCCGGCGGCCCCAGCTTCAGCGCCCTTCACGCCCTGAAAAGCTGCCCGCCGGAGAGGCAGTCCAGCTTCACGACCACCTGCGACCCCGAATTCCCGCTCGGGGCCATGCAACAGCAGCTGACGCCCCCCGACAGCGACATGCCGCCGCTGGAGGATCACGACTGGGCGAGCCGTCTCCCCCAGACGGACCACGTGCGCTTCTTCCGCGAGACAGACTGGGCGGGCAGCAGGCTGGGGCCGCTGAAAGACTGGAGCCCGACGCTGAAGCTCTTCACGCGCATGCTCTTTGCGGACTCCCGCGCCGCGTGTCTGTGGTGGTATGGCGCAGCACAATATAGCCGGCTTGTTTACGCCATGTACTGACTGCCTGCCCGTATTGATAGGGGACCAGACCTCATAGCCATCTACAACGACGCCTACGCCCCGCTCGCCGCCCAGGCCCACCCCAAGCTCATGGGCTCGACCTTTCCGGACGGCTATCCTGACCTGTGGGAGGGGATAAAGCCCTATTTCGATAGGGCGAGGGAGACGGGCATGGGCGTGGACTACTCGCCGGCCGTGCCTCTCATGGTCGAGCGGCGAGGATGGCGGGAGGAGTGAGGACACAACACACGGGAAGCTGGAGAGATGCTGACCAAGCGCAGGGCCTTCGTCAACGGCAACTTTGTCCCCATCGGCGGCGGACCCGCGAACCATCCCGAAGGCTTCTACAATTCGCTGTTCGAGGTGACGAGCCAGCGACTGGCCGACCGGAGGACAATGCTGCTGAACCGCCTAGCCTCCGTGCCGGACGTTACCACCGATGCCGTCTGCAACCATATCCTCGAAACGCTGGGTACGAACGGCGAGGACACCCCTCTGGCGATGCTATACGAGCTGGACGAGAGGGCAGCGTCTACAATCTTGCGGTTACGCGGGCATGTCGGCCTCCCCAGGGGGCACAACTTGATAGTGGACAACCAGGACATATGCAGCTCGGAAGGTCTGGTGCCAGACTGCCGGCGTGCAGGGTCGGAGGCGATTACAATCGACTACGACGAGCGATTCGACTCTATTTCCTGGTCCGGCTTCGGTTCACCGTCGAAGAAAATCGCAATCCTGCCCATCAAGAACGGATCTCGCGTCTTCGGCTACCTCATCGCAGGCACGAACCCTTGCCGGCCCCACGATGACGCCTGCCAGCAGTTCTTGAAGGACCTGAGCCGGATGGTGTCAAGCATTATTTCGGCAGCTGTCAACGCCGAAGAGACGAGAAAACGCCAGGAGCAGCTCGAGAAAGATCTTGCGCTCAGCGATATGAAGCTGCGGCATTTGACCGAACACGCTTCAGTGGGAATGGCCCATATTTCCTTGGATGGCTACTTCATCTGGGCTAATGACCAATACTATACTCTATCCGGACTGCCATCAGACGAGCAACAGGGTAAGTGGAGGTTCTTCGATGTGTACCACGACGACGACCGACCGAAGGCCGAAGAGTCTTGGACCCACCTCCTCGAAGGTGCCAACCACATCAACGTCGAATTGCGTTTAAAGCGCATGTACACGTCGCCCATTGGTGACGCCGAGCCCGCCCAGCTTCAACTCCTTGCCTTCCCGTATCGGGAGAATGGCAAAGTGAAGTCCATCATGGCATGCACCACCGACATTAGCAGGCTGAAGTGGGCCCAGACCTTCCAGGCACGACTAGCAGCAGAAGCCCGGGAAGCAAAACGACAACAGGAGGTACGTATCTCGCCGTACACATACTAGCTGCCTTATCTAGCACCGAAAACGACTCCTGGAGGTCTTGAACAGGTAAAGACGTGCTAGGCTATGGATACCTGCCGCACTCAGCTGGATGCTCGCTAATATATACCGCCACCTTTTAGGCCTTTATCGACGTTGTCTCACATGAGATGCGCAACCCGCTAAGTGCTATCGTGCACTGCGCCGACGGCATCACCACTGCTATCGACGAGTGCCGCGCTAGAGTTGCAGAGATTCCAGAGCCCTGTCTTGACACGCTCAACGATAATGTTGCCGCCGCAAAAATCATCATGCAGTGTGCAAACCATCAAAAGCGCATCATTGACGATGTCCTCACCCTGAGCAAGCTCGACTCGATGCTGTTATCCATCACGCCTAGCGCCGTGCGACCGATGAAGCTCATCAGCTCCATCGTCAGAATCTTTGAAGCCGAACTGAAGTCGAATAACATCCGACACCATATCGACTCGGACCGCTCTCTATCGCAGCTGGACGTTGACTATGTATATCTAGATCCGTCGCGCGTTACACAAATCTTCATCAACCTCTTAACCAATGCTATTAAATTTGTCAAGCCCTCGAAAGACCCCGTAATTTCCATCCGATTTGGCGCTACACTCTCCAACCCGCGTGCTTTCTTCCCAGAGGATATGTTTTGGGCCTCGAGAAGCAAGCGTGACGGCGATGTTACGAGCAACCCCGAATGGGGAAGCGGCGAAGAGATGTACCTCACCTTTAGTGTGCAAGACTCTGGCATCGGGCTAAGAGGCAAGGAAATCCACAAAATATTCGAAAGGTTCCGGCAAGCAAATATGAAGACGCACGTCAAGTACGGCGGAAGCGGGCTCGGTCTGTTCATATCCAAAGAGTTAACTGAGAAGCAGGGTGGGGAGATTGGTGTATCGTCTGTCCTGGGCCAGGGCTCGACGTTCGGCTTTTACGTCAAGACGCGGCGTGTTGAAAGACGACCACAGACGCTTGGTGAGCTGTACCGGGAATGCGGCGGCATCGGCCCGGCGCCGCAGCAACTCCACGTCCTACTCGTCGAGGACAACATCATCAACCAGCAAGTCCTAGGAAAGCAGCTCAAGAAAGCCGGATGCCTCGTCGACGTCGCGAACCACGGTCTGGAGGCCCTCGACATCCTAGAAAAGAAAGTCTTCGACGTCGTTCTGATGGACCTCGAAATGCCCGTTCTGAACGGGCTCGCTGCCATGCAAGAGATCCGGAAAAGGGAAGTGGACGGTGAGGGATTGCTCGGTCAGGCTATGGAGGTTGGGCCGAGAGGAGGCGTGAGGTTGCCGATCATTGCGGTTACGGCGAACGTGCGGCAGGAGCAGATTGACACCGCGATTGCCGCGGGTGCAGTACGTTTACGGTTTTGGAGAGAGATGGAGACGGGCTGACGATTAGCAGGACCGAGTGATGCAGAAGCCCTTCAAGGCGGCAGATCTGGTCTATATGATGAAAGGTCTGGTCCCGCAGGTTACGACTCCGTCGACTGAGCCTCCGACGCCGGGAGTGCATGAGCGGATGAATGGCTTGTTCACCTGAGGAGAACACACAAAGGGGACGGTGTGGCCAATGGGATTCGAACGACGCTGTGGTGTACTCCTGCTAAGCATACTCCAGCACATTTTAAGGGTAAGGCGTTGTGCTGACCCTTCTGGGCCATCGGACCTTAAACAAAGCAATAAAACGAGGAGTGGAGTCGCACTGAGCATCGTTTCAACAGCAGGAGGATGTGCGCCTCAGGACTGCTATTACCCAACATAAGGTTAACAGGAAGGCCAAGCTTAGCAACAACAACGAGAAGGGGCCTTATACCTTTCCCAAAATGGGACGGAAAACATCCAGTGGGCTGGCGATTCGAGTGGGGTGGTTGTGGAGCGACACAAAAATGGAGGTATATACATTGTAGCTCGAGAGCGGGAGCTTCCTGTACCTTAATAGTGTATTAAGCACTGTGGCATACCTAGATGGGGGTCTGTATGCCTCGAATGAATGCGGGAAATCTATGCATATCTTGTAATGAAAGCGCTTCGTGATAATGCAGAAACTAGTTAGACCCTGAACCTATCCTATCCTGTATACCCATGGACGGCCCATTTGCGCTATCCGCCGGAATAGAATACCCTCACGCACGCTTTACCTTACCGCCCTTCGCCTAAACCACACTACCCGTCTTGCATACCTCCCAACCCCCTAACAAACACAAAGACCACCTATCTGTTCTCTCTCTCCTCCTCACTGCGTTCTTACTTCGCTGTATATACTAGAATACCCAGGAAAAGTATTATAATTCAGCCAATCAGCATCGGTGGTTTAGTGGGTACGTTTAAGCTCTCCCCTTTCCTCCCCAATCAGAATATCCGCTTACAGCGTTCTAGTAAAATTGGCCGTTGCCATACAGTTTCGGCTAGCCCCACAATGCTTTCTTTTTGGGCTGGGAGGAGTTTGTTGGCGTGGTGGAGGTTGTTGGTGGAGGTTGTGGGGAAGACCGGGATGCGCTAACGTAGATGGGTCGGGCGGACTGAAGTGGAGGGGCGTGAGTTCTCTTTTTAGTAATGTGTGATGGGGCCTGAGAGGAGAAGCGGCTAACCCTAGGGAGCTACTTAGAATGGGTACTCAGTCCAAAATCTTATCAATGGGACATTGTCAGAGTGAAGCGAAGGAGAGGGCTTAAAGCAGTCCATGCCGTGCCTTAATCGTATCCGCAGCCTACCCCACGCATTAGTATACTATCTCAGAACAGATCGGCAACGTACCTTCTCAGCCGCGGCGTAAACACTGCCCATCGGTCCACCCGCCACAATAAGCGGCCAAGCGCTGATATCCACCACGCTCAAGCGCTTCGTGCCATACACCCTACTTTGCGGATCCACTACGCCGCCGTCCTCTCTCTTCATCATTGCGGCGGTGCAGCAGTGATGGGCGTTAGTCGGCGTGAGAGTCTTCTTGATCGCGTCTTTGATCGCGTCCTTGTCGGTTAGGCCTGGCGCTGGAGATGTCTCAACGGGGCTGAGAATGGCGATATCAGGCGTGGCCATAAGCTCGCGGTTCTTAAGATATACGGCGAGCAGCATCTCGAGATCCGTCGGGTCGGTAATAGCGCCGAAATCGATCAATGGGGCTGTGAGAACGTCTGTCGAGTTGATCCTCACGGAGCCCCGGCTGAGCGGCTTGACCATGTAGAGGCTGGTTGCGAAGTCTGTGTTCCAGGATATGTCGCCTACGCCGCTTGCGTTGAGGGACGAGATGATGAGCTTGCGCTGCTTCTTGTAGCCTTGGAGTACGCCTGGATCTGGATTCCCGCCGAGCAGCTCAGCGGGGTCTCGCGTTTCTGCGAGGGAGATGATGGATGCGGAGGCGTTGGTCAGATTTGAAAGTGGGAGCTGGATGAAGAGGTTGCCGGTAGATGTTGATAGGTCGTAGGCGCTGGGCTGCTGGGCGTTGTAGAGGGCGCGCTGCTCGGCTGCATAGGTAGAGTTGGTGCGCAGGGAGCCGCCGTTGGGGAAGAGATTGGACGTGACTGTGGATTCGTTAGTAAGCGAGGTACGTTTGAGGAGCCTGATGTGGGTTCGTCGCACAGTTGTAGCCCACTGAGAGAACGAGATGGTCCTGCAGATTCTGACCAACGCCTGGAAGGTCGGCGACAGACTCAATCCCGAACTTGCTCAGATAGGAGGCATCGCCTACGCCGGACAGCTGGAGGATCTGCGGAGTATGGACAGCTCCAGCAGCGATTATGGCTTCTTTGCTGGCATGGACGGTGCCCTTAACTCCACTAGCGGTGTTGATGTATTCGACTCCAACAGCAGAAGTGCCTTGGAAGACTACCTTACTTACTGCAGTGCTTGGGAGCACATGGTAGTTCGGCCTGGTGTCAATGACCCGATCATAGTGGTTCACGCGTGCGGAAGAGCGGGCCTGCGTCTTTGCATCAACAGCACGCTGCAAGCGGTATATACCTGTAGCATCGCCGGCTTGGGAATCCTTGGGTGCTCGGATACCGAGACTGCGGGCTCCATTGTAAAAGTTCGCTGGGTACGCGTTAGAGGCGATCATATCATTGAACAAGGGATCCCTTACCGCTCCCTGGGTAGTCGTATGGTGCAATGGTCACTGGTACGGGGCCTTGAAAACCGTGTACGGAGTCATCCCACGTGATGTTGTGCTCGGCAGCGTAGATGGGGTCTGGGCGGTTGAAGGTCTCGCTCTGTGATTGAACGTTAGCACGACTCGTACAACGCATCAGCAGGAAATGGAAGGAAGAGCGCACCTTTCTGAAGTAAGGAAGCAGATCTCTCCACGTCCACCCAGTAGCCCCAAGCTGAGCCCAAGTATCATACTCCACAGCGCTACCGCGACTCATAAACATAGCGTTGACCATCGATCCGCCTCCGACTACCCTCCCGCATGGAACAGTGTACGATGTGCCGCCGAGTGCCGTTTGAGGCGTGCTCATCAGGGGCAGCCAGAAGTAGGGTATGGCGGGGAAGAGCCCCGGTATCATGACCTCATCTTCCCTCTGATCGAAGGGGCCGAATTCAATGACCAGGACAGAGACTGAGTGCGATTAGTAGAAGGGACGTATCGCCGATCTGAATGGCCATACCATTGAGAGTCTCGCTCAATCGATCAGCGACTGTCAAACCAGCAGTCCCGCCTCCAGCAATCACAAAGTCGTAAGTCGCGTTACTCGCTAAGTCTCGCTCGGTAATGGCTCGCGCGTGCCAGCCTAGAGCGCGTGAATGGACTCCTAGCGCGAGAATAAGAGAGAGCGCGATTGTAGACCGCATTCTGAGGTTGGTGTCTGATGGATGAGTGGTGTGGATTGAAGACCATGGTCAGAGCAGACGCGTCTTTAGACATTCTCCATCGATGGTGCGAGTCCATTTCCGCGGTCAGCTTCCTCCTTTGGTTATATAATACTGCGTATTTGCATGGATATAGAGTGGTTCGCGTCCGGGTTGTCGGTGCCTTGCAGCGGCCTGCAGATGGGCTGACGCGGCGAGAAATGCTTGTTGAATCGCATTGTGAGGATTTCCCATGCCATTGGAAAGGTCAAGATGGACGATAGGAATGAAGGTTGGAGGAAAATTGGATGCGGGATGCGGTTCGGGCCGATCTCATACCAAAGGGGTATAGCGCCAGGATCGATAGAGTTATCCTGAGGTTGCAGCCTTCGGAACCGGAATTTTCGGATTCATTTCCTCGGTTTTGATAACGCATTTATCGGACACTTTTCAACCTGCAACAAATTATGGGAATTTTCTTTAGAAAGCTTAGAATCACGTGATGACAGTTTCGCCAAGCCGCCGGGCCTTGTCATCCCCCACCATAATTGGCGCCCATCGCACCCCCTACGATGCCTCCGGGATCCGGTTTCCACGCGAGGATGAACACTTCCAAGCTGCTTACTCTCTCGGCGGGGAGTTTAGCTCCCAAACTCCAGTATGCCCGCCCGCAAACTCCGTCTTTACAGCCCATATAGCGCTATGTCTCGAACACGCGCGTCGTGTAGCCCTTCTCAGAGCGTCTCCGAAGACCTAATCCACAATGGCCGATACAGCAGAGACAGAGTGTATCCAGATCGTCACCTACATCAAACGGAAGCCGACCCTGACGCCGGCGCAATTCTACGACCGCTGGGAGAACGTGCATGCACCGAAGGTCATTCCGTGGGCTGAGAAGCACGGAATCAGGCGGTACCAGCAGGCACGCTCCCCTTCCCCATGAATTAGCGGGCTATCTAACACAATCTCTTCAGGTCCACGTCAACGGCACGATGGTCCCAAGCGCCGCCACCGACTCCGCGCCGAACGCTGTCAGCACAAGCGAACTCCCCACCGAACCGGTCAAATTCGACGGCATCGCCATGTTCCTGGTCCCTTCGTTGCAGCAATTCACTGATGCGTTCAGAGACCCATACTATGTCAATGTGATCGAGCCGGATGAGCGCGAGCTGATTGATAAGGACGGTCCTGGAAGCGGTGTAGTTGCGAGCTACCAGGGGAGGATGCTCGATATGGTACATCGAGGGCAGAGCACCATCGGGAACAAAGGGAAGAAATACCACGAAGTCTGGGAAGAGTGGGAGAACAAGGCCAAGGATTGAGCCTTTCTTAAGGCTGGACAGTGGGGCCCGGATGACTTGTCCATGATCAGCCTCTGCATTCAGTAGCTCCAGCCCATCTCTGCGGGTGAAACATTGGTACACCGACAGCGCCTTCACGTATGTGCTCCAACGCATTTATTTCGTGGAAAGCCTGCAAACAAGCCTTCCCATTGCTCAACTTTACCAAGGACCCATTGCATGCAGAGAATTGCCCATTCGTCAGAATATATACTAGTTTGAGTGTTGTGGGTTGTCCCAGGCCTGAAGCTGATTCGCAGCTATGTTGGGCACAGCCTCAACGCCTGCAGTCAGCTTGAGGGCTAAAGCGGGGTACTGAAGAGGCTGCCCTTTGATTCTTCTCAGCTTCCCACATTTCCCCCCGGAAACATCCTGTCCCACGCCAACAGAACGATCCAGTCTCTCGGAAATGGACGTGATCGAGTCACAGACCAAACGCCGGCGCCTCAAACTCTGTAGTCGCTGCGTGGAACTCGATATACCGCGGATCGTCTCGGGCTGGACCTCGACTTCTATGAACATCGTCGAAAAGCCTCATGTCCTCCAGAGGCTGCTCTTCGACCATGACTTCCCACAGGAAAGCTCCTGTCGATGTTGCCAGAAATTGGAGAAGTTTATATCCCATCAGCGAATTCAATTCCGTCCCACAAGCTTCTCCACACCAAGAGACGACCGGGAAGGAGGAACGCCATTTCTAGGCCCGATCTTTTTGAGAAGCTGGGAAGGACTGGTATCAATGGACCAAGAGAGGAGAGAGGTGGCTTTACGTTTCGGAATACCCACCACCGCTCCCTTCCCCCTCCCCAGGCTTGCAAGCGACACTTGGCGCGTTGAGTATGTGCATAACGTTGCCTCCCAGCCCGATTATAGCCTCATTAAAGGGTGGATTCGTCAGTGTTCCGACGCACATTCTAGCTGCGAATCACGCAACTGCCCGGAGTTGCGCAAAGCTCGCATGGTGGATGTCGAGCATCGCGTTATAACCTCTCTACCAGACGACTGCGAGTATTTTGCTTTAAGCTATGTTTGGGGCGGAGTTCAACAGCAGTCCGGTCCTCCCGCTGGTCCCCTTCCCGATCAGCTTGGCTTGACCATCGAGCACGCCATCACGGTAGTGCGAAACCTAGGGTACAGATACCTCTGGGTTGATTCATTGTGCATTGATCAATGCAACCCCGATGAGAAACATGATCAGATAGGTCTCATGCATCGTATCTATCACAGCGCCTTTGCCACGATTATTGTTCTTGACAGCCCAAACGCCAATAGTGGGATCCCGGGGGTAGGAAGCAGCCGAAACGCCTCGCAAATATGGGCCCAGTTTGGTAATAACCAGATCCTCTCAAAATGTCCGTCAATGTCTTCAGAGTTAGGGCGCTCGGTCTGGGCAACCAGGGCTTGGACCTATCAAGAAGGGCTTTTATCGCGCAAACGCCTCGTCTTCACGAATAACCAGGTACACTTTGTTTGCAACGAGTCAGCCTGGTCGGAGGATGCTCCGTACTCCACGTCTCTTTCGAGCGAATGGCGCCGATACCAACCTCTGGTGAATCCTCTAGACTTCTCCGACAATACCTCGCAGCGGGCGAACAGACATAAAATCTACGAACGCCTAATCAACGGATATGTATCCCGGAACATGAAGAAACAAGAGGATGCACTGTACGCTATAACCGGCCTATTACGGCGGATGGAAGAGACCGTCTTCCCGGAGAAGTTCTGCTATGGATTACCGCTGAGCAATTTCCGTCCCAGCCTACTCTGGAGAAGCTCAAGCACTGTTCGCCTCGCAAATTCAAATCCGCCATTTCTTACCGAGCAACGTATTGTCGGAGATCATCCAAGCTGGAGCTGGCTGGGTTGGAAACTGACAGGATCAATCCGCATCCCAGATCCCGATCTTACTCATAACCCACCCCTTGAGATAAAGCAAATGGACACCGGTATGCATCTTGAGCTATGGAGCTCATCTAAGGTAGACCTTCCAGGGTACGATCGACCTCGGGCGGACACGCCGCCATCCTTAGATTGGTATTACGGGGGCTCCAACCCCGAGGTGGGAAAAGGAATATCCGGCAGGAAAGGCAAAGATCTCATCGACTCACTTCATACAGCTTGCGCTGATGCCCTACATCCGAAAGTGGCCTACATATCCCCGATCCGGCAACCGTCGTTACCCCCTTGCGCTCTTGCAGTCCGCGGTCTCACCTTATCTCTTCCATGCGATGCTACATCGGCCATGGAACCCGGCCTCCGGTTCAACCTGAAAAGATTTCTTGTGGAAGACCATCCGGGCGAATTTTGGCTCGAGGTTTTACCACAATGTCTCCCTGGATCTTACGAGTTCCTGTGGGTCCTCAACGAAATGTATCAGGAGTTCGAGGGAGTTATCCCATACATTCAGCACACGATCAGTAGCCCGATGGTAATAGATGGTTCTATCTCTACTGAAACGGAAGTCGGCGTTATCCTCCACCTCATCCTGTTGGATTGGAAGACTAGTCATGTCGCCTGGCGCGGGGGTGTAGCGACGCTGAAGTTAACGGGGCCCAAGTTTTCGGAATTAATGATGCATGTCCGGCCCATACTCAAGGATTTTTGGCTTATATAAGCTACCGCCCCGTTGGCACGCCCAAGGCCATGAAGAGCTTTGTCGGACCATGCCTATCGCGATTCTACGAAACACCACTCTGGATGACCATGATGACTGGCGATTTTCTCGAAATGCGAAACATGCCGGAAAACATCCAGGAACTCATTTTGATGAACTCTGGATGTGTAAATCACCGCCCACTCGCGGCTTGCATTTTCGCTATTCAAGGCGACTTTCTCGAAAATTGCCGAACTTATTCTAAATGCCGGCGCTTGGAGTTATTAACCTTTGTCTAATGTTCAATATTGCCCAATCTGGGGTGCCGCATTATGGTCTGGATGTATTTCGAGATTGCGGTTAAATCGCCGGGGGAACCGCACCTCCACAGCAGTATCTGGGGTTGCTCTATACATAATGGGACGACGTGCTCAACTCCAGAACGAGCAGGTTCGCGATCGACAACAGACACAATTCCCACTGCGACGTCCGAGTCAATAAAGGCGCCATGATCGCTTCGGCCTTATTGATAGGCGCGGGACTCGCCTCTCGCGCCTCCGCGGCATGCAGTCGAGCAATGCTCCAGGAAGCAACAGCAGCGTACCTCCAAGCGCTAGCCGCCGGAAAGCCAGACACGCTCGCTCTGGCCGCCAACGTCAGCTATGCAGAGAACGACACACCCATGGATATCACCAAAGGTATCCTGACCCAACCCATCACGATCGACTTCAACCGCAGCTTCTACGACACTACTGAATGCGCTGCATCTACCGAGATATCAGCCGCCACGAACAAGCATCCCTATGTCATCAACACGCGGCTTCTCTTCGCCAACGACAAGATCACCACCATCCAATCAGTCGTCGCCGACGACGGCGACTGGATCTTCAACGCGGCGAACCAGCTTTCCTGGACGAAGAAGGAGACCTGGGACCCCATCCCCGAGGGCAATCGGGACACGCGCGCCGTCATCAAAGCCGCCGGCGACGCGTACCTCGACAGCTGGGGCGACGGCACTGTCCCGGTCCCGTACGGTACGCCCTGCGCTCGCCTCGAGGGCGGCATGTACACGGGCGACAGGAGCCCATCGACCAACACGTGCAAGATGCCCGAGTTCCCCAAGCCGTTTAAGATCACGAATCGTCGCTATGTTATCGACGAGGAGGTGGGTGGGGTGGATATCTTTAACGATTTTCCGTTCATTGATAAGACGAAGCCGGATGGCACGTCGAGCACCAATCTTATTAGGGTGGAGGGAGGGAAGATTAGGTATATTCATGAGATTACTATTTGTGCGACAAAGGGCTGTGGGAGATAAGGGGATGGACGGGAGGGATGAGGGAGCGGGAAGTGCGTGGGAAACTGTGGGGCTTTGCAATATCGTAGCTCGAGCAACTCATACTATCTTCTGGGCTTTGTTATTTGGTGGAATGCCTACTATTACGGACTACAGGCTTGCAGGGTTGATATCTGGGGGGTTGAGAAGATTGCTGCGGACGGATTGGGCTTAGCGTTAAACATTAGCTTGCTTACGTAGTCCGCTTGGTGGATTTGCCGCCCCTCTCGACCGCATTTCCCACCACAATGCCTTCATCGCCGCATCGCTTTCGAAACCGGTTTATTCGCCAGTGAGAGCCTTGCTGCATACCTAGGTAGTTCCAACCAGAACCTGCAGCGCCATTCCTGCTTCAGGCCCGAAAGCGGGGTAGCTTCAAGGCTGAGCCCTGAAGCCTACAGCTCAGCCTTGTGTCGCTGCCTAACGGCCTCTATCATTGCCTCGACGACGGTTTCCTCCATCATAGCTCAGTTAGGTATACTAGGGTTTATTAGAGATTAGCGGACTTGTTTCTAATTAACATTTTTAATGCTCGAGAAAGGGGTGCAGGTGAGTTTATGGAGGTAGAAAACATGCGTTTCGTTGCATCGCCACCTTTAACAGAGGCTCTGCTAGCGTGCACATGTATCACCTGTGATAGCCAGGAGGAGACACTTCCGGATCTCTCGCTCTTTACCTTTCATTCTTCGTTCTGGCAGGGCTCACGAGCTACCTTACTGATCTTCTCAAAAACTACCTTGGGAGGTTAGGCACTGCTCGAGGAGTATTCTCGCGGTCACGGGGGAGGGTTTGGACACGGTAGATGTGGAGCTAGACCCCGAGTATGGAGAACATAATTCAAAGAGCAAGGAAGTTGATAATAGCAATTACGAGTTCATCGGCTGACGATGTATCCGGCAACGCCGTAACCCTGCATTCGTGGCACAGGCAGTTTCTGACGTCCACAGAGCTACACCCTTGAGTCGAGCTTACGAGGCGTCATGAAGTACTCCAGTTCTTGGTCGGTTACGCGTTCCCTTCGTTCCTGGATGGAAGCACAGATCTGGATCAATTCCTGTGCGCACCTTGACCAATGTCAGCATGGACTGATAACACAAGCGACAGTTCAGGAAGGGTCTCATGCCTTTCTTTCACGCCGTCCGATGACAACCTCCCTGACGCGTAGTCATGGCTGATTTGGGCCAGTTCATCATCATCCTATGACAGAAGTTAGTCGGCCAAACACGCCATCCGTATAAGAACATAGCCATGCGGACCTCTAGGAAGAATTTCAGATATTGGTAACAGACATTGCGCTCCGGATCGCGATTCGGGGTCTGAAGGTCCACAGAGGGCCTTTGGTTGCTAGGAGAAGGTTGAAGCCCGACCTTCGCTCGAATTTCATCGGGCGTATCGTTCACGTAGATGGCGCTGAGGTCGATCGAGGCTGACATTTTCGAACCCACCCCTTGAAGGCCATCAAGATACTTCGTGTGCAGGACCGAAGGCTGTGCGATATTATTGCGCTTTGCGGTAGCTCGGATGAATTGCATGTAGGGATCCTCGTCAAGTGCGACAGCCACCAGGCATGGGATACTGTTCAGCTCTCGCTCAGTGTCGCTTGTGTAGGTCTTTCCGAAGATCGTGGAGAAGGAACTGGCAAATGCACCAGCGGCGATCACCGCTGGAAAGTTCAACTAGATGCTGATTAGTGCCTTTATGTCCAGGGGCAACCGAGTAGTTGCCTACGGACAGTGCATGGGGAACTTTACCCTTCCTATATTCACATCGTCAAGTGAGAAGCCGCAGTGTACGGAGATATGGTAAGCGCTGGTACTCTGGCCTCCATTAGCAGACAATAAGGGTTGGTCATGGCCCAAACATACGTATGATACCTTGCGCCAGTTCCATTTGAACCCCATATCCTCACCCATGTATTTGGTGACCGGATATATAAAAGTCCGCTTCCAGTCGCACCCCACGGAGATGATGTCTTTGGCATTTTCCTCTCCAAACTCCATGTAGTCTTCGAGGCTTTTTTTTGTATCGGAGGGCGCACGTAGGAACTTCTCAGCTAGTCGTATAAAGTCTCCTATTAGCTCAGGAAAGCAAAGAGCGGGGCAGTTTCCGGAGCACCCACCGTCCGAGATCATCACGAGAAGAGGCACCTCAAACACATCCGACAGCCATTTTGCCAGCTGAAAAGCAATCACATGTCCAGCATGCATTGCATTGCTGCTGGGTCCGCGACCGGCGTATATGAAAAAAGGCTCTCTCCTCTCGTACCTATCCAGAATCACCTCGAAATCGCGATGCGAGAAGATAATCCCCCGTCGAAAGAGATGGTGAGGCTCGTGTCCAGTAACGCGCTTGAAGCGTGTCATCAAGGCATTGTCGACTCGTAGAGATCCGAGATGCAGCGACAAATTTTCGTAGTCAATAGGTCGAGCTGCGGCGGCGGGTCCTCCAGATCCCATTGGGGGCACCCATTCCGCCAAGTCTGTCCACTTGGAAATGCCGATCTTAGATAGCTGGGCTGGAGTCTGGCACTCGATACACTTGAAGTGGAGCTTCCAAGTGGCCATGTTATCGCAGCGGCAGTTCGAAGCATTGCTCTCGTGGCCTTTGCAGGGCCGACACCAACTGCACTGGCAGGAGAATTCGAGACGCACAAAACACATCGCGCGCTAGGACCACAGTCCAGACAGTGCAGTCGCAACGAGTAGCAAGCGGAGCGAAGTAAAGAATGCCTCGAGAGACAGAAGATGTGGACGACTTCGTGTGTAACAAGTGTCGAGCGCAGAGCTGGCACTGGCGATGTACCCAATCTCAGCGGGTCTGTTTTATATAGCTCTGAAGGTGGAACTCATATCAAACCGTGCACGCGATTGATATACAGTGATCAGCGGCATGAAGCATCCTCAAACGCGGCTTGCGTAGCTGGCGCCTAGCTGCAGGGCACTTTGGTACTGGGCGTCCTCCGCTATGCCTGGCCAATAGTGTCAAATTCTTGCACACATGGATCTTCCTTCTGCACCGACTGTGCGTCATCCGGCAAGAAATAAGATGCGAGGGATCCTTTAGTTGCATTCCAAGGGTGCTAGGTCGCGTTGTGTGATAGGGGATTATTTTTTCTCATGTGAAGTGTTGAATGCCCAGGTAGGTTGTCCGACCACATCAGATATGTTGTAGGGGTGTGGATAGCCGTGATTGGCCTTTCTTCAAAAGCCACGCTCAAGTGCTGAGACAAGGCTGAAAACCGGTGAGTAGGTGCGTTCTGATCTCCGCGGCCGAGTCAGCCTACATAGCTAAGGAAGAAGCCTAAGCGCTCAGCCAAGCAGTCCTACCATTTTACTTCACACCCAAGAGAAGACTCTCAATGCTACTCGCCTAAGAATTATGACCTCGCAACAGGCTGATGTCCCCGCCGAATTAACTACGCGTAATGTTCCTTCGACAGAGCAATGGGAAACAAACAAAGAGTTCCTGAGGCAGCTATACATCATTCAAGAAATGACACTCAAGGATCTGATGGCAATAATGCGAAATCAACGCAGCTTCTACGCCACAGCTAAGATGTATAAGTCCCGGTTCTCAAGATGGGGGTTCGTGAAGCACAACAGTCTCAAAGATATGGAAAAAGTTGCGCGTCGCATAGTCCAGGGAGGAAATACCAATCCAAACGCGACGTTCACTATCAATGGCAGATCTGTGACTGCCCAAGAGGTAGCGCGGTACTTTAGGAGAAGGGGACTAAAGAGATTGGAAGATGTTGTTGAGCGCTCTACGGTCACAGCCCAGGAGCCAGATGAAAGAGTGACGTCAGGTGAGCCTCCAGTGCAGCTTTAATGCGACATAGTTCCTGCTTGCTACACAATACTAAGCTTGGTCGATAGAAACGCAGGCGTCAGCTTGTAGTGGAACATCGAGGCTCCATCAGCTCGCTTCCTTCCGTATGCCTATCGCCCCAGTGGTATATATCAATCATGAGATGATCCTCAAGATGATAGAGGTGTATTACACTGGTTGTTGCGAGACCAATCTGTGGTACACGTGCACTGCTGGGCGAATTAGGACGCGCAAGCCAATCTTCGATGCAGCTACTGTGCTCGATAGGTTCGTTGGCTTCTGGATAGCGGGACTGAATTTCGCCCGGAAAGGTTCGCGACGTGCCTGCAACCGAGCTCTACTCCAGGCTCGCCAAAAGATTCCACGGATCATTACGGCAGAGCATCCAAGCACTATCCGAGCGATCTTGGAGATGCTTCTCGAATACGCAAAAGCAAATCAGTACGCAATGGCAACTTTGATGCTCAAAGAGATCATCAAGGCGTGTCCACCTAACCATTCACTGGCCATTATATGCAGGACGGCCCTCCAGGTCCCGCCCAGCGAAGCCGAAAGTATGGCACTATCAGGGTTAGCTTGCGGCGCTGATACTTTGGCAAAGCAATGCGGACAGTATCATTACGCTGTCGTCCGTTGTAGAGTTGCCCTCATCGCCTCAAAGTCGACTTACATGTGCAGCACTCAGATTGCAGCCGAAGCAAACCGACTGCTCGAAGACTTTGCACAATCGAGTCAGTTCTCAGCTGAAGGCTACCTGAGCATTTCAGAGTCGCTCCTGGAAAATTTAGTGGATCTCGGGGCATTCCCTAAAGCCGAAGCAATCATAGAGAATATGAAGAAGTACGCTCAGAATTTACCGGCGGAACGGATCCTAAGATGGATGGTGAGCTGCTCAGATCACTTGTCCAAAGTCCAATATTGTCAGCAAAAGTACGATCTTGCGGAGGAGAACTGTCGGTATGTGATTCAGGCCCGTGTTGCAAATTTCGGCCCCGATGACCCTTGGGCCCTGGCTTGCATGTCAAGGCTGAGCGAATGGCTGCGCCTCTGGAACCGGTGCGATGACGCAGTGGAAGTGGAAGAATGGAGAGCCGCCAGATCAAGTTCCTGATCAGCACAACAGGGAAGCTGTACGGTCATGCGCCAAGTACGACGCAGACGAGTGATCTCGTGTGCGTGTTGTCCGGTGGAAAAGTATCATTCGTGTTGTGCAAATCCGGATTTCGCATTGGAGATGAGTTCTGGCGGAGGATATACAAGCTTGTCGGTGCTGCGTTTATTATTGGTCTTATGCTGAGTGAAGCTCGACCGAAGCCCGGTAGTACCTAGGTAAAGGAGAGAATTTTTTATCATCTGATGGAGCCATACTGAATCTCGGACAAAGTTGCTATGCCCTCAACATGTCTTTGCATACAATACAGGCCACGGGAACGGCTTCAATGGAAATACGCCTGGCCTGTAGGACCGTTCAGATAATACGCCTCAATCGCAGCTCGTAATGGAGGCCCAGGCACAAACCGCCCATGCCGATCAACGTTCGCTCTCGTAGTATTTCGCACGATCTCCTGGACAATCCACGGCACGGAAAGCTCCGAGTTTGGCTTCCCTTCATCGCCGACATGTGCGGCCGAGAACTTGAGCAGGTAGCCCCGTGCGGCTTCATACGCCCATCTATCTAGCACCTTGAACGCAGGAAGCAGCCCGTGCAACTGCTCTCTGTGCTGAGATATCCTTTCGGTCCGCTTTGTCTCCGCTCGCGAAGGGTTCTTTGCAGGTCGCGGATCATCGTAGAATAACCGTTCCGCGATGTTCGTACATCCTGCCGCAATGAATACGCTAACTAGTCCGACTTCCGGCCTGCCCTCCCATATCTTCCCTAGGCTATCGTACACTGATTTTATCCCTGAGGCGGACCATGTCCTTGCGGACGACGCGGCCCCGTGTCTGTTGCACAACAGCTGATCCGTCGCCCTCCATTGCTCAAGCGAGATCTCAGACATCATGGCGATCGCTCCCGGGATCCCACCCAGCGCTTTTGCGATCTTCTCGCCGAAAGACTTCCTGTTGTAATACTGTGCGTAATCCTCGTCCTCGCTACCGTCTTCCCGTACATGTCTTGCTCGTGTCAAGCTGGCGAGCAGGTCGCGGCCCATCCACGGAATGAGAGGCTGTACGTCGATTGCTGGCGCCTTAGACCATCCTCTGTGTTTGAAGGCTGCGTTGGTGGTTGTGATGATCACAGCCCCATCTTTCTCCTTTGGCCACCAGGCACGCAGTTGCTCGGGCTCTTCCGCATCCTCAAATACGAGCAGCCACTTCACCCTCCAAGTCGTATCACCGTCTCTCAAGCACGGATCGGTCAGCCATCTCTTCACCAAGCCCCTGGCTAGATCTCCCGTCAATCCTTCCTTACCTGTCCGGCGCACGCTTCCCGCGAGCCCGAACCACTCACAGATCGCCTTGAAATCTGCTTCAATATTCCGCACAGAGATGCAAAAACAGACGTCGAAGTCTGATTCCCGCTGGATCATGTACTCGCGCGCGAGCGTCTTCTTCCCGATACCGCGCATGCCGCATAGTGTTACCGAGCGCAGGCCTTCGAGAGGCAGGCCGCCAAAGGATACAAGGCTCTCATCGAGCTTGCGGAAGATCTTGGAGTCTTGATTGATAAAGTGTGGGTTGGGCGTGTAGCGATGCGGGAAATGGAATGAGGTGTGTGCGGTACAGTGGTCTCTACTACACCGGTTTTGGACTTGTTGGGGCTGCATAGTTGGTTATTTAAGTAGTCTAGGAAGCGTGTCGAAGGTGGTCGATGTGGGTGTTGGTATTGTGGGGAGAAGATTGACTGGAAGGAGCTTGCGGCGGCGAAAGGTCCATGCGTGAAGTGGGAGTGTGACTCCAACCCAACTGTGACACGGAAGCCAACTGATCATGCACTTTATGACACCTCAACATCACCTAGAAGCTCTCCAAGATCTGACTCACTGCTTCAATTCAATCCTACTCGAATAAGCGTTGATGTCTCAAATGCCCGAGATTTGCTTTGGGCTATATCAGCCCTATCAGGCAGACGGTTATAGAGATCCTGCGTTTAATGCTTACGTTGGATCTCTCCTTGCTTTTTGAACCCTCTGGAGGCACCTTCCATCGAGGCTCCCTAGCATACTGCGACTCTCTAAGACGCATCACCTCCTGTACCGACCAAGGAACGCACAGCACGCCCTGCTCACTTTTCTGCCTCGCTAGACATTGCGCAACAAGTTCATCTCGTGCTCCTCCATATCGTTCCGGCGTCATCCGGTATGGTTCGCCGGCTACAGTGCCATCCCACCTAGGAGCCAGGTCAAAGAAAGGATCGCCGAGTAGGGTACTTTCAAATCTCTCTTCAACATGGTCTTCGGGGCCAAGAAGGAATCCTTTTTCCTCAACATCCGCTAGCCATTGGAGAGAAACCATGCGCAAAATGTTTTTCGCGTGGGGACTCAGCTCGTCTAGGTTCAAGGAGGTATGCAGTGACCCGTGATAATCGTTTTCGAGGACCGATGTGAGCGCGCGGGTCCTTGTCCACAGCGGGTCCTTGGATTCTGCGTCGGCGACAAGTTCCTTGATCGCGGAGAGCTCTTGAGCAGTCGACCTTGCGATGGGGTCGAGGAACCGAGGATGGCCACCCAGTCGATACAAAATCTACTCACATACTTGCATCGACGAGGCATCATCGCCGCTCAATACTTGATGGAATGGGTGACTCGCCTTCTCGCTTTCATGGTGCCACCAGCTTTGGAACATCTTCCACAAATACTGTCCTCCTTCCGCATCTGTAAAAAGGCGCTACACGGATACTGAGTGTCGTCGACCAATTCGATTCTGCAAAGACAGGGTTTCGACTCGTGATGATAACTGCGCCGTCATGCGCGTCCGGAAACAAGCCGTGAAGTTGGTCTGGATTGTCCACTCCGTCGAACACCATTAGCCAGGTGAGTTTCTTCCCTTTGGGGCTTTGTCCTGGGTTTTCAAGCCAGGCCTTGACGGAATCCATCATGGCTCTTTTTCTCGCCTCTTTTGATGAGTCGTCGCTTCGTAGCCGTAGCGCAAGCTCTGTAACAATCTTCTCAAGACTGACTCTCTGGAGGTGGTCTTGCCAAGGATGGAAGGCAATCCATAGGCAAGCGTCGAACTTGTGCGCCCTCGATATGAAGTATTCTCTCGAGATCGCGGATTTTCCTATCCCGCCCAGGCCGCACAATGCAAAGGAGCTGAATGGCTCGCGGGGATTGAGGACGGCGTCCAGCTTCGCAAGAACATCCTCCCGTGCAGTGAAGTGCCGATTACGTTGGAGTTCTGGTACTTGGATGGGGAATTGCGGACTCATGTCGTTCGGAGCCGTTGGCACTCGTCCACGAGAATGTAATATGGCTATTTTGGTGATCGCAGGTCTGGTGCTGGTAGAATGTCCGCTCTCGTTGGTAGGAGAACTGTGTCGAGTTTCTCGAGTAAGTCTTTCTGCCCAGTAAAGTGAGGTGCTTGGGGTGGTTCGTGCGGATGCGCTACCCAAATGGGGAATGTCATGCTTTGGGGATGCGGAATGCGGTAGATGGGCGCCAGCGCGGCTTTGATTGTGGAAAGCTGGATTGCTGATCTTGTTGAGAATTGTTTGATACGGAAACTTCGTGGTCGAGGGATAGGTATGGCAGGGAGGCACTTATCTACCAGTTACGAGTCATACTGTGACTGGAATATGTGACGCATACCCAACGAGTGTTCGCGCCCAAACGAGAACGGCCTTGCACTTAATGGCAGTCATCTACCTTTTTCTAATTTGCTAAATACGTAGGAAAAGGTAAAAAGGGTAAATATCATTATTGTACGCAAGCAATTGGCAAAGTCGACGATATCTTTCTCAGACTCAAATAATATCTAGATTTCCATCCGCTGATCAAGTACGCTTCTCAAAGCTTCCCTTTAGAATTAACATTCGAAGAGAGTCAAACGTTCAAGAGTTTCATTACCGTCTCCGTCACATCATTGCGCGGCAGCTCGAGCAGCTCGTTGTCTGACAAGCCTTCAGCGACGAAGTCGCCTCCTAGACCCTCCTTAAGACCGACAAGGAGACCCAAACGGCCGATTGCTTGCATTCGGTCCATAAAGTTCTCCGAAGACGTGATGACTTCCTGTGCCTCCTTAATGCCCTGCTCAACGTCTCCATGGGTGACTTTCCACTCCGGAACCCCGGTGGCCGATTTGTAAGCAGCTAGCAGCTCGTTCATGGACGTCTCGAAGGAGGAGATATAGACCGTCCTGTTTGCCGTCTCCGATGGCTTGCGGAGGATCTTCGTGACGGCGAGACCTATCGTGTCATGAGTGGTAACGGAGAATTTCGCGTTTCCGTCATCCCAAATCGTAGCCGAGTGCGACCTAGGGTCCATGTCGTAGAAGTTGGTGCGCACGCAGCTATTTTTACGTCAGTGCATGTTTATCGCGAGCTTTGCAGGTGATTCTTACAGGTCGTGGAAAGGGCCACAGACCACAGCCGTGTAGCTCCAACCCGGGGCTGATCCCTCCTTAAATTTGACATATTCAAGCAAGCCCGCCTTTGAGGCTGCGAGGGGGAAGATCTGCCGCACCTCGGGGATATCAAGCCTGCCGCTCCATATTGAAGGAATCAGCCGCTTGACCCCAGCCTCCACCGATGCGTCCACAAGCATGTTGTGATGCTGTTGCTCGGCGGGGAAGTTCAACGATAGCACTACGGCATCCTGGCCCTTAAAGACGTCGAGAAACTCGTTCTTTTGGTAGCTGTCGCTGACTCTGACGATACTGGTGTTCGGGGGGAAACTGGCCGTTGAGCTTTGGCGTGAAACCACGGTCACCTCAAAAGCTGGATCCGCCTGCAAGGCCTTGAGGAGGTATGGCCCGAGCTGGCCGGAGCCCTATCTGAGTAAGCGTGGAACGGCGAAGACTGGCATGGACAGCCGTTCTCCCTGCTTACCCCAACGAGTGCGACTTTTCGAAGATTGGCAGTCATAAAGACAGGCTAGAGCGCTAATATCGGAGATGTTAGAAAGCAATCCAAGATTGATGGCAAGACAGAGGTGAGGTCGAGGATGAGGGAGTTGTGCGGAGGGAGAAGCGGGGTAGCTGGAGCTATGTCGCAATGCTGACTAACAGAGAGGTGCAGCGGTTTGGGCAATATTGATATTCTTATTTTATCTCTTGTGGAGTTTGGGATGCTCACATATTCTTTGCGGCGAGGTCGATCTGAGCTTACCTGGTTCCTGGCCGCGCCGAGTCACCTGTATGTTTTAGAACGTAGATTTATACTATCGTACATGTAGAGTTTTTATGTATAGTATAAAACTGAAATCGATTGGATTTTATTACTTAAGCTAGGTCCTAGAATGCCTTTTCCAGATACAGACGGCATTAACCTCTCAAGCGTTGATATTACGACCGCCTGGAAGAAAAATATCGATCACGCTGCGGGCTTTCGCCCCCAAACGGCACGCAGAGGATAAATTCCCCCCTTCTCGGTAAGCTCCGCTTTCAAATCCTCCGGCATACTCGCGATCTTCTCAGCAGGCAGCGGTATCGTTCCTTCCGGAAGTGCTATTCGTCCACGTCAGCATCCGTACATAGCGACCCCCTCTTCGGTGAGAGCGAAAGTCTCGCACAGCGAATACTCACTCTTCCCAAACGCAGCCAGAGCCCTAGCCGGCACAACCGTAGAGTACACACTCTGCTTCGCAAGCGTCGGATCCGGATTCATCGCCCCCTGCTTAGTATTAAACAAGCGGTCCTGCACATCCTCAAATCCCTCCTTCTGCAGCATGCCAGGCAATTCGTTTCCCAGGTCCAAACTAGACCCCATCGCGACGAACATACCCTTCATAACGGCGACGAAGTTGCGCATGGCAGGACCGTCTTCGTCGGGCAGCACATTTGTTGCTTCCATGAGCTGGATCCACCCGCCGGGCTTCACGAGCGCGGCTAGATTGCTGAGGACTTGCTGCTGCGCGGATCCGCCCCCGACGAGCGCCAGGCGCTGGTGCACGAAGTCGAAGCTCTCCTTCCAGTCCTCGGGCCAGGGTTTCGTGATGTCCTGCGCTTGGTACGTTTGGCCAGCGGGTGGAGTGGAAGGGAAGTTGGAGGGATCGATATCAGTGCCGACGAACTGATGCTCGACGGGCGCGGTTGACGCTGCTAGATCGCGGATCCAAGTGCCTAGGGCGCGCGGTTAGTGGGTGGCGAAAGAACAGCGTTGGGGCTTTGCGTGCGGGCGCTACTAGTCCGCAGCTACACTACGCACCGTCTGCGGTCGCCGAATCCAAGATACGCATCGGCTTAGACAAGTCAATCGGAGCGAGCACCAAGCTCCCCATTTCGTCCTTGATAACCTCATGCTGGTTTGCCAGCCGGCTGACCTCATCCTCAGACTCGAGGACATAATTGGTCTGTTGGGTTGCCATGGCGTGAGAATATATCAGCGCGTGCACGCTCTTTGCGGATTTAGAGTGATGGGAAGCTGATGGCACAATTAGATCTGCGGAGCCGTGTTTCTTTCATACTTTGTGTCTCTCAGTGCCGTGGGAGGCGGGGCCGGCTAAGGCTGCGACTGCGCCGCACGTGCCTCGCGCTGTCAGCACTTACAGCCTTGGAAAGATGCCGTAAGGCCACCTGCCTATGCTAAATGACTGTTCGACCTTAGTTACCGCCTGGATTGAATAAGCCACCCTGTGAAAGCGACGCTCAGCGAGGTCGAATGTAGGAGAGGCGTGATCACATGACACAACTATTCACCTTTCCGAGGAAGTCGAACCCAAACGGGTTAGCCGACCATCTGTTCGATGGTATTCCTACCTCCGTATTGCCAGAAGTTTTTCAGTCACGTGCTATACGGCCCGTGCGTAAGATCGGTCGGAAACCTCCGATATGTCAACACCATGATTTTAGAAAGCTGTATAGTACGATTATCTACACAATATATTAAATATTACACCCAAAATGAAGGTCCCTGGTTCTTTTGATATCCCTCTTTCTATTCGGGCGATTATCATCGCTTATCGCTTGCAAATCGGGCTCGGATGGGTGGAAATATCGAGGAAGCTAGGAGTTAACAACACCACCGCGCAGAAGTTCTACAATCGAGTCCTTGAGCAAGCTGGCACCCCCGATCTCATGGAGATGTTGAAATATATCGATTCAGCCTCTCGAACAGGTGCTCCCAGAGTTGTAGAGCCTGGCACACAGGATAGTCTCCAGATTCGAGCTGATGTACTTAAGTGGAGAGACTTTGACCGCACCGACGCCGCGAACCACACCCGCCCCAAAGGCCAACACATTAAGCCCACTACTGTACGCCGAGTACTACAAGATAGGGAGCATGTGGAGAAGGACGAGCAGCACCCAAAACGTATAAAGCGCGGGCGACAATTGCGTAAAGAAGCCCTCACGGAAATACACAAGCAGCAGCGTCGCGCATACACGCATAAGCTCGAAATCCTCGATGGCAACTCTCTGGAGGATGTATACCTGCTGGAAGTAGTAGAGGGCAAAGAAATAAGCCACAATCTCATAATAATCGGCGTCGACGAGTACACCGTTGAATTCGGCGGTTCTGGCTTTAATAGAGTCTCTTATATGGAGGGGGAGGACCTATATAAGCATGCGCAGGAAACTCAGCCCTCACGCTTCTCACTTATGCAGTGGAACGCGGCATGTGGCCAGGAAATCAGCCTCACACGCCCATGCCGTATATGGGAACCTGAGTTGCCAGAGCTCAAAGTGGACCTCGCGGAGAAGCTCCTAAACAAGCAGAAAGAGTTGAATAAGAAGATGGAACAGCAGCGGATAAATGCCAGGATTCCTGGGACCACTGAGTGGCGGCATATGGAGAAAGTCAACAAGGCAGTTCAGGACTGGAATGCCACCATACCCAAGAGCCAGCGAAAGGGCAGAAGGCAGCGCCGTTAAGTTAACTGGGAGTTTCCTTTCCAGGACTTTACGAGCGACTCTCGTAAAGGTGGCCTCGATTTTGTATGGTACGCCTTTGAGATCTATGAAAAAGAGCTCATCCCGTACTATAAGAAGATCTAGGAAATCCACCCCGACAAGCATATATATATATCGGAGGATGGCGCAACACCTCATATAAAAGCGCGCAAGCTTTTGCAGAGCGAGCTTGAGGCTGCTGGGGTCAAATTTATCGACTGGCCAAGTAAATCCCCAGATTTACACCCTATCGAGAGTATACAGAAACACCACAAAGCTCTACTTGAGGATCTACGCTTCAGCGTCAACTCAGCTGCCCGGCAGGTTAAGGATCACGCGATAGATGAGATGAGACGACTCTGGCAGAGAGATGCCGGCTTTTCGAAAGTTATCGAAGAATTAGGGTCTATCGCTGAATACATGCGAGTCGCGAAGCTCTGTCGCGACAACAACGGTGGCAATAAATTCAACGCGTAAACGGGAGCTATTTCTCCTCATCGAGCGCTTTCAAACGAGCCCTCAATTGTATATTATTACGTTGTGGTTGTGGAGTTACTGGGGGGGCGTCGACATATACTATTCTTAGTATACCCGCACGTGACTGAAAAACTTCTGGCAATACGGAGGTACGCCCAGCTTCCGATATGCAGCACCGGGATCACCTAGACAGCATCCGAGGTTTTTCGTCCGATCTCACTTTTTTCGTCCGATCTCACCTACTGTATTCCGCCGCGCGCCGCAAACGCTCCCGCCGCAATCCCCAACCCCAGCACCCTCCAATCCACGCCCACCAACGCCGCCACACCCGTCTCCTGGGGGCCATTCTGACTCATTTTAGTACTCGTCGCCCCCGGCGCACCGGTACTCTGACTCGCCCTATACAAAGCGACATCAAACGGCAAATCCGCACACGCGCTCCACCTAGCACAATACTCAAACGAGGCACAGCATTTGCTGCCACAAGGCGTCTCATACTCTTCCAGCACACACGACTCTGTAGGCGTAGGCAACGCCGCTGAGCCTTGGATCGCCTCAGTCTCCGTCGGCGTCGAAGTAACAATGCTCGTCCACTCTCCACCCCCGTAGATCCTATCATAATCCAACTCCACGCCCGGGCAACTAGCCACGCAGTCCGACCAAACCGACCCATTCCTCCACGCACTCGCGCTGGGGATCTGCCTCCGCGCGCAGTCCTGCGCGCACGCGTACGAAGCGCACGGAATGTCGGCGTTCCAGAAGCCCACGAGGCCCTCGAGCAGCAGGGCGTCCTGCGTCTCGGCGGGCGTCCACGCCCCCAGTCCGGATGAGAGGTAGAAGTAGTTAGTCCCCGACGTAACGCCGGAGCGGATGACGCTGTCGCCCAGGAAAGGGGACGCGTTGGAAGGGAAGCCGTAGGCTTCGAGGGCGTAGTACACGCCTGAGGGACCCATTTCGGGGGGGATGGTGAGTTCGATTGTTCCGTCGCGGGCGGGGATTAGGTCGGTTAGACTGCCTATGGGGCGTTAGTGTTGGGGTCTGTGGGGAGCTGGGGAGAGGGGGGAAAGGGCGTACACATCCAGGCGTTGTAGATGGTGCTGAAAATGCCGATTTTGAGGTGGGTGGTTGTTTGGTCGGGGTATCCGCTTCCTACTTCCGTGGCGTTGGCGATGTGGGCTTCAAAGGGTTCGCCGGCGGTGACGAAGTATTCGACCATGTAGCTTAGAGTCCGGTTTCGGGCTAGGATACGTAGGTCCATGGCGTGAGCGAGGAGAGGGGATAGAAGACTGAGGAGGAGGAATTTGTGCATGGCGATTTTGTTTCTGATATCAAATCCTTGCTCTGTGGCACGGGGTTTCGAAAGGAAAGTAGAGAAGGGTGTTGGGAGTGTATATACGCTTCTACACAGAGCAGCTGGCGAATATCCACCTTTTGCCTTCACTCACACGAGCGACGTAGAGAGACGAAGGAAAAATAAGTCGAAGAAATTCACCGCGCCACGTCTCTAAGAAAGGAAACAATCTGTTCAGCACAGTAGGGAGGAGACAAACACGAAGGCCGAACGGGTGATCGGATCTTGGAGGCTTGGCAAGACTAACCGGGCCACCTAAAGGAGTTAACACGCCACTGGGATGTGGATCCTTCCATGCCTAACGAGGCTGTTGAATTCGCGTGCCAAGTTCTAGCGTCCATTAGACGCTGCCGTAGGCCGCTTCGCACGTCTCGGCGTCCCCATCCTCCCCCAGCTCTTCATAACCCTCACAATCAAACTCTCCATCCTTATTCAGCGCATCCACCCCATCCCACAGCACCTCCTCCATCCAATTTCCCCCCTCCCTCCTAACATCCACCCAGCACCCCAACTTCCCCTTCAGCCTCCCCTGCCTCTCCCACACCCCCCTCCACCCCCGCGCCCCCATATCATGAAAACACCCCCAATTTCCCTGCCTCCCGCAAAGCGCATACCAATGTTCCACTCGCCATCTATACGGATCCAGCTCTGCCGGCAGGCCTGCTGCTTTCCAGCGAAAGTAAGCGTTCGCGAAGTGGTGCGTGCCGGTTGAGGCCGGCATGTCTCTTGCAAGATCCGCCACATAGCGCTGCGGAAACGCCCCATCGCTTAGCTCCTTGCAGACAACGCGCAGGAGATATTTTTCAAACACCCAGGCACCGAGAAACGCAGCGAGCAGGCACGCGTCCCTGATGTGGCTACTTCTCCAGCTCTCCCTCCGTATGGGTGTGAAATCCGGCAGAGGGATTTTGTCCAGGGTGTACAGCCAGGTGAGGAAGATGCGCCAGGCGGGTGGGCTAGCGATGGGGTTTGCGGCGGTGATGTGGATGGAAGGCAAGTTTGGGTTTTTCATGAGGGCGGAGAGATGGGTGCTGAATTTGGAGAGGAGCACGGAGTGGACGGACCATGTGTGTTTCTTGTTTAGGATAAGGGTGATGCGTCGGGGGTCGTGAATTGTTCTGGTGAGCGGGTTAGCGGGGAGTGGGGAGAAGGACTAGGTGGTTGTAAGGACGTACCGTGGGAATTTTGAGGAGCGGATTGTGTAGTGAAGGTTATGGGCGAGCACGGCTCGGAGCTCTTCTTCGTCCCAGTCTAGGACTTCTGCGGCTGGCGGCGATCCGATACGGTGTGAATTACGCTCCGATACCTGAGGAGTTGCGGAGACTGGGGCTGAACTTCTACGCTGCATGACTGGTCTTGGTTGACACGGCGGGAAGCCGACAAAGATAGGAGAGGAAGGCAGCGACTGGAGGCAGGTGAAGATCGACTGGCGCAAAGGTTTCGAAGCGAAGACCGAGGAACGAGAAGAGGAAGGGCGCGGGTAGGTGGAAAATAACACTGCGGCGAAGCCTTAGGCCAGATATTTGAAACGAGGATTTCGGGGATGTTTCGCTCCTACGGCGTAGTGCAGTGTCTTTTATACAAGCATACGTGTACATAAAGTCAAAGGACACAGCGAGGGATACATACCACCTAGTTCATACCCCCCTGTCCGTCGCTCTATTCGTCGCTGAAGCATCACCCATTCCAATCCCACTGAACGCCCTCCAAATGCATGAGTATTCCTCCGAAGTAGAAAGCTGAAAGCACAAATAACGAATTGGTCCGAAAGAGCCGCTTAGTGCCCGATCGCACCCGCCGCCCAATTCATGAACTCAGGATCGTTCGGATGAGGAAACATACCTCGATCTTCTGGTTGCTGCGGCTGCTGATTCTGCTGCTGCGGTTGGCCAGCAGGAGCTTGGCCTTGGTTTTGCTGCTGTTGCTGTTGCTGTTGTTGCTGCTGCTGCTGCCGTCGTCTCTCTTCTTGTCGCCGTTGCCTCTGTCCGCGGTAGTATACCAAAAAGGCCAGAACGCCCGTGAGCGCAAGAATAACGAGTGATTCGAGGATCTCGGAATCTATATCATCGTAGCCATAGTCATCATCGCCTCCGGGCATATGCGTCTCTTCGTAGTCGTCGGGTTCAAGATTGTCCCAGCCTGCGATCTCGGCTTCAAGGAACGCGGCCAACCATTCAGAGAGCGACCAGTCTTTCTTGATCACTGCGCGCCTCATTAGTATGGAGATGACCTGTACAAAGGATGATGTTAATTGCTTACCTGGCTCCTCCTGGATGGATTTGACATTGCCGTGCGTGACCGTATTCCACCAACTTCGAAACCTGAGCTTGTACAATGCCAATACCACGGGGAGGTATGCCTCACGCGGGTTTGTCTCGAGCGCTAAGTCGTAGTGCCTTTTCGCGAGATGGAAGTCCTGTTCAATGCCGATGCCATTTTCATGCATCCACCCAAGGTTCCACATCGCTTGCGCACTCGGTGGGACTTCTTCCATCGCCGCCTGGTAACATGCAGCCGCTTTTTCCTGGTCAGGGGAAGTGCCTAGACCCTGAAGATAGTAATCCCCAAGCTTGACCATAGAGTCCACGTTCTTCTGCTCGGCAGAGCGAGTCCAGTAGATCAATGCAAGGAAGGCATCGCTAGCCAGGGCAGCCTTCCTCTTCATAAACGGAATTAGCGAGCTCAGTGTGACGCGGGTTTTGGCTTGGTCGAGCAGATATGCCACGTTCGCCTGGCCGACTTCAAACCCCTGTTCGGCGGCCATCATATACCCTACAAGTGCCGTCTCAAGGTCGCCGTCATTGTACGCGTCGTTGGCTTCCGGGAAAGAGGTCGAGATGGCTTCGGCTTTTTCGGCTACAATCTTGTAATATGCAGACGCCACAGGACATGACTTGTCTTTACCCACACCGTAACGGGTGAGCTCAGCGAGGTAGTAGTAGGCCTCAAGGTGACCATGTCGCGCCGCAAGATCGAAGTATTTGAGTGCCGTTTGGACGTCGCCTTGGTCTAGGAACAGGGCACCAAGCCGAACCTGCGCCGGGGGAAGGTCCTGATCCGCAGCTGCTCCGAAGAAGTCAGCTGCTTTCACGGGGTCTTTGGGGACTCCGAGGTTGTTGAGGTACATGAGCCCCATAGAGTACTGCGACAGGGCGTCTCCGTGCTCGATACCTCGAGTGAACCAGGTCTTGGCGATGGCAAAGCTCTGTGGCATGCCTTCGCCGCGGAGAAACATGCGTCCCAGGTATCCGGCGGCCTTGGAGGCCAGCTTTGCAGTGCTAGCAGAGACGTTCGGCTTTGTCTTTCCATCCTTGGTCCAGTACATGCGGGCGATTTCCAGGAAACGCTTCTTGGCCTCGGGGAGGTTGCGTTGCGATGAACGAGCGCCGTCATAGTTTAGCTTCGCGAGGTTGAAGCTTGCTCTCAAATCGCCTTTCCTTGCCTGGAGGTCCATGTATTCGACCACGTCATCCAGAGAGGAGTAGGCGTCCGAAACGACGCTGCCATGCCTCGCGTTGGGCCCAGAGCTGCTAACGCTGGCGCCTTCGCCGTATATGCCTCCTTCCTCGTCCGCGATTCTGTATGACTCCCTTGGCAGCGTGTGTCCTCCCGGGGGCCCAGAGCGCGTGTACTTGATCGCTTTATCCGCAACGCTCTTGTAGTAATAAACGGCGTCTTCGCAATTTCGCGGGGTCGCTATGGCGGAGGAGTAACGGTACGCGACGGTCATTTCGGATCGGATATCTCCGCCTTCTGCTGCCAAGGTGTGGTATAGCAGAGCTCGCGCTTGGTCCTGCTTTACAGCTCCACCTATTCCCGTAGCGTACATGAAGCCAACCATGTACTGTGCCGAGGCGTTTCCGTTCAACGTAGCGAGCTCATGGTACCTTCGGAAGGCTTCGGAATAGTTCCTAGGATGCGTATAGTTGCCATAGAAGTTCATCTCGGCGAGCGTGAACATGGCGTCCGGGTTCTTATCCGCCGCTGCCTCTTCCAGCAGCTTGACGGCTTGTGACAGCGAATGGCCGAGTTTCTTCGGGTGCGGGTCGGTTGTCAGGAGGTCATGTTGCGGGGGCCCGTTCATGAACAGAAGGAAGAAGAGCTCCTTTGCATAGTATGCGCTGGTCCCGAGCACGCCCGACTTCTTGAAATTCCACCACGGCGCGCTCGCCGGGCGGATCTTGCGCAGGAGCGCCGTTGCCTCATCGAAAGCCAGCGCTGCTGACCTTGTGCCTCTGCCTCCATCTTTGTCCGGTATCCCCCAGCTGTCTGACTGTATGGCGCGGTCGCGCAACGGCCGCTGCGAATGGGCCCGATCACTTCCACGGAATTGCGTCGACGATACGGATAGGAATAGCGAGAGAATGACTACCAATCCAGGAGTTAGTTGACCGCCTCGGCTCCCTCGCACGGGCGGGACATACCAAAGAAGAGCGGCACGAGCCGCAGCAATCGTGGCTTCATCGTGGATTTCTTTCGACTGCGGAAAGCGGATGGAGGTCGAGTGTCATCTCGACACCTCAGGAGAAGGAAAGCATGGGCGTCGGTGCCCTCAGTGGCGGCGGTCCGGCGAGCGTGTTTGTGAAAGATGCCAGCTTTACATTCATCAAGCTTCGGGCGCGGCGGCCAAGACTGGGGCGTGCGCCAGCCAATCAGCGCCGGCCCAGCTGCCAGCTGCCAATAACGTCATTCTATGGCAGTCCTTCACGCGTCAATATGTTGTGGAGCCCAAAAGCCGCAAAAGGCGCCCTTTTTTCCTTGCCCGCTTCCCTTCCACGACGCGCCATTGATCAGTAAAGGTGTCGTGGTATTCGGACTAAATCCCTCGGGGCAGGGGCTGCTTGAATGCCGCATTTGTCATCACCAACGCTTACCTAGGTACTATCGTTCCCACCAACACCATGACTTTCCTTTTCCATCACAATTTCATCCACCTGGAGTGTCAAGCGATTTTATTGTTGAATTGAAATTCTTAATCGGTCGTTACTTTCTTTGCTTCTCAGCATGTCCGACTCAAGGGATTCCGGCGAGCAAGAGCCGCTACTTCGCCGCTCGGGTTCATCCGCCAGCCTGTCATCTGCGTCGAAGTCTATACAAAGCGTGTCAGACGCCGAGCGAAATGGAAAAGACGAAGAGCCTCCGCCCATGTCGACAGCTAGAGGTGCGCTGATCATTGGTTCGGTTGGGCTATTGATCTTCCTTCAAGGTAACACTTCTTTTCCTAAATCATCCGTCTCTGAATTGAAAATGAGTTCGTCGTTCCAAAGAAACAATGCGTTGCATACAGTGCATATTGCGATTATAGTTTCCCTTTCATTCTATCGTTGCCCTTATTCGAAGTTCTGCTGCAGATACACCGGCTTACCACGCTCAGCAACCAATATCTCCATCCTCACCACAACACAATCTTCAATCGCTGCCGATCTAGATGCATTCGAGAAGGCCATCTGGTTTACTTCCTCTTACTTAATTGCCATGTCTTCTCTTGCTCCCTTGATGGGCCGTTTATCTCAGGTCTTGAGCGCGCGACTTTGCATGTTCTCGTCTACCATCCTCATGTGCGCAGGATCAATTGTTACTTCCACTTCGGCTTCTTTCAATATGTTCATTGTCGGGCGCGTTTTGACTGGCGCGGGTGGCGCGGGCATACTCATTGTTGCCATCATCCTCGTCATACAGATGACCAGCGCGAAGCGGCGAGGACTGTACATTGGCCTCGCGAATTCCGGTATGACCGTTGGAGTCTCGCTCGGGGCTGTCATCGCGGGTGCCCTAGAGCCTAAGATTGGATGGGTCAGTATCCTTCGCCCTCATATTCGAACATGAGCAGTAGACTGACAGAAGACCAGAAACCTCTCTTCGGCATCCAAGCCCCTCTCAGCATCCTAGCAGGCTTCGGCCTCCTGTTCAGTATTCCGGCAAACTTCAACGAGAAAAACAACCGCTACAAGCACCTCACCACCCGCAACAAGCTGGCGCGAGTTGACTATTCCGGCGCCGTCTTGCTGATTGTCACCATCGTACTCTTCCTCCTTGGTCTCTCAGGTCCACGTATTCTGGCTATACCTCTTATACTATCTGCTCTCGCTCTTCCCCTGTTCATCCTGAACGAGATTTACATCGCCAAGGAGCCGGTCATCCCCATTTCAGTCCTCAGATCTCGCGGTACCCTCCTCACCTGCCTTGCCACCGTAGGCTTCATGATGGCGAGATGGTGCGTCCTGTTCTACACGCCCGTATATGCGCTCGCCGTGCGCGACTGGAAGCCTGCTGTCGCCGGCTCTATCCTCATCCCCACCAATGCCGGATTCGCTAGCGGTGGCCTCCTAGCAGGGATTTTCCACATTCGTCGAGACGGCAGCTTCTACATGCACACACTCATCTCAATGGCCTTATTCCCAGTCACGCTTCTCATCTTGGCATTCATATCCACCGCCCACAGCGCCTGGGGTATGTACGTCCTCATGGTCTTCTGCAACGGTGCACTCGCCGGCGCATCGCTGAACTACGCGCTTGTTCACCTCCTTCATCTGACGCGCCCAGACGTGCACCCAATCGTATTGTCTCTTCTCGCGACGTTCCGCGGATTCGCCGGCAGCTTCGGGTCTGCGATTGGCGGCGGGTTCTTTGGAAGAGTACTCCACAAGTCGCTCGTTGATGGATATGCCAAGGCCGGCTTGGAGGACCGCGGGGACCTGATTCGGAAGCTATTGGGCAGCCCAGCGCTCGTTGGCACTCTGAAAGGGACGGAGAAGGAGGTTGCGGTCCGCGCGTATGAGGATGGCTTGAAGGCGCTGTTCCTGGGCGGAGTGGGGCTTGCTATTATCGTTACTCTTGCTCAGGCGAGCACTGGGTGGAAAGGGCCGACGAAGGAGGAGCAGATAGATGTGGAGGAAGACGTGGAGGGCGAACAGGCTTTGGTCGCTGGATCTTAGCCTGGAAGCGGAGCAGCGGTATGTAATAGATGTTTCGTAGACTCAAACTGATCCGAATAGACTGCGACGCGATGGACAGTGCATGGCAGTAGTGTATCTTGTCAACTGCGAAGTGATACTGCCGTTGAGCTGGAAACTACGCGTCACCGAGCCCAGACACAATGTCTCGCCGGCGTCCAATGCGCCGTCAATGCGCGCTCCCGCCCCTCTACTGTTTCTAGCAGTAAGGTCTCACCATCAGACAGTAATGGTGATTGCATCTGCAGGCTCCCGACTACCCGCAGCCCTTCCTGTCCGCTTCCGCACCGCCTCCCCGCCGCTTCCAACACGTCTTCCTCACTCACCATCATACTCTAGAGCTGTATCCTGGCATAACTCGCCGTTTGCTCGTCGCTTATTGGTGGGCCAACGGAGCACGTGACCGGCGATCGCACCTTCCCTACTTAACGCCTTTCGCCTTCCGCCTCGACTTCTCCTCCACCTCACCTCACTTCACCTGTATCGCCAATTTCGAGGTCGCTCGCTCGAGGAGAGAGCAGCAAAGTCGCGGACGCTGCGAGAGAACTTGACAAAAGTGAGTGCAGCTTTCATTTTGTTTGCCTTCTGTCTGTTTGTTTGCTCAGCCTTTCGCGCGCCGCCCTTGGGGCATCACGGGTGCTGGCCTGGCGGCAACACCCCAGCCGACGTAGCCTCCCAGTAGCCCGAAGCACTCCAGACGCGTTTGCGCAATTGCCGGCCAGCTGACTGACGTATTGAGGCTGCACAAGCCTCGCCATCCACAATGGCTCGCGGTCACGGCCCCGTCCTAGCTTCTGCTATGGTCGCCAATCCCTACAGTGGCCGCGCTAGGGACATTCAGCCGACGTTCACTATCTGCGAGATCTGCGACCGTACCCTCAAGACCAAGGATTGGGGCTCGCACAAGAACTCGAAGGGCCATAGGACCAAGGAAGAGGCGGCGAAGGCCAAGGACAACCCGCCAGGCGGTACTACTGATGCTTTCGGCTTCGGCGGTGACGCTGGATCCGGCACTGGCGATAGCTGGGCCGGCTCTGGAGAGGCTACCACTTCCAGCTGGGGCGACGATGCAGGCTTCGGCAATGGAGGAGACTTCGGCAATGACGGAGGTTTCGACTCCGGAGGTTTCGGTGCTAGCAACAGCAAGCCTTCTGGCGGACGCGCCTGCTTCAACTGCGGTCAAGAAGGGTCAGTAACCATAGTAAAGGCTATCGGGCTCCCGCTAACAAGTTCTCAGCCACAACAAGGTCGACTGCCCCGAGCCGATGAAACCCCGTGGTGGTGGTCGTGCGTGCTTCAATTGCGGCCAGGAAGGGTAAGTATATCTTTACAGTCTCTAGGACCCAACTAACACCTTCGCAGTCACAACAAGGTCGATTGCCCTGAGCCAGCTAAGCCCCGAGGCGGAGGCCGTGCGTGCTTCAACTGCGGCGAGGAAGGGTTAGTCGCTCTGCCGTTGAAGGTTTTCATGTCCCCGCTAACGATCTCGTAGCCACAACAAGTCCGACTGTCCTCAGCCCTCTAAGCCGCGTGAGGGTGGTGGCGGCGGCCAGTGCTTCAACTGCTATGAGTTCGGGTGAGTATTACCACCGTTATTTACCCCCTTAGCGTCCCTAGTCTTGTGCTAACAGCGTTCAGTCATCGCAAGTCGGAGTGTCCCAACGAGCGCGTCATGAAGTGCCGCAACTGTGACGAAATCGGCCACTTGTCCAAGGAGTGCCCCAAGCCGCGCGACTATAGCCGAGTCCAATGCAACAATTGTCTCCAGTACGGGTGAGTATGAATCTTTTCCCTTGAAGCTCTCCAATCTCATGCATACTAACGCCGGTATAGTCACACCCGCGTCCGCTGCCAGAACGAGGCTGCCGAGAACACCGGAGGAGGAGGTGGTAGCTGGGGCAACGATACCGGCGGAGACACAGCGGCTGGTGGCTGGGACACTGCTGGCGATTCCGGAGCTGCTACCGGAGGCTGGGGCAACGACATGGGCGGAGCGGCAGCTTCAGGCGACTGGGCCAACGGCGACGCTTCCGGTGCCGGGGGTGACAACCAGTGGGGCGGTGCCGTCCCTGCCTGGTAGACTGCCACACGAATATCCCATCGTGGATTGCTGGCTCGTCGTCCTTTGTCGGACTTCAGGCTGGTCGGCTCCAGGTACACACAAAGTGCCTTTTGAAGGGTCACGGCGTTTTGGTCACGCATAAGCTTCGCTAAGAGGTTGTGTGATGGGTTCGGGAAACTTTCAATGTCGGGAGAATACTGCGGTATTTGAGACGAAGCTGTTCGCGGCGAGGATCATACATGCTCAGTCAGTTAGTTCCGCAACGACTACAGTGTTGACTGCAACTTCCCTGCTCTTTCTTCCGTGACGAAGAGTCAATCGACTAAACAGCTCTCGAGATTTTAGGCTATTACGAATGTATCGGCCCTCGCACGTCAGCCGCATGTTTCTGTCTTCGGTGCTGGGATCTCGGCCCAGCGTAATACAATGAATGGGTGCGCGACCTGGCACCGATGGTGAGAGGACCGCATCGTACATATGGTCGGCTTGCTTCTGCTCACAAGGTGAGGTATGGACCGGCCGCCTCGGCTCGGTGTCGTTGAAGTTCTGCAAGAAGGGTGCCGCAAATGGTCTCGTAATGTGAAGGGAGCAATGAACAAGGCTTGAAGCCATGAGATGTGCATTCGTAAGTCTAGCAACACCTCGGGCATTGCGGAAACGGGCTACCAATTGACGAGGAACACGCACGTTGATGTACTGTATAGTACCGCTATTTTCTATCAAGCCATGATGCCCGACGGGCCGCCTAAGTACCGCTCCCCCAAGGCGCCCAGCCTCGACGGAAGCCAGGATTCGTAACACCTCCACCGGCCCCTCTGACGGGGGTGGAGAGCTACTATCCATGACTAGATACAAAGAGAAGGACCCGCCGTCAGCCCTGCTCAAAGAAGGGAATGGATCGGAGAAAGAGAAGCCTGTAAGCCTCGCTTCCCCCATGCAGGCGGGAAGCCCAAGAAATGAAGCCCGTGATGAAGAAATCCCATGATGAATCACTTCCGCCCGGAAGCTTTCAGGAAAGGAAAACCCGTAATGAAAAAATCCCATGATGAATATGGATCACTTCCGCGCAATAAGCATCGGCGGGAAGCTTCCAGGAAATGAAAACCCGTAATGAAAAATTCCCATGATGAATGTGGATCACTTCCGCCACGCAATAAGCATCGGCGGGAAGCTTCCAGGAAATGAAAACCCATAATGGAGACCCATGGCATCCATGACGCACTTGAGAATATAAGGTACTCCACATGCGCGCTACAAGGGTTTCTGGCCCCAGACCACCCAGTAGCGGCACAAAGCGCCCTTCTCTTCGAGGCCTTGCTTCAACGCCGAGACCATCGCGACTGGGTCGAAGCTTGACCACTTCTCGCCCCCCTTGCTCTTGACAGCCGCAGCCATGCCCTCGGTCGCAAGGACATAGCTCATCGTGCCTTTCTCGGCAAGTTCAGCGTTCGGATTCATGGCTCCAATACGCGCGTCGAAGATCTGCTCCTGCACCCCGACAAACCCGTTCTCCTCGAGGATGTGCTTCAGAGTGGCACCATATGCGTCCGAGTTGTCTAGGCGCTTGCCGAGCAGCGACTTGATCAGATGCACAGCGGGGCCCAGCGGGCTGTCGGCGTCCGCCTCCGGCCCCGTCAAGTCCGCGTCTACGATCTGGATCCAGCCTCCCGGCTTCACTAGGCCAGCCAGGCCAGTGACTGCGGCTCGAAGCCCGGCGCCGATGGTATACAGGCCCGTGCGCTGGTGGACCAGGTCGAAGCTGTTCTTGTCGGCTTCGGGCCAGGCCTCGGTGATGGATTGGATGCGCAGACTCAGCGAATCCGGAAGCTTCTCGGCCTCGGGGAAGTGAGTGGGCACAAGGTCGGTTCCCACGAGCGTTCAACCGCTGCCGAGGTCATAGTCGCGGCATAGATCCTCGAGCCAATAGCCTACTCAAAGGTCAACTTGCGCACGCTCTATGGGAACGCGACTCGGATGACTTACCATTGCCGGTCGCGGAGTCGAGAATGCGCCCGCCTGGTCGGGTGAGGTCGATGGGCGCCAGGACCAGTTTCCCGCCCATGGCGTCCTTCACCACGTCGTGCTGCATCCGCATGCGCTTCGACTCTGAGGGCTTCGGTCCTTTGGCGGCTGCCTGTGAGGGTTGTGGCGCTGAGACATCGTCCATCTTTTTTGCAGGTTGCTGTTCTGAGGCCATGGTGAGGGTCGGGAGTTTGAGAGGTTGGAGAATGAGGAGAGAAAGAGGGGAGGGCCGGGCTTTAAGTAATATTGCACATCACTTGGGCACGGGGTCCCATTGCTGGCGGCCTTGGCGGGGCTTGGCACGGGTTGTCACGGTTTGCGGCACGGTTTGCGGCACGGCTTTCACTTCTCTTGAAATAAATGCGGTCAAGGTATGTATAGCGGACACAATACAGAACTGCCAACAAATGTTCAGTGCTCCGGACGGCGCAGCGGTTAGGTGCAGTCCAGTGATTCCCTTCCTCTTAGACGCCGAAAAGTAACACTGAATCAGAATAGGCGTAGTCAGCATAACCTCTACAGGTTGGAGACTTAAAACGAGAAAAATCAATCAATCAATCAATCACAATGACCATAAACTCGTATTAAACCCATTACACCACTCTCCCCTAACACGACAAGACCAAGCCCCTCCCCCCAACCCACCCATCTCTACGCCCACCCCATCAACACGACGCCCTTCCCATCAGCTCCCAGATCCCCAACACCCCCCTTCATTCCCCCGCCTTCTCTCCACGCCTCATCAATTAGCTCCCGCAGCCTCCGCGCAAACTTCTGGAACTGCCCCGCCTGATACGTGCCCTTCCACTCCCGCGGCAGCCTTATGTCAAACCCATCCACAACGACCTCCTCGCCCAGCGGCCGCGCGACCCACCGTATCCCGTCCGGCGAAGCTGTAGATGGCGTCTCCGGCCCCAGCGGCCGCAAATCCGCGCGCTCCGTGTGCCCCTCGCCAAATAGACTGAACAGCGTCAGCGCGAACGACGTCGGCGGGTGCCGCGCGTCGAAGAGGTTCGGCTGCTGCGTTGCGTTCAGAGTCCCGTTATGCTGCTGCTGCGGTCTCCGAGGACGTCCGAAGTACGGCCCCGGCGGATGCACTGGGAATCCACCGCTGGGCTGCGCCGGGGCGCCGTAGCTAAGATCGCCGCCTACGGAGGAGGCAGCGTCGCCCGTTACGCCGAGCAGCACGCGCCGGCCGCGCCGCTGGCATTCTTGCACCACGGCGCCCAGCGCGCTGCAGTTCAGCAGGCCGGGGGCTTGGAGCGCTTGCCGAGGGTTAGGCGCGGAGCAGCCGGGGTAGGAGTGCAGCGAGGGGTAGGCGCTCGGGCCGTAGAAGCGAGAGAGGAGGGGGAGGGTTATGGTGCGGATGTTTGGGTTGGCGCAGATGCGGCGGAGGGTGGTGAGTGCGTTGGCTGGGTAGGAGGTGTTTTGGGAGGGTGGGCTGGAGAAGGGGAGGAGAGTGGGCGTGCTGGGGAGCGTGGGGAGGGAAGAGGATGAAGTGCGGGTGGATGAGAAGGAGGTGAATGTGGTGTTGGGGTAGCGCGGTGTTGATGTACCCAAGGGCAGTCTGTGGGACGAGGATGCGGGGCTTGTTCCAGTGACGGCGCCGGTGGGCCGGACGACGGGCGAGGGCGTCACGGTCACGGTGATGTATCGAGTGCTTTGCCGCGTCGTTAGCCGTGTCGTTGTTGTTGAGTTCCCCGCTGCTGCTGTGGTGTTCGGCTTGATGCTCGGACGCAAGGGGTTCGTCAGGGTCAACGGCTTCGAGGCCGTCGGATTCGGATACACACTTCCGTTCCCGGAGTAGGAGTGGAACCCTGTCCTGGTACCCGTCGGGGGACTGAAAGATTCCGTGACGTAGAGATCGGTAGGTAAATGAAGAGTGATATTCCTCGCAGAGGACGAGGAGGTCGGATACACGGGCAGGATGGAGAACATCTGCTCGGAAGTCGGGGTCGCAGCTGCTGTTGTCATTGTGCCGTTTGCGCGCGTGGCAGGGGGGAAGCTGTAGGAGAAGTCGGGACTCCAGGTGTAGATTCGGTAGATTGATAGATCGGGCTTCCTCCGTGCTGTTGTCGTTGCGTTTGTTGGAATGGGGGGCCTGGAGGTAGAGGGGGCGCGAGATGTCCATGTGTAGATGGGTAGGATGGACATCTTAGGCTTCTTTGTCGTTCCAGTCCCAGTCCCAGTCCCAGTTCCAGTCGCCGTACCATTCCATCCCCCAGACGTCGGCGTTGAAATACTCAAACTACTTGCTTCTACCGGTGTTGGTGTTACATACACCGTCGTCGTCACACTAGCGGTGCTCGAACTCGCACTAGCACTCCCCTCCTCCTCCTCCTTGCCCATAATGCCGTCGAAAAGGTACCGCAGGATCTCAAACCCATCGTACTGGCCTAGAAAATTGCCCAGATCCTTAAAGAAGGTTTGCGGCTCCTTTTTGCTGTTCAGCGCGTTTTCCGGCTGCGGGAGGGCATTGCGGGGGTCCAGGAGCTCGTGGGTGTATGGATGGCGTGCATTAGGATTGGGGTTAGGGTTGGGAAGGGCGAAGGCGAGCGTAGTAGTGCTGGTCAGGAGGAGGAGGAGAATAGATATTAGAACGCGGAGGGTGGAGTTGGGACATGATGGCGCCATGGAGGGCGCGCTATATTAACTAACGAGCGAATAAAATGGAGACGCAAAAGAAACGAGTGACTAGATTGAGCGATGGAGTGGGAGAGGCGTTCTGCGGCGTTGTGGGAGGGCGTATATACGCGTCGTGTGCCAAGCAAGGGGAGAGGGTGGCCGGCAAGGGCGTGGAATGTGCGTCCATAACACATCAGTGCGCGTGTCTTGAGGGTGCGAACCGCTGCACTGGGATGGGTGCGCCTTAGGTGGGTTGAGGGCTCATTATTTGTTGGATGGTGGGGGTGTGGTGATGTGAGGGTGCGCATTCTTTGCGGTTTTGAGGTGGGACGGGAAGTGTGGAATGTTTTGGGATTTGTGGATTGCCGCAGTCTAGATTAGATTAGTTGGATGGGATGGAGTAATGGATTGGAGGGGCTAGAGAGGAAGAGGAGTAAGAACCCGATAAGCTGTGTGGGTGGAGGTGTACTTTCGACTTCGTGACAGCCATTCTAGCTCACGTGAAGATCGCATCCAGAAGGCTTCCTTCTTCACAATCGCAATCTGGGCAACAGCCTCAAAGGAAACATTTCCATCCCTGTCAACGTGAAATCCTTTCTTTTGACTCAGAACCTCCTTATATATAGCGATAGCCTCTTCCCAGCGGACTTCATCATCCTGTGTCCAGCCTCCAGCAAGCTCTCCAATAGCAGACCAGATGGCACACGCAAACTCGTCCAGGTCGTCCACCGGAAGAACAGCCGATTTCTCATACAGCTGCGCGTCCGCAGACTTGAAGCCGCCTTGCACTAAAAGCTCATGATTAAAAGCTGCATCTTTGTGCCTCGGATGCGGCTCAATAGCAGGCGGGGCATCCGGTCCCCAGATCCGACGACGCGTCTCTCCGGCAGACTCGCCCTGCGGTATTCTCAACCAGAACGCAGTGATAGCAGTCCCTCCAGGCTTCAGCGTGCGATACATTTCCTTTGCAGCAGCGACGGGGTCCGCCATGATCGGCAGTCCAAACGAAAAGAAAGAGTGTGTAAACGTCGAGTGAGCAAAGTCGAGCTTTCGGCAATTCATCACTTTTGCTTGGGATGGCCAGGCCTTCTGTCCTGCGAGCATATTGTAGATGGCCACCATAGGCGGCGCAAGATCGGTGGTATGGATGGCGATCGTCTTTGGCAGCGATGTCTGCAAGAATGGATTCCGCGATGCTGAGCGTTTCATCAGCGCTAATGATGGCAAAAGTCGCTCATCGTGTGGCATCGCCTACTTGGGTGTGAAAGACATCATGGCGTGGATGGTGCAGGGCCGCTGCTAAGGGTGAGGTACAAGTGTTGCGTGGGGGAAGAGGTCGCCTTATGCATCATTGCTGCGTAGCCGTCAGCCGTAGCACGGAATACTGCTCACATAATATTAGAACTACCTTTGAGAGACCTATATCTATTCATGTTCCAAATAATGTTGTTTCACCCCACTTACGATAGTAACGAAAAACCCGTGAAAGTTTTATGTGCCCCATCAGCACTAGAGCTGTACGCGCCACGTGAGACTCACCTCTTCAATACAGCGGACAGGATAAAAAATCGGTCATTGCAAACCACGTCGGGAAGGAACAAGTGGATTAACCTTCAGAACATGAGGAAAACTGCTCGGTCGCGGGATGGGTATCAGACGTAAATGAAAAGGACTTCAGTTAATTGAGCATGCTTTGTCGCTCAAATCTTTCAGCCTGCGCTGCACCACGTTGAAGCACTTAGCCCTTTCCTCAACCTGCTCCGGCGTGGCGGGCGGCGAGCCCATCGGCCCCAGCTTCGCCAGTGCAACGATCTGTGCCAGCATCTCCCCCGCATTCTGGCATTCTTTGCGTATGACGTGGAGCTTCAACGAGCGCTGCTCTTCGGCGTTGATGGAGAAGGCGCCGAAGCCGAATTTGGGCGTAAAGTCGACCGACATGCCGCCGCTGCCTTCATGGTCCGAGGCTTCTGCCTCGAAGATGGAGTTCGCGCCGGCCTCAAGCAGCGTGATGACCTGGTACATGATGGTGAGAAAGAGCAAGATGCAGCGGTCGCATCGTGATTCTTGCTGGCACTGCAAGACCTTGCGCATCTCATTGGTGACGGAGCGGACTGTGTTGATGACGAGATCGAGCACTTTCAGCTCCGAGAGTAGGTATTGTTCCATGGTGATAATGATGTTGGTGAGGGCCATTACACATTTGCCATCTAGGTTGGTCTTGAGCCGTGGCAGTTCGGTGAGGCTGGGCTCTACGGATGGGAGGGGCGCCGTTCCGGCTGGAGCAGAGAGCAAAGAAGTTGGAAGTAGCGGCGCGGATATCTGAGATAGAGGGGTTGGTAGGGTAGTGTTTGGAGAGGCTGCGGTGGCTACGTTGCCAATCCGGTCAAGATCGAGAGGGGGGAGATTACTCTCGCCAGCGGATATAGAAGTCGTAGAGGAAGGCTCGGTGTCTCCTATGCCAGAAGTGACACGCGAGATGCTCTGCAGGGTGTCGCTTACATCGGCGAACATCCCCACGGGCGTCTCCAGCGAAAGCAAGGCTTCGTTCCAGTTCCACCCGTCGGGCGTCCAGCCCGGGAGCGTCTGATCGCGGGGGCCGGGCACGTGCGGCTGTGGGGACGGTAGATCTGATGCCGAGACTGTGATCGTTTCATGCGCCTCAGCTGCATCCTCGTCCTGGACTTGAACGGAATTGGAACGCGAGCGAGTAGTGTCGTCAGGGCCGGGCGGGTCTTCTTGAGTCTTCTTCCGTTTCGTTCGTACTCCTTGGACCTTGCCGACTCTAGATTCAGCGTAGACGCATTCGACGTGGATGCTTGTGCAGCGACCACATCCGCTTCTCTCGCCGCTGCATTTAACCTAAACAGAAGGTCTGATGTCAGCCATTGCGCTACTTGGTAAGAAGTTTTATCGAACCTTTGCGGTGTTGCATTGGTTGCATGCTGCTCGAAGCCTAGGTGGCTTTGGTTGGTAGCTGCTGTGGGGGTTATTAATCTAGGCGAGCCGTTTATTGGCGTGGGCGTGAAGAGGCGACTAACCTTCTCGAGACCTGCTCTGATGCAGGCATGGTAGCGAAATAGTGATAGGCCGCCGAGGATTACAGGCGTGGTGGATACTACGGTAGTACTCAGCAGTTCCATAAGAACTTCAAGCTAGAAATGGTAAGAAAGAAGCGTTACTAGAACACGAGCGGAGTATAGCAGCTAAAAAGGGTAGACGAACACCCCATACGAAACCGCGCCGCAATCGTGCATCGGGGTGAGGAGTGAAGTGTCAGGGGCAGGGATCGTCTCAAATGAGGATATGTGCAGCTGCAGGGAGAGAGAGTGCGGTGCATCTTCACGATGTCCGAGAGGGAGAGGCTGGATCTGCCCGCAGTGAGTGGTGTTTGGGCGTTGTGGCCAAATGTTGAACGATGGCTGGCTGACTCATTGCCGTTGCTTCTCAGCCTAGGTACGGCCCGCCATGATCGCCTGGCTGCGGCTCCTCCCGTCAACTGTGAGAGCTCCTTGTGTTGACAAGGGTGGTGCTAGCCTGCTTTTTGGGGGTGTGGCCACTTTGGTAGACCGGAGTCCGACAATAAACGAGCAGAACCAGAACCGTGGGAAGAAAGTATCAAGGCCGGAGACAGATGGGAAAAGATGATCCAGATCGGCATTTCATCTCGCCGTTTTGACGGCTGTGTGGTGTTGGCCCAATTAATTACAGCATTCGCAACTCAGGCGTAGCAGCTGCGGCAAATGGCGCCTGAACGAGCCAATGCACGCTTTATCGTTTAAATATCTTTGTGCTACTTGCGTGCAGCGAGCATGTTGGCCGGCAGCTTTGATTCCCCACTCAGGCTGCTTAGCCGCTAGACGGGAATAATCCTGCGACCGGGAGCCCCGGATGGCCCCACTTGACCTCGACGCGTGGCGGTCTTCGTGGAAAATGATATGTACAGTACCCTGGCAACAGTGCAGGTTGCAAGCTGTACTTCCAAGGTATATGGCGGGGAGGCCCAAATTAGGCGTGATCCCGCGACAAAGTTCGCTAACGAGACCTCGCCACCCCCCGTCGTCCTGTAATACCCTGTTATCTCGTCTTAAGTTTGCCGTCTTTCGAGTCCTCTTGTGCGTAGGCAGAAGCTTCATTTTGCTGTTAGTCAGTATAACCTCTATTGGTAGCTTGAAACGAGAAAAATCAATCAATAGACGGCGTCGAACGGTGGCTTGTCTGCGTCCATGTCGGCGATCGTGAATGCCTATAGCTTCCACCTCTCAGCAGGCCGGGAGGCGATGGTAAGGTCGGAGATCTTTGTGCAACTTATGCAATCGAATTGTCTTGATCTCACAGAGAGGGTGTCATCCTATATGGCTTTGGGGTCCAGTCTGAACAAGTCATCGTTACATTCTCGTCCTTCCCAACGCGGCGTATACAGATATTCCGCCGTGTTGGTGGTCGGTCCTTTGAAACCGACGGCCCGCTCCTCGCGCAGCGGGATCCGGACGCTACTCTTGATCGGCAGCCGATGGTTGAGTATGCAAGAACTGGTGGGCCGCTACAATCTGTGCCTAGCGAATGGACTCCGGTGCTTAATGAGCATGTCGGAACCCATTTGGCTGTCCAAGTGGCCTAGAAGAGCCTCGCATCTGCATGCTATAAAGTGCAAACTATCATAGTCCGGTCAGCTTCCCTGTTATCGTTAACTGAGAACGTAAGTCACAAAATGGCAAGCTCCAAGAGCAAGGAAGAGTACGTGATGAGCAGCGACAGCGAGCTACAAAGGCTTGCAAACCAACATGTCGTGCTCAAGAGCGGCATGGGCACTCTAGCTCTTGCTCCGGTCGACTTCACCAGTCCCAATCTCCGTATCCTCGACTCAGGAACTGCCGACGGTACGTTTTTTGCCTTTTTCCAGTGCTTGCAACCGCTCCAAGCAGAGATGTTAATGGCGCAAACGTTAGGCTTGTGGCTTCGTGAGCTCGATGAATCGGTCGGTGGATCGCATACCTACGTCGGGACCGACATCGTTCCGGAATTCTTCCCCAAGCACCCACCGCAAAGGCACTCCTTTCATGTGCAATCCATAACCCAAGATTGGCCGGATAGCTGGGCATCGACATTCGACTATGTTCACCAGCGGCTGGTCCTGGTAGGAGCTGGGCAAAGCCCGCTCAGTGAATGCATCGGCAGACTAGCCAAGCTTGCAAAACCGGGCGGATGGGTTGAGCTCGTCGAATACGACTTCACCGAAGAGTTGGAAAATGGCCCGGCGATCCGTCGGCTGGACCTCATGATGCAGAAGATTTTGGACAAGGTAGGCGTTGGAATTGACTTCAGCACACGAATGAAGGGCTACTTGAGCGATGCTAGCCTGGTAGATATGCAAGAGAAAGTTTTCTATGTCCCGTACGGAGCAGCGTGTTTAGATGCAGATGTAGCGAAGAAGGGTGTGGAGCATTTGGTTACGGCTTCCATCGGCTTGCAGGGCTACCTTAACGGTATGGGATGTGGCATATCGGTTTCGAAGCAGTTGATGGATTGCTGACAACTCTCAGGTCCGGAAGAATTGAACATGACAGCGCAAGAGATGAAAGACTTCCCAGAAGAGGTCAGAAAGGAGTTGGAAAACAGGGGTGCTATCATGAAGATCTTGGCCGTGTGCGGCCGAGTACCCGAATGATGGGACCCCGATGACACCCACAATTCTGTGCTCAGGGCGAATACCTAGGTAGTCCATAATATGGCTGGGACAGATGTCAGAGTACTTGTCAGCTCCGCCTCTATATCTCCCATTCTACTCATTTCTTCGCAACAGCCATGATGCACACCATCCTGAGCACTGTCTCGCCCTTGTCGTTCTTGGAGATTCCATCCCCGCTCTTCAGCTGCTCCACAATATCCGCAATAGCCTCGTCCCACTTGTCCTCGTCATTCTGGCTCCATCCGCTCGGCAAGGCGCCAAGGTAGCTCCAAGCCAGCTGAGCCCATCGCTTCATGTCGCCGATCTTGAGGAAGCAGTCCTTCTCCGAGCAAGTGATATCGATGAAGCCGCCTGTCTCCAGCGACTTCCTGAGATCTGCTTCTTGGAAGCCTTCCAGCGGCAGGAGAGCCGGCATCGGGCCGTCCTTTCCACGAGTGCGCCAGTGGGCGTGCTGCAGGGCCTCGACATGCGGCATGTAGACCCAGATGGAGGCGATTGCGATGCCACCGGGCTTCAGGGTGCGATAGATGTTCTTGGCAGCGGTATCGTGATCGCCCAGGCAGTGGAAGGCGAAGCTCGTGATGGAATGGGTGAAGTGGTCGGCCGGGAAGGTAATCTGTTGGGCCGACATGACGGCCGTGCTGACGGGCCAGTTGTGGGACTTCGCGAGTGCGGCGCAGCCCTCAACGAACTGCGGATTGATGTCGGTCGCGTCGATGTGGATGTTCGTGCCTGGGGCCAGCGACTCCATGATGCAGGTCGTGACGGCGCCTGAGCCGCAGGCGTTGTCGTGAATGGCATCGCCGTCAGAGAAGGGCGGGATGAGGCCAAGGCTGTACTTGATCGCCGTCTCGCTGACATCGCCCTGGAGCTCGGCCAAGTGCGAGGCCTCGTAGTGGGTGATTTGCTTGGGCTGGAACGCCATGGTGTGCTGGAGAGAGAGGGCAGCAGAAAGTTGAGAGTGGGGTAGGAGAGAGCGTTGAGAGTGTGGTAGGTGAGAGCAGTACCTCGCCGGTGGGAGCGGCATATATTCTGGTGCTGGCCTTGGAAGGGGTGCCGTAGGCCAAGGCCCGTGCGAGGCACAGCTCGTTGGTGTCAGGGGAGCTGTGTAACCGTCTTTGGCTAGCCCCGAACCCGGCGCTAGCCGAACGAAGGAAGGGCAATTGGGACGGCGCGCCATGTCTACGCGCTAGTCACACTTATTTCCATGTCGACCGCTACGTACGCCCTGAATCCACCAACGATACCGCCAACGATACCCCCAACTGTCCTTCAAGCTCTGCTCGTGGGCCGGCGCCGCACGCCACGACCACTTACAGCCCTTCAGTTTCGGCTCACCGTGTAAGAGGTGATGACGGCGATGCCGTCGTTCCCATTGCCAGAGTCAGGTTCCCTGTTTGCGAGCTCGACTTCCTCGGCGTGAGCGACCGTCTTGTTGCCCAGACCGCGCTCGCCGACTTGACTAGAACTGTCATCGAGCCTAGCGAATCCGGTGACAGACTCGTTGCCGGAGTTCCCCCCGGACCTCGACCCGTACGACTTGTTGATCGTGCTGCGGCTGCTGCGGGCGTAGGATAGGAGTCGGTTGGCCATGGAATTCAACTTGGGAGCGAGTTCCACCATGACCGGTTTCAAACTGGGGACGCAGCAGCAGATAATCCCGATCGGAAGTTCGAGCGTTTGAAGCAGAATCCCAAACCACGAGTAGTCGGTCACGTCCTGCGGGGGTATTCCGGTAAGATCGATGACGCATCCAATTTTGATCAACGATATGATGCTTGCGCTGTGGCGCCGTTAGTCCAACGGTCGCTAGAAAGTCCGACACATCCCGGGAGAAAGCTTACATGAGACCCAGGCATAGCAGCACAGATAGGATCACCTTGCTTCGAGTGGACACCTTCAGCTTCCAGATCAAAGGCATCGGCAGTATTACGATCCCAAAGTCAAGAATGACGTGCATCAGACTGATGGACGAGCACCAAGGCTTTAGGGCGATACAATGTCCTTGCTCCGTCGGATTCCACTGTTTGCTCACCGGAACGCAGAAGAAGATCTGCCCGAAGAATCCCGCGATGCCCAAACCAGTTATCAGCGCGACGAGTACATAGCATGCCCAGCGAAACGTGTCCACGATCCCGAAAATCCGGATGTAGAAAAACATGATCGAAAGTTGGACGACGGACACCACTACAATCCATAGCGAGAAGTTCACAAACAGAATCTACCTTGAGGGTCAACAATCCGAACTAGCATTGCTTGTGGGAAGTTACGAGTATGTTATCGTACCTTCAGAAACGTGGTGATAGCATTGGGATCAATCGCCATGACAGTCGCAATTGGTAGACCTACTCCTCCGGCAAACACAGCTGCCATATTAATGCCTTGGAATACCCAAGTCAAGAGCTTTTACAGCGTCAGCTTCCAGGAACACAGCTGGGATGGATGTGAAACATACTAGCGCAACAAAACACAGCCAGTCGTCGAATGCGAATTGGGCCTTCTGCAATCGCCTCGCTCTGAATCGCAGAGCCACACACAACGTGGCCAACACAACCATTATGACTGGGACAATCACAACGGCGAGCTGATGGTGGTTTGTTGCTTTGAACATCGTCATTTTGCCGGCGGCTTCTTGAGCAGGTCGTAAACGTTAATCCGAAGATTTTGCTGTACAAAACGCGAAAGACTGTCACAAGAAGAGATTAGAAGCGAACACGAGAGATACGAATTGCCACCTTCTGGAAGAAATGGGGTGGCGAACGCACGACCATCGAGGCATACAGGTGAGCCCGCTACGTCTAACAGTCGGGTACCGATTTCACGCAGGTCGACGGTAGCGTAATGCCAGCATATTCATGTTAGCAGAAGATTATCTGACTAATTCGCCCCCGCAGGCAGGGACGGCATCAACAGAGTCCGGCAGGCTGGATCGGCAACCGGCCTAGGCAGTAGTCATTTGTTCGAAGGCCGGGTGCCGAATTTCAAGCCTCGCATGCCAAACATGGCGACAAGAGACAAATCACAAGCTTCTATGGAGGGGGTTTTTTTTTCGCCTGTGAGCACGTGCGATAGTAGACTAGCTGCAAAAGTTTGTTGAGCGCGGCTAACTCCTCGCAATTGCGCCCTGCAACGACCCCATACAGTACAGAATCGCTGACGACAAGTTGAACGCGTTAAGCTTGGCCAAGGTCTTGCATTCCTCGCCGACCAAACTCCCTCAAGCAGGGGCTTCCTTTAACTCGCGAGTCCCTTCCGGCCTCCTACCTTACGCGATATCCTCGGTAGTTCTCGTGCTATTCCACACCCTGCAAAAGAACCCATGCTCATAGCGTTAGGAATCATCCTCAAAGGGGAACAGCAATCTCCTGCAGCGTACACGCCCTCAACGCTGGTCCGATTAAACGGCGGCGTTACCTTGATGCCCATGCCTGGGATACACTCAACTCCAAGCTGATCGGAAAGCGTACGATCCACGCTCAGGTCTGGCTTATGGACAACGAAAGCCAGTAATATCTGCTCCCCTTCGTCAAACTCTATGCATATTCCGCGATCATCCGTCCCTTTGACCAGGCGTTTGATACGTCTGTTTTCAACGTGGATCCCTTCGGGGACTTTGACTGCCAGCTCCTCCGCCAGCGATGAATCACCGTTGGTGTAGATGGTCACTGATTCCACGAATTTATGAGCATCTTGCGCGTTGGTGATAGCATGCCCGGGATGGGCTAGAGTGCCGACAGCTAGCACGCCTGCAGTTCGACTGCCCTGATGCTCATATCCGAAGCAAAACATGCAGTAGAAGCTGAGTACACTAATTAGCAGGTTGAATTCTTCCGTGGAAACTTGGTCAGGCCTACATTGACTTCCCATAATTTTCTGCATATCCTTCTATGTCCGGGTATGCTTCTTGCACTCCGGTCGCCAAGAGCACCTTCTTACCTGTCCATTTTTCCCCGCCTGCATCGATGACCTCAAAACTCCCGCCCAAGGTCTTCCTCGCCGTTACGACGGGTTGTGGAATGAAATCGACGAGGCGTGACGCTTTCAGCTCAGATCTAGTCGCTTCCTGCATCTTTTTCGGATCCTCGCCCTCCCATCCGGAGGTGAGGCGTGTCTTCGTCGAAGGTGCATTGCGTGGCGTGTTGGAGTCGAAGACCACGCATCTGTGGAGGGCTCGGTAGAGTGTCAGTGCTGCAGACAGGCCGGCGTAGCTTCCACCGATAATGATGACGTCGTACATCGCTTGGGAATTCGCTGCAGGCTGGACCATGGTGGATGGCATGACGACGAGTTTCTTGGTGGAACAAAACGGTAAGTAAGATGACTTAATGAAGCAGAAAGAGTACATACCTAGGTTCATTGAAACTCATGGCCCAAATTGAAAGGACGCCGAGCCCTATCCAGGTACGACGGCGGCACCCGGTGCCTCAAAGGCCTCGGGCAGCGGAAGCTCTGGTCGCCGCTCGCTGAACTTCAGCGCCGAAAACAGGAAGGTACGGGCCGGTGAGTAGACTCCAGTACTCATAAAACCGGTGACCAGGTGATACTATGCGGACGAAGTTCGTTCGGGCAGCATACAGCGGTCTGAAAATCGAAAGGACATCCACCCGGCCGCCGTTACGGATGCTTAGCTTGGGATTCATATATATGTATTATGAGGATCCAGTGGCCGGTCCTTCTAACGGAAACTGAATTGCAATCTTCTTCACTGTACAAGATGGGTTCAAGTGATGAATTCCAGATTTTTGATGTTCTGATCATTGGTGGTGGAATTTCCGGCCTTGCCGCCGCTCTTACATTGGCTCGACAGCAGCATACAGCGGTGGTGCTAGACTCCGAGGTCTATCGAAATGCACCGAGCCCTCACATGCACAACGTCCTGACGTGGGATCGCGAGTCTCCCCAGAAGTTCCGAGCTGCAGCCAAGAAGAACATTCTAGATTACTATGCCACCATCCGTTTCGAAAAGGCCGACATCGACATGATCGAGGAAGTCAAAAGTGTTCCGCAGCAGCAGTTCACTGCTACCGGCAGCGATGGCACAGTTTGGCGTGGGAGGAAGGTCATCCTCGCAAACGGCGTGCGCGATGTCTTCCCTGAGATTGAAGGATATGCGGAGTGCTTTGCCAAAGCCATGTAAGTGCGCCCTGTACTTCTGAGACAACATCCAGTCTGACTTCTTACAGCTTCCACTGCTTCTTCTGCAAGGGATACGAGGCTCGAGGTGCCGAAAACGCCGGGATTCTTGCTGTACCAGATATTGCATCCGCCCCTGCGGCCCTACATTTTGCGCGAACGGCCCTGAAGTTCGCGAAATCCATCACAATATACACGCACGGTTCAGAAGAGCTGGAAAAGGCAATTGCTAACATACAGGGAGACAATCAACTGTTCAAAATCGACAATCGGCGCATCGTGCGATTCGAAAAAGGTTCCGACCTTGCCAATGTTATCATCCACTTCGAAAGCGGTGAAACGGTCACGGAGGGTTTTCTGGGGCACAGACCGAAGACGGAGCCCAAAGGGGACTTCCATAAACAGCTTGGACTTGATATGTCGCCGATGGGCGATCCAGTCGCGAAACCCATGTTCTGCGAGACGACAAGGAAGGGGGTATTTGTTGGCGGGGATGGCGCATCACCAATCAAAATCATCCCTCAGGCGCTTTTCTCCGGGTCCGCGGCGGCGGCAGCAGTCTGCGCACAGATTCAGGCCGAAGATGCTGGACAGCCTTGCATTTTCTAATTCGATAGGTTGGATGGCTCAAAGTGTCCGTACGTAGATTAAAGCTTGATTATTGTTCATACACCGGCCGCCGAGACTCTTTGTCGTGAGGCGTAGCGCCTGTCAGCGTGTACGACAACGCCGCGAGCCTGCTCTCAACCGCTCATGGGTGTTACGGCGCAGCCTGTTCACTCTCTTCATTTGAGCTTTTGAGGGCGCTTGCTTTGCCGAACCCAAGCCTCTTTCTCAACCCTCCCGACCGTTTCGCATTCCTTCTCACCTTTCTGACCTGTAGCCATCATGGTGACTAGCGAGTCCAAGAGTTCTCAAGAAAACGTCGAGTTCGAAACCATGCCTGCGTCTGTCAAAAAAGGCGCTCCAGCCCAGCCGCCCTCGGCTGTCACGTCCCTTCATGATGCGCCATCTAAACCGTCATCACCATCGCGCGGGCTGCGGTTCTGGCTCATTATCCTTTCCGGATGTCTGGTGGACTCCTGCACCGCCCTGGACAGCACCATCATTGCGACTGCTCTTCCCAAGATCACTACCAAACTTCATGGCGAGCAGCAGTACGTCTGGTTGGCCAACACCTACGTGTTTTCTTGCACCGCAGTCATGCCATTCGTGGGCCAGACATCCAATATCTTCGGTCGCCGGGTGCCGATGATCATCTCAGTCATACTGTTCTCCCTTGGAAACGCCATCGCTGGGGCCTCTGTCAATGCTCCCATGCTGATAGCTGGTAGAGTCGTCAGTGGCCTCGGCGGTGGTGGCGTATTCGTCCTGCAGGACTTGATCATCTGTGATCTGGTGCCTGTGCGGGAGCGAGCCATGTTCCTTGGGATTCGTATCGCTATTGCAACCGTCTTTACTATCCTTGGCCCCATCCTCGGCGGAGTCCTCGCGCAGCGATCATGGCGGTGGGTGTTCTTCATTAACCTACCTTTTGCCGGCGTCGCCCTCCTGATTATGGTCCCGTTCCTGCGTCTCAAATATAAGCGAGAACCATCGTGGAAGAAAGCTGTCGCTCGCATCGATTTCCTGGGCAACTTCATATTCGTTTGCGCCATCTGTGCTGTCCTATTGGGGTTGATCATGGGCGGAACACAGTACGCTTGGTCTTCATGGCACATAATCGTACCGCTCGTGGTAGGATTCGCTGGCTGGATTGCCTTTCACTTCCATCAGGCCTCGCCCATTTGCAAGGAGCCCAGCATGCCTCCGTTACTGTTCAAAAACCGGACGTCGGTCACCTGTTTGGTTTTGACCTTCATTTCCAACAGTCTGATGCAGTGGATCGTGTTCTTCCTACCTGTCTACTTCCAGTCACTCAAAGGAGCGAGTCCCCTAAAATCTGGCGTCGACGTACTTCCCTTCAGCGTCCTCTTCGTTCCTTTAGCAATCCTAACTGGAGGACTCATAGCCAAATACGGAAAATATAAACCGATACACCTCATCGGGTTCGGATTCGCATCAGTCGGATGCGGCCTCCTCTCTATCCTTGATGGCGGCTCCCCTAAAGTTCAATGGATCTGGTTCCAACTCTTAATCGCAATTGGCGTCGGCTTTACTATGGTTAGTATACTGCCCGTCATGCAGGCTTCCTTGCCGGAGTCGTACGTCGCTACTGCTACAAGCACCTTTGCTTTTGTACGTAATTTCGGCTTCGTATGGGGAGTCACGATTCCAGCCGTCATATTCAACGCCAGAGTCAATCGAAATCTTCACTGGATCGACGATGACACCACTCGAGCTCGCCTGAGTAATGGAGGTGCGTACGGATACGCAGGCACGGGAGAGATCAACCGCCTCGAATCCAATGTAAAGGCCCAGGTCCACGATGTTTATGCTTCAGCTATGGAAACAATGTGGCAAGCAGCCGCGGCGATGGCAGCGGTCGCATTCTTTTTAGTGTTCCTAGAGCAAGATATCGAGCTAAGAATGGATATGGAAACCGAGTTTGGGATGGAAGATGAGAAAAAGGTCCAGGAAACGTCGCTTCCCAAATGAGTATCCACGTGGATTTACGAACTTGAGGCATACTTGGAGGGCGTTGGCGGCTGTGGCACGATTAATTTCAAAAACACTATTGTGTATATACAAAGTTTCATAGATTAATATATGTTGTCTTGAGTCAGAGTCGCCCACTGTACAATTCTGGAACCGTCTCTTAGAATAAGCTAAGGCTCGTTAGTAAGCCACCTATACCTAACTTTCAAACCGTGACGTTGTCACTCACTGGCAAAGTACCCTTGCGTGACCGCGGAATCGAGAGCCATGGAAACCCTCCTCCCTCCTCCCCGGGTGCCGAGTGAGGACCACCGGACCCTACAAGCTAGACGTCTTTTCAGCAACGAAACTCCGAAACCCGGCCGAGCTTAATCCACCCGCCGATAGCTTCTTCGTGTGAAAGTTTGAAGTTTTTGAAAAGAAATCTGGCTTCACACCTTTGCAGGCGATCGGACTCAACAGAATATACCGGCCTGAAAACTGAAAGCCCGCCGCGCAAAAGCGTAGGGATCGATGCGCTCCACAGCAAGGATTCTAACAATATTTTCCTTCTCTGTCACTCTACACACCTGCTTATTTTGGCGTGCGGGGCTCTTCCTTATACAGAACTGCGGCCTGAACGACATCTACGAGGAAGCTCCTCTTATCGGTAAGTCTTAGGGCCGCCATTAGTTCGGCTGCGGTGCATGGAGTATGGAGTCCTTGACCTAAGTTGATCGCCACAGACGGACATAACGACTTTCCAATATGGATTCGGGCCTTCTATCACAACCACATCTATCAATCCAACTTCACCAATGGATCAGAGCTTTATGGGCAAGTCGACTTTCCTCGTATCCGTCAGAGCAAGCTTCGAGGTCAGTTTTGGAGCGTCTACGTTGAATGGTATTTGCTCACATACACTTTCCTGCGTTCAGTTTTTTTAACTCCAGCATAGTCCAAAGGCATCAGCGAATTACTCCGATGAGATATACCGCGAAATCGTACATGACACACTTCAACAGATTGATCTCGTTGAGCGCCTCGTTAAAGCATACCCCACTTATCTCCAGCATGCATACACGGCCTCTGAAGTCTGGAATATATTTTCCTGCTCTACGAAAATTGCCTCTCTGATGGGCATTGAGGGCTCGCATCAAATAGGGAACAGTGCAAGCATCTTGCGTATGTATTCCTCCCTTGGCGTTCGATATGCGACACTTACGCATACCTGTCACAACATCTACGCGGATAGCGACGAGCCAGAGACACCTCTCCATGGAGGCTCATCCGACGCCGGGAAAGCGATGGTGAAGGAGATGAATCGGCTTGGCATGGTGGTGGACCTCTCACACGAGCTTTGGTACGCAACGAGATGCGCTCTTGTTCTCGGTCGCACCGGTCATTTTCTCGCATTCAAACGCGCACGCCCTTTGCAATCACACCCGCAACGTCCAGGATGGTATTTTGTGGAAGCTCAAACTGAATGATGGCGTTGTCATGGCCACGTTTTACCCCTCTTTTTTGGACGATAACCCTGAGCATGCATCGTTGCACTCAGTTGCAGACCATATCCAATATATCGGCGACTTGATAGGGTATCGGCATGTAGGAATTGGCTCGGACTTTGATGGTATGGCAGTTGGGCCGAAAGGATTGGAAGATGTTACCGAGTATCCCTATCTAATCAGGGAGGTGCAAAAGAGGGGAGTTCGAAGAAAGGATATACTGGGTATCATGGGCCTGAAATGTTCTGAGGGTTTTGGAAAGGGTGGAGCACATTTCCGAGTCTATGAGAACAGTACATCCTTTAGAGGATGACGTCAAGCCCTTTTTCGATTCTACCTAGGTATTCTTGTATATCGCCGAACCCGAGACGGAAATTGAGGATTTACCGGATTCAAAGTCTTTATTCAGGGTAAATTGAAGCTTTAGTCCCTCCTATGGCCAATAATATCTGCTCCTTGAATCCCATCGGTATCCCAATCTTCTGCAGCTAGTTTCATCTGGAGCAGTTCCACATGTATAACCCATCAGGCTTAGCCTCGAGACTTTCATGGGGGGATGGAAACAAATTGCTCTACCAGCGACTTTGTGGGGGAGAATGGTAAAAAGGAACCGGTACCTACTCGAAGCTTGAGAACAGTATCGCCTACCAGAGGTAAACTGAACCACATGGACAGTAGTACCCAAGCGTAGCCCACAAGATGATTCAACCTTTTCATCCCTTTCCCTTTAGTATTTCCCTTCCCCATACTATTCCGCCAAACCCATATTACAAAATCCTCTGCTGTGATTGCAATCGCTTGCCAGATGAAGAAGAGTAAAAACCCCAAGGAGCATTCGCTCGCACTGATATTAGCCGGCCGAGGCAGATGGAGCTGTCCTAGTGCGTGAAAGCTTCCGGAGATGAGGAAAGCGAGGTAGAGCTTTGTATATGAAGAGATATTGCAGCCACGTGGGATGCCCAGCAGGTTCGCAAATGTATCGGTGTATGAAGTAAGCATCTTTAGATATATAGTTAGTAGTTATATAATGCTGTAGACAATGCACTATAGCAACTTACGTGCCGGAGTTGCTGATGCCAAAATGAACCCCAGAATGAGCGCACAGTCATCATTTCTTTGAAGCCTCCAAACGGAGACGGCCAATCCTAGACGACCTGTCAGTTTGCGTAGGCCTCTCGAAGTGGATATGGCATCCTACTTCTGGTTCACTGAGCCCAAGCAACACTGCAAGGAATGCACCTTGCGCAAACTGCATGCTGAGCATGAAATAGGGCAAACCCCCAAATGAAAATGTCTTGAGCAGACTCCAACGCCGGTCCGGATGACGGAGTGTAAGGACCCTACTATCCATTTCGCCGACCTGCCCACCTGGAGGGGTGAAATTGACTCGCTGGTGAACCTGATAAAGAAAATCGGCCATACAAGCGCATACCAGGGATTTCGCTAGTTGAGCTATCAGAAAGCGAGTTCTGCGGCTTCTGGACGGAGGTTGAACGTTCTTGACATGGTGGTTCCACCGGATGCCGCGCTGATTGAACATGAGAACAGCAGCCCACCGAAACTTCTTCCAGCCAAATCCGGTGTAGGTTCTGGCCTCCCGAGCAGGTCCATCAACTCGCCAAAAGCGTTCTTCGGGGCCTTCAATTCCTGAGAAGACAAGCTTAGCCAACGTGGCAGTGTAGAAGGACCATGCAAGCGAGAAGAGTTGCGCTAGGTCAAAGTTGTTCGTGAAGTGAGGATGCAGATTGCAGTAGATTGCCAAGGTAATGATAAGAGTGCTGAAGATGGACCGGCGTCCGTTGAAAGGGGGAGCAGCGAGTGCGGTGAGTTGGCAAAGCCATAGTAGAATGTGAGGGACGATGGAGGCATCCGGCTCTTTCAGTGTTGTGTTGGCGGGGCGGTAATTCATGCTGCCTAATGGTGGAGGGGCGTTGGATCGTCTAAAAGGTATAGAAGTAGCCTCAGAGGAGTGTCAGAATCGGCGTTACGTAGGATCTGCCGAAAAGATCAAGTCAAAAGCCTCAGTCCTCGCGTACCGGCTCAGAAGATTATTCAGAGTCGGCTCGGAAGACTCTAATTAACGGCGCTATCTATTTTCACGGCGTCTCGTTAGAGACTCATGGTGCGCTATCGGATTGATTGGTGTTCGGTGCGACAAGGGTGGTAGCTACCAAGGTCGGCACCCGAGATTGGCTGCCGACTCCTTCCAGCCCCAACAAATCTTAGAAGGAAACGTCCACTACATTATAGAATTATATAGGCATCTAAGAAGAAGGGAAAGAGGGCCCCTCTTGCACGAGTTCGGTCGCAATGTCCTACCTTTCGCTCATATGTAGCATCCACGCGTCCTACCCCGGACTACTCGCCGGACTGGGAGCACTTCTTTTGTGCTTCTATGGCAGCCGACACTCAGCATCTATCTACAGCTGTTTTCCCAAGTACAACTCTCGTTCAATTTTCGGATTACCCCTCCATAAAATCGTAGAAAACGGCTACTATCAGGTGCGCTGCTCGGTCCTTAGGGAGTGCCTCTGTGACGAATGTTCCTAGATCATCAAGAAAACGCAAAAGCCCTTTGTCATCTGGTGGTGGGCCAATGACTTGATTGTTATGCCGCCAAGATATCTCAAGGATGTCCGAGGGGCGAATTGGAAGCACCTCAGTTTCTTTCACAGTATCAGCAATGTAGGCACATTTACCTGGCTCCGGGGCTTTTTAGAATTTGAGCTAATGTAACCCACACGATGCAGGCTTTTCATCTCCATGCTAGTGTTGGCGATCTTTACACTGCGGATTCGTCGTACCGAATGGTCGAGGTGGTCAAAAAGGGCTTGAATCCAAAACTCGGCAAGCTACCTCACAATTTTTATCAAGGCATTGCTGACTCCCTTGAGCAGCTGAACTGACGTCAGCAATCTCGGAAGAGGTGGATTTCTCCTTGAATGCACTTGTGGCGCGTACCGAAGGTAATGATATAAGCGTTCTCCGACTTCTTCCCATATTTGCGCTAACCCTATTTCTAGGCTGGAAAGATGTCAAAGCTATGGATTTCTTCGGAGAAATCGTGCAACGCGTGGCCATTCGAGTGCTACTATGTGAAGATCTCTGCCGGGATGAGAATTTTATCCGCCGATCCATGAGTTTCCAGGAGTCAATCTTCATCACAGCCCTAGTGATCATCAAGCTACCTTTGGGTCCTCTTCGCCGCTTCTTAGCTTGGCCGATCAGTTCGCTTCATCGATGGAAACTTCGCCACTGCATGAATCTCTTGCGTCCGGTATTGGAAAAGAGGCTGTCCCCGCGAAATATCAAGAAGCCGGACGCCATTCAATGGACTCTGGACCTTTTCCCGGTATCAGACTTGAATATCACTTCCGACCGACTCATGATGGAATTGCTTCACAATCTATGGGCTGGGAGTTCTGCCCCCGGAGGTATGCTAACGGAAGTCGTTTATCAACTCCTTCTACATGACGCTCATCTCGGGCCGCTCCGTAAGGAAGCCGCGGAAGCCGTGGATCAATACGGATGGACGGATCAGATGCTAAACAGTCTCCACTTACAAGATAGTTTCATTAGAGAAACCAACCGGCTTTTTCCTACAGGGTCTCGTGAGTACAGCTGACTAAAGATTACAAGTCGGTTCAGCTAACAAGAGCAGTGACTTGCGTAAGAACCGTTCTCAACAAGTCCTTCCGCTTCTCCGATGGTTTGACTTTGCCCGTCGGTGCACGATTCGGATTTCCTACGCAAGCTATTCAGCACGACTGTGATATACAACCTGATGCATTAGAGTTCAAGGGATTTCGTTTCGCAAAGCAGAACTCTCAGAATAATGCGGTGAAAGAAAGCGAGAAGAGATGGGGCGCATCCTCGGTGGATACTTCTTACTTTCCGTGAGTCACCCTCCATTTCTAAGTTGCCATCTAATGGTGCACTTTAGTTTCGGTTATGGCAATCACGTATGTCCGGGTCGCTTCTTTGCGGTAAGGTTGATCAAGCTGGTAATAACGAAACTCTTGCTCGACTACGATATCAAATGGGCTAGGGAAACAAATGACAGGCCACCCCCAGTTCAAGTTGAAGGACAATTCGTTCCTAACATGCAACAAACAATCTTCCTTCGTAGATACTCTGGGGCTGTCAGTTTAGTTCCTTTTTCAGGCTGAGCATAAGAGGTTTACGGACTCTTCGGTAACGCAACGCGGATATTTCAAGGTTAAGGATGTCTCGTCAAGTATAAAAAGATGTACCTTTGAGATGTATCCATTCCATAGATTGTGATGCTTGCATATGTTGAATCCCTCACGACAAGGTGATCGTGAGGAAAAACGTAACACTCCTGTCCGATCGCCCATAAGCGGGGACCGGGCGGTCTCAGGATTATTCGAGGTAACTAACTCCGGACCCCGTCTAATCTGCCTAATTTAAACCAGCATTTTCAACGATAATTAATAGAATCAGTGGCAAAGGCCCCCCACCACTGTATCTCACAACAAACCCTCTGCACAATGGCTACTGTTGAAGCTTCTATGTCATTTCTCGAGCTCTGGCCATCTACTGAGGAAAAGGAATCTCCATACCTTCGCGGCATAGTTGAAGACCACTTCCCATCCACCAATTTTACGAACGAAGAGCATACCGTCCAAGTTGCCGATGCCAGGCCCCGCAAGGAGCGTTTCACGCTTGATGAGCATGGTTTCTCATGGCGCAGTGACATTAACCTCTCGGTCGATGTGCTAAAGGCCATCAGGTCTAAGGAGAAGGCACGCGTAGCCGAGGCGTATTACCCGCTGGTGGAGAAGCTGCTGAAAGATGCTACGAGCGCGACACGCATCATTATCTTCGACCATACCTATCGCAAGCGAAACCCTGCATTGAATATGAAAGAAAATCCAAACGGCAAGGAACAGCCAGCTACAATGGTAAGCAGAACGATCCTTCTAGTGAAATGATTACGTTCTCACAATCCTTAGGTCCACTGTGATCAGTAAGTGTGGAAAAGCACCTAAACTCTAGTCATTAATCAAGAGGAGATCTGCACTTGGTGCAAGACGACGTATCGAGCGACACGCCGAACAAGACGCTGAACGACTGCTGGCGGGACGCTGCCAACTGATTAAGTACGAGCACCATCTCTCACAGACTCGGTGTAAGCTGATAGCTGCAGTGTTTGGCGCCCCATCAGCGGGAGTGTGGAGGATTGGCCTCTGGCTATCATGGACTACCAGACGTTGAGGTCCTGTGACGTTCATCCAACAAACATTTTCAGAGAACGTGAGGAACTTGTTGGACAGACTGTTGGAATTAACTACGCAGCTGATCAGAGGTGGTATTACCTACATCGGCAAACGCCCGAGGAAGTGACTTTGATCAAGATATGGGACAGCCAGGGAGATGTTGCCAACCGTAAGTCCTTCCATGGGCTCGAGATCGAGAAAAATCTTACTGACTGCAAAAGTGTGCGCTCATTGCGCTTTTCAGCATCCAGATAGTGTCCATGCGGCCATTCCCCGTGAAAGCATTGAAGTGAGATGCTTGGTATTCTATGAAGAGGGATCTGTTTGATAGTTTGAGCTTGGGCATCGGACGTTGACGCTACGGAAACGTTGCCGTTAGTTTTCTGCAATATAAATGATTCATTACACAGGCTTTTTGCTAATTTCATTCGCAACCGAAGAAGGTTACGGGGCAAGCAGACATTTACGGCGGATACTAGCGCTCAACGAGAGGATATCAACCCACAGACAAATACTGCTAACGAGATATCAACAATGCCAGAAGCGAGAAAGAAAACGCCTTCCGCCAACGCACTGTAACTCTGCCAGCCACCGAGTGCCAACGGACCTAGCACGTCTCCCACAGTTTCCATCATTGCTAACGCCGCAAGCGCTTCAGACTTTTCAGACCCTCCAAATTTCCCGATGACGTGGGCCTTGATAAATGATGGCGTAGGAAGGCCAACCGCTAACAAAGTCGCCGCGAAATACACTTGCCATGCTTTAGAAGCGAATCCAACCGCTAGCAGAGAACTCGATTGAAAGACAAGGGATAGAGGAGCCAGAACTGTATGTATGGTTCTTCCGGAATCTAGCGCTGACTCTTGACTCCGCCACGAAAACATTCGCATTAACCAGGGCATGATGTACAGAGTCATGTAGATGTAGGCAGCACCGATCGAGTGGACCATGGCGACGAGGAAGCCGTTTTCCCTTCCCGTGAAGCCGAATTTTAAGGACGTATGGATTAATAAGGCGTTAAACATGTAAGATTGGACGAGATTGTATGCGAGTAGACTGAGTCCGGAGAAAAGCGCTGAGTGACGCCGGCCTAGAGTCCTCAACGGCGATATCAAGGTCTGCAATGGCCTTTCCGGAAGCCAGTCGCGACCTGTGTCAGTCTCCACCGCTTCTTCTTGTTCATCTCCCCCTAAGGGTTCCGTTATAGACTTTTGCTCTGCAGCCTTCGGGGTGACACAAAGCTGTAGGTATGCAGCTACCGTCACGAAGAGCCCGATTGCAACCATGAAACTCACTGCAAAATCTTTGAATAGTCCGGCAACAAACGGGCTCGCTGATATCCCGACCATATACAAGGCTAGGGAGTATCCGATGAAGGAAGACGCCGTTTCCTCTCTCGGGCTTTGCGCATAGGCTGTGTTTAGCGCAAAATGCAGTAGGTTGTCAGAGGCGAGGCCTTCAAAAATGCGATTGCATAATGCGATCTGAATGCTGTGGAGGTTGACTGTACCAAAAATTAGCATTGATGGATCCCAAAATTTTGATTGACTTACTTCCGAGTAACAGCATGACAGCGCTCATCGATCGGAAAGCGATCCAGAGGAGAAGGCTCAGCTTTAGTTTCGTCCTCGTGAGTCTTTGAAGAGGACCCAGGGCCATCATTCCCAAGATGTTTGCAACGGCTGTTGTAACCGCAACAGATCCAGCAAATCTCCTTGTTTCGTGTCCTTCGCAATGCCTCGGATCTCTGCAGAGTAAAGTGGCATACGTAAACAATGCCGTAGCTGCTGTCGATGACATAGCTAATGCGGCAAAGAGTGCGAGGGGCAAGACCAGATGGGAAGGTAAGTAGAATCTCTGGGCAATTTCGTTTGCACTGACAGGCTCTCTGCGACTGGACCCTTCCGTCTCTTCATTTCCTAGAAGCGTTGTCGTCTCGCGGCTGGACTCAACCGCGATATGGCTCATGATTCCGACAGTGTTATGTATAGGCGCCCGTAGCAGTGGTGTTGTGGAAAGGCATAGAACAGATTCAGGATAAGAGCCGTTAGGCTAACGTCCCCGGTTTCGGCTAAGCCGTAGCGGGAACCGAGCTGGGAAGTCCCTGTCCCCGACCACCATGTGCTATATTAAGTCTACGGCACGCCAATCCCAGGATAGAAACGAGAACCCGCCAGTATGTCTGATTTGATGCTGGAAAAGCTTATCCGATTCTTAAAGACTGCGTTAGTTGGAGTTCGTTCTAGTGACGCCTTACGAGATAGGCTTCATCACCCAGATGGCTTACCAGACAAGAGACTCTCTGTTTTGGCATCGGAAGCACTCGATCTGCTATCAGACATCAGGCTGGAGCTTGAACCAGGTCACTTGATACTAGCAGATCATTTTATGGGTATGGATCATTGCCATCACGCAAATTCTCGACACTGATACGAAGACATAGGATACATGGCCAGCAAAGCGCTCTGTGCCGCAGTAGAACTAAACGTTCCAGACATTCTTCGCGATGGACCTATGCCTTTTGAGGAACTCGCCCGGGCAGTGGGTGCACGCCCGGATCGTTTCCGCCAGGTCATGCGCACGCTCGTCAACAACGGCATCTTCTCCTACGACCCGAAAAAGGATACATTTCAGAACAACCGAACGTCGATATTATTGGTCTCCGACCATTGGACGCAATGGCACAACTGGGTTGAATTGTATGGGAACCAGTTCTATGACATGGCTCGCGGTATCCCCGACGCTTGTAAGAAGGAGGCCGTGCGCTGCCCTTCCCAGATCCATTTCGACACGGACGACAGCATGTTCAAATATTTCACTGATCAAGGGTTGATGCCGAAATTTTTCAAGACTTTGAGTGGAGGGGCCATTGCTCAGGCGCCCGGGATTCTTGAAGACTACCCCTGGGAAGAAGTCGCCGGCGGGACCATATTGGATCTAGGCGGTGGAAGCGGTGGCTTGATCGCATTATTGCTTCGTGAGCATGCAACCATGAAGGGGGGTATCTTCGATCTTCCAAAAGCAATCGAGCAAGCGACGATGAATTTCCATGACAATGGGGGACAGTACGCCGACATTGGGGAACGGGTCCCGCGCGAGAACCTTGTCGTCGGGGATTTCACGAAACAGGTACCGAGCTTTGAAGTATATACCATGAAATGGTGTCTTCACGACTGGGACGACGAGCATGCGACCGCTATCCTGAGGAACATCCGACAGGCTATCAAGAGGAGTTCGCGAAGTCGGCTCGTCATCCTCGAGTCTGTCTTGCGAGACGGGCATATGGGACGAATGTCGCGGTATGGAGACTTGAATATGATGGTTGCAGTGGGCGGCCGAGAAAGAGACGAATGCGACTGGAAACATTTGGCGAGGGCAAGTGGGTGGATGATGAGCAGAGTCCATGTACTGAGAAACGCGTGGCCTTGCGCCATCGAATTTGTGCCAGTGTGGAGCAGGTCAGAAGAGGGACCAGAGATTTCCTAGGTACCTTAGCCCACCATTTTCGATCGTTCTCATGTATACGGCGTCAGTCTCGAGACTGCGGCCTAGCACTCTGCGCGTAATAATGAAGACGCAGTCATGAAAACATGTACAGGAGCGATGGGATGCAAAAGCGCGTCGCAGGCCTGCCTGGTCGCCAATTCGCGCGCCATGTCGCGTCGTACTCGCGTCGTGCAGGCAGGGGTGCTCGGTGCCCGGAGCCAGGATGAAACGGGCACCGCCAGGGTACGGCGCGCTCCAGAACGCTACCTTTGAGATCTTTGGGATAGGCAGCCAAATGGCTGCAACTGATGAGGGCCTATGGTGCGGGCATCAATTACTATACCGAAAGTGCTCAAGGTATCATTACGGAGAGACCAGGCCTACCTCTTCCGGCCCCCGGTTGCTTCCGACGCTGCCGGCCGGCTCCCGATCCACCCGCGCCTCTCAGCCCGGCCGAAAAACATTCTCCAGCCTTCGTACCGCATCCCGCAACACCTCGGGTTCCACCGCGAACAGCACTCTCGCCCAACCTTTCTCATGTTCCGGTCCATGATACGCTCTACCGCCGCTAACCAGCACCCCAGCATCTTTGATCCTGTTTACCATCTCCGCTTCGCCTTCCCATGTCTCGGCGTCCGTTAGACGAGCGAACACGCAGAGACCCGCGTTTGCCGGGAAATACGGTATGCCGCGGTCTTTGAAGAATGCTGTAAGCGTTCTGTACGCAACTCCAAGCCTTTTGGAGTTCATCTCGATCAATAGAGGGAGTTCAGGGGATGATAGAAGCCGAATGACGCATATGGTAGATAGAGACGAGATCTGGGTATTTGCTGCAAGTGCGAGTCCGACTGTCATTTCTGGATTGGATTGTGACACCGTGACCCCCTGGTTTCGGCTCAGTTATCGCGTCTGGACTCAAGATATAGTGCAACTTACCATTCTGAACCCGCTTTGGCCAAAGTCTTTGCTCATGCTCCACACCATATGCACACGAGAAGGGTCAGCTCCGATGTGATCAAGATCAATCGACAAGACTGAAACGAATGGCCGTGGCTCTTTGATTTCGGGATTCGCAAAGACGGAGAGGGCGTATATTTCATCAGAGATGAAGTGGAGGTTGCGCTTCTTGCAAAATTTCAGACAGCTCTCCAGAGTCTCTGTGGAATAGCAAACAGCGAGAGGGTTATGAGGATTCGTAAGGATCAAGGCCTTGATGGGTATGGTTGCCGACTCATATGTATCTTCAAGCGCTAAGAGAAGTTCGTTGGTAAAATTCGCTTCCAAGGATGGCAATGGTACGAGCACTGGCGTTACTGATGAGCGCACTTTGAATCCGAAGTCGTAGCCATCTACGTTGAGTGAAGCCCGGTCAGCTATCATTCTTTGCTTAACAATCATTCTTTGGTTTACTCACTCCAATACGGTCCAGGTGTAAGCACTCCATCTCCTGGGTCGCAGATATTGTACAAAAGGGTATCCACGCATGCCATTGCTCCCGGACCGGTAGCAAGATGAGCCGGCTCCACGAGTTTGAAAGGCTTGAAGTGGTCGTTGAGAAAGGTCGAGTACGCGTGCAACAAATCGGGATCGCCCGAAAAGCCTCGAGAGTAGGATAGGTGCTACACGCGGTCAGTTAGCTGACCAGATAGCTACAACAATTGACAATCTGAGCTAACCTACCCTGGAAGTCAAGTTTTTCTCGATGGCATCTTTACAGATGACAACCAGTTCAGGACGCATTAGCCAGTTTTCTGCCGTCGAAAGGTCAATGTTGTTGTTCTGCTTCTTCGATCTCTCTGCAACGGCTTCCTTGATTTTTGGTATGATCCCCTCCATTGTTGACCATCCACGTTTCGAGAAGGTGGCTTTCATATCCTGTACCACTGTAATTGATGGAAGAGTATTAACAGGAATTCCTTGGAGAAAACGTTGACGGTGCGGAGATTTTGAGGTTGCCCTACAGTCTTCGACTTCGACGCGGGAGCAATTTGCCGGGCACCGAGCGCGCCGCAGTCATGCACCATCATGAGCCATCGAAGCTTACTAATGCCCACTTTCACACGAAGAAGCCCCTCACTGAAGTCTAGCTTTCCAGCACGCCAGGGTTAGCCAAATTCGCAATCTGATCGCAGCACTTCTTGACTTCATCATCGCTATGAGGATCGAAAATGGGCTCGTAGCGATTTTCTACACCTATCCACCGATGCTATATGCCGTCCGGCTTCTTTGCCCGCTCGTTTTTCGTGGGAATATTGAAGACGCTGAAAGCAAGAGAAAGACGAACCTGGTCAAGGGGATTTGGTATCTTCAGTGGTTATTATCTCTTCTCATAGTATGCACCTTTGGCTCCATTTATGACTCAAAGCGTGTGGCGAAGTTGACTCTTCATGAAGCTTGTGACCAGTGGTTTTGCTGCTGTCGCGTATATATCCGCTATCCGAACCGGTCAAGATCTCAAAACGAACGAGGCATTCCTTGTACGTTTCTAGGCATGTGACTGGGATAACCTATGAACATACTGACAGTAGCAGATATCGTACGCAGCCGTTGCGTTGTATTATTCTGCTGGCTTACTCCCCGATCCGGACGGCCCTTTCAGCCCAAGCACTCCCCATTTCTGCGCTTGGATTGTGGGAGCCATGTTCGAAGGGCTCTTATTGTCCTATTTCTGGCGGGGGTTCGGTGATTCCTACGTATGGTATATTGCACTAGGTGCTGCAAGGTCGAGCACACTCATGGCCATGCTTTTCGCATATGTATTGACTCAATGGGACTATGCTTCGAGTGAACAAAAAGAGGAAGAGACGGAAAGCCTCCTCACCGCGAATGGGCATGACTCCCCCAGCTACGATGCCATCAACAGAAAGGTCCACTTACTCGAAAAGCCAGTCGGGCGAGCAAAAGCAGGCTGGTTGGGCTATTTCATCGGCTTCCGCATTCTGTTCCCTTACATTTGGTACGTCCCGACCCGACCACGCTCTGTTCGTAGCAAAGCTAACTCAGCCTCTAGGCCATCCAATTCTTTCAAGGAACAACTCATCTTCCTTGCGAGCCTGATTCTTGTCATCGCGCAGAGAGTCATCAACATCTTGGTCCCATGGCAGCTCGAGATCTTGGTCGGATCCCTTGGACGGGGCAGCATGCCGTACAAGAACATCGCAGTCTATGTTGTCTGCCGAGCCCTTCAAGGGCAGCAAGGGATTCTTGGCTCAGTACGCGCCATTCTGTGGATCCCAGTCAGTCAGTCACTCTTCCGGAGGCTGACATGTGCCGCATTTGAGCACGTTCTTGGATTATCGCTTGATATGCATTTGAGCAAGCGCATTGGTGAAGTTATGAGTGCACTAAACAAGGGGAGCGCACTTAACACCTTCCTCGATGGCTTCGCCTTCCAGCTGTTTCCTATGGTGCTTGACCTAGGCATAGCGGCGGTGTATTTTCTGGTCAGAGTCGATGCATTCTACTCGCTAATTATCATTGGAGTCATGTGGAGTTACATCTACATGACGATCTATATGGCTCAGTGGCGTGCGAGAGCTCGACGAGAGATGGCCAAGCGGGATCGAGAGATGGATGCGGCGAAGTAAGACAAAATCGAACACGGTACAATATCGAGTGCTGACCTTTCGGTAGGATGGATACCCTGATGTCTTATGAGACAGTTCACCATAACGGTGCGGTTTCGCTGGAGGCGGACAGGTTTGGTTCCCACGTTGAAGCCTACCAGAAATCCGAGTTTCTGGTACTCTTTTCCCTCAACTTCTTAAACATCACACAGAACATGGTCCTAACACTCGGCATTCTTCTGGTGGTTCTCATCTCTGCCTTCCAGATCTCTTTAGGGATCCACACGGTAGCCATGTTCGTTGGGATCCTGGGCTATTTCACTCAGCTTCAAGCCCCGTTACAATTCTTCGGCAGCTTTTACAACCAAGTTCAGACGAATCTTATTGAGGCGGAGCGGATGTTAGACCTGGTATTGAACACCCGTGGTTATCTACCGCGGAGCGCGCTGACGAAAGCAGTTCAAGGAGAAGCCTGCTATTGTTGACTCTGAAAAAGCTGTTGGACTGCTATACTGTTCGGGGTGGATATCGTTCCATAACGTCGCCTTTGCGTACGATCCTCGGCAGCCGACACTTCGCGACGTATCGTTTACCGTTAACCCAGGGACCTCAACAGCAATCGTAGGTGAAAGTGGAAGCGGCAAGTCAACATGCCTGAAGTTGCTCTATCGTTTTTACGACGTCATCGATGGCTCAGTTGTGATTGACGGTTTGGATATTCGGAACCTCAAAATGAGCAGTTTCCGGAAGCACATCGGGGTCGTTCCGCAAGATACCGTCCTATTCAATACCACGATAATGTACAATCTACAGTATGCTAAGCCTGACGCGGCGCCAGAGGAGGTATATGAAGCATGTCGCGCTGCAAGCATCCATGACAGAATTCTCAGCTTTCCGGAAGCATACGAGACGAAGGTTGGGGAGCGCGGATTGCGACTCTCTGGAGGAGAGAAACAAAGGGTCAGTTATATTGCTAACCCTCTCAATGTTGCTAACACGGGCAAGATTGCTATCGCACGAGCGATTCTTAAGAATCCTCAAATCATATTGCTGGACGAGGCCACAGCATCTCTGGACTCGCAAACAGAGCAGCAGATACAGGGTGCACTGGAATCTGTCACCAAAGGCCGCACCACCATCACGATAGCGTAAGTAAACACTTCGGTCACGCATCAGCTATGTTAACTCCATGCAAGGCATCGATTGTCTACGATCACAAAGGCTGACCAGATCTTGGTCATGCATCATGGTCAAATTGTTGAGCGAGGCAGACATGAGGAGCTGTTACAGCTTGATGGGAGATATAGGCAGATGTGGGAGAAGCAGACAACAATCAGTGATCCTCAAAACGTCGAGTGAGAGCAACGTAGTGGTACACATCAGTTGATACTTCAGCAGCTTGAGTAGGGAAATCTGCAACCAGGAATGAGTTAGTACCATCTATTGAAATATTCTGTGATTATATTGTCTCAGCTTGAAGCAAGGAATATTGTCACCAGCGCAATGGGTATGATTCATAGCTGCTAATGAGCCGCTACAGTGTTCCATAGATTGTGCCGGACTTCTTGTTATAGGCTCCCTTCGCGAAGAGGTACTCCCACGTCTGTCCAATCCCATCGCCACGTCCGAATATGGGAGCGAAAACCCAATCATGGACCATCCAAATGAGAAACACAACACCCCGTACAAGCCAAACGATGGGAGAGGGGACTTTACCATCCTTTCCGGTGTTGGAGTGTGTGATGATATCTATCATCCGCCACATAGGAGCGCACCATGCGAGAAAGAGAGACGCGCCAATTCTCGTCCACCAGCTTCGAGGTGGAACATAGTGGGGAGCCCGGGAAAGGAACTCTTGGTAAGCAAGGGGCAGCTGTGCCTCTTCAGCCCCCGCCATGACTACGTCCTACGCATTTCCAGGTAAGTAGTTGCATCTCTCTCTAGTTTCTGTCAACAAGCGAATATCACTGACCATATATCGCTGACTGGGGGTTGGTGTCGGGTGGCGGACCATGGTCGTGCTTCCCAGTGTTTGAACAACTACCTCAGCCCCAGTGTTTTCTGCATCTGCTGCGTCCAAGGGCTTCCCACAGACCCGTATATCCTGGTATGCAATTTGGCCCCCCTCTGAAGCAATGACTCGATGGTATTGCTCCGCCGTGATGAGATATGCAACGCCGATGACATCCGGTGAAAGTGCTTTCTCAGCTCCTGACTCTTTGCGAGGCCGAATGGAGTAGTACGATGGCTCTGAGTATGGGACGCCAGGGATCTCGGCAGTTAGAACCCAATTAGGGAGAAAGACTCTGGCGGACTTCATGGGTACAATACCTCGGCGACCGGTAAATTTGGCAGTGCTCATGTTCGACCCGTACGCGAGGTACCAGACTGTTTCAGACTCTGTCATGTTGGCAACCATTCTTTCTTAATCCCCGTAGTTGTTCGATGGTGCTGAGACATGCGCACGGGCGGGCTCTAGCAAGATATGGCATCGGCCCTGCACGTATTTGAGCCACCGGGCTCCGAATATTTCGTGATCTGGATTAACCGCTCTCTTGACGAAAGCAGTAAGGCATACGCCGCGGACCGGTATCCGACCAATTGCTTGTTATGTTACCTAGGGTACCTAGGTATGCTACGAGTATGGCGGGGGCTAGGTGAAAAGCTATGAACACACAGCTTGAGTCAATGCGAGCCTCTGAGCCCTAATTGGACGGCCTGTTCTTGTAGGTATCTCAAACTACCCCGGAAGAGCCCTTCGCTTCGTCAGAGTAATCTGCTCTATGGCTTCAACTTCAACACCCCTTTTAGCCCTTCGCGAAGTAGCATATGCGCTCGATGTACCCATCAACTCCATCGACTTGCAAAAGGGACTCCTAGACAATGGCGGCACATCCCTCTCCCTTATTCGACTTCACTACGCCCTCAAAGCCATCGGTATCAACCTTACGCTAGAATACATGGTTTCCGTCAGAAGCCTCACGCAGTTGCTCGAGCGTGCAAACCAGGAATGTGCGTTGCCTCGGCAAGATTATTCTCAAGACTTCAAACGCAGGACACTGGAAAGTACAGAACCCACGCCGAAGCGAAGAAGCAGTGCCACGTTCGATGCACCGTCCAGAAACGCTCACGAAGACGCTCTCCGATACCCAATGACGGAGATGCAGCTTGCTCTTCTACAAGCGAGTTTAAGAACTCCTGGGACAAATATCATCTGCTACCACGAAACTCATCGACCGGAAAACCTCGCGGCTCTCAAGAAATGCTGGGCGACTGTCATCCGTTCTGTGCCCCTCCTCAGCAGTACTTATGAGCTGCGAGGACCCGAGGCATATATCGTCGAAGCACAACGTCAGTTACTGGACTGGTATGAAGTAATTGTCACAAATCCGGACTCATATGCCCAGGAGATCGAAAAACAAAGTCTGGAAGGTGCCTGTTTTGGGAGTAGCTTTCGGGTTGTTACGCTGAAGCCCGAAGATGGCAAATCGGGAAAGAGCAGAGTTATCTGGAGAGTGCATCACGCACTGGTCGACGGATATTCGCACGGATTGCTGCTGTCGAAGCTCCAGAAGGCTTTTGTCAGAGAACCAGTCGGACCAAGCGTGCCGTTCGTTCGATTCACCTCCGGTTTGCACGCGCTGCAAAGGAGCTCAGATTCGGTTGGCAAAGCGTATTGGGCAAGACACCAGACTGAACATGGAAACGGTACTTCGCAGTTGCTACTACCGGCTCCACTAGCAAATGCATCGTCTTCCCAACGCCCGTCTAGCGTTTTCGAAATTCACATTGACAAAGACGTGCTGTTGGCGAGCTGTCAGGAGATTGGAGTAACCTTGCCGACGTTATATTATGCAGCGTGGGCGCTGACTCTGGCCAAGTACATCGGGTCGGATGATATCTGCTTCGGCACGGTGCTCTGCGGTCGAGCTCTTCCAATTCCGGGCTGCGCATCCATCATAGGCCCAACAATCAACACGTTACCAGTCCATATCAAACTCGAGCGTAGTTCAACCTTCGCCAACTATGTGCAGGAAGTGTTCAGGCAGATTCTGGAACTGAGTTCCGTCCAGTGGACGTCTCTGAAACATGGCTTTACCCGCGATTTTCAGACCGCCTTGAACATACGCGTCGAACCACAATTCTCGAGGGAGCATCTGATTCCATTGGAGCGGCCGTTCAGCACCATACGATCTGATGTGCCGCTGCAAGTCGAGATTCTGAGGGGAAATCTAGATCTTGTTCGCATTCACTATCATACCGACCGCTTCACGCAATATCAGATTGAGCAGATTGGCCAAGTATTTAGGAACGCAGCCTACATGGTGCGAAATATGGCTTCTAGCGTAGAGTCATGTCTGGCGTCCCTCATCAGTGACACGCAGCGCTGCGAACTAGGTATTTTGGGCAACTGGGATTTCGCCAGCACCGCTGCAAAGTCGATCAACGATGATCTGGTGTCTCTGTTCACCAATACTGCCTTGGAAACTCCTTCAGGGACCGCAGTCCAACAGGGGCCAGCGAAAATAACCTATAGCGAGCTGCACACCAGATCGTCACTAGTTGCGCGCCGAATCAGGCACATTGTCAAGCTCGAGGATGTGGTCTGTGTACACGCTGATCGGTCCCTTCACTGGATTATCGCAATCTACGCAGTCCTCAAAGCAGAGGCCGTGTACTGTCCGCTAGCCGATGACCTGCCGGCCTCAGTCCGAGACATGAACTTCGCCACTTCTGGAGCCAGTCTTTTCATCGTAGGAGCAACAGCGGACAAAAACAAGAAACCAGAATCTTGCGAAATGTGTATAGCCATCGAGGAGCTAATGCAAGGTCCTCTCCAAGATCCTGGGGAGGAGGACGACGTTCGGAAATGGTCAACTACCACTACACCAGAAAGGGGAGCTTACCTTTGCTTTACGTCTGGGTCGACCGGGAAACCAAAAGGAGTCTTGTGTCAGCATAAAGGCCTCGTCGCTTTCCAACGCAACTTTGATGTTCGCCTGCGTGCTCGCCCAAAATGGAAGATAGCGCAGGTCATGTCTCCAGCCTTTGACGGCAGCATTCACGAGATCTTTTCAGCTTTGAGCTATGGAGGAACACTGGTTTTGCGAGAGAATGAAAGAGAGAAGCAGCTGAGCCATCTGAAGGAAGCCGACGCCGCCATCCTCACACCTTCAGTAGCAAGAGCGCTAGACATACACAGTTTCCCAAATCTAAGGACCGTCTACTTCGTGGGAGAAATCGTCACGCAGGACTTGTGTGATACGTGGGCGGCTCGGAAACCCGTTTTCAACATGTATGGACCAACTGAAGCGACCTGCGGTGCAACAATTAAGCAGCTTCTACCGAGCCAGCCTGTTAGCCTCGGTGTGCCAAATCCCTCTTCTCGGATCTATATCCTTGACAGCCACCAACAGTTGGTTCCGCGAGGGACTATTGGAGAAATCTATCTAGCCGGAGTACAAGTTGCTGTGGGCTATGTTGGCAGACCAGAGGAAACCGCGGCTCGATTCTTCCCGGATTGTGTGAAGCCAGGTCCCGGTGAGCGCATGTACAAGACTGGGGACAGGGCGTACTGGAATGAGGAAGGCGAGTTGACTCTTGTTGGCCGTTCGGATCGGCAAGTCAAGCTGCGCGGATTTCGCATCGATCTAGACGATCTTGAGATCCAGATACTCCGTGCCGGAGGAGCTCGAGAAGTAGCTATTACCCTCAGCGATGGCGATCTTACTGCGTATGTTCAGCCGAAGAACCTCGATGTTGCCAGGCTCAAAGAGAACATGCGTTCGCGGATTGCGCTGTACGCTCTGCCCCGTTGGATAGTACCTGTCGATGTATTTCCAATGACACCCGCAGGAAAGCGAGATTACAAGAGCCTGGAGCAGCGGGTACCTTCACTTCGAACCGAGCCACTCTCCCCATCGGCTCTTCCGCTGGAGGAAATGGTCATTACTGCACTGCGCGAGACGTTGACACTTCCCGTGGACATTCCGATCGACCCATCCTGCGATTTCTTCGGGCTGGGCGCGTCTTCCGTTTCGTTTCTCTTTCTCTCTCACCGTCTCTCGAAGTCACTGAACCGGAAGGTCCCATTACAGTTGATCATGCAGTGCCAAAGTCCGCGAGACTTAGCTTCGAAACTTACGGGCCTCGATTCTTCACCCGAAGCTGAGGATGAGTCAGTCTTGGGCGAGACTAGCATTTTGCCGATCGAAAAAGATTGGTGGCAGAAGTATCAGCTCGGGGGCGGGTCGTCTGCTTTCAATGTCAGTTTCGCATGCAACTTAGGCCGAACAGTCAATGTTTCAAAACTGGTATCAGCCTGTGATACAGTCCTTGCCCACCACCGGATCTTAAGCTGCAACTATAGTCTCGGCGAGAACTCCACCCCCCACCGAACATACCGCACCTCTCCACCAAAAGCAAGGCTTGTCGATGAAATCGACTTGGAGGATGAGACGCACATCCAGTTCGACTTGAAGAAGGATTGTCTGCTAAGAGTCGTTGCCTCGCGTACGGTGATGCTCGTCGTGGCCAGTCACATCATCTGCGACTTGACGACACTAAACATAATTCTCGACGACATTGCTGGTGTTTACCTCGGACGGACGTTGAACATGGTGCGATGCGAATATTCGCAGCTTCGAAGGTCAAAGACTCCCTTATCAGGCCAGCAAGCATTCTGGAAAGGCTATTTAGAGAATACACGTTCTCTCAGCGCTCTCACAGCGAGAGTGCCAAAAAGAACGACCTGGGCGGGAACTTCCTATATATTCCCGATCGCGAACCCCGTCCACCAGTCAATGAAAGCGTACACTGCAGCGGGGAAAGCCACGATGCATCAAATAGCCCTAGCAGCGGTTGCCTTGGTGCTTGAAGTCGACGAAGAGCTATGCGATATCGTGATCGGGGCTCCATATCTAAACCGTACCTCTGAAGATGAGTTAGAAACCATCGGTCTCTTCCTCCAACCGCTGCCGATCCGTATCAGATATCCGGCTTGCATGGGAAATTGCGACACGCCGGGCTCATTCATCCGGTCCGTCCAGACAGCGAGTCGTGAGGCCCTGTCTCATGCCTTGCCCTTCGACCAACTCCTATCGCTTCTGAACATCCAACCCACCTACCCAGACCACCCCTTATTCGACGTGATGGTAACATTCCACGAAGCCGACCAAGGACCTAGATTTCCCATCCCAGACGTTACGCCTCTGTATACCTGGACACGGGGCGCCAAGTTCAAGCTCATGGCTGAGTTCTCTACCATGAGCGACGGCGAGTTGGCACTCAGGCTAGAATACAGTACCGAGTGTTTCGTAGAAAATGAGATCAGGTGCATGGGGGAAAGAATCGTGAAGGCACTTCATGGGTTGGCCACGGGAAAGCCGTTAGTGGAGGTACAGGCATGCGTTCGACAGGTTGTATAGCAAGGATCTGTACCGAAGGGCTCTCATCTGCTTTAACATCTCATACGAATTGCCTATAGACTATTCAATCCCAGCCATTCCGCAAACGCCAACGGGTTAGGTTGGCTAGGTCTCCTTTCCGATCTTCTCGCATCTGATGACAGTGTCCGGATGCGTGATCCATGTCGTTGGATGCTTCACCCAGACGGTGCTCTCATCAAAGCTGAGGCGATAGTGCTTAAGCAGATGTACGAGCAGAATTCGTATTATAAGGTCCGCAACGTACTTCCCAATGCACTGGCGGGGCCCAAACCCGAACCTCCAATAATGATATCGCAAATCAGATCGATTTTGGCCAAGAAACCTTGTAGGCTTGTAGATTTCTCTATCATCGCCCCAGACAGCGTTCTTCACATTGAGCCGATACGTGTCGACGATGAAGTTAGTGCCCGGCGGGACCACGAAGCCTGCGATGCATCGCGTAGTAGGGGCGGATTGAGCAACGGAAAATGGTGCGAGGGGTCGAAGACGCGCGGACTCTAGTATCGAAGCTGCGAGGAACGTGGATGAGCTGAGCAGGTACTGGACGGTTTGAGTACCCCCGGATCCAGCCTTGGAAAGGACTTCTTCGCGCAATTGAGCTTGAACCTCCAGGTTGTCCGCAAGGAAAAGTAAGTTCCAGGAGATGCCGCCCACGGTAACATCCAGATTCGCAAAGATCATCTCGTCCAGGGTTTGTAGCAGCTCGTCTGTGCTCAGTCGGCCCTGCTCGATCGCATCGTACATTTCCACCACTGGTGTCTTTTCACACGCCAGTAGGCAAGCATCGCGTGCTGTCTGGTTGAAAGTCGCCCATCTTCTCTTGAACTCGTGAAGGTTCCGATTTACTTTGACCGGCAAATATTTCGTCCAAGAGAAGCGTGTCGCTCCACCTTGGATCATACGGTCCCACAGTGCTTCACGGAGACGGATCAGATCTTCGAGCTCCTTCACCATTTCGGAGGTGAGCTTGCCATACAAGATATCGGCCACGACCCAAAAAGGAAGGAACTTCAGATCCTGGACTGGATGAAGGCGCTTTTCACTTAGGCGTCCGCTTCGGTGCAGGTCCTGGAAGTGTTTCTCCGTAATTTCGATGATTCGCGGAATGTATGATGCCGCGTCTTTGTGCGAGAATCGAGCAGCAGTGATTCCGCGCACTCTCTGCCATTCCGCTCCGCCGATGAGACCGACGCATTTACCTAACAGCTCTCCCATGAGCCATCCGGAATTGTTATTGGTGGCCTTGGAATGCTTGTCTGAGTCTGCAAAGACTGCTTTGATGTCCACAGGATCGGTCAAGACACTATGCCCGGTTAGATATCGTCAAGCTCCTGCGAGAGCTACATACATTTCCGGTGCCATTCCACTCCATATGCGGTAGATTCTTCCATGTTGCCGTCCCCACTTCGTGCCGTTCTCTTCGCCCTCCAAAAATTTGGCAACATCTCCTTGGCCATTTGGCCAAAGGTAAGGGCACGTAGGCATGCGGGTCCGTTCGTCGACAGATAGGATAGGCCATTTCCAGATCAGATAATTCTGCTAGAGCTTAGCGAATAGCCGAAGTGGAGCAGCATGAAAGCGAGTCGCACGTTGAGGGTCCATGAAAGGATGACTATGCAATATCGACTTATCAACCAGCAGAGCGCAAACACGAGGAACGTAATCGATAGGCAAGATAGCCAAAGAGACGGAAGGCGGGAAGGGACCCAAACTTGCATACCCATGGCGGGTAAGAGGTAGAGTTAGTCGGCGTTCAGCATCAACGGGCTCTCCGCCTCGGATGGAAAACGATTACAACTCATCAGATCATTCCTTGCCAAAGCGCAAAAACCATGCATGAGTTATTACAAGTGCCATGTCCGGACATAGCACCAGCAGCCGGGAGCCGAGAGATCCCCTACTCGTGTCCGTAATTCGGCCCTCTCTCCAAAATCCTCTGCACCGCTGGCCGTTCTAACATCCTCTCGCCCCAAGCCTTGATATTCGGCCAATCGTTGACATCAACGCCGAGAAACTTAAACATCCACGGCATTGCAAAAGGGAAGTACGAGATATCGGCGATCGTGGGGCGGTCGGGAAGCGCAACGTAGTTTTGACCAGGGCTGGCCAGTCGCGCTTCCATGATGTCCCACTGCTTGAGCACGTTCTCGTGAAGCCTTGCGTGTCAGATTGGGCGGCACATGGGGTGCATGGCGATGCCTACTTCTCCACTGCCCTCATAGGCGGACCTGGCTTTTCGCGGCTTGGATACCCTTTCAGGAAGTACAGCCAGTACTTCGCAGTCGCGCTGCAGAAGTAAGCATAGAACAGGACGGAGAAATCAGTGGAGAAAGAGGGCCGCACCCTAAGCCGGCAGTCTGGTATGCGGTCCATGAGAGGATCGCTCCCTTTTCGAATGTATTCGTCCCATTCCAGTATCCATCTGCATCGAAACGCTCGGCAAGATACTGCAAGCAGGCCGTGCTTTCAAATACAATGACCTCCTTGTTGGTCACGGCGTCCCAGTCCTTCAATGCGGGGACGTAGCGTTCGGGGTGGATCTTGTAGTACCACTCGTCCTTGGTATCAATAACCGAGACCACATAGGGGCACTGGAGCTCTTCGGCCAGCATCAACGGCTTGATGTAATTAATATAACTCGTCTGATCGGCTTTCCGTGGATCAGCGAGTCTTCAAGATGCACATATGCAGGGATTTCCAGCGTGAGCTTACCTTTGATGATGTACAGTATGACGCGACCGTCATACTCAAGATCGCCTTTCACGACCGTGCCATTTGATTCCATTTTGGTCCTGCTGGACTTGCAGCTTGATGGTCGCTCTATGTGGCCTAGCACGAGCGTGGCGGGCCCCGGGACCGGGTGCCGGAACAGAGCCTGTTTTCTAGAACCCTCGCACGCCGCGAACCCGTATTCTAATCAAGCTGCAGAAATCAGACTAAGCAGGACAGAAGAATAGGGATGTTGTACGGAAGTCAGGTTATGATCGGAGTGATGACTGGGAGAAGGCGGAGTCGAGATGACCTGTGCTAAGCCATGGGGCTAAGACTACGCTAAGCTGTTGCCGGATATGGTTACTACTTCACGTGACCTGGTCATGTATATATAGCCATATTTCTCGTATTCTCAATCAATCAACTCATGTCTCAATACTCTTCAATTCACCCAAAATAAGCCTATTGAGAACATAGACAAGCGCTACGACCGGATCAGTTGAGTCGAGGATGCCAGACGTGAAAGGCGAACCGGTGTCAATTCTAAAATACCCATCTATTGATAACTGTCCATTGCGTGATTCCTTCAGCACAGAACATCTTTCCACATTGAAATCCGCATTTCCAAAATAGTCCCGCTATTCTCCCCATTCACACAGAGACACCAACGCGTTCACTTGGTCTGCTTGACACCAATGTCGTAGATTTCGAGGGTGACCTCGTCAACGTGTCCGCACCCATTCAGAGCTGTCTCACTCTTATGATCCCTCCCAAACCTAGCGAGATCTCGGTTTCTGTTTTCCGCAGCATTTGACTCCTTGGAAAGCCCACGACTGAAAAGATTCCGAAAATATACGCCGAACGGGGAGAGCTTGACTTTTTCGATGACCGGAGCCAGGGTGGGTATGCAGCAACAGATGATAGCGACGGGAATCTCCATGCAGTGGTAGATAAGTGGAAGCCACATGTGTTTTGGCATGTCAGCGGTGTCGAAGCCACTGAGGTTGAAGAGGCATGAGACGCGGAGTACAGCGGAGATCGTAGTGCTTCGTTCTAGTTAGTACGACAGTCGCGAGTAGTGCACAAATAAAAGCAAACTTACAATATGCCGCAAAGCAGCAGAAAGGTAAGAAAGACTTTGTTCCCAACGCTAATCTTCAGCTTCCAGACTAAGGGCATCGGGATGCTCAGGATGGCGAGGTCGAAACTTGCGTGGAGCATACCGGTAGAAAGACACAGTTTGTGCGTATCACCGCATTTACCTGGAGACTTTGGGTTCCACAGTTTGCGCGTGGGCGCGCAGATGGTGAGTTCGCCGACGAGGGTAGCGATGGACCAGGCAACGACTAGAGCCATCAGGACGTAGCAAGACCGCCGGAACCAGTCTACGACCCAGAATAGACGCTGATATAGGAACAGAATGGCGAACTGTAAGACCAGCATTGAAGATATCCAGATAATGAATGAAAAGACGATAAGCTGGGCGAATTAGCCTGACGGTGGAGGGATGTTAGGAGGAGAAATGATACCGTCGACCAGAGAATAAGATCATTTGGGTCCTTCAGATCCTTGACAGAGTTGCCTCCGCCTGCAGCTAGCACCATGGAGGTGTTATTTCCAAGTGACACTAGTGCGAGAATCTGTGGTTGCTGTCAGCACTCGGCCACTTCGTGGCCGCTTTCCTTTCAACGTACACATGCTGCGATGCAAAGGTAGTCATCTGCAAGTACCTTCGCGCGTTTCAGGCGCCTGGCGTAGATACGTAGACCAGTGAAAACAAGTGCGAGCGCAGTGAAAACGGTAGGGACCACGACCAAGGATATCTGGCGGTGATTCTTGAGCTGATAGAGCCGCTTGGAATATGACCCCATTATGGAGCTGATTCATGGGGCGTAGGGAGTGACGAAGTCCGCGAGTGTGCTTGAAGCGACCTTTGGATTGAAGATGTTGAGGATGAGAAGCCTTTACCGACATGCACTTCAGGGAGTCGACACGCGGCGGAGGTATGGCTGCTATATATATGCTAGGTCTCCTATTGAGATAGATGAAGGAGCTCGCCACAGGCTGCGCCGGGTTCCCGCGGTAGTCATGCCCCATGTTTGCATAGATAGAGAGTATTCCTCGCTGCCGTTTTCGGTCATTCCCCAACCGGTCCGTCGTCCATCATGAGCATAGATCAGCAACACACTCGGGCTTCAATGTCATATTAATCCCTCCGAGCACACTTCTAACACATTACGGCTATAGCTCCCTAAACAGCGCCGTATCCGTTGCTGGTGCATAGTAAAGAGCAGATAGCCACGGGTTCCGAGGCGAGCCCGGTTGCCGGATACAACATGAGTGTGTCCATCTTCGCCAACTTCAAACGAACCAGAACCGTGGCGGCCAGACCAAGCTCACTCTACGTCCAGAAAAGAAAGCCGAAAGTTTGGGAGAGGTGGTCCTTTCACAACGGTCCAGGAAAATGCGGCTGACATGCGAAGCTCCGCCAGCCAGCTGTGACGATGCATTCGCAGCACCCGTAGAAATCTCGAGAGCGCCGTCCAAGGGCGCACGCTACAATCGTCCGGATTGTACTACGGAAAGTCAGTAACAGTCATACATAGCCAGTATGCGATTGTCGAGGTAGGGTATGAGATCGACACGGGAGATTCCACTTGGTGATGAGAGGGATCTCTCGAGACCGCTTTCGCAGACCCCACCCTACAGTCATCCAGATAATCCTACCAAAACTCAACAACACCCACACGCAGCCAGTACACAATCATCAAGCTAGACTACAATCTCACGACCATCAAGCCCCCTCCATCCCCATGCATCCATCACCCCTTCACACCCAAGCCATTCTTCTCCAACAACCCACGCCCCCTCCCAGGGGTTCCGTAATATTGTGTCTTAATCTTAGCAGGTTTTAAGTTCTTTTGTGCGTAGGCGGAAGCTCTACTTTGCCCTTAGCTAGCATACCCTCTATCGGTTGGTGACTTGAAACGAGAAAATTAGTAAATAACGGGGCGGAAGGATATAAGTAGCCCAGCGGTATACCAGATAACTGAACTTCCAGTGTGCCAACTCAGTACACGGGAGAAACTTGCCTGTCTGCTCGCCCGCGGAAGGACTGGTTGAGTAAAGTCTGGGAGTCTCTCGGTTCGCCGCACTGCGCGTCGCTCGAAAACGCACTCGACGACGGCCATCCGAGACGTTCACCCCGGAGGCCTGTGCATTACTCTGCATTAAAACTAACGAAGGCCGCTCTGCAGGCCGTATCAGCACACTCACAAGCTTCAAGTCGGCAGAAGTGAAACACATACACCAACCACTCAAGACTAGCACGCGTTCCACTGCACCGGTCCGCAACCTAGGGCCTGTGAGGAGCAAAAGAGATGAGACGCTGAAAAGCAGACCCGAGTGATTAAATTATACCGGGGAATTACCTAGCTATCTGATCTGGTGCTGCGGCTTTGACAACCATGAACTAATGTTCTGAAAAGTACTCTTGCTACCGACTGTACAAACGACAACGGGCTTTGCTCTGATCGAGATCGTGGTCCATAGTGCGTATATAATAGACCCAAGAAGAGAGACAAGCTCAGCCGTCGATCCATGTGAAAAGCCCCTCCACGCTTGAAGGTCGCCCTTATATATGGCTCTCCGAAACTCCCTATCAAAGTACAACCGGAAAGCCGCCAAAATCCAGGTCTCCATGATTCCGACCCTGAATCCCTCCTCAACACACTGCTAGCAAGCACTAACCTCCAAGACCCCTCGCCACGCAGACACCGTAAAGGCTCACCGGCCATTCTCCCTCAGCTTATTATCCTCAGCAATCTCAAAGCGCGTCGGCCGTCGAGCCGCGTTGTCCTCACAACGAATTGGATGCTGATCCTTGCACCTGACCAGATGGAACTTGTACGCCGCCTTCTCCGTATCAACCAGCTTCTTCTCGACAACCTCGTAAAGGCCATCGTACCGCAAGCCAAATTGCGGTCGATAACGGTTACTTTTCATGAGCTGGTACGATCGGATGACGCGCACGGGATTATGCACCGTGTCACATGATTCTATCATGCGGACCGTGCTGTCCGTGGGGGTGCAGTCCTTGCCGTCGGTGCCGCTGTACCAGATATCTGTTCCGTTGTCCTCGTCGGCATACGTTGATTCTCCCATGCCCGAAAGGACGATGGAGTAAGCACCTTTCTCCTTCTCTCCGTATATACCGCCTTGAGGAGTGCCGTGGGCTCCATCTCGGACTGTGCACAGCTGCGTCGGCCACCACTGTCCAAGCACCAGGTGTCCTTGCCCGTAGAAATTGGCGTATTGCCTACCCTTGTAGGTAGGATCAATCCGGTCGCCACCGCGGTCGGTTCCCCTGGCAATCCTGATACCTCTTAAGATGTCAACCTCGAAGACCTCCTGGCGCCATCGGCTATAGAGCTGCCAGGCGTCGGCCTTCAGGTCCGATGGGAAGTCCACCTTCTTGGAAGCGAAGATGCGAGGCAGCCCGTATTCCGGGTCGAGGAACCTCGTCTTGCGGACTATGAAGCGGTCGACCTTGAGCGTGATCTCTGCCTTGTGCACTTGGTCACGCAGCTCTTCGAAGAGCTTTTCGAGCTGTGCACGGCTTACGCCCTGCTGTTCACAGCGATCCATGCATCCCTTCATGCTTGACAGGGCCGTTAACGCCTGCGTCGCTAGGGAACTGGGCCGCTTGCCCAGCTCTTTCATGCCTCTGTCCGTGGTCTTGATCTTTGCATACCATGCTGGCAGCTCCGACGGCAACGGGTACTCGTTATCGTCCTTGGCCTCAGGCGAAGAGTCATCTTCCTTGCTCTTGCTCATCGGCTTCTCGTTGTCTTTACAGGTGATGGGCTCAGGTTCCTTTCCCTTACCAGTAGATTTCTCTTTATTCAGTTCGGGAACGAAAAGAGAGCTCCGTGCCTCCACGAAATAATTTGGCGGTGTCGAGAGCGTGCCCGGCTCATCCTGGAGGCTGAGTGACTCAATATCTGCAGTTGCTCTCTCGGTGGCGAACGAGTTCGAAGACTGGGCCGAATTTCTAGCAGCCGCAGCTCTCGACGACTCTGCAACTCGTTCCATCTCTTTCTCCGAACCCATGCCACTGCTAACCACAGACTCCTTCCTCTTCATGACCTTCACCTCCCGTCTCCTCTCCCTCTCCCCATCTCCCTCGTCCTCGCTCCGCTCCTTCCGAAAGGGATCCGCCTCCCCCGAATCCGCAATCTCTTGAATCTTCTTGGCAACGAAATCCAGCGGTACTCCATACTTCGTGGAGTTCTCGACAACCAGATTAGTCAGCCATTCTGGATACTCGATAGCGACCTCCTGTTGCTTCTGCTTCTGTTTTCCGGGTGAAGGTGGAGGTGAAGGTGGCTGAAACGATGGTCGTGCGGAACCGACCATGTCGCGCATGGAGGTGAGATTAGTGTGAAATTTGGATGTTGGAAAGGGTGATTAAAGTGATTATCGATTGCCGCCCAAACGTGATGTCGCACCGAGGTCGTAGGTTGAGTTGTGATGTCGAACCTCCTGTGCGTTGTTTGTTTGCTTTTCCGTATCGCGATGTCGCCCCGTTTCACTAACACAAGCTCGCGTTGTTAAGGACTGCCCCTATAGACGATACACCCATCCGGATGGCGCATAGATGAATAGGGTGAGAGTCGATGAGTCGAGAGTTGAGGTGGCGATGGACAGGTGAGAGCGAGATCCTTATAGCTGTGCTATCGCGAATCGTCGCTGTTGTGTCGGGGACTAGCGCCACCCGGACACCGCCAAGACGCGACGTCATTGGACGGTTGACGGTGAACGTGAACAGGGGCGAAATTATTAATTATTATCTTATTCTCGTCACTGCGATGCGGTGAAAACGTGGAACGCATTGAATAGCGCTACGATGAAATATGGAATATTCTATGAAGACATACAAATCCCTTCTGGGATATATCTATGTACTCATGCCTGCGTCTATACGGAGGTACGCAGATCGCGGTGCCCCAACATATTGCCAACAGAAGTTTCCTGAGCCCAGTAAAAGGGATGACGAATCCCACAACGCACATTGCAGCTATTATATGTGTTATATGTTCGACCTCTCCGTCTCCCTTTCTTCGTTCGACACCACCTCTCCCAGAACCTCCCCTTCCACCATCGCATCACTTGGTCCCTTCCTAGTCGTCATCTCCCCATTCACCCTCTCTGTACTCAAGCTGATCCATCCCCGCACAGTGTCCTCCACCTGATTCAATATCTTCTCATCCTGTGGCAGACCTTTCTCTAATCCCTCCACGTCCCCTAGTTCCATGTCTTCCATGCTCGTATTCGCAACCTCCTGCCCGCTATTCCTCAGCACCTGCAGAACAGCCCGCGTATTGAGCCTGAGCACGCGCTCTGGCTCCTTTGCGCCAAAGATCTTAGTTGTTACCCAGGGGAAGAGCACGCCAAAATCGGACTGAGAAAGGTGTGCGGAGGCGATGGGGTAGAAGACGTGGGGACCTGGTTGATCCGGATAAGCAGCGTTCGGCCCAGAGGATTTCGAGAGGACGCGCTTCGTGTCGTTGAGGTTAGAGGACCAGTTGTAGAAAGCCTCGCTAAGAATAGCCAGGAGATTTGATCCACCCGCAGGGGATTGATAACATGGCATCGGCTTTGACTTCAACCACGCCGTTGCGGGGCTTTGGATAGGTAACGTCCACAAATCCAGCAATATCACTGGCGACGCAGGCGTGACCTGGCGCGCGATGGCTGAATCGTCTGAAGGCGTGAAGAGCGGCTTGAAGCTTGGATGCTCTGACCTCGGCCTATAATAGACCGACTTCACGAGCTGCACCATGGTCGCCGCGCCGAACGAGTGTCCTGCGAAGGCGATCGAACCCGGCTCATACAGGTTCAACTTGCTCGAGAACATTGCCAGCATATCCTTCCCGTTCTTCTTCTGTTCCACTGCCACATTCCTCAATGGCACCTGTGCGTCAATCTTAAGCAGCGCATCATGTATCAGTCCAAGCTCCCACAGCCGTATCCTCAGCTGTTCATCTCTGCCCTCGTATACTTCCGTCGACGCCTTATGTGGTAGTTTCTTGTACTCTATGCGCTTGACCTTCTCCGTCTCGTCTGGCGTATTAACGAAGGATATCGGCGAGCTGCCATCTCTGTGGTCCGGAGCCACGACCACTATGCCGTGGCTTGCTAGTGAGCCGCAGATGTGCGAGTACGAGTTGCGGGAGCCTCCGAGGCCGTGGGAGAAGAGCATAACGGGCCATCGTTTCGACTGTGTGGGCGGTTCGAGGAGATCGGCGTTGTGATGGACGGGTATCGTGATGAAGTAAAGTAATTGGGGGACTACACTGTAGATCAAGTCAGCCGGGGCTTCCAATTTCTGTATTGTGCAGTTAAACTTGCGAGAATATCTGCGAGAAAGCAGAACCTGCGCCCAAGAAGCGGGCATATCCACCCACATATTCTCGCTGCGGGCTCGGTATCCACCTCACGCCCTTCTGCTGGCTCTCCTCCTTCGCCGGATAGAACACCCTAAACGCAACGGTGGGCAAGCTGGCAGAGGCCGACGCCGGCGGCGGGCTGGGAGACTCCAATTGCGACGTCGGTATCTCCACATCCACCGAGCCAACTTTATACGGCCCCGTGTAAGCCGGAAACGAAGGCGTGGGGTTCAAGCGTTCGAGCAGGGTCATAGTGGCAGACCTGCTGAGGGCGGCGAGATACGACGGGCGGCGAGCGAGCGACACTGTGAAGAGAGGGTGCGTATGGGAGAATTGGAGAGAGAGAGAAGCCGGAAGACGAGAGAGAGACAGTAATAAGACGGGCAAATAGTGACGGAATTCTCAGACGCGCGCCACTAACGCAGGAACAGGCGCCGAATGGGCACGCGACATCAAGTCTTGGTCGTGACGAGCATTACCGACGTCCGCGGTCTCAAGGGGGTGTTTGCGCTGTCTCAACGAAGAAGCGCGTCTTCGTCTGCGAAGAAAGGTTATCTTCATCCTGAAGAAATTGAAGCTAATCCCTTGCCGAAGTGATCCGAAGCGTGTCGCGAGACCTCATGCCTCACTCGCCGCAGGGCCGGGGCTGATGACGTTGAGCGGAATGCGCGGGCCTCGCTAGGCTGCTTTGGGCTCGCCTCGTGAAAGCCGCGGTTCGCGTTGGCGTCACCTCGATAAGCCAAGCGGCTGGACAACACAGCCATCGCGGGAGCGACTGGCGACGCAATAACACCACCGTTTACCAATTCCCTTTTCTTCATTGCACCAGCGCGGGCGCCGACCATATCTCGACCAGATCCGCCTGCATTTGAAAAGGAGGGTTTCAGAGGACACAGCCATGGGGCGGCCACGCAAAGAGAGCAATGCGTCGAGCAGGAGTGGTGAGCCGCCGACACAAGTAGGTACGAAGCACGCCGAAGACCAAGAATAATCCACTGACGACGAACCAGGAGCTCGGTAGCATGTACGACTACCTCGCCAAAGTCATATTACTAGGTCCCAGCGGCGCCGGAAAGTAAGTACATCTCCCCTCCCTTCCCCTCCAAACCGCTCCGCGATAAGGCTCCCCCACTCACACATCCACCTCACCCACAGATCCTGCCTGCTGCACCGGTTCGTAAAGAACGAATGGAAAGTGCTCTCCTCACAAACCATCGGCGTAGAATTCGCCTCCAAGATCGTCCACATCCACCCGCGCGACGACCCCGCGCGCGGCTCGCGCAAGCGCATAAAGCTGCAGCTCTGGGACACCGCGGGCACAGAGCGCTTCCGCTCCGTCAGCCGGTCGTACTACCGCGGCGCGGCCGGCGCCATCCTCGTCTACGACGTCGCCAACTGGCGCAGCTTCGAGCAGCTACGCACGTTTCTGGACGATGCGCGCGCGCTGGCGAGCCCGAACCTGACCGTCATACTGGCGGGGAATAAAACGGATGTCGCAGAGACGCCAGGGAGCGCTGGCACATACGGAAGCTACAACTCCAGCGACGGCAGCGTGAACGAAGGCCGCGCGCCAGGAACGCCGTCCTCGCAATCCAGCCGGCACAGTGCCTCGCTGGGCCTCAGCGCCAAAGCCACTGTCGCGCCCGAGGGCCGCGAAGTGCCCTTCGACACGGCGTCGCGCTGGGCGGGGCAGAACGGGATCCCCGTCGCGGTCGAGGCGTCGGCGCTGAGCGGCGACAACGTCGAGGAGCTGTTCAGCCGGCTCGCGCGCATGATACTGACGAAGATCGAGCTGGGCGAGATCGACCCGGACGATCCGAACAGCGGGATACAGTACGGGGATATCGGCGGGTGGGGCGGGGGCGTGGATGATGGGAGTGTGAAGAGCGGGGTGGATGGGGTGAGGCATCGGCGGAGGGGGCGGAGGGGCGCGGGGACGCAGTTGCGGGAGTGGGAGGAGGTGTTTAGGATAAGGGGGTCGAGGGGGAGGGGGTGTTGTTGATACGATGCGGATGAGGAGTGTGAGGCGAGAGGATCTTCCGACACATTCGGCGTTGTGGTTGCATTGGAGCGATCTGATGGATAGACGCTCTGGCATTCGCTTTTGGCTTCACAGCAGCATACCCACGTTTCGTTTGGCATGGCATATAGATCTAGGAGACGGAGCGTAATGTAATACCTAATGCTGTCATTCCCAACCCTTTCGGATCCTATCCGGCACGATAGAGAGACGAAGCGCAGCACCAACGCAGCACTTCGAGATCAGACAAGACATGCATATAAACAACATAATTTTACAAGTAGTTCGCGACGCTATAAAAACAAAACAAAAAAGCGGTATAAGTCCGCAGATGGTGGTATCCAACGCAATATCAATATCAACATCAACATCAACATCAACAATCAACAAGCCCACTACAACCGCACAGCGCCCTAATGCTCCCCCATATCCTGCAACGGCATATAACTAACCTCCTCCCTATTTCTCCTCCGCGCCGCAATACTTTCCTTAACCCAGTCAATCGCCGTCCTAATAACGCCCGGCTGACCGAACCTCTCCTCCTCTTTCTCGCTCTCGGGGACCTCGGCGCTCGGATCCAGAACGCTGACCTTCATCCACTTGGGGCGGCGCCAGAACTTCAGGTGCAGAGAGCTAGCGACGACGGAGACGGAGGAACAGGCCATGGCCGCGCCTGCGGCCATGGGATGCAGCGACAGGCCCCAGGGGAGGAAGAAGCCCATTGCGAAGGGGAGGCCGATGACGTTGTACATGCATGCCCATGCGAGGTTTAGTTTGATGCGGTTGAAGATTGCTTTGCTAAGGCAGAGGGAGACGGGGATGGAGAGGAGGTCCGTGGTGGACATGAGCACGATGGAGGCGGCCTCCATGGCGACGTCGGTACCGGTTGACAGGGCGATGCCAACATCTGCTGATGCGAGCGCGGGGGAGTCGTTGATGCCGTCACCCACCATGCCGACGACGTGGCCGCGGGCTTGCAGATCTGCGATGATGGCTTTCTTGTCCGAGGGCGTGGCTGATGCGTGTACGTCGGCGGCGTCGATACCGACTTCTGCAGCTACGACGAGCGCAGAGGAGGAAGTGTCGCCTGTGACGATGGAGACGGTCATGCCGAGGCGGTGGAGAGCGAGAACGGTCGCACGCGCGGAGGGCTTAATGGTGTCGGAGAGGGAGAGTGTGCCGGTGTAGGTCTTGCCGACGGCGGTGTGAATGGTGGTTATACCTGCGGAGCGGGCTTGGGAACCTGCTCGTCGGTGGACGGGAGCGGAGGGGGTAAGAGGCTCGTCCAAGAAATCGGGAACGTCCACGCCTTCGGAGGCGAGGTAGGAGGCGTTGCCAACGAGGACTCTGTAGCGGGTACGCTCGCGGGAGACGGCGGCTTCGACTGATGCCGCGATACCTTTGCCAACGACGGCCTCGAAGTCGCCCACGGAGCCATCCAAATGTCCGTCAGGTCCAAGCCGGAGGTGCTCCTTCGCAGATCGGACGATGGCTTTAGCAATAGGGTGCTCGGAGCCCATCTCGGCCAGACCAATAAGGCTCCACCAAAGGTTCTTCTTAGCGTCGGTTGCCCATTCGCCTTGGATATCAGCCTTGGAGACGCTCATCTTTCCTACAGTGAGCGTGCCCGTCTTGTCGAATACGATATGGTTCACTTTGGTGGCCATCTCCAGCGCCGCGCCGCCCTTGACCAGAATTCCTTGCTCGGCACCTACGCCTGTCCCAACCATGACCGCGGTTGGCGTAGCGAGACCGAGAGCGCAAGGGCATGCAAAGACGATGACGGCGATGCAGAGCTTAACGCACACCATGAGCTTGCCGCCGCTGGCATGATCGAGGAAGACCTTGGGTGGATATGGGAGGACGTGGCTGAGGACCATCCAGGCGACAAAGGTTGCGAGGCCCAGGGTAATGATGATCGGAACAAAGTACCCCGCCACGGTATCTGCGAGACGTTGGATCGGCGCACGGCTAGTCTGAGCTTCCTGGACGAGTCGAACGATCTGGCTGAGCTGAGTGTCGCGTCCAGCTCGAGTGACCACGAAATCGAGACGGCCTGCTCCGTTGACGGTACCCGCCATAAGAAGCGCTCCCTTCTTCTTCAGGATGGGCATTGCCTCGCCCGTTACCATGCTCTCATCGACGTAGGTCTCGCCATGAGTAACCGTACCATCGGCCGGAATCTTGTCGCCAGGTCGAAGAATGACCACATCGCCCACTTCAATGAGCTCGGTAGCAATGACCTTCTCCTCAATTGCGTTACCCTCCATTGACTTGCGCTCATCTTTCTCGTCCTCAACGTCCCAGCCCTCGGCCGCCTTTGCAGCAGCAATAGGATCGGCGTAGATCGTAGCCATGGAAGGAGCGAGAGACATGAGCCTTGAAAGTGCCTTCGACGTCTGACCCTTGGCGCTGTTCTCCAGATATCGACCAATTGAAATGAACATAATCAACATCGTGCTCGTGTCGAACAGGGTCGTGGGCTTGGAGTGAGGCGGCACGAGAAACGACACTAGCATGGAAGCGACACTGAAGAAGAATGCAGCAGACGTTCCCAAGACGACCAGGACATCCATGGTGGGCGATCCATGGCTCAGTGACTTATACGCCGAAACATAGAAGCGCTTGCCGATCCCGAATTGGACGGGGATAGTAAGCGCCAGACAGACGAGATCTCCGAGGTAGACACCACGGAACATACACATGCTTCCGTAGTCGAGAAAGGGTAGGAACATAGGGAAGAACATGCTGGTGAGGAAGACTGGTACCGCAAAGCAGGCGGAAACCTTGACTGCCCGTTTCCATTCCTGGATCTCCTTCGTTTTCGCGAGAGACTCGAGCTGCGCGTTGTTGTCATCGGAGTCAGCTACTAGGGCGTTGTAGCCGGCAGCTTCAATCGCTTCGACCGTTGCACGGAGACCAATGATCTGCGGGTCGCGGTGAATGGTCGCTCGGGAGGTGTTGAAGTTGACGGACACGGAGGTAATTCCCGGTCGTTTTCGTAGTAGTGCTTCTAGGTCTTCGGCAGCTTTTGCACTGGGTAGACCGTAGATCTTGAGATGTACCGGACCATTATTTGCTGAAGACTGCTGGATGCTTCCATCCACTGACGAGATCAGCTTGGCGTCGAATCCCCGGTCTTCAATAATCTCCACTATTTGATCCTCCGTGAGTTTCGGGTCGTGCACGAGAACCGCGCGGTTTGCCAGCAGGCTGATGTTGAACTGGTAGACTCCCTCCACGTCCCTGAACCCGCTCTCAATGGCCGATGTGCAAGCGCCGCATGTCATTCCTTCTATTCCGACCGTCGTCGTCATTGTCTTGTGTTTCTTCTGGCTCTTACTTCTCCTTTCGCCAGCCGTGTGTGCTACTGTCTCCAACACTTTGGCCTCAAACCCCACGTCCTCTATTGTCTCGGCCAGCTCCTCCGGCGATATTATCGTCGTGTCGTGCTCTATTACGGCGCGTTCGGAGAGTAACGATATGCTGAAGTGCTTGATGCCCGAAACGTCCTTGAAAGCGCCCTCAACCGCGGACGTGCAGGCGCCGCAGGTCATGCCTCCCACTGACAGAGTAGTCGTGGAGACATGGAGATCCGCCATAGCGTCCTCCTCTTCCGAATCGCTCAGGAAATGATCCGACCCATTCTGCACCGGAATGTCCGAGGATATGACTTCGGCGTCAAACCCCCTGTCCTCTATTATCTCCTTCACCCCTTCCGTCGATATTATCGTCGGGTCGTGCTGCACAACCGCCCGCTCCATGACCAAGCTCACAGACACGTTTCCCACGCCATTGACGCCCTGAAAGCCCGACTCGACTGCGGATGTACATGCGCCGCATGTCATGCCCTCGACTTTCAGCGTCGTCGTCGCCATGTGCGCCGTTGCGCCGTTCGCGGTCGTCCGGGAGGGTGCCATAACGCGTAAAGAAGGTACTGCAACGCGCTACAAGCAAAATGCGTTTGAATAGGTCGTTCCGAGCAAGATCCGGAGTCGTCAGCGGCCGGAGGGCGGCAGGCTCGCACGAGGCGGCGTCGTCGAAGGGGGCCGACGGAGGCTATGTACTACCTCATGCAAGCAATAAGCGTGGCGCAAGTACCGAGAACAATATATGAGAGCCGGGGCTTGGTGGAGGGTCGGCAAATGACTAGAAGGCCAGCTTCCTTATAAATGCCAGATTGTCTGCAAATACTTCGGAGAGGAGGAGTCCGCAAAGCCACCAGCTCTTCCGGGCTTAAAGCCGCGACGCTGCAAATGTCGACACAGGCTGGGGCGCCGAAGACGGGTCGCGCTAGCGCCCAATGCGGGCAGAGGGTAAGCTGATAGGCTTGCTGATTGTAGTTGGCGCCACGAGCTGAGTACTGCCAGATGGCGAGCGCTGAGAGTGATTAATAAAGAGCAGAGTCGAAAGATGCTGATTGTCGTGCCCATAGATGCCGGCGTCAAGTTATATGGCAGCCATTCACGGCGATGAATATTGTTTCGGCTCCTCCGCTTGGCATTTGAAACGGGGCCGCGTTTGATCTTTGCAGATGCGACAACAGCGCCCTCAGTTCCTCAACGGTTGATCGCGTAATCTGGCCCTGCTTCAGGCCGGCCGGAAAACGTGGATAATGTGTAGATGGCTTCGCGAACCGAGTAGTCCGCATCCCCTTTCCGCCTGCATGAGCGAGCCCACTATGGCGACAATACGAGCCATCCAGGGCCCATCTACACGGAGGGCGAGCTGCCGTGACTGCTGAAGAATCGCACTGCAGCCACAACCCGCCTCAGTGTGAAGACCAACGTGAAACCGCTGTCTAGCTTACGTGTGTGCTAAAAGCAGTATGGGCAGTGAATAATGCTTGCCCTAGTCTCAGGCACGGGGCCGAGATCTCACCTATCTTATCGCGATCTCAGACCCACTTTAATGCGCCAACCGTGGAGCTCGCTGCGCTGTTGACTGAAATCCAAACCCCACCACGACCGAAGCTCCAAGCTCCTCACAACCCGCAATCGAAGACTGGGAGAGGCGGACAAGGCAAAAAAATGGAGCAGACAAAAGCACTCAACGCCCTGGAGCCCTTCCTCGCGCTCAGCAAGTCCGCAACATCACCCAGGGCAGCCGCGGATCTCGTCACCCAAGCTACCTCCGCACCGAACACTTACGTCTTCGCGGAGCTCCTGCAGACGCCGAACATCCAGAAGCTGCGGGAGTCTCAGGACTATGCTTCGTACCTCACGCTGCTGGAGATCTTCTCATGGGGGACCTGGGAGGACTACAAAGGTACGCCTACACGCTCTACATTCCCCACAGAACGACTACGGGAAGCTAACACGCCCCCAGCCCAGCGCCCCAACCTCCCCAAGCTCTCCGCCCCCCAGCACCAAAAGCTCCTCCTCCTAACCCTCCTCCCGCTCGCCCGCTCCCGCAAAACCCTAACCTACCCCTCCCTCACCACGGCCCTCGACCTACCCACCCCGCGCGCCCTCGAAGAACTCATCACCACCGCCATCTACGCCGGCCTGCTCACCGCAACGCTCGACCCCGCGCACTCCCTCGTGAGCGTGACCTCGGTCGCGCCGCTGCGCGACCTGGCGCCGGGCGCGCTGCCCGCGCTGCAGGCGGCGCTGGCCACGTGGGCGCAGCGCAGCGACGCGGCGCTCGCGGAGCTGGAGGCGCGCGTCGCGGAGGTCAAGAGGGCGGCGGTGCGGCGCGAGAAGATGCGGCGCAAGAGGGAGCGCGCGCTCGAGGTGGCGGTCCAGACGAGCGAGGAGAAGGGCGCGGGGAAGCGTGGGGCGCTGGGCGATGAGGACTTTATGGATATTGATCAGGAGGGGGGTGGTGGACGGGTGACGCGGGGGACGAAGCGCGGTGCTGGGGGGTTCAACTTCGCGAGCATGGGGCGCAGGATAGGATGAGCGTGGTGGGGTGTCGTATGTCTACTGAGCGAGCGGTAGCTGCGTGAGCTTTGTGGTGCACTCCTGCTTGTGACTTGAGGGGTCCTCAGACACGGTATAGCTACTCTTGGAGTGCGTGGACTCATCCAGGGAGTGTACGGCCTTGCGGAAGATCATGAAAAGGCCAGTGTCCAGGGCATGGACTAGGTCATTCCAGTCTCCATCGACCGAGTCAGGATGGATAGGATAGATGAAGGATAAGACTTGTCCGATTCAACCTTCTCGCTATTATGACAGTATCCTATGCATGACCCTGCGCACAGCCTCCCGGTGTTACTACGGAGATCTATCTACACCAGACGCATGAGAAATAAACCGGGAAGAAAAAAACTAGAACCAGCACGGTGACCCAGTAGTGACCAAAGAATCACCTGGGTATTCCATGCAACCGAAACGCCCTTCTTTTCGACAAACGCCATGCATGCTTCTTCAACTCCGAACTCGGACGGCGTGGTGTGGAGGTGTATGGGGCGGCAGTGTGTATCGGCCAGTTTGCGGGGGAAGAGCGTGCTGATTGTGTTGGAAATGTGAGAAAACGGGGTATTTATGGAATGCTGATGCATCGAGTCGAAAGCCGAAATGAGGGCAGAAAAAAATCGAGACGAGAGTTGAACAAGAGGAGGTTATGCTGGCGCAGCAGGCGGCGGGTAGGGTTGTGTTGCCGCCGTTGAACTCGAGCTCGCGTGCTGGTTCATCTGCGCCTGGAGCTGACCGGCCATGGTCCTCAGCGCCTCCCTCGTCGCGTCGATGTTGAGCTCTCCGCGTTCTTGCGCCTCCTTGAGGTACTGCTCCCACTCGGGGTCCATGGGCACATTCGCGCCCTGTTCCCTGAGCGCCGCGGCGTGCATGAGTCGCTGATTGAGCTCGAAGCCCACGCTCTCGTCCACGTCCTCCTCGTCGCTCTCCTCGTCTTCCTCATCGCGCATTTCCGTGTCCGCGGGCCTGGGATCTGTGACCACTTCGCTCGCGGACACCTCCTCGATCTCGACCTCGATGTCCGTCTTCACGTTGATGCCCTTTCCGCTGCTGTGCATTCGGTGTTTCCGCCGATCCACCCACTCTGTAATCTCCATCCCCGTGGTATCCCTCACCTTGACGCCCTCGTCGCGCTCGTAGCGCTCGCGCGCCCACAGCGTGCCTTCCCACCTGCAGAAGCCCTGGATCTCGCTGTCCGTGAGGCCCAGCCGGTCGAACGCCTCGAACAGCTTCTTGTGGTGCGGGAAGCGGCCTAACCGCTTGCGGTGCGGCGCGTAGGCGTAGTTGAGGCCGGGGTATCGCGCCTCGATTGTGTCGAGCGAGCCGTAGAAGGTGGCGGTTTCGATGCGGACTTCGCCGACAAGGTTTTTGGAGAGGTGCGCGGAGAAGGAAGGGGGATCGGTTGGGGAGGGCGTCGGGAAGAGCGTGTTGTACACGAGGACTGAGATGGGGTTTCTGCGATGCATGGCGGAGTGCAGCGCTTGAGCGCTGAGGATTTTGAACGCTGAGTTAAAATCTGCGACTCGTGGGCAGGCGCCGTGGGAGCTCGATGTGCGAGGATTGATGCTCGCAGTCGAGGTGGATTCGTGGTAATGTGGGAGGGTAGAGTCTAGGTAGGTGCGCCGGGGAGGATTCACTAATTATGCGTGGTGCCTTCCGTTCTGAGGTGCTCGAATGAGCTTACAGCCGGCGTGACCGTGTGTTGGTCCCTGACTACTGCGCCGCCAATCCCGCTCAGCTTTTGCTCGTCAAACGCTCTGCGAGGATTTCAGGTGACCGCTGTTGACTGTTCCGGTTCCACAATTGCTTGCAAAACCAATTCGCCGCGCTGATGCCTGGAAATGCTGGCTGGGAGTGCCTGCTGTAACGTATGCCGGAGAGATTGCGGATGGCGGCCTCCTTGCGGACCGCCCTGGTTTCAATACCTAGGAGGCTGCTGCTCGGCGGGCCGAGAACTTAGAAGAGGCGTTTCGTGAGGACGAGGGACGGCACGCGGTTGAGCTGCAGGCGTCCGGAGCGGAGCCGGGGGAGAGAACAGCGTCGACGAGGCGTCGGACGAGCAAAAGGACGGGAGCAGCAAAGGGAGAGAAGGGGAGCATAAAGCTAATAAATAGCGCCTCACCGCCTCCTTATAATTACTCGACGACGGGGACGGCGAATGTCAATCCTCCCCAAATGCCACGGCGAAGCCAGGACCGGGGTCAGCCCGAACGCACACGAGACCCTGTCTGCGATGCCCTTCTTATTCCGTCCATGGCCACTCATCAGCCTCAGCTGGGCGCAGGTCACTGTATCCAGCGCGCGCCCGTGCAACCCAGCAGTGCACAGAGCGTGGTGTGCGTTGTCAAGGTGGTCAACGACGGCAGCTCTGCGCCCAATCGACGCCCATTATCCGGCAAGCTTTTAGACCCGGCCAGCGAACCGGGCCCGGCTGGTGCGCGCGGTTGGCATCTGGAAAAGGCGAAATGCAGGACGAGTGGCCGTCTGGACGCCCGGCTGCATGCCAAGCGGTGCCGCTCTTTCATTCTCTGCTTCCAGTACCTTTGTATCAGAGGGCTTAATCTCTTGCGTGTAGAGGGCACGTCCAGCATCGCGAAGTGCGGTCCTATGGTTCTTCATGCACTGTCCCATGGCGCGGGAGCCCTGGAATGCCCCGAGACGAGATGAGATGAAGCGCCAGCCCGATTGCGGCTAGATCCTGCCAAGGATCTGTCTGTCGGTACCTGCCAATCATTCGCCACCATTATTAACCCCGGCAGCCGAGGCCCGTGCCAGCGCCCGTCGTCCATTCACTCGCCCTGTCAACACCACCCGAACCACTTCACGCGCTCCCATTTTGGCCGCCATCAGACACCTCCGATATTCTACCGCGCCCATCTTGCTGCAATGGAAATTTTGGGTTGGCGTCCGTGCTCGACCGCCCCATGTCCACCTTCAAAGGCATCATAGCAGAATTCCCGCAAATACGCATCGACCACTTCCGACAGCAGCCAGGGCACAAGGCGCCTTTGGCTTGTTTCTTAAGCCATGTGCACAGCGACCACCTCGTGGGACTCGAGTCCTTGAGAGCACCCTTCGTGTATTGCTCTGCAGCAACTCGGGAGGTAAACGAAATCTCTACTTTTCTCTTACTTGGAACCTATCATGGCGATGAGATTGGCGCTATGGGGGAGCTGTGCGTTTTGGAACGAATCTGCGGCTAAAATTGAGACTCTACGAGGCTGACACAAACCCAGATCCTCTTGCGGCTCGAAAAATATCACTACCGCATCAATTTCGCGCGTGGTGTCCTCGAAAGCCGCAATGTTACCTACGATAGAAGCATGCGCAAGTTGGCGAAGCCGCTTCCGCTCGACACGCCAACAGTCATCGAGCTAGCTCCCCGGAACAGCATCCAGGTTACCCTGATCGACGCAAACCATTGCGTAGGAGCTGTTATGTTCCTCATAGAGGGCGACGGCAAAGCCATCCTCTACACAGGCGACATACGAGCCGAGACGTGGTGGGTGAACTCCTTGGTGCAGAATCCGGTGCTATTGCCTTACGCACTTGGCTTCCGACGATTAGATTGCATGTACCTAGATACGACGTTTGCCACCAAGTCTACGCCATACCGCGAGTTTCCTTCGAAAGCAGAAGGAATCAAAGAGCTGCTGGATAAAGTAGGGGCTTGTTCTGAAGATACTATATTCTACTTCCACTCGTGGACTTTTGGATACGAGAACGTCTGGGTCGCATTGGCTACCTTTCTGGGATCTCGGATACATTTAGACGACTACCGCACTCGAATCTATGCGGCCCTTTCTACCTTAGACAAGAAATCTTTAAGAGAGGCTGGCCTGAATGCTCAGTCGGACAATAGGTTTTTGCGAGAATCTGGTCTGGAAGTCCGCGAAGCCCCCGCATTATGCGGCTTCAGAAATAGCAACCACATCCAGCCTGGATGCCTGACTTCGCATCCAGGTGTTCGTATCCACAGCTGTGAACGTGGCATGGGATGTCCTATCGTTGATCATGACACGGACGCAAGGATCGTCCATATCATTCCAATGATCAACCGTGTCAATGGAACCGAGATCGCGGAACTCGGAGCTGGAGGTGGAAAGGGCGACTTGAATCAGAAGGAAGAGCTGGAGACCGGCGATGCGGTCGATGTTGGTAAGCTGATGGAACTGTGTGCGAAGACAATCAAAGATGAGAGAGTGCTGTCAGGTGTACTCGCTCTGCTGCAGCAGGTGCTGATTGACGGAGATGACACAATTGACCTTGGAGCGGACCTACAGAAAGATAGTCAAGGGAGCGACGAGGACTTGACTCTGCAAAGCCTCGTCTCGGTCCTTTCATCGCACGCTTCCAAAGGCGACGGTCAACAGGAACTAGGAAACCGAACAATTCGTTTCCCTTATTCACGGCACTCGTCTTACTATGAACTCTGCGGCCTCGTCGATGCCTTTCGTCCGAAGGATATCTACCCCTGCACGGTCGACGACGCGAACTGGAGTCCTTCCCTGGGAATGAAGTACCTCTTCGGCGCCTTCTGCTCAGCGGACATCTTCCGCCACGATGCGGAGATGATGCAAGTATACGAAGCCAAGCTGGAGCAGGAGTCCAACCGAAAGCGGGATAGAGATGAAAGCCAACGTGAGACGCAAAGTAATGAGGGGAATAGGACATTGAGCCCTATCGCAATTAAGCGCCCCAGGCCAGACGATGGAGCGGACCCCCCAACACTGGAACAGGACAAAGAGGAACACTCGACAATTGCCGCGCCGAAAAGCCCAAGCGAAGTCGAGCCAGACGTCGAAATCTCCATCGCATCCCCTCCGCCAGTACTGGTAACGCCAGAGCCCACCAAAAAAGTTCCTCGCCTCCCGGATGCCCGCCCGTCGTCATTGATAGCTCAGAAAATCACGACTTCCGTTCCTCCACCATCATCCGCTCTACCGACACCCATCGAGCGCTCGATCATCCAAACCCCCAGTATCATGAAAGAGAGAAAGCGGAAAGTAACAGACAGGCAGATAGCATATGAAGCAGCACTAGGCGTGCGGCTGACCTGGGCCGACTACGGCGGCCTAGTGTCGACAAGGAGCAAGATCGACCTAGAGGAGGAGGAACTGTAAATTTCACTCACCACAGCAACTACCCGCCATCAGTTCATCTGTTTAACAGAGAGGAGAGAGGCAATGCTTGCACGTGGAGTTAGTTATGGAATGACACTCAATATCAGGTTCGATAACGAGTATTCACAATATCAAGCTAATATATACAAAGAAATTCTCCCTCAAGCCACCGCCACTCCCCGTCCCCTTTTCATAGGATACCGCAGATCCCATTATACGCGTCCTTAGCCTGGAACGACGAGTCGAACAGCAACGGCGTCGAACTTGCTCTCCAGGAATTCTTATCGCTCACGCCCCACACCGTAATCCCCACACAATTCTCCACGTCAAGGCAAGCCTGCACAGCCGTCTCGTAGTCAGACGCAGCAGCGCCCTTGATATCCAACTCCGTGATCGCGCACTCGCTCGCAGCGCCACAGATCGCTTTGAGCGCGGCGGGGTAGTCGGAAATGGGCCAGCTGCCGGAGAGATGCGACTGCGAGCCGACGCCGTCGATGGGGACGCCGGCGGCGACCCAGGCTTTGACCTTGGATACCATGGAGGTCGTCTTTGCGTAGGTCGCGCTGTCGAGGTTGTAGTCGTTGATGTACAGCTTCGCATCGGCATCCGCCTCCTTGGCGGCGTTGAACGCGGTCTCTACGAAGGAGTCGCCGAGGACGTTGTAGAAGACACTAGAGCGGAAGCTTCCGTCTTCGTTGAGGATCTCATTTACGACGTCCTATGCGTATCACGCGTTAGCCGTCATGCTCCACACAGGCCTCCGTATCCGCCGTAAGCCTCCTGGAAGCCGGGGCTGGGAGTAAGGGGGGAAAGTGGCTTACCCAAGCATATATCTTCCCCTTGTACCGCCCGATAACCGTCTGGATATGGTTCGTCATGACGCCTTCCAGCGTAGTTTTATCCGTGATGGACGACACCCAGGTCGGCAGCTGCGAGTGCCACACCGTGGTATGCCCGCGGATCAGCTTGCCATTCGTCGTCGCCCAGTCGACGAGGTAGTCGGCGCCCGAGAAGGAGAACTGGCCTTGCGTGGGCTCTGTGGCGTCCCATTTCATACTACATCACTCGGATCAGCCCCCTGTATGGGAAAGAGAATGGGATGCTCGAACAAAGCGCATATAGAGTGGCAGGATGGGGCAGCGACTTACGAGTTCTCAGGCGTCACCTGGCCAAAGTCACCAACGACGATCTGCGCATTTGTAGCATCGCTCAGCGTCCCCTGATCCGCCGCCGTCCCGATGTACTTCTTCCCCTTTGCCACGAACGCCGCGTTCAGCGCGCAGCTCTCCCCATGCGTCCCGCTGCTCGCCGCCGCACTCGCACTGTTCGTCGCGCTGGGCGCGGCGATCCTCGTAACCAGGGTCGTCGCCGTGCCCACCGGCGCTGCACTGCTAGGCGCGGGATTAGGTTCAGCCGAGGAGGTTGATTGCAGGCATTGGGAGTAGTAGGCGTTCTGCTCCACGCACTGGTGGCCCTCGGTGCAGGTGGTGTCGCCCTGGTAGTTTGTGCCGCCGCATTGGCCCCAGGGCTGGACGGCGGCGAGGACGGCGGATGTAGAGGAGAGGGTGAGGACGGTGAGGTAGAGTGTGTTGCTGCGGACGCGCATGGTGGGTGTTGGTTTTGACTGGCTGTTTTTTTTGGCTGGGAAATGTGTTGGATGGGAGAATGGTGGAGTAGGAGCGGGTGGGTGGAAAGGTGAGCTGGATGGATGGGAATCAAGCAAGCTTCGAAATGCGGACAGATGAACGAGTAGTGGGTTGGCTTAGAGAATGAATGAACGAACGAATAGTTAGAAGGAAGTGAGGGTCCACCGGTAGAAGCAAGCAAGTCTCCTCAAAACAACTCAACTCAACTCAGCCCAGCCTAACGAATGAATGGTGGAAGAAAAGACCGTAAGTAAAGGACCGAATGTGCCTGCGCAGCAAACAATCCCACAAGAGCGGAGGGGCAGACGGGGAAAATATATTAACACCACCCACCACGCGATCGATCGAGCCCACATCTCGGTCGACCGAGGCGTGTCTAGGTGTGCAGATTGATTGATTGATTGATGAGAAGGAGGGCATTGTTTCATGAAACCCTGAAACGCGCTTGTCTCCCAGCAGACCATTACCGCGGCGCCCGCTCCTTCGACTTTCAAATATAGTGCTTAGTGCGAAAAATTTCAAGCCATAAACACAAGCACCACTCTTGCTCAGAAACAAATAGGGGCAGGTCGGTAATGCTATGCGGTGTTCGCAATAGCATTGTGCATCGGAGTAGATGCTTGCAATAGCATTGTTGTCATCCAAGATCCTTCGTCGGGGAAATTTCATGCGAGAACACGCACGCGCACGGCAACAATCCGCAGGAGATAAATAAATCAAGACACCACGCACGCTTTTTTAATATGCTTCCATCTAATTTTTCCCGGTTGCGTCTTTTGCTCGCTTCCAAGATCCCGTTTCTCATTCCCGCGGCGCGTCGATCCGTCGAGCGCTACCGCTGTTTATGTGACGTTGGCTGATGACAGGTGCGAAAACAGATGAAACAATCGCTTATGAGCTAGGGACCGAACGTGCCAAGGCATTATGCTCTCGACATATACACACGATATCACAGGAGACAAACACATCTGAGAGAGCATAATCCGCCGAGGAAGAATCGCAAACGTAGTTTATGTAACTCGCAGACCGGCTCACGCGACACCAAGTCGCAGACTAACAGCTCTTCGATGCGCTTCGAGCTCCTCCACGCGAGCCAATTCCATCACCGCGGGACCAACATTAGCAAGGCCTTCCCGCGTTAGGTTAGAGCTGGTAATATGTTTGACGTAGGAGCCCAGGTTGACGCCGGAATACTGCTTCGCGTATCCGAAAGTTGCTAGAAACGGTTAATCAGCAATCAATTCAAAGCTGAGGCTTGCGGGAAGACAAGATGAATGGACTTACGAAGTGAATGGTTGACGCCCGCGGAGTAGTCGCCCACGCTCTCTGGTGTCCACTGTCCGATGAAGACGCTGCCGGCGTTCTCGACGAGATCAACGATCTTTTCCGCATCCCGCACCTGCAGAATGAGATGCTCTGGTGCGTACTGGTTGCTCAGAGCCATGGCTTCCTCGATAGTCTGAACGACCAGAGTGATAGAGTGCTCGATGGCTCCTCTTACGATGTCAACACGAGGCAGAGCATTGGCCTGGGTGTGGAGCTCGTCTTCGATAGCAGCAAGCTGAGCTTCGTTGAGACCAACCGCGATACATACGACTTGTGAGTCCACGCCATGCTCGGCTTGGCTGAGAAGATCTGATGCAACAAACGTCGGGTTGGCGGACGCGTCTGCCACGACCAGAACCTCGCTCGGACCGGCAGGCATATCGATGCTGACTCCCGCATTTGTGTCGTTGGAGACAATCATCTTCGCCGCAGTGACGAACTGGTTGCCCGGTCCCAGAATCTTGTCGACCTTCGATACGCTTTCGGTTCCGTACGCCATGGCGGCAACGGCCTGAGCCCCTCCTGCGAGCACGATCGACTCCGCGCCGACCTTGTGGGCGGCGTACACAACTTCTGGCGTCACTGAACCGTCCCCTCGTGGCGGAGTCGCGAGCACAATCTTCTTGCAACCAGCAACCATGGCCGGGACGCCAAGCATCAGCGCGGTTGATGGCAGCACGGCGGTACCGCCAGGCACGTAGAGGCCTACGCGCTCAATGGGTCGACTGAAGCGCGAACAGACGACGCCGGGCATTGTCTCTACCACAAGTGGCTTGTCCTCCTTTTGTGCAGCGTGGAACTTCCAAATATTCTCGAACGAGATATCAATAGCTTTCATCGTCTCCGGCGCAAGCTGCATCAGCGACTCGAGGAAGGGCGCCTTTAGAACGGGTGATGTTAACGAAGTTGCCTTCTCGAATTTGTGAGTGTACTCTAACACGGCAGCATCACCTCGAGTCTTGACGGCTTCAATGATAGGGTGGCAGATAGCTATGATCTTGTCGCTTGATCGTTGCGATGGGCGTTGGAGCGCGGCTTGTATTCTCTCGGGAGACTCCTTTGCGGTAATGTAGCACTGCATGGCTATTCGGCCATTCTTCAGTCCGGCCGAGTCGTCTTTGCTCTTGGGTATTTCGGCGGCCTCTTTGACCGCTTCCTTCTTGCTCGTCCCATTTGACACGCCATTAGCACCTGAAGCCGGTACAGCGAAAGCCGGTTTGGCATCGCCTTTCCGTCTCTTTACCTTGATGCTCTTCGCATCGAGGTTTCGCTCGACGTCTTCTAGAGACACACCCGCGGATATGCACTTGGTCAAAGCAAAGTATAGAAGGTCCGCGGCTTCGAACGCAATGTCTTCTTTTGAAGTCGCATCACACAGCTCCGTGGCTTCCTCTAGGATCTTTGCTCTCAACAGCTGCTGATCGTTGAACAAACGTGCGGTATACGACCCTTCCGGGGCAGACTCTTTGCGGCTCTGTAGGGTTTTCTGGAGGCGCGACAGGCCGTTGTATTGCCCGAAGCAGGTGGGTGTAGCGAGATGACAGAAGCCTGTTTACAATCAGCCACTGCGCAGGTCGGTGCTTGCTATTATGCTTACCTCTACCCTTTTGCCGAACCACAAATCTCAAGCAGTCGTTATCGCAATCTAGCGACAACGAGACCAGCTCCTGAACGTCTCCACTGCTCTCCCCTTTGTACCACAGCCCACGCTTCCGGCTCTGGTATACACCCCTTCCGGTCCTCAGACTCTCCGCGACGCTCTCTTCGCTACTATATACTAACCCCAACGCAATTCCTCGCTCGTCGGTCACCACTGTGGAAAACAGTCCGTCTGCTCGATTGCTCGTCGCATTAGCCATGATCAGCTTTGCGACGCCTAGCAGTCCTGGTTCGCTTTGTGCATCGACGGTGAGGAACTGCACAGGGATGACTGGGATCCCCGACAGCTTGGATATGCGCAAGACACTATCCATATCCGGGTTTGCGAAAGACACGAAGACGTCTGGCCGGTCTGTGCCATACTCTTTCAGCCATGCCTCCACCAGCTCGATGTCCACGACCTGATGAGAGTACACATCTACCTGTGTCCCCGCAATGGTATCTATAACCTCTTGCTTTGTATTCCCCGGCAAGCAGAGCACGAGTCTATCCTGGTCAATGTTCAGCGCCATAAGCTGATCGAGCTGCTGGCGAGTAACAAAGACCTTCGCGGCGCCGGCGTCGAGGAGCGAGACGACATCGTCAAGTGAGGTGAGGGATGCGGCGCCGAGGTAGTTTGCATAGCGGCCTATGGACTGCTGGAGGTGGACCAGGGCTTGATCGACGGTTTCGGGGGTGACACGAGCGAATACATTGCCTACGAAAGACAATTGCGGGGGATTGAGGCCTGGCGAGGCTTCCCTGTAGTTGAGCAGGTCAATTGCAGCGAGCAGCGCCGGAGCCATGACGGACAGGCTCGGGAGCTTCTTTGAAGTCTGGTGGGGAGAAAAGGTGAAGGGTGAAGAGTGAGTCGTCGCGCAGAAAAAGTCCAGACAATGACGAGATCTCGCGGGCCGTTTCCGACCAGCCCCGCTATCGGCGAAAAGCACGTGCGACCGCGATGGGCTAGCGTGAGGCCGAACGCGTTGAAACTCTACGATCTCTCCCGTTCATTAGCTATACCTGCTTTTTCACCCTACCAACGCATGTCTTTTTCGTCGTGGCTGCTCTTTGATGAGTGCCCCGTACCTCTTACGTCGCTAAAGGCCATTGCGTTCCCAAGATCATCCTCTAATTAGCTTCAGGCCGGGCTACCTAAGTCTTACCGCTGCCAAATTAGCCTGCGTCGATGTCTTCTCGCGCGAGAGATGCGTAGCAAGCAGCATCATCAGAAGGATTGCGTAAGTCTTCACGCTGTTGATCGTTAGAGCGTAGGTGCGGTGAAGGCATCCAGCCGCGCATTCTAATACCCTGCCGAGGATGCATTGCAATCCAAAAGCAAACAGGGCAGCTGCCACGCCCAATCAACTACACCACCGTCAGCTCTAAGAGCATACCAACGGGCATCCATTTCCAGGATTCTCTTCCCGCGTCCACTAGAATGATAACCACCGCTACGAAGTAGTATCGGTCCGCCGTCATCCGTCTCACGGCTACGATGCCCCACCTAAGGGCCGATCTCATTGCACCACCACCCCCGCATCTCATTATCAAGCACAAACCTGCCGGTAACCTCCCCAAGGCTACAAAAAAACCCAATCGCCTTCCAAGTCTCTCCCCATTGAACAAGTATTACCTCGTAAACGCACTCCAGCTTTCGAAATGTCCTACTCACCGCCTAGCTCCGCCCAGCCCTTCACCCTCTCCATCTCCGACCAAGACCTCTCCGAATGGCGCCAACTCCTCCAGCTCAGCAAGCTCGGCCCACAAACCTACGAAAACACCCAAACAGAGCGCAACCTCGGCGTGACTTACAAATGGCTCTCCACCGCCAAAGACTACTGGCTCAACGAGTACGATTGGCGCGCGCAGGAAAAACACATCAATTCCTTTCCCAACTACAAGATGCAGATCGAAGACATCGATGTGCACTTTGTCGCGCTGTTTTCGGAGAAGAAGGATGCGGTGCCCATTGTTTGCATGCATGGGTGGCCGGGCAGTTTCATTGAGTTTCTGCCCATGTGTGGGTTGATTAGAGAGAAGTGGAGTAAGAAGGACCTGCCGTACCATATTATCGTCCCGTCACTGCCAGGATATACCCTCAGTTCAAGTGGTCCGCTGGATAAAGACTGGTCGATGCAGGATACTGCCCGGATCATCAACCAGCTCATGATCAACCTCGGCTTCAGCAGGTACGTTGCTCAGGGAGGGGACGTTGGCAGCATTGTCGGAACCATACTGGGCGCCAAGTATGATGAGTGCGTTGCAGTGCATTGTAGGTCTCCCAGCACCGCAATTCATGAGGAGAGGCTGATGCGAATCGGGCAGTGAATATGTTCAGCACGCGCGATTTTCCGGAAATGTCCACACTCAGCGAGCTAGAGAAGGGTTCCGTAGAGCGTGGCGTGAAGTGGCGAGAGACGGGCACGGCGTATGCGCTGGAACATGGCACGAGGCCTAGCACTATTGGACATGTCTTGTCCTCAAGCCCGCTTGCCCTTCTAGCATGGTAAGCTATCCTCTGCCTATATCAGCACCGCCCTGAGCTGTTTTACTAACCAAGCGCCCTAGGATCGGCGAAAAGTTCCTCGAATGGAGCGACGAAGACCCGGCCCTCGACACCATCCTCACCAACATCTCGCTCTACTGGTTCACGGGCGGCTTCCCGCGCTCCATCTACCCCTACCGCGCAATCATGGTGGGCCCGCGCGCTCCCCCGCCCTACATTCCAAAACCCACTGGCTTCTCATTCTTCCCGTACGAGCTGATTCCCGGCATCAAGAGCGTCATCGAGAAGCAGTGCGATTTGGTGCATTACAAGCAACATGAAAGGGGCGGGCATTTCGCGGCGCTGGAGAAGCCGAAGGAGCTGTGGGGAGATGTGGAGGAGTTTGTAGGGAAGGTGTGGAAGGTATGAATGAACCGCAGTGGACTAATAGTCTGTGGCGGTCAGGCTGACCAAGAATCGAAGGGTAAGACGCTGGCAGCTGACGCAAAACTTTGAAGGATCTTCTTTGGACTACTTGGCAGTTGCAGTGGAACGGGTTTTATAACAAAAGAGTATAATCAATAAAGCATTCCCAATGCTGACTAAGGCCTACCTTTGCATGATGCATGATGTAGCATCACGTGACACTTTCACATGCCTCGGCTCGCGATACAGCAAGCATCATTAACAACTCCGGCACCGCACATGACAGACGGCGCCGCATCTCAAGCTTCGCACCTCAAGACATGACATTCCTCTGCCGGAGGATACCCATGGCCCGCAATGGCCGCACAATCCACATTACGAGAACGTCATGATCCCCTCCTCGCCCTCTACAAGCACTCTGCCACCATTCTCCGCACCCGCATCGGCAACGCCTCGAAGCTCACGAAGCTCCTCTCAACAATCACACTCGCCCTCGCCATAATAGGCACCGGCTATGGAGGCAACAGATGGTACAAGAGGCGGCGCGCTGAGAAGGAAACGGGCCGACGGCTGCTGAGAAGGAATTCTGGGTTGAGAGGGAAGGATGGCTCGCGGACGATATACGTTCCATACCGAGACTCGACTTCTAAAGTGGTCATCTATCCGACGAAGCCTACGACTTTCGATGCGCATCGCCGTCTCTTCCTGCAGCCTCCGCGCGCGGCGCGCATGGCCGACGGGAGCAATCCACAAGCTCCGCCGCCGCAGACAAAGCCCGGGCTGAACCTCGCCTTCCTGCACCAATTCCTCAGTCTCCTGAACATAATGATACCGCGGTGGAATAGCAAAGAGTCCGGCCTACTCATAAGTCACAGTGTCTTCCTGATGCTAAGGACGTATCTGTCGCTGGTCGTTGCTCGACTCGACGGAGAGATCGTGCGGGACCTGGTGGCGGGCAATGGCAAAGCGTTCCTGTTGGGTATTGTGAAGTGGTTAGGTGTTGGGACCTTCTCGTCGTATACAAATGCGATGATCAAGTTCCTGCAGTCGAAGGTTTCGATTGCGTTCCGGACACGGCTCACGCGGTACATCCACGATCTGTACCTGAACGACAAACTCAATTACTACAAGCTGTCAAATCTGGATGGAGGGGTCGGGCAAGGCGCGGATCAATTTATTACGCAAGATCTGACGCTTTTCTGCGCAGCCGCAGCATCGCTATACTCCTCCCTCGGAAAGCCGTTCGTCGACATCTGCGTCTTCAATTACCAGCTTATCCAGTCGCTAGGCCCACTAGCGTTCACCGGACTTTTGAGCAACTATTTCATTACTGCAACGATTCTGCGAAGATTATCACCTCCATTTGGGAAGCTGAAAGCCGTCGAAGGCAGGAGAGAAGGCGATTTCCGGGCGCTCCATTCGCGACTAATCGCCAACGCCGAAGAAGTCGCTTTCTATGGTGGCGATGAAATGGAGAAGCACTTTTTAGAAGCAGGCTTCAAAGATCTCAGGCATTGGATGGAGGGGATTTACAGCCTCAAGATCCGGTACAACATGCTGGAAGACTTCGTGCTTAAGTATTCCTGGTCAGCGTTCGGTTACCTCATCACGTCGCTTCCTGTCTTCTTGCCCGCATGGGGTGGCCTGGGCAGTGCACGGGAGCTCTCAGGAGGTGAGCGACAAAGCAGGGAAAGAAATCGCATGAAGGACTTCATCACCAACAAGCGCCTTATGCTTTCACTCGCCGATGCCGGCGGTCGAATGATGTATTCGATCAAGGATCTCTCCGAGCTTGCGGGCTACACCTCCCGCGTATATACACTCATCAGCACGCTCCACCGCGTGCAAGCCGACGCATACTACCCTCTCCCGGGTAGCCGACCAGAACTCTATTCCCTTTCCGACGTCCAAGGCACCGTTCACAAAGGCTTTGACGGTATCCGCCTAGAGCATGTACCCGTCGTAGCACCCGCCCTGTACCCAATGGGCGGCGACGAGCTCATCGAATCGCTCTCCTTCATCGTCCACTCTGGCGAGCACCTCCTCATTACCGGACCCAACGGCGTTGGAAAGAGCGCCGTAGCCCGCATTGTAGCGGGTCTATGGCCCACATATCGCGGCCTCGTCAGCAGGCCGCGCTCCATCGGCGTGGACGGTGTCATGTTCCTGCCGCAGCGCCCCTACCTTAGTACTGGCACACTGCGGGATCAGGTCATCTATCCGCACACCGAGCTCGATATGAAGGATGCGGGTCGACGAGACTTTGAGCTCAGCCAGATCCTTGCGGAAGCAAGGCTGGGTTATCTGCCTGATCGTGAGGGTGGCTGGGATACGAAGAAGGTTTGGAAAGACGTGTTCAGCGGTGGAGAGAAGCAGAGAATGGGTATCGCGAGGTTATTGTACCATGAACCGCGGTATGCTTTCATCGATGAGGGAACCAGTGCTGTCTCCTCCGATGTCGAAGGCCTTCTCTATGAGCGTGCCAAAGCCAAAGGAATCAGTGAGTTTCCCCTCTTTTCAATCTCCTGCCAGCTAGCCGCCGCATACTGACCGCCCGCAGCCCTAATCACCATCTCCACCCGTGCCTCGCTAAAACGTTATCACACCTTCACGCTCACCCTCGGCCAGGGCGAGCAGGGCGACGAATGGGAGTTCCAGCGCATCGGCACCGAATCTGAAAAGTCCTCCGTCGAGAAAGAACTCCACGAACTGCGCGAGCGCCTCGCAAAGGTGGAAGAGTGGAAGCAACGGAAGCAGGAGATCGATGCAGAGTTATCCAAAGTCTGGGTGGACGGCGGAGACGAACTAGCACCGCCGCCATACGCTGAGAAGGAAGTGGCGGGTAAGCAGGTGAAAGAGGAGGATGATTTTGCTGTGGAATCGGGCGAAGAGCGGTAAGATCATTGCTCGAATATCGTCGGGCTAGTGGAGTTCTTAGAATTGGTACGCATAGAGTCATGTATACATATATTTTATATATATATATATATATATATATATATATTTGGCTTGTGGGAAATATGCATTGGCATGTGGTTGCTAAAACTGAAAATATTTTCTCATACAAGCGAGAGGAGCCGTTGGCGATCCGATTGGGAACGAGATACGATGTTCTGCAAGGAACGCGTCCGTTCTAATTCCCGTCCTAATTCCAGAGGAGATACTGCGACTTACGCATTGAGGGGTTCGACTGGACGCTGATCTTTATTAATGAAGCAGCAGTGCACGATTCCGGACGGAAAACGAGATAAGTATACATGATATCTATCTATCTTACAAACGTCCACCTCACGCGTAGAAAGAGACCCTCACCGAACTCGCGTTCCTACTCCTGTTCTTACGCTGCTTCCACGCATTCCGCGGTCAATAGGAGCCGTTATTATTATAGAAATTTCCTTCGAACAGGACACCCATGAGAAGTACGGAACTGGAATCTACTCACCGGCTACTTCCCTCCAGGAATACCCCCAAAGTAGGAAACCAGGGGCCAGTCTCTTGACCGAGAGCTTGAGAGCTGGACCAAGATCTCAGAGGAAACGGACTTTGCCAACGTTGGACACCTACTTTGATCCCTACCCCTCCGTTGATGCGACCGCCGAATCCCGAAGGTCAGCAGTGTGCGGGTGCCCAATCTTTCGGACCTCCTCTTCCCGCCGCCAGGTGCTTAAAGTCGCTCGCAGCTCCACGGTTTGTGGATGATCTGGACCGAGGACGCTTTCTGCTCGTTCGACAGCTTCTCCCAGCAGCTTACATGCTTTGGTCAGTTCGTCGCCCGAACCGTGGGCCAAAGTGCTCTCCCTCAGAGTTAAAGCGAGGTTGAACGTGCTCGCGATAAGGCGCCCGACGTCGTCATTGGGCTCTCCGGCGCGCTTCAACTCTTCGTACATCTCCTGCTGGTATTTTTTGGCTTTGTCATAATCGCCCAGGTCGAAGTAGCATGAGCCAAGGTTTGAGCGTACCTCGAATCCTAGCATGCTTCCACCACTCCGAAGGGGAAGAGAATTGACGAGGTCCTTGTAGATGATCAGAGCCTCCTCGGGACGCCTATTAGCTTGGATGATTTGGGCGAGGTCGTTGCGGGCGCTGCGGATAAGGCTGTGACCTTTGGGAAGTGTCTCTTTCCGTCGCTGGACGACGATTCTTTGCTCCTCCTCTGCGTGATGAAAATCTTCCCTATCGAGGCAAATCAATGCGTGTCGCGCACGACTTCGGATCACGATGGGATGGTCTTCACCATATCTTGCTTTTTGCGCGCTGATCACTTCGTCCAGTAACTGATCGGCTTCCTTGAGGCGGCTGAGAGAGTGATAAATGCCAGCGAGAGTGAAGCGCGACAGTACCGCGTCCGGGTGTTTCTTTCCGAGCAAGAATTCCTGAGCCTTCAAAGTCCGCCGTTGTTCTTCTAGAGCTTCCTTCCATCGGCCGAGACGAAACAAGGCGACGGCTTGCTGGTGCTTCGCGCACTGGTAATCCGGATGGTCTGCGCCAAGGGTGTCTCGTCGCCTTTTCACGACGTCCTCGATGGTCTTGAGCGACTTGCGGAACTTGCCACGAAGTCGGTAATTGACGGCAAGGTCATATTGAACGTTGACTGTAGCACGATGGTCCTCTCCTAGCCTGGTAACACGTATATCGCGAACCATTTTGAGAATACCACGGGCGAATGCAAGGTCGGCGTCATCCCGAACCTGTTCGCAGAGAGCAAGGCAATGCATGGTCTGGATGATTGACGGATAGATTTTGACCGGCTGCGAGTTTGCAAGCGGGCTTTGGAGATGAGAAGGGAGATTGTGTATCTCTTCCAGGATCGGTTTAGATTTCTCGAGGAGATTTTGAAGCCTGGCAAGAGGGATGTATTCGGTCTCCGGAAGCGTTTCCGGAAGCGTCTTCGGAAGCGGCTCCGCATCGCCGCTTTCAGTTTGATACGCTTCATCACTGTCATCCTCGTTTCCGAATTTATTTAGTTGCTCTACGAGAACAAGGAGGCTCAATGTTCGCGCTTCGTCCCATTCGCCTATCTCGCGGAGAATGTTGGCAAGGGTCGTTTTGTAGGTGAAGAGGCCCGGATAATTAATCTCGGCCTTGGGTTTGACTTCTTCGAGCTCCACAACTTCTCTCTGTATTCTCTCTGCTTCTGTCGACTTGCCGCAGGCCAGAAAGACCTCTGCAAGAATGGTCATACATTTGAGCGTTTGCGGATGGCTGTGCCCGAGCACTTCCTTATTCTTGCGCAGCAAGTAGGTAGCGGTTTCTTCAGCATCCGAATATCGACCTTCGCTTTTGTAAACGAGTACCAGAGTCTCAAGGGTTTGCAAAGTCGAAGGGTGGCTCTCGCCTAAACGCAACATCATTTCTCGCAGGGTACGATGAACTGCCTCAGTGGCTTGAGATGTCTTGCTCCTAGCTACTAATAACCAAGCCTGGAAACTAGAAGCATCAAGAGTGACGAAATGTTGCGGTCCGTAGCGCCTCTTCATGTCTTCCAGCGCTTCTAGGTTTGCTTCGTCCGCATCTTGTAGTTTTCCGACCACGTATGATATTCGAGCATGGTTGAGAAGGCAGGTGCTTCGATGACCGGACGACATGTCTTTTCTCCTGTATGCGTCCGGATTATAGGCTTCGAAAGATTTTGGATCGATGGCTTTGATGCTGAGCTTCCAAGCGCGTTTAAAAGAGCCCGCAGAAGCAAGGACCAGGGCGAGAGTGCTCAACAGATTCGGACTATTTCTGCTCTTGGTGGTCGGTAGTTTGTGCCTGCAGCCGTCGAGTGTGCTTTGAGCGTCGGTGTATTTGCCCTGTCTCCACTGCGACAAAGCGAGCCACCGTGCGATTTCAGAGGCCAAACTGGCTTCTCCTGGGTCAACCAGAGGACCTCTGTATTGTTCGTCTAGTAAGCCTTTGAGCCTACTTTCGGAGGATCTGTAGTCTCCGTGAATGAAGGAGATCTGTCCGATTTGAAGTTGCATCTTGTAGTAGCCGCGGTCGATTTGGTCATTTTGTTCGCACCAGGCAATAAGTACGCGATAAAGGCGGTTAGCCTCGTCCAGATCTCCATGTTGGAAGCACCATGACGCGAAGTCTTTGCTGTCCTTGAGATCTTCCCTAGAGATTGAAACAGGGATCGGTACAGTATATTTCTGCAGTCCGAGCTGGTTTGTGTACCCCGTTCTTTGTTCATCCGACTCCTTAAACCCAACACTCCTTAGGGGTTTCGGAGGCCCCGGTTTCTGGATGGCTGAAGTCAAAGGCTGCGGCGATTCTGTCCGTCTAGATGATTCGATGAAGGGGAGCCGGGGGGTTTCGGCTCCATCAGAGAACTGCTCTGGTACGAGCCCCTGTTCATAGGTGGGAGCGAATGGCCCACCTGCGTACGATCGCATGCTTCGAGTGTCGTAGGACGCACTGTGTCGCCCCCTAGAAGGGCTGCGGGTGGACAGACGGCGCTCTGGAACGTTCTCCGAACCGGAGGTCCGCGGAGACATGGCACGCTTCATCAATGTAGGAATCTGCACTGGGTCGCTCTTCGAGACCTTTTTAAGAAACCCTATGATCTCCTCTTCCTCTTCTGGAGACATGCTTACAAACATGGTACAAGAGCTGTCGTCCGACCCTGTACTGGAGCCGCTGGAATCGCTCCATTGTGAACCTCCCGTGGTTCTGCGATGAACGCCCTGCTAGTCTGTTAACTCATCGTGAAAGGCGGGAGAAGGACTACTACCTCACCTTTCTTTCAGGACAGCAGACGGGCAGTATTGGTAGAATCTCATCTGGAGAGCCTAGGCTATGCCTGAACCCTGCGAACTCCTGAGCTGTAGAGTCTATAGTGGAGAAGTCAAGCACTGGATATTCTTGCTGCAATTTTATCTTTGGTCGTCCTTTCATCAGATGCTTCAACAGGCGGTCGCGAAAGTCGTTCCAATGATCTTTGGACTCCCAGTAGCCTTCCGAGGGATCCTTGGGTAAGCCGAAATCTACGAGCCCCACCGGAACCTTTTTTAGATCTCTATCGTACTGCGACTGCACGAGGGCTTCACGCACAATCCAGGCTGCAGAGCTGTGTGCTATGACTGCAACCCTTTCCCGCTCCTATGCGAGGCTTAGCCGTGATACAGGGATTGCGTGATGAGAAAGGAACTCACTGGAATGCTCTTGACATCTTCAAGCATTTGGCTGGCTAAATCGTTGAATACCCGCTTTCCCTTGCGAAGGACCTTTGCTGCATCAAAGCCAAAGATGTGAACTCGACTGTGCCCCACGCCCTTTTCAATCGCAGCCGCGCTTTTCCAAAGCGACTTCTCGAGCTTATGTGCTCTCAGACTACAACATCCGTGCACCAGAAAGATCCTAGATCTAATCAGACGGTGTCGGAATATTACATCCTATCCAACTTACTCAATATCTGGTGACGCTTTATTGGACCCATTCGAAGGTTTAAGTGTCTGAAACGACCTCAGCTGCCCTGGAGCGAGCCCGGGTAGACTGGCGTGGCTATCCCGACGGGTATGAAACATTGCGAGAGTCGATGCGAGTGCGATGGACACCGCGATGGGAAGTTAGACACGCCAAGCATCGAGAGGTGGAGGACTTGAGAGGGGTTCAGCGCGGGTGTGCGGTGCCAGCCGGTTTTAGGGATGTGCTCTGCCTAGCACTGCATTGTTGTGGCGGTGGCTACGCAGTCAGCCGCGGCGGGTCTGAGACTGCCCCGTCTGTACGACAGTGACCTTCCACGTCTCCTTTCTTCCCTCGGTCCTCGAGCCTCGAGACTCCGCCACATTCCTGGAGTCGCCGACCGCGTGGTGCACTACCTTGCAAAGCGCGTAGAAAATGCCGTCGCCCGTCCCAGCCTCTACCGAACCTCCGGGCTACGATGTCGCAAACACGGCGGCTATCATCAATGATCAGCAAGCAAGAACTGGGGGCCAGACGAAAAAGCCATGGTGCAGGGCCCTGAGCTGATTTTATGAATCAATATTACGCAAGGGAACCACCGCAGTTCGCAGCATGCAGCCACCACCACAGCCGCAGCCAATCGAGGCTGGCATCAACCACACCAGCTAAGCGACATCCCGCCCTCAGAATGCCCGAGTTCGACTGTAGACTGTAAGAGCGGCTCTGCGATAGCAGGCGGACAAGGCTGAAAAATTGACGTTAAATGAAATGTCCTCGCAAGGTTAGGTTCCGGTCAAACTCAGACTCGACGGCCGCCTCTCACTTTTCTCTACTAAACTTTCCGCCTCATCATGCAACATCTCGGCCTTAACCTCCTGGAGAAGGACGACTTCGAGGTCACATGCTTTGACAACCTCTATACCGGGGAGAACCGGGAATGCCACTTCCATGGATTTCCCCAGACGCGAGGCTGGGAGTTCGATACATCCACATACACTATCAAGAAACCCATTAGAACACCGGGAGTCGACTTCGGTCAGCTGATGCAATCTTGGCTCTTTTTCGGGCTCATTACCGCGGTAGTGTACGACGACAATCACGATGAGACAAGGCGATTTGATTCGAAGACGCTTGTATCCAAGCGTAATACGATCGATACGACAGAGCTCCCGCGTATCCTTAGAGAATGGCAACGATGGGAGATGCAGAAAAAGAACGAATCGGGCCAGAACATGAGGATGATCCGCGCACAGCTTGCGTTGGACCTTGCCCGGAAAGTGATCAAGCGCCATTCTCCCCCACCTGGCAGTAGAAGGAAGGCAGGCCCTACTCAACTTGATGACCATCTGGCATTATCACTCATGGTCCTCGGCGAAACTTTGACGAATGCGAAAGCGAAAATCATCAATCAAGTCGGCTTCAGGGCGCGCGATTGGTATGGAGATGCCGATATTGGCTGGGGAAGTCCTTCAGCGGTATTGGATAAGATGGATGACGACGACTGGTGTCCCAGGACGAAAAATCTCCTCCGAGCGCAGCTACGCGAGAATGCGACGGCCCTCCTCTCTGTCTATATATCACATCGACAACATAAATTCAGAGGCCATACAGAGGCTAAATGCAATGAAGACGAACCCTGCAAGCTCAAATCCGAAGACGGGCGCTTTCCTGGGGAATACGCAACGAAGCATCACCCAGATTGCCTTCATCGGGGAAACCGCAGAAACGCTGCCTGTCATCCCGGCAGCGCGTGTTGTGGTCAAGGGGATGAGGACATGAAGGATGACGAGGAAACCTACGAGTTACCCACCTGCCTTACTCCGTGTGTAGATAAGATGGTGGGCGTGACGATCGCAGATGTTGTGAGGATCATAGAAGCCGACAGAATTCCGCTCATCAAATTCAAGGAGACAAAGGGTGGGGAGGACCCGATCCAACTGGAAGTAATTGATGACGCAGAATGTCAAGATTATGCAACAATATCGCATGTCTGGTCAGATGGATACGGGAACCCCGACCAAAATCAACTATGGCGGTGCCAGCTTGCTTACTTTCGGGATCTCCTGAAAGAAGCGCAGATGCAGAAGAATAGGCAGAATAGAGGAGAGGCAAAAGACGACCCGCTTCCTTTCTGGATTGACACGCTGACAATACCGGTACAAGACCAATACAAATCAGCCAGGAAGAAGGCAATCACTCATATCTATAAGGTCTATTCCCGGGCCAGGTACACCATCGTCATTGATAACGGATTGAACAACATGTCATGGGACGACAAGGACTATACAACGACGGCGATGCGAATCCTCGCGAGCGGATGGATGCGCAGGCTCTGGACGCTCCAGGAAGCATATCTGAGCAGGAAGCTTCTGTTCGCCTTCAAACGCTGGGACAACAACAAACCGGATGTACCCCTCGTGGACTTAGACGAAATCGAGGAGCTGTTCGTCGATACGAACGAAGCACTCGTCTCGAGCCTCCCAGCAAATGCCAGGAGCTACTACCACAACATGCTTGGCCAAGACCGCAAGGCACGCATACACGGCTTGACTTCTACGAACAGCGTGGGCCTGGTCGCCAGTGTGTGGAAAGCTGCGCAATGGAGGGTAAGTGCCTGAATATTCCATCACAGTGCTCGCGCTAACGCCCATCAAGACGACAAGCAAATTAGAGCATGAAACATTAGCCCTTGCTACATTGTTGAACTTGGATTATCAGAACTCGTCGTTTGCAGGCGCCGAGCTATTGAAGAAACGCGATGATAAAGCTCAGAAGCTCAAGGAGTACATGAGGGACTTCTGGCTGGTATTGGAAGAGAACTCTCCTGGGGCTATTCCTCCAGGTATCATATTCTTGCCTGGGGAGCGGATCCAGCTACCCGGTTTCGGATGGGCACCCCTTAGCTGGATGGAAGCCCAGGGGGTTGATTATCCTGACCCTATTTCGGTCATTTCCAAGTCAGCAAAACTAGAGCCACGAAAAGGCGGCCTGCTCGTCGAATTCCCGGGATTTCTGCTCCACTTTCAGGACAGGAACGCTATTCTAGGGTACACGGACGGCAAAGGCTTCTGGTTTCCAAGCGACAGTTCGCTGTCTGAATGGTATCATGTCGAACGACCGGATGGGAAACAACATAGTATTAAGAAGGGCATCATCGACGAGCGACGCACTGAACACCTCGCAATCATTCTGAGTCGTCCACGGCCACGCGAAATCGCCGAGATCGGGCTCTTAGTCGAAATTCACAAGACGAAAGAGCAGAGGGAGCTTGGAAAGGATAGCGGGAAGCGGATTTTCGGGGTATATATAGTTGGAAGAGTCAGCGTTAGGCGTGAAACAGATGAGAAGCAGGTGAACGACAAGAGAAAGGAAATCATCGAGAGCCGAAATCCCGAATATCGCGAGAGAATCATCTGCGGCGAAGCGCTTGAGGAGGATCAGCAATGGTACGTGGACAGTCGCACCACCATCGACGAGGAGATGGGCGAGGAATCTAATTTGCCTACGCGATCTGCGTCCGAGGTCAACATACCGGCCACTGGCAGATTTAAACCCTATCCTATGCGAAGTGGGGCAGAAGTTCCTATGGGAATCGACCCGGATGGTGGTGCCTCTCGAGCTGGCACGGAGACTCCAACGCCAGCGCCGTCGACTCACACCGCTGGTGGGAGCTCCATGCATAATCCGCATCCGCCCGCAGGCCCTGGATCACTAATGAATGAGAAGAACGCAGTGGAGGAGACAGAAGAGAACAACGTACCCTCCCCAGGAAATTTGCTGAGGAGTAGGACAGAGGCGGTGACGGACAGGGTATCTTCGTGGTGGAAAAAACTAGGGAGATCCAGTACATTTCAGCCAACTTCTTAGTACAATGCATACAATCACACCTGGACACTTGGTCGGGTTTCAATGCTGTCTCAATAATGACGCGAACACGCTAGCTCTGGTTTTGGCCTAGCTTCTAATCTGCATCCTTAGGTACACGCAAGTTTCCTCCCAGCTTCCCTCTCAACATACAAGGCCATTTACCTCTTTCTCGAGAGGGCTCCCCTGGCATCCGTTTGGAGAGGCTGAACACCGGTCACCGATTCCCTCCTGTCTTACATCATCCTTCGTCCTTCATTGCCCTCAACAGTGACCGATCAAGAAGGCAAATGCAGTCATCAGCTGCCATGCAAGCCTACATAGACGTCTTCTATCACGCGTCCAGTAAGAGATAGCCATAGGCGAAGGGGTGATGATGACCCCAAGCGTGATCGAATGACGCGCGGTGCCTGCGAACGAGACAGGCTCGAGGCGCAGCCACATGGAGAGGGAGGGCAGCCACTCGGACGAATCCAGCTGGATTTGCAGCAACCCCCACATGCAATTTCCACCGTGTGGCGGCGTCCAGTCGCCGTCGTTCTCCGAGTTACTCAGTTACACACGCCGCAAGGCTGAGGCTCAGCCTGGTCGACAACGCAAGGCTGAAGTTCAGCCTGGTCGCAAACAACACCGCATCACTTTCCGGATGCCCCGCCCTCACACACGTAGCAATAACGCGAAAGCCTCATTGTTTGATGTTTACTTCGAGGCGCACCGATCACTGCGCAACCATATATATGCATAGCATCGCGTTCAGCGGATGAGCAGCCCTTAATAGCCGCTACGCTGTATTCGCGTGCCACCAACTCGAGCGATGGCTGCTTCTTCCATTTCCTCTATGCAATCTAACGCGGCCCAACTCCGATCACAATGGTCGAATCCCGGAGACGTCCTATCGCTCCTCCTCATTATCGGAGGGGACATTGTCCAAAAGGCGCTCGCGCAAACGACAGCCGGCAGAATACCGCCAGTCTGCTTCTCCTTCGGATGGGTAGCGTACTCCTTCTCCACGCTCGTTGGAGTCATCGGAGATGGACGGCTGCTCCCTCCCCCGGATTACCCGGTCAAAGTGTTCAATCTGGAGTCGTCGTACGTGCGCGAAAACAAGAACTGGGTTATAGGCCGGATACTGCGAGACAACGAGGTGTTCATGAATAAGAGGGGAAGCCTTAATGGCGCCAGCATCAGGATTTCTATCTACACGGCCGAAGCTCCTTGGAAGAAAAGAAGTTTTAGTTTTGTCACCGAAAGAATTTGGTTGTTCGTAACCGCCGCCCAGATTGCTGTCGCTGTTGTACCTTTCGCTAAGGACGGTGAATGGGGCGTCTTCCTCATTACCCTCAGTGGCATTGCTGCTGCGATCATTGCCGGCGAGCTGCCGCAGTGGAATGTGGAGAAACTGCCCCTGAAACGAAAGAGTGGGAAGTACATGGCGCTTACGAGTGGTAATGGCTCGCGGGAGGTGATGATCATCTACAGCGCCGGAGAAGCCTTGGACTTGGAAGAACTGGCGGCGGGAGAAAGCCCACGATCAGATCGCGTCTGGGAGGCCTCCTCTCTCTTCTCAGCACCTAAGAAGGGGCCCAAAGGCCAGAAGCTATATCACAAAAACGGCAGCGAAATGCGCACGGCCTTTATGTGGAGCGGTCTCCCGGTGGGACTCTGGGCCACTAGGATCGTCTGCTTCTGTCAAACGATATTCTGGATTGCGCTTCTTATTACGGTAGCTGGTCTTCGGTCTCATAGCTGGTACCTGGTGGGGGTGGGCGGCCTGGGGATGCTACAGAACGCCGTGGTTGCTGCCGTTGCTCGATCTCCCGATCGCCGCGGCTTACCACTCACGTTAGTCGACACTATCGTTACGCGCGGGACCATGGACGGTCTGATGGACCTGGAAATGACGATAAACGGAGCTGGGCAAGTGCTTTTAGACGAGTTCTTCCCCCGGTCCCTGCGAGAGAACGAGCTTGCATGGTGGTCTGGCGACCAGGATCCTTACGACAACCAACGCATGGAGCATGGGGGAAGAGGAAGACCGCGGTCCCGGCTGCCGAGGAAAAACATCGATATTCCGGATATCGATACGAGCGGGAAAGCGCGGCTGTATAGACGCTCGTCCAGTTGGGAGTCTTCGGTACTCTCGGGAGATATGGAGCTGAGGACGGTTTCTCCGCCTCCGATACCGCGGGACTTCGAGCCAGGTGCAAATCCCTCTGCGAAGAGACCGGAGGTTTCTACGTATTCTGCTCAGGAGTCTCCGAGGCCTCAGCTGCCCGCTCGAAATGACCGTCGCGCAAAGCGGTCTGAGGATTCGGTTAGGTCTCCCGACTGGGCCTGAACCGGAGCTCCCAATGCAAGGCTGAGATGTCGGCCCTTCGGATTACAGCTCTAGTCAATGAAGTTTGCGAAGTGATACGGTTTCCCTGGGAGTGCTAGTCTCAATAACGAAGGGGAATATATAAAAACAGTGAAAACACTATTTCGTTGCTTAAGTATTGATTAAATTTCAAGGAGGAGTGGATTTCCATTTTGCTCAACACAGAAGACTCGATGCCAGGATGGAAGGAGGGAGGTGCATGGAAATAGCAAGTGCGGCTCGGTGTCCTCTACGATCAGATCCCTAGAGCGAATGACCAACGCCAAGTAGGCGGCTCAATCAGCGACGCAGCAATTAATTGAAAGCATGTAGCCAAGTACCAGTACTCTATAACCTGTGACTTGTGCGCGGGTGGGCCTTGCATAGCGCATACGGGGTACGAAAATAGCAGCAGCGCGCGCGGAGCATAACCGCCTCGAGCCTGGTAGTGGGATATTATCGATATAGTGCTTCGGAAACCTTTGTTCGACTTCAGGCCACCGCACCACTCGCGCGCATTTGGGGCTTGCGCGCGGCTGAGAAACGCGAGCGCATCTTCGAGGCCATTGAGGACAATTTCACGACGTCTGGATGCTCAGGCTGGAGTTGCGAGTGTGCAATTGCTACTAAAGTGGGTATTCGAAAGTCGTCCCCGTCCAACCGCTATCTACATGCAATACCCGGCAGATATTTTCAGGAGAGAGAAAGGAAGAGAGAGAAAAGGGGCGTACAAGGCGCCTAGCACTGTCGCCACTTGATGTATAGCACGTTGGTGAAGCGGCCGCTCTCCTTGACAGCCGCTAGCGTGCCGCTGCCGGAACCTCCCATGGGCGTAAGCGCAACCTCGGAGTTGACGTTCAGCATGCCCTCGCCTCCGCAGGGCGACCAGACGGAGATAGGGACGTCGTCGTGCTTGGTGTACTTGCCCGTGAAGGGGCCGTTGAGGACCATGGTGGAAGAAGCCTGCTGTGTGTCAGTCGAATCCTATTAACTTTTAGAGCAAGAGCCAGACTTACAGTCTGCGTCTGACCGGAGAAATAATACTGCGCCTTGACCACACCCTTAACGCCGTCATCCAAGTCTCCCCAGCCCATGTAATCCGCGCTGTACACCGAGAAGGAGTAACCGGGCGAGTACAGAATATCGATATTGAGCTGGCAGTTCTTGCGCGACTGGTCGGCGACAATATTGGGGCCGACGGAGGCGGTGAAGTCCTTGGAGAAGTAGATGGGCAGGATGGCGCTGTTGGTGTAGTCGACGTCGATGGTGCCCTGAGGGCAGCCCGAGCCGCCGTAGACGACTTTGTTGATTTTGAAGGCGGGCGGGGCGGCGGCGACGGCGTCGGGGATGGGGGTTGCGAGGGCAGTGGTCGCGAGGAGGGAGAGGGCGGGGAGTGCGTACTTCATTGTGGTGGAAGAGTGTTTGTGTTTTCGACGAAAAGAGGCTCGAAGGATGAGGATCCTGGGAATGACAGAGAGGTATATGCTCTGAAGCTGGAGATCTTATGATCTAAAAGAGAAAAGCTGGAGGTGGCGAGCTGCTTGCTGTAGTGTGGATCAGGAAGGCAGGGAGCGACGCCGTCCTTAAATGCTGAAGCATTCTCCCGGGTACGAGAAGTAGATCACGAACCTGCAGATTGTTCACGATACCTCTGCCAGTCGTTCGTCCAAGGCACGGTCCTACGGGCCGCCCATGTGCACATCTCCACTAGAGTACGTTCTCGTGAAGGCGATCAAAAAATAGCACATCGCTACCGTCCTCAACGGCCAGACTGCATACTCCGGGTTAGAGTAGAGGACAGATACCAGGTACTGTCGCCACGGACAAGCTTTTGGTTGTGCCGACGAAATTGCGGGTGCAGATGTACACGGGGAGGCCGCGCACGATGCTGCCACAGACTGAAGCCATGAGAAGAACACGTTCGCTCTAGAACGCCGCAAAACCTAGAGTTTTGGCTCGAAAGAAGAAATGATCGGCCCAAAAATAGTACGCGAGAAGAGTTGTTGTAGCGTGATGGCAGAGCGATGGGCCGCAAAGGGTCGAGCATTGTATATAATAGATTGGAAGACCAGGTCGAGGTCATGAAGTGGACGGCGACGGTTAATTGCGGGCTGGGATCTGGGGAAGCTTATGGGTCTTTAGCGAGCGGGCGGCGTCGACTTATGAGAACGGTCCTGCCGACTTTGGGGTGCGGTTTTGGGCGTCTCGTATCGTTCATCAATGGGCAAATTGAGCGACGGCCGCTTCTCGTCGACGGTTGCAGTTGCGGGAGGGTTTCGTTGGACAGGTAATTACCGGCGCATGTTCTAGCGATCCCGAGGCTTGCGGCGCGGTCTTTTCTCTGCTAGAGACGATGCAGGTGCAGATTTCATGGGCTATTGTTAGAAAGTTGTGCTGGTTAATCTGTTTAGCGAAGAAGCCAGGTTTGTATAGGCAAAACCAATCTCGAGGTACATGATCACGTGTATCGCCTCACCCTTTGACCCTTCCAGAATTCTAATCGTCGAAAGCTCATCCGCTAGAGTCTCTCTGAGGAGGGGCTATCACAATGCCCCATTGACTGGTGGCGATACTCCGATGACGGGAATTCTGGGTATTTCTCCTCCAGAACCATTGCCGAGGTCGTTGGAAGAAGCTGAAACGGCTGGCTGATGCCCATGTGGAGAACACAACAGTGGTTAGAGCAATCAGCAGAAATTCTTCGATGCGGTGAGGAACGGCGTTGGTGTTGGTGTTGGGGGTGTTGGTGTAGCTGACGACTCGCAGGCATCCGACCGAAACCTGGGACGGGAACCTGGAAGGTGCTGACGGACACGTGCTGGCAAAGCTTAGCTGACACTCTGTTCCAACATCGTACTCACATTCTACTTCGAACATAGCCCGAATCCCTTCTTTTCAGGCGCCCCCGCTGTGCGTACCGCACGAGTCTTTCGGCCGAGTGCCTTCGATCGACGTCATCAGTGGGACGGATATGTTGGATATGCGACAAAGAAAGGAAGCCACTTCAAGCCTCAACGTCCCGTTCTGGACCCTGAAAGCGCCTGGCCACGAGAGTCAATCGCCTCGACTCGATGCCGTGCTAGATACCGGAAGACATGGAAGCCAGCAATTGGCCATTGACACCTTCGCTGAGCTTGCCGCGTGCGTACCGCCGCAATCTCCGTGGGCTTCCTCTCCACCAGAATTCATCTGCTGGCGCCACGCCGCACGCTATCCTATTTACGTAGCTTGCTAGGCCCAACCCTAACCTCCGTAGAAAGATGAATTTGTCTGAGCAACGCCGTCGTCAGCAATCGCCCCGCATTGTCCTTGGCTTGCCCCACCCTTACCCGCTAGCCGACAGCAAGCCACCAACAAGCTGAGTGTTTTATGATTAATCTTCATGGAGAAGGTGCGACTCCCGAGGCCCAGGCTGAAGCGGCGCCCGCGATGATCAGCCCGTGTGGCGGTCCACCGCTCATTCATTTTCGACTCTCAACTTAAGTACTACCCTCCTTCCCTCCCTCATTTCGTCCCACATCACACCTCTGCCCTCGCACAAGTATCACCGCAACCATGTCTCCCTCCAAGACCCTCAGCATCGACTTCGAAAAGTTCTACAACATCATCGACGGCAAGCAGCGCGGCAGCGACAAAATCCACCATGGCATCAACCCCGCGACCGGCCAGGAGCTGTGGGACGTCCCAATTGCCAGCGAGCAGGACCTGAACGATGCCGTTGCAGCTGGGAAGAAGGCCTTCCCCGCATGGAGAGACACGCCAATTGAGAAGAGGAAGGAGCTGCTGATGAAGTTTGTCGACCTCGTCGGCCAGTACTCCGACGAGCTCACCACCCTTCTATGCAAAGAGTCGGGCAAGCCGGTATGCCCAAATCTGAAACGAGCAAGTGGGGCATTCTCTGACGGCGCTACAGAGGAAATTCGCGGCCATTGAGGTCGCCGGTGTGGGTGGATTCGTTGCCTATCACTGTGGGCTATCCCGCGTATCCGGATAATATCTATATACTAATGTCCGATTAGGCAGTCTCGATATCCCCACGGAGACGTACGAGGACGACGAAAAGACTATCTACACTGAGTATACACCTCTTGGTGTTTGTGGAGGTACGTGATATTTGAGAAGGCTAGAGGAACTACGAATTGACGGGCGCAGGCATCGTCCCCTGGAACTTCCCCCTGATTCTCTCCGTTGGCAAGGTCGCGCCAGCCCTACTCACCGGCAATGCCATCATTATCAAGCCCTCGTAAGTCAATGATACGAACGCACCGTAGTCGTAAAGCTAACATGCTATAGACCATTCACCCCCTACACCGGCCTGAAAATGGTCGAGCTCATGCAAGAAGTCTTCCCCGCCGGCGTCGTCCAAGTCGTCGGCGGCAACAACGAACTCGGCGCACAACTCTGCCTGCACCCCGACGTCGCAAAGATCTCCTTCACGGGCTCGATCGCAACGGGCAAGAAAGTGATGGAAGCCTCCGCCAAGACGCTCAAGCGCGTAACCCTCGAGCTCGGCGGCAACGACGCCTCCATCATCCTGCCAGACGTCGACATCAAGAAAGTCGCCCCCGAGGTCGTCATGGGCGCCTTCCAGAACTCCGGCCAGGTCTGCGTCGCCACGAAGCGCATCTACATCCACGAGTCCATCTACAAGGACTTCCTGCAGGAGATGGTCAACTTCACCAAGACCATCAAGGTCGGCAACCCCGACGACGGCGACAACCTGCTCGGCCCCATCCAGAACAGCATGCAGTACGAGAAGGTCAAGGGCTTCTTCGCAGACAGCAAGGCTAAGGGGTACAAGTTCGCCGCCGGCGAGCCCGACATCGCTGCCTCGAAGGGCTTCTTCATCCAGCCCACTATTATCGACAACCCGCCCAACGACTCGCGTATCATCGCCGAGGAGCCCTTCGGCCCTATCGTGCCCACGCAGCCGTGGTCCGATATCGACGAGGTCGTCGCCCGCGCGAATAACACTAATACAGGCCTCGGTGCGTGCGTGTGGGGCAAGGACGTCGAGAAGGCGGCGAAGGTCGCGCGACGGTTGGAGGCCGGCAGCGTGTTCGTAAACTCGTGGGAGAAGCCTACGCCGCAGGCTACCTTTGGCGGGCACAAGGAGTCGGGTATTGGCGGCGAGTGGGGTAAGACGGGTCTGCTGGCGTTCATGAACGCGCATGTCATCCACGTCTACAAGTCGTGACTAGGTAGAGGAAAGCAGGATGTTGCGAAGCTGTGAGGAGAATGAGATGCTCCAAGCAAGCTTATGAGATAGGAGCAGATATGGCCCTGTAAAGTATGAATAACGGAACTTCCATGACGAGCGTGTATTTCCATTGTCTATGCAACATCATGATGCTAAAGCAGATCCAGGTGTTCTTTCCTTCTATGTGCCACCCCATCTATCCAACTCCCCAGCACGGTCAGCACGCATCCTTCTACCACCTTGACCAAATCTACCCCCTAATCCAAACTCTGAATCTGCACCTTAATAGCGCCCGTCTTCGGATCACTCGCCGTCCTAAACGCCTCGACCGCATCCTCCAGCCCAAACCGATGCGTAACCAGCCTCCTCAAATCCACAACGCCATTCTGCACCAGCCTTATCGCCCTGGGCCACGTATTCGCATAGCGGTACTGGAACTGCAGATCGACCTCGCGCGTACTCAGCCGCATAAACGGGATCGTCATCTCGTTCCTGCCGACGCCGATGACGAACACCTTCCCGCCGAACTTGACGGCGTGGATGGCGCCGCAGATGCTGGACTCGACGCCCGTGCACTCCATGGCAATGGCGGGCTCGACGCCGGCCATGAGCCGCACGACGGCGGCGCGGAAGTCCTCGGGCGAGTCGCTGAGCTCGACTTTATGTGTGAGGATGCCCGGGATGAGCTCCGCGGCGAAGGCGAGGCGGCCCGGGTCGATGTCCGTGATAGCGAGGGGCGCAGCGCCAGCAGCCCTGCAGCACAGCGCGGTGACGAGGCCGATGGGGCCGGCGCCGCAGACGACGACGGGGTCGCCAAGGCGGACTCCTGCGCGGTCGAGGCCGGCGAGCGCGACGCTAAGCGGCTCGAGCAGAGCGCCGTCCTCGTACGAGAGATTGGCCGGCAGCTTGTGGCACCAAACGGCCGGGTGCTTGAGGTAGCGGCGCAGCAGGCCGGCGACGGGCGGCGTGGACAGGAACAGCACGCGCTCGCAGCCGTTGTAGCGGCCCGTGAGGCAGGGCTCGCAGGCGTGGCAGGGTATGTTGGGCTCGATGGCTACGCGATCGCCGGGGGCGAGGGTGGTTACGGAGGGGTGGACGGCGAGGACGAGGGCGGCGGACTCGTGGCCGAGGATGTGCGTGTCTTCGACGATCATGGGACCTATTGCACCCTGGGGGTTGGAGGGGTTAGCTGCTGGGCGGTCGGAGGACGGGTGTATGTCCGAGAAGAGAGGTTAATAGGGAGAGGACGTACAGCGTGCCAGAAGTGTATGTCGCTGCCGCAGATGCCAGTGCTCTTTACGTTCAATAGGACTTCTCCTTCCTTCAAGTCCCCTCCCTTTTCCACTTCCTCCAGGCTCGGCTGTGCTTCTGCGACCCACAGCTCATGCTTCGGATTCGTGTAGACGCCAATGTTTGCCTTGGTGGGCTTGACTTCCGTTGCGGTCGTGCTCATCTTGAACCCCTCCTACAGCTCCTTGAGTCCAATTCGGCGCAATTGGGAGAGAGATCAAGAAGCGGCAATCGAGAAAAGAACAATTGACAAAAGCTCAATCGAAGAAATGCCTAGACAAAAAATTCCGCGACGATCACAACACCCTGCAGACGCAGACGCATTTATACATACCCGCACTGCAGCCGTGGTGCATGCAAGCTACCCCTCCATCGTCGTAACTAGCGTCTGAGGCACAGGAATCTCCACAAATAGGAAGCCGAAGACGCCGCATCTGCAGGCCGCGGGCCATTTAGCCCCGACAGCGATCCACTCGCGTTGCAAGAATTTTCCGGTGGCTGTACATGGATGCGCATCTCACGATGTCAGCTGTGGTGTTGAAATGGCAGCCTCGGGCCATGTGTGCGTCGGGCGGATTGAAGGATTGGGCTTAGTGATCGTTCGAGACCCACGGATGCAGCGGATAGGAGCGGGTGGCTGGGAAAAGCATAGTGCTGAAAGATGCTAATGACACCCCGTGCGATGCATAGTGGTGTTCGATCGACAGAAGAGAGTGCGACGAATTATTTACCAAAACTGCCATCGATCAGCGTGTACAGGAACCATTGACATGAAGAAAATTAGAAGTTCGCCAACATTTGAAACCCTCCTGAAGTCGCCTTCCCCGTAACGCGATGCCGCCGAAAATCATAAGCACCGGACGCCTTGCGATAAAGTACACGTTCCCAGTTCATAACCAAGATGCCGTCCGTCCCTAGATGGTTTGTGGTATCTTTGAAAGAAAGAAACAGGTTACCTAAACCCCGGGAAGATCTTCCGTAGGCCCCGCTTCCAGCGAGGACCAGTGTTATCGTCGTCTTCAGCCTCGCCTGGTACCGACCGATTCCCAAGCAACGCCATAGCACGCTGCCGTGCCCACTCTCGCCGATTGCCGGAAGATGAAGGAGGCTGGGAGTCTTCTGCTGCGCCGCTTGATTGGGTTTGGGCTGCTGCAGGAGCAGACTCTGGCGCCGCAGTTGCTCCAGCAGTGGGATTGGACGCTGTCGGTGCCGGAATAGCTCCAGCCATTTCAATATCTGTCTGCTGTGACTGGGACGTCACCGGAGCACTGAAGAACCTTCGGCCACCTATGCGACTACCTAACGATCCGAGCACTCCAGGAAGGTGGCTCATGGTTGTAGACGAAGGCGGCGGTTGTCCCTCGGTGGCTGCCGCAGTCGTCGCACTGCGTGCACGCATCCGCCTGATCATTCGTTCCCGACGGACCATAACATTCGTTATTCTCGGAGGGCAGTAGCCGACAGGTAAAACGCTTGTCTTACACATAGGGCAAAGACTCGAGTTGCTGAGAAGGAATGGATCGATGCAGTCGACGTGGAAGATGTGCCGGCAAGGAAGCTCTCGTACCTGGCACTCGTTGGGTTCGAAGTCGTCGAGACAGATAGGACAAGTGGACTGCGAAAAGGTGGGCCCGTTTACGGTGATTGTGGTAGGAGCAGTCGGGGCGGACGGTCGACGGCTGAGTGGTGCCGCTTTCTGTCCGGTCTCGGCGTCGATTGTGGGAGAGGGTAGATTGCGAGTTTGTGCCGGAACCTGCGGAGTCGTCTTTTCCGCGTCCTCCGGGCCCGCGCTATATGTATATAAAGGTAGTTTTTCGAGATATTGTCGCGGGACAGTCAATCGCTTCACTCCGAGAGCCTCTAGATCCACCTCGCCGTTGACGACGCGGTGTCTAAGGTTGTTCCGCCGTCTTCTCTGCACGAGATGCATCATCACTGAGGTGGCGCCGATGACGATGATCAGGAGACCCAGCACGATGACAAGGAAGACCCAGAGGCTGGGGAGCTGGCTTCCCGGGTCTGATACCATCAGCCATACGCATTCTCAGCTTATATTCCACTTACCGGTATTGACAGTAGCCCATAGCCGCACATAGTCTGTAGGACTTAACTCGGAGGCTAGCTCCTCGCCATCGGGCGCATCCGTGATGTTTCCCGAGTATAGACCCAACTGCTCCGCGATGATACCACCGCTAATAGACGCAAGAACATATGTAGGGAACTTATTGTCCACTTTCCAGCTTCCGCCGTCACCGAGACCCCACGACGCATCGTTCATTACAGGCGGCATAGTGTTGCTAGTACCAGGCTGGTAGACGAGGAAGGCTTTGACGGGCGATGTGCGCGCAGCTTGGAAGTACTCGATCATGCATGGCGGCGAGAACCAGGGAGCGAATGCAATGAGGGCGTAGTCGGAATCGGAGGGCAAGTTGTTCAAACGAGTGGCGTTTGCGGGTACGTACTCCAGCTCAGACTTCTTGCAGTCATCCGAGCGGAGGTCGGGCACGAAGAGGATGCCATACGGATCGTTGCCGCGCTCAACATCTTTTGATGACAGCGTCTGGATGTTGCTCGTTATAGGGTATTGGAAGGAGACGTTTGGCTGAAGATGACTAGCGTTAGGACTGCTTGAAGAGGCTCGAAGTTGTTGGGGCGCGTACTGCAAGAGTGACGAATCTATCGTTGTAGTAGTTTATCGAGTACGGGTCGGGGAAGGCGATAGTGAATATGCCAATACTTTGGGCAGCTGCGCGTGAGGGTCAGCATGGCCCCAACGAGGATGCGCAGGAAGCGGAAGCGCTCGGACTGGAGGGTGACGTACTCATGGTGGGCGAGCCCGGGATCAAAGAAATGCAGCTGTGGGCTGGGCGCGGTGCATTCTGGAAAGGACGAGAGGGCGCGCAGCATTCAGATCACGGTCGCACAGCAAAGAGCAGAGAGCGAAAAGACGGTGCAGATGCGGAAGAGGGGGCAGCGAGCGAGGAGTGGGCGTGATGATTATGCGGAGGCTGGAGGGGCCGGGATGGGACGAGGCATGAGCGCCTAGGATCGGGAAAGCTTAGCAAAAGCTTGTTTCGGTGCTACCGCCTGTGCGTCGCGCTGGAGTCTGCGACGGGATTACGCACGACTATGGTACATCGCTCGACGGAAGATAGTGATGTTGGCTGTCTTCCAGAAGAGCCCGTGGGCAACGATGGGTCCCATGATCGATTCCAAGGTTGGCCCTCCTGGTTGCCCCTTCCCCGCTTGCTCTTTTCGTCATGTCGAAGCCTTGCTGCTTGGCGCCCAATGTGCGCTCGGGCCATGCGCGTCCATGGCCCCTTCCCAGCGTCTCCGCGAGTGAATGCCGTCGCCAACATCCGCACCGCCCAACGCGCATCCACCGCAGCACGCAAGACCTCAACGCTCGCTGCTGCAGCCGTGTACTCTTGTATTTCCGCTTGTAATTGTGTCGTCTCCCGGCTGCCGGCGACAAGCGCCGCCCTCCCATGACCGCGATCCTGCCTCCGACCCCACCGCATTCCTCACGTCGCGCCGCCCCAATACGTCGATATGTCGAAGAACACCAGCAGCAAGGGGAAAGCAAAGCCTGGTTCTAAGATTGCTGGCGCGCCACGAAGCCGGAACACCACGCCGATGCCCCATGTGCGCGCTTCTGTCGAGCCGTCATCCACGACCGCATCCTATTTCAGCAAACCCTTGACCGCCCTCTCCAAGCCATGTGATGTCACCGTTGAAGAGATCCTAGACCGCGGAGGGCCCGGCACCCAACAGGTACCCTCTGCCCACGCTCTGATCAGCATGAGGGAATCGATAGAGAATAGAGTCTTAGCCAACGTCCAGAAGCGCTGTGACGTGTCCAATGCGGCGCTGAGGGAGCTGCAGAGCCTCAAGAAGAACCGGCCTTCGCATGAGCGAGAGAGGGAGAGGCCGGACCACAAGGAGTCTGAGGAGCGAAAGCACAAAGTGAAGAAGATAGGTAAGAAATGGGCGCCTGACGATGACCGCCCGCTTGCAGTAGGCGCTCATGGCGTTGCCAGGCAAGATGGCGTCGACGTCCACAAAGGTGAGTTGCTATTGTGCCTGCTCCTTTCACTTTCACATCCCATATAGCTGCTCTATATGGAGCTATTTTATGCCCCTTGAACTTACCCAACACCACCCTCGGCCGCGAGACAACCATGTCGAACAACCAAAGGCCTAGAAGGCGACCCCACTCGAGAAAGAATCTCGCTCTGACTCCGCGTCTAGATAATTCCTCGACAATATCCTCGCCCATATCCCAGGCGCCGCCCTCTGCAACCGGCACTGGCCCCGCAGATGCGCCTTCACCTAGCATCTCTGAGGCGTCCCACCAGCCTCCACCCGCGCCCACGATTCCTCAATTCCAGACCTTCGGCGCCGATCCCTCCAAATTCGACGACCCAACCATCTATCACATCCGCGACATCACACCCGGCATGACAGAGGAGGAAATCAAGGAGATATACTGTGTTGCCGAATATCCCTGCGACGATCTTAAAGACTACACCGCCGGCACGCCTCCAGACAAAGACTTCTCCAACGCAAAGCCAGCATCTCAGGTGAATGCTACCGTCTTTGCAAACTACGTCGAGCCCTATATACGGCCCTTGACCGAGGAGGACGTAGCATTCCTCAAGGAGAGGGGAGATCGAGTCGGCCCCTTTGTCCTCCCTCGCCGTGGAAACAGACACTACAAGGAAATATGGGCAGAAGAAGATGGCCAGATGCACATCGACACGAACAACCACCTCCCCCCGAACGAAGCGCGAGGGTCGTACGAAGACATGGCAGATGACCTCCTAGAAACGGACCATGTCTCCGCTGGGCCCTTGCTCCAAAGACTACTTCAGACACTGCGCCCTGAAGGTCGCGGTAACTCGAGCAGCTCCAACGAAGCGAACGGAGTCAATGGCGACGCGATGGACATTGATGAAGGTGCCGGCGCACCGGCTGACACCACGAACAGCAACTCTTTGCCCGCAGCAGCCCAGCTCCCGGAATTCTTGCAACCGGGTTGGAAGGCGCCGCCAGCGAACGGAAGGACAGACTACGCATCTCTCGAAGACCGCATGCTCATGGAGCTCAAACACTATGGCATGCTCTCCGACGCGGACACAGAAACAGCAGCGTACGACTCCCACTTCGACGACGAAGTAGCCGCCCGCCTCCGCTTCCTGCAGAACGAACTCCGAAAACAGTCCATCGTAAACGGGGCGAGGAAACAGCGACTCTTGGAGCTCACAGAAGAACGTATAGCCCAGCAAGAATACAACACCATCGCGGACGATCTAGATAACCAGCTCAACGCTGCGTATCTCAAGCGGAACCGCAACATCGGCAAGGGCAAGAAGCAGACCAAACGACCTGGTGGTGCCGGTGGTGGCAGCCATCCCGTACCAAACGCAGGTATCAGCAGGCCAGGTGTCGGTGAGCCCATCAGGACCCTTATGGAGAGGAAGACCCAGTGGAATCAGACAATAGGACCTGTCGTTAACTTCGGGAAGACGGGTCTGCCTTCCGAGACAATCTTCCCGGAGGAGAAGATGAAGGAGCTAGAGAATAAGGAGGTCGAGATCTGGAACAACGAGACGGAGGAGTAGGCTGTGAGGTCTCACTCCGCCGTAGCAAAACTTCTTAGGCGTACTTGTTGGGATTACGAAATAAACAGGGTCGCATTGGATCGGCGTTGTGGTATAGTGTCTTGCAGGCTGGCATGGCTGGGTCTCGGACTTGGGATACTTAGATGGCGCTTGAGACTCGCCGGATCGATGGGATAGCATGAGGCACCCTAGGATATATTCTATCTTGTTGCATGTTTAATAGAAGACAAACCACGTCTACTGCTCTCTGGCCTTACGCCACTCTTATCAGTACGGCCGCGTCGAAGGATCAAACAATGAATGCATCTCGCACGAGAAGCACACAAACCGCTAGATGCCTTGCGAACTGTGCTATATTGCTTCGATCTCGATGCCATCCAGCCTCGAGGAAGTGACTGCACGGTCTTATGGAGCCGCCTGTACATGGGAGGAGCGAGTCTACTCCACTCCACTCTATTCCTAACAACGCACCGCCGATTGAACAAAGGACTAACTACTCACCTACCGATCAATCAAGCAAACGAAACATACGGATGAGAATAGAAACAAACGGCGGCATTCCGTCTAGTTCTATTTCTGTACCACACTGCGGGTTGCTACTTTTAGGCGTCAGTGCAGGGAGGTAGGGTAGGGCAGGGTAGGGCAGGTAGGGCAGATCTTGTTAGAGCAAGCGCCCAGGTGGATGGGCATGGTGGGTGGGGCGGGGTGGCTTTGAGGGCGTGGGCGGCCGTGGAAGAGTGTGCAATTGCCCTGCCGAAAGAGGGGGGTGTGTTGGCTGGCTGGTTGAATGGGGATGTTTCGTTTGGGATTGTATCCGCCGCCGCTGTGGGGTGGGGTGGTTTACAGCGTCTTCCTTGGTAGTGCTCCACTGATGGGTGGATGGTTGAGTGGAAGGGAATGTTTGTGTTCTGGGGATGGGAGGAAGGTGTTTAGTGGAGGATGGAAGGGATGGTGGAAATGTTACTTTGTGTGATTTGAGTGTGAGGGGACTGGAGAAGGGAGGGGAAGGAAGTTTTGCTAAACCGAGTGAGTGGGTTAGTGAGGTCTGCTGGATAGCAGCATAGTTAGGCTAGATGAGAAGTCAAGCCGCACTGGTGGGAATGAGAGTCTGCTCTTTTTTTCGTGAGAGGGGCATAGAGAGATATGGATATGATGTCTTTGGGTTTTTTCTTTCATCGTTTTAAGTAGTTGGTTGCGATATCGTCAGAATTTAATTTTATATATTCACATCGATGCTTAAATGCTTCAAAAAATCTGTACGACTATACAACGTGCTAAAATCAGGAAAAATCTTTGTCTACCTCATGCTATGCTACACGTACTCCCGCGTTCCACATTCGCATCTCGATCAGCCTGGCTCATGAGGTTATTGTGCAACCTACGCTGTTGCCTCAGCCTCAGCGATGCGCCGGCCTTTGTCCTCCCATCCACCAACTACTCCACACCAGTAAATTTAACTCCCACGTGGAACCACCCCAGCCTCAGCCTCAGCCTCAAGCCAGAAATGATTGGACACACAGCGCTCTGAGCCAGCTTCATCAGGCGCCGGGCCCTCACCCATCTGCGTCCCTGCCACTCCCCGCCGCCGCCTTCTAGACAGCAACCATCACCACTCATCCCTAAACAACCAAATTCCATTCAGACACACCTCCCAATTCCCATTCCTGCATCCCGCCCTCCAAGCACTTCGCCACCCTTCCGCCACCCAGTCCCACTCCCCCGGTCCGTCAGCCAGCACTGCTGCGCCGCAAACCCGCAGCCCCAACCAACAATCCTGCCCCAGACCCAATATATTGGGAACCCGTAGCAATTTACCTACTGTACGGAGGGGGGACGAACGACTGCGCCGCATGCACGCAATACCAACGCGGACCCCCGTCACCGATCGTGTGTGTAATGTATGTGTGTGTGGTGTACGACATGCACTCGCCGCATCTGCGCAGCGGACGGGTGGGCGGGAGCTAGTAGGGGTGTTTGGTGGGTGTTGGGATCTGCGTGCTGGAGTTGGAGGGTTTGTTGATGGCGATGGCGCTGGCTGGGAGAGTGTGGAGGAGAGGAGAGGAGAGGAGAGGAGAGTAGTCGCGCGCTAGTTTAGACTAAGATAGATGATCGATCGGATGGATCTAGGATTCGAAGGAACTCAACCAGGATTCGAAGGAATGATTGGCCGACGAGCGGTCTGGACCACAACGCACTATGTACTAGATAGATTGGACATTTTATATTCCCAGCACAGCACCGTGGAAATAGTAATTGGCGTTTTCGACAGCCATGTCTGCATGTCTTGCAGTCGGTGCGGGGAGCGTGTTCGTGCTACCTTAGCTTACCCGCTATCGTGGCATCTGCATCTCGACGACACCAACATCAACACCAGCAAAAGCCACATTTTAGTTCATCCTCCCATCTCCCCTCTCCCCTCACGTGCTGCCTTACCCTCTCTTCCCCCTCCCTCCCTCCCTCCCTCCGGCAACACGGCACCCCCTCCACTCCCAACCCTCCCACGTTTCACAACACCCCTACACCCCTCTTCACACCACCTCCCCCTCTGCCTCAGTCCCTCAGTCAGTCCCTCAGTCACCCCACCGGAAGCAGCCAAGCCGGCGCAAGCCCGAGCAAGCCCGAGCGCGCGCCCGGGGAATTAGCAAAGAGGCTCTGTGTCAAGATTTGGCTGGCAGGCGTCACGGCGGCTTGGCCTAGCTTGGCCTGGGAGAAGCTTTCGGGCCTGGCTCGGTTTACCTGCGGAGCACCTGCGGAGGACCTGCGGAGAGGGACAGGGAGGAGATAACTCGGGACGAGGGAGGGAGAAGGGGGAGGAGGGAGGAGATGACTCGGAATCGGGACGAGGGAGGGAGTAGGGGGGAGGGTTAAGGGAGGACATAACTCGGAATCGGGATTCGGGTGGGACGGCATGTTCTGAGGCTGGGCTGGGCTGGGATTTGTGAGGTATGCGTTAGGATAGTCTAGACGCGGGAAGAGAGACTTGCAGGTGGTAGATTTGCTATGCGGGCTATGCGGAGAACTCGAGCGGAGCGGACCGACTGATGCAATAACGGACAGTTTTACGACCGCCAAATGTCGATTCTGCTCATAAAAAAAAACCGAACAAGACCAAATACACATCCAAAAGTTAAGGAGAAAAAAAGGGGTTGTAGTAGGTATTTCCAATTGAAGACCTGGGCCGCCGAGAGGGAGCCTGGCGTTTTGCACCAGCCCTGCTGGGTTCCCCAAAAAAACCAACCACACATACCACACATACACAGTTCCATACACCCGGTTCAAGTCCCTTGCCCCTTACCCTTACCCCTGCCAAAAGCTGCTTTCCGCCTCTAGTTCGTAGACATACATTTTCTGGAGTGGGGGGGTTGTTTAGTTTAGAAATGCTCCTTCCAGAACTTGAAGTTGACTTCCTGGCACTTCGCCAGCTTGCACGCCTTCTTGATATCGCGCGCCGCCACATTCGGACCGCAGAAGTACACACCGACATCGGTTCTGAGCGTGCTCTCCAAACCGCCGATATACGTCCGGTCGATAATGCCATCGCGCATACCGCAGAGCAGGCGCTGGAAGTCCGGACGGCCAAAGTTGGTTCGCGACTTGAGCTCAGTGAGCGGATCCTTGTCCGTGCCAACCGAGTTGAGGACGATGTTCTGGGCCGTGTTGGCGTCGATCTTCTGCGTGAGGTAGGTGTGGATGCGCAGGAACTGGTCGCCGTCGGCGCCTCCCATGGACTGGGCTTCAAGCGAGGAGAGCAGCGTCTGGAACCATTCGAAGGAGCTAGTGTCTTTGCAGACCCAGATGAATTCGACGCGACGGAGACGCTTGGGCGGGTTCGGGCTCAGGCGCTGGTGGTAAATGGACTTGAGGATAGACGCCCAAGGTGTGACACCAATACCAGTACCGATGAGGACGGCGATTTCGTTCTCGAAGACATCCTCGGCGGGCGCTCCGTAGGGCCCATCGATGCGGAGAGCGGGCATCCTCTGGCCATGCTGCAGCGCGATCTCGTACATTCCCATGGGATCGAGCTCGTCGTAGAGCTTGGACTGCGACTGCCCGGCTCCTAGAGCATCGGCGAGAGCACGGGTGAAGTCGCCAACTTGACGAACGTGGACGGAAATGTACGGGTCCTGCGGGCAGGAGGTGATGGTGAACGGATGCCACTGGTGGTAGCTGACGTCTGGGCAGTTGAGGAAAAGCCACTGTCCGGGCTTGTACTTCATGCTGGGCTTGGTGAACTGGATCTCGACGGCATCTAGCACTTGTCAGACCGGGAAAGTAGAAGGATATACTGAAAACACCTACCGTACGGGTGACGAACGACCTTGACGATCTGAGTCTGCCTCCTGCAGCGGATCTCGCGATACAGACGGTCGAACAGGTACAGGCCACCTCCAAACAACTCCCATCGCCAGCCCTCGTAACCAATACAATGGGTCCAGAAGCCTTCCTTATCGAAAGGAGAGTAGGGGTTGGCGGTATCGCGCACGAAACAGTTGGTGGCGTGCGTGTACATACCAAGCAGGAACGGAATGAAGAGGTGGTGCGTGTACCAGAAAGTCTCAAAAGACTGCTGTCGGATCCTGTGGTGGGCGGTAGTATAGATGAGCAGCATGCAGAGCAACATGATGTGTCCAGTAATGCCACCAGCCTGAGTATAGTGGATCTCTAGCGCAGTTTCCGGTCGCACCTGGGTTACCTCGACATTGAAGAAGCTGTAGAAGGTCAGATCTGGTCAGCCCTCATCGCTAGTCAGAACTTACTTGACGTAATGCGCTGCGGTGTGGATGACAGTGAAGAAGAGCATGGCATAGGCGACTTGTCGGTGGAACCACATAGACTCATCCAGCGGGAACCACCTGATCTTTGGCCGTATATGGCGGAGAATATTCCTGCACATCGGCAAGACGATGACCATGGTGTCGACGGACAGTACCAGACCGGCACCCCGAGAGGTCCAGACGGAGAATTGGAGAGCGTTAAGCGCAGCTAGACGGATGTCCGCGGCCTGTTTCCACCTGCGATCAGTTAGTATCGCGTGCCTGCCGAGATGCTAAGGCAGAGGCTTACCATCCGATGCCGAAAATTGCAAAGTGGAAGCCCCAAAACAGAAAGTGGAAGATGAGCTTCCTCGGCGTAAAGAAGCCATGCCATACAGATTGCTGCCCCATGATGACGATGGCCTATTGCGCGACGATAATAATAACAGGCCTCTATATCCTCAAGGCGGCGCAAAGCATCAATCGAGTACACAGCAGGCCGGCCGTTCAACGGTGATTAGAACAACGGATTAAAGAGCGTATGTTGGAAGAATGCGAACGTCGACCGGAAAAGAGGGAATCCAGTCGAAGTTCAACCCGGCCAGCCAGATACGAATCGAAGAAAAGAATGTCGGCGTCGAGGGACGGTGGAGGGAGTGGTGTGGTGTGTTGTGAGGGAGCGGAGGTAGAGATGACGCCCCAGGCGGCCAGGGAACCAAGGGTTATTAGAGGGTAAGCTTTTGGGCTCGCTAGTGGCTAGGGCGAAGATCAGGTGGATCTCGGATGAGCCGTGCGAGTTTGGAGGAGCGGCACACTGTGATGAAACCGACAGGCTCGCTCGGAACGGGCGTGGCTCAAACTGCAGCCCTGGTCGTTTGCTGTATAGAAGATGGACTATGTTGGATGACAATTTGCAGGCTCCGGAAAAGGCTGGAGTCAGGCACAGATGAAGCGGCGCGAAACCTGATGGAGCCTGGGCGGAGGAGGTGGATTGTCGAGGGGTATCGAGGGGCGTGCGGCTATGCGATGCGCGCCAAATGTATGAGGAGCGTCTCAAACCTGAAGCGCCAGGCACAGAACCATTTTTCTCTGTAGCGTGCTGACTCTTCGGGAAGCCCAGGCCGCTCTCCGTGGGCAATGCGCAGTTATGCGCCGGAGCGAGTACGGGTGTTGGTGGTGCTCTCGTCGTGTGCGAGTTCAGATGGAGGCAGATTGTTGACTGTAGCTTCTACCGGTGTGCAGATTGCGCAATTCCGTGCCTGAGTCGTTGCGTTTACGAAGGCAATCGATTTTCCGCTGGCAAGGTCGCTTTCGGCGGTGTCCTGAGGTTTTCGAGGAGATCTATGCTGATACGCAGGGGTCCGCTGAGACAGTCCACGTGTGAGGGCCTGACGGGGACAGGGTCGGTGCGCGCAAGGACGTGGATGAATTACTGAGGCGAAATAGCGGTACCTCTGGGTAGTCACAGGCAAAAGACAGCGGATGCGCTCTGCAATGGTGAAGAAGTGGTGGTGGACAGTATGCAGCGGGTGTTGTAAGTACTCTCGCCACCGGCGTTGCGGTCTTGGACGGGCGGCCCCTTGCACGGATCCACAGCGCAGGCGTGCAGGAACTCGGTCGGCTGCTGTCTTTCTGGACGCGCCGAGGCGTGAAGAGCGTACAGAGGGCGATGTTCGTGAAGCCACTCGGCGCTGTGGTTGGTAGCACCGGGCGGGCCGGGGGCTGGGAGCTGGGGCGCGGCGGCACCGTTTGAGCCAATCTCTTCGGGCTTCGAAGCGCTCAGGGCCCCCGCTAGCGGGCAGATGCCCCCGCAGCCTGCGAGCGCCGGCGGTGAGCGGTGCGATCCCGAGCCTGTGCAGTGCTATCCCGGCCTATTTTGGGACGTCTGCCACTCATCGTCGACTGCCATCGCAGTGGTACACGACCACGCGGGCGAAAGCCGATATCTCGACCCACCGCCGGCATGCGTCGTTATCAGATGCCCTCCACGAGGCGTGCCTTAGGGCCGTGATAGAGCGAGCGAACTGCAGCATGCTCGTGCTGGACGGATATGTGGCCATTGCAGTGGTTGACGCAGACGAGCCATGCGTGACGACTCCGCCGAGGCGGCCCAGGAATGGCGGCCGTGAGTCGTGTAGGTTTATCGATAGGTACTGCACCAGAGCCGGTGCAGGGTAGAGAACGCCAAGTTGAAAAGCAAATCGTCGGTCTGGGGGTGGTTGATGTGAGAAGGGGACGGAATGGGAACAAGCCCCGCCTTGGTGCTATCGCCAGTGACGACTGCATCCACGTACTGTGATCTAGTCTGTGAACCTTGGAAGCAATTAGCGGACAGGCTGCTGTCTGCTCATACGGTATTGACAGTGGCAGTCCCGTGGGCCGAAAGACGGCGGGATTGGCTGGCATATCGAGCATCGCGCCTTCCCCGACCATCGTGCACTTCCCGATTAGGAAGCAACCACCCAGGACCCCGATGTCGTCACCCTCTGCGAGCGGGCTGCATCTGAGGACGCTGCAGTCTCAAAACAACATCAGGCCATTGTTTGAGGCTGCCATCTATTACACAGCAGATACAAGCCGCATTCCCCATCTCCACGCGTTCGCCATCCTAGCATTTCCCAGCCATGACAGCCGTTGCAGCAAACAACGTCGTACGACACTCTCCCAGTATCAGCCCACTTTGTTTTGAGAAAGCACGTCAAGCTTTCTGCAGCCCGCTGTCGCGGATGCCAGCACCGACTCAAGCTCGAGATTCATGCCTCAGACGTCGACATCCGGGCCCGCGGCATGACGGCGGTGCGGCAGCGTGCAGCTTCTGCGGTAAACTTTGTCGTACGACGTTGTTTGATGATCATCGATCGCTCCTGCAATGATTCCTCAGGACTCCCGGCTGCCGTTCGCAGGAGAAGACGTCAGAGACAGCATCCCGGACGACCTGTCGGCTGCCCGAAAGCGCTCCATTTGTGTATCCTGAGGCGTTTCCTAAACCGGGACTGAGGCATCCGGGCGCCGGCCAATGGCGGCATGGCATCTCGCGAGCCACTGTCTCCGGCGCGATAAATCACTCAGGCAAATACGGTGCCGAGAGCCGCGAAAGCGAGTTCACTTTGCATCAGCACGTTGGCGGCCTGGCAGGGCTTCTGGATGGCAGCACGAAGGATTATTGTCGAGCCGGACATCACCAAAGCATCGCTCCACCGCAGCGCACCCAGACCCCTCCGATTGGCACGCCACGTGACGGCGCAATACTCGTCTTCTCGAAGCCACGGCCGCCAAGAGGGGGAAGCGCCGCACTGATAGGCTCTGCAGTAGTACCGGACGCAGCCGAGCCGCCGGGATCAGAGCTGGTGGCTGCAGCACGACGCCAGGATGCTGCAAAGAGGCTGGACAGGATGGCACATCGCATGCATCAGCATTGCCCGCGCAGCCAATCAGCCGCGCGACGGCGCTGCTGCGGGGTCCCCCGGCGGCTGCTCACAGGCCCATCCCAGACCCCTCCGACCAGCGCGGGCCTGGCGCATAACGTGTCTCTACATTTACGGCACCGCTCTCCTCCTCTTCTATCGTCGTGACACGCTTGCCGTAGCAAAACCCTCCCGTCGCTGCCTCCACGATACCTGAGCCCCTCGCCCGCTGTCGTCGCAGGACTGCCTCCGCACTGCCTCAGCCCGCAATCTAACTCACGCCGGCCGCACCGCTCCACCCGTGCCTGAGTCTCGTGCGATCGCCGCTTGCTTAACTCGCTACTCCGTTACCTGGCCCGTGACGACCTGCCTCGACACCTGGTATAACAAAACCCTGCGCCCGCCGCTGCTGCCAGATGCTCTTTCGTCGTAGCTACTGGTAGCTCGCTGCGCGATTCCCACAGTCGTTATACCACCTTCCCTTCTCTTCGCTTCGTCCACCGCCGGGTCGGTTTACCTCGTCCTTTCTTTTAATTCATTCCTTTCGACCAGAGCTATGGGGAAGCTAATCAAGAACCACTGGGCGCGCCTCATCGTGCTGACGGCTGCTGCTTGTGAGTCGATACCTTCGATTTGAGACGGAAGCCTCAGGACTCACATATATCCAGACCAAATCTGCGCGGCAATCGAAGCCTTCTTCTGGCCCAAGATCTTCTGGGACTTCCTGACCAAGAATCTCGATGGCGGCGTTAAGCCCATACCGATCCTTCAAGTCGTCAACGTCATCATGGGTGTCGTCGGTCTCGCATGGGAGTGGCCGCTCGGAATGCTCGCCGGTTCTGGATTGCATCGCTCCATCGAAGCTCGCCTCATTATCTACCCCCTCAGCTCTCTCGTTGCCCTCTTGATATACCAGGGTACCAATGCCGGTCTGTACTATATTGTCGGCATGATTGCGTACTTCTGGGCATACAGCGAAGGCGAGGTACGTGCTGCATAATTCATCTGATCTCAACCCAGGCTGACTCCATATCAGGTTGTCTGCCCCGAACCCTGGACTCTCCCCAAGCGCGGCTCCACCGCTCGACGGACCATATAGACGTTTCCCTCCACTCCAATTTAACTCACTTCGCACGACCTTTTCTCGCAAGACGGAGTTCCACGTGGATGATTACCTCTTCGATCTCATCTCAACCCCATTTCCCGATTTCTCGATACCAACCTTTTTCGACCATGATCCGCTACGTTACGGCAGCGGAGGCGTTTTTTTTGGCGGCACGAACGAACGAAAGAAAGACCGGGGCGGAGCGCTTTCCTTTTGACGCATCTCAGCAATACGCTACGCCTTTTAACTACGAACTGTGGTAATAGTTCTCTCTCGCAGCGTGCTACTTGTCTACCTCGCAGCAAGCAAGCAAGCAAATATCAATCAAACCAGTGCTACCAAATATCCACTCGTTTTCTCCCCCGTTACTGGAACGATGTCATGAACCGCTAACATGCTCACTTCACTAGCCCTGAGCGCTTCCCCTCACACACACACGCCACGCAAAGAATGCACTCACTCGCGCAGTAACAGAATTGTGGAAATTTGCCAGAATCCAGGGAATTATGCCTCATGCATTGCGTGCGGCAGCCTACCTACGCGCGTGCACATGTCTGAGGCTAACCTCCCTCACGCGTTGCGGGTTTCACCTCCTCCGCTTAGCAGCCTCACCTCGCCTAATCCAGCCTTGCGTTCCGACTCCCTTTTTTTTTTATTTGCCTTGCCCGAGCTAACGTCATGTCACTTGCTCGCTTTTCTCTCGGACTTGTTCGCTCACTTTTTCGTCGGCGGGGTGCTGGTTTGCGAGGCGCTTTTGCGCTTGAGGTGGCCTCGGCTGCGCGCGGGGGAGGAGGTGGTTCTGTCATGGAAGCGGTTAGATGGCTTGGCAGTAGGTAGGAGAGGTGACGTGCACGGGTGGGTTGGCGGAAGAACGTTTGTGCGATAGGATGTGGGCATCTATGATGGAGCTGGATAGTGGGAAGTGCGAGAGATGTAAAGTGGTCTTAGACATTATCCCGCGTGAAGCGAAGTGAGATGAGATGAGAAAACTGTCCAAGCCAGACGATGCTGATATCCCAACTCTTCCCTCCTGTCCATCTAATAAATGCCCCAACCACAGCCCCAACCCAACCCTCCAGCGCTCTCTCGCCACGCACAGCAACCCCCCTCCAAACCCCAAACGCGTAGCAAAGCAAAAGCAAAAGCAAAAGCAAAAGCAAAAGCAGACGAGAGTAAAAACTCAAACTCACTCCTCAGGCCCCTCAATTAGAATCTTGATGCCCTTCCCCTGCTTGACGTCCCTAAACGCGCTCTCCGCGTCGTCGAACTTCACCTTGCCGGTGACGAGCTGCTTGACGGCGACGCGGCCGGTGGCCACGAGGTCGACGGCGGTCTGGTAGTCGCCGGCGCCGTAGCGGAAGCTGCCCTTGACGTTGAGCTCCTTGGTGCACATGGCCATTATGGGGAAGGTGATGTCGGGCTTGCCCATGCCGCCCTATAGTTCTCCTTAGCTGGGTTCTCGTGATTATAGTCGCGAGATGATGGTTGGATGTAGAAGGGGAAAGAAAGGAAAGGGGAGGAGCGTACCTGCACATACGTCCCACCCATCCGCAGCGCGTGTATCGCCGTCTGAATGCACGGCTCGGCACCGCTGGCGTCGATGATAACGTCTGCGCCGGGGCCGAGTCCGCACTCCTTGATCATGTTCTTTGCGTTCTCCTCTGCGCTCACCCTCGCGCTCTTGAAGCTTGCGTTCGCTGCGTACTTGAGCGCAAACTGCAGCCTCTCCTCGTTGATGTCTACGGTCACAACCTTGGTTGCACCGTATGCCTTCGCGACTGCGCAGCATAGCAGACCGACCGGCCCAGCACCGAATACGACGACCGAGTCCCCGGGCTTGATAGCTGCTTGCCGTGTGATGTGCACCGCGACCGCCGTGGGCTCAATAAGTGCACCCTCTTCCATGCTCATGCCCTCGGGGAGCTTATAGCAGTAATCCTCAGGTAGGGAGTAATACCTCGCAAGCGTGCCGTCGAATGGTGGGGTCGCGGCGAACGCCATATCCGGGCAGAGGTTGTATTTGCCTTCTTTGCAGCGAACGCAGCGCCTACAAGGGACGCCGGGCTCCATTGCAACGCGGTCGCCGACTTTGAGGGAGGTTACTTTGTCGCCTACCGCGTGGACGATGCCAGCCGATTCATGGCCTAGGACCATGGGCGATTCGACGACAAAAGGCCCGATGCGTCCTTCGACCCAGTAGTGCACGTCGGAGCCGCAAATGCCCGTCCATCGTGGTTTGACGATGACATCGTATTGTGAAGGTAGCTCGGGGACTGGTCGGTCTTCGTAGACGACCTTGTTGGGTGCTTGAAGCACGAAGGATGGGTTCTGTCCATTTATCTTAGCATAAGGAAAATGTAATTAGGCAAATTCAAGCTTCAATTGGTGATTTGGAGCCTATGGTTGTTGTGCTGCCGGAGTGTAGCTCACAATGGCGGGGTTGGTGGGGTAGCTCTACCTTCTGCGTAGCTGTCTGTGTCGTCATTGTCGCCTTCTCTGTCTGCTCTTGCTGCTGCTCCGGCACCTCGGAATGCTTCTTCTTGGAAGGAAAAATGTGTCTGAAGCAAAAGCAAGATGTCATTGAGAAGCCGTAGTGCAGCTAAAATAATCAGACGGTGGAATGACGAGAATAAAAATGGGAGCTGTTAGCTCTAGCTCGTGGCTTATGGTCCCGCCGCAAGCCGCTTTTAGACCCAGAGACGAGCCTCGAGTGCAGTTGTGGGATCTAGATGTCGAATTTACCCGAACTATTTATCCGGAGCTCAACTGTTGTCTTGCCGTCTATCGTCTATCTTGTTTTGGTATATCGCATGCGCCGATTTCGCTGATGACCATGCCGTCGCTATGCTGAATGACTAAAACGCGCCGGATGCAGTATGATTCGTGGTATCGAAGCTCAACGTCCTGCAAGAAGCCCCCACGAGAACCGGCAATTCGTAACAGTGTGGCGTCCCTCGGGCTGAAAGGATGCGAGCGGAGTGGAGAGACTTGGCCTATTCAGCCTTTTGAGGTTTCCTCCCCCAGCATGACCACCAACAAGTCACCAGAGCATTATCGCCTCTTTCTGCGTCTACGCCGGTCCAACCCCAATCATCGTAGCCCTTCTCTTCACCTTCCTCTAAAATATGCAGCCCAATCTTCGCCATCCGCTCTCGAAAGTCTCTTATCTCCGGCAGATATGCGTCTCTGTACGGGAACTCAACGATGACTCTTTCTTCCTCCCCTTCGGAAAGCCACGCGTCGATGGTATCCACGAGCATGCGCGGGTGCTCTGAAGAGTAGAGCGAGTCTGCGGCTAAGATATATCGGAATCTAGTACGGAGTGCCTCAGCATCGCCGCCAGCGCTGGTTGCATCCTTGGGCAACATGCACGAAGCGGGTTTATTCCAGTCTAGAATTCCGGTGCGAGTAGATCCATGGTTTAGCTCCACAATCTTAGCGTTCCTTTGAGCATTATGCGTAAGATTTGAATAGATGCTGGGCAAGTCGGTGAGGATAACATCCGCGCCTAGACCAGCCATCGCCAAACCCACCAAGCCGGTACCAGACCCAAGCTCCAGTACTCGGGGTCTATGTTGGTGATGCGGCATCAGGAAGTCAAAAGTATGTAGTCGCTTAGCTAGAAGATAGGAAGCAGCCCAGGTTTTGAGGCCCAGATCGTCGCCGGTGAGGGCAGGTTCATGGATACTGAGTTCGAATGAACCATTTGCGGCGGGTATGTCAAATTTCCGAGAGATAGCACCCATAGCGGTGCGCCCGGATCTTTCGCTCAGTCGAGCGCTGGCTTGATTCCATATCTGTTCTTTGGCCTCTTCGTCTTGTATCCATCGTAGACTACTGCTCACGATGCTCGTGAGGTACTGGGTCACACCTTCTGGACTGACCTGTACGGCGTTCGGCACCGCGGTCCATCTATCGCCGGAGGTATTTGGCCTTTTCGCTTGTTCTTCGTTATCGTTACATTCCCATGACGGTGGGGCGGATGTGAGCAGGGTGAGCGTATCGAGGAGGGCTTCGGCGGAGGGCTTAGTGTAAAGCTGGGGCAGATCGAATACTGCGACAGCCGTCAGCCCAGAGGCAAAATTAAGCATAAATGCAACATACCGTCGAGCAGCGACATTGCTTGAGGGTCGGTATGTTCAGCCAGTTCGCGGAGGTGGAATAGTCGGTGGGGTTAGATGTTGGTCCAAAAATCGGGTGGTCCGTGCGCTTCTAGAATTTATTGGAGGCTCTCACGACGACTGGTCAATCGTCGAAAATGACGACCCCAGGCTTCTGCTTTCGAAATGGGGCCTCGAGGGCCCGCGATGACCAATTAATAGTACCGACAGCCGCAAAAAGCCCGAGAGGGATAGACGATGTTGTAGCGCTCAATGTATCTAGACCAAAGCGCATTGTACCCCGCGCTGGGAGTATTAGACGCTCAGTCTTTCTTCAGCGTTGCCTTGAAGCCATAGTATGCTTGCTCCATGTCGAATTGGAACTCCCGGGCTTGGTCATCATTTAGCTTCTCTGCGGCCCTCATCTGGTTGAGTGTGATTAGCCATTGCACAATCTTTCCCTTGCTCTCGAAGTCTTTATCCGTAACTTTGTTCACAGCTTGAATGATCTCGACCAGGAGCGGGTGCAGCGTATCCTTTTCGATAAGACCGATCTTGATGGCATCGAGGAGCGTGATAAAGTTCTCGGTTGCATTAACGACGAGGGTCGCATCTGCTGAGTCGCCTTGCTGAGCAGGCTTATGTGAAGGGCCTTGTTCGACTGTTGCGGGTATGCCAACGCGTAGACGTTCGGTGGCTCGAGGACATTCCATCTGAGCACCGTGTTAGCCACGGGAGGAGAAGCCGATCGCAGCAGACACGTACATCCCATTCCCGCTTGAAAGTCTCCAGATCGCCGAATGCTCGCGCGACCGTCTCATCGGTGAGGTTCGACTTGTATTGCTTCAGTAGCCTGCTGCATGTCTCCGTGTAGTCGGCTTCGTGAATCGAGTCTTTGAGGTACGCCTTTTCCAGCGCATCGAGAGTGATTATGATGCTGTAGATTTCTGCGAGCGAGTCGTAGAGATCCCGTTCGGCGCTCGTCGTGGACAGCTTGACTTCCTACATGATGCTGGGATTAGGACCTGGCGGACGTAGCGGAGGAGCTCGTGTACCTCGTCGAGATTAATGGTCGCGGACAGTGTAGACCGCGGGATATATGGCGTTGGCGCGTATGCTAACTGTCGGTTTCCATACATGATGGATGCGTTGAGCAAGCTGCGTAGAGGAGCCGCGGTGGTGCCTTCCCGGCCGCATGTGGAGAATGAAGCTTGGACCACCTGAAATCTTGGCGCCGGTGAACTTTTTCGAGGCATTCCAGAATTTCGACTTCAAGCCACGAGACCCCATCCCCTCCTCAATCTTACGGCTGCCCAGCCGAAAGGACGCTCAGAATGGCGCAGAGCAAGGCAACCAAAAAGTTCGAGAAGAACAAGCTGAAAGATGTGCTCAAGCGGCGGAAAGACGTTGCGAAGATTAAGCAGAAGAAGCAGATAGCCACAAAGCGCAAGGACCGCCGGGCTCGAGACAATGCGCCCGCCGATGGGGTCGAGAAAGATAGCGCAAAGAAGCCCAATGGCAACGAGTCGAAAGATGACGCATTTGGAGAGATGTCCATGGACCAGTTCTTCGCGGGCGGCTTCCAAGTCCCCGAAATGAACAAGAAGCCGACGAAAACGAAGACAGGAAAGCGAAAAAGAACGCCTATCGAGGAAGACAGCTCGGACGATTCGGACGTAGACATGGCAGAGCCAGCGCCCGCCGCAGACGGGTCTGGTGCAGAGAGCGAATCGGGCGATGATGAGGAGGCGCACAAGGAACAGCTGGCAGCACTGGCAGAGAAGGACCCCGAATTTTACAAGTACTTGAAGGAGAATGATGCAGAGCTGCTCGAATTTGCCGAGGAGGCTGATCTGGCGGAGATTGATGCTCTCAGCGCGAGCGAGGACGAGGATGCGCCGAGAAAGAAGCAGAAGTCAGGGAAGGCATCAAAGGATGATGCTGATGAGGCTGATGAGGACGGTGATGAGGACGAAACCACCAGCAATGAAGTGTCCAAGAAGCTCATTCAGAAGTGGCGGTGGTCTATGGAAGAGAATTCGTCTTTGAGGACAATGAAGGAGGTCGTACTCGCTTTCCGGGCCGCTGCACATCTAAACGATGATGCTGGAAAGTCGTACAAATACTCTATATCCGATCCCGATGGTATGCTCAGCTTCCAAGGAGGTCGTGTTATCGTATTCTGACCCTTATAGTGTACCACGAAGTCCTCGTCACCGCACTAAAGCTTGTGCCGAAAGTGCTCCAGCACCATCTTCCGGTTAAGGAAAACGCCACGGGCAAAGTGTTAGTCGTCCAAATATCGCTCGTCTGCTTATGCTGACTTCTGCAGTCGAGTACCCACAGATTCAAAGAAGTTCCGCACTCTCAGCCCACTTCTCCAATCACATTGCGTTTCGCTCCATCATCTGCTGGAGAACCTCTCAGACCCCTCGACTATACGAATGACGCTCGAATCGTTGCTCGCTCTTCTTCCATACATATTGTCCTTCAAGAAGGTTTTACGGGAAGTGGTAAAGACTGTCTGCTCCGTTTGGTCGGATTCTTCAAACACCGAAATGACGAGACTCTCTGCGTTCCTCGTCCTGCGAAGGCTAGTCGTCATTTCAGACCCCAACATCAGGGAAGCTGTTCTCAGACAGACTTACCAGGGCCTTGTCAGGGGTGCCCGCAAAACGACGATACATAATATCCAGGGCATTAACCTGATGAAGAACACCGCCTCAGAGCTGTGGGGCATCGATGCAAATGTCGGGTATACAACAGGCTTCGGCTTCATCAGGCAGTTAGCCATTCACCTGCGGCAGAGCATCACCAACAAGACGAAAGATTCATACAAGACGGTCTACAACTGGCAGTATGTCCATTCGCTGGACTTCTGGTCCCGCGTGATAGCCGCACACTGCGAGTCGCTTCGAGAAGCAGAGTCTGGCAAAGAATCGCCTCTTCGACCGCTCATCTACCCCATCGTCCAGGTCACACTGGGGGCCATGCGCCTAATACCCACCGCGCAGTACTTCCCTCTGCGCTTCCAGCTGATCCGCTCTCTGCTCCGCATCTCATCCGCCACCTCCACCTACATCCCGCTCGCACCTGCCCTAGTCGAAGTACTCAACTCGGCGGAGATGAAGAAGCCGCCGAAGCCAAGCACACTGAAGGCTCTCGAATTCAGCACCTCTATCCGCGCCACAAAAGCCTACCTCCGCACGCGCATATATCAAGACGGCGTCGGCGAGCAGGTCGCTGAGCTCCTCTCTGACTTCTTCGTGCTCTGGGCTAAGAACATCGCCTTCCCTGAGCTTGCTCTCCCCGTCATCGTCATGCTCAAGCGCTGGGTAAAGAGCATGACAAAGAAGAGCAGCGGAAACCGCAACGCGAAGATCAACTCTTTGATTGCTCTGCTCGTACAGAAGCTCGAAGCGAACTCAAAATGGATCGAAGAGAAGCGTGCCAAAGTCGACTTCGCGCCAAATCACCGCGCCGGCGTCGAGGGCTTCCTGAAAGATGTAGAGTGGGAAAAGAGCCCCCTGGGCGCATACGTGGTAGGGCAGCGCAAGACGAGGGAGCAGAAAGCAAAAATGGAGGAGACGGCACGGAAGACGGAGGATAAGAAACGCAGAGAGACGAAGAAGGCTGAGGTACAAGAGAAGGCGGAGGATTTCAGTGATGAGGAGAGTGGGAGTGAGGAGGATGTTGAGGAGGTGGATGGGTTTAGTGAGGATGAGGACGAGGAAGATGAGTAAAATTAGTGCAGCTAGAATAGTTTCGAATAGAGTAGCAGTTGAATATGTTTGGCACGAGCAGGCCTCACTTTTTCTTCTGCTGACAATACCATGAGGTGCAACAGTGGATGTGGAACGACGGCCATATGCATCGGATGCGCAGAGCTACGTGCTTGAGGTCCGTAGACAGTGACACGGAGAGCGAGCTCGAAAACATCAAAGCCGATGATCTTCTCCGTGTCTTGTCGATATTGACTCCAATCAAACAAACACTGGGGCTGTAGGCAAACCACGTCCCCCTACTCAGGCCGTCCAAACTGCGGCGCAGCGAAGTATTCTATGGTTCTCGTCTATCCGCCCAACAAGAGTGAGATTCGACGAAGGATCCTGCGTTTCAGAGTTCCTTCACTGCCACAGGGCTCGAGATGAACTTTCGCACGAGTCCTCGAGATGAATGTTCGCATGAGTCCTCAGGATGGGTTTTCGTACGAGTATTCGCGATGATCTTTGGGTGCCGGATATATAGGATATTATCCTACAAGAGAACACGGTGATCCTACGATCCTTTTGCTCCTGGCATTTTTCGTGCGAGTGCTCGAGATGATGGTTTCGAAATGTGTTATGCATGCATGGTTGTTTTCGTTAACGGCTTTTGGCTGCAATACATGGCTTGATGGTCGTAAAACATAGCTCGGTAGTCAAGGTCGATAGTTTTGGTGTTGACATAACGAAAAACAGAAATGCCAGCGAGACAGTTAAAAGCTTTCCAAGCCAAGGTTCCAAGTCCCCCGCAACGGGGCCCCGCAAATCCTCTACCTCTACTACTCCTACCTGTGCTCGCTCGAGTATGTTGGAAGGCCAGAGGATTCCTACCCATCCTCCGCTCCGCCTTACGCCCTGCGTCCTGCGCGAGACCAACTCCCTATAAGAGGATCGTAATCCTTCAGATACAGCCAGGGCTCGTACTGCGGGTTCCCAATCACCTTCACTCGACGAAACGCTGCCTTGAGCTTTGAGCAGCGCAAGGCTTTAGATATCGCGGCCTTGAAGCTCGCGCAGGGTGGGAAGTGTTGGTATTAGATTGTGTGTCTGCACGAGAAGTGACTGACCCTGTTCACAGCAGCTGCCGGCACATGTATGATTGAGCTTCGGAGAGGGAATAGATTGGCAATGCGATGAAGTATAAAGCCTCGAAGCTTCCTCTCCCATCTAGAACCAACACCAGCACCTCCAGCAACGAAACTTAAACACTTCGTTTGAACACTTCCTCTGAACACTTCCTCGACTCAGCAAACCAGCACCCCTCACATCACCATGAAGTTCTCCACCACCACCACCACCACGCTCCTCCTCTTCATCGGCGCCACCGCAGCCACCGCCTCGCACCCCCTCGGTACGTCCGCGCCTTTCCTCCATACCCTCCCCTCATCCCCCTCATCCCCCCCTACTACCTCCCCCATACCACCCCAAAACTCACTCCCGCAGCAAAACACGGCCCCCGCGCCATGGCGGCATACGACAACATCCTCGCGCTCGCGGAAGCCGCCGCGCTCGAAGCGCGCGCCGCCGGGCCAGGGCTCACGAAGAGGAACAAGTGCGATAACCACTGGAGCCCGTGCTGCGACGAGAACACGCATTGCGAGTCGGAGAGCGCTTGCTATGATCGCTGTGCTGGCGGTCTGGATGCGGCGGGGTGTGTTGCTGGTAAGTGGGCGTGTTTCGATTGATTTGGTGAATTCTGAGTGGCTAATGCGTTGCTGTAGGGTGTGCGGTGGCTTGTCCGTCGACGCCGGAGTGCTAGAGGGCTGGATGGGGGGATGGATGGATGGATGGAGTGAGGCTTGGTGGGGAGGTGAGGCGGTGGGTGGATGATGAATTGAGGTTTGGTGGGGAGGTGGGTGGATGGATGGATGGCTAGGTGTTTTACGCAGACAAATGGCCGCAGGGCTGTATATGTTCTAGCCTCTGTACGTAGAGGGTTGGAATACAATGCTTTCACCCAGAATCTGTGTGCTATTGGGGTCTTATGAGATTCGCTTCAGCACCCGAAGTGATCTCTCCAGGGCGCGTTTCGCATCTCTTCCTCTTCTTGATTCGAGAACCACCTGTATGCTTGCTTGCAAAGTGATTCTATTCTAGTCGTCCGACCATGCATGGTCTCTGCCGCATCAGGATATTCGCAAATGTGTTTGCGGGATCCAGTGGTCGTGCGGTAGGGATGATGGGCGGAAGGGAGCTAGCTCTTCTCTAAGTGCGGCGGAAGAAGAAGCGTGTAATGAAGCAATCAGAAAATTCTCAAGCGTAGAGCAGAGATGAAGGAGAATGAGGGACATAGAATAAGGGCGGGAGTAGTGAGGGGCAGAAAAACCGGGATAATCTTTAAGATGTGGCATCAGGATACGGAAAATGAGAGCGAAATATGACTGCAGAGAGTGAAGCAACATCGTAATGAGAACGTACGTCTTTCTTATAGCATGAATCCCGACCAACGGCTCCCGGTGCTTCGTCCGTTCATGTGCACCCTACTCTTACATACATATACTACACGAAACCCCAGCGTACTTCGTCCTACTTGTTCTTCGCAATACTAACGACATTCCTCAACGTCCCAAAAGGCAGCACATCCGCAATCCTCTTCTTACTCGCAAACAGCATCACCAGCCTATCCAACCCACAACCCCAACCACCCGTCGGCGGCATCCCCCACTCTAGCACCTCGAGATAGCTCTCGTCAACCTCCCTTTCTCGCTCGCCCTCTGGATGGAATTCCAACTGCTGCATGAACTTCCTCCGCTGCTCAAAGGGCGAGTTCTCCTCCTCGTACGCATTTACGTATTCACGGCATCCGATGAAGAGCTCGACGCGGGCAGCAATGCGTTGGTTCGTTACCGGGCAGACGTAGGATTTTGCAAGCGGGGAGAGGGCTTCGGGGTGGTGCGTTATGAAGGTGGGTTGAATGCAGAGCGGCTCAATGTATTGTTCTGCGAGGGCGTCGAGGAGGCGGGGAAGGGTGGGGTTCGGTGGGATGGGTAGGGAGAAGTCATTTTCGAACATGGCGAGGAGGTCGGCGGTTGCTGTGGGCGAGGAGAGATTGGGGAGTTTGCAGCGGCTGGTACTCTCGATGGTTGGAATGAAGGGGAGTTGCTTGAAAGGCGGTGTGAAGTCGATGTCGGTCGGGCGAGAGAGCGAGGCGAAGTAGGTCGATCTGAGCGCCTCTACTGCCTCGTGCAGTCCATGGACGAGTCTTTCCGTCCCTTGTATCAGGTAGGGTAGAGTAGCGCCAACTTCGTAGAACTCGCAGGTGGAGAATTCGGGGTTATGCGTGTTGTCCACGCCCTCATTTCTGAAGGCTCGACCCATCTCAAAGATCTTGTCTTGTCCTCCTACGATCAACCGTTTGAGGTTGAGTTCTGGCGCTATCCGAAGCCTGACAGGCAGATTGGATAGCTCATTTGCAACCGTCTCAAACGGTCGAGCGATGGCACCTCCGGCATTGACATCGAAGATGGGCGTTTCCACCTCTAGGAATCCTTTTGATACAAAGACATTCCGTATATAATCGCATGCCAGCGCGCGCAGCCTGAGTATGTCTCCGGGCTCGTCGCTCGTGAGCTGGTGGACGTGAGGTCTTCGGGCGAGGGTCTCGGCGTTCTCGACTTTCTCTGGGAGGTGGTGCAGCGAGGGAGCGAGGATCTGAGGGACATCGAGGGCGAGAATGGAGAGTTGGCCGGTCGATGTTCTCGTGGGGTTTCCTTTGATAGCTTTTAAAGGTCAGACATGGCACGATGCAGGGTAAGGCCGATCCTCACAGATCCAGTCCCCGTTTCTGACGACCTTCTTGAAGCTCTTGAAGTCTTCGTTGAGCTGATCTCCGCCTGTAAGCTTCTTCAGTTCCACCATAACTTGTAGCCTATGAGTGTCTCTCTGAATGTCGAGGAACATCAGCTTGGAGCCATGTAGTCGCACTGATCGAACCCTTCCTGACACCGTCAGCCCCATGATCGCCAACGGTCAATGGCTTACCCATACCGATGACCGATACTATATCCGGCCGCGTCTCCTGTATGGCTTCATACTTGGAGTGGAAGTCCGGCAGAGACTGGAGTTCCGCCCCAGCTGGGAATGCCAGCCGGGGATAGTATTCGTCCAACGGCTTCACCTCGCGTAGCTGCTGCAACCGCTTCTTCTTCTCGCTGTCGTGTGGGCCGGCGTGCGCATCAGCGGCTGCAGTGCGAGCGAACCCCTTCTGTATGACGCCATATGCCCGAGCAGCCTCTGGCCGTATCACTGGGTGGAAGCCTCGGTAGGCATAGGGACGGAGAAATGGGAGTGAGGTTCTACTCATTCTTGTTCAACAGTCAGTACCGACTCCATCCGCGCAGTTCAATCACGTTGGGAAGTAGTAGAGGTGTCAGTGAAAAGAGTTGTGAAATCACCCGCCAGAGCTGGCGTCATTCGCAACGGTTCTAAAGTCGATTGATCATCATGAAGTGTATGCTACGGGCTGGGCATGAGTGGGTAGAACAGAGGCCGTGGGCCGGAGCATACTGTTGCCAGAAGTGCTTCCATGGGCCATGGTTGTCCCGGCGCTCGGCCCCACCCAATGGCGGTCGCAGAGAAGAGTGAAATGGCGACATACCTCATTGCCCTCTCTCCGAAGTGGGAGCACGCTGACAGCTTCCCCGAACAGATCCGCGCACAGCAGCACAGTGGACGACGCTTCAAACCTCCAAGCTCCTTGCGCACGCCTGCCGAGGTGGCGCCGCAAGCGAGCACGTGATGCGACGCACAGGCCACTGCGTTCACGTATATAAACCCGCCCGCCCTCTGCACCTTTCGACCTCTCATACTTACCTTGTTGCGAGTCTCTGGGCTCAACAATCCAGAGCTCAAGGAGTCCCGCCTGCATTGCACAAAGCGGTGTGGGATTTCTTCTAGTCTCCTACGGGGGCCTAGGCGGCGTAATTTTTGCTGGTCTGCTTTCGAGCCCTTTTTTTCATTGACTGCGTTGCCGTGTGCGATGCGTTGAGGAAGAAGATTTTTTTGTTGAGGAAGAAGATTTTTTTGTTGAGGAAGAAGATTTTTTTGTTGAGGAAGAGGAATTTTTTGTTGAGAAGAGGCTGCCCGCGTACGTCTTACGAGTAAACTGCTGCCACAGTTGAAAGAAGGTTTCAGTCCGTAGCATGCAGTGCTGTTCATGAAGGCAAAGCTGCGAGCGCTGGAGAGGTGAGGAGCGCGTGTCGACGCGTTCTCAGCTTCGCGTCCGCAGGAACGAAGAGTTGTACGTCAGGAAGTCAGCAAAGCCGCCGCTCTACTGTACCGTCGCTATGGAGTGTGCGAACGACATGTGATGCGCATCAAGCCATCAAGGTCCTCATTTACAGTCGCATAAAAGCCGTTGCTCGACCTCGAGTTCGCCCGCTATTAGGCGGCAAATTTTCTCTGCGATTTTCCCACTCACGTGAGCACGCTGACAAAGCCACTTCAACACCCGCCAAGACATTGCGTCAGGGTGACAATCTCGAAATCCCATCCCGACACAAATCCGATGCTCGAACCCCGCCGCCACATGGCCGTATGCGATGCGGAACCCATCGCGTTCGTCCCCTTGTTCGCCGGCTCTGCCCACGGAGCCGCCCTCTGAGAGAGTCATGACGTACGGGCTTGCTGCTTTGAGCACATGTACAAGGGCGAGTAAGACGTCTGGTTCGTCGGTAGTTGAGCGGCTCTACAGCAAGAGGTAGGACGAGATAACTATGTCATAGGCTTCTCTTTGTTTTTCATGGTCGCGACTTCCCCTCTTCAACTTTACTTCTCCCTCCAATTCCATTCCAATTTCTACAAGTGCATACTCCAATCCACTGTCTTTTGTGATACCCCAAACTACACAAACCAACTCTACCCCAACGTAGCCCACCATGGCAATGTCGCAAGCAGCTTTCAAGGCCGAGCAGGCCATCGGCCACGGCGACAATGCTACTACTGCACAGGACATTACGAACCCGGGTCTCACCGAGGGCGCAGGCGACTCCTCAGAGATGATGAAGGCACTGGCCTGGATGGGCAAGAACAAAGTCGAGATGGTTGACGCGCCGAAGCCGAAGATCATGGAGCCGCGAGATGTAATTCTCAAGATTACGGGCTCGACAGTCTGTGGGTCTGACCTGCATCTTCTACATGGCACGGTCGTGGAGCTGCAAAAGGGCGATATTCTGGGCCACGAGTTCTGCGGTGTTGTGGATGAGGTTGGCAGCGAAATCAAGAACCTGAAGAAAGGGTGAGTCTTGGATCTACATTTGCGGCTGAACGCAAATCAAGAAATACATCGCTGACACCTTCATCTAGCCAACGAGTCGTTGCCTCTTTCCAGATCGCCTGCGGGGATTGCTACTACTGCAAACAGAAACTCTCCTCGCAATGTGAGAAGACGAACTCCAACACCCTCGAGAACGCCATGTATGGTGGCCGGACAGCAGGCATGTTCGGCTACTCGCATTTCACCGGCGGCTTTGCAGGCGGTCAAGCAGAGTACACCCGCGTACCCTACGGCGACGTCAATCTCCTTCCTCTCCCCGACGATGTCCCCGACGAGAAGGGCCTATACCTCTCCGATGTGCTTGCCACCAGCTGGCACGCGGTAGTCGATACCGGCGTCAAGAAAGGCGACGTAGTAGCCATCTGGGGCGCAGGACCCATTGGACAAATGGCGGCAGACTTCTCGCTGATCAACGGCGCGTCGCGAGTAATCATGATCGACCAAAACTGGCGCCTGGAGTATATCCAGAAGAAGTACCCGAACATCGAGACCATCGATTTCTCGGCACTCGGGAAGGGCGAGTCGGTGACAAGCAAGCTGAAAGAGATGTGCAACAACCGCGGACCGGACGTCAGCATCGAGTGCGCGGCCGGCGAGTACGCGAAGGGCTGGGCGCATTACTTCGAGATCTTGCTCGGTCTGGAAACGGACACGAGCGAGATTGTCAACGAGATGATCACTAGCACGCGGAATATGGGGCGCTGCGGTATCACGGGTGTTTACGTCGGCTTCGTATGCTACCCTCTGCGCCCTTCCTCATTTCTTGATTTCTTGCTAACATCAGCATAGACTAACCATTTCAACATCGGCTCCCTCATGGAACGCGGCATCCGCCTCATCGGCAACGGCCAGGCCCCCGTCCACATGTACTGGGAATCGCTCCTCAAGATGATCCAGGACGAGCAGATCGATCCGATGAAAATGGTCAGCCATCGCGTGCGGCTCGAGGATCTGGATAAGGTGTACTATAAGTTTGAGAACAAGGAGGATGGCATGCAGAAAGTGTTTGTGGAGACGAAGTTTAGTTTCCCGGCTTGTGAGGGCTCGCCGGAGCTGAAGAGGTTTTAGGTTGAGGGGGAATGAGCAGGTTGGTGCAGCGTAGAATGTGAATGCGAATGGAGTAGGAGTTGGGGATGGGAGGGCGCTTGTTGTATGGCGATTTTATCGTGTTGTAGTGAATGCTAGGGTGTCAGACTTCCTGTTATGTTATGTGCGTGCTCGTCTCTTTCTTCCCGCAAAGTGCTGGCAGAAACATGAAGTAGAACCACACACCAGAACAGAACGGAACGATAGCACTAAAGCTAGGCTTGAGACACCTTACCATGAAAGAGTACACGCCACACCATATGCTCTTCCCGTCTCCAAGACCCTAGAACATATCCATACGCGTCTGTTCTTCAAACTCCAAACGTAGCAAGCAGTTGGGTGAAAGCCCGAACTAACTTCCCACCCGCCCTGTCACGGTAATCCTCTCCTCTCCTCTCCTACAACTGTCGCTCCATACACTAACTGCCTACTGTCTCGCAACCCACTGCAGCATGTCTCTTTCCGCCCTCCCATAACATTGTCTTACTCGCAATTCCATGCTGCTGGTCTCTAAACAGGTAGGCAAGTGCATCACCGAACGATGTGAATAATGGGCCTAGGGTAGAGGAATACGATATGCGTGCGTGCTTGCTGGTCCGGTTCGTTGAGAGCTCTGTACTGCCAGCGGCTGCGGAATGAGAGTGCCAACGAACGCGGCGGCGAAATGCGTGGAGGAGAGGACTGGGTTGGGGTTGTGGTGGATGAAGAGGAGTGTAGAAGACGGCATGGTTGCGCATTTGAATGCGTGGGTGGTGCGTTGGGAGCGTGTATATACTTCGGAATAGGAGGGGGCGAATCATTCTGGTATCACGGAGGGTTATTTTGCTGATTAGTTGGCTGCATGTTGGTCGGGGTGGACAGGAGTGCTCCCTCTGCCCTCCGGGGTCTAGGGCTTTGGGATGGGGAATTAGGAGACGAGAAGGGAGGGCTGTGTATGTGTGTTTTGTGTTGCTTCATCGTACCGTGTAGAATGGCTATATCGTCGTCCGTTTGCGCTCGTGGGTTCCTTGGCTGATGTCGAGGGAGGGTGGGATGGTGCCTACGTCGGGCCTCGGATTGCGGTTTGACAAGACAACTGGTTGCACCGATGGGACCTACAGCGGTGTCGTCGCATTGGAGAGGAGTCGGTGTGCTGTGGGTGGTATGTCTGTTCGGAGCAACGCGCATCGATGCGCCTCAGACGCCCGCTGCACGTGCTTGACCGCAAGACCCGCACGATAGCGTGATGCCGGTCGGTTTCCGTCACCGGTCAGTGTCCCCTGCGCAGTCCCAATCCAACCTAGGACAGTCGTCCAGCCCAGCCGTTGGCCTCGCTGCCTGAACTTTCCTATGCAAGTTTCGTCCCACCTGCCTCCTCCTAGCTCCCAACCAAGCCCTCCCTCACTCTTCACCAAGCCCACTATCATACCACCCTTCTCGTCTCTTCTATGAATAACCCCCATGACCAACAGCTAAGCACGCAACCCACTATCGATCCGCGATAAAGCCGCGAGAGATTCCAAGTATTTCTGACCCGTGGCGCCGACGCCACATCGCGGCGCTCGCTTACAGCTGACTATCCAGGGGGGAGCATGCCGTGTATCCGTGCTTGGCGGGCTTGGGCTGTGGCACAGGATCCGGGCCGGTGGGGCTTGGCGTCCTGGCGCGTGGGTTGGCTTGGTTGGCCTCGGGTCAGCAAAGTGGTCTTGTTTTGGGATGTGCTATGTGCGATGCAGCGCGGCGGGGTTTCTTGGGGTGAGCTGAGCTGAGGTGAGGGTCAGGTTTGGGTGGTCGGTTGACGGGAGCTCCGGCTCGAGGGATTAGAATTCGCTGATGCACGGGGAGAAGGGATTTTGCTGGCTGCTTGAGGGTTTGAAGGGCCGTAGAGATGATGCTTGGGTGATATTGTCGCTCGGGAGACGTTGCTTCAAAGTGCACTCTCGAAGCTATAGAGCAGGTCAGCAGCGGGAGACAAAACTTGTAAAGCCCTCATATCACCTGTTGGCGGCCCGTAGAAACGGCAGTTTTCGAAATTATGGTATTAGTAGCTCATACACAAGAAAACGCTACCAAAAGCCGGATCTAAACGAAGAAGATTTTGTCTGTCGTCTAGTGTATGTTGCAAAATGTCGAATGCCGTATAACGCCTGTCGCGATGCGGTACCTGGTATCCTCGAACGGCAAATATGTGTGTATGTGTGATCCGAATAAGAAACGATCGTGGTGTCCTGAATCCTGCACGACACTTGGTCTTCCTCCTTCCCGGGCTCTTGTTTCTCCCTTTTCGTATAGAACTCTCATGCAAGCTGTGCCACTCCGAGCTTCTCGTTCTCCTCCTGCTCGAACATGGTCTCCTCGATCCACTTTGTTGCCTTCGCGCACCAGCTGTCGACGTACGTGGTCCAGAGGTGGGCTACCGTGTACAAAATGGCGAACCAGACCGGAATCGCAACGGCCCAGACGAACCAGTTCTGACTCCGCGGGATCCAGTGGAAAATCGGATCTCCCTTCTCAGGACGCTCCACCGAAAAGGGGGCGGAAGAAAACCCGTAGATGAAGCGGACAAGAACGACTCGAAGCAGAGTCCCATGGGTAAGATAGACCGCGAAACTGTTGCGACCGAGCCACATGAAGAGCTTGTTGGAGAATATCGTTTGGAGGGATGGGGAGAGCCAGAATCCGATGACGATCAGGTGGAATGCAATCGAAGACCATCGCTTGGTAGGATCGGCCCCCATGGGGAAGAGGTAGGGGTTCAGGCTGTCGAGCTGTCGAGACCATGCGGCCCATTGGGCGTGCCCTTCCGGAAAGCTGCCAACGTAGAGTCCTAGGATGATTAGGAATGACTGGACCGCTCGTCGGATCTTTGGACGGCTGTTAACCCATTCACGGAAGTCCGGTTCGCCGCCGATGTCGTTGAGCAGGACGCCCCAGAGGAACATGCATTCAAAGCTTTCTGCGCGGAGAATTAGAGATGAAATAATATCTCAAGTGAAGCACAACGTACCGGTCTTCAGCTGAGGACTACACCAGTACCACGCCCACAGAACAAAAACTGTGAAGATGCGCATGCGGGTCTTCATAAAGCAAGTCGCGAAGAGTACAGCATAGACGAGGAAAGCCCCTTTCAGCAACGGCAGCAGAGCCCACTGATGCTCATCGTATGCGGGCATGCCGGTGATCCAAGACTTCTGGAATTCGTAGAACAACCGGGGAATCTCGACGTCAAGGCCGCCGTCCAGCTTCACACTGGTGCCTCTCAGCCAATCCGAGTCACATCTCGTAGCAATTCCAAAACCATCCAGTTGCGCCACGATCCAGGCAATAATGAGGGCAATGGTGGCGGGCATGACCAACCGCGGTGGTCGCCGGAACGCAGATTTCGCGATGGTGGTCAAAGCGCCTGAGGTGTTGCCGGACTTGATTTGGCGGAGTGGCTTGATCGCGCACACATAACCCGTGAGGAACGCGAACATCATGACTCCTATGCGGCCTTGCCATGGTAGGCGCAAAATGGGTAGCTGGAGTAACCTAGGAGGCACGCCTTCCCTATCGCTCGGCCAGAATAACGGGTAGTCCCAGGCTCTTGAAAGATGGGTGACAACGACTAGAAACGACGCGACCCCGCGTACACCCTATATTAGATTAGCATCTGGGTTAGAGGTGCATTGACGACTCTTACCTCCACCCATTTCACGTTCTGGCGGTTGTCTCTCGACATCCTCGTGGTACCCGTGTCTGCGCCGGAATCGTGAGGTCCAAACCGCGAAACCACCCAGTGGCGCACAATCGACGAAGGAGCTTTGGGAAGAAAAATCATGCAGGCGACTCAATGGAAGAAGCCGGCTAAAGAGAGCAAACCCTGGGAAGCCAGATATGTAAGGAAAGGAAACAGAACACCAAGAGAGCGACAGGAAGCGGTTGGTTGAATGCAGACGCTACATTTGCAGGTGTGGTCTTGAACCCAAGAAGAAGGCCGGCTTGGAAGGACTGGGACGCGGGCAAGATACCCCCATGCAAAGACGGATAGTCGGGCGCCCCAAGTACCCTGGTGGCATGCGAGGGCTTGGCAGATAGAGGCCCCCCTTAAGGAGGCGCAACGATCATCGATGAATCTTGCCTGCTTGATTGGCGTCCGTCCAAAAAGCGAGCACCGCCGAGACTTGGATAGCACCGGCCGCGTAATAATTTCTCGGCGCTACGGAATCGTTCGTGGGCCCGTACGTCCCCCACACACTCCTCTCACACAGAAGAGCTTGGCGGCCGGAGGAGACAGCAACATGGCGGCGAATTGGCAGCCTTGCCGCTATTTTTACGCCCATTATGTACTGTATTCTTGAGCGGAACTCGGCACGCTGCCAACCGAAACGCGTGCGGAAGGATTCTCTAGCGGTGGGTTCCTAAGGCGAGACGACTGCTGCAGTGGTTGCGTGTCCTTCTGCATTCCACAGGAGATGCCGAGCTCATCAGAACGACTGTCCAGTGGCGTTCAGGGCTGGCAGGGTGTGTTTATCGGTCGTCTGCATAGGGCTTGGTGCCGCGATTTGATTGGCCGCGGACCCACCGCTCCCTATTCATACATATCCGCGAGCTTACCCCTGACGCTACACGAGCCGCAGGTGAGGCGCTGAACGCTGTGGCGGGAGACGCTCGTCGCAGGAGAGGTCGGATAGGTCGGATGCGTGCGACCAGGACAGGCCGATGTGGAGAGACGCTGATGAGGATCGGCTGCTGACGGGCTGCGTTGAGGAGGTGGTGGCAGCGGAGTGGAGGCATGAGGGTTTCAACGCGTACTTGGCGGGCGTTCCGCTCAGGTCAGACGCAAACCAGGGCTCAGCCGCGTATCACGTGAGACATGCAATATCTATCGAAATGCGACTCCCGCCCGATACGGATTCGGCGTGGCTGCTGTGGCTAAATAATAAATTGCGACCCGCGGGATCGTGCCCGGGTGCAGCACCGATTAGATTACACGAATGCTCGATGACGCAGTTCTAATTTTGTGTGTAAAAACCTGGAGGGCCTTACGGTGCCGTCGCCCGTGCCAGCGTTTCCGTGCTTATTAGTGATTCTTCTCGACAATCTGCTTTGCGAAGGCTGCGAAGTCCCTTCTCTCGTCCACCATCTCCCACAGGTTCGGCTGCGTGAACACTGCCAGCGTATTCCGCGCGACCTTTCCTCCCACCTCCGGCCCTGCGCCCCTCACGAAATGCGGAACCGCCTTGAACTTGCCCTTCGTAATGACCTCGAGCGCTTCGCCCGTCTGAAACCCTAGACAGTCCCGCGGAATACCGACCTTCGTGACGACACCGGTGCGCGAATGGATATACAAGCCGGCCTTGGGGTCTGGGGAGCGCTCGAGTTCCTTGAGCGGGGAGAACGATGATCCAGTTTGAGGAGGGTGCGCAGCTTCGTCTACGAACATGGCAGAAGTGAGGCCCGTGAGGCATCCGTGGTCGAGGTGTGTTGCGCACCAGTCGTCCTCATCGCCGGAGCTGTCGTTCGTTGTGTCCTGTGGGGACTGCGGGGTTGGGAAATAGTGCAGCAGGCGAGCTTTGGTTGATACGCTTGTCTTGACCACATGCTCCAGGTAGCCTTTCTTGTAGCCCTCGATGTTGGCTTCGGCGTATTTATCGCAGGCTCGGGCCACTAAGCCAGCGATATCGATGATGAGGTTGCATAGCTCGCGGAACGTCTCTTCGAAGCCGGGAAGAAGCTCCTCCGAGGGCCAGACATTGGGCGCCGTATACTCTGGGAACGAGGGGTACTGCTCCGCCACGGCTTCCTGCTGGCTTTCGAAGCCAGGGGCGCAGTTCACATAGTACGAGCCCTTGAGGGTATCGTAACGCCCATCTTTGAGCGTTTCTTTGCCGCAAGACCATCCCACCAGCCACTTCGACGCCGGAGACTCAAGCTTGTCTGCTCGAAACGTCAGTTATGCATATATGACCTGGCGGCTATACAACTTGGCCCAATATCCCAAGATAGAATGCTGACATACCTAATTCTGCCGGAGGTAGGTTGCCGAGTGCTGACGAGTAAGACAGAAGCCTGTGCCTGAGATCATGGAACTTGGACGGGAGGTCCTTGATAACGATAATGCCGAGAGACGAGGGCCCAAAAGCCTCCTCCAAGAGAGCAAAATCTACATTATCTAGAGAATCATTAGATTACCAGAATTGGTCCAAAGCGCGAGGTGGACATACCATTCCTGAGATCCTCCAAACCGACCGTGACGGCGCTTTGCTGGACTGCTGCGTTAGCCATTCCGTCAGTATATCCCAAACTCGTAGGATTCGATCAAAAACAAGAGCGGATGCCTGTAAGGGCACTTTATCCTCAGCGTCCGGTCTGCAGAAATTTGCCCAGTGGTGGTGAACCTGACATTCACCTGCCTAAAACCATTCTGCCGCCTGTCACCGCCGGCGACTTCCGCTTCTGGGCATTACCTCATACGTTCCGATTCCGAAAAGTCCACTACCACTCACGACCGACCCCCGCCCGCCATGGTCAAACCCCTCCATTTCAAAGGCGACAAGAAGCTGAAGAAGAGGAAGAGGGTGGCCGAGCCTGAAGACGCAGATGCGCCGGATTCGAAGGCTCTCACCACTACTACTGTAGCGGGAAGGGTCGAGGATGACGACACTTGGGTGAACGCCGATGCGCCCAGCGACATTTCCGGACCCATCATTATCGTCCTGCCTACTGAGCCAGCGACATGTCTCGCCTGCGATGCAAACGGCAAGGTCTTCACGAGCGCGATTGAGAACTTCGTGGACGGGGATTCCGCGACAGCGGAGCCCCATGATGTGCGGCAGGTATGGGTCGCAAACCGCGTCGCGGGGACGGAGAGCTTCAGCTTGAAGGGCCATCACGGAAGGTACATTGCCGCTTCTCCATCTAACCGTGAGATAATAGCTAACGGCGTCGCGTAGGTATCTAAGCAGCGACAAATACGGCCTCCTCACCGCGTCCGCGACCGCCATCTCCCCCACCGAATCTTTCCACGTCGTCCCCGTGCCCGACAACCCCTCCACGTTCTCTCTCCAAACCGCGCGCGACACCTTCCTCTCCATCACTGAGGCCAAGACCCCCGACGTGCGCGGCGACGCCGACAGCATAACGTTCAACACGACGTTCCGGATACGCATGCAGGCGCGGTTCAAACCGAGGCATAAGGTGGCGAAGGAAGAGAGGGCCAAGGAGAAAATCAGTAAGAAGGAGTTGGAGGAGATTATAGGAAGGAAGTTGGAGGATGATGAGGTGCGGAAGTTGAAGAGGGCGAGGAGGGAGGGCAATTTCCATGAGATTGCGCTGGATTTTAAGGTCAAGACGAGTCATGACAAGTATGCGTGAGGGGGGTGCTGGGCGGTGACTGGTAGAAGAAACTATCATTACGAAGGATAAGAGCTCTTCTCTACGGGACGCTTGTCGGAGCAGCTCATGACAGCGTCGCTTGGGCGTAGGTCCTAGCTCGAGATAAGATATCTGCGAGAGAAGTGCGGCCATGGTCTTTCGAGGTTCACATGTAGCTACGTGGTGGGGCTAAGTGTGCGACAGCGAGACAGTCTCTGACAGGAGACGTGCCGTTCATAGCGCTGGAGATGATAGTCTCTAAAATCGGACAGGAGATTCGCATCCTCTGGAAGAGATGCCTGAATACCTAGATAGAAAAGGAACCCGTATTCTATCCTTGACACATGCGCCTGCATTAACCACCCATTGCCGGACAATATAGCAATCACAGCAAGGATCGTAATCTCTGTAACGGGTCAGTCAGGGAAATACTGCAGCGATCGTACCATGATGACATACCTGAAGTGCCCCAAGGCTGTCATCAGCCTGCCCCCCATCGTGCCCTGACAGCAGGACGCCAGCGAGGTTCTTCTTCGACTCTTGGACCTCCATGACCCTTTCCTCGAAGGAGTCGCGTACATAGAAGCGAACGGTAGTCACTTCGCGAGTTTGGCCGATTCGGTGGATGCGAGCGAGCGCTTGCTCTTCGATCGTTGGGTTCCTGGGATCGGTTAGAAAGCGTACAAGGCATGAAAGAGTGGAAGATGTACCAATGTGGCTCCATTAGGTAGGCGCGAGAAGCTTCGGTGAGGGTCAGACTGTGATCGAAATGTTAGCCTTGCTGAAGGGCATAGGGAGAATCACTTGCCCGACGGCGCCGCATTGCAGCGTTAATAGTATAACGCGAACGTGGGGGTCGGTTTTGAACTGGTTCAGTACTGGTTGTCGTTGCGCTTGGGATACCTTCCCATCGAAGCGGACGCTGCGAATGCCAGCTTGGTTGAGGCCGGTTTCGATGATATCGAGAGTTAACCTCCATGTTGAAAAGACGATACTAATAGACATTAGCTGCTGCGACTGCTTAGGCGCGGAGAAGGGGCCTTGAGAGCACAGGCATACCTTTTAACGTCCGGTTGCAAGGCCTTGAGGTCGGATATCAACATCTCTACCTTGGAGGGCAGTGACGTTTGAGACGGTGGTTGTTTGCTCTGTTTCGATGCCTGACCGAAAGACTCCTCGAATGCGCTATTGCTGATGGAAACGGGAGCGATGGGGCATCGTGGGGTATGTCCGCACACCATCTTGTGTCCCGCGATACGTAACTTGTAGGAACACTCCGCGCAGGCGTACTTCAGGCAGCGGGAGAACTGAGGACTGTCCTGGCTCGCACTCTCATCCAACAAGCTCTCGGCCATCTCAAGACTTGATGAGCATTGAGAGCAGATGATTAGCTCCATCTCGCGCTGGATATTGAATGCCTTCTGAGCGGTGGCTACCCAGTCCATCGCATCCTGCGAGGCGGTGTTGTCGTGACGACTGTAATAATGGACTCCTAGATTGCACACGAGCCGCATCGATTCGATCTGCTGGAGGAAGTTGACATACGCCCCAGATCTAGTGAGCTCGGTGTCGTGGGCCAGAGCGTCATCGATTCTGGTGATAGTCTGCTGACGGATGTTCTCATATAGGGCTCTTTCAGGCTTGCTGAAGTCAACAGGACACTTGACATCATGTCGAGGAGGAAGCTGGATGGTTCGCTTGGCTCTTCGGAGGATGAGGCAGCGTGAGAGTCGCTTCAATCGCTTCACGGCTTCTTCGTCTTCGCCAGCTTTCCACAGATGGGTAATGTCGGTATCAAATCGCTTCGGATCGTCGTACGGATGGGCTCCGATGAACCTGAGAAGAGCGGCAAGATCGCTGAGATGATTCTGGATTGGAGTGCCTGTGACCGCCCATCGGGAAACGGCATCGAGATCGTATAGTGCGCGAGCCATCCGTGTCTTCATGTTTCGGATAAGATGTGCTGTTTAATCTAAGCTTCATGACCGAAGACATCCTAGAGAGGTTGGCCTACCTTCGTCTAAAACTATTCTCTTCCAGCGTACGGAAAACATGACGTGTTCTCCCGTGGAGTTCCAGACCTTCCAATCCGCTGAAAGGGTATGGTAGGTCGTCAACACGATGTTGACGGCATTGATGTCGTGAAAATCATGTATCCTTGCCTTTCCGTGATGGCGGCGGCACCTCATTGCACCCTCTGAAACGTGACTGCAGGATCGTCAGCAGGGCTCTAACTCTCGGTTGAACACACATACTTGGAGATTTGCTCTTCCCACGTCGTCAGAACTGTGCGACGTCAGTTCAGTCCCGAAGGATGTACTTATCATATGGAGTACCCACGAGGCTGTGGAACAATTATCAATGTAGCTGGGGCGGGGCGTCTCCCGTCTTCTAGATAACCCCAGAGGTCGTCCGTGATCATGCGGGTCTCTATGTCCGTTGCAGCTAGTGCTATCATCGTCAAAGTTTTCCCAAGTCCCATTGGATCAGCAATGATGCCGCCATGAAATTGCGGTGGGGCATCAACTTGGTAAACGCCGGTGATACGATTGATATACCTAAGCTATGTCAGCACTTCAACAGCTGCGGTCCTCCAGTGCTTCCAAATCAGGGAGGCGGTGTTGATAAAAGGAGGTGTTATCACATGACGTCAAGGGGAGCATCCCCTTGTGTTTCCCTAATGAGCCTCTTTAGGAAGTATGTGGTGTGGAGCACTTACGTCCGCTCGTGACTGGAATCAAAGGCTTCCCATATATCGACTCCTTCGCTATCTACGGACCAGCCTTTTTCTCGGCGTAGCATGAAAGTAAGCGCTTGTTTTTGATGCCTAGCAGAGTGCGTTAGTGGTGATCGAAGTCCGCGTGAAAGTTCCAGACTTTACCTGTGGAGTGCTGCCGATATTACTCGTGGCTGTATGGCTTCTTCCAACTCGTCCTGAGAGCTGATGACATCGAGCAAATCAGGCTGTTCAACAATCTCCTGGAAGTGAACTATTCCCGAAGCCCGGGCAACGATTTGAGAAACATATGGACATGACCTTAGTCCATCCGAGGACAGTCGGTGGGGATTACAGTATATCGCATCGAAATGGCATATCCTAGGGTCTTGCAAATAGACGCCGTATTCTTGAAGCCAATCCCCGATTTCGTTAAAGAGCTCAAAGGGGCCATACAGGGTGATGTCCAGGGCGCATGGTCCTTGCAAGCAGGAAGAGTTCAGAGGACGAGGTGTAGGCTCGGTTTCGGCTGTGCATGTAGTGTAGAGCATGAGAGTTGTGTCGCCTAGAAGCCCTTGGATCATCTGTCCATATTGAGGAGGAATAAGCCCGCGTAAGCGGGGGTCTTCCACAGAGATGAACCTTTCGGATGACTCTAGAATGACGTAAAAGGTGTGAGAATGAGTGCTCGTCCGCTCATATCTAGCGCTTATAGAATGAATCTATGAGTAGTTTAGCAGCACGAACAGCATAGTGTAAAGAATTTGGAACTGAGTGGAATCCAGATATATGAGACGACTCGTCGGAGAAGACGCAAGGCATTCGAAGTAAAGAGGGAGGCAGGTCGTGAGCTGCTAAATGTGTGTTTAACAGCATTGGAGACGCGTACTTACCGTGCCAAAGCAGACAGTCTCGTTGCCGTCTTCGATATCCTCGTGCATGATAGGCCCCTCTCGATTGCACAGCTCTATGCCTGCAGCTTCCTTGGCGTTGAAGGGGACATCCATTGACGACAGGCAAGGCTGAGAATACGCTTGGAAGTCACCCGCGCCCGGCTCTTCCAGTCGTCGTCGCTTCGATCCGCGGCATGGTGAAGTCGCCATTTCATGTTTTCCTATGAGTCTGAATTAATGGATCATGGAAGTTGTGTTATTGGGGAATAATTAGGTGTTGTGCCGCCCCGCTCGTGCGACGCGGCTGAAGTTACTGACGTGGCCGAGAAAGCCCAACAAGACGCCCTCCTGCATGAGGCAGACTCGCTGTGGCGGCTGAGGGCCTCAGCCTTGACTACATATTGGCATCGACGGTCCCTCGAATTGCTTTGGCCATCCTTTTGACATCCCACATCATCGCAATCGAACAACTCGAGTCTAACTCTGTCAGATCCCTGTGCTATCATACGCGTTCATAGCCGTTATATTCCTCGTGAGAGACAATATGCCTCGACTCACGCCAGTCGTGTCGACGCTAGCAAGGCAGACGATGCGAGCGGCTTTCGAAGACCTCGAACAAACCATAACTCCAGTCGATTTTCGGGACATGCGCTCAGTAACGGCTATCCAACAAGTGCGTGCTGTCGCACTCGACATTGAGAACCAATTGGCGGCCAGACAAGCGCTGCGCAACATGCGTCGACTCGTACCTCTGCTCAACGGGCTGGAGCACTACGCAAAAGTGATTGATGTCCTCTGCAATGGAACGCCGTTTCTGTCCTGGATTTGGTCGCCCATTACCCTGATATTGAGAGTAGCCTCTGAGTATGTAGAGGCTTTCGAGCAGATCATGAAGGGATACAGCAAGGTACGCCGCACACCCCGCAAATTTTCAGCCTCGCGTCGTCTCGGAGGGGACGATCCGCGGAAACTGTGGACTCGGGCAGCAGTCTAGGCGGCTCAGCTGGTTTGCGCATTGTTCTCTTGTATGCGTCAACTTGAAACACGTACTGTTGGTCGCGGCGGTGGAAGCTGAAGGTCCTGGGAGCTGTCCGCTGAATGTGAGCTAGATTGCCGAAGCGCTAAGCCGCTTCCAGATGCTTAGTCACGCGTTCATCAAGAACCCGGACTTTCAGCAAACAGTCGCGGTGTTCTATGCTGATATCCTCCAATTCCACAAGCATGCGTACAGATTCGTTCGCCGCAGCGGTAAGTGCTCCCGCAATGCTCTGTGGTTCCGCAGCCGTGGCCGCTTTTTTAGCGCTTCAATTGGGCCCTTCTTTTTATCCCGGGACAGCTCCCGCAATGTTCAGCAGCGTTCCTAACTGACTTGTGTTCTCTCAGGTTGGAGGCTCCTATTCCTCACATCGTGGGGCCGCTTCCAAAGACGCTTCGATCATATTGCTGAGGACTTAGATCGACATGGAGAGCTCATCGATCGGGAGGCCAATGCTCGCAACATCGCCGAGGCGCGCCAGATGCGCCAGGATGTCCGCAGCTGGAGAGATGAGAGCCTTGAGAAGTTGAGGATCGATGAAGAACGCCAAGCGGATAAACAGTATCGAACAATCTTGTCCTGGCTAAAGGTCGATGAGATGGAGCAAAGTTCGATCTTTGACTCGATCACGGAAGAAGCAACCAAGTTCCCGGGAACATGCGATTGGCTATTGAAGAGTGACAAGATTAGCTCTTGGCTCCAAAGGAAGCCCGATAATCCACTTCTGTGGCTCCAAGGAAACCCTGGAACTGGAAAGAGTGTGATATCGACTCGGCTCGTCGCTTTCCTTCACGCTTCCAAATCCTATGTTATCCACCATTTCTGCACCTATAATTACGCTTCTTCGACAAAATACGACAATATCTTGAGATCGCTGCTTCTGCAATTGCTGCGCAGAAATGGTGAACTGGTCGCACATGTCTACCACGAATATGTAATTGGCAGGAAATTACCCACGACCTCTTGCCTCGAACAGCTCCTCCAAAGATTTCTTGCTGCAATTTCTGAGGAGCCTCGGTCAACTGAATACGTTTGGATAGTTATTGACGGCGTGGATGAGTGCGAGGTGGCAAGACAGGCACGGCTGGTTACTCTTCTAAACCAAATCGCGTCCAGGTCTAGCGGACAAGGCGCGAAGGTCTGTAAGGTGTTGCTGACAAGTCGTGCCTCGCAGACCATGACCAAGCGTCTCCGCAAGCAGCAAATAATCTCCCTCAGTGACGAGAGCCACTACTTAGGGAATGCCATCCAAAACTATGCCTCGCAGCGATTACGATCCTTGCACGAACGGTTCTGTCAACTCGCAGTAGATTCTGACGAGCTCCAAGAGATAGAAAATCTGATTGCGGAGAAGGCTCAAGGTGAGTGGTTGTGATGCCTTTGCAGTTGTAGGAAATGCTGATAATTAGCTAGGAATGTTTCTCTATGCCCGACTAGTACTTGACTATCTCAGCACGAACATATTCTACAGTAGCTACGAGCTCAAAGAGTCGATAAAGAAATTGCCTCAGACGCTTGCCGACTTGTAGGTCTAGTTGGTCCCTGCTGGCCTGCTCCCTAACGCTAATGACTACTTCTAGTTATCACAAGATACTGGCCCAAATATTGGCGCATCTAGACTCACGCTCGGCGGAGAGAATCCGATGCATTCTGGGCTGGATCGCGTTCGCAAAGCGACCTCTTAAGAGAATAGAACTTCTCTCCGCCCTGTCATTCAGTACTGGCAACCCAGATGTAGCCCACTCAGCACCGCGTTACGTTCTTGATCTGTGCGGTCCTCTTGTCGAAGAAAGGCGCGACACAACGCTCGCATTTATACATGTCTCTGTAAAGGAGTAAGTTAAACATCTCCGAATTATTCGAGCAGCACTTGGAGCAGCGGATGCATCGACAAAAGGATTACCATGTCAAAAAGAGCTGCTACTACCAAGGAGTCGATAGGCGTGCGGTGGTTGAGCTGAAGCGCTGGCTGACTTCTCCAGGTTTCTCCGTACGTCTTCCACCACCGTGGTCATCAAGGAGCGAGAAGCGCTACTGGAACAGGGCGTGGCAAGTATAACGTGCCTCCTTTCCGGACTTCACGTTTTTAGCGACGCATACAATGAGCAGGACAAGCTTCTTCGACTGGTGAAGGGCGTCCATGCCTTCCACATCTATGCGACTGAGTACTGGACGGAGTACCTGCTGACGACTGCGGCGGACTGCGGCGGACTAGAAGCATCCCCTACCCTCCTGTCATTGGCGTATCGTCTCACTGATGTGCTTGAAAAAGTCCCTCTTGCTCCACCAAGCCAACCCACGACTTGTTCCACGACGGTTGACGATCGATTATCCCTGCTGGGACAACATAGCGTCCTACAGAAATACGTCGAGAACGCGCTCTTAGCTCGGTCACAGAAGCAACTGGAGCATGAAATCCAAAAATTAGGTGAGAATCTATTTCGCTCTACCACAACCAGAACCTAATAGCATAGCCGCGAACCCTAAAGAACCATCACCAAACGTCTGCTTCTTAGACGGCATCTCAGCCATGCTCAACTCCTACGAGAAGGCCGTAGAGGCTCTTCTCAATCAAGATTCTATTCCAGGAGCATCCATCGAAGAAGTGGATTCGTTCAAAAGCTTCTTCCGCACCTCTGCGTACACCTGTCGCCTACGCTTGTGCCCTCGTGCCACCATCGGATTCAGCTGTGCACAACTTCGTTGGGAGCATGAACTAGCACATTCTGGAGGGCTTCGGTGTACTTTTCCGGGGTGCCAGTATCCGCCTTTCCGATCTCCGCAGTCTTTGAAGAAACATACGGACCAGTGCCATGCGGGCCGTGCCCCACGGGCTTCGATACGAAGGGTAGCCCGATTGGATCCAGGAAATCGCCTAGGAGGCTTAAGAAGTTCGGCGAGTACTGCAGGCCAGAAGCCTGAGGAGGCAACTAGAGGAATAAGCCAGACTCCCGGTCTCACTCCTCAGGAATGTGTGCTCTGCAAAGGCACGGGCCGTATGGTTGGCGGCTACTTAGTATCTCGTAGTTGCAACCACTGCGGGGGACGGGGCACCACCATGCACTTTCGTGGGTTCTATCGTAAAGACCCTTTGACACCACCGGAACCAGAACCGGAACCGAGCGCCGTGTTGAGCCCCTTTCCATGGCCCGATTTAAAGCATGGACTACAAGAACAGAGCCAAGATCGGACTCCTAATTCCCAGCAACCTCTTTCCGTGAACAACGACGCTGCTCATGTATTGGAAAAGCCCGATAGTGTATGCCTCCGTTTTTCTGAGAAGTGAGGAATTGGCTAACGCGCTCTAGGCCACCGAGTTATACGGTCCGAACGGGATATTAGGGAAACGGGCTGGAACCGAATTTGCCGAACGCCCTGGTGAAGGGTGGGCTAGCACAATGGATGGACCCCCGAGCTCTACGGCTCCGGGTGACGCCGCCCAACCGGATATATTTGCTGTCGCATCTCTACCAAGTAAAGCGCCAGGAGATCAATTCCCGGCCTGGCGCCAATGGATTGAGATGTAAGCCGTACAGAGAGAGAGAGAGCAGAAAACCGAGAGAGTCACTCTAATATAAAGCAAACGCAGAGCGTGAGGGTAACAGGACTCATGTGAAACGATGCAGTGCCTGCGCTCGAATCAGGACGCTCGGACATTGTAGGCGGTATTCACCGAGCTCAAGAAGCCGCTTTAAACCCTTCATGAAGGACCTGAAGAGTCGATGCATGACATGGCGGATGAAAAGAAAGGGATCATGATCGAGAGCAGGGGCATGTCGGGATTGTTTTTGGGGGGGAATGCAAGCGTGCTGAGCCTGGCGTCGAATGGATCTCAGGGTGTTTCTTTTTTAGCAGACCAGCTTTTACTACACCTCCAATACCTCCCGCCGAAGCAAGCTCTTGAGGGCTGAACCACGGCTCATGGTAATCCTGAAGCAGTAGGCATGTGTCGCTCTTGGCATCTAGAAGCCGGCATCATACATCTATGCTTGGCTGCAGCATGGAAGAGCGTACTGGCGACTTCGGAACCAGACGGCTGCTGGTGGCTCTTGATGGAGCCGCCACGTATAACGCACTAGAGGCATTCAATGGATGCTTCTTCACGCATAACGCACTAGAGGCATTAAATGAATGTTTCTTCACTGCATCTTGTACCACGCGCGACCGGCATGACGTGGGGCATTCGGTTGCCGCGTTTTCGTATTGTTTTCGCTCCACCTGCAGTACGGTAAGTTCCACCTACATTCAGGGCGTTTTTGGCTGCGTGCGTCCAGGCATTCTCGAGGCGCAGATGCGCCCCCGCATAAGTTCCTTGCAGGTGGGCCGCCTCAATCCGCTCTCCATCCCGTTGCTGGAGGTCCTTAGCAATTACTCAACCACGCGAATGGCGTCGCTTGAGGCGGTTTTCGTGCGAGTCGCTGTATCTCAGGTAGTAGTCGAGCTGAACCCTGAGGTTGAAGGCCTGAAGCTTGGAAGGTTTAAGCACTGAGGTCGGGCAACGGTATCCAGGGGCTCGGCATGCTAGCGCTGAATCTATGTGGTGGCTTGAGAAGGTTAGCATTAACGAAATTTGTATAACTAAGCACAGGTCCGGCGCTAGCATACCGAGACAGAGGAAGATGTGGAGAATTGAACTCAAATGAGCTATCCTTGGGAGACTTTCTTGGTAGCGGGGTTGTTTGGCGGTTCGTCTGCAGGCATTCTCATCGTATGATACCGGGCCGGGTGGGGGGCCGTACTGCAAGATCCAAGGCCAAAGGGCTAGATCACGAAGCTAAGCTTACATGGTGAATCCAGGTGGAAATATTGTGGCGCTTTAACGACACTTCCCCCTCTGGAGTTCTCGTGTTGGAGATTACAAGGGGTAAGTGGGCGTTGGCCCTATCAGCCCTAACCCTATTGCCAGTTCCTGCTCGCTTACGTGTAACCTATGAGAGACGCTCCCACGCGCCGGGGGGAACCCGATTCGGTCGCGTGTCTTACTTTAAATATCGTCAAGTGGGGGAGCTAACGGTTATCGGAGACTAAAAGCCAGCTGCTTCGTATTAAACCTTGGAATTCAAGAGCACCGCGTGCGGCGTGGCCCTGCGGCGTGGCCTGCGGCACCGCTTCGCGTGACTCTTGACAAGCTTGTTCCTTCGGATGCGCCTTACCGATCTTCATTTCCAAGAGATGCCTCGATGGCTTTCTCGTTTTTCTATAAAGTCTTGTAGGGGTCATGTCGATTTCGTATCTTCACTTAGCACCACGGTCTTTCTCTTCCCCGCCTCGGCATTTTAACGACTTCTTTACCTTTCCACAGTAATAATTCTACCCTCTCCAAGATGAAGTCCTTCGCTCTTCTCGCTACGCTCGTTTCTTTCGCCGTAGCCGCCCCAGCAGGTCTTGCTCTCCGCGCCGAGCAATGCCCTCCCATCCCCCAGGTAGCCCCGACTGGCCAACTCCCTAAGGGCGCCCTCTCGCCGAAATTCCTGTTGCCCATCTCCCAGAAGAAGCCCAACAAAGCCTTCCCAGGCGGCCAGTCAGCAATAGTCACGCCCCACGACAAATGCACGCTCACCCGGTTCGACATCCCTGCCTCGGCTCAGAACAAAACCTGCAGCCTCGTGCTCTTCCTCGGCGGCTGCGGCACAGGAGAGTATGAAAAGGGACCCGGCAACATCTCCTTCCAGGGCAACCTCGGCATCAGGTTCCCCGTTCCGGGCAAAACGACGTGGAACAACCAGCCCCCGCTGGCTCCCCCCTTCACGGATGCGCCAATCATCAAGCTCGGCAACGCGTACCGTCTCGGCGGCGGCCCATGCGACTACACGCCTGGCAAACCCTTCACCAGCGTCGGCGGAAGCATCTGCAGCAACGACACCACACTTTCGTTTACCGAGTCTCGGGGCGGCCATGGAAAGTGCCCCATCGGCTTTCACATCATCATCACCTAGAGATGGCTCCGACGACCCCGACGAGCTTTGAGGACGAAGAAATAATAGTATTTTTTAATCATGGATGTCTATCTAGTTGGAGAAGAGAATAGAAGATTTTTGTTGCAAATGTTGGGTTCGAAACGCATCAGCTCCGCTGTGATCATGAGATAGCTCATTCTGGAGGTCTTCAGTGCACTTTTCAAATTCAAAGCTGCCATGGTACCCTTTTTACCCTCTCTTCTCAGTCTCTGAAGACTCGTGGAATCGATTCGTCTCGTCCAGCTATTGCGAGTATAGTAGTTCCGAAAAGCGTGAGAGCCGATGTCGGGGTCTGCCCACACATCCCCAATCTTCAAAGCCCGCTTGAACGGCCTTAGCATTTGCATGCCGATTTCTTTTGTGAAGTCTTCGTCGCGGAAGAAGATCTACCGTTCACGCGGGGTTTTTGGCTTGTCCGCCGCGCCGCTTTCGATGGCGTCCGCAATCTACTTATGTCAGTGTTCGATTGTAAGTGAACCAACAATACTTACGGGCTTTGAAACGCGTGGGTTCATCAGCATGTCTCGTTGAATGTTGTCCATCACACCCCAGAGTCTTGTGTGTGATGGCTTTACATTGGCTTTCGTCGACTTCGCAGGTGGTGACGAGCTCGACAACGTCGTCTTGTGTTAGGTCGAAGGTGGTGAAGAAGCGCAGAATTGCTGGAAGTTTATCTTTCTCCAATCGGAGAGGGAGAGATCGCCGGGGCCGCCTGGCTTTCTAGGTTTGCGCTTGTGGGGGCCACTCAGTTGACGTTTTCGACGCGCTTCCAGCCTCTTCTTGCTGACTGGACACGGCTTACCTGCCTTTGGCACGGGCAGTATAGTCGTAGAGTCCATGATGCCGGCAAGGCTGGAGGAGAGATAGAGAGGTGGGCGGAGAGGAGGTCAAGCCTATCGCCTCGTTATACACGGCGACAGCGACGGCGACGACTTGAACGTCCTACCTTTACCGCTCGCGCGATGCCGCCGCGTAGTCACCATCGATCAGAACATAACGGCTACGCCGTTAACAAGCTACCTTTACCTCTCGCGCAAAGCCGCCGAGTTCGTCAGTGATCAGAACAAGAGGGCGACGCCGTGAGCGTCCTACCTTTACCTCTCGCGCAACTCCGCCGAATCAGGCCTTTCGTGACATGGTACTGGTCTCGGACGTCAACGAGCATGAAGCACGCGTGGAATATCGATGAAGCAGACTCTACCCTACCCATGTCAGCAACTTCCAGCTAAGCTATGAGATCGTTGGAGAGAGCGCCCTCTGAAAGGCAGGGAGAGCCGGATGTCTCATAGAGAAAATCACGGTCTCTAGTGCAAGCGAGCCTGTATCTCAGTAGAGTTGATATCAGTGCAGAAAAGACAGGGAGAGATTTGAAGGATACCTCGTTCGTCGCGAAAGCGAAATCGAGATAGAGTCCGCTCGACTCGTCGAAACAGAGAAGTGGAAATCGAGCGAGGCCTCCTAGTATAGAACCACCTAAAGCCCAAGCGCATACGAGATGTATCCTGCCATGGGTCTCAAAACCAAACCGCGTAGCCTACCGTCCGCTTCACTCTGAAATCACCACTCCAACAATAGAAGCAGACCACAACGGAGACCACTCACTCCACACTACCCCTCCCCATCCTTCCTCCGCCCCATCAGAGGAGGAATGCATATGCGCTTCGCCACCATGTGCATATTCCTTAATTCCTACTCGGAGAATTCAAAGCTTGGCGACGCGGGTCGCCTTGCCCCTGTATCAGAAATTCAGCGATGTGGATTGTAGGACGGGGAGGATTCCTGGGGTTCATGGCTCAGCGAGAGGTGGTATCTTTGCGGTCGGAGGATCGGGGTGCGGGAGAGTGCAGGTTTTGGAGTGGAAGGCGACCGTTGGCCAAGGGCGCTTGCGGGTTGCAGCGATGGACGGATTTAGGGCCATGGGGGGCTGGCTGGTCGATGGACTGTTAGGGGTGCATTGGGTATTGGAGGAGTGGTAACTACGTGAGTGGGACACCGGAGCAGTGAAAGTCGCGCAGCGCAGCGCTTCGCCTGCTGGAAATGGGTCGTGTTTGAGAGTGCGTCTCATGACATTTTGCGATACTATCGCAACGTGCCACTATGTGGGTGGAGAAACCGTTGCGCGGGGATCGACAGACTGTTGCTAAATGAAGCCGTCGGTACCTGCACTAGTGCAACCGCAATGCTTGTCTTCGATGCCAATTCCGCCCTGCATCTCACCACCGCCGACCGTTCCTCAGGCCACGCTCTCCAAAAAGAAACTGCCGTACACCTAACCACAGCATCAAAATATCCCACCCTACACTAAATGCACCGCCCACTTTACAAATCCCCTTCGCGCTCTTGGCGAAATCATCTAAGCTTACCCTCAAATCTTCCGAGCAAATCACACACGCCCCTTACGAAGCTTAGCATCCGCCAAGACCGCGCTCCGCCTCTCTCCACCTATTCTTCCGAGACTACGACCTTTTGGTTGACGAATGACGTTGCGGCTTGCAGGTGTACCTAGGTATAGTATTCGCTCGATCCTTTCGCTATTCTTCCGAAAGTCGTGTGCGATCATCATCATCATCGCCATCATTACCATCATCATCACGAGAAACCAACACGGACCCCTTCCATCCCCCGATCGAATCCCTCTTCCTTCGCCCCAAATCTCCGCATTTTGTTATTTCGGGCACGCCGAGAACGACCCATTCCTTCCGAATGGGTCGAGCGGCCGTGGAGGAGCTGTTTCATGTTATGCTGCGAGCCGTGGGGATTGGGAGGGGTCGAGGGAGGAGGCTGTGTATTGTAGATTAGTCTTGGCGAGGCTACGCAGGTGGCCTTGTAGGAGCGTCGCGCGTAGGTAGCGAGCGAGGAGATTGTACGACTTGCGATTTCGACCACGCGATAGGTTGTACAGCAGGTCAGGGCCCCGAGCTACGTGCGATGAGCCTCGGAGAAAAGAATGAAACAACGAAACGGCTGTCTCATACCTCGAAGAAAAGGAACATTTTCTGCTTGGCGACACAAGGCTGAGGTCAAACTCACGACACGATCACACTGATCGACAATGGCGTTTCCTCCTTTCTCTAGCTCTCTTCAGCCTTGCTCAATAATCGCCGAGCCTTCACGATAGCTCCGCTATCACATGCGCGGCATCTGGGGGGCGTTGGGGCGGGGAAAGAAAGAAAGAGCGCATGCGCGGTATTCCACCTTCGACCTGCGCTTGAGGCTGCGAAGTCGCTCGCTCGCACGCAAACCCGGCCTTGGCTCTCGAGACAAGAGACCCTGAGTACTACCTAGTGCGGCACCTACGCTCTCGGGGCATTAAGAAACGAGGCAGACGAAAAGCCATGCCCTTCGATCGCGAGCGACACGCGATCGAGAAGGGACCTGCCTTCTCGTGCGACGTGGAAAGGCAAAAGCCCCAATGAGGCTCTCGCATCCAGACGCACGCTAGGGGACCATAGACCGCCACGCTGATTGGGTGGGCTTACAGACTCGCTCCTCGGCGCATCAGCAGCCCACGATATTTTTACCCGGTCCTATAGCCCTTTCTCGAGGGAAGTTGCGAAGGCCAAACATGCCAGGGACGGGCACGTGGCGTGCCCACTACTGTCTCACCATCTCATCTCAGTGCTAGCAGTAGTGAATCCAGGAACCAGATTCTGATCCGTGGGGCAGGTCGCGCGTTCCTGAAGCGTGAGGCTGGAGCGGTGCTGCGGTGCGCTCCTTCGGGGACTAACGCGGGAACCAAGACTTTTGGTTGGGTCGCCTCAGCGCACTGGTTGTGGGTACGGGGCGTCGGCGGCTCTGTGTAACGGGTGCGCTAACCCCCGATCTCGAGAGATCTGGAGCTTATCCTCGTATAGCGCCATGTTTGGAGAAAGTGGTCTTGTGTGGTGTGTAAGAAGACGTCAGTGTTTATTTCGAAGCTGTGGCGGAGTTGGGAAATTGAGATCGCTGGTATAGGATCTCCGGCCTTGTGATAGCGGCTACGCTCTTGGACGTCTCCTCGCTTCAGTGCCACACAACTGCTCTGAAGACCTCAGACGTAAGTCGCCGTGGTGTTCTCGAAAACGACGGACTAGGCAATCTGAGCCGTTCACCGTCCCTGGCCAGCAGTCCAAAGGCGAGACCTGCAGATGTCGTGCATACTTGCATTCGGTTCCTGAAATCGCATGACAAGGGTGGGCAAAGTGGACCCCAGTCGCTCAACCAGCAACGCTGACGGCGACCCCAGCGCAGCCGCTCACCTCATTGGCTGGCGGCTCAGCACTGCTACTCAAATCAGCACATGTAGTGACGATCACGAGCCTGACAAAAGCACGCTCGAGCGGGGACTAAACGGCCGACAGGCATGCTACCAGTGTAGGCCTGCTAACTATTTGGCAGGGACTAACAACGGGGACCACTCGTTTGAGCCATCACGATGGCTGAAGCTCGTAAGGCCCATGGGCAGAAAACGTGCGAGCAGGGTGTGCTGTGTCAGGACCCGAGTCTGACGGTGGATGCTGCACCAGGCTGTATGCAGCTGATCAATACATAAAGTCGGTGGACCTCAGCCCGTAGTGAGCTTCACGACTCAACAACGCTCGCTCGGAAGTACATAAGCTCGACTGATCTACAAGATCGTCAGTATCCATTCATTTTTTAGCAGCAAACATGTCCTTCGTACCACAGACGCCGGAGTGGCAGACGCCGCTTACCGTTAATCAACCTACCGCTACCCCTCCTCGACCTCAACCTACTTCAGCACCCAAGCCCGCCAACAACCCGGAGCGGAAACCCAAGCTTCGAGCTTCGTGCGATGCGTGTGCGGCTTCGAAGGTCAAATGCAGCAAAGAACACCCTATTTGCGCTCGCTGCAATGCCAACGGCTCCCAATGCATCTACGGTGTCTCAAGGAAGCACGGCAAGCCAGGCCGGACACGGAAGAGGAACCCAGATGGCACTCCTTTCGTGAAAGCCTCGAAGCAGCGACCTTCTCCCGACGGCAGCGAGTTCAGCAAGTTCAGGCTCCGTCCTGAGCCGATCCTGCCTGATCCCGAAATGGACAGCGCTTCAAACTGGTCCCCGACGCCGAGCTGGCCAGCTACCCCAGATTTCGATTTCGAGATGACGCCCGAGCCGCTTTTCACAGAGCCTTCCGACTACTTCAGCTTCATGGACGATATTCTCATGCCCATGCCCACCTTCCAGCCCGAGCCGGAAGCCATGCAGACCATCCAGCCTGAACTCACCTTCATAGACCCGTTCGCGCGGAAGCAGTCGGTGAGGCTCGACCTCCCCGACATCCAGGCCCTCAAGGACTTCATCGGCGGCGATGCAGTCAACCCCATGGACTATACCTTCGCCGACACGACACCCATGGACACGGGCTTCCTCCCCGACTCCGGCTCATCGACGCCGCAAAGCCCCAAGAGCACGCCATCATACTTCCACAACCCACTCCGCGTCAGCATTTCCATGCCGAGCTCGCACTGCTGCTACACGCTCGCATACTCCACGCTCGAGAGCCTGCGCATCATCAACCCGGAGAACAGCGCCGGCGTCGAGCTTAAGAGCCTCGACGCTGTGCTCTCCATCACCAAGACCGCAGTCGCGAACGTGCTGCAGCTGCTCAGCTGCTCCTGCTCGTCGGACCCGCACCTCGCGATGCTGTACTCGAGCATCACCTCCAAGATCCTCGCCTGGTATCAGATCGCCGCCGGTGTGAAGCCCACCTCGCCTCCCACGAGCCCGCCCTCGCTCAGCGGCGCATCCTCGCCGTCGTCCTCCACCTTCTCGTCGCCGCTGTCAACGCCCTCGTCGGAGAACACAACCTTCAATATCGAGATCAAGCCGGTGAAGATCGGGCTCTTCGAGTTCGACGAGGCAGAGCAGGAGGCGCTGAGGCGGCAGGTCGTGCTGCGCGAGCTGCGCAAGTGCGGCACGCTGGTCGATGCGCTGGCGAACTGGGGCAGCGAGTCGAAGACGGAGCAGGCGGAGTTCCTGTACGATGTGCTCGGTGCGTGGCTCAAGAGCGAGCTGTACAAGACGCTGAGGGAGGTGGAGGGCGAGGAGGCGCTGTGAGGGGTTCCGCATCGCGGGATTGCCTGTGCTATGTAAGATTTGAGGGTCAGCGGTGCATTTGCATTTAGAGGGTCTCTTCGCATTTTGGGTTCTGCATTTGATATCCCCTTCGGCCTTTTGTCGATCGTTCTCGAAGGTATTTGGAAGAGCTGCCCCCTGAGGGCGCCTTGAAGGATTACGGCCACGTCTTGCCCACGTCGCGAGGAATTACTGCATGCAGAACGGTGTTCGGATAATGAAAAGTCACGAGTTAGATTTCAGCTTCCTGTGTAGATACATATCTCGCTGTTGATATTGAGGCAATCGCCTGGCATTCTGAAGTTGGGTGTGACGCGTGTATTAATAAACTCTTAGTCATCGGGGCGCCAACTCCCTCGTCCTGCGCCTTTTCATCCATTAGTTCACCCATGCCGCAGAGCGCAAAAAATCCTCTTCTTGCCATTTGTATGCCTTCATGCTCCTATCTCAGCTCTCCGGTTCCTCGACTCACGGCTCAACGACTTCGAACAAGCGCAAACCCCACCTTGTTCAAGATGCGCAACACAGCCCCTTCTGCTAGGAGACCATTCATGGAGTTGTGCTACCAGTCCTCGCATGCCAATGGCCAGCTGACATTTGATGTGCACTCTGTTCCTGTGTCACCTGCCGCACTGCTTCAAGTGAAGTTCACAGGTCCTACCTAAAAACCGAAAAACCGGATGCCAACTGGCGTGAAACAAGCAGGTACTCTGGATATACCACTTTCCCCGCTCGCGCCTCGTCCCATGTACGCATCGCTACTCTTCCACCTTCGTTCTTTTCCTTTCACTTAGCTCGGAGACATGGTTGTTCCCTTCGGATTCTCAGCGGGCGACTTCGCAGCAGGCATTCATCTCCTTCATAAGGTCGTGGTTGCCTTGCGCGATTCGGAGGGAGCCAGCTCGCAATTCACCTACGTTCTCGTCGAGCTTCAAGGCCTTCAATCACTTCTGCAGAAGGTCCAGCAAGTCCAGCACCATGGCGTCTCCGTAGAACATGTCGAGAAGCTACGATTTCTTGGGTACCAATGCAACCTCCCTCTTACTACATTTTTCCAGAAGCTCAAAGCCCTGGAACCCGAATTGGCCATATGTCAAGCCAGTAAAGCACCTTCTCCGAAATTCGGGATGAGGCCGCTACGGAAGATGCAGTGGGCTCTTCAGCTGAAGAAGCAGGTCGCTGAGCTGAAGGCTGCTATAGCACCGCAGCTAGCAGTTATCGACATATTACTGCAGCTCATCAGCCTGTCCGTAAGCTTCCATTCGACTGTCAGGCATCCCCTAACCACCACAGCGAACAACAAACAAGGATCGCACAATCCCAAGACACCTTCCAAGAGGCCGCAAAAGAGTTATTCTCGAAAATCGATCGGGTCACCGAGGTGCTTGACCAGAAAATTAATCAGGTCGCTCAGACAACTTCGTCGCATGTTTCTCAAGTTCAGCATATCCATACGAGCATGGATATGCTCAGGCAACAATTCGAGTCCTGCATCACCGACCTGCAGCGCACCGCTGCGCAGCATTCTACCCTGCCCAGCTTAGAAGCCCAAGGAACAAGGGGTGCGGCTCGTCAAGACCGCCCCAAGGGATTTCATCAAGAGCCGACAGATTTGTCAGACATTAGATCTTTGTTGCAAAGCCAAAATGTCCTCATCCAACAGCTTACATACCCGGATTCAAAACGGAAGCTCATTTTGGACCCTGCGCGAATACATTTTCAACCGCAACATGACGCTCGGAGCACAAGCGGAACAACAGAGATAGTCATTCGGCTTCCAAGCATATCGGAGCTCGAGGAGGCGTTCCAGGCCATACTGCATATTCTGCACATCGCATCCAACGAGATATTACTACGACTTGTCATCATTTTGCCTTTCATAAACCGCCTCATTCGAACCGCGCAGTCTATGGCACTGGCGCCTACGATGCTGTTACGGGACAATATACTATTCGAGGACGCATTGGGAAGGAAGGCGTCCCTTCCATTTCAATACTTTCAGCACTTCCCCGTGTTCATGGCACGACTCCAATGCGAGTTCAAAGGTCTCCCTGGAGAACGCAGAGTCATACGAAAGCAGTTCCGTCTTTTTGATGCAGAACGCAGCGATATCCCAATCACAGAGAAGGATTGGCAAGCTCGTGTGGTACCCGGTGCATCGCTGTCGATGGCGGTTGTTGTGAACAATGCCTACTGTCTTGGAACGTCATGCCCTCGCTGCTATGCCTTCGGCGATAGGGTTGGCAAGCTGGAATGGGAATGGTAAATGACCCCAAGTTGCTATTTTGCAGTTGCTAAGAAGGCATAGTCGTAGCTGCGGCCTTACCTACTCTCACGGTTGTTCTGAAAACGAGATTCAAGATGTAGCAGCAGATTCCCAGCAGACAACACGACCGTTACCGGCAATACCCTGCCGTAGTGAAGCTAATAGGGCTTACACGAAATATAGTACGGGAGAAGTCCGCGATCCATTTCCGCCAGCTGGAGGCTACTATAGTGATGACGAAGAAGACGAAGAAGACGAAGATCTACAGCCATTCAAAACCCTTCATATACGGGTACATAGCCCGCCACTTATAGCGATTATAGCCACTATATATAAAGGCGTGAATTCCACACTCTCCGATTTCAAGCGCCTTTTGCCGGCGAAACGAACGATGGCTCCCGAAGCGAACCCTCGGTCCTTTGGTTTCTCGACTTTTGTCCGTCATCTTGGGTAGGCTGTTAGCTTTACTTTGCCATGGATATAACTAATTTCTAAAGGGTAATATCCCAGATATTCCACGAACTCTGGCGCGACCATCGCGAGGTTAGCCGCTACAGCATCCCCATGAGGCCGAGAGAGAACCTCTCGGCTAACCAGAAATCAACAATGAGCATACAACGGACGAAGCACGAGGCATACTACCAGCGTTGCGTTTTGATCATTCTGTTAAGAATGGCGAAGATGGTCGGCCCAAGGCATAGGAAAACGCAAAAGGTCAGCAAGAATTCTTTACATTTCTTAGCCCGCCCTATTGGTAAGCCACGCAACGTGATCTGCTGACATTCTGAGAACCTACTAGAGTAGATTTGTTGCGTGCATCCGAGCCATTCGAGACACGCGTAAGACTACTATCAGACCTTGAGCGCAATTCACAGAGTCTAAGCTCCGGGTTACTGAGTGTGAGCTCAAGGACATACTCGAAATGCTCCATGTGATCATCGTAAAGTTGGAGATTTCAGTCGATTACCTTCAGAGGAACCTATTCGCCTTCCACCTTCCCCTTGGGTAGTCGAAGCCGCCTTTCGAAGCCGCCTTTGAAAATGGAGCGAAGAATTACTATACAGCCACTTGTGCGACGCAATGGCACAACCTGATATACGGAGCTGCCTACCACCTCCTCCTCCACCTACCCGACCCAAGTCGGATGCGCAATTGCTTCAAGACATCATCTCCAGCATCACCATCAACGTCGCAGCGCCCACAAGTATCTTGGACGGATATTTTTATATCATTCAGCACCGTCTCGGCTTAGGAGTTTTTCGCTCCGGGGTTGAGCTAGGTATGATGCGAGCGAAAATTAGCTACAAGAGATTTAAGATACCGCAGCCGTTGGTCTGTTCTTCCTTTCACCCATGTTCTTTGTTCCTATTGTTTTACTCTTCCCTTTTGGTGCTAACTCCACCCTATATATCCTTTGTGCTCACAATGCATTGTCTCTTCGCTTTGAAGTCATGGAATGAATATGACGAATTGAGACGGCACATAAAGGGGCGGACACCCTTGAGGCGTCTCCTCTTTACTCTTCCGCAACTAGTCATTTCCAATATTCTAGTTGAAAGCAATTTGAACACCATCCTCATCTCCATTCTCTCCTCTACAGAGCGCCCACTTTCAGTCGTCCCACCGCATAGTCAACAATGGTCTTCACTCGAAGCCGCTCGCAAAAGCTGAGCGCTACACCGTCCCCGCCCTTCTCGCAGGTACGCGCGGAGTTCGGGGTCGATCCCGCAGTTTACGTTCGTGCCCCTCGAGGGGAGCCGGTCAAGCCTTTGGCGCCGTTCGATGCCTCCACATGCCCCTCGAGCGTTAATGTTTCTTTGATCACTTCAGAGATTATGTGCCCGTTCGATCCTAATGATGTGATGGATTGGGCGGAAGACATCGATGAAGACGAAGATTTTTACCCTGGAGGTGAGGAGGAGGTAGATGACGAAGAAGAAGATGAAGAAAGAGACAGGAGTGAACAGGGAGAGGATCACGAGGTAGAGGAGGATGCTGACGACGAAGATGAAGAAGACGAAGACGAAGACGAAGAAGACGAAGACGAAGAAGGCGAAGACGAATCGGGTGAAGACCTCGCCCCTTATGACGCCGCCGTAGTCTGCGACGATTATGCATGCTGCGGCAGCAACAATCAGAAAGAACACTGCAGCAGATGGCGGCCCTGGGCGATCTGCTCGCAGCCAGGCCCAGCACCACATCCCGCACCCCGAAGCGGAGGCGCCCACACCGCCAACATACAAGTATGCGACCACTGTATGGAGCACGGCCGCAACCAGAAAAGTGCTATTATCTCACAGGTCTCCAACGCCACGTACCAGAGCGGTCTTTCCGCCCCACTCTGCGAGTCGTGCGTAAAAGACGAAGTGCAGCTGTTCTGGATGCGCGTGGCCATGCAGCAACCGGTTTCGATGTCAAATCTCATGTGGCCTAATGCGAGCAGAAGCCAGAGCTTCTGCGTGTGCTATTCGGCTATCTGGGACAATGTACACGACTGTCATTCTTGCAGAGACAGAATATGGGATGAGCAAGTACTCATACCCTGGCGCGAGAACGAAGACATACTGCGCAAGTGCGGTCCTTCTACCCTCACTGGCGAGCGCATGAAGTTGGGCCTCCCGCCCAAGAAAGTCGGCGGCACGTACGAGACCGACCGCCAGGTCAGAGGTATCGGAAGGTCTTGTCCCTGTGGAAGGGATCCCGATGTCGCGTCTTTGGCGTACGCTTCATACTGTTTGGCGTGTATGGGCGTTACGATTCGCATATCCTTTCTTCCTCCTCATCTCCAACGGGCGCAGTTTATGGCTTCGAGGGATGGGAATAGGAGGCTGAGGAAGACAAAAGTGCTTGGGAGGAAGCGCGGTCCTGAGTTTCGCGTCAATATTGATAGAGGGTGGTTGCCGGATGATCCTTTTACGCGTGAGGGTCGGGAGTAGGAGGCTGGTGGGGGAGATGATGGTTCTAGTACGTTCGAAGTATCTTTATATTTTGCCTCTAGTCTTCTCCTATCTGAATTTCATACTACGGATCCCTCAGGTTAACCCCATCCACTGCTGCACAGGTCTTCTCTTCCTTAGCTCGAAGCATAATACGCAATGCTATGGGATTCATACGCCTCCGCTTCTAGCTATCAAATCCGAATTAGTATTACCCAAGTTGGATGGCTCCACTCTTCCGCTTGACAACCCACCAAACGTGTCCGACCTTCCATACTCCCAGCTTTCGCTGTTTGTTGTGCGCATGTTGTTATTTTCAAACTTAATTCCTTTGTCTTCTTTAAATCGCAGTGCTTCCTCAAAGACAATGGCCATTGTTTCCACTATATGCTAACGGATTGTTTAAAATTCCCGTCCTCATCGTCACAACAGCTTCATTTCCTGCCGCGAACATCCCTTTCTTTGATCGTTTAGATATCTTTCTTCCGCATTCGAAGTTATGGCGGCAATCGAGGAGCAGCCGCTCAACATCGTCAAGCTCATCTCCATCTCGAGGAGCAAGATCCAATAGCTCCTCCGCAAACGGCTCCCATGCATCGTCTGAAGACTCTGCAACATCCTCGTCAGTCGAGGACACAGAAGATCCCGGGGTCTCACGCTAGACTTTTATACCGCGATCATCGTTCGAACATATCAGCCCCTTTGGCGTTCTGGAGACGGCGGCGCAGATGCAATTGCTTCAAGGAAGCGTTGGTGAAAGAAGATGAGTGAGGCCTACTCGACTTCTTTCGTCTTGCTTCTCGTCGAATTCTGGATAGAATGCTCACTAATGAGTCGCGGCTTGAGTACCTGGGTTTTTCCCCCTCATATCCCAACTGTGAAAAAGGAGCTCCGGGACGGAGACATCGCGAGCTATGACCTAACGGCTCCTACTCCGCGTCCATAGGTGGTTCCTCCATATATAAAGCGTGCTCGCTCATATTATTCTCATGGACAAGTCCAAATCCCGACTACACCAGCCCAGGTCATATACATCGAAGTACAACTACACGAAAGTACGACTACATCGAGACCTCTCTTTCAATCGGAATTACTCATTACAAACCACATGCCTATCCTCACGCTCCCGTACCACCTCGACCCTCGACGCGGCCGACTCCCCGGGACTTCTTCGCCTCGGCCGAAGTTACCCTTGCCAACCATCGAGGACTTCCCTGAGCTCCCAATTCCGCAGAACGCCACGCCCCCGAACGCGAAGGATGATACGCTACATTCGAGCCCTCTTACAAAGCAAGCGTATGCCAGCGTTCTGAAAACCAGTATTCTTGGTTATAACGAGTCCAAGCCGTTTCTCCTTATGCAGCTTCCGATTGAAATTCGCGAGATGATCTGGGAGGAAGCCATTCGCGGCATGCGGTATCTGATTGATTCCACTCGTGGCCGTTACGGCCATCACTCCCTAGACGCAGTAGAAATCCGCCAATACGACGAGGGGCGCGAACATCGGCCGCGGTTTCTTCCATCAGTATGCCTGGTGTCGAAGAGTACGATGGCTGAAGCTGTCGCAGTCTTCATCCGCAATTCCACTTTCATGGTGTCTTCCATTGGCGGGAATCGCTTCCTCGAGGCCTTCCTCACGAGACATAATAGCTTCCCGAATATACGCAGTCTCCGGTTCGACTTCTTTGATTGCTTTCCTGAGGGCTATGAGGAGAACGCGGATCTCGCACTGGCGGCGAAGTGTACCGGTTTGGCAACGATCCAATTCACATTCCATTCCAGCAAGCTGATACACTGGGTTCTTGAAGATGGAGACGATTACGATGAAGACGGACTCACTAGCCTTGCTCGCCCGGTCGAACAGCTGGTAGAGCGGTACAAGTTGAGGCAGCTCCTGGAGTGTAAGAAGCTCGACAAGGTTATCTGGCAGCGCAAGGGGTATCACTACGACGGAGCGGAGGTGGCGTTGCAGAATCTAGGAACGTGGGTTAAAGATCAATTTGCTGAGAAGAAGCGAATCATTACTAATGTGTACCCGTGAGCGGAAGATGTACTGTGGACACAGGTAAGCGCTGTGAATCCCGCGATGATAACGACCTTAAGGGAGGTACTGGCTTGATAACTCTGCTCTATCTAGTTTACTCATGCTATAAGTCATCTAATAATGATATTTCTTACAGTGAGTAAGCTTAAAGATATAATAAGATAGCAATTCAGGAGACAGCGCTGATGTTGGGGGAAGGAGTCGCGGTGGAGACTGAGCCGTCCACTAGTTCAGCCTCACTCACCGCTAGGTATAATCGTATGTGGTGCGGCATGTACTTGAAATGAGTTGCGCAAGCTCCAATCCGGTGAGACGAAAAGTTTCGTTCTGGGGAGGTGAGGTGCGTTGGGGTGCGGGGATGCATGAGTGCTGAGCCACCGCCACAAATTAGGCAGCGAAAAACCACGCCGCTCAGCCTTGCGCGTTTCCAAGGTTGGATCAGCGACCGCGTTCGACCAACTCCTCCCTTCCTCTTCTCATCATCGTTCTCATTCTATGGTTCACGACTCCCGCAGTGGCCATGTGGTCTACCTCGACTGCCTTATTTGCCTCCAAGAGGGGAACCGGGAGTAGGTTGAGGATCCCCACGAGCCTGGATTCGCCGAATGAGCGGCAAATACACAGTGGCCTTTACAAGCCTCTGCAACAGGGAGAAATCAGAGTTTTGCGCCTCTACCCTGGCATTGGCGACGAGCCTGTAAGGTGCTCCCTCGAGCTAGTTTATCTCGACGCGGAGTCGCCGCCCGAATACAACGCGCTATCATACGAATGGGGCCGGCCAGATACGGAAGACTACATCATCCAGATCAACGATTTCTCGGTGCCGGTTCGAAAGAATCTATACTTTGCCTTGCTCAGTATACGCGGCAAAAGTGCAGATGAGAGTACGACAATGACTATATGGATCGATGCTGTCTGCATAAACCAGAAAGATATTCGAGAACGCAACGCACAGGTCGGCATGATGGGTTCCATATACGCTGGCGCTGCGACAGTCGTCGTCTGGCTTGGACCCGCGTCCGAAGATAGCGACGCAGCATTTGACTTCATACACTGCGCCTTCCGGAGCCACAACTGGAGCGCTAAAGACGCAAGTCCTGACGACCCCGGGTTGAGAGCATTCACGAAACTACCCGACCGAAGTTATTGGTCGAGGCTTTGGATAATTCAAGAGTTTGTGCTCGCGAAAGAGATAGTCCTCTGGTGTGGATGCAAGCAAATCGACTGGGAGAAATTTTCGCTGGCTCGCAATCTCGTTCTAAAACTAACGCCCAACCTGAGATCGAAGATCGGCAGCCTCGGCCCCTGCGACCAGATAAGGAAACTGGACAAACACGAGATTACTTTGGAACGCCTTCTCTCGGAGACCTGCGACTCACTATGTGAGAACCCGCACGACAAAATCTTTGGACTTCTTGGCCTGCTTCCTACGTTCGAATCTGGAGTCACGGGTGTCCCTAGTCAAGGCGGTTCCGGTGAACTGCCCGTAGGTCTATATGAGGGTAAGAAAAGGGATATCCTGATGAAGACGGGCACGATGAACGTCGAACGTTTCCCGGTGGACTATGGAATGAGTAGCTTCGAGTTATATTGGAGTGTAATTCGGTACCACTGGAAGGAATCCGGCGAAGCAGCTAGGATTCTCTGGGATTTCACCCCGAACTCTTGGCAACTAAGAATTCCTCCCCGTATCATGTGGTTTAGCCAGATGGTTCAACGTAGTCTCTCGATTGACCCGTGCTTGACATACCTCTACTGGGACGACATCTTACGAAATAATCCCTTACCTTCACGACCTTTCCAGGCGGGCGAGACCGCGGGCTGCGCGGTATACCGTTATAAAGATGTTTACTTGGCAGCCGCGGGGCAAGTTGGCAGCAGAATTGAAAGGCTCGGCCCTTCTGTTAGCACGGGTACATGGGGCGAAGATTTGGAGGAATGGTTTGGTGATATGTGCGCACGCGTGGACTCGCGCCCGCTTCCACGCCCGAGAAGGGTAGCGGTAGCGGGGAGAGGGAAAGTGTTTGGAGGCTTTCTAACGATCGAAGAGGGCGAAATCCTCAGAACGCCCAAAGCGATTGAGGGTACACGCCTGGGAGTATTTAAGAAGCATGCGAAGAGTTTGAGCGACGCTGACCTCGCTCGCGTTCGCGCATTCAACCCACAAGAAGACGGATGGGGGGTGTGCCACATATCGGTCAAGGAAATATCCTCAGAATTCGAAGAATGGAAAAATACAGAGGAAGCATACATTCAGCGTCAGTCGAATATGTCATACAAAGAGCTGGACACCAACCAGGAACTTCCAAAGGACCAGAGGCCTAGAATTGCTTTACTTCTGGATGATACTCTAGCGGTCGTACCATGGAACTCTCACGAAGGGGACGTTCTCTGCCGATTCCCCAATACGGATGTTTGTGCAGTAGTATCCCCAACTAGAAAGGAGCAGACGTATTCGAGCAAGAATCGCTGCACAGAAGTCTGGGAGGAAGACTACTATGGGAGACGTTACATACTCAAACGCTCCGACAATTCAGGTGACATTCGGTACGCAGACTTGGGAAAGCTGTCCGGCAGAGGATGCATCTTCCCGCCGAAGGGCGGACCTAGGACACAGGTGGCTGCGGATTCGAGCAAGCACTTTGATTTTGATGCTCCATTGAGGGGTAACTTCATCGAATTCAGGATGGACATCTATGCATTGCAATTCCTAACCGTCTGACGGTTCTGTCTCCGTTAGCTGCCTATCCGTTTCCATGTTCTTTCCATAGCCCTTCAAGAAATCCGTCGGGTTTACGACGTGCAAATGCTGCTATCGCTCACTGTCCCAGTCGACCGTCAATGATTGGAAGACCCCACTTCCGAGCCATCCCCACCCCTCTCCTGCTGTAAATCCTGGAAACCCACGCTCAAAACCACGTTGCGTACCCACCACCGCGCAACCCACGCCCCCCAAACAACCTTCAGCTTCTCCGCCACCTCAGCTTCCTCCCTCATCTCGCGCTCCTCGCGCTCTGCCGCCTCTTCAGCCGCCCTCCCCGACAGCTTGTAGAAGCTCGTATTTGCTTTCTTGTAGAAAGCTGGTGACGCCCAAGCTCCGGGCAGATATCCACTTGAAGTTCTGTGGAAAGCGCGCTTGCGGCGGACTTTTCCCTCGGCGGAGGTGTTGGGCCCGTGTGGTTGGACGGTGGGTTTAGAAGAGATGGGCTTGGAGAGTAGATCGAAGGGCGAAGGGTGTGTGATGGAATGCTGGAAAGAGGATACGGTGACGAACTCGCGGAATCGGACGCGCTTGCGGCGTGGCGAAAGTGACGGTGAAGGTGAAGGGTCTGAAGAAGCGAAGTCGCGGAATCGGACGCGTTTGCGGCGTAGTGCGGATGAGGTTGAAGTTGAAGGGCTTGGGAAGGTGGATTTTCGCTTCAGGATTGAAGTTGGCGGTGTGGATGTAATCGAACCTGGAGGAGAGGGTCCTAGTGGCTGTGGAGTATTAGGCTCGGTCAGTTCCTCAGGCAGTGATTTTGAAGGAAGCTCCGGTGGGGGTGTTGGAAGAGAGAGACCTACTCGCAGAGTTCCCTCAGATTCTGGCCCTTCTGTCTGGCCCTTCTCATTATCCATCTCGCGGATGAGCTTCTCCACGTTCCGCCGCAATAGCTCAATCATCAGCCTGCACGTCTCCTTCTCCTCCTCAGTCATCTCGTGCTCATCGCCGTAATAGACGTGCCCCGGCACCTTCCAACCCCTCTCTTTCTGCCTCTCCCAGATCTCCAACGCCTCCTTGATCCTGTTTTCATCCTCGCCCTGTATCTTCCCCTCCTTGACCAGGTCCTCAAACAGCGTGACAGCATTTATCAGGCCTACCTTTGCAACGCGCCATTTCTGCGCAATATAAGCGTGCCATGGAGGCTTCTTTTCCAATTCAGCGGTAATCCGCATCATGAAGACGCCCCCTCGCACGGCATAATCTTCTTGGGCTTCCTTGATAGCCGCAGTGCAGCGCGTGACGATGCACGACGGGCACGTACTCTCCGTCGGCAACTTGTCCGAAAGACAGTCCGGGAACGGATGTGGACACGGATCGTAGAGTTTGGCGTTGGTGAATGACGTCGGCCGATCTGGCTTCTTGCTGGGAGCCATGGTACAGAAAGTGTTGAGAAAAGAGACCTGGGAAATGGGTGCGCAATGAGCGAAGGAGGTGTTTGTAGGGTGTCAGCGGGGCGGAGAGAAGATCAGTAAGGAAGTTTATCGCCGTTGAAAGAAGACTAAGTGAAAGTGTAGCCTACATGCTAGTTAGCGGAGGTACGCACGGGCCGTGAGCTCGGCTTTCACTCACCGCGCCGAGCAGAAATCTAAAGGACGTTGCGGAATGACGGAATGCGCTCGTTGTGGCCGGATCAAGTAAAAGAAAAGCGTAGGCAGAAGCCATTATTCAAAAATGTCATTTCGGTACGATGAGGTCAGGGGTCTGCAACAGTTGTCTTGGTTCAGAAGGACGCTATACTCAATTGGGCAAGGTGGGTGAAAGAGCGGTTGCGAGACCTGTCAACCAGGTTTCATTTATTGACTCTTAAACTTGCCCCAATATGCTCTGTGCGCATCTTGATGCGCAACAATGTTCCAGTGTGACCAGAGTGAGATTCAGAAAGCGAGCTGCTCCGCTCTCTCCTCCACTTTCTCCATCCCAGCCTGCATTTCTTGAATCCCTCCATACACCAGCACCCCCCTAACCCACCAGAGGGCCACCGAAGCCCGCGAAATCTCCTTCAACTTCACCTCCAGCAACCTCATCTCCTCGCCCTCAGCCCATTCCTTCTCTGCGTGGTCCCATCTAACCCTGAACCTACTTGTATTCACCTTCTCATACCCGTCTTCACTTTTCCAGGTTCCGGGCTGATACTCCTTGCCATTGCGCTTGAATTTTCGTTTTGTCCTCTTACGAGGATCCTCGCGCGTCGGGTGCAGCGAAGGGGTATGGTGAGTTGCTTCGGTGGAAAGTGGCGTGGATGGCGGCAAAGCGAAGTGAGTGTGGACGTAGTTGAGTTTTTCGGGAGAGTGAGAGATGGTGGGAGAGAAGCGGAGGCGCTTCGATCGTGGTGCTGAGACGGCGGAGCTCGAGGAATCGAAAGGCGAGAGAGAGGAGTCTTCTAGCATGGGGTTTCCGGGGCGCGATTTCCAGTCTTTAGCGGCCGCACTTATTTTGGAGTTGGATTTAAACTCGGCTCTCACGTCGGACGAGGCGGCGAATTGCGAAGTCTTGCGAATAATCGACTTTGGCGGTGTCGCAGCACCATACTGCTCAGCGCGGCGTTCCTCCACAACTGAAGAAGCCGCAAGCTTTTCAATATCGGACTTCCGAGGCACCACTAGCACACGAGCCAATCTGTTTCTCTCTTTCTCGAAAGCTGCCACCGCTTCCCTCAGCACGTCGCTGCCCTCCGCGACCCCTGCGTCCAACAAGTCCTTAAACTCCATCACCCTATTCATCAACGCTACTTTCCCGCTTACCCAGCGCTTTTTAAACTCCTTGTGTCGGAGCCCCAGCACGTGAGATTTTTCGTAAAGAGCTTTGGAGCTAAAGATGCCGCCTCGGATTCTGAACTCTAGCTGCACCTCCTCGACCTCGCTAATATCACGCTTGATGGTGCAGATGGGGCAGTATGTCGGTGGGCGGAGGAGAGGAAGGAGGCTCGAGGGGATGGTATGCGTGCAGTAGGGCGATTTTATGCGATACCTGTTGTTCTTGTTTTCGGGCATCGGAGTTGTTTGTTGCGTGGGCGAGTATACTCTGTGGGAATAAAGCTGCGCAAACGGCTTAGTAGTAAATAACTTGAAATGCAACTGAGGCAGTAAGGGAATTGTAGAGTGAAGCTTGTAGTCGATTGTGACGTAAGAAGGCAAACGGTAGTGAATGCAAATTTGGACCATTGCGGTCGAACCAAGCGAATGAGTGAGCTAAAAGTAGCCGGTCCGCTGGAAAGAATGTATGTAATTCGGAATCTTCGCTGGGGACATTCCACTGCTGAGGAGGGCCAGCTATGCTGGCTGTGTTTAATCAATGCACTGCAGACCACTGCAAAGAAAGAAAAAGGCCAAGAGCATTACAGCTTCACCGGGGGGTTCCTTCCCGGCATCCACCTCAATCCCTCTTCGTCTGCACAACCTCATTACCCGAACTTCCCGACGTAGTGTGCGTAAGCTTATACTCGACGCCCGCGATCGCACTCTCCACCGCAGCCTGCACATCAATATGGAAGAACGGCCTGTTCAACCCATGTACCGTACCTAGCTTCCCCGGCAAAACCCCGTCCTTCTGCGTACCCGTACCCGCTCTCCCAATCTCAATCTCATCTTGCGCCTCCGGATCTCCCTCGCTCTTCTGCGCACGGGTCGGCGCCGTCGTATCCAGCGCCGCAAAGCTATACACTGGGTTCCAGTGCTGTCTGTGCCTCGCACGAAACCTCTCCGCATCGACATATCCAAAACCCGCGGTGGTAAGAGAGCGCTTCGTCCAGCGGCTGTTGATGGATGCGAAGTGCCATTCTACGAGCTCTGGGGCTGCGTAGCGATCAAGTTGTGCGCGGACGTCAATGAGGCCTTGCACGGACGTTACATCGACGTGATTGACGGCGGAGAAGTCGAGGATGATCGCGCGGAGAATGGGGCGGTTGTCGTCGAAGTTGATTTGCTCACCGCGTCGCGGACCAGGGTCGTTCCACGGCCGGTCCTGAGGGGGAATATTAGCTAGTGTGCCAGGAGCTGGAGGAAGGAGAGCTTACTCCGAGTTTGGTATATCTGTCGAGCTTAGTTGGGCGGGCTATATGCTGCGCATGAGCGACAAGCTCATCCATGTAGCCCTGTTGGTTCAAATAGGTGAAGCCTTCGGTAAAGCGGTAAATCAGGATGCCGGGATATGGAGACTCGACCTCGATTTGTGGGTTACTCCCATCTTTGTGATTAACCGGCAGGTAGGCCTCACGGATACCCAAGCCGTGTCCCTCGCTCTCCTTGTGGCCAATAGTATCCGGAGTCGCGCGGTAGATCTGGACTCTGCCGAGTATAGTACCGTGGGTAAAGAGCTGACGCCAGAGCAGCAAGGCCGCTGACGCGGCGATTGCGACGTAGATTCCGTTCTCGATGTTGGTAAAGATGGTGACAAAGACGCCGGCGAAGAAAATGAGGACCTCGAGGGGCGACGTTTCCCAGAACTGGTACACGACATTGGGAGGCGTGATAAGGTCACCAACCGCGTGGATAATGATCGCTGCTAGGCTGCTCATCGGGATGTAGAAGAAGACGCTTGTGAGTGCATAAAGCGCCAGAAGGACAATGATTGCGGTGAAAATACCGGCTAGGGGGGTGCGCACGCCTGCCTTCGACTTGATAGCTGTGCGAGAGAAAGAACCCGTAGCTGGATAGGCCCCAAGGAATGGTCCAAGCACGTTTGTGAACCCCACTGCGACGAGCTCCTGAGATGGGTTGATGACATAGTTGTTGATGCGACCGAAGGACTTGGAAATGGCGATGTGTTCGAGAATCAGAACAATGATGGTGACCGGAAGATCTGGCGCAATCGCAGATAAGAGTTCCGGGGTAATGGTGGGAGCACCCGCGTGCTGGAAACCTTGAACAGAATTAGCACAATCTATGCAGTAGCGCGGCGATGCTTACCTCTCGGAACCTTCCCCAAAATCTTGAATTTAGCTTTCTTCGCGTCCTTGACATGGCGATTGGCAAGCCAACTGATCAAGATATAAAGCAAGATCACAAACGCCATGCGAAGAGTGCTGACGAAGAACCAGAACTTCTTCCTGTGGGCCTGCTTCGTGCTCATCCAGCTACAGAATATGCGGATTGCATAAAGCATGGTAAGTGCTGTCAAGCCCATAGCAGCATCAAGCTTCGTGTTCGGAAGACCCTTCAAGGTGTCGATGATGACCTGGTAGGTGGGCCCCCGATTGTTGACACCTTTGATACCCAATAGTGCTGGGACTTGACCAGCGCCGATTGAAATGGCGGCTCCAGTCATAAAGGAGGTGATAGCGACCAACGGGATAAACTCGACGATTCTTCCGAAGCGGATCAAGCCAATAAAGAGAAGCACAGATCCAGAAATGACTGAGAGGGCTCTTGCGATTGATTCGGCGCTTAGGTCAGGGTTGACCTCTTGAACGCGGATGACAATGTTCCCTACGATAGTAGACATGACGGCAACGGTCTGCAGATGTCAGTGTGGCTGGAAGACGAAGAGACGAATATTCTTACACCAATCGTGATATCCTTCGAAGTAGCAAAGGCCCAGTAGAGTAAAAACCCGACGAACGAAGTATAGAGTCCATATTCCGGAGGCAGCTGGGCCAACAGCGCATATGCCATGCCCTGTGGAATGACGACAAATCCGACAGTGACACCTGAGAGTGGTTAGCCCGAGTTTCCGCCATGCCCATCAAAGAGGTCTGCATCGTCCGCGCCAGCGGTAAGGCCTCGCCTGTCAGATACGGCAGACTGGTTGAAATCGCGATGGTCGTTTCTGCAAAGCAATAGCGACATCTTCTCGAAGTTACAAAGGCCGATCTGTCACAGGCCTCTTCCGGAGTAGTTGGAGATAAATACTCACCGGCGATTATATCGCCCAAGAGCCACGTCAAGTTGTAGTGGAATATCCAAGACCAGAACGGGAACAAGCTGCGGAGATATCGCGTCGCCCCGCTCTTCGTCGGCTTGAACTGGGAGACATATTCGATGGTAGTAGGCTCCTTCTCGACGTCTGTACGCGATAAATTAGTCCGGACTCTCCGCTCAAGCTTAAACAACTCACACGTCTCAACAGATGATATTGATGCCGCTCCAGAAGAAATCGGCTCTTCTTTGCGGTAGTCAAGTTTGATGCCGAGCACCTTGGCTAGAGATCTGCCCACCGGGTTGTTCGACATGATGGCGGAATGGGACGCTGCAGCTGATGCCGGCGACGTGGAGCGCTCTTGCTGTATATATAAGAGTTGGCGGAGAATTTGCCCACGACGGAGACCCTGGAACCCGGAAGCCCCAAAGACTAGGGTATGCGAGCGAGGAAAGCATGGCGTTCAGATCCGAACCACTGAGGCACACACTTGAATTGTGGGTGCAAGTAGCGACCACCAGATCAGGGCCTATCGCCATGCCATCGTGACTTGGCGTGGGTACAGCCCACAACTTTGGTCATTGTGTACAATGGATTGCGCGAGGAAATGACAAGTGCTTTTTCGTGCCTGTCTGTGAGCTAATATCTTCAGCTCTGGGTCAATCGATACGACTTTTTGCGTGGCCTGGAATCGGACGAGCGCCTCGCACATGGCGTGCTGGCGGGATACTAGCCAGCTTGTTCCCTCTGACTGGGGACCAAGAGCTTGTCCGGTCTGGGCAGCAGAATGGGCGGGGAGATGGCGCACGAGGCGTCACTTAACCGACAACTTAGAGGCGAAGATGCAATCGGTGGGACAGCGGTGTCCTCTTTGAATAGTTGATCCCACCGCATAAGCGCTCTGGCTATGTGAAGAAAAACCTCGCGACCCTGTGTTGAAATATGGAAAGAATCGAACAGCACCGCCATCTCACACTAATGATTTATAGAGAAGAAACTTATTAGCTTTCTCACATCGTGGTGCAGAAGGTGCATGGGTGGCCTCGGGTAGCTCTCGCGCAATCTTGCCATGGCATTGCGATATCGAGCTTGGCTGAGGACGACTCTGGGCATCGGCCTTGGCCACCAAAAACAACATCTTCCTTCGCCTTCCTCAGACCACGTCAATTCCCGTTCGGCTCGCGCCAGAACAGCAACGGATGCAATTCCTAGATGAATGAAAATGGGGAACAGGAAAGTAAGAGCACTTGTCGTAGAGACTCGGTGACTAGTACAAACAACCGGATGCTTGGCTTCGAGGTGCGATTAGCCGGAAAGCTTGTCTCCTAGCAGTGGAGCTTGCGTTAGCACGTGTGGACTATCTCAGCGCGAGAGCCCAAGACTGCCTCAAACATCAGAACCCAGCGGCCCAGAACTCCTCGATGAGCAACATCGCCGCTCGGAAATGACGGGCTTGTGAGACACCGCTGAACCATGTCGGCGGGATCTGGACGGGGGCCTAGGAGGCAGGTATCATGTAATAGCCCGACGCCAGGTCCCCGCCATCGCAGCTCTAGACCAAGTGCATCATTCTAGGCAGGGATTCCTCATGCTCAATTTCCATATCGAGTAGTGAAAGCTGCTCCTTGAACGAGGGAGTATTGGGTGATACCCAGGAGGAATAACATGCGAACCGCGTGTGCCTGCAGCAGGCGGAGCACCCGGTAATCGATGCGCTACATCCAGCATGCCGGTAAGTCCCAGAGCCCAGTTTGTCCCAGTGTCCGCAGGTCCAATCGTCGCGTCGGGCCCCGAACGAAAGAATCGATCGAGTTTGCACCCCACGCCGCGTGAGTGTGCCGTGGAAGTGCGCTTCTAAGGCGGGATTGAATGATATAACGCGAAGTCGGATGCGGAGCAGGTCGCTGCGCGGTCTCGGCGGATTTGCTATCGCCCTACAGCTCGATAGTACAGTGAAGAGCAAGAGGAGTGAGCTCGAGCGTACCATTCCGGGGACAGCCTTTGCCTAGTATTTCTGATGGCAACTGGGCATTTCTTCTCGGTGCACGGTTGGAAAGAGGGCTAGGACGACGACGCGGAAGATGTCAAAGCTGCGCGACTCAGGACTTGGATTGTCTTGGCATGCTATTGAGTCATGCGCAGATGTCTTGCGCGTCCGAAGCCTCAACATAGTCTATCAGGTTTCATCCCCTTCGAGAAGTTGCCGTCACCCTCTGCGCATGGACTCGCGATCACACGTATTGATTTCTATGCTTCTGCCTAAATAGACCCTTTTAGGCCATCTATAGGTCAGCAACTCAGCATTACCTAGGTATCAGAGGGCATTTAATGACCACACACCGTCAGCGATTGCTGCATAAACTAATAATAGTTGAGAGGAGATGGAGGAATGAATTGGAGACTTCGCTGAGACCCGCGGCACCCTTGGAGTACCCGAATGTTCAGCGCGAACCTAGTCTACGATCGTGCTCTCATCGACGCGCCACAGCTTCATCACCGCACCGAAAGCCTCCTCAACATCAATCTTTTCCATCTCTTTCTGCATTATTTCCCCGCTCTTGACAATTTCCTTTGCAATATCTTCCCATTCAAGTTCAGTCTTCACTACAACTTCTTTGGCCGTCCCGTCGACGCTCACGGGCAGCAGCTTCCCATTGTTCCGTCTCACCACGCCGTCAACAATGACCGTCTCGATATCCGCAGGACTCGAATGCAAGATTACCGCTGCAACAGGATGATGCTGCGCGGCGCCGATCATCCCGGGACTCAGCGCATCGAAGACGACGAGGTCGGCCCGGTAGGCCTCGGCGATTCGTCCAATCTCCTTTTCCATTCTACAGGCTTTTGCGCCCTGAACGGTAGCAAGGTTGAAGGCTGCTTCAACGCTCAGGCTCTCGGGAAGCCGGCGTGGCGTTTTCCCTTGCTTCATCCAGTGCTCGTTGTAGTGGCTCCGCGCGTCTTGAAGCCCGATCCGCGCTTCGCTGATGATGGAGCCGGCGTTGTTCGAATGGCAGTCGACGCCCAGACTCGCGCACTGTTGGACGCCAACTCGGTTCAAGTCGGACCCGTCGCCCGGGAACGCGGCGTCGAAGCATAGCGGCCTCCCCATAGCCATCTGGAGTTCGGTGCTCGGCGTCGAAGACACATGGGCACCCGCTGCCTTAATGAGCTGCGCTTCTTCCTTGGAGACGTGCCCGCCGTGCGAGATCAGAATGCGTTCGTCTAGCACGCCGAAAGCATTCGTGATCTGCGTCACATTGAACAAGGTCGGACCATGCACCGTAATCGTCTTGACGCAGTCCTTCTCTCGGACTTCGTCAAACATTCCATTCACAATCTCTTTCCCGAGGAACCACAGATCGAACGCAAAGCCCAAGCTCACCCTTCCATTTTTAAACGGAGCCTGATCGGCTAGCTCGGCGAACGTCTCCATTACCCAGTCTGCGAGAATATCCTGGTGGAAGGTCATGGGATTGAACTGCTTGACGCGCGCCATGGGCGTGTAGCAATACACACCGCGGATGCCTGAGGACACCATCCCGGCGATGGCGAGCTTGACGTGGTCGGGCGAGCGGGTGATGTGCGCGTGTTCGACTACCGTAGTTGTTCCTGCGGCGAGCGCTTCGAGCATGGCGGCAAGTTGGCCGTAGAAGACGTCTTTCGGGGTGTATTGGAGGGATTGGAAGTTACCTGGTAACTGTAAGTCTAAGGGCGTTCTGGTTTCTGTGAGAAACCTCGCGATACTGACCGGTAACCATATAGTCCAGGAGTTGCTGGTCCGCATGGCGGCCTTTGAGCTGTGTCTGCCAGCCGTGGTGGTGTGTGTCGATGAAACCCGGGCTAATGATCTTATCCGTACAGTCGACGACTTCGGCATCTCCAGGCGCCTCAATGCCTTCACCGAGCTTCGCAATTATACCATCTTGGATCAGGATGTCTGTTTTGGTTGGGACGACGTGGTTGTTCGCATCATGGATCAAAGCCACGCCATTCTTGAGCAGCATTTTGTGCGAAGCCATGGCGACAATCTTCTAGCCGAAACCTGTTTTCTGGAGCTCGCACTGGAGATCTGACCTAGGATTGCAGCTACCGACCAGCTACTCTTATATCCTTCAACGCTGCACGCCGCACTCCCGCGCCTCTACCTTCCCCTCATCGGCTCCCTAGCGCCGACCTCTCAAGCCGCCTTCTTTTTCTCGCACGATCTTGAGATCCTTCGCTATTAATAAGACGCGAGCGCCGCACTATCCTCCGGCGCCGATGTACCTAGGTACGATAAGTCACATAACACGTACGAAAAGTGACAGGTCTTGGAACCCCTCAATGCAAGCTCGCTCTTTCGGGAGGCCGGACCGGCGATCGTTGACCCCGCTACACCCGCCTCGCACCAATAACATCGTATTCGGCCTAGCGAAAATGCAAGAGGGCCGAATCGAGCTATCAGAGCTGGCACAGCTTGCATTCGCAGCGGTATAGACTTAAAGCAGCGGGCGGTGAAGCAGAGTTTGCAGCATTGGAGGCATCGAGGCATTCGCTGATGGCACAAGATATGCATTGCGATGCGGATCTCGAGACGTCAGACCCGATACTATAATCTCAGATGCCATCAGTAACAAGGTGGGTCCGGGAAGTTCGTGGCTGTGCAACCCGCTTCAGGCTTCGTCAGCGCGTGTGGCGTCAACGAGCCGCCAGCCCATGCAAATCTCGCAAACCCATTACTTCCTAATAATCCGCTCCATCACTATCCGGCGATGCGAGCAACAAATCTATGCTCCACTACTACATATTCTCATAAGCTCTTATGCGCGGAAACTCTGCATCCCAACTCGCCAGCTCATCCGGCTGAGCAACTCCTGCCTACGAGGGTAGTATTAATTCAGACACCCCGCCTCCAACTCGCAGCAAGCAAAGCAACCCTCGCCGTCGCAACAAGCTTCCCACTTCGCATACCGAGGGAAGGAGTGATCGGCAGGAGCGCGCTCGCGCAGCGTGGCTGTGAAGCGGAAGCGGCCGGGGCTGCCTGAACCCGTCAGCAAACGCAGGGTCGGTGGTCATCCAAGACATCCACTACTCAAGATTCCCGTTGTGAAAACGATGCTCAAAGCGTTGCGCGTGGGCTTGAAATTTCGATGGCGCTTGTGATTGCGCATATGGTGTGGCTGTGAGGTCGGTGCTGACACGAGCGGTGTTCACGATCACGATCACGAGATGCCGAAAGGGTGGCGAGGGCTGAATATGGAAATAGAAGGGGGAGTATTGGGTGTGCGTGCGTGTGTATTGATGACTCTGGTTCGTCAGCGGAGATGCTACTCCCCACCGCAACGTTTCCCTTCTCCCGAATACCTTCCCATCCGGGGCTCTCCGAGGCGAAGAAGCCGGGAGTAAAACTTCACAAACGGCCATTGCACTGCGAGAAAGAAGACTAAGGAGCGTAAAAAGTTGGATGATTATGGATAATTCCCAACGCTATCAAACACACTCAACTCTCCAGTCTATGCACACTTCCAACCCGTGTACAGTGCATCGGGACCTAAAAAGGCCAAAACCCAAAAAACGCCGCGGCTATGCAAAGGTAAAAGGAATGGACGCTATGATATGCTTCGTGAAGTGTCAAGGATAGTAAAGTCGTCGCCGATAGCCCGAAATTATGATACCTGTGCCCGCCCCGCCCCGGTGCTAGGTCCCGAGATGGCGTCGTATATCGCCATATGCTGTGGATCAAACCCAAACGCCCTTTTGCTATGCCGGATTGTCTATTTCACTCGTGCGCAGATGGTTGACTATTTACCAGGGGTGGTAGCCGTATCCCGTGGGCTTGGGTCCAGTGCGCGAGGAGCTGTACGGAACGCTGGAGCTGCCGTGCGTGGGGTAGGGAACATAGCCAGTGCCAGACGGGATGCTAGGCTTGGAGCTACCGCCGGTGGGAACCGGGGGCTTGGGGCCGCTGGGCGTCGAGTGCGGCGGGTGCGGTGGGTAGACGGGACCGGTAGGAGTCTGGGTCGGGGTGACGGTCACCGTGAAGCAGGTCGTGGTTCCGTGCTCAGTGATGGTGTAAGTCTTGGTCTCGCAGGCGTGGCACGGCTCTGGGTAGACGGTGACGGTCTTGGTTACGGTTGAGGGCGCGGGGCAGGACTCAGGGACGGTGACGGGAGTGACGACTGGGGGTTGCGGGGTCGGCGTTGGGTAGACGACGACGGTGGTGGTGTAGGTAGTCGGGTAGTAAGAGGGGGTCAGGTAGGTGGAGTAGATGACGGAGGGTCCGTTGTGGCCTACGGGCGTCGAGCAGGGGACCCAGGTGTAGGTGGTTGTTGTGAGGGTCTCAGTCTTGGTGATCGGGCCGGATGGGCCGGTAGGAATGATGGGAGTTGGTGTCGGCTTGTGGTGGCAGCCCGCTTTGCAGGAGGTAATTGTGATGGTGCTGGTCGTCAGGGTGGTGATGACTTGCGTTCCGCGAGTCTTGGTGACGGGGCAGACTGTCTCCGTTGTGTAGGTAGTGATTACTTCCGTTTCTGTGGTTGGCGGCGGAGAGACGCCAGTCGAGTAAGGCGGCTTGGTCGAAGGGGTGTAGCCGGTTGGGTGGGGAGAATGCGGCGGCTTGCTCTCACTGGTCGAGTAGGGCGGGTGAGGGTAGTCGGAGCTCTTCGATGGAGTAGGCACCGAGGAGCTGCCGCCAGTGGGATGAGGATAGCCGCCACTTGTCGATGAAGACGGGATCAAAGTCGAGGAGGGGGTCTCGACTGAAGTTGACGAGGAGCCGCCCGTTGGGTATGGGTTGTATCCATAGTGGTTATTCCGGGGCCACTCCAAGGGGTTGGCAGCAGCGGCGCCGATGAGGACAGCAGCGACGATGGAGACCGATCGCATCTTGACTTGCTGTTGACTTGTGGCGATGTTAACGATGTGTGTTCGGATTAGATTTATTAGGCCTCTCGAAGATGGGACTCAAGCGATGGATGATGAGTTGATCTCTGAGCGAGTGTCTGTAGGAAAGAGAAAAGGAAATAGCGAATGAAGTTAGGAAATTGTATTGGATGCTGTGTTGTTTGATGATGATAGAAGTACGAGGACGCGCGGTGTGAGGCTCCTTTATACCTGATGACCAGTCTCGTTATCCACGAGATTCCATCATGGCTGATGGAGCTAGCGGCACATCTTTGTCACTGCGCTGCCCAGAGTCACATTCTCTCGCCATGTTGCTGTTCGAGGCAACATTCTGGAGAATACGGTGAGTCGATAGCGCGGACAGGGCAGCTGAGGGACTCGCTAAAGCACAGCCCTACGGGTGTGGCGGACCAGGGTGCTATGTATGGACGATTGCTTTGTCCGCACGGAGTCATTGGAAAGCGAGGACCGCTGGGCTGTGGCTGGTGGGCAGCAGTGCGGGCGCGAGACCTGAGTGGATGGAGTGGAGTGATGGCGATGACGGCGTGGAGTCGCATGCTTTGTTCGGCTGGAACGCTCCGAGCTATGTTTAGAAGCCGAAGGTGGCTAGGGCTTTTTGGGGCTTAGCGCTTTCCTGTTCGAGAGATTCCCGAGCTAGCCCTCACACCTCGCCCGTCAGGTTACATACCGCGCTCCACCTCCAGCTGGCCACCGCGAACAAACCGCATTTTCATCGATTTTTGAGGCTCTTGCGCTCGCATTTGTCGTCACTCTGCTCGAGCTCAAGCCACTGCTCTATTCTTGCGGCTCAACACAAATCGTACCTAACAATCGGCTAGGCGGTGCGCCGAACCCTGCCTCCACCGACTCTTCGGTTCCTTCCGCTCCCAAGCCTATCCTCAATGCGGCTGATGATGAACGAAAGCGATAGTCTTTGACTTGATTTCTATTCTCCTCCTTTCTGTCTCGATACCAGCGTTCGCAGGTCGGCCACGGCCGATGCCTGGGTGGATTTCCAATAGATGCCGCGCTGCTGACTGCAGCTCACGAGATCGCGCCTACACCGATTGAGGACATCTACCCGGAGAGCGATTCCCATCACGTTCGTATTTGAGATCCATGGAACGATCTGGCATGACAGAACCGTTACGCCCGCGCGTGGCAAAGCCTTCCATCCACCTGGTTATCTGCCATCACTAAACAAAGAGCCTCATCGTCGGCCCTTTTCCTCCTTGAGAAAATCTTGCGGTTCGGGACGCCTACGCCATTCATCGACTTTGGTCCTCCGCTACCGATATCCCTCACTGAAGGCCGGTGGACCCGACTCCTCCGAAATACGAAGACAAAAATATTGAAAATGTTAGTATGACTGGAGGACTCCGCTCCAGCACCAATTTGTCCATTGCGATAGGAAGATTGTTGCATCACGCCGTATTCTGCTCGCTAGCAGCGCTTCACTGGGTCGGTGCGGGATGTCGGCAAAGCGAGAATGCGAGCACCGTGTTCAACTGTAAGCCAGTATACAGCGAGCCAATGCCATTGGCGTACTCTGCCCTCTGCTCCGGCCCGCCTGCAGTGGCCCTTCTAGCGAGAGGATGGAGGACCAGCCTCTGAAATGTCTCACCCCAGGAAAGTGGTATGTAAACAGCACATGCGTGCATACCAGTAACCCCTGTGTTGTCTTTGATCCACCTGAAATGGAAAAGTCTTATCTTAGACAAGCTTCTAACAAGTGCTCACTTCAGCTACAGGACATCAGCGAACCTAAACTCGGTGCCATATAACCCTTGTCTTCAGGGACCCGTCTTTGTTCTGGTGTTCTGGATTACACATCCAAATATCAGTTTATCAATCGGTACAGATTCACAAACCAGTGGGGAGTATGCATCTGCCGCAGAAAGTCAGTCGGTATTGCTCAAGGTTGACACGTTGGCAAACCCGCCCTTCGCCCACCACCTTGCCAGCACATGCAGGAAAACGACGCAGCTGATGACCAAGAAGACGAGTCAGTAGTGGGGTTGGGGAGCTGTTTCTCCTGGTGGTTGCGGAGGGTCTTTCCCAAGATACTCCCACATCCACACCATCACTGCCGACCAACCAAGCGAGGGTTAGAGCGAAGTCCTCTCTTCAGCAAGCCTCGCCATACGAGCCAGCCCCATGTCTCACTCGATTTTTCAAGTTTTACGTTATTGGACCGACCCGCCTCATACGAAAATTCACCCGTGGCTACCATAAATAGGATATGGAGCTAGCCGCATTGGGTTATCACATTACGGGCACAACACCATGAACACTGTTCGGCCGAAGGAGCTCAGGGTCTAGTATTGATGCCGTTCACTAAGACTAACTGAACCTATTCCGAAGCGCCAGCGCCGTCGCTCTTTTTTGGGTCCCAAAAAGGTTGCGCCAGTTACAGTGGACATTATCCACCCAGACACGTCATTGCATGTGAGAAGAGCTGAGGAGCCATAGCTTTCTTCGGTGCACTCATAATATTAACCAGCACCATACCGCGCCTGACGCACCGCGCCACAACATTTTTCCCCACCATGAGCCGTCACAGGCCACACGTCACGATTTTAAACCTACCAACACTTAATTATAAATTATCAATGTCCCTTCCTGTGTGGCAAGATACTCTCTATACTAAGATGTATCCGAAGTGCTTTAACTTTAAGTAGCTTCAAGTAATTTAGTTGCGACGACTGTTGGAACCGTGGCTGTGCAGCGCCATGGCCAGCAGCGCCGAGGCTCTGAACTTTCAACCCAACATGGCTGCCTACCAGACAAGCTCTTGAGCTGTCGCCGCGCACACTTTGCAACAACACTACCCGATACCGTGGTCACCAGCATCTTCCCTCTTGGATTCGGGTGTCCGATCGCTCCAGCCTCCGACGGTTTGTGGCTCTGCAGCCTATTCAGCCTGGTACCGGCCTGGAAGGAAGAAGGCACGCATTCGCAAAAGGTACTGTCTCAAGCACGCTGGTCTTGCAACGATATTCATGAGATCATTCCTGAGACAGTAAGAGGAACTTAAAAGGAGCGTCTTGTTGTGAAAGCCTTCCAACCCACACCACTACACAGCGAGCAACGACCGCGCGCTCCTCCTCGGAAACGCAATCAACGACCTCGCCGCGGATTACGAAGGCTGTTAGACACTCAACATGAATGACTCGACCGACGGAGCGGAGGTGCAGAACTCCATCGACCAGACCGAGTTGACTCTCACGCTTCAGCGACATGCCGCCGAGACCTTCACTCATAAGCCATTGGATCATACCAAGCAGACTATAAGACTCATCAGGATTCTCCCAGATCGGTCCTCAAGCGGGTTTATTCAATGCGACATCTATCATGCCACCATCGAAGCGGAGTATGTATGTTTGTCGTACATGTGGGGACCCCCGGAGCCATCCCAGACGATTCTCATGAACGGCAAATACCACCAGATTGGACCAAACCTCTTCGATTTCCTCAATGTGGCGCGGGAGAAATATCGCTCGGAGCGGCTTTGGATCGACGCACTGTGCATTGACCAGGCGAATACCGCGGAGAGAAACCACCAGGTGCAGCAGATGGGGCAGATATATTCCGAAGCTCAGAAAGTGATCATCTGGCTCGGGAAAGAGGATGGACTGGATCCAATTTCGCGATCCAAGTATGCCGGAAGACCCACTTGGGATATGGTATTCAAGTTTTCCATTCCCAGGTATTGGGAATCCGTGTTCTGCAATGCGTACTGGACTCGTGCATGGGTGGCTCAAGAAATCCTGCTTGCTCGTCGTAGGATCATACTCTTGAATACGACGCAAATACCCTGGGAGAAGCTTGTGCATTTCGCGGGTCGGAACCTGAGAGGGCGCAGGAATGAATATGAGCAATTGTTCGGCGCAATCAGACATGTGGCAGCGGGAAAAAAATCTCTGTCATTGATAGAGCTCCTATTCAGATTCCGCCAGCAGGAATGCAAAGTCCCCAGGGACCGCGTGTTTTCCCTACTTTCCCTCTGCAGCGAGGGGAAGCAGCTCCGAGCGGTTTACGATCTTCCTGAGAGAGACCTACTATTTCAAATCCTCGATTGCTACAAAAAGTATCTCTGCTTGTGTTCTGCAGTCTTGGTAGCACACAAGATCGGACTGAAAAGTGACCTAGTTCTGGAGAGTGGGGTAGAGTATTTTCTCGAGATGGACATCGAGGCCAAACGGTACGGCAAATGTTACCGCCAAGTGTGTGATGGGTGGAGCGATGCAGCGGGCATTGAGAATTGTAGATCCGGGACGTGTGCATGCCACGTCCTTGGTCCCGGCATCCGTTGTAAGGACGCCAGAGACGGCGCGCAGAGGTCCCGACCGTACAAGCCGGATATCGAATACGGGATGGAACCCGCACAGTCTGGGGGTACATGCTCAGTGAGGATATCATTCCGGGCATTAGCAAACATGTTACCTCCAGACGACTTATGCAGACGTGGATATACATGGGAGCCACCTAGCCGGCTGGTGTGCGACCAAGTCATCCTGTAACCCCCTGGGTGATGGGGCAGTTCTCCGCTTCGAGCAAAGACTCCCATATCACTACCACGAGCGATTATTACCGAAGAACATTGCGCAGTCTTAGCAAATTTTAAACATGCTACCTCCCCAATGCATCCAATTCTCGCCATTTCTCGCCCAACTAAATACGCGAAAGGAAAGCGCCATCACAGGCTCAGTGCAAAATTAAAACTAATATCCCTCACTACGTAGCGAGAACCATACCGTCACGAGAGAAAAGAGGGGTACTTAGAGTTTAGGGTATTAGAAATGCTTTCCACACTTAGTTATCTATGTTGTTTTGCTCAGGTTGTATAATAAAGATCTTACTCAATCTCCTAACTACCGCCACTGAAAAATTACCAATCTTATCGTCGGTCTTCTAGCCTAAAAGGTGGGGACTTAGTTCATAGCGTAGTAGGACTCCTCCACCACCAGCTCTAACATAAGCCCTCATCACTCTCGATAGTCGTAATATAGTAGTATTCGAGCCTTGAAGCCTCACCATCACGCTAACGGGTCATCTTTAGGTCCTCCCGAGGGTCAGTGCACGCCTCACATATTCACTTACAGGGTAATTTAGGTTACATAAACATTTAGGCTAAGTCTGTGGCTAGTAGCTCGTGGCAACACGTGGACAAAGGCACATGCTACCATATCCCCCGCGTGCATCATCAGAAGTCATCCAGTACCGCACTCAATCCCGTTCCCCACCATCGGACAAGACAAGGCAGCACGTAATTTTTAGCCCTTTGAATCATCATATAAGCCGCTGATGATGCAGTAGCGCTAGGCTTCCTTAATCCGCCACTGTTTGATCTACACCTTGAGCTTCGGGGCATACAGGGTGTACAGTTGCCTTTTCCTGCTGCCGCATTTCACGCCCGCCCCATGGGAACATGTCTGAGAAATTGCGTACTGAATTGAACTGAGTGCTCTCAAATATCCTATTCAAATGTTAGCTCGCATATGTGCTGCAGAGGGGGCGTTATACATTGGGCTTCCTTTAGCAACTTTGTAGCAGCGCAGAGTCTGAAATGTAGAATTTGCGTGCTTGTTGACGTCGAGGAACATGAATAGTTTCTTTGTTGTTTCGTCTATGCCTGCTGGTGTATAGACGTAGTCCCTCTCCCAGTCGAATTTCCTTTGGAAGTTTACCTCCATGAAGGCATCAGCGACAGTTATTGAACGGGCGCCTGGTTCGCCCGGGATATCCTGAGGTTTGAAGCGGAAGCAAAGTCGAATAGCCTCCGCTTTGGGTAGTGTTTCTTGGGTATGAGGATCCATGTAAAGAGGGCGGAGTTTGGGGTTTGTCACCTGCTGAGCACAAGTCTTCGCTTATTGATTAGTCAGCCGGCCGAGGTCAACTGCTCGACCTTCCTCCTTCCAACACTTGCACTCCAAAATGTGCGACGACCAGCCTTACAGGTTTGAGGGATGTGGCTGCGATCGAGCGGTGGATATCACTTGGTGCGATGCTGCTAGACGTCGTGGTCAATGCTGCCCCTCAGGTCAGCGGGGAAGAGCACAACAACCAGGCGAGACGATGCCAGGGAGATGCCAGGTCTGTACAGAGGGATCACCCGCATCGTCGAATTAGCGATGGTTCTATCCAGAGGCAGTGTGTATTCGCTTCCTACAAGCTACAAGGGTGTTGCTGATTATGTTTAGGTTCCTCCACTGCTACATCCACGCCTCGGGAGCTCTCTATGGTTCTAGCATAACTTCATCCTCCTTAACCTGCGCTTCTCTAACTCGCGCCACGTTTGGCCTTTTGCTCCAGCGCATAAAGGCATAAAGAACGGAGCGCACAGTGACCGCAGGCACCGCGACGGGTATGGCCACTACAAGACATAATAAGGCGCAGTGAAGGAGGGTAACGTCCATCCCTGTGTCGCGAGCCACCCTATGACGCGAGCCGCATTTCTAAATCTAACCCCTTAGAAGTTTCCCTCGCAAGCCAATAAAGATATAGTCTGTACCTTACCAAATTTTAACCTTTTCTCTACTAGGATACTAGTGCGCAAAGAGAATTTCGGAGTTTTGGTCACACTATCGATCTTTTTATTCACGTCGTCATTCGCTCCTTCGCTTAACCACCCCTGCTAAATCGCGATCAGAGGGGTGCCCCCTATAACCGGAATGCTACAGAGAAGGCACTGTTATAGAAGAATATAGTTTCAAGCCTAGGAAAGCCATTTTACCCTAGCAATGTAGATTCCGAGAGTTTCTCCGGGCAGATCAAAGGGCGGTTTCGAAGCCTTGTGACGCAACGTAATCCTTGGCACAGTTTAGCGCGAGGCCTTTATTGGTATTGAATTGTATTATATCTTAAGAGACCATGCTCCGAGGTTAGCTGTGGCGCATGGCGTTAGAATCGGCAAACGGCAAAATACCGCCTGTCGCAGGCTGCGAAACTGCATTAGTAATCACGCTACGGAATCTAGATAAAACTGCTAGGGCCGGAGACCGAGACAGAACACACACACAATGCAACTCTACTACTCATCATAAATTATTCCTAGCATCCCATATTAGTACATCTCAGTGCGACATTATACGACTTCTCAACGTCTAAGTTTTTAAATGTATGGTTCATCACTTAATACTATAATCATTACCACGTCAGAAACTCAATAGATGGCTGAAGCTACACTCTCATGCAGTTAAAAGATAAGCTCCCATTTTCATGCGACATCATGGATGCCACTAACGCTGGATTTGTACAGAAAGTCAATCCCGTAGTCTGAAGACCGTAAGCGATCTCGTGAGATATCAGACCCATGTGCCAGGCACCTGGCTATGAACTAATTCAATGGGAACGGGGAACCTAAAACTAACCATATCAACGTCTCCTCACCTTTCCATCTCGATCCCAGATACAGGACTCTTTCAAGTACCGTGTCCGGCAGACACATTCTGGTTTCGCATCATCAGCCAGATATGGCCTCTGCAGCGTGTGCTGCACGACGACATCCATCAGCTCCCTAGCAAAGCGCCGTCGTTCCGCGTTCTTATTCCAGCCTTCGATGTCTAGCATGATGTTGACCCCACCTAAGCGAGCGATGTGTTGCAAGAAATTCCGCGCGACGAATTTGGGACTATTGCCATTTTGGATGGCTTCGGTCGGTGAGAAATTCTTTGCCCGTGGTGGCTTGCAGAGGTTGTCCGTGAAGAAGACCTTGCGAGCAGAACCTCGAGGATCACTAGGATCCCAAGGGGTGGCTTCCCAGAATGTGTCGTCGAGGATGAGTTTGAAGTCAACAAGGCCTCGGGAGCAGTGGACGAGGAAGTTGACTCTACTGATGCGTTAGCAGGGAAGAGTTGCAAACGAAATTAAGGAGTTGCTTGCAGTTTTCGGAACGAATGAGGCCAGGTGAGTGGCACGAGTGGGATAGGACATGTCAGGTTGTAGCATCCCTTGAATGAGGCGGCGACGTTGCATGAATATCGAATCTCAACCCGCTGCACCGTATCAAAGTGTCGAGCGTGGTCATGGAGAAAAGACAGCGCTGAGTCCATACAGCCTGAAGAGATATGTCAGCCTTGAAGGGTGTTTTCCTCGGGATAGCATACCCAGAAACTGGAAGGTGTTCTCGCCATAGAACACCGTTGCAGACTCATCTGCAATCTGCTTGTTGACCCTCATAATCGCCAAATCAATTTCTTGCTTCTTTCCCATAGCACGAACTTGATACGTAGTGCGTCTCTGGTCTTTTCCAACTCTCACGTCGTAATCTGTCCGTCTCCTGATGCTCTTAACATCAGTTCCAGCAGCCCAATCACAGACGATAATATTCTCTTTAACAAGCAGATGCCGATACACTTGATATCGAATCTTCTTCGGGAGGTCGAGAAAGAGGAACGCTAGGTCCGTATCTATTATCTTCTCTTTCTCGACAATGGCTTGCCGACCTGACGGTATCCGTACTGCGACAGCGACTTGCCTTAGCTGCTTGCGTAACTCCCTGGGATACCCGCGCATCCGGATACTGACTTCAGTGACCGCATGGGACCACTCCTCTACCCAGCCTATATCCCTGTACATCTCTGAATCAACTGCTGCATAGGGGATGCCATAGAAATCAAGCGCCGGACGACTGATGAGATCTTCCCGTAGGTCCTGAGGCAAGCCCCCTAGTCTTATCAGCATTAACGTCTTGACTCCTTCGTAGAATTCTGTGATCTTTCCTAACGAGGCTGTCGTTATGTCTTCTTCGGTGAGGATAGCGGGCGTCGCTTCCAGCGAGTGGATGATCCAGCCTCCTGATAGAGCCATGCCGGTACGCTGCATTTATCGGAGGACAACCCGCTTTGGAGTAATATGACTCATCGTGGCCAGCTGCGATGGTTTAGGAGAAATCGCGATGGCAGCGGGTAAGGTTGATTGGTTATAGAGGGGACATTGGAGATGCATATGATGGGAGGAGTAGCGTGGACGAAGTCGAAGCGGAGCGGGAGATGGGGGAGACAGCGAAACGCGCTGGGGGTAGACAATCTGCAACTATAATTTAGGACGTGATACAATAAAGGTCAATTTCGTTACAGGATGCACAGTAGAACTTACAGAACACAGCACAGGAAGGTACTTCGGCACTCTCGTGGGGCCGATACGGAACAGCTTGATGCGGAGGAGCGGAATGAGGACGGCGGGCGGCTCGAGAAGGGTGCAGCCAAGTGTGCGGAGAGCGACGAGATAGTCTATAGCGTGCTGCAGGCAGCCCGACGCACGTGTGAAGGAGTTGCAAGCTAAAACTTGGATAGGTTCGGAGATGCTTTTTGATGAGGGGACGGAAGGATCGGTGTTCTCTAGCAGCCGCGGCTGCACGGCCACAAACCTCAGCCACTGGCCTGCTTACGGAGAATAGATTACACCTTAGCGGCTAAGCTTATAGATTCACGCTAGCTTGAAACGTCATCCCTTGATTGGCAATGAATCACCCCCGTATGACAGCCACAATCCCAAGGATGACTTATCAACGTAATGGGAAGTGTTTGTACCTCAGATGCTGTCGTATTATAGCAATCAATAGTGACGAGAGCTCGATAGCGGTGTCGTAGCGGGGCTGCTCTGTAATGCTACTAGATACTAGATAGGGCCTCTCCGTAAAACAGCGACGACGAGGCAACGCCAATGTAATTTTAAGGCACGAGACGTTCTAGCAGTGCTGGAAAGACTAAACTATAGCACTTGCATAAAATTAAGTAAGTGCGGATGCATACTGTGGCTCACCACCCGATGCACGGCCCCACCGCATGCACGGCCCCATCGCATGCACGATTTCGGATGCCTACACCCGAGAACTTTTGAGGCTCTACAACCACATATATACTGTAAAATCACGAGATTTTCTAGTGTAGCAATTAGAGAAGCTGCCTAAAGGCGCCTATGAGGGTTTTTATGTATGGAAGCGTTTTGGGAGCTCTATTTTGCGGGTGCGGCATAATCTAGCTGGTGTAGAGGCTACATCTACGATTAATAAGAAATCTACATTAACATCCTTCTTATTAACAGAGAACTTAGGAGAAGGTGTAGAAGCTCTCTGTTTATCTCTTTTAGAGGTCTTAACGTTGTTTTTAAGTTGTTTATTTGCCTTATGTGTAATCCGCGCTTCCTCTTTTTTAGTAGCCTTTTTCCGCTACTCCTATAGGTAGATTTCCTTTGCCTGTACCCTTATTTACTTCCTCTTCTCTAATTAACGTGCCTTCTTAGCCTTCTTAGCTTCCTTAAGCTTAGTTGCCTTATCCTTTTAGTGTTATAAAAGCTTCTTATTAGCCTTCTTCTAGTTCTACTAGTTACGTGCCTTCTATACTTTATTTAGTAACTAGAATACTATACTACTATAATATTCTTAAGGTATTTTAAGTAGTAGAGGCTTAATACGCTACTAGCGCTTCTTCTTATTAATTAGAGCTTCTTTAAGTTACTTATTTTTATATTATAGAAGAGTCTTCTATACTAAGATTACGTAGATTATATAACTAAGCTTCTAGAAGTGTTTATTATAGATATTCTCTACTACCTACCTAAGTAGTTACTTAATTTTTCTCTAGTTAGAAGCGCTAAGTACTAACGTAGCTAAGTTGCTAGAAAATAGCTAATTAGCTTCTTATATATTAAATTACTTTAATATTATAGTAGAGTTAAAAGGCTCTAGTCTAGTTAACTTAAAGACTTTAAGAATAGTTTTAGCCTTAAATAAGACCTTCTAGGTAGTATTAAATATATAGAAGAAATCTCTTTTAGTTATAGTATAGATTTTCTATAATCTCTCTATAAAGGCTAATAGTTTAGCTAAGTAAGTAGCTAAGAGTAGTTTAAATATATAAATATCTAGAGGCTATAGTATATAGATAGTATATAGTAGAAATATAGCTAGAAGAATTCTATTATTATTATAGAACTTAATAAACTCTATAGTAACGTATAATCTATAGCTATTAAGAATTAGAAATTAATTTAATTATTTTACTTTTACTTATATTTCTCTATTAAATACCTACTATAGCTATACTAGCTCTATAGAGTTATTTATCTATCTACTTAGTAATAAGCTAAAAAATACCTTATATAGTATAGAATTAAAATTTTATAACTAGGTATTCTAGATATTTCTAGAAAGAGCTTAATATATAAGTATAAATATAAAAGTAGTTCTATCTACGTATATATATATAATAGTTATAATCTACTCTTAATTACTATTCTAGAGTATTTACTTAATTTTCTTATTCTTATAGCGCCTTTTAGAAAATACTCTCTTTATTCTACTTAATACTCTAATTAGAAAGTCTTTTTTATCTATATTATATATATAGTAGAGTAGAATTTTATACTAATTAATTTTTTATTATAAAAGCTTAAAATATAGTAAGTACTTAAAGGTAGAGTTAGCTCTTTTACGTAAGAAATCTAGGCCTAATGTCTAGCGTAATATAAGGTTAATATTATATTAATTTATAAAGTAATCTACCTAGTTTTTACCTACAGGTTTCTTAGCTATTTCTAATACGAAATTTTAGATCATTTACCTTAAAGAAGGTAGTTCTTTAATACAAAGCTTATTAATATACTGTATAAGCTGTTTTTCTTGTGTAGTGTTGAGATTCTAGCTGTTATCAACTGCCGCTGCATTTGAGTGGGTAACCTTCCTGTGGCGCCGCGACAGCGTTGAGCGATCAACACCATACTTTTTGGCGTACTCTGTGTAATTAGGTGTTTCTCCCAGCTTCAGCGATTCCAGCGCTTCAAGCGCAGCCTCAATACCTGACATATTGGTGGAGATATGGGGGGTGGAAAATTCTGAAAAATTTCGTTGAACCGTGCATGCGATGGGGCCGTGCATCGGGTGGTGAGCCACAGTATAAGAAGTCAAGATTACTCTAAAACTAAAGTACCTGCAATTTGGCTCGCTACACAGGGTGGCTCGCGACACAGGGATGGACGTTACAACGGCGAGCACATCTTTCTTATAATAAGTTCTAAACGAAGTCTCTTAAGTTCCTTCGCCTAGTTTACGCTAGAAGGCTTAAGCAGTTTATCTACTGCGGGCCGCTAGCAGGTAGTACTAAACGCTATTACGGCTGTATACTTTATTTACATAGGTTGTCTAAGAGCGTTTATATATAATAAGAACTTAATAACAGCGTTCTCTTTATATAGGGTAAGGTACTATTAGCTTTAGGCTTTAGCTTCTCTTAAGCGTCGTCCGCAGGCATGATGATAGAGGGTAGAGAGGGGGACATCGCCATGTGCAGCTAGGGCATTCATATGTGTTCGGCATGCCTTCCGGAAGGCCCATACGGTACTAACCCCCAGGAACAACATACGGCCCCAGCGGCCCCTTAACCATGCACGTGGTGTTCAAGCACGAGAATCCAGGGAACAGGATACTCGCGCCCATGCTGTTTCCGTGGGAGCTCAGCTCGGGAGTAGCTTGCTATATAGAAAGAGACGTTAATTATCTATTAAGAAAGGAGATACACCTGCCTGAAATCCCAGAACTCCAGAAAAATATGCTCAGATCAACAAAGACACCGCACCACCCGCCGAATAGCTTGGAAGGTTTTTGCCGCCCACCAATGGAGGCTTGCTACGACGAAGTCATGCACAACCGACAGCATCGATCGGCATATGCCACTCAGCCAGTCACACCATACTAGCCGCTCCGTAATTGAGGCCTCCGCCGCTTGGTGGGTTAAATCAGGTTTCTGGAGCATCTCACTATGCGCACTTCCGATATACTTCATGCCGCTAAAAGCAGCATTCCAGAAGTGGTTCACCACAAAGAAGCCACCAGTCGTATGTGACGGTGCGCTGGCAGTCTCCAGCTGAACGATGCATGCATTAGTCTTGGCATGGAATAGCTGTAGCACTGCCAGCACCTTGCGCAGTGTCTTCTCCTGCACTTGCTTTGCAGTCAAATTGAGCACTTCATACATATTCTGGATGCGAGCACACACCTCATCGATGGTCATACCTTGCCAACCGGACGCGGCTTGAGGATCAGAGTCCTTTTGGATCTCTTCGCGAGTTATCGCCATGTGCGTGACGTCGCCGCCTCGAATGCGCTGCACGTAGTCTTCAACGAACATCTGCAGCGCGCGGATCGAGATATCTATATCGTTTATTACATCCTCATCTGCCTCTGGAGCTTGCCCAAACAGCTCACAATCGGAGTTCTCAACCTGCATGCTAGGGAGATCAACCCGATCGGTTGTTTCGGCTACGACAAAAGCAGTACGGAGGTCTGGATCCGACCGCCACATCTCGTCGCTGAAGTACGTTTCCTCAACCCAGGATTCTTGAAGACGCTCGCTAGCCGATCCTGTGTTCTGAGATGCCGGCGAGTCTTCGTCGTCCAGGAAGTTGGCGCGTCGAGTTGAAGCGGGCTTAACGAAGCCGCGGTTGTCTGCGAAGTCGATTGAAGAGTCCGAACTAGAAGTCTTGGATCGGGTTCCTTCTGAATTCTCTGTGATCGTGCTAAGGTCTGTGTCGAGCTTTAGCCGCGGACGAATGTACCTACGTTGGTTTAGATGCGCTGGCCACTTAAACTCGACGTTCTCATCTAGGCTTTGAAGCCCCTGGTCCGCGTCGTCGTATTCGTCGATGTATGGATCCGTGATCTCTCGGATTCCATCTTCTAGTCATGAGGCCTCGTTCATGTCGAAATCATCCTCTGCCCGATGGATCCGCGGAAGGAGATCTACTTCTAGCGGTTCTAGTAGCTGATTAAATGCAGTGTATCCGACCTCTTCCTGAGCAACGGCATCATAGAAGGAAAGCTTCTGCGGCTTACAGAAGTCCTCTTTCTCCTCTTCATCGTCTGTTTCATCATCGAAGAACGTCTGCGGGCTTGAACAATTCTCAACTTCACTGCCCGTACTTCCACCTACTTCGTAATACCAATCTAGGAGTTCCGAGATGCTAAGAGGTCGGGTCTCTAGCGGCTGCGCTGCTGGTTCCAGTTGCGTATTGCGATCATATTCAAACCACATAGATCGGACTGCAATGTTAGTCAGATGGTCGATGCCTGGAAGGAAGTCAGAATTAGGGACGCACTTGGCGCATAGACCCAAGTCAACAGTCTCCATGCCAATCTTAGCGTTACTGCGAGCTGAAGCTTCGCAGACCCATTCCACATGCTCTTCCCCTACCTTCATCTGATGGCTTGCGTGCTCTGAGCTGATCTCCGCCACCCCCTCATCCTTCTCCATCAAAAAATCGCCCTCGAACGGATTCTCACCACCATTCTTAGCGATCAAATGTCTAGGCGCACGCCTAGCAGGGACAAACTCGAGCGCGGTTTCATTGACTTCGTCATGGCTGGATTCCAGCAATACGTCATCAAGCACCCGATGCAAGTCCTCCACGGGCGTCATGTACGGACGAAGCTCACCGATGGCGAGAATGCGCTCCCCGAAGCCGAGCATGGTCTGGCTTGGGGAGCGCATCCCTAAAAAAGACTGCGACGGCTCAAAAGCATCTGCATCCTGTGCGCACAGCCAAGTAAACTGGCCTGCAATAGCCTCAGGGCTAAGGAGCACCACAGGCGCCGGCTGTTCATCCGCTTCAGTCGGGCTGTCTGCGTCAAAGAGAACTTCGGACTTCGCAGTCCCAACCTCAGAAGCCCATTTCGCAATCTCCTTCTTCGACTTCTGCAGCTCCACCTCCTCGGAGCGAGACGAGCCAAGCACTCCACCAGATCGGCGCACCTTCGTCCCCTTCAAGCGCAGATCATACCGCGGCCGCGGTCCACGCGTGTTCTCAACGATGTCATCCTTCCTACCCAGATCATCCTTCTTACAGCCCATCAAGAACACGCTTTCGGACAGACAACGCGGCACGGCATTATCGCCGCCCAGCTCAGCGTCCTCGAGGTCGGCTTCGTCGAGCTCGACCTCGTCCCAGTGCTCGAGCGTGTACTGGGAGTACTCGCACAGCAGCTGGTCGGCCGTCTTGGACTTGCCTTTGCCGAAGGATGGGATCTTGCGGCTCTTCTCGCGCTCTGAAGGCTTGGTGGTGGGACCTGCCGCGCCGACCACAGGGAACTTAGCCTTGGTAAGGGAGTGCGAGAGAGAGAAACCCATAGTGCCGGCTATGGTGGTAAGCGGTAAGAAGGGTGGACCGTGTCCGGTTCAAGGTTTGCACTTGTGCGGGGCTAGATCGCCGGGATCTAGGGAGGTGATGGGAGCGGAAGCGCGGGGCCTTGCGAACACGGGAGAAGAGGAGAACACGTGGAGTGAGACGAAGAGTAGGAATGGCGGGGGCTGGGAGGCCGTTTTATAAGGGGTGTGGAGATTGTGCGTTGTAGAACTTCGAGAGACATTGTGCAAGGAAGTATGGTTGATGCGTGAAGGGTGGACAAGGGCATTGTAAGAGGCTGGGATGGTGCTGACAAAGACGGATGAAAGCGCCTTGGGCAAGGTCCAGAAATAGTAAGTGTGCTTGCCCCTCATTCGGGTTATCCATAGGTTCTCCGGTACATGGGGCTGACAGACGTAAGCGTCTCCAAGCACGGGAACGCAATGTTGAGCCTCAAGTTGCTGTCGCCATTGTCATTCCACCGGATTTTGCGTGACTCCGCCAGTCGCTAATTCGTGTTTAGGATATTTCCTAAAACGGAGTACTACGGCGAAGGTGTTCATTGGCCAGGGCTTTCGTGCTGGCACTCGGCTCACATTCTAACTGCATTTCGTCGCTGCCTATATCAAAATGATCGGACGATGCGAAAAGCTCGGCACCTGCAATTAGTGGTCTGTTTCGCTAAACATTGCTGTTCAAGGCTGACAGGTGATCGCTTGGCCAGCGTTCCGATTCGCAAGACAGGACCGCCCGAGTACACCAATGCTGTGCAGAACATCACCTTTATAACCTTGCGTTAGCTCCCCCACCAGCCTGAGTTAAACGTGCTCCTCAGTTTCGTAAACGCCATGTCGCACTGTATCTACTAGAGTCGCCTCACGGAGCAGAACATTCGACTTTTTGAGCTCTTCCCCGGTCAATGGATGAGTAGACTCGTAGGCCGCCTTTTCGAAGCAAGCCTGGACGAGAAACCAACCTTCGAGGCCTTGTCCTATGTCTGGGGGGATCCACAGTCGCGGAAACGGATCCGATGCAGTGGTAAAAACTTGTCGGTAACAAGAAGCCTTGCGCTGGCCTTGAACCGGATACGGAATCCCACAACTTCCAGAATTGTCTGGGCGGACGCAATATGTATCAACCAGAACGATGTCGAGGAGCGCAACCACCAAGTGCGACTCATGCGAGAAATTTATACCCGCGCAAAAAGGGTTCTCGTTAGCCTTGACACTGGAGACGGTTCGAGTGGCTTCGGCTGGGGCGTGGCATCCTTCCTAAATGATCTGTATATTAAAACTTTCATCATGGAGAAACTCTACACTACCTCGATAGTGTACATGCTCCTAGAAAACAGCCATCCCTGGATCAAGCGTCTTAGCGCCGGGCCTCCATTTCACGTCTCCCGACGTCGCGTTTTCAGCCCAGAAGACAACGAATCGATGACGAGGCTCACCGGGTATCAGATTCCAGTTGCCGACGTCTTAACTGAGTCTGTTCGCAGCGCCCTTCGCGCGTTCTTCGGCTCACCCTGGTTCACGCGGATCTGGTGCGTACAGGAGATTGTTCTTGCGCGAAAGGCGGTGGTCTTATTTGGTTATAATGAGGAGCTGTCATGGAGGACCGTTGGGACAGGCGCTGAGTGGCTTTTTGAGGAGAAGTACCTTGCAGAGATTCGGGATCCCGATTTGTGCGGCATTCGGGTCGACGGTGCCTACAACATGTTCAATTCGAAGATGTATAGGGAGAACGAACTGCTGTTAGCGCTGACGGACTTCCGACATTGTGCGTCCACCGACCCAAGGGACAAAGTCTACGCTTTGCTGGGCATTGTACGCTGGGACTCCGGCGTACCGCCATTAGAAATCGACTACCAGAAGTCAGTTCGCGAAGTGTATATCGACGCGGCGACGGCAATCTTGCGATCCAGCAACGACCTTTCTCTACTCTCTGCTGTACAAAGCAGAGCCGCTGAGACACCGTTATTCTTACCGACCTGGGTCCCTTCGTGGGAGTCGTCTAAAGACGCGCCTCAAGTCAATTTGCGCGACCTGACGCTTTGGTCTGCGTGTAGTGATCGAGGCATGCAAGACTGGCATTTACTCCCCTCAGGGTGTCTCGTGCTGAGAGGGTACATCTTCGACACGGCCACGTCTACAAGCTGGCCTTTCACATACCATGACGATGAAGATCTCCTGGATCCCAATCACCCAGCTTCCGATGCGATCTTTGAGCTAACCAAGCACGTATTTCAGCGTTCTCTCGAAGCCCGCAATTCTAAGGAGATGCTAAAAGCTATGGCATACACCTTGACAATGGGAGCTAGAGAGGAGGCAAACCCATGGCGACGAATCGCACAACAGTACTCCCGCCAGCGAAAAACAACCAATCATGCGTTAGCAAAAGATGTGAAAGAGGTAGTTGAGGCAGGAAATAAATATTATTTCGTCTGGGATTGCCTGGACTTCATCAGGCTTCTTGAGAAGAAACGCCGGGACAGACTCCAATACCCGGCGTTCGAAGAGACAAAGGGACAGGGGTACCGATATCTGAGTATCGTTAGCCTGAATCTCAATCATCGCCGGATTTTCCACACCAAGGACGGTCATTTCGGCATCGGACCAGAGAGGATGAAAGCCGGAGATTTTGTGGTAGTGCTACGCGGCGGCAGAGTTCCGTACGTTTTGAGGCCGTTGGGGGCGGAGTATATGTTCATTGGTACTTGCTACCTGCATGCTATAATGGGTGGCCAGATGTTTCAGGAGTCTTGGAACAAGGAGTGGAAAGAGGAGACCTTCGTTTTGCAGTAAAATCCGCTCAGAGGGCTGTGCGGCACAACTACAATCTTTGATCATTGAATTTCCATACTGGCGTTTGTGGGCACGGGAGCTCATTACGAGCTTGTGGGCATTTGCTATGTCCGCGATATCACGCATGGCGAGCTGCTCGAGGGCCTCTGGAGCGAGAATGGAAAGGTGGAGAGGACATTCTCCTCTATCTGATCTGGCAGCTAAGTTGTAATACCTGGTCAATGGAGGAACTAACTGTGGTCCAAGGTTTCGTATATTTACCTTCGTGTACGGGGCCACCGACGGAGTCCGGAGGCTGGGTCGGGGTTGAAGACAACGAGAACGGCCGAGGGTAACGGTAGGGTGAGAAAGAATCATTCGAAAGTGTGAAGCATGGTAGGGAAATATATTGTGTATGAGTAAGATGGTGCATGTGAGATTTCTTTTTGTGTGTGCGTGTGTGAAATTATGGAGGGAACCGGGTCCGTGCTCCACTCGTGGCGTATCGTGGCCTCAATTTGCGCCCCAACCTCCTCTTTGTCCGTCTGTCCATCATATCTCATCTCGCAAAGAGCTAGATGTACATCGCGTTGTTTTGCGGTCCTGGGTATCGTTAGCCAGGCTTGCAGCTCCTCACCAGGTTCGCTGGACGGACACCGAATTGCAGAGTAACGTGTACACATCCGCCCCCGTCTGCGTCGCCCCTATCCCCCGCTGATAAGCTTCTTACCTGTTTCAAAGTTCAGTCTTGGTTAGAGGATTTATGACCCCAACGTTTATCTCGACTGTGCCGCACATAATCCGGGGGCCGGAATAATACGCCGGGCGCTTAGCGATCTGCAGTCCTGGCTTGGCTCCGAGTCTGCGAAGCTTCATTCGGGGGGCGTAATCTCTATTCTTCCTTGTCCCGGGGAGCTTACGGCCCCAGCTAGCACATTATACGACGCGTTAGCACCAATCATTACCGTTTCCACCCTTGATCCAGCCCCGGAGAATACATGTTACCGATAAAATGATTGCTAGCATCAGGGATCGTGGTTGGAGTTTCTCGTGCGAGAGTATATTACATCGAGGCTGGACTTGAAAATGTATATTTAAGTGAATCGATCTTTCTCAATGCTTTCTTCTCAAGCGATCTTTGCGGTCTCTCCCCTATTGATATTCCAGATCTTGATTGCTTGACAATAACGATGTCGGAGCTGGAAGCCCGTTTCGTTAAGAAGGGACTGTGGGTGAACGAAGCGAAAGGCGCCGTGCTCGGGAAGGTCTACACCACGGAGACACGCACTGGAACTATTCTCGTGGCGCTGCTGGCCGTATTTTCCTCTCTCGCGACGGCACACCTCTGGAACCTGGTTATCTTTTACTGCCACCAGCGACGCGCCCATGGACGACCTGCAGACGGACTCTTCAAGCAACAACAAGCGCTGCTCCGCACCTTGCCCCCACCGACCTCCTTGATGACCGATACTGTGAAGCTCTGGTGGTCCTGGAGACATCGGACTGACAACGTCCTCCTCCGTTGCATCATCTTTCCACTCCTGGGGATTCTGTTCGCCGCGTCGACATTGACCGTCAGTCTCACGTCGTCTTATATCGTGGATACAACGAATTTAGAGGTTTTGGTCGACTCGCCATCATGCGCGTCCATCAATCTGCCGCGTATGGCCGAAACCCAGCTTACGGCCAGCACCCTCGTGGAAAATATATCGCCGGTCATGGAGTCTTACACCAGGGACTGCTACGGGAAAGAAACATCGGACCTGCCTTCGCGATGCCGCAACACCTTCATCGCGCCCAATATACCGGTGAAAAACGCATCCGTCCCGTGTCCGTTCTCGGAGGAAATGTGCGACGGGGAAGCTTTGGAGCTTGATTCGGGTCTTCTTGATATGAATCATTATTTCGGACTCAATCTCCACAAAGAGGATCGCCTCCAGTTTCGCAAACGAACCACTTGTTCCATCTTGCCTATCGATGGATACTACGACGTCTTGCCTGCGACTGACTTCGACGGTCTCCTGGGAAGAGGGGCATTGCCGGAAGAAGAAATAATCGCCCTTAAATACAATGCGCCGTCCCCGAGTGAGGATGTACAGGCAAAGTACACGTTCGCTCACAGCCTCGCAGTCTCAAATATTTCGCAAAATTATGAATTCAGGTAAGTGCTGCGTTTACTAGATGCTCTATCCTTGCGGCGAAGGAACGGGGTGTCTCGGAGCCGACCATGAGTGACGGCATTTGTGAACCAGAGAGCATTGAAACATCAGACGTACAATGGAATGTCGAGCTAACAAGTGACTAAGGGTTATGCAAAGCTATGCGTCCCCGGATTGGGAAACCGCAGGAGCTTTGGCGCCGCGTTACGCTCCTCTTCCTTCGCTCGCACGTCAAGATGCCGACGTGGCCCTCATTGCTCTCTGGAGCAACAACGTCTTGTACGCTAAGCCCGTTAACGACCCACTTTTTGCGGCGCACGCCAATGCTTCCTTCGTCAACTATGGCGCAACTTTCGAACAGTTCAGGCCCGATCACCCAGGGCGTACACTTGGCTGCGCACAACAGGTATTACCATCATTCCCCCCACTAAGCCTCATCGCCATGAAGCTCATGAATCACAGTGGCAATTTTGCCTACCCAAGCTCGGAGAGAACGCTTGCACTCCATTCATGGGAGTGACCCTCAACATTCCACAGAACGTGACCCAGTTCTCACACACGACTAGCACTCAGCGCGCAGTCATCCAGCTGCTCCTAACGTCCTCCGTTTTCGCAGACATAACCAATGCTCCAGTGAGCCAATACTCATTGGCAGGAAGCGCGGTGCAGTTCGGAGTGGCCTACGAACTCGCGGACGACCAGTGGAAGAAAGAACTCGTGATGTGGGAATCTGCCTCTTGGGCAGCATTGCAGATTCTCGTCTCCGATTACGCCGTGGGGCCGGTGCATCGCGATCCCCTAGCAGATCAGTATACCGATCAGCCTACATCAGTTGGCGATAAAACGCTCTGTCATGCACAGAAGATGCGGAAGGCGGGAGGATTTGCGTAAGTGTTTTCCATCCCGAGTAACGAGTTGCCGCTGACTTACATCTGAAGCAATATATCCGTGTTCGGTCTAGCTTTCCTTCTCACAGTATCCGGCACCATCGCTCTCACCGACATAATCCTCCTCCGATTCCTCATCTTCCTAAGCCGGTTCCGCCGCGCCTTGGCACCGAAGATCGATCGCTGGATCCAGGACGGCGTGTTCCAACTCCAGCGTCGCGCATTCGAAGCCGACCGCAAGGGATATTGGGTCGGCCTCGATAACGAGATTCCGACCACGCGATCAAAGGAGTTGCTTGGCGAGCTGTCTAGCGAGGTGCAACCTCGAGGAGATGCAGTCGTGTACGCGCAGTCGGAACAGGCGTCTAGTATGAGGGATAATACGGATAGCGCTTCGACTGGACAGAAGGAGGCGGATTTGCGGCCGAAAGAGCCGCTCACTGTTGTGGAGCGAGAGACTTCGAGCACGCTGGGGTCGAAATAGAGAATGTGGAGATGGATTCCATGGTAAATAGATCATCAAATGCTGCATATGGGTTAAAGCCTCAGTCTTTTCTCTAACGTTTGTGAGCTCAATTGTCAATACCTAGGTACGGCAGACCAAGAGGCCTCGTAAGCGAAATCGCCTACATTGCCATGTAAGGCTCCAGTATATTGTAAGAGAAAGGGGTGATAATTGTTTGATTGTGGATGCTTGTTATCATCATAGAATCATGCACGGCGAGATATCCTCAGGATCGTGGGATAGAGAGTGCAATCCATCGAAAGTTGGTTCATATCTTGAATGACAGCTTGGAAATTCGAAGAGAAAATGTTAAAGTCAGAAGAAGCGAATTTTTGGGCGCGCGCGCAAAGAGTTCAAGAGTCGTCATCCAATGATTATTTACGCGATGGATGCCTGAGGCGACAAGGCAGATCAAGAGCGCCTCGTTTCAGCCTTTTGGGGCTGTGTTCGCTCTTGATAAACGAGCCTCGTCCGGCCGAAAATTTCTCTCCACCGTTTCCACGCCGATACGCAAATGTCGAACCCAATTTATCCCAATCGACTCACCGACCAGAACATCCGACTTCTTGAGCTATTGCCTGGAGATCCATCACATATCCTGGTTGGCCGACTCTTTGATGCCAAGCTTGACGATGACCTCGATTTCGAAGCCTTGTCTTACGTCTGGGGCGACCCTAGGTCAAGGACGGACATCAAGCTCGCGTATATGCCGACAGAGCCAAATGCCGACATAGCAGTGCATCGCAGGAGAGAGGAGAGTTTCAGCGTCACGACCAATCTTGCCCATGCCTTGACACGGCTTCGACGACCGGATAGATCCCGCATTGTGTGGGCGGACGCTGTTTGCATCAATCAAGAGGACGTCAAAGAGAGGAATCATCAAGTACAGCTTATGAGGGACGTCTACACTCGCGCCACGGGGGTGTTGGTCTTCTTTTCCCCCAGAGCGATGAAAGAACAGTTTGCAAGCCGATCAGCGTCGTTGATGATGCAAATCTACAATTCCTGCCTGCGTTTGCGCCCCGAGATGACCCTTACTTGGAGTAGTGACCTGGAGTCAGCTGTCGCTATGCTTCCTCTGGATGTAATTGACCTATCGGACACCCAAAACACCCGTGCGCTTCAACAATTCTTCTACTGTCCCTGGTTCACGAGAATTTGGTGCGTCCAGGAAATCATCCTCGCCAGGAAAGCGACCGTACTGTTTGGAGCGCACGAAGAGCTCCCCTGGGGGGTGGTTGGCATCACTGCTTCTTGGCTCCACAGTGCTCACGTTTCGAGAGCTCTACCGAAGCATAAACTGTTACGAATCCCGGCGGAGCGCTGTTGGAACATGTTTAAGGCGGCCCTGTACCTCCCGACTGAGTTCGGTCTCGCGCTGTCCGATTTTCGACATTGCAACTCGAGCGACCCCAGAGACAAGGTTTACGCTTTGCTGGGTATCATACAATGGGAAAAAGGGGATATCGCACCACCTGTGGTCGACTACGGTAGGGGCTATTTGTCCATATACCTCGATACTGCTCGGACCATCTTGCGGACAACTGGCGACCTGTCAATATTGTCCCTTGTCGGCGACGAGCCACACACCCTATGGTATCCGAATTGGTGGTACGATCCAGCACCCCATATAAGCGTACATGAGCTTAGCCGTTGGAGCGCTTGCGGTGAAAATCGGTTACAGAAGTGGGATGTAAGTGGCAAGCCCCCCAACCGCTGCCTTAGGCTTCGAGGCTTCCGATTCGACCGCATTACATACGCGAGCGGCGCCATGAAATGCGAAGATGAAGACATTCATATGAACCCCCGCCATCAAACCTACTACCCAATCGTTGAGCTGTGGTGGCACCTTCTCCAGCAGCCCACCTCAGACCACGATCATGAAAAGTTATTGAGAAGGATGGCCCACACTCTGACATTTGGCGGTACGAGAAACTCATGCCTTCCCGATGCGGACCGCGAGCGGGAACTTTTGGCCGATTTCGCTAATTTCATCACACTCCTTCTCGGGGACACCCCCGAGTTCCTAAATGATCTGGAAATCGGAACTGCGGAAGGGGATGGTCGTAAGTTCCTCGCACTTGCCCGCTCGGCCCTTCATGGATGCCAAGTATTTCGTACAGAGAAAGGGTTTTATGGTATCTCGTCAGGCTCAATAAGAAAAGCCGAGTATGGTGGCATCATCGTAGCTGTTTTATATGGAGGAAAGGTTCCGTATCTCCTGCAGCGCGTAGAGGAAGATAATTATATGTTTCGCGGAACATGCTATATCCATGATATTATGCAGGGGCAGTTATTTGGCGAGCTCTGGAGTGATGACCTAGAAGAGCAAACGTTCGTTCTAAAGTAGCCCCGGGAAATGGAAGTCGAAAACAATATGTAACCATGTGAGTCTTTGCCGCTCCTGATTGATTTCATATACTAACCAACATTGTCAAGGGCGGAATGAAGAGGCCCGGTGGACTTCACGCGCCTTACCATATTGGGCATCGTGATCCTTAGTCAAGACGATAGGGATTTGGAGGATGTGAGGGAGAGTTTACGGGCGCTTGAGGGGAGGTTGAGTAGAGTTGTGGGGGTGAGGAGGGTGGATTAGGGGCGTTGGATGGCGGATTGAGCGGTTAGAGACAGGTTCTGAGTTGGCGTTGAAGCTGACCGAGTAGTACCGTAAGTTCCAAGTCAGTAATCTGTCAGCCCTTCGCAAGCGTGGTCTCGTGCTGGCCATAATGCCTACACCGTAGTAGAGCACGTACTGTGTGATATTCGAACTCCCTTTTGATGTAAGCCCCCACGTGAATGTCAACTCAAGATACAACCTAGTATATGAAGCTTGCGGCGTCTTACCACTTGTCGCCCTCGGAATCCTACATATTTCTAACTCTAAATGCACGAATGAATACTGCTCACCCTACCATTGCCCTGCATCCTGTCGAACATCGTTCCCAACGCCAGCCTGATGTGTGCACCACAGATAGCTAGCTAGGATGAATGACGACAGAGAGAAGAGATGGCGGGCAGCGAGGCAGTCGGAAGTTGAGGCCTGCTGACTAAGCTAGCTCCCGCCTGCTGTGTCCACTTTGCGAGTCCCACTCCATCCTTCTCCTCCACCACCCCGCTCTCCTCTGCATATCTGCTTCTTGCTCCTGCAAAGCTATTGGAATCGATACAAAGTTTTCCGCTCCGCGCTTGGGGGATGCGATACGCTCTCGTTCGTGGAGTCACGAACGCGACAACGCGCTCGAGCTAAGCAGCTCTCTACCAGCTCTCCGCCTCTATTCCTGCGCATGCCTCTGCATGGCTTTGAAAGTAGTGCAGAACGCATGTTAACGTCGATGAAGGCGCGTTGGAGCCTCAACGATCATATTAACAAAGCGAACCCCGGAAAGAACATGCACACCTACGCGGCCGGGATAAGGCCCTCGAACTGCAATCGCAATTTCATCTAGGATCATGGCCTTTAGAGATCGTATCCGGTGCCTTTCGCCGCCTATTCAGCGCCTTCTCTCCATTTCCTCCTTGGCATTAGAACGCAAAACGATACTCGTAACCAAATCACGACTAGACGGCAGCCGGAGGTACCTCGCTGTAGCCTTGTCAAAACATTACGCTGCCTCCACCTGAAATCTCACGCGCTTTTACTTCGCTGCTATTTCTGGTAGTGGAACGAGCTCTGGGACCGGCGTGGGAACACAACAGACAGCTGAATTACGATCTCTGGTTCCAGCTGAAACACCTTTGTTCATCCCCGCAATTTCTTCGACCGCAAGCCTTGTGGCCTCAGTACTGAGCCGCCTGCAATCTCGGTTGGTCCCGGCGCCTTAAGGACCTGTGACCTGGGACCAGGCTTGGCCGCTCCCGCTTAGTACTAATTCTGGCTTAGCCGCAGATCGTGTATAGATACCGCCAAGGTATACCAGAGTAAAGACCGAGTTGATGCAACCTCCGCCGAATCTGTGGCGGGCTGGGTTAAGACTGAGTGAAACTGGATCTCAGCAACAGCGAAGCGTTCCTTGTGGGAGCAATGGCCTACGCCGATAGGATATAAGTTCTTGAAGTCGAGGGCTGGAGTCCCGTCCAGATTGCTTGAACAACGTCACTCGTTACTCCTTCCTTGCCGGAATGCACTCTTTTCATTTACGTCTCGTTCTTCTTACTAGCCTCATCCCGTTTGCTTTTTCTCAGCAGAGCCTCGCCCCGTCTAGCGATGCAGCGAGCGCTTCCGCCCAAAGTACTCACTCGTTGACACGTCTTTCCGCTACATCGGGAGACTCCGGTACTTCCAAATCATGGCCTACTGTTATTTCTGTAGCGAATAGTACGGTTTCGACGACCGGAATGGGCAGTAAGTCGCAAGTCACAAGTTGCTATGTACACGTCATCTAAAATGAGTTTCAGCGTCTAGTTCAGCCTCCCACACAGATATGACGAACAGTACTCTTATTCCTATCATACCTACGGAGGCCTCTGGAAGCGAGATTCTGCCCCCAACTTCGAACGATGTGCTTCCTACTACGCCTATCTCCAGTTCCACCGCTGCGCCCTTCGATTCGACCTCCACGCATTCTTCATTTCCAAGCGCCAGTTTCGGGCCAACCTCAAGCCTGCCAATCACTCCCACGTCCGACTCAACCAATACAACGTTCCCGCCGCTGCCACCAGTCGTGCCTACTGAAACATCTACAGTCCGTTCCGACTCTTCGTCCAGTGGCGTCACCTCATCGGCTACGCGTCCTTCTAGCATACCTGTAGATCTATCTAGCTCGTTCTTGACTTCCTCGGAGCTACCTAACCCCGCTACTTCGTCTTCAATAGCATCCGAAACCCAGACTACTAATACCCTGCATACACACTCCTCTGAGGTGTCTAGCTCGGCAATTTCGACAGACTCCGAATTTCCTACCTCCCCGGCACTTTCCACGTCGCAAATTCCGCGACCGACCCCTACACAATCGTCTGTCCAGCCTTCCTCAGATGTGAAACCCAGCTCCACAACCTCATCTGCGGCGGCCACCTCTGACCCAGTGGTACCGCCAGTGACATGGGATGACCTTGATTCGGCTTCATCGTCCATCTCAGATGCGGTAAAGAATGTCAAAGCGGCCGCCGCGTCAGGCGATATGGATGCAGCCGCAGAAGCTCTGGATTCATTGAAGAAAAGTATATATAAATTATCATCATACGCTTAGTGCTAAGACCCAGCAGAACTTGATTCTCTCGGATCAGATCTCGCCTCGGCCGGCTCGGACATCCCAAATTCGGTCAAAGACTCGCTCAATTCCTCCATCGAAGGTGCCAAAGGACTTATTAGCACTATTGGTGGTCTTTTTGGATCCGGCTCATCATCAGAAGCCTCTAAATATATTGAAGAGTTGGAGGGCGTGTCGAATAAGATGTCATCTACAGTGAAGGACTCACCGGACCGACCCAAACCGACCTCTGCGCCCGTTACGACAGAGCCCGCCGAGCCCACATCGGTTCCCCCGCGATCTACAGCCGCACCGCCAAATTCATCGCAGGATGATATTACCACGGCTGATTCCACTAGGGAATCTAGTCTCTCGTCCACATCCTCCCTTTCTCCCTCGAGCAGCGGCGCTTCATCAGAGAAGTCATCCACAATCTCTGGCACGATTCCGTCCTCACCCACGGGAACGTTACCGACGAGCCAGGTTTCTTCGACAGGGCTTACCACATCTACCATTTCTGTCAAAACAAGCTCGAGGCTCTCAGCAACTTCGTCCGGTCATTCCTCTTCCACTTCAGCTTCCGTAACCAACACTCAGACACATGGCACCAGCCTAACAGATTTCTCCGTGTCAACAAGCCACTCCTCGCCATCACCAACCTCCACAAGTTCATCGCCGATTTCATCAGATTCTACTACTTCATTCGTGACATCTACCCGCACAACCGATTCGACCGCGAGCACATCGTCGACATCTAAGGCGTGTAGTAGCTGCTGCACGCCACCAAGTCTACCCGCTGGTCCGCACACTGATGATATTGAAGCGCGCGATCCAACCAGCAGGCGGAAACTTGCTAGTTCAAGCCGACGACTACCCTCTCGTAATATCTTGAAAAGGGACGATCGCGGTGGAAGTGCGTGCAATGGTGGCTTTGAGTACACCGTTGGACCGTACAATTCAGCAGGCTCTCCAGGGGCGGAGTATCTCCGGCACGCCGACTTGAAGGCCCACAATATACACATGCACTTGCTGACTGGAGCCGACTGGTACGTTGCTAAGCTTCTAAATTCATTTTGTACGATGTCCTCTAACTCTATACCAAACAGCTGGTGGGAGTACTCCCCTCCTGGAGGAATGAATGTGCAGTATCCTTTCACTCCCGTAGAGGCGGCCGCGTCTATTACCGGTATCGCGCCGCTAAATAGTAAGACAAAGGCCTATTCAACAACGACTCTGTGTGCTAACGCGAGGACTAGCTGAACACGTTTTCGAGATACATTCGCTAGGCGCCTTTATCGAGCGCATAGCTAATCCTAACCCTCAATCAGGTGGCCGGACCGACTGCGATACCGTCACTGAAGCGTTCAACCAGATATTCCCTCTCGGTGCACCGGACGATTTTGTGGGGTTCACCCCAAATCAGCTCTTAGGCCGGGCCATCACGGACAACAACAGACCTTGGGAATTTATTTTGATCAATTCCAAGATGAATGCCTGGAAGTCCAAAGTGCGTCTCCCTTGTGTCCGCCGCCCGCGTAGTCTACTGACATTCACCAGATCATGAGTAAGGATACCGCACTATACTTTGACCCTACGAAAGATGTTCCAAGGACAGATCCAAGCAACAGGAAGTGGCGCGAGGTTTGGGACGAACTCTTGTTCAAGATCATGGAGGTGCAGGCCACTATGGACTATTTGAATCACGACACGACGGTTGAGATTTTTGCCGCGACGAACCAGCGCGTGCGACGGGTTCTGTACGTTACTGTTTCAACGTATTACTATTGTGCACCCACTTACCACGCAATTGCCAGGTCTTTTATGGACGCGATGAGGGTTGGAAGCGCGGAAAACTCAATATTCGCTCGACCCATGTCTGGTAATCCCGACGCCTTATGGGTCGACATTTACGATGAGTGGATGGGCGGATTTCTAACCACCGTTCACAACAAGATGGTCAACTGGATGACCGACGAAGCCCTCCCCAATCTGGACACCGTCATCCGGCGAGCAATGAACCACGAAGACCCATACGAAGCGCAGCAGGCGGCCACATATGCCCAGACTGTCCAGGACGCCATCGGCCCAAACAGCGACCCGAATAACATTCTCCGCAGGCCCCTCGGCCTCGATCTCGCCAAATACTCAGCCGCATTTCAGTTCATGCAGGCGCAGGTATGTGGGGAGGTTCGCTGGAAGCCCTACTTCATAAGCACCAAGCGCGACGCAGACCCCCGCCCAGCCGGAAACGGAAACAGCACCTCCTGCTGTCCCAAAGATCTCAAGTGCACAGCCCCTGGATGCGGAAATACCACAGACTACACCCCCGACGGCACCTGCGACGGCTTCTACCGCAACTGCCCCTGCGTCAAGGAAGAAGTACCGCCCGAACCTGTCTGCCGCGAGGACCTGCCATGCTTCCTCTGCGACGGCATGCTCATCACCGGCGCCCTCAACGGCGACTGCTCCCCGGAGCACAAGAAATACGGAAACTGCAGCTGCACCGCCTCGCGCAACAGCGAAGTGCTCTGCGTCTCGGTGCCGATGTGCAAGGAAAAGTACTGCCGGGGCGGCATGCTAGCGGGCGCGGCGCCGCTGTCTTCGCTGGCTATGTGTCGGCGGGGTGACTGGTCGGGCTGCGATTGCAAGCCTGATGTTGGCATTCCTGGGTGGTGTCCGGAAGATCCGCTTGATTGCGCGAGTTCGAAGTGCAATGGGGATGGGGAGTATTGCACGGCGGAGAGCGCGAAGGGGTGTTACTGCAAGAACGAGGATGACGGGGGTGGAAATCCGCTGTGTGATATATCGCCGTTTAGTTGGATATGTTTGCTTGGGAGGAGGTTGGCGTAGGGTGTGCTGAGGTTTGCACTGGAGTCAATGGATTCTTATATGGTAGGAACCAGTGCCCATTGCCGTTCCGCAGACCGCACGTGGGCTATTATCGTATAAGCGTGTGTAAACAGAGCACACTGCATTAGAATATAAGTCCATCAGCCAGCGTATTCTCACTACATCTTCATAATAAGATAAGAGCAACCATCCCGCACCCTCTAAAGCCTCCTTTCTCTACTCCTTCCTAAGCTCGCAAACCGTCTCTGTCAACGCATTCCCTCGCCCCAACCCGCGATCTCACTGCATACCCTTCCCCTCCCCCCATGCGAGCCCTCCACGCATCCTCCGCAAACCGCTCCGGACAAAAGGACCAAATGGTCCAATGACACCTATCCCTCACCGGGACCTCAAACACTGCCCTACGGGGCGCGACAACCCAGCCGACAGACGGCACTTTCTTTTGACTATCGTCAACTCTCATTACATTTCTTATGTCCTCGCACGGAGGAGGATTAGGAACCGACAGGCTCTCTATATGGGGAGCAGCTGAACACATGAACCGCTCTCACAGCCCACGGGCAGTGCTTAGCGCGTCCCCAATGCCCCACGGGAGGCTCTCATGTACAATAAGTACTGGACGTAAATCAATTCCAACCAACCAACCAATCCGCAAACCGCTCTCTTACATGCTCCCTTCAAGATTTCACATACCCTAGCTCCTAGCAAATCAGGCGGTTCAGCTTATCGCTCTGATCCTTCTCGATGTCTAGACTTGCAACATTCGGTCCGCGGATGCTCATAAGATTGCCTACATCCGCCCTTGCTCTCAGCGATAGGAAAGAGGCGAGCTATTACGGAGGCTCGGTTACACAGAGCTATGAGACAGCGGGCGCGATGCAGAAATGGACTTTGCCACGGTGACGGAAAGAAAATATTTTGATCACATGGGAAATCTAGTTCTAACCAAGAAGTATCGTACAGCGGTCTTGGACTTACACAGCCATCTAGAACTTGTACACTTGGTCTTTACTATACCCGAGTTCTTTCAGGTAGCCTTCCAGCTCGCCCTGGTCCGCCGGGCTCTTCTTGCCACCGCTGATGGCCTTGTACATTCCGGGCGGTCCGCAGACGAAGATCTTGATCTTCTCGCCCTCCTTCGGTTCCGGCAGTACCGTCTTCAGGAGCTCCTTGGTGACGAAGCCCTTGCCGCCTTGCCACTGCTCCGGCGGGTTATCCAGGACATAGAATGCCCTAAACCTCTGCGGGTATGTGTTCTCCAGGCGTTCCCACTCGCGCTTCAGCAGGATATCCTCCTCCGTGACGTTGCCGAAGACGAGCGTCACTTTGGTCTTGTCCTCCGGGTTCTTGAAAATGGCGTTCGCGACTTGCCACATAGGCGTGATGCCAGTTCCGCCGGCAATCATAGCGACGTGCTCATGCTTGTTCGCCTCCCATGGATACTTCGGGATCGGTCCCTTGATCTCGAGGCGTTGGCCGGGCTCCATGTCGTGGATGTGGTTGGACATGGGGCCATTCGGGTATTTCTTGATGATGAATTCGACAGTTCCCTTTTGATCTGTACAAGTCTCAGCAATTATCTCGACGGCCTCCGCGGTATTGACTCACCGACGTCGCTGACGGGTGTGTAGGGTCGGATGACGGGCTTTTCCATTTCAGGGCCCTTGTACTTCGTGATGACAGCCGCTGCTCAAGTCAGCATTCCCCTAACACAACAGTTCTCTAGAAGCGTACATGCGACATGCAATCCGCTCTCCATGTCCTCCTCAGGCAGGGCGAAAGTCAGGTGCTTGACGTTGTGGTTGACGATCTCCGACTTCTCCAGCTTCAGCGACAGGAAGCCCTGGTCGCCTCCCGTGAAAGAAACCTTCGCCGGCTTTCCTGCCTCTGAGGGTATCTTCTGCCCTTCGGCAGATGGTGGGGCGCTGCCGGCCTGGCCCGTTGGTGTGCCTCCTCTCATGTAGAGATATCCACCAGCGAGGGCAGCGGCCGCAATGCCCGTGTAGAGCAGCCCGTTGCCGCTGCCACTCTTGGGCGCTTCGGATGCGTAGCGGCGGACATGCTATTGTGTGGTTAGCCTTGCTGAATGGAGCTCCGATGCATTTGTAATGCCACCGATGGACGGGAAGGGCGAGCGCACCTGTCGCAGCGTGTTCGCTGGGCGGAAAACTTGTCGGGCGAACATGGCGGGAGGAATTGAGGTGGTAGAGGAGGATTGGAAGGATTTCTACGATGCAGGAGGGAGGAAGAGAGGATGGTGGTGCTATCAAGCTCTGAGCTCCGGCGCCAAGCAAACGATCAAACGTCATCGCGGCTTTCTCGCGCCGACTTGCCCGACGCGTACGTCCGCAACACCACGCCAAGCATCACCGCTCCAACACTCAACCATCGGCCTTGGGGCGAGGTCCATCTATACTTATCAAAAGACGTCTTGGCTTCAAAGATGCGCGCCAGATCTCTGTTTCCGACTTAATCCTTAACCCTATTGTCAAATCACGACTCAGACAGTCAAGCCAGCATTCAGCGCCGCCAGGACATTCACAGTCCAACCAAAAGCTGAGCCAATATGCCTCCTTCAGTCTTTTCAGACCCTGTGCGGATTGCTAGATGCAGTCCCGAAGCAAAAGATGACGCCGCCTTGTCCATCCTGCTCTCGAGAAACCCTCGTCTACACGGCCACTTGGATAGGGCGACATTATCATCAACAAGCGGCAGACACACCTGTCAGCGCCTGACCACAATGGGGACTCGGCCACCGATGCACATCGTCTATTTTCTATTCCTGTAGTGGCAGCAGGACCCTATCCCGCTTTTATATTAATTACTCTTTAGCCTGTTCTCCGTTTCCTCCTATCATTCCTTCGCGTTATTCAACGTTATACTCCAAGCAATATGCGATCCAAAAAGGCCTGATTACAGGCTTATATATGGTATACATGATGTGCGATGTTTGCTAACCCGAACACACCCGCAGGACAAGAATACTTGTAGACAACATTGTACACATCAAAGAATGAGGTCCTTTCCAATTCTTTCGCTCTGCTTCGGCATTGCAATCGCATCTTCGCAAGTCCGCAAGCACGAAATATGCACCGTCGAATCGCTCAACGACCCCCTCGCTGACGACGTGCCCGCCATCACCGCCGCGCTCAAGAAATGCGGTCAAACGGGCCGAATCCTCTTCCCTGCAAACCAAACCTTCTCCATCCGCTCGCCGTTCGACCTCTCCCCTTGCCAAGCCTGCGACTTCCAGATAAACGGCGTCCTCAGCATATCTCGTGATTGGGATTACTGGGAGAAGCAGGCTGCGGTCATCAACATTCCGAGGACTACTGCGGCTATTATCCGGACCGACGGTAATACCGGAGTCATTGACGCCAATCGATTTGGATGGGCTGGGGACGAGAGTCTCCTGGAGAGGATTCCCAAGCTATTCAGCATCAGCGACGAAAGTTACAATATCTACATTCGAAATCTCAAAATCAGGAATGTTCCGGGCATAGTCTTCTATGTCAATTCGAATAGCTCATCTGTCCACTTGGACGACATCGACATCGCAGATGCGGCCACTACGGGGCTGCTGGTCGAGCAAGCGAAACATGTGTACGTCTGGAACAACACGATTCGGGCTACCGGGAGCTGCGTCACTATCCTGCCAAACTCAACCAATGTTCAATTCGAGGAGTCCACATGCATCACGACTGGAACTACCACCACCACACCCAGCGGCATCTGGCTCCGGTTTATGGCTGGGTCCGGCCTTGACTGGATCCACAATGTCTTTGTGAAAAATGTGAAAGCCATTGGGGGTATGAAAGTCATCTCTCTAGCTGCAGATCCGGGAGAGAACACAGCGCATCCTATCGAGATCAAAAATGTTACTTTCACTGGCATTACCATCGAAGGGCCGGCGGAGGAAGCAGTGTACGTGGAAGAGGGTCAAGGCCCTCTCTACGCCACAGAAATCACATTTCGAGACTTTGAGGGTGATGTGCAGAAGGAGAGCGACTTGAGATGCGGCAGTTCGGCTTCTCAATGCGAGTTCAGCAGAGAAGATTGGAACATCACCGTTCAGGGCTGAGGATGGTCGAACACCAATCGCGCTATTGTTCTTTCCACCCACTCCTCATGAGGCTCAGTATCTTCATTCACCAAATCTCGACTTCTTGAGTCTTTTCACTACATAACTTCTTTGCCTTTCCATTTCTCCCAACGTCATCGGCCAAATATGCAACATGCTACGAACGCTTTCACTCAACTGCCCGAATCTGCAGTCACCGTCGGGAAATTTTCGTCCCGCGGTTCGCCTATTTACTGTTATCCTGCTCGTCGACACCTCCAGAGACAACCTCAAAAGCACACGCACCGTCGAGAAACGAGCCACGAGCAGCTTCTCATCGCATCACATCGCGAACCGCGTTCTGTTTCCCGTCACAGACACCGCTCAATAACGGCGAATCACCACAGGTCTCCCGACACCCTGGAACTGCGCAGCTTTCAGAAAAGTAGGTGACCACCTTTGTATTCTTGCCCTGAACGCGGTAGCTGCCACTATCTGCGTGACGAACTCCTCAACCTAACTAGCAGCATCGCGGGGCTCGATCTTACACATCCGGAGCTCATCCTGTCGGGCGAGCCAGCCGCCCTATGAGCCTTGTTTTCTCCTGCATCGGAAATTGTTCACGCCCGCTCGCTCGCCACTTCCGCACCCGCACATACGCGACGCACCCAACAATGCCACCGAAATGCTCGCACACCATCCCCGCTTTCCTCCAGTCGAAGTTACCGAATCCCAACCTCTGCCCGCCCTGCCTCATAAATCGACACATCAAAGAAATCCGCGACACGCAGCAGGGGATCGAGACCCGTGGCGGGATTTTGGCATCCAAGAAGAAGGCCATAGACGAGAAAGAAGCGAGCGGAAAGAAGGATGTGCAGGCGAAGCGGCATCGCGCGTGGATGCGTAAATGGAGGAGCGTGAAGATTCAGGCTTGGGAGGACGTTGAGATGCTTGAAGGGCTGTTGAAGGAAGAGCAGGTCATAGAGGAGGAAGGTGAGGAGTTGGACTGGAGGAACATGGTCCAGGAGGCCCTGGATCTTTGGGAGGGGGCGAGGGAAGACATGACGGTTGTGCCGGGTGTGCCAGGCGTTCTGCCGACCGAGGATGAACAAGATAATCGATCAGACGCCGACGACGACGACGGAAATGACGCTGAGGCACGTCAGGATGTCGGATACAGCGACCAGGAGAAGGAACCGCAGGACATTCCACTGCCGGCGACCTCGGATGACGACCTCGCAGAGCCAGAGGAGCGGACACCGTCTCGGCGTACGCACCGTCCCCTGAAGCCAGTCAGGTTCCACGATGTCGCGACCGTCCATGACTCTACATCGCCTATCCATACCGAACAGCCTCACAGCCCGCATACTTTTGCCGACTCCCCGCTCCACCGATCACGTGACAACTTCTACCGACCGTCACGCAAATACAAGCCGCACATCTGGTCGAGCCCCAAGGGGCATGAGAAAGTGCAGACCAGCTGGTTCTTTCAGAGCTGGGAGGCGGTCGAGAGAGCTGGTCAGGGGTTTGAGGAGGAGGAGGAGGAGGAGGATGAGGATGAGGAGGAGTCAGGAGGGATTGAGATTGAGGACGGAGAGGTACCTAGGTAAATAGGGAATAACAAGGCTGATGTTTGGAAACTGACCCGAAGCGCCCCAGGCTGAGTGATCAAGAGGTCGATCTGCTGGAGCTGTTGGAGTGGGTGCTCATGTGGTGGTGGGTAGTGGTGCTGGCATTGACGCCTGTTCCGGTTGAGGTGTAGGATGGATCGGGGTCTGAAGGCCTCTGGGATGGGCTGTACAGATTGAAAAGGAGTGACAAAAGTTTGAGTAATAGCCGCTTGTTTTCTTGAGATTGAGGTTGTCGAAATGTGCTGGAGGCCTCCGGGCTGGAGTTTACGGGGCCAAACTGAGAGACACCGCCGCATACACAATGACCCCATCCTAGGGATCCTCTCCACCAAGCGCGCTCTGGCCGTTGCTTGCGCTACCGTGGAAGTGAGGAGGGTCGCTAGAGTCACCAGCAATGAAGGGCGACGAAGCATCGCAGTGAAATAAGAAACGCAAGACGCCTTCATCGCGTATTCCTTCAGTCGAAAGTGGTGGAGTGACAGAGGGAAAAATATTCGGGCGTGAAACATATCTCGTCCAGGCCATGATTGTGGTTGTCTTGGTGACACTTTCGTGGTGTCGCATGGGCGACGTTCAGCGGTCTCCCTGGCAGGGCTGGCCAATCAGGGCCCACTAGAACTCTTGGCGGAGTCGGACATCGAAATTGTGAGAGCGTTCGAGAAGACTGCAAACACTCAACCCCGCCATTGACATACAACTGCGGAACCTCCGCACCTCTGCCTCCTGCTTTTCTAAGCACCCGACTTCAAACAACGCCTGCTGCGACAGACAACATGGCGAAGCAGACGCTCCACGGGTCCTGCGCATGCGGCCGCAACCGTTACGTGGTCGAGATTCCCGTCCAGCAGGCGCAACTCGCTGAATTGCGATACGACAATACCTCTGCATCGCGTAAGTCTCTCACTAACGTTCTCTCAGGCTTGAGACGCCTTGTCTCAAATATCACGTCATCTTGCCCCTTAGAGATTCTACGCAGCCACCAGAGCAGGGACTAACACGAAGCCAGGACACCACTCTGCGAGCCCGCTCACGCTCTGGCTACGCGTGCCACTTGATTGGTACACGTCTGCAACCTTCGCGCAGTTTCCCGACGAGACCCGGTCGAGCATCCAGCGAACCTTCGTCTCGCCATTCGCCTCCAACACGCGTCGCCAGTTCTGCGGATACTGCGGCACACAACTCTCCTCGTGGCACGAGCGGACGCGCGACGACGCCGAGCACATTTGCCTCACCGTGGGCAGCCTGCTGGACGAGGACCAGGCGCTGCTGAGCGAATTGGGATACCTGCCGAGCGGGGAGAGCAGCGATGAGGACACCGCCGTAGCTGGGCCATCACGGCAGACGCGTGCGATAGTACGGTCAGAGCCGCACCCGCGGGGCTCCCCCTGGTTCGAGGAGATGGTAGAGCACACGAAGCTGGGCCGCTTCAAACAACAGCGAGGTGGGCACACGTCTCAGGACGGTAGCATCAAAGTCGAGTGGGAGGTCATGGAGTGGACAGAGGCTGACGATGCAGACGACGAGGGCTCCGCTACACCCGGCAAGAGGAAGATCGGAGAGGTTGAGGTTGAGGACACGGAGATGCGGACCGTGTAAGTCGCATCATGATGGCTATCATGACTAGAATAGGGTGCTCACGCTTCAGGAGGACGAGGACAAAGGTATCGCAATGAGGACGGACGCGGGCCAGGCCATGGAGTTTACGGTGATTTTAGGCGTGCAGAGTCACGAAGCGTACATGCTCGCTATCTGCAGGGCGTCCATTGTACGAAAAGGCTTCAAAGGTGTAATATAGGATCAAGAATGGTATCATCCTCTTGCCGCACAAGGAGGACATGGCGCTCGCCCAATCCCTACACAGTACGGAGTAATTTCCATCATGTTTCTTTTAAAAGCCGAGGAAGAACGACGTGCAGACGCGTCCCAAAGTGCTTCAAACCACCAATCACCACCCGCGCTTCTTAAACCGTTAAACCCCCACACTAGCCCGCCATCCGATCTCTCATCCGGACGCACCATCACCAAACCCCATCAGTCATCGGTCCCAGCTCCCAAACTGCCACATGCATAACCCTTCCTTTCTGCAGCAACCTTCTCGGGCCAAAAATTCCCTAACCCGTATCTCCGCGACCTCGTTACACGCGATCCCTTACACGTGCGCATCAGCAACGGCGCGCTCATTGGCTGCGTCCACCTCCTGTATCTGCACCGCCTTGGCGCATCCTGATAAGCGGGATGGACCTGTTTGGACGGCACGTTTCTGCAGCATGGAGATCCTGGGGAGCCAATCGATGTGCCTCGGGGGACAAGTGCCGTCCCGTATCTATGGGTCCGTGGTTAGACGACGCTGTTACGTGCTGCGCTGCGCAAAGCTCCCCGTTGCTGGGCGCGATAGCTCGGCATATAGATACGTGAGATGGCGTCGTCGACCGCGTTCTTGGGTCCCCTTGAGGTATTTTACTCTGGCTTGCTTTTGCCGTGGTGCGCTTTATGGTGTCGTTGGCTTGACGCGCTCTTCTTCTTTCTGCTATCTTTCAACTCTCAGTTGCGACGTCGTGGGCTGGCTAGCTGAACTGAACTGCGCACGTTGTCCTGGCGCCTGCAATTGCAATCGAAGAGCAAGGGCTTCTGGACTGGTTCGTTGAGATGGAGAAGCTTAACGCGGAGGAAAAGCAGAGCAATGGAGCGCTTGCGGACGACAACGTGGGCGTGGGAGAGGTGCTGAATGCGAGCGGGCATAAGCAGGAGCTGGAGCGGCAGTTTAGTCTGCTGTCGATTTGCTCGATTGGGATTACGACGGGGAATGTTTGGGCGGCGTTGGGGGGCTCGATTGTAAGTCCCAGTACTATTCATTTTATGTGCGTTATGAGTATTGAGGAGTTCTCGCGTTTTTGAAGAGAGTTTGGGAAGAGTGCTAATGGTCTTCTATCTAGGTCATTGCGCTGTATAATGGTGGCCCTGCTGGTGTCATCTATGAGTTCATCGCCGTGTCGGTTTTCTACTGGATGATTGCGTCGTGCATCGCGGAGATGGCGTCGGCGATACCGTCGAGCGCGGGTGTGTATCATTGGGCTTCTATAACTGCGGGCAGCTACGGCAGAGTCGTCGGATATTTCGCGGGATGGTACGTTCCTCAACTCCCATAATACTGGGGATTCATGCACTTTGAGCACTGGGCCCCGGCGTGGAATGATAGCAGAAGCTTAGGACTGACAACTAAACAGGTGGAATTTCTTCGGCTGGGTCTTCGGCACCGCCAGCATGTCTGCCATCCTCGCCAACCAAGTCGTCTCCATGTACGGCCTCTTCCACAACGAGTTCGCCTACCAGCGCTGGAACGTCTTCATCGCCTACCTGATCATCACCTGGATCGCCTGCTGCATTGTCATGTTTGCGAACCGCGCGCTCCCGACTATTACAAACGTTGGCCTGTTTCTGATTCTGGCGGGCTGCTTGATTACGATTCTCGTGTGTGCGATTATGCCGAGCCAAACGGGCAAGGGATATGCGACGACGAGTTTTGTGTGGAAGGAGTGGAGTAATCAGACGGGGTGGACGAGTGATGGGTTTGTGTTTTGCGCGGGCATGTTGAATGGAGCTTATGCCGTTGGAACGCCGTAAGTTTGCTGCTATACACAGCTTATTTGATTTTTCCCATGGAACTAGATATGCTGACCGGACGTTTACAGGGACTGCGTCTCCCACCTCGCAGAAGAACTCCCCCGCCCGCGCATCAACATACCCAAAGCCATCCTCGCCCAATACGTCGTCGGCTTCATCACCGCCTTCCTCTACGTAATCACCATCTTCTACGCCGTCAACGACCTAGACTCGCTCTTCAGCAACCCCTGGCCCTTCCCGCTCGCCGAGCTCTACCGACAAGCCACAAACTCGCACGGCGGCAGTCTCGGCCTCCTTATCGTGATCTTCCTGCCCACCTTCTGCACATGCATCGGCTGCTACATCACCTCCGGCCGCATGCTGTGGACCCTCGGCCGCGACAACGCGACGCCCTTCTCCGCCTGGATCGGCCACGTCAACCCGCGCTTCCAGAACCCGCTCAACGCCACGCTCGCCTGCGGCTTCATCAACACCGCGCTCGGCTGCATCTACGTCGGCAGCACCACCGCCTTCAACGCCTTCGTCGGCTCCTTCATCGTGCTCACCACTACCTCGTACCTCGCCTTCATCCTGCCCAACCTCGTCACGCGCCGCAGGCACGTCATCCCCGGCCCCTTCACCATGCCGGACCCCCTGTACTATGCTATCGCCGGCACGGCGACGGCGTACATGTGCGCGTTCATCGTGATTTATTGCTTCCCGTATGCGGTGCCGTTTGACGCGACGAGCATGAATTACTCGTGTTTGATCGTGGGCGGGTTGAGTCTTTTTGTGGCGGGCTGGTGGTTTTGGATAAGGAACGGGGGCTATGTGGGCCCGCAGGCTATGATTGAGGAGGTGGAGAGGAGGCTGAGTGTCGGCGAGGGGGTGGTGGCGGGCGCGGGGCGGAGGATTAGTGTGGAGAAGACGTAGATGGCGGGAAGAGTCGCGAGTTTTTGCATGTGTATTAGAGGATCGGTTTATGGGGGGCGGGTTGCTCCTTCCTCCGAGAGGTCGAATTGTGTTGGTTTATTGAGTGACGCGAGAGCGCCCGATCTATCTTCTCTGCTCTACCTTTCTTCGCTTCAGCTAACATCTCTATCTAGCATCTTCATTTGCTCTAAGGCGCTCCTCGCGAAACATCCATCGTCTATGCCGATTCGTCGGATATCCTATGAGGAGCTTGAGACGATCCGCATCGGCTTGTACCTCCTATTCTCTCTTCTCTTTGGTCCCTCGTAAAATCTGCCATCTCTATGTCGCTATTGCTAGCAGATCATACTGAGTACTTTCGCGCTGGCGCTGTTGGTCTCATCACATAATGGCTTGTGAGTCGATTGCTCATCTCTCTGGCTGATACGTAAACAGCGTTCATCACCTCGACGAGCGACTGAAGCCTCGGCAACCGCAGAACCGGACTCTTTCCCACTGCAATGGGTGAATGTGGAACGGCTCGTGCTATGTTGTTGCGCCGAAGAATCGCCTCCGAGCTCGGGCCTGTCCAACAAGGATATATCGACCGCCCCTCACTTCCATTATCAACCCCCTAATCTTCTGGCTTGTGTATACCAACCCAACATGGCTCCCTCGGTACAACTTCTCGATCTCCCGACCGAGATCGTCTCGCAGATCATCGCTGAGTATGTCCGTGTTGCTGGCCATATAAAAGCTTGGAATTCGCGAGAAGTGTGCAGTAGGTCTCTCCCGGTTCGTAGTGTCGGCCCGTCTAACAAGATCCAGCTACCTTCAGAAACCTCATCCATGAGATAGTGGAGCATACAGCACTGTCCGAATTTGCCGACTTAAATTCCTATGAGCAGGACAAGACCGAAAGAATCCTTCGCATTAACCTGGCCGATTTCCTTGAGCGTCGCCTACAGAAACCGGCATATGATCAGTTCGAATGGTTGGCCAATTTCATCAACGCTCTCATCGATACGGTCATAAAATTCGATAAGGACTCCGACCACTCCGGCACAAGGCGGAAGTACATGGCCGACATCCTTAGGTGCTACACCTACGGGATGCGCGAATGGCGGGCATTACGGGGCCTATTGGCGCAAGCACGTTTCACCATGCCGGATATTAAGGCAATGGATGCGCTGTCGGCCGCCGCTGCAGTAGGCAATCTACGCGCAACAAAGCACTTCCTTCATGAAGGCGCCATGGACATATTCAAAGAAACCTTTATCGTGCACCCTGCCCATGGAGTGGGCAAACCGGGGTTCGTGCATCCCCTAGAGGCTGCGGCATGCACCTGTCAAGTGAGAATCCTGAAGTATCTGCTGGAGGTTATCGAAAGCTGGGAAAAGCCACAATATGCTCCGTTGCACCGCTATCCTATTGTGGACCGAATCCATGACGCCCTTCAGTCAGCTATCGAGTCCGCACAGCCGAAAGCAATCATTATCCTCTATAAGTTCCTCCGCAAGCACCGGCTGTATTGCTCATCGGACCACCAGCGTTGTACCGGCGGTTGCGCTTGCCGTAATACCATAAAGGCTGCCGCATCGGGTTGCGTCGATACAGTTCGAACTGTGGTGCATTGCTGGGGGTCGGGCCGGATCGACCACCAGCGTTTCGTGGACAAATGCAAATACTACACGTTCGACACGGCATTCAAGTACGGTCACGAAGGTCTCATCCGGCAATTGTTTTGGAAGAACATACAAGTCTCGAATTTGGCATCTGCTGACTTCCACAAGTACCACTACCGGGCCATTGCGGACATCCTAATCGAAAACGAATTGGAGGTCGAAGGCACCTACTGGAATCCACTTCTTTGCGCGAGCATCAGCGGTAACATCGCCATGATGCATTTCTTGGTCCAGCGTGGCTCTCATCTGTCCGGCGAAGCTCTGATTCGTATTGAGTGGGAACTGGAGGACGCGAAAGTCGGTCTCTACCGGGGCAAGAAAGAGCGGATGCTCGCTTACTACTTCGCTTTCGAGCTAGCAGGACGGACGTTTCCGCAATCCAGGGAGACTCCGCTTCTGAAGGAGTTGGTGCGCGATATAGAGGCGGATGATCGTTGGAAGGCAATGGTGGCTGAGGTTCTCACGCCCAAGGAGATCTGGGTCGTACCTGGTGAGAAGCTCTTCGGTCAGCATCTCTTAGACCAAGGCTTCTGATACGTCACCCTCGAGCCCGTTCTTCATCAAGGGCGAAAGGAGTCTGGACATTGGATCTCGAAACTGCTTCAGTACATCGAGCACTACATAAAACAACCAGATAATGTGCGAGAGTCATGAAGTATGTCATCGGCTCTGAACATCGGCACCTGAAAGGGGGACATTTGGGCTCTACTGGAAGATGGAATATGGAAGATGGAATATGGAGGCAGCATGATGTCATTAATGTCACATGATCGCTGAGTCATCAACTAAATGCCTTCGCATCCCAGTAGTGTAAGTTCTGTTCCTAGATAGCATCATACAATATACAAAAGATTGTCGACCCCTCTGGCCATGAACGATCACATTCTACTTAGTTGGCGCCGAGACAGCTGCCTGATGCCTAGATGTACAGCCACTCTAGCCACTCCAGCCACACTTGGCTTTTCATCTCCGTGTTTACGAGCTCCTCCTTCACGTCTTCATCCTTACAACCATAATCTAGCTATGTTGTAAAAACCACTTCCCAACAGCAGACGAAGATCCTGGGGCGCGCGATGGCCTCCAGCGACGGCGCGCTCCTCGCCTCTAAATCCTTTCCCACCTGCATCCATCAGGCTGAAGGCACTTCCCAGACCCCACGAAGCCTCGTTCTTAGCAAGCGCAAAGCAGAGGATGAAGATCAACAGGGCGAAAGAAATTCTCCAAGAACGCCAGAAGAGGACATCGATGACCGCGGCCCGGGCGCTTTCGTCGACGAGGCCGCTTATGATGAATGTCATGAGTACTTCTCGGATATTGAAGATGACGACCCTACGTGGGGTTCTCCGGAACCCCAGCTTGAGGACTTGCTCGGCTTCGGTCCGGGTGCCTATGATGCGTACGACGAGTATCTTAGGGAGAGGGAAGAGGAGGACCATCCCGGCTGGTTCTCTGGCCTCGCCCCTGACGCTGCCCCTTACTCCGGACGGGTTCCCCCTAACGCGCTGGAAACAGTACTCGATAATGCCTCTCGAAGGGTCGCAGAACGCTCACATCTTCGAGACGAGGTTCAGCGATACATGGACATGTGCGACGAAATCGGTAATCATGGTGCTTTCGTCGACGAGGCCGCTTATTATGATGCTGCATCTGAGTTCTCTCTAGTCGAGGGTGGGCAGCTGGACTACTATGACTTGCGAGCCGACGACAACATACAGTTTAAATCGCGGGCTGAGGTCTGCAAGGCTGAGCTCGTTAACGAGATGTTCCGTGGGCCGTGTACGCGCTGTCGTGCCGTGCGTTGGTCCGCATTAGCGCGCATGAGGTCAAAGGAACACTCAATATACGGCCTACGGGAGTCTCCTTTCGAGCTCGTGGACTCTGCCTGCAAACTCTGCCAGTTTCTGGGAAGAATTGGACTCCGGAGAGCGAGATTGACGGATTCATACGACGGAAAGCTGATGTTCCACTTGCGTATAAGTCTCACGCGCGAAGGCACTCGACGGTGTGTGGTCATATTCCTTGAAGGCCTTTCGGAAGGATGTCCGGTCACTCTTCATTCTGCTGCCGACAATGGGGCTTGGATTCCTCAAATCATCGACCCAAGTTTCGTCAACTACGCTGCTCTCAGGCGTTTGCTATCTCATTGCCAGGTCGACCACGTCGATACTTGTCACCCAAAGTCGGGGGTGGACCTTCCTGGATTCAAGGTCATAGATTGTACCTCACGAACCATTGTTCCAGCGCCAGCGGAATGCAAATACGTGGCATTATCATACGTCTGGGGTCTATCGCTGCCCTTGGAGGCGCAGGAGCGGTCCACTGCATGCTACCCTGCAACTATCGAGGATAGTCTCAAAGTCACTATGGAGTTGGGGTTTCGCTACCTTTGGGTGGATCGATACGTACGTAAATCGCAGCAATCACAGGATAGGGTTACTGACCTATGCAGTGCATAGACCAAGACAACAAGATTGAGAAACATGCGCTGATACAGAACATGGACCAGATATACAGTAAAGCGCAACTCACAATCATTGCGGCAGCCGGTAGTGATCCTACTTATGGCCTTCCCGGTGTAGGATCGAAGCCTCGTTCCGTCCAGCATCATGTCAGAGTTGGAGACATGAAGCTTGTACAGTTGATGTATCCCGGTTCGGATTTCCCTAGATCAGCCTGGTGGGAACGCGCCTGGACCTATCAAGAAGGAGTCCTCTCGCCACGCAAACTAGTCTTCACAGATCACCAGGTTTTCTACGTATGCAACCAGACCCACTTCGCCGAAAGCCTAAACGCGTATACCGCGGGAGCCGCTGGCGTTAAAACCGACTCATTCCCTGGAAGCAGCTCGTTCTCCGATATGGTGCTGCCCACTGACTCTAGGAGCTATGAATCATATTTGAGAGATATTACGGCGCGTGCGCTCTCGCACGAGTCCGACGCACTTAATGCCTGCCTAGGCATCCTCAAGGCAACAAATACGTCGCACGTATGGGGAATACCGATCCGTACCTATCCAATTCCCACCATAGCTCTATGCTGGCGCCACAACACCCCGGCACATAGACGCCTTGACTTCCCAAGTTGGTCATGGACCGGCTGGAAGGGAGCCGTGGACTTCCGTGACAGCATTGTCACGAGCCGCTTGTGTCAGATACGCCTTGGAAACGACGACCAGAACTGGCAGCGAGTGGATGAATATGTATGGAGTGGCCGAGCACAAGAGGACGCGGGTAGAAACAACGCACCCAGGCTTTTGCAAATGACCGGCTCAGTTTTGGACTGTACCCTCCTAGACCAGCAATGGCCTGACCTGGATGATTTCGGAACTGCTGGGCCGCAAGACGACCGACCAAAGCCGTACTTTCTCCTAGAACTTAATGGGTTATCAGCGCTAGCTACTCTCTACTTGGACGAAGAAATGGAAAGCGTGCAGCAGCTTCGCGGCGTGATCGCAATGGCGATGAGAGCCGGGAGCGAGGGGTCCTGCATAACTGCACTGCTTCTAAAGCCCAAAGGAGAGTTTTACACCAGGGTCGGTATGCTGGAGTTGTCATGCGGTGATCAATACTGCAATGAATTGCCCGGGCTACACCCGTTTTGGGAGCGACGGGCTGAAGCAAGAACAGTCATTGTGGAGTGAGGTAGGGGGAACCAAGCGTACGGGAACTCGAAGGCCAATAGATCAGCCAAGCGTCGAATTCTTCACGCCTTCGTAATCCTCACAGACGCCATACCGCTCGAGAGATCAACCGCCCATCCACCCCTCGCTTCATTCAGGCCCGGAACCGAGAACCCAACCGAGCTTGATCCAGGCCGCTTCAACCACACAATTGCCGACTTAGCCTGCAATGCCTCGCTCGCCGCAGCCGGCAGCACGCTCAGCGTAACAATCTGCCCCGCCTTATCATACTCCGCCCTCTCAACCGCCCCAGCGCTGATCTCAATCTTCAACCCCAAGTCCGCAACAAACACCCTTCTCCTCAGCGCATCCCTCGGCTCCACTGCTACTATCGTCCCGTTCGACCCAGCGTCCACCATATTCCCACCAAACACCACGTCACCGTACTTCGTCCCGCTCAGAATGTACACACACTGCCCCAGACTCAGCCCCAGGAACCCCTGCCCATAATCCCCAGAATACGGATCCCACTTCAGCAGGTCTGGGAAACTATGAAATGCCGCAGAGGCAAACCCATCTTCATGGATATTCGTTAGCGGTGCCGTGTTTCCCGCGTACCCCACTCTCAGCGCGTAGAGATCGGCGGGATGCTGCTCGTAGTACGACAGCATGGGAAGGGAGTTTAGTCCGGACCCGTAGTGATGGATTTGCCGCTCTATTTGCTGGATTTTGGCCGCGTAGACAAAGTCCCAGTAGCGGCGTGCGTTGCCGTTCCAGCCCCAGTGAGGGACGGTGGGCATATAGGCGAAGATGCTGTTGATGGCTTTTGTAGCGGTTTTGGGGAGGTTGAAGTAACTAGGGAACTGTTAGTTGAGTTGGGGGGAGGAGGGTACGAGACTTACTTAGTCCAGTAGTAGACGCCTTCCTGACCGGTACTGTCCCACGCCATTTCGCTGCCGAAGGGCACAGCTTGCGTATCCCACAAGTTCGCTCGATAACGCATCGTAGCTTCTAAAGCCGTACCTTCTGCGTTCATGCCCTCTCTCTTCAAGTCCTCCAGCAGCTCGCCAAGCACAGTTTCGCCCATCAAGCCCACGAGACCGTAGTCGCAATTCGCAGCGCGATTCGCAAGACAGTACTGCGTGGTGTTGTACGCTCGTCCCAGATACCACTTCCAATCCGCTCGCAGCGTCACATCCGGATAGTCCCTCGCGACGCGATACATAGCCCAATACGTCGCCGTCGGATGCACGTAGTTATACGCACGACGCGTTGTATACGCTCTCGCCTTGTTCCAAGACGTCCAACTGCCCCAATCAATCGTAGAGCTATACGCATAATCCGTCGCATTCGGCTGGTAGAAGAAGGCGCTCGCTACGACGCCGAACGTGCCGTTCTGCTGCAGCGTCCCGACGACTGTGTCGTGGATGAAGGCGTCCATTACGGCGAGCTCGCGTGCGTGGGGCTGGGTGAATTGCTTCATTGCGGTCGTGAGATAGGCGCCTGTGCCGCCCTCGTCGCTGAGGCCGGCGATCCAGACGCGGCTGTCTTGTTCGACGATCTTGTGGAGTTCGTTGTCGTAGGTCATTATTGAGGGCGCGCGGGCGAAGGGGTCGGTGGCGTTGGTGTAGTGCGCGGCGGTGGTGAAGAAGTGGCCGAGGTTGGCGAGGGTGGTGGGGGTGGACTTGGTGATGAAGTAGTGGAGGGCTTGCTGCTTGCCGTCGGTGTAGGTTATTGTGAGGCGGGTTCGGCCCCATGCTGAGCCGGTGGGGGTTAGGGCGTAGGAGTGGACGCTGGATGCGGCTGGGGATAGCTCAGCGATGGTGAAAGCGTTTGTGTCGATAGATTTGACGGGAGATGAGTGGTTTACGTGTAAGTGGGCGGTAAGGTCTGATGGCACGATGTATCCTGGGATACCAACAGCGAGCGGCGTGCCAGTGCGCACCACAGTATCTTCAATGGTTTGAATGGTCTCCGCCAACGAGAACTTGAGGCCGACGGAGTAGATTTCTCCTGGCTGTAGAGTCTTCGACGTGGGAGTATTCCATGGCGTGCTATTCTTCCACTCATTCTGAGCCCACGCGAGGCTGTGGATCTGCCACTCATAGTTGCCTTCATACGTCTGGGACTGATATCCAAAGGATCCAGTAGGCTCGCGAAGAAATCGCCAAGCTTCGAATCCGCTCGAGACCAACGGCGTGATGACGAGCGCGTTACCGGTACCAGAGAGAGGCGATACTCGGAGATAGCCCGCGTCCAGTCCGATATAAGGATCTGCGAATGAGCATTTCGCCTGCGTCTCCTCGGCCGGTCTGTTCGTAAAGATGTTGTTAATGACGACCGGCAACCCCAAGCTCCCAAGCTCAACTACAGAGCTCCCTGTATTCGTAAAGTTGAAGCGCAACACAAGGTCACTCCCCGCCGAAAGCCACTCCCTCGTAACCTTAAACGGCACATTGTTCCCGAGCGTGGGAGCCAAATCCGCACCCGCGACGACTCCAGCTCCCAGCTTCGTCAACTGCGTGACCGGTTTCCTCGCGCTGGCGGAATCAACGCTCATCCAGGATGCGCTGCTGGATGTCCGGTAGCGAAAAGTGACATCTCCGAGATGATGTGCGCCGTTGAAGGCTAGCTTGGGGAGCAGATCGGTGGGCAGGAAGTCGAAGCTTGTGCGGCTGGAGTTGAGGGATGCGAGTGCGCCGGAGGACTTGACGATTTGGCCTTTGAGGTCGCTGGTTTGGAAGGTGGTGTATCCATTCGATAGTCCAAGAGTATCTTGTGCGGTAACCAGGGCGGCGAGACTGCCGATGGTCGCTATCCCGAACGCGCGAAGTGACATCCTTTCAACTCTTTCCCTTAGGGCCTTATGAAGCAGAAACCGCAGCTTCCGAACACTATTTTCGGCGGACCTGAAGCTTTATTGATGTTGGCTCCTCTCCATCACGGGAATAACGCAGCGATGATCCCAGCGTCACCTTCGAGCTTCCTTTTCCGAGGTGGTTGCCGTTCCCGCAGCTCCTCCTCTTCCTGTTTGAGGGGCTGTATACTCCATGACGTCTGCATAAGTTCGAGTGGACTTTTTGTTGACAGTGAGGAAACCCCGCCGGAGAAATTATTTGGTTACTATAACCACCAATCTGATCAATAGGCTAATACGACTTCGGCGAAAAGTTTCCGCGGGGCGTTTCCAGTATGTGAAGGGATCGACCCCGTAATTGCGAATGAGGTCTATTTCTGATGGTAGGTCCTTTCCGAACGTCTTACGATATAGGAGGCGGATGGTGGAAGTGATGTGATGTTGAAGGTCGAGGAGCAGAGCTAGTGGGCGGCTTTACCGAGGCTCTCGAACCTGCCTCTCACGGTGCGGGATTCTCTAGATATAACGCTGCACGTAAAAGCCAGCGTAGATGTATTCATGAGTGTGTACAGCAGCACGTATAATGGTTAGCATGGCGAGCTCTTAAAAATCTGGATAATCCCCCATCGCAAGAGCATGCATCATGCCAACGGCCCGATCTTTTTAGTCGCTTTCAAGTCCAAAGGACGATATCATCTTCGCAAAAACAGTAATGCATAATAGGTACTATTTTGTCTTGCCATCCTTTCGCAAATACACGGGGTTTGGACGGTCGGGATGAGACCACGTGACTCTTAGCCAGATATGGACTAGTGCTGACGCACAGAACGATAGTTCGTGCCTGCGTCAATTCTATTCTCAGGTGTGGTTTCAGCTGTCCACGCTCTACTTCGAGTCGCTCTAGTCGGCTCACCCAGACCACGTTCCACTACGAATTCCCTTCGTTTCTATTCCAAGGCTGTTGTGCATTTGACTTATTCTCCCGAACCATGTGAAGAAGGATTCTGCTCGCGAGCTACAGCGGCCTGCTCCAGCTTCAGCGCTTTCCCGGTCGAGGGATTGCTCAATCTACGCTGGATCAAAGAGAGCCTTCGATTTGCGAAGCACATTGTTGGTCGATGATAACTGTTCGCAGCGGGCGCGCAACTGTCGATGTGCTCCAGGAAACAGACCGCCATTTCTACCCCAGCCTCCTCTTTTCGAGGCTCGAACCACTCTCCTGGGGCACTCGGCTGCTGGATGCCATGGAACTGTCTCAAACGTCTGCCCGGTCCGATGGAACTCTGCCCGATTCGGTGTGCACGCCGGATTCAGGGGCCGTGGAACGTGTTGGCATGCAGCTGTGCGGCACGGAACGTTCAGCCCCCACAGATCTACCCTGGACCGACCAGCCGTCCCCCTTCGCCATCTCAGCTCCACTCGCGAACCTTACATTGACACTCACATTACATACGCAAAGATCAGAGCAGTTCCGGAAGCAACAGAGACTGAAAATACTGCTAACGGGCTTCGTAAGAAGGGAATCCTCCAAGAGAGCTCAAGGCAACCACCTCAGTGGTTGGGCTGATATTAAACCCTCTCTTTCTGGAAGCATCGGCTGATAAAATGGGAGATCCTTACCACTATCAAACCCTCCCGTAACAGCTGCAGCCACCACCTGAGGTTACAACAAGGCTGGCACGGCTATTCTAAGGCTAAAACACGTTTGCTGCAACTAGCACGAACCATTCGCAGGCGCGTGCTATATCCGGCTACCCCCGCAGGCTGCATGTTGGTCACGGGAGGGTGCGAGGATGACCGCCACCCTGTTCATCATCCAATGATCTTGTGGATGGATGTCTTCGTATAGCACATGCCACAATCCCGCAGACAGCTTCCTCGCCGTCTATTTCCTAGAAGCGTTGTAATGCCGTCCTTGGATGCATTTGCAGACGCACAGCTTGCCAACATTGTATCCGTTCTGTTACGGATTCCTGCAAGAGTCGAATAGGCCGAAGCGCTGGAGAATTCGGGCTCCAGGACGGCCGTGGGGGCGCTGCCCGCATGGCAGCTATATATTGCTTCAGAGCTACTGGTGCCTGATCTGTCAACGCATCCATACCACCCTCATCGTTCCCCGATACTTCTCGTCTTCTTTGATCCCATACCAGATTTCAATTAACTTCCTCCTTATCCACCTCTTCTATCAAAATGCTTGTTCAAAAATCCGAGGCGTATAAGCCTGAATCACCCAGTCCATCCTCCAAAGCGAGGCGGTCCTTAGTCATCTCTACACCCGTCCGTCTCCCGATCAAGAAGACGCTCGCTACGATCGCGGGTAGTTCGCCTCTAGAAGAAACCAATCTTGCCCTCGTCTTGCGCTCCGGTAGCGATGCGACGACAATATCCACTGATGGTACTGATCGCTTCTGGAGTGCCACCAAGGGTCCATATGCATCACCCACCACGAGTTCTAAGGAATCTCAGCTTTCGACCCCGAACACGTCGCCAAGTATTACCCTTAGTCCCAAGAAGAGCCTGCAATCAGAGCCAGAATCGCCATTGCTGCGCAAGGCGAAATGGCCAGCCACTACGAACTCGCTGGTCACCCAGGTGGTCGAAGCTGCTCTTGGACAGCAGCCTGCCGGTATCGCTGGAAAGGCTGAGAATGACATCAAGCCCGAAAAGTTGATCCGTAACATGACTGGCCTACTGTCACAAGGTGGGGACTAGGACGCCACTCACGCCAACGTAGACTGCTAACTTTTGTTCATGTAGTCGTCGAAGAGAACAATAAAGCCCGTCGCAAGATCGTCCTATCGGCCAGTCCGAACCTCGACTTCTCGTTTGCTACCATGCTTGAACATTCCAAGGCCACTGGACCGGCGATGCTAGTCTCGAAGACGAAGTCTTCGTTGTCTACGGATTCGAAGGAGAGCCCTGTGTCACCGGTATACACGCGTACCCAAACCACCGTCAAGATAAAAGTCGAAGGTGATCGTACCTCAACCTCGCCAAAAGCTTCGCCGTCAAAGAGCAAGAGTACACGACCTACGACAATCAAGATAGAACTGGAAAACATCCTCCCACTCGACTTCCGTCAGAGGCTGGCAGAAAACAAGGAAATTTGTGTGGCCTCACTGGTCAAAAGGCCATCTGCCAGGTGTTCCTATAAGGCCAAACCAACCTTGGCCCGTATAAGGACTCGCATCTCAAAGCTCGGAAGTATGCCAGATTGGGCGATCTTCCTCAGGAAAGTCGAAGAGGTTATTCGTTCGACCATGTGCCATAGACATCAGGACGCAGCCTTGAACGACTCAAGGATAGGAAGGCTGAAGACTTTAGTTCAAAGCATCGACCACTCGTCAACTGTCGACCTGTCACCTTTCTATTCTTGGGTCGATGCGATCGCCGGGAGAGGCTCCAAACAGACGAACAAGACGGCCACAGCGAAGGTTCTATATGCAGGCACCAAGGTCTCTTCACAAGGTAGTGAGGTCCCGATATCGATCTCGCCCAAGCTGCTTCCCGTTCCTTTCGGGTTCCAACCCTTTCAGCCCAAAGCTACCGCAGATCTCTCCGTTAACGAAGCCATACGTCGCGTCATTGTCCAAGACCTCACTGCCACCGACCTGAAATCCGGCTCCATCTACATATTCTGGTATAAAGGCCGGTTCGGGCACGTTAAGATTGGCCGCTCTAAGGATCCGGAGAAACGCCTTGAGGAATGGAATAAGCAATGCAAGCGCGTCCACGAGTTCCACATCTCGTCGTTCAGAGGCGAACTCGTTGAGGTGGCCCATGCCAGCCGGGTGGAGAGGCTAATGCATACTGAACTGAAGGATCGAAGACGGGAACTGAAGTGCGATGGATGTGGTAGGAACCACCGAGAATGGTTTGACGTACAGGAGAGGCAGGCAGTGGAGGTCTTTACAAAGTGGAGAGACTGGGTTGCGCAAAAGCCTTACGTGGAGGACCATCGCACCGGCGCATGGACGCTCAGGCCTGACATGGAAGAGAAGCTCGCTGAGGTGTGTCGCCCAGTGGAACTCGCGGCTGCGAAGAAGCCAGTGAGTCGAAAGCACAGGTCTAGAACTAGCCAAGGGGCACACGGTCACAATCTCCGCTCGCGAACACCATCGGGGCGGGCAAGGACGTCGTTGTAGGCTAAGCCTATGTACATTTGCCAATTATGTATTACTCTTCCTGAAGCACGTCGTCGTCCCACCCCTTCCTCAATTCACAGGCCCATGGCCCACTGAAGATCTCCGCGCTTATTTTTCACCGGAACGACAGTTCCATCTCCCATCCCACACCTCCGATGCCTTCTTCATGGCCGTCATCAACCTCCATGTCCTCATCCGCCTCCTCATCTGCCCGACGTGACTCATCCCCCTCATGGTCGTGATAGCGTTTGCACACCTGGCCGCGAAGGCGTTCGATCCAGTCCACGCGATCCTCGCGGTGCTCGAACGGCACAACCCCGAAATCGGAAGCGGTGTAAAGGAGAGTCCGGAGAAACGCTTTGCTGAAAGAGCTCTCATAGTCCCTAAGGAGCGCTTTACTATCGCCTATATTAAGAGCGACATCGACGGCCATCTCACTCATAGCGGAGTGTTTGTTGGTGTTGTTCCAGACGTAGCGGATATTGTTGTATTCCAGGTCCGGCATGTCGTCGGCAAAGCGTTCAAAGAGCGCGTCGACAGCGGTATTGCGTAGCATCATGATGTCGAAGTCCTTGCCGAAGTTGTAGAGCTTGCAGACGAAGCCGAGGGGATAGCGACGTGTCTCGGGGAGGGGCAGCTTTCCGGAATACAACACGTCTCTGAACACTTCGAACACGTCGGGGCATTGGTCGGGGAGCTTGATTATCGGCGCCTTCGATTCCTCCGCTTCCGCGTTTTGCTCCGCCACACGCGCGAGTCTCGTAGGTTAGCGTTGCGGCTCGCGAAGGGGGTATACTTACTCCTCACGAAACCATCCTGAGCAATGCGCCATCAGGTTCACGTGGGCCCAGAATTCCTTCCACTCACTTCCCTCCCCTACCTCTATTGTGAAAATGGCATCGTTGCCGAACTGGCTGGCTGTCCATGGGTGTTCGCACGGCACGCTCATGTTGTCTGCGAGAGAGAGAGTGTGTGATAGTAGAGTAAAGAAGTAGAATGCGAGTGCGAGAGTATGGTGGTGGAGCAGAGAAGTAAGGTGCGAGGTGAAGGCGAAATATAAACAGATACCGGGGCAAACGTTTCTCCGCGCCGAGCCGGCAGTGTGCGGTGCGCAGTGTGTTGTCAGGGCGATAGTGTGACAACAGGGACTCTGAGGACCTTCGCCGCCCGATCCGTGTTCGGGTTACGATTGGAAAAGCTTACTGAAGGCACCAAAAGGAATTGTGGCCAGTCGGGACAAGCATTGTGCTGCTTGTTGAAGTCATACAGGAAGTCGAATGATTATATACTTCACCGTGAGAACAGGAACGAGGGAGGATGAAGGAATGTGAAGTGCTGCTCGACTGAGACTTTATACTCTTGACATCAGTGTCACATGCACTTTCGAACGGGCGGCAGTGCACCACACATGTTAAGTGATGAAGCGCGTTCACATCACGTGGAATTTTCAGGGCCTTGTGGTTAATTGGTTGATGAATTTTCATATGACCCTTCAGATCAGGCGGCTGGGAATGAACACCTTAAGTGATCTGCGCATGCAGTTTCGCATCCCTTAAGATGTTGTAGAACGATCTCGGGCCCTCCGTCTTCACCGGAAACCGTCATTCTTGAGGTCGCAACTTGGGAGCGAGGTAGTCGAGGGAGAGGAGTTGTCCGAGATTAGGGATGTGGAAGTGAGGGAGTTGTTGCAGTTGGGAGCAAAGTTGAGAGACTCCAGTGCACTTGTTGGGATAACGTCAGGCAGCGACCCGTTTCGTGACGTCAGCCAGGTAAGTCTTTTCGACGCGGTGCCGATATTGTAGGTGAAGGGGTGCAAAGGAGAGAAGTGCACGCATTGCCAAAGTCTGGAAAGCGGGGTCAACGCGACCCAAGCTAATGACCTACGCGCTACCACGTGATTGTTGATTGTGTCTTGGCGAGCACATGATCTCAACGTTCACCCTCCGCTCGCTCGAACGAAACCCTGTCATACATGTCTCTATCCACCGAGCCTATACGTTGACGGCGGCTTTGGCATCGTGGAATGCGCCGTCCCCTAAGTACGCAGCATTAATTAGGGAGTCGAATAATGCGGGACAGGGCAATGGGGCTGTTCGAAGCCTCGCTGACATTCCCTCGGCGATTTCATTCCATATTTTGCATGAGCTACAGCATGTATATTGCTGCTCGTTCCCTGTCCCGCTCTCTTCTGGGTGATTACTCAGCTCACGTAGTATGTAAATTTCAGAATATGCCAAGACTCTTAGTATAACGTAGATTACGGAGGGGTTAAATACGTCGACGCTCTTGTTCAACGAGTTGTTGATGAAGGGCGCCTTTCCAACCAGTGATCTTTCAGGGCAAGTCAGAAGTAATCCGAATGAAAATTGAGCAGGTCCTCGTAGACGACGGTGTCCGTTGGTATTCAGCACTGCTCAAAGTGATGATGACGAGCGGGAATGAATAGACTCGCTGTAAAACGGTTAGTATGCAATGCCTATAGAAGGGTTTGGAATGGGCCATATACCCTCCATCACTCCTTCTGCGCATTTGCAATCGGCTCAGTGTGATCATGATACCTGCACATCCGAGCTTGCGTCATTGCGATCCATCGGACTTTCGACATCGCCGCGGTTCCGAAGTGCATAGTCTTGCCTCGCATCGTCACAAGAACATCGACGAGGAAATCCTTGGGATACAGATGACGATACCCGTCCAAGTCTTCCCAGCGGGACATATTGACAGCAAATTCGACCATAAATCTTCGCAGTCCACAGTTCTCGGTTGTATTGCCGTAGATGTAATCCAACTCGTTTCTGGGGAACATCCATTCCTCGTGGGCCTTGGCTACGAAAAGCTCAAGAGCTGCATTCTTGAGCCGCGGTATAAGCTTTGAATCGCCGAAGACGTAAATCTGCGCAATGGTTTGGGTGCTGAGAGGGATTTTGTCGCCTGCTGGTGCACAGAGCTTGCCGGTGTTCAACCAAAAGAAGAATGCCTGGAATATCTCCACGGTAGTATCGTTGAGCCTGATGTAGTTGGAGCCGCCTTCGCGGAATTGGCCATTAAGAAGTCTATCGAAGTAGGATGAGTGGAAGCACAGCAGCCCGCGGTAGACCTGAAACTTCTTCTTCAATCCGCCGTCGGGCCCGACGTGGACAGTGGCCATGCGATCGTAGACATCCCTGCACTCTTGTCAGAATACGCAGTTCCATTACAGGTGGGTAGATGCCATACAAAGGTGGAGAGATGGACTGGAACGAACAAGGAGGCGGCGGTTCCATCGTCGCAGTGGTGTTTTGCGCCATCCTCAAGGTGATGCGACGGCGATGGCGACGTCGAAGGGCGGGCCGGGACGCGATTGGAGGAGAGTATGCCGATGGTAAGATAGAAAGGAAGTACGCAGCTCTGAGCGGAAAATTTTCAAGCCACGCCGGCCCAGTGAAAGAGGAATGCGCGACACGCGTGTGCCCCACCGCCACTCACTTCCACCTTTAGCCCCCCATGCTCTGGGCAAAACAAAGTAAAGCAGCAATCCAGCTAGCAAGCTGCACTCCAAGGTGTACGAATCAAGCCCTATAGTACGATGGGAGGCATAGAAATAGATGCAGAGGTAGATATATGGGAATCGGAAGGTGAATTTGAAAGCTCCCGAAGATGAACCTACAATCCCCGACTATTTCCCATGCCTCCAACTGTTAAGACCTAAGCGTCGAGCGAATCCGATCCACCAAGCCCTATATGCAAGGTGCTGCTGTGTTGAGCGCACTTTGCGGAAGAAGAAAGCTCTACTAATGGTTAGCCCGGTAAGGCAACGTAGATTGCGATACACGAACCAATCGAATACCCGTTGAGCCTCAATCCTAGGTTCTCAGCGAATGCAACGTCGAAACTGGCATTACCAGAGCCTCCTTAGTTCGTTCAAATCACCAACCATCCCGGCCCAATGGGCTTTCTGGCGCTGCCGATCCCCAAATATGCTCGGCGCTAGAGTCACCGCGATCGCTTGCCCAAGTCAGAAACGGTCTTGCCGGCAAAGGTGTGGAGCTGTACTTACACATTGCCGACAGAGCCACGGGCCTCCGGCTTTGTATGGTCGTGATATCGCTCGCAGAAGTGCGCCATCTTCTCCTTGATCCATCCCTCCGTCCCGCCATTGTCCAAGCCAAAGGCACTCCCCGGAACCACTTTTCTCTCCCGGCACGCATCGAAGAGATCCGCCAAGTATTCCTTTGGATAGTGTTCCAAGTGCTCCCTCCAGTCCTTGAAGTCTTCAGTCTCTAAGGTAAGGTCGACATGAAGTTTCCTCAACGGAGAGCCTTCCGGGGTCTGGTCGTAGATAAGGGGATTGATGAAGGAAGAGACAGCCCATGTCTTCACATCACTCAGGAACAGAGCCTCTAGGATCTTGTTCTTCAGCTCCTGGACGAGGTAGCAATCGGCGAAAACATAGACCTTAATGATCTCAACCTTTTGCAGGTCTTGACCGCCACCATCGGAAATGACGCCAGTGTTCAGCCAATAGAAGAAAACCTGAAAAGTGTCGATCTCGACCTCCGTCAGCTTGTGGAAGTTGCGACCGGACTCGCCAAAGCCTCCGTTGAGCAGGGTGTTGAAGTACTCGGAGTAGTGGCAAAGCAGCCCTCTGTGCATCTGGAATTTCTTTTTGCGGCCGCCCTGCTCGACCAGGATGGTCATCATCCTGTCATACACGTCCCTACAAATGTCAGCGCCGTGTCTTACTCTCACGACGCAAAACCCTATGAACTTACGGCGGTGGCGTCGGCGCGGGGTGCGAGCACGGAATATCGTCCGAGATCGAGAGCGAATCGAGCGCCGTCGTAGCATCATCTAAAGACGCCATGGTGCGGTGGCGGGAGCTACGACTGCGAATTGGTCGAGGTGAGTGTCGTAGAAATGAGAGCGAGGCATTCGACAGGATCTGGTGAAGCTCGGAAAATCCTCGCTCCGACGACCAGCGGCAGTGAAAACGGAAGGAGCGGGCGGTGAAGCATGTGCGCGAGAAAGACAGTGCTCACCACAAGTAGCAATACCAATTACTGATGAGAGGAGAGAATCCTCGTTGAAAGTCGGATAAACCGGTATATTGGCAAAACCAAATTACATAGCAAACCTATCCCATGTACATTCCTGCCACTCTGTGCCCACCCCGTTGCATGATCAGGTGGCAGTACCGAAAGGGCCGCTCATCCGCTCAGACGCACAGTACATACGGTAATCGAAAGGGCACGTTGGAGTCGGGAATTCAGCTTGAGCGCCGCGGTTCAGCAGAGCCACCCCCTATGCCCCGAGCTTAAGACATACCCACCTCGCTTTCAGACTTGTCGCTACGCAACTCGTAAGCATATGCTCCAATCCTATCGCTCGCAAAAACAGTACTTACGTTGAAGCGCCAACGTCACGTGGCGTGCCCTTGACATTAGGGTGCACATGATACCACTCGCAGAAATTCGGCCTTATTGCCTTGACCTGTTTCGTGCGATTCAAGTTAAGTACCCCTGGCGCGGCCTCTAGCTCTTTCAGCTTGAGCACATAATCGACCAGGAATTCTTTGTCATAATTATCCAGTTTTCCCTTGTTGATGTCGCAGGGCCAATGTCTCACCGCGACGTCGACGAGTAGCTGACGCAGAGGATCCGACCCGGTTGTGTTGGAGTAGATCAGCGGGCTGTTGTTGGCGGGAACTAATTGCTCGCTCTCCATGAGGAGATACATGCAGTCCAAAGCAGCATTCTTGAGACTGTGGACAACGTGGTAGTCAGCGAATATGTAGAGCTTCGCAATTACTTCCGGTAGCGAAGTTTTGGAGCGGATTTCATCCTTGGTATATCCGTCGATGTCGAATGCGCCTGTGTTCATCCAATCGTAGAAATGGTGGAACATCTCCACTTGGACCTCCTCAAGTCTGAGCGACTCGGACTGCGCTTCTCTGAAGCTGCCATTCAACATGCGATCGAAGTATTCCGAATGGTGACATATCAGGCCGCGGTAGACTTGGAATTCTCTCGTAGCACCTTCAGGTCCAACGATGACTTTGATGATCCGGTCGTACACATGTCTGCAGTATCGTTAGCACCGATAATGTAGAAAGCACGCTACACATACCGAGGAGGTTTCTCAGATGGGTGAGAGCAAGGTATCGGAGCTGGGACGTATGGCTGCTTAGATTTCTCTTCTGGGGACGCCATAGAAGCAATGAGTTGGGGTTGAAAGATGAAAAATGGTGTGTTGAGGCAGTCAAAGTTGCGAAGATATCGGGAGAGTTTTTATTCCAAAAGTGCCGACAGCGGGTGAAAGAGGTAGGAGCGACCTCGCTCGTTGCGCCCCGCCTGAAGTTACAATGTCACATAGATCTGCTCTACCTACTCTGTCCATGAATTGGCCTCATTCCCACGCGTCCCACCCGACACCTTATCAATGAACGCCAGATACGCCAGTATTACCCGTAACATGATCCTCCATAAGCCATCCAGGGTATGACTGCGACGAAACCCGCTGAAACAATGTAACATCATGGCGATGATGCAGAGGTATCTTGTCGTAAAGAGAAGCGAGATCAAACCATGTCGCCCATTCATCGTCTTGGTCCCATACCCAAACCTGTCCCGGTCATCCGTCCACCGCCGGCCATCAGACTCTGCTTCACAATCATCTCCGCGGCCTGCGCAGCTGCTAGTCGCTCCTGTTCCGGTCAGTCAAACATCTAATATGGTTTCGGGGGCATGTGTGTACCTTCTGTCTGCTCCGATCTTTCAAGTACCTCTCTGCTTCGGGCCTCATTCTCAGAATCCGCAAAATCATATCATCATTCGGGTCAGCTTGCGCCTCTTTCCTCTTCTCTTCCTTCGCCTTCTTCATAGTACCTAAGTTCCGTGACAGCATGATCGTCTTGTGTTTCCGTGACGGCATCCCGACCAGGCCTGCTGCGCCGCCAAACTGGTGGCCTATCGACGCTGGAGCTGACAAGCGGTTCAAGCGTGCAGCTTGCTCTTGCTGGCGCATGGCATTGGCGGCGGCCATGGATTCGGACGTGCGGATGAGATCCTCCGTCGATTCAAAGTAAAAGAAGTTGAGATTCTGGAGTTCGTGATACTTCGGTGACTTGAGAATATCGATAGGAACTCCGTCCGAGTTACCTTCTTCGTCCGCGGCATGGAAAAATTCGAACAGTAACTGCAACCATTTGAACACGATATCGACCTCTTGCCGTGTCAACGGTCGCTGCTGACTAAGCTTGTCACTCAATGGAGGAACAAGCAGAGACTCAATCGTGACGAGGACTTCCTTCCAGAGCCTGGTCATGACCATGATCATGGCAGAGTCGGTGAGTGTCTGCTTCATGATAGCGAAGTTCTCGTTGAAATAGTCGAAGAGCGGCTCGAGCGCTTTTGTGATGTCTTGCGGTGTAGGCCCGTGCGCTACGGACTGTGGACGGGTGGAGCGGAAGTAGCTGGTCACGGCAGAAACTGTTATGCCACGGTTGAGCAGAGCTTTAAGAGCTCGGCGAGAGAGGGAGTGGTTAATGAAGGCCGAGAGCTAGTCAAGGTCAGCGATGCTAGTTCATGTGGCGGCGTACGGAATGCCTACCTTGTCTGTGATCTTCCGTGTCATGTCACGTTCAGTCCTCTTAAGCGTCCTGAATGCTTTGCCAAAGTAAAACTGGATGTCGTCTCGCTCACCCTCCATGCTCACACGCAACAACAACCGGCCTTGCGTATCGAGATCGAGCCAATACTCGCGCGGCATGAAATCTCGAAAATGAGAAGGGTCGAGCTTCAGCGAGGTACGACCGACGCAATCGTGGTCACCCAGGGTATCCCAATCCCAAATGGTAGCAATGATGTTGAGGGGTCCATTGGTGGTAATATCGATCGTCTCGTCCCATCGAGGATTAAGGCTCCCGTAAATAACGCGGGTTTTCGCAAGACGTTTCTGGTACTCATCGCCAAGGACAACGTAGGGATCGCTGAGGCCGTTGATATCGCATGCTTTGAGGTCCTCAGCTTCGATGATCTTGATGGTAAAGACGTAATTGTTATTCCGAATGCGTTGCGTCGGCGGCGGTGCGTTCTTCTGAATGACCTCTGCGCAGGCATCGACGTTAATGTCGCGCTCGAGCTTGTCTAGCTGGAGCATGGCATATTCGATGTTGTTGAGTTTGACCAACGACTAGATGCATGTCAACACCGAAGCAAACGAAAGCGGCGTCTCACTTACCTCTGGATAGAAATTGAAAGGCTCCATCTTCTCCTTTTGGGAATAGAGATCCTTGGCCATGGAAATCCACTTCTCCTGTTTTGTCTGGCGAGTAGCAGCCTCCTGCTCAGGCGTCATGCGGTCCATTTCTTTGGTGAACTTTTGTTCGACAAGTTCGCAATATCTCGCCAATCCGAGACCTACTGACTTTGACACAGCAGTCATGAACCTAGCATACTGTAGATCATCGTCCCAATTTAGTGACACGATTTGCTCGATACTCTGGTTGAAGGACCGGAAGATGTCCACGACGGAGATGCTGTGGCGCTCATCATCCGCTGGGATCTGATTCGGAGACTGGATCTGGAATTGATCCGCCTTGAACGCGTTCTCCACCCAGCCGATCAAGTTTGCGTCGGTCATCTCAATCCATCTCCACACGAAATCCTGTAGCATTCCCTCAATATGGAAACCGAAACGGCGATTGGGCAGTGCCTTTCCGTGTATCTCACGGATCTCGACAAGCTCCTTGTACAGGTCGAAGCCGTCCTGAACTGGAACCTCTTCACCCTTACTGTGGGCCACATCCATTATACGAGCTACTAAGTCTCTCGCATCTGCGGCATAGGCTGGAAACATCTCTTCGACGAGACACATCATCGGACTGACGCCCATGATATCGGGATTCTTGCGGTATCGCTTTTGAATCCTATCGCATAGCTTCACAACCGCTCGTCCAAGCTCAATGACATGATAGAACTCCCATTCTTCTTTAGTCTCTGGGATGTGTTTCGCGAGTAGCTCGCGGTATACGTCGGCGGCTCTTGCCCGAAGCGCTTGTCGCAATTGCTCAGAAAATTGGTCCAGCTCCTCGGGCGTAGCCGAGAACAACGGATCGTCGTAGATGTGATTGTTCAGCACGTACATGAGGGGACCGAGCGGAGGCGCTTTTGAATCGTACACCAGGAGCATCAGCTCGAACAGCTCCCGTAGGAGACACCCGTGTAATGCGCTTAAGATGTGCTGATTGAGCGCATAGTCGTGGACCGTCCATTTCGACCGATCGAAAAGCGAGTCGGATATCTGCACCTGGCTCAGTCTGTGAGATTTCTTGTCGGTTGGTGGTGGCTCTTTGACGTAGTTGAACGCTGCGTCAAGCGTATCCAAGCTGATCTCCTGTTCCTGGTATTTCTCTTTAATCACGTCGAGGAACAGCACAAGCCTAGAGAATTGAGGTATCCTCCATCTTAATGCGATCTCGTTCAGCAATTCGGCAGACTGTTTTGACAGCAGCTTTAGGGACGGTACTTCGCTCGTGGCTTCAGAAGGCTGAAGTTCGCTATCCGCGAGATCGTAGGTTAGTGCTTCTTTGAGCACCGCGCGGTAATAACTGCGCGGATCTGGTGGAATAAAGGTATAACCCGCATCGTCATCCCCAGAGTCGTCACTAATGTTGAGGCTGCTCATATCCACCGGCTGGTCGATGACATATGAGCTTCCATTCTCAGACTGGTTCGACTGCTTTCTCATCGGGTCATGGTACCCGGATTCGTGCGGCGCACTTGGCTTGAACTGGGGCACCGACCCGCCAGGTGTGCTCTTGGCTAGCTCTGGGTTGGACTGTACGATGGCGAGAATCATCTGAGAGAGGTCGTGGATCTCTTGATGCTTCCAGGCCTGGTATGCGTCATCCAGATCAAAGTCATCGCTGTTCAAGGTCTTCTTGGTCATGAGACTCAGATGGGCCTGGTAGGTCTTGAGGTCCTGTAACGCGGCCTTCTCCGTCCACACTGACTTGTATCTGTTGATGTCGGCCTGAACGTCCGAATAGGAAACTGCAAAGACTCGAGAGACAACCAAAACCAGCGGCATATCCTTGACTTCGTAGCTGCGAGGGACCTCAACCTCGATTGTAGACCCGCCTTGCCCGCCGTTGCGCTGGTTCTCGGCAGCCAAGTCCTGGTCGTGCACCAGTAGCTTCTTCTCCATGGTCTGCAGCCGCGAGCTCAGCTCCGGCCTGTCCCGCGCCCAATCGTGATCCTTCAGCGTCGAGCTGATGAGCCGGATAAAGAGAGCGACATGGCGATCTACCATGAGCTTCCAGCTGTCGTCACCGGGTGGCTTCCCTTTCTGCAGCTCCTTTGTGGCATTCGAGAAGAAGATCAGCAGCAGGTCTTCCACTCTCCTATCTTTCTCCATAGACTTTCTAAACTGCGGTGCTTTGAACTCGTTCAAAAACACGGCGAACGTCCGCTTCACCGTAGCGTCCTTGTACTCGGGCATCTTCTCCCTGCCCATCAGCACGCCCGTTATCCGCTTGTCCAGCTCGCCCATGAAGCCATGAGGGAAGCGTGTGCTCTTGGAGTCCCTTATCAGGGAGAAGTCCTTCATGAGGTCGTTCACGGAGGTCGAGGAGCGCTGCACCTGGCGCGCCGGGGCGGGCACATGCTGGACTCGCTTCTGGCGCGGCTGCAAGAGGTAGGCGAGGTAGGCGGCGCGGAGGGCATAGAGGTATGCATCTTGGGCGGAGACGGGGCGCTTGCCGCGAGCTGAGCCGGAGCCCCTCCGCTGCAGGCGTTCCTGTGTCTGGAGACTGTTCAATCGCCGGTTGCTGCCACGGCTCTGCTCCATTTCCGGCGGCGTGCGAGGAGCTCAGCAGCGGTGCGTGGGGAGGACGGTGGTGCGCAGGTGTTGGGCGCGGCGCATACCCAGCTGGCGTGGGTGCTGGGAGCTGGGTGCCAGGGCCGCCGCTGCCCAGCGTGGAGATGATGGCGGGGTCGCTCCTGCTCTTTCAAGCTGTGCACTGGCGGCGAGCTGCGCGTTCTCCCTTTTGCAGGCCGTATAGTATAGCGGATGCCGCAGCGCTCCTTGTGCGGAATTGCAGGCGATCAGGCGGCGCGGCGTGGCGGACGGGGCTCGTTGGTGGCGGGAGCTTCGCCGATACGGTAGTGCGTCACAAGGCGGGTTGGCTCCCAGGAGGGGATAGCAGCATCGGCTGACGGCCGTTGATGAAACGCAGGCCCTTAATTAGCCATCGCAAGCGCGTCTCCACACTGTTTCCTGCACGAATCTGCAGGAGCGATGACGGTTTCGGAGTCAAAAAATAAATAAACGATCCTCGCTTTCCCGGCGCGAGGTCTCTCTTCACGTGGGACCAACGCGTCTGTGCGCACAGTCAGACACCACCACCACTCGCGCTCCGACATTCTCCGCTATCATACTTCGTTCTGCACCCGAGAAGTGGAGAGGACTCCGGAGCGGTATGGCTGATTGAGGAAAAAACGGCTCACAGGCAATGCGCCGAGCTAACTTTCACATGAAGTCTTCCCTCTAGCTATCAACTGAACCCTGACACCCTCACCACCTGCGCCGTCGAAGATAACCGCCGCCGACGCCCCACGTCAAATCGTCCCCGGAACATGTCGAAGCCTCGTCATCACAGCCAACAGACACCTCTAAACTCTTAACATCCCTCCAAGACATCCGCGTCTGAAACGGTCCCATCTTACGAGATACCCCGTCACTCGGCCGTAACTACACATCTGCATCAGGATGACGTCCCCAAATAAACCCACGGACCCAAACGACCGCCCGCGCCTCACAGAAGCCCAGAAGAAGGAGAACCACATCCGCTCCGAGCAGAAGCGGCGCGAGGCCATCCGCGAAGGCTTCGACAGGCTCGCGTCAATAGTGCCGGGCATGGAAGGGCAGGGAAGGAGCGAAGCCGTCGTTCTGGAAGCGACCATCAAATACATGAGGGAACAGATTGTGGAAAGGCAGAGGATCATTGCGGAGGCGCAGGCGAGGGGGATTGATACTAGCAGCTGGGAGCTGCCGAAGGACACGATCGATGCTTGCGAAATGCAGGCGAGGAGGCTCGAGCAGGAAGAACAGCAAGCGAGGAAATGATTAAACGCTCGGATTGGATATACACGAGCTTGGGAAAGGTCTCCAGGCGATCGCTCTGGCCGCGCAGGAGCGTCTGGTGGCGTTTAAGGGAGATCTAGCATTTCCGCCGGGCTAGTTAGCGCGGCAGTATACAGCCACTTTCCATCTTCTCAGGGAGTTGAAAACCTAAATTCAAACTGCAATCCTCCCAAAAGCATGTCGCGATTCCACTTTGCCTCTAATTGCGCCTGCTTGCATTGATTCTATTCACTAAAGCACGGACCAATGACGCCTCGATGCCTTATCGATAGTGGCCCCAAAATATTCAACCGCAACACTAGATAGATCTCCAGCCACTCGAAACAGAAAGAACAAAAAATGGCACAGCCCTTCAGCTTCGGCTTCTCAGGCGACGACATAGAAGAAGATCCAAACGAGCTCTCAAACCCCAACGAAAACGCAGGCACGCCATCCAACGATGCCCCTCCACCACTCCCCGCCCGAACACATGACCTAGACGACCTGGTAGGTAAGAAAGCTCAACAAGCCGCGCCCTCGAATCCCAAAACATTTGCAAATGTCCCTAACTAACACACCCACAGCTCTCCACCCTCCCCTCCAAAATCTCCTACTCCCTCTTCACCACCACCTCCCCGCGCGGCTTCACGGCGCGCCTCCCGCGCCGCTCCCTCTTCGACATCCGCCTGCAGCTCATGGCCGAAGACCCTCTCTCCAACCCCCCAAACTCGACCCCGCTCCCCGGCCTCGCCGCCTCCGACGTCAGCACCAACGTCTACGAAGGCGGCTTCAAGACGTGGGAATGTAGCGCCGACCTCGTGCGCTTCCTGCTGGACCGCGGGCCGCGCAAGGACCTCGACGACCTGGTGCGCGTGGACCACGTGATCGAGCTGGGCTGCGGGACGGCGCTGCCGTCGCTGCTGTTGTTCCAGTACGCGGTGCGGAATGCGCTGGCGGTGTATTTTACGCTGACGGATTACAATGCCGATGTGCTGCGGCTTGTTACGGTGCCGAATCTTGTGCTGAGCTGGGTGGCGACGCTGGGGGAGGAGGGGAGTAGGGAGGTTTTTGGGGAGGGGGGGAATCCGTTGGTGGGGGATGCGGAGGGGGAGGGGGAGTTGTATGTCACGCCGAAGGTGGTGGACGGGTTTAAGGCGGCGCTTGAAGCACAGGGTATTGTTCTTACTCTGATTTCTGGATCTTGGACACCGGTATCGCAGCTCTTGTCGCTCGTCCCGACGGATCCCGCGCTCAATACGTTTATTCTTGGTTCGGAGACTATATACTCCCCGGCTAGCTTAGCCGCATTCACGGAGGCGATCGCGGAGCTGATGAAGAGGGTGAAGAGTGGGAAGGCAATAGTGGCGGCCAAGAGGGTGTATTTCGGCGTTGGAGGGAGCGTGGATGGGTTTCGGGAAGAGTGTGCGAAGAGAGGGTGTGTGGCGTATGAGATGGAGTTTGAGGGGTTGGGAGATGGAGGGGTAGGCGGGGTGAGGAGGTGTTTGGTGGAGGTGCAGATGTATTGAAGAGTCATAGTTGAGGGTGGGTGATCAAAGTTAGAAAAAGCGTTGGAGTCGTAATCGTAGTACTATCTATGTAGGGGTATCTATCCATGTGCTCGGGTCAGTCACAAAGGAACCAGAACGCCTAGGGCCAGCTAACCGTCTCATCGTAGGGGAACTATTACCATACCCATCATTTCAGCAACCACAGCCGAGTGACTTCAACAGAGTTCCTGCTCGTCCCTCTGGTAGGGGAGAAATCCTACTTCCTCGCCGGCTTCGCATACACGGTCGGCATATCCTTACCCGGCAATCCCCTGTCACCCATATCCTCACCCAACCCCTTCCTAATCGCATCGCGTTCAACCTGCATCGACTCCCCCCTCTTCTCTCTCAACCTCTCCACACTCTTGCCCACAACATCAATATGATACCTCAGCGGAATCTCATCCCTATACCCCACCACCTCGGGCGCCCCCACACCCTCCCGAAGGTTCTCCAAATCCGCGGAAATCTCCTGCAGCTTGAGCAGTGTCGCACTGACATGCTTAACCGCCTCGTCCTTGTACTGCACGACATCCTTCAGCAGACGCAAGCTCTCGTCGAACGACTTCTTGCCAGAGCGGTTACCACCGAGCATGCTCCAGAGCTGGGCGAGCAGTTCGTCACGGTTTTTGTTCACAATGAAGTTGTCGCGGGCGGCGATGTCGGCGATGACGTCGAGTTGGCCTTCCAAGCTGTTGAGCAGCGCCATCAGGGCTTGCGAGATTTCGATCAGCCGTTGGATGTCCTCTTTGATGTGGGACACGTGTTGCACGTATTGGTCGAAGATTTGCTGTTCTAGGGAAGCTGGGCCGACCACGAAGACGGAAAGCGGGTTGATGTAGGAGAGGGCGCGGGAGAGGGCGCCGCTGCCCGCATGTTTCTCTGCTATATCTTCGAGCACGTTGAGCGACCACTGATTAGTTGAAATGACTTTGTCCATGGTATATCCAATCTTCGAGTTGTAGTTCGCAAGGTTGCCCGACGCTTCACGCGCGGTTTCGATAAAGGTGGAGAACTCGACTTCCAGCTGCGAGCGCGATGGGAGCTGCGAGTACTTGACTAGCGAACGCAGATCACGAATGGCGACTTCGCTCTTCTTCATGGTGGCTGGGAGGGCATATGAGTCTTTTGATGCATCCAGCACCTCTTCGAAGGTGGACTGAACATTGATCACTTCTTCGAAGTCGGGTTGGTGGACGTCTCGCGGCGTGGTAGCGCAGTAGGGGATAACATAGGATGAGCCGGGAATGATGCAGATTGGCGTGAGTGCTGTTTGGAAGGTCTTCAGCAGGAAGCCGGAGGATAGTTGGATGATTGAGATGATCAAGAATGCACCCACGGCCACGCCCAGCAACGGCTTCATGAAGTGATTCATTGCGTATGCGAAGACGTCCAGTATGTATTGCGCCAGTGGCCAGACAACGTGTGTGCGGAACAGCTCGACGTAGTGCCACGGCCCAAGCGGTTCTTGCTCCTCTTGAACGAATTGATGATCGGGTCTGATTCCTGATGTGCGCCGATTCCGAACCTGTGGTGACGGGTTCGTACTTCCCGGTTGACTCTGCACCGATGGTTGTCTCGATTTTCTCACCCGCATTTGGGAGTTGCGCAGTGGTGAGCCGTTGTAGAGTCCGTTAGGAGATGCGCTCATAGAGGGCATTATGAAGCTTGGCTCTAGTGACCCTGATCCAGGCGTAGAACGATGGGACCGCGGATTTCCGGGTGTTTGGGAATGACCCGAGATAATGCGGGTGGGTGGAGTTTTCACTGGCGTGGTTTGCGGCTCTCTTGACGATGCTCTCGTGACTCTGGGCGGAAGAGGCGTTGCTACGTCTTGGTGTTCGTGTGCGTATCTTTTGTCCTCGTCTTCTAGCTCGCTGTCACCCTGGTCTGAAAGCGAGGATGCCGAATGGATCGAGGCGCCACTGTCCGAATAGTAGTCTGCGTCTCCCCAGGAGTCTCCCAGGCTACAGCGCAGTTTACGCGACCGTGCGCTCATGACTGATAGCGGAGAGGTGTGTGAGGAAGGAGCGGATTGTTGGAGAGGTTCAGAGCGAGGAAAGGGAGATTCAAGAACGGATCAAGAAGATTAGAGGGCAGACAAGGAGTTAGTAATAGCGACAGAAACTTTCACAATCATCAGAGGTGTTGTTTGGGAGGGAGGAGGCTGGGAGCAAACTCATTGCCACCTTCCTAGGTGTGACGTGGTGCTGGCCAATCAGCGTGAAAGCGCAAGTTTCGAGTCTAGTAGGCTGTGGACTTCGTGAGTCTCTAACCGTACGTCATCACAATGTGTGGCTAGTGCTGCGCCAAGGCGCTAGTCCAAGTATGCATCTTGAACTTCATCTCGAGCTCTGAAGCTCGCCAAATTCCTCGATGCCGCGTCTACGGCAGCTTTCTTCCGCGCTTCATGTTACCAGACGCATCCGATTGAACCGGCGCTGCCCTCGCGATCATGTACAAGTGTTTGTTAGGAGCTGCTCATGCTCCGCGCCTCAGCCAATCCGACAATCGGTGAACTACTCGTCGCAAGCTTCAGCACAGAACGCGCAGCTCAACCCGACCACATCCGATCCGCCCACTCCTTCAATAGATCATCGAACACTCGCGCAGACACATGACCTCTTCATAACCTCTCCGTATAGCCCAGGGTCGCCGCTCCTCCTTCCGAATGGCGCCTACGTCTTCCAGAAGCTCCAAGCATTCCTCCGCGCGCAATACCCACAATTCGGATTTCAGGAGGTTATAACGCCTACCATATATAAGAAGTCACTATGGGTGACCTCGGGGCATTGGGACAACTATGCAGAGGATATGTTCAGCGTGCAAGGCCGTGGCGCATCAGGACAAATAGAAAATGCGGAGACAGGGCAGGATGAAGAGTTTGGACTGAAGCCTATGAACTGCCCAGGACATTGCTTGCTCTTCAGAGATGAATTAAAGAGCTACAGGGACCTGCCGATAAGATACGCGGATTTCAGCGCGCTGCATCGGAACGAAATATCGGGAGCTCTGACGGGGTTGACGCGAGTGCGGCGCTTCCACCAGGATGATGCGCACATTTTCTGCCGGCCCGATCAGATCTTAACGGAAATTGAACAAACTCTGAAGTTCGTGGGGATGGTGTACAATACGTTCGGGCTTGGGCCATACAAGCTGCTCCTATCCACACGACCGAAGGACCACTACATTGGCACTATCGGGGAATGGGTCCGAGCCGAGGAGCAGCTGACGGCTGCTCTGAATAATAGCGGAAGAGATTGGGCCATTAATGAGGGCGACGGCGCCTTCTATGGCCCCAAGATCGATATCATTCTCAAAGATGCGAATGGGAAAGAGCACCAGACCGCCACTATCCAGCTCGACTTCCAACTGCCGCAGCGTTTTGATCTACAATACCAAGCGTCTCCGGAAGAGCTAGCGTCGCCGCCAGCTCAGCCCCAAAGAGATAGTAATCTGGACAGCGCAAATCGACGACCCGTGATCGTGCACCGCGCCATTTACGGCTCGCTAGAGCGCTTCATGGCTCTGCTCATCGAGCATTACGCCGGCAAATACCCCTTCTGGCTCTCTCCTCGGCCCGCCATCATTCTTGCGCTGAACGGAGAACCTGAGGTGCTAGCGCATGTTTCTCGGATTCAGTCTGTTCTGTCGGGCTTACATTCCCCTTCTACAGCATCTGAGACGTCATCCTCCCGACCAAGACCCCAGCCGCTTTCTACGATTCATCTTCCCATCGACGTCGACACGAGTAACCGCCCCCTAGGCAAGAAGTTTATGGAGGCGCGGAAGAAGAAGTACAATCACATCATTGTCGTCGGCCCTAGTGAGGTAAATATGCGGAGTTTGAAGCTCCAGATCGTAAATCAGCCAAATGAGCCTGCAGCACTGGCGAGTCTGGGTAATTTGTTGGGTCGGGAAATAAGCGAAGCTGATAGGGAGAGGGGCTATATATCTGTTGGTATGGAGGTGGAAACGGCGAGAAGATATTTCGAAGACCTGGTGAATACCTTCTTGTAGGATTTGTACATTACCGTGTATAGTATGTATGTTGAGGACGATGGGGGATGCATTGAACGATGCATGCCCTGACTCACATCTTCGTCCATAGTGACAGAGCAGCTTTGATGTTCAGCCCGTGTTAAGATAGCTAGCGTGCACGGACCGTGTGTGGGTTGATCTTTCCATCCGAACTCACTTCGCCTCTTCACTCTGCTCACGCACTTCCTGCGCACCATAATTCCGTCGTAACGCCGAACCCAGCAACACCGCGATGATATAGGCTTCTCGTCTTCCTATGCAGCAGCACATCGCCCTCCTATGAAATGTCCAGCGAAAAGAGATGGAAGTTGGGTAGCCTATCTAACTTCCAACCTATACCGTATGCGAAGGGCTGGGAGCGCGGAAAAAACTTGGATTGAAGAATCTGTCTGGTATCAAAGCGCCAGTTCATTGAGTACTTGGATGGAGATCGGGATAATTAGATATCTCTGGGTATGAGGTTTTGCAGTTCAAGACTTCATTGGGCCGGGATCTATCTAGGTTTTCCCTCGGAGACGCGTCCCCAGGTCTGCATTGAAGAATCCGAGCCACGAACATATGAGCCATGTTAGCTGGAGAGTCCGCACTCAGGACAAGTTGAATACTTTTGCTCGCCCTTGAGAAGAGTCAGGATGAACGATGGTTCGCACACGAAGAAGACCATCCTGGACTGGAATAGAATCCCCACGATTTGTCTCTTGACTCCGCCTCTTTCTGGACACTCCTCTCCTTATTTGCGGCTCTCCAGCCGAAGCTTCCCTCCCGGACCGGAATGATCGTGCCACTTGCACCGATCCTGCCCCGCCCAATCCTTCTGTCCGAGTGGGGAGACTCCACCCTGAGCCCGGTTCGCGTAAATCGGAAGGATGTCGCGAAGGAAATCGACAGTCAGCAAGTCCTTGGATACTGCAAGGATGCCACCAACCGATATTGTTCGGGTTGTCATGTCGACTATATATTTCCGAAGTTGTGACCCCTCTACAGTGTTCTCGTAGACGAGTTTGATGCAGCCCGATAGCCAAACCCATTTCGCGCAGCATCGTTCATGGAGCATGTCGATTGCCACATTCTTGAGGGCCGGGATTCCGCGCAGTTCACCGAAGAACCAGACGTTGCAGATGGTATGAAGGGACAAATACGCATCTGTCGCTTTCGCGCCATCTGTAGGCGGCACCACGTCCTTCAGTTTACCGGTAAAGATCCAGCAGAAGAATGCTTCGAAGGCTTGGATGTTGTCCTCAATATGCAATTCCTTGACACCCTCCTTGACGAAACCTCCCTCAGGGTCCAGCGCAGCAGCGAAGTATGCGGAGTGCCACCTCAGCAATTGACGGGGCATACGGAAGACTTTGACATTGTCGGCTTCGTTTACGCTGACGGTGACAAGGTCCTCGAGGTCGTAGCAGGTGCTGTTGCTAAGTCAGCCCCAAGATCTATCTGACGGTGATTCTAACAGGCACACACCTAGGTGGGGCTACGGACGGGCCACTGCACTGCGACAAAGGCGGGAACTGAAAGGCTGTCGACCCGGTGACCGGCGACTCCATCTTGCGTGGTCCGATCTTCTTTTCCGCCGTGGTTGACATTGGGTGATGGTGGAGTAGAGAAACTTTTGGATGGCCGAACCGGATCTATCGAGATCCCGGCCTCAAGTGAGGCCGGAAGCAGCCAGCTTAGGTCAGGTGATAATGGAATGATGAAGACGGTGAAGGCGGTTGCGCGAAGCAAGACAAACAGACAAATGAACTTAAAATTATAAAGAGTGGGGCTCCAAAAACACGGAGACTTCTACAAGATTCGCGACGATCTGTCATTCATGGACACATGCTCAAGGACAGAGAATGGGCAAAAAAGCCCCCGATGATGCCATAATACTGTAGAAGCTAACAACTCCACCACACTGTCTATATAGGAGACGGATTCCCACGCCTTCTAATTTCCCCGCAGCTACCATGGCCGCAAAAATGTTATACTTCTCAGAAAGCCATCAGCACTAGGAGAGCGGACCAAAGAGAGTAGCACACCGCTTTCTGGAGGTCCGGGTGAAGTGGGTAAACACATGTGCTCACATTCACCTTTGATCTGCTAAGTCACGGAGGGGGCTCACACTGAAACGCCTCAACTTGCGGCTTTCCGTAAACACTACCTTCGCTCTCTTGCGCTCATGAAACCTCACCATCACTCCGTCTTGTTCGCTCTTATATGCTCTCCCGTAAGAGACCCTGGGCCACTGCTGGATGTTATTACCATTAAGAGGGCTACCACGTTCAAATCCCGCTCACTCTTGTCACAAATATTCCGCTATCTGCTCCAATGGCTTTCAAATTACATGTTCGGACTACTGCCGGCCTTCGATCGCAAGGATAGGACCAGAGCGCTCACATGATCGGGACAGTAGACTGAGACCAGGACGGCTGAGAAGACCATAGTGTGACTCGGACAGAAGAAAATGCTTAGAACGAGGGTTATGAATGGCGGCGATTGGAGAGAAGGATGTTGTGCGCAGGCGTAGGCTTTGGAGGGATAGGTGAGGATGAAAGAGAGCGCAAGCATCTGCAAGAGTTGGGACGAGTCCCAGCGTCGCAAGTCGCGCCTTCCTCCCAACCGCAACAACAGGCCACTGCCTATTTCTCTCAGCGCGCTGCCATTGCGCTAGTCTTGCGCAATTTCCCAGCAGGCAGTGGCGCGCCTTCACCTCACGCGCCCCACGTCACGCCCTCACCCACACACCGCCCAATTTACGTATATATATTTTTTAAAAACGACCTTCTCTCAACCAAAACACAACGCCCGCCAGCTTGGAGCTGCTAAGATATCCTGGGTTGTTAGCGTGGAAGTCTGACTGCCATCGCTTCTCTCGGTCAAGCAATATCTTATACCATACAACCTGGTGACCTTGTGGGTTCGAGCACGACACAGAGCAAATACGTAAGACATAATGTATTAGCACAATCTGGGGTACGTGAAGTTCAAACCCAAGTTTGAGCGACATCAGAAAACCTGATTAAATTCGGGGTCTTCTGGATGGTTCGCCATCTCTTTTTGCAATTTTTTTTTGGCCTTTTTTATTTGGAGGCTTGAGGATGAGTGGTTGTCTATCTTTCTCTTGTGATTGTGTTTATCGCCGTTTATGTGAGATTGCGCTTACCGCCGTCTAACTAACTACTGCGTCTCTACTCGAATTCCTTCGCCTTGCTTTTTGATGTTCTAGATAGACTTGTAGGTAAGAGTGGCTGGCGATAGAACTTCAGTGCCAAAGCCGCATTTCACGGATAGGGTCATAGATGGAGAGAGCAAATCGGCAGCTTCGCAAGCTACCGCTATTGATTAAGCTGAGTATCAACCAGAAGTTTGCCAGCAAATCCTCCGCTGCGCTCATACCCACCACTATTCAAGCTCTTCTCGGAAACAAGACAATATAAATGTGACGCGGGTTAACCGTCCTCATCCGCATGCGGACCTACGTAGTGGAAAGCGCAAATATAGAAAACTGGTGAAACGGCGGAGCCCACTCTAGCCGCCGGTCGTCAGCTGCATCACTATTCAAAGTTAGCACCACCGGGCAGTACCCACCGCAGTCCCAGCAACTCTAGAACTTACGCAGACTTGCTGCAGTCGAAGCAATGCCACATGCAAGCATCGATTTTATACCCAGCCTCATCGTTGCGCCCCACGAACCGCGCCGCCGAACTTGTCACTAGGAACGCCTCCCCGACTGCCTCCGCGACGGCGGGGTCGTCAATATCGGTAAAATACTCCGCGCGTGCGCTCGGAGGGACGCACATTGCGATGACGTTCCAGAGCATCATCATCAGAGGGGAGCGCGCGGGCAGGAGCGTTTGCACCTCGATGACCAGGTCCATGGGGAGCTCGTAGTCGGTGGCGAGCTTCTGCAGGATGACGCTGAGCGTCGCGTCGCGTATCTGCTGCGCTCCGCGCTTGTCGGCGAAGACGAAGAGATCGAAGAGCTGGTCGAAGGCCAGCGGGACGGTCTGCTGGGTAGAATTTCGATCGTGCGGTTCGCTGCCGCGGAGGTCCGTGGACTGGCAGAGTCGTAGCGGGGACGGCTTTTTCTGCGTCCAGATTCTGTACACCCGGCCGTGGTCGTGCTTCTGCATGTCGGGGTAGAATTTGCCGGTGTTCATGTACTCTAGTGCGAGCTGGAAGACGTCTGGGGCGACGCCGTCGAGGGTGAAGGTCTCCTTCTGCTCGTCGAAGAAATCCCGACCGCGCAGCGCGTCGGCGAGGCCGGAGAAGTGGTGGCTGAGGAGCCCCTTGCGGACTTTGAACTCGTCGTCGCCGACGGCAACGGTGATGATCTCGCCCTGTAGACCGCTGGGATGTCAGCTGCGCTGCGCAGTGGCCGGATGCGCGGGGGAACTTACAGTGGAAGGTCGAGCACACGGTTGAGATAGCAGGGCACTCGTTCTTCAGTGATCGGTTCCAATTGGCGGGGAGGGTACGGGAAAGGAGGGAGAAGCGTCGGTTGGGCTTGTTGTTGGTTCGACTGCGATGCTGCGCTAGCGAGCGGCTCCAGAGGCGTATCAGGCTTGAAGGCCTGCTCCTGCTGTGAGGCCATGGTGCCGGTGAGGATGGACTGGAGCGTTGGCTAGGAATGTTTGGTAACGATAGTACGTGTCTGTCCGAAGAGTGTGTATAGCGTAGCGATGGACGTTAACGAATACCGGAGACGAGAAATGTGCATGCGGCACTCTTTTTAAGGCAGTCCATGAGGACGTTAGTGATGCCCGGAAGGGGCGAAGAGTGCGCACGCAGTTGTCGCCCTCCGTCTGTCAGTAGCGACGTGCTGGCGTCGAAATGTGAAGGTAGCATCGTCCCCGCTGTTGCAAACAAATCGCAGGAAGTTGCAACGAGGTACTTTTTGTAACGAGATGCAGTCCACAAAGAGCAGATGATTTTCCGCATTAAAAGGGTGTAGACGGGAACCTTAAAAATGAGGCAGATATTGAAAGGTGATACGCAGCAAGGCATGACGTCGATAGGAGAAAAGAGCTTGGTTCGGGGTTATTCTTTCCTGTCTAGATTGCGACACGGACGTTCTCGACGCTCAAACGCACCTACCGTAACCGCCCAGTCTTTCGGCCGTACATAGCACAGTGTCGAGCTTACCCCTTCGCGGCTCCAGAATGCCCTCCACCTGCACCTGATCGACATCCGTGCCAAGGAACATTCTAGTATCCTCCACTTCCTCCCTGAAGAGCCGTATCCTCATCCCCTCTCTTCCTGGGCAGAGCATGCTTATGCGCCCAACAAATACACGACTTCGTCTCCTTCCGTTGTTCCGGCCCCGCCATCCACGACTTCGATTCATACAGCATAGCCAGAAATCGCTGAGGCATCTCCTCGCAATACTCTGTAACTTCCGACGCGTCCGCAAAAACGGCAATCATTGCGCGCAGCATGTGGACCAGCTCATCCGGTTCGGGCTCGTCAGTTGTGTTCTCAACGAGATACGGGATGAGGTCGACGGGGACCTTGCCCTCGATGCAGATCTTTTCGAATGTGAGGGAGACGACGACGTCCTGGATTTCCGGGGCGATCCGCGAGACGGCGAAGATGTAGAGGCGGAAGAGCTCGTCGAAGTGCAGCGGGATGGCGTGGGGCCCGTATGCTCTCACCGGGTGGACTTCCAAGTCCTGCGACAGGCATAGTTTGAGGGGCTTATTGGTATCGCAGTATTTGAAGACGACGGTGCTCGAGGTTGGTTTCTGCATGGTCTCGAAGAGCCGTCCGGTGTACATGTAGCGATAGAACAGCTCAAAGATCTTGGGGTCGTCATGTTGGAAGGTCGCAGTGCCGGTTTGGGCCTCAGTGAAGGAAGGATTCGAGAATGTGCGCGCGAACACTTCTGAGGCGAAGCCCAGCAGGCCTTTGTGGCATTGAAATGTTTTGGAGTCTTCGCCTTGGCCCACCACTATGGAGACGATGTCGTCGAATGCGGACACCGGAGGTCGCCAGATAAAGGTTGGGCAGAGAGAGGCTCGGGGCCCAGGCGTGACGCGTTCGATGGCATCTCTCGCAGATGGGTTAGACACTACCGGAGGAAGGATGTGAGGGGGTCGCGCCATGGTCGGAGCACGCTGGCGGACAAGGGCTACGCGAGCGGGGTGGTTATTAGCTGGTTTCCGTGTGGTAGCGATAATTGCGGCAGCGCAGTGTAGATATAGATCCTCCAAGAGCCCACTTTCACAAGGGAGGGCAGCGCATTGCTCGATGGAAGAGTCGTTTCACCGTACTTGAATCCCATAACGTCATTTCCATCGAAGGTGCCAAGCCTATTCCCGATATTCACCATACGCAGCTCATTGCTCGTTTCCTGCGATTCTGTCCGTGCTGGTGTGAAGACCCCGTGATGTTAGCTCCAGCAACACTTGAAACCCGGAACGATTGAAGTCATCCACGTAATTGCATGTAAACATATGGAAAGTTGCATTCCGCCCCTATGTACAGATGGTCTGCAATAATAGCCTACTTCCACGAGGGCTCTTCGCCATGTTTCCTTGCCTAATTCAGTTAGCAGCTGGCGCAAAGGCACGATAAATACCACTTACTCTCACAGCGCGCGGACCTCCGAGCTCTGCCTCTAGTCCGTCATCATATGTCTTGGGCACGCTGACCCTGTCCGGATAGTATAGCTTCACGACCCCGCACAAGCCCAGCACGGAGGCGATGAAGGTGCCCATCAGAACGAATCCCCATCGCGGCGTGAAATGGTCGTAGGTGTGGAGAGAGATGGCGCCGAGGATGTCGTTGTCTTCGTGGCAGGGCTCGCCGTAGTTGCGGCGGTCCTGCTTGTCCCACCAGTCGGCGTATGGGTCGCGCGTTAGACGGTTCTCGGCCGGGGGGTTGATGTAGCCGCCGTTCTGTGGCCATTAGCTTTTGAAGCTATATATGCATGCTATATAGGGAGCAGACCATGTTGGGGTCAGCGAGCTCGGCACGCTCAGCTTCGGTGAGAGCTGTCCGGACCTGGGTGAACTGCGGTCGGGGTCGTGCAACGGCGGGCGCAAGGGCGCGGGCGAGCGGGCGGGCCGCTACAATGCGCCGGGAGAGCATGCTGGATGGTAGTTAGAAGCTGACTACCGGTAATTGAAGGGTGGTAGCATACGCTGCGGCGGGGATATTGGGGTTCGATGTCGATGGGATGTTCAGGTGCGGTCGTGATGCAAGGCGGATCGAAGGGCTTGGCGCCGCGCTACTCGTAACGCGATACGGAGCGGTTCGAGAGCATGGAAACCAGAGGGACCCTGGGACCAACGCTGCTCGACGGCTACAACGGGTGCTGAAGGTCTTCGCAGCCCCCAGAAACGCAATCGTAGAACCTGCTATCAGCTGACATCGATATTCAAGCGGCGTCGCACTCATGGCGTGCGTGGACTGGCCGCAGGGAGCCCGACCCCCTGTCGCTTGGCGGCGGCGGTTTGAAAACATCGCGCTTCTTTGACTTTTCGGGCTACAACACGACACCGTCCACAACGCTTTTCAGCCCACCAAGCGCCAACGCGGCCTGTGAATCCAAATCTGATCTCACCACGATAACTACCAGCCCCAGAGCTATCGTGCGACACTACATTTAAGTCTGTATATGTCGAGTTCGCGGTGCGCCGGGTGGTGTCCCTGCTACCCAGGCCACACCTTTCTCCGTCGTTAATGGAGGGCGATCCGCTCGTGAGTCGAGACGCCGCCCACGCACCGCCCGACCCATCCGACGCCCACGACGAGCCCGCCGCAGCCCACGACGAGCACGCAGCCCGCGAGAGCAGCGCACTCTCGATAAAAGTAGAAGACCAGGCGTCGGCCGAGAGTGGAATCGATGGCGGCCTCACACCGCGCCCGGCCAAGCGCCGCAAGCTCGACGACCTCACGGCGCGTCGCTCCTCATCGCGCGCCGTGTCGCCGCCGTGGAAGGCCTTCGCAGTCGACGGACCCACGACCATATTCGACAACGGCATCCGGAAATCGTCGCGTGTGAACAAGGAAGCGCCGCCGCCGCCGCAGCCTGAGCTCCCAAAGCGGAGCACGCGCCATTCCGCGAAGGGGACACAGACAAACGGGACGCCGAAGAGCATTGGCAAGCAGCCCGTATCACGCTCAGTCTCGAGCTCGGGAGCACCCTCTAAAAGCAAACCTGTGCCAGCGGTCGCAAGGAAGGCGTCGGCGCCATCGCTGCAGTCTCCCTTGCGGAAGTCTGAGCGCCACAGGAAGCCCTCAGCGGCCGCCATTGCTGCCTCTCCCACCTCGCCTGTGCTCCAAAACGGCTCGCCGGAGAGCCCGCGGAAGCGTCCCGGCCGTCCTCGGAGAGCAACCCAGACTTCAGCAGATGACGTAAGTGCGTATGCGCTCAACACGCCCGCAGGCTATCCACCCAATGTGTCCGACCGGTACGGTCCCGTCGACGACTCGAGTGCCTTCGGGCCCGCTCCCCGCCTCCGCCTTCGTCTGCGCAAGCTCGAGCCGCCGAGCCGCCACCCTCAGCATGCCCCGCCCGCTGCGAAATACCCCTCGTTCACAGACTGGCTGCAACATGACGATCCACTCGAGGGAGAGGAGGCGCAGCGCATAACGAAGGAGAAGGCAGAAGAGGAGGCTGCTCGTCGTCTACAAATCGTCGAGGCTGCCGAGACCGGCCTGTTGAGCCTGGGCAAGTGCAGCATATTCCAGCCCGAACCCGCTGAAGAACCACCGCCTCAGTATGGCCACTGGGACCACGTCGTCGCGCACGCGCTACACTTCAATAAGCTGCTCAGAGATGAGAAGACATACCATCGCAGAGTTGCCAAGACGCTCGCGAGGGAGGCGTACGAATACTGGAAAGAGAAGTACAAGCGGAAGACACAAGAGGAGATTGACCAGGAAGAGGCAGAGCGTGCAGTGCTCCGCTACAAGCAGCTTGTCAAGGACGTCAAAGACGCATGGGCGAACGTCAAGCTGGAGATCGATAAGGAGCGCGTGGCCAGGTGGGAAGAGGAGCAGCTTCAGCTGGGCCACAAAGCCATGGATGACATGTTCAACCAAGCTCAAGAAATTCTTGGCCGCAATATGATCGACTCAGCCTCGTCTTTCGTCAGCGAGGACCGCGGGACTGAAGGCGAAGGTGGTGACTTTGAGAGTGGATCCTCCGACGATGCCGGCGAAGAGCACGACGAGAACATGACCTCCAGCTCGGAGAGTGACGAAGGTCACGACGAGGACGAAGACGCCAACCTCACAGCTGAGCAATTACGGGCCAAATATGGACAGCTTCCAGATCTGCCAGACGCCAGCTCTGGGGACGAAGAGGAATCGGAAGAAAGTGAAGAGGAAGCGGAGGATGAGGCTGATAGTGGCACGCCTGAACCGACACCTGATCCCGACCTCGAAATGCACGAGATACCGGAAAACCCATTCGCCCATACAAATGGGTTTCATGAGATCGACGGCGACGTTGAGGAGGAAAAGAAGCCAGACTACATCGATCCGGCTACTGTCGAGCTTGAGCAGGTTGACGAAGCGTTGCTGGATTCCGAGGACGAAGGTGCCAAGGATTCCGATTCAGGTAGTGAAGAATGGTCGAGCGATGACGATTTAGAGGCGGAGGAGGATGAGGGTTCCGGTCCCGGTTCCGGATCCGGCTCCGAAGAAGACGATGATGTCGGCGTAATGGGATTTCTGGCACCAAACGAGATCAAAAAGCTAAAGGACGCTGCGAAGTCCGCGATAGACAAGGACAATCCCGCCACAGATGTACCTCCAGCCGAGCCCGTGAACGGGCATGCTCCCGAAGAAGCAGAAGATGTCGGAGAGGAGGAGCCCAAGCTCAACGGCAATGCTTCTGCAATGGAGCTTAACGGGACCGAAATCAACGGAGATGCCGCAACGAAATTTCCCACACCGTCTATCGAGGTAACGGCGTCGGAACCGGCGGAGGACATAGTGCTTGAGAAGAGTATATCCCGCAGTAGATCACGGCAGACGTCGTCACCTCCGCGAACAGAAATCCCGTCTCTGCTAAGGGGGACACTTCGCGAATATCAACATGACGGGCTAGATTGGCTTGCGAATCTATTCGACTCTGGCACGAATGGCATCCTTGCCGATGAAATGGGTCTTGGCAAGACGATCCAGACCATAGCTCTCCTGGCCTACATAGCTGTCTATCATGGACAGTGGGGGCCCCACCTCGTGGTCGTGCCCACCAGTGTAATGCTCAACTGGGAAATGGAGTTCAAGAAGTGGTGCCCCGGTTTCAAGATTCTCACCTACTACGGCGACATCAACGAGCGAAAGAGAAAGCGAATGGGCTGGCGCACCACGGGGCCGGACATGTTCAATGTTGTCATCACATCATACCAGCTTATTCTCCAAGACGCTGCGGCCTTCAAAATGCGAGCGTGGCAGTACCTCATCCTCGATGAAGCTCACAATATCAAGAATTTTAAGTCTCAGCGCTGGCAGACGATGCTAAACCTTCGGACTCAGCACAGACTGCTCCTGACAGGCACCCCCCTCCAGAACAACATCGACGAGCTCTGGTCATTACTATACTTCCTTATGCCGGCTGGCTTCGGGGGAGAAGGGCGAATTGCTAGTCTTGAAGAGTTTACGATGGCGCTCAAGAACCCGACGTCCCAGATTCTTGACCAAGGCCGACAACAACTCGACGCAGAAGCTCAGAAAATCGTAAGGAAGCTTCACGAGGTTTTGCGACCCTATCTGCTCCGGAGGCTGAAAGCGGACGTCGAAAAGCAGATGCCTGCCAAGTATGAGCACGTCGTCTATTGCAAGCTTTCAAAGCGTCAACGGCAGCTGTATGACGGGTTCATGGGCCGTGCGTCCACCAAGGAAATTCTCTCCTCCGGCAACTACATGTCCATCATCAACTGCTTAATGTCCCTCCGCAAGGTCTGCAATCATCCGGACTTGTTTGAAACTAGGGCTATTGTAACCTCAATGGCCATGCCAAAGTCAGTTCCTGCGGAGTTTGAGCCCAAAGATCTGCTCGTCCGGAAGCGGTTATACGAAGGCATGGAAGACAAGCAGGTAAATCTGGATGCGTTAAATCTGGTGTTCGCGCACCGAGAACGGACTACCAAGCTACATGCTCGACGGTCACAGCAGATACGTGCGACACGTCCTCTCGAAGATCTCATCGAGCGTCATACCCGCCGTTTGAATAGACCCGTTGAACCCGCGACGTCGCCCATGCAATCTGCATTCTCCGCCATGGCCCGCCAAGAGCGCGTTGCTGTCCGAGACCATTTACAGACATGCCTCAAACTGACCCGATCACGGACACAATTCATGCCTATCTACGGGAAAGACTTGATTGACCGCGTGAAAATGGATTATCAAGACTACGCGTTTGGCGCTCGGGAGCCGGAGAAGATTATCACCAAACCTCCGGTGCAGCCCCTTCGTCAACCGTTCGCTCCGGGCATGCAATATCCACACACAAATCCCTTCGCACAAGCGCCAGCGCTCCCGAAGCCTCAGGTAGAGGTTATAGGGGGCAGAAAAGGCAGACTGGGCTTCCGTTCGCCACACCGCCCTGCATTGGCGTCTCAATGGTCCCTGCAGCGGATAACCTTCTTCGAGTCCATGGTTCCAACGCTAGAGCAGCGGGCTGATGCAATGGAGCCTCTCGTCACGAGATTCACATGTGTGACTCCTGCCGTCGCCGCTGAGGAACTAGCTCCTCTTACGTTATCCAAACGTGGTGTAGCACTGATTAGGTCGTCCAACATGGCACACGAGAGGGACCCATTCCATCAATCTCGCATGTGCCAATCGATAGCCTTCCCTGATAGGCGTCTCTTGCAATACGACTGCGGCAAACTACAGCGTCTGGCCTTGCTTCTGCGAGATCTGCAAGCTGGGGGCCACCGCGCTCTCATTTTCACCCAGATGACCAAGGTTCTTGATATCCTGGAGCAATTCCTCAACATCCATGGACATCGCTATCTCCGACTCGATGGCGCCACAAAGGTCGAACAACGCCAGATCTTGACCGATCGCTTCAATAGTGACCCTCGGATTCTATGCTTCATCCTCTCCTCACGATCGGGTGGTCTGGGTATCAATCTCACGGGTGCCGATACCGTCATCTTTTACGATCTCGACTGGAATCCTGCCATGGACAAGCAATGCCAGGATCGATCCCATCGCATCGGCCAGACGCGCGACGTGCATATCTACAAGTTCGTCTCGGAGTACACCATCGAAGCCAACATCCTGCGCAAGAGCAACCAAAAGCGCCTTCTCGACGACGTTATCATCCAAAAGGGCGACTTCACCACCGACACCTTCAACCGCGTCACCTGGCGCGACGCCCTAGATGACGGGACGGGCGTCGAGCTTGGCGACGAAGCTGGCGCTGCCATGGACCGCGTGCTTGGCGAAAAAGCAGGTCTGCTCGGCGATGCCACCGTTATGGGCAGCGTAGAAGACCACGAGGATCGAAACGCAGCGACAGTAGCACAGAAGGAGATCGTCGACGAGATCCACGATGATCAGGTCGATTTCAGCGAGAGCATCAACGCTACGCCGGCCAATGCAATTACACGAGCAGGCAGCGAAGCGGTCGAAGAGGGCGAGCAGATGCCAGGCGGTATCAACGGCGAGAGGCTGAGGAGGCATGTCGACGAATACATGCTTGGGTTGTTCAGGGAGGAGTACGGCAAAGAGCCGTATAGGCCGCCTACCGATCGGCAGAAGCGGCATCGCAAGGGGCACGATGTGCATCGGACGCACAAGAAGAAGAGGTATTAAGGCAACTTCTCCTATGATTCCAACTTTTTCCTTTGCTCGGGAGAGCACGGCTGTATTAGTACTAGAAAGGTGCATGCGTATGGCGTGGTGTGGGCATTTGGCTGCATGGATAGCAGCTGGGGGAAAAAAGGAGAAGCTGACCTGGTGGCTGTATGATTAGTGCGAGGGCGTAATGATGCATTGCCGGCGCGCGCATGTGGAGAACGGCGTGTTTGGGCTGCCGCATTGAAGGGCGTTGTGGAAGAAAATGGATCTGTTTGAATTGTGCGAGTCGCTGCTTGGGTGTGTGATGCATTGCTCGTTCTCGAATAGTCGAAATGATCGCGTTGAGCACACCCCCATGAGCTAATTCATTGCCGATGCCCACCAAAAACACCTTCATCGCCAACGTACATGAAAAGCTACTAATTATTTTAAATAGCGTATATCTAAGTGCTTCAAGATATAGCATGTATAGATTTATATTTCAGCTGTTTACATTCAGATCTATATAGCCAACTGTGGTTGCACATTATCTATATGGCATCGGCAATGAATTAGCTCAGGGGGGTGAGCAAGCACGGTTCTGAGGTCGGGATCGCAAGCAGCCTGAGCTTTGGCCTTGCGTCTTCACTCCGGTTGCGTGAGCGCGTGCGGTGCTTGATTGATGGCATCTTCTGCATACGTCAGTTGAGACGTTGTGATTGGTTGGGTGGGGACAGGAGGACCGCAGGGACTGGGCACCGGAGTGGCGGTGCACGGGCTAGTGCTGACTTGATGGGAGGGTCACGAGGATATAAATTTCTTCCGCTTTTCTCGTCCTATTCCTCTTCTTCTTCTCCTTCTTCTTCTTCCTCTAGTTATCTTTGTGGCTTGTATGTCCTGGAGGTTTGGAGGTGTTGGCGGCGGAGCTGTGGATAATGAGCGCGGAGCGGGAGCATAGCGTGGCCGTAGCGGGAGCTGTGGGGAGATGGTTGCAGCGGAGACAATCGGTTGGGGAGGCGCTTGCCTTGTCTGCGCAGGCGGAGCTGGGGCTTGGGCGGGAGCTTGTGGATGGTAGGTGGGCGCGTCCTGGATTTGTTGGTGGTGGTAACGGAGTTGGGCAGCGTGTGGCGTGGCGCTGTGCTGTGAGGTTCTGCTGGGCGGCGCGGTGCGGAGCAACAACAGCATTGTGGATGCGTTCGGAGTAGGCGTTGGACTCCGAACCGGGGAGAGATGGGAGTGGCGGCCGTTGTACCCAGCTCGTCATCCGATAGACGCACAAGTCCTCCGTCTAAGTGCGAATGGATCCACTCTATTATACTACCCCGGACGAGATGGAAAGGATTGCGGTGAACTACGATTTTCAACAGCGCCGGTGCTCTTCATTCGAGGACTTACACAACTTATCTGTCAAATTGCGGCAAAATCTCCTGGCGAATATGGCGCAAGCATCACCCAGAATCCAGGGCCGAGCGGGAACCCTCAGCCTCTGACTACTGGAAACGAGCCATCACCCGGCGGTGTTGGCCCAGGTCAAAGGGGCAACGAGCCGCAACAGTTCCAAGGAGGAGCAGTCCCATATCTCCATTCTCCGGAATCGAATCCAAACCAAGGGCGCCCCTCACTCCTAAGAGTATTGCTTGTCGTCAGACCAAAGAAGGATCACTACCGCCTGGCACAGATCGACGTCAACGACCTCACCACTACAGAAGGCTTCTTCGTTGATTTACGTTCCGAATACTTCCGGCTTGTACGCCCGTGGCGCAGATACCTCAGCGTTTGGCGATTTTCCCACTGCGATTTCTACCGCGTGAGTATCCGTTCCGCGATACCGTTCTTACTAACTAATATCCTTCATTAGTTCGAGAAATACGGCGCTTTGGCATTCGCACCGAGGACGAAGGACGATTACCCAGACATTCGGGATCCTCTCTATGTGTACCGTCGTACACCCACCATGCCACCCGTGACCAAGCATGAATTCGGAGATCGATTCAATTCCTGCGCCGCACCCGTATTCTGCCGTCACCACCTCTTCCGAGCATTCTGCGCCTGCAAGGATCCGCGCGGGGACCGCAAAGCCCACTCGTCCGAGCTATTGGAGCTGCTTCCGAAACGGCTCGCGCTGCTGGACGTAGGAAGTGACCAGCGGGAGGAGTTCTTCGGCCTGTATGCCAAGCCGAAGATTTCTGGCCTCCGCATATTGCTGTACCATGTTGTTTGTTTTCTGCCCTCGCTGGGGTTCTTGTTCGTGTGGCTTTTTGAGTTGGGTGGAAGGCGCGAGTTGCAGGACGGGTCTATGCTTTTTTCCCTTACGGCGGGATCGGTGGGGGTGTTTTGGGTCGCTTTCTCGGTGTTCTGGAAGTTTGGGTAGGATATGTGACGCAGCACGGGGTGAAAATATACTCTAGCCTTACAAACATGGGCCTTGTACTTGGAAAAACGGAATGATAATGCGGCTTTGGCCATTCAAAATCGACCTCCAGGTGCACTACGTGAGAGCTTGATGTGCTAACTCGCCGCGAGGGTTGCTAGGGGGCCTTCACAGAGCTGCAAGTATGATCGAGCTATTGATTGACTCGAGCGGATCGGTTATTGGTCGAATAGAACGTCATGCGTGGCTTGCACAGCCTCATTCAGACAGTGAATCTCATCGTCCCGCATCAGGCCAGGCAGCACCATCACCATAACATTCGCATTGAGATAACGCTATGTAGGGATAACCTACGATGAGTGTGCGCAGCTATGTCGGCGCCGATAGGAATCAGCTTTGGTTCGTCAAGTCCTATCATATCACGGAAATCTCTTTTTCGTTGAGCGGATGCTGACGCTCCACTTCTAGGCGATCTGGTTGCACTGATAAAGATCTTGAAAGCCGCCGGGGCCTCCATCAAAGCTAGCGGCGGAGCAGCAGATGACTACCAACGCACGGTTCGACAATTGGAATCGCGCTTGACTGCGCTTCAAACCATTGTGCAGACCCATAGCTTCACCGGGGATCCTGTATACGTGAATGCTATCCGTGGGCAGGCTCAGACAGCCGAAGCGGAAGTTAAGAGATTGCTGAACGACATTAGGTCATATGAGCAGGATCTAGGCTTCGGTGCTTCGCAGAGTGCCGTGCGCGGCCCTTGGAAGAAGATCAAATGGGGTGTTAGTGGAGCCAAGAAGGTAGAACGGAAATGGGAAGATATTGATGCAACGATGGCGACGGGCCAAATGATGTTGGATTTGAACACGAGGTAGGAACGATGCTGATTCCCTCGTATTTCAGAAAGCTAATCCTAAAGCGCGACATTGTCGAGCCTAGAGACACACGCTTCGCAGACATTGGACCTTGCGACGCAGCAGCAACGCGACCTGAGCATGGCCAGGTCGGCGGTCGAGTTATTGAACAACAGGATTGATGCGATTGAGTGTTTGATGGCAGCTGTGAAGCAGGACCAATCCACCCAGATGACCAACTTCGCATCCTTACTTGTGAGCGGTTCAAGAACATTGGACGTCGTTGAGAGCCAGAGTTCTTCCCTCGAACAGATGACGGCCTCGATCGATGCTGTCAGCACGACCATGGCATCTATGCAAAGATTACTGTCGTTGCAAAACGAGCAAGAGATGATCAAGCTGAGGGAGCTGGATCAGAGGCCACCTCTATCCACTGGGCAAAGCAAAGGGCAATCTTGCGCAGACTCGCTCGCCCTGGTCTTCCAAGGGACGCGCGAGGCCTCAATCGGCATGTGCAACCTCCTGACTGGCTTCGCCAAAATCCTCCTAGAGTCCCTGTCTCAGCTGCTCTCCTTCCTCCCATACATTTTCGCCTACCTCCGCTTCATGCAGGCTATTCCCGTCGCCGTGTCTTTCATCATGTCGGATAACATCCACCTAACCGACGTCTTGGGAACGAAGCATTCACTTCCGTTTCAAAATATCAGGAACTGGGCAGTATTTAAGAGGATGCTGGAAACCCGCTTCCGCGATCGTCCCGGAAGCGACAAAGTCGCATCTGGCTATTTCAGAATCCTCAACGCCAGGGCACAAAGCAAGATCCTGGATGAGGAGAATTGGGCAGAGTCGATCGAGCCTGGAATGCACCTCGTCATGTCGATTGAGATTGTTAAGCTGCGTCGTCAAGTACAGCGTGGGAGCTGCTTGCGTCATTCTTGTCTGGGTATCTTGCGGACAACCAGGGGCTTGGGGCTCGAATGCTCGGCGTGTGGACTGCACTGCTACGAAGAAGATATTCCGCGAAGACGACGGAGCGAGGCCGTGGTTTACGGCCCCCAAGACTTCAGAGCTGAGGTCGCGAAGACGAGGAGGATTCTTTGGGAGATGGAGAAACGAAAGAAGACGCAGCAGAGATCGCAAAATGGAGGGAGGAGGTCCAAGCATGCGGTTTACACGGATGGAATGATACTGCGAGAGCTTCAGCAGTGCGTTGCACTAAGCAAGGAGCGTGCAAATCGCAGAAAAGAAGAAGGATGGATGATGGAAAGCCATGCGGTAGCAGACCTTCGCAAGGAAATCGCAGAGGCGAAGGAGCACGAGGAGAGAGAAGCGCGTGAAAGAGAAGAACTCGAGCTCCGGCTATTTCTCCGCGTCCACATACGCCCTGCGGTCTTCGAAGCAGCCAGTACCGGTCCTCAACCAGACGATACAGTCACGGACGTCAAATGCATCATGCCTGCGCCGCAGCCGATGAAGTGGAAGGTTGCAAGGCGCCGTACACTAGTCGATATGGTCATTGAGGAAAACAGTGCCTGGGCGACAACTTGCATGGCCAGCGCTGTAAGCAATGGCGTAGAAATTGATGCCATAGACCCACTATATGGCACAGCCCTTCAAGCCGCAGCATCGATCGGTTGCTTGGTAAAGTCCTCCTTCCTCCTCGAGCACGGCGCGGATCCACTCAAAGAGTCCCCGGCCTGGCGAAGCGCCGTCCACGCAGCAGCAATGCACAACCACGGTGCCGTGCTTGGACTGCTCCTCAAGAGCTGCCACCGCGCTATCCGAGCAATGGGTCCGCAAGGCCTAGAAAAAGCTTTGCTATTCCGAGATACGTGCGATGCAGCCTTGCGAGCGGCGACTCTAAGAGGTGCGAATGCGGCAGTCCTGTCGTTGCTGAACTTCACGGATCGTGTTCACGTTGGCACTGCTATCTGCTCGGGGGACGAGTCCACGATGAAGATCATCATGGGCGAAGCGTTGCAAGCCGGCGAGGTCACTATGAACAACTGCGTGCAGATCCTGCGGAATGGCGCTGCTACGGGTGATCAGCTGTCTTTCGGACCGGACGAGAAGGGCTTTGTATATCGGAGAATGGAGCTCAGATTGTGATGGATAGGACCTCCACATACATGTTAATATAGCAGGCAGGCATGTAAAACAGCAGCATGTTTATTACCTACATAGGCATAGTGCGGCGATTCTTCTAACTTGAAGCGCTAGTGCGACATAAGTTTTAGCTACTTCGTGCTCTGTAGCCTACCGTTCGGACCGGACTTAACGGGCTTATTGGGCTCGTCGCGCGCTAAGATTTTATCTCCAGACAGCGTGTTTCAGAGCAACACTACTTAGCCGTACTAGCGGCCGCCGAGCACTTTCTAACATCGTCTTACTCTAACGTAACATCGCCTTGGATTGCGAATTTGCGCACAACAGCTAGAAAAGGTTCCTCATCCAACAGCTTTAGGAGCCCATCCGCCGGAGATATATACGGTAGATCGCACTTCGCAAGACATTGGCGCCTCCACTCGACAGATAGCAAACATGGCGCAACACAGTCAACCGAGCAATTACACGCAGGGCCACTCCAACTGTACCGTCGCAACCCACCAGTCGCGTACGGCCGAGTCGGATGCCGCCTTCCTCCTCCCGCACATAAAGAAGACAGACCATATTCTCGACGTCGGCTGCGGGCCGGGCACCATCACCACGGGATTAGCCAAGTACGCCAGCGAAGGCACGACAGTCGGCATCGACATCTCGCCAGACGTCCTGCAGAAGGCGAAGACACTAGCAGCCGAGGCCAAAGTCCCCACCCAGGGGCCAGGCTCCGTCGTCTTCGAGCAAGGCAACATCCTGGAGCGGCTCGCCTATCCCGACGACACGTTCGACATCGTCTTCTGCGCGCACCTCTTCGGCCATCTGCCCCCGCCGGACCTCCCGCTCCAGGCGCTCGCCGAGATCCGCCGCGTCCTGAAGCCCGGCGCCATCCTGGCCACGCGCGACGCCGCGCACCAGCACTTCTACCCGCGCAGCCTGGACCTGGACCGCCTGTGGGTGGGCAATCTGAGCCGCGCGGTGCGCAAAGGCGCGCCTGAGACAGACCCTACGGGCTCGATGATGCCGGCGCTGTTCCGCCGCGCCGGCTTTGACGCGGACGGCGGAAAGGTCCGCGTCGGCGCTGGCACTATGGTGTACTCGGGGCCGGAAACTCGCAAGTGGTTGGCCTGGCGCGCCGCTGGCCAGCTGCAGCCCGGAGACCCCTTCCGCCAGAGCTGGCTGGATGCGGGGATCACGGAGGACGAGATTGAGCAGACGCTGGTTGCGGTGCGGAAGTGGGCGGAGACGGAAGATGCTTGGTTCGCGGCGCTGCAGTGCGAGATGCTGGCGTGGAAGTAAGTGACCGGACGGGCTTCCCGGGGCGATAGCGGGGGGAGAGGGAGAAGGACGGGGTTGGTTCGCCCTAATTATCAGCTTTTGGTCCAACGCGATACCTAGGTAGAGTTATGACAATATGCTTGATTGACTGATAGACTTTTCTTGTTTTAAGTCACCAACTTGTAGAGATTATGCTGACTAACGGCAAAGCGGAGCTTCTACCCACGCGCCAAAGGACTCAAAAGACGCCAGAAATAGGAGAAGAGAATATGGTAAAGAGAATCACAACCTATCTTAAACGTGTCTGTTCGTAGGGTTTGTGAACTGGGTGCCTTCAAACCGAGTGCTCGTAATTCTTGCCATTTGAAAGTTGACAGGAGAGGTGACGATTTCAGGGCAGAACAAAAGGACATGCATACTACCCAGCCTCAGGCAGCAATACTCCCAGTTAGGCTCACGCCACGTCAATCCGAGGCTGAAGCTTGCGAACCCGATTAGTCGCTCGTGCCCCGCACCTCCAACCGCATGCAAAAGCATCCTAGACCGCGCTCCACTCCACAATAACCCTCCCCAAGCCTTTAGCTCTCGATTTCTTGCCGTCTCCCCGACATTTTCAAAATCTAATCAATTTAACGACCATATACCCTACCCAAGCAGCTATACGCTAGACAGTCGCCAAAACAACCCCATAACGCAGCATGAAGGACGCCGTTGCTCTAACGAATCTATGCTTCGAGTCCCGAGAGCAACTTGACCTCGTGAGCATGATATCCGTTCCCAGAGTTTCTGCAGGCTGAAGTAGGTGCAGGAACTAGATCTGCTGCAAGGACGCGCACAAGATGAAGCTGGTCAAGAGTGTTGCGACGCGTATCTTTATATGCGGCCGCTCCGGGGAGATGGGACTGTGCTGACGCTGCTGGAAGTGTGAGTGTGCATCGTATGTATGAATTGATTGGGGTTGGAGGGGCTGATTGTGGTAGGTATGACTCGTATGAGAATATGCGCAAAGTGTAAGCCATCCGCCCCCTGGCACGGCACTCAACCGCGCCTAACAAACGCAGCGCCGAAGCACAAGCAAACCCAGACGTTGGAAAGCCCGCAGAACTCACCAGATACCTGCCCCGCGGTGGCTATCTCCAGCGCCCCACACCCAGCAGCACCCCCCTCAAAGACCAGTTCATCTGGGTCGCGCGCATGAAAGCGCACCCTGGGCAGCGCTCCGCGCTCATTGACGCGATTCTCGAGCACGCGAAATTCGTGGAGGAGAATGAGGAGGAGGCATTGAGCTTTCTTGCGCTGGAGAGTGTGGAGGATGGGGTGAGTGTGGTGGTGTTTGAGAGGTATACGAATGAAGAGTATCTGAGGAATGTGCATGCGACCAGTGACAGTATGGCGAGGCTGAGGGATAAGGTGAGTTGTGGGTATGTATTCAAAGATTGCTGGCGCTGATGAGATGGGTGTAGTTGCGCGTCCTGGTGGATGAGAAATCGAGCACGGGGTATGCTGCTGTGAGCGGGTTTGTTGATAAACAGGAGGCACTGGTTTGATGTTATATCCGGAAATTTGCGCGTTCTCTTACGTCTTGAACGCCATGCAAATGAGATATGAAGCTTGACATGCTCTCTGGAATCGCTCAGTGCCATGATAATCATTACGGGCATGTCGGCGACGCTATTGAAAGTCATCCCTTATACGACACAATCCTTGCCCTCCTTGTGCAGTTTTCGAGTCAGCCTTCTAGCCAACTGACTCAGCCTTTCAGACTTCTGCCATATCAACCAGATACTGATTACTAAAAGGGTGAGGGGTATAGTAAGCGCAACATAAAGCCACCACCGTGCATTATCTAGCATGGCCATGCCGAACACTGACGACATGAATGTGCCAGGCAGGAAGACCATAGTCATCGTGGCGATGACGCGCATTGCAGAGCCATCAGCCTTTGCCTCTCTCGCTATAGTCGTCCCAGTTGCGCTATCCTGCTGCGTGACGAGGTTGAAGACCTAGCAGAACTGTGAGCCCCTCGGTACTTCAAGTGCAGATCGCAAGCACCTACCAGATTCATCGCAATATCCTTCCTTGACTTATAGCTATTCAGCCACCGCTTCTGGCTCTCAATCGACTCCGCCAAATACCGCAGCGCATCATCCGTCTTGACAACCGAATCCCTCTTCCCCACCTCATCCACATTCCCGCGATACCGCTCATGCGCGCGCAGCAGCCGCTGCACAATCATGCTCGACATCTCCACATTCGCGGACATGCGGTCCGTCTCCTGCGACACAACGTGCAGCTGGATAGTCAGCTCCTCCAGCTCGCTTCTCTTGCGCCCGCCCGCCGCGGTTTCCGCGTACCGGTCCACGCGGTCCAGCGAGTCGTACAGCTGGTGCCGCAGCTTTGTTATCGACGGCACGGCGTCGAGGAATACTTCGTGCGTGATGAGCAGGTGCAGGAAGAACGGGTCGATGGAGTCGCTGAGCGCGGTCCAGGTTTTGCGGTCCGCGTTCAGGATGTCGGAGAGCCGCTCTTTGACGATGTCGAAGCGCGTTTGCTGCGCGTCGCAGACGAGGATGTAGGTTGTGCAGTTGCTGCTGAAGGAGTGCGCCATGTAGATGCACCACGGGGCGCCTTTGCGGTGGATCGCCCAGCGGGGCTGTTGGCAGCAGAATTCTGGCAGCATTGGCTTATTGGCCAAAAGCGTGGGGGATGGCTTGTACTCACCGAGTCTTTGGATATTACCTTGTTCGTCCAGACTGGCGAAGTCGCCGGGCGCCCAGTAGTCTGGCTCCCCAAGAAGCGCGCCAGTGAACTGTGGTGTGATGTCGAATGTTTTCAGGAGCTGTTTGGCGAAGTTGGAGCTCAGGGACACGCGGTAGTTGAAGCTTGTACCGCCTTTTGCTTCCTCGAGCTGGCAAAAGCTCATGCATGTTAATACAGCGCTGTTGTTTGAAATGCGGGGAGTTATAACATACAGGATGCGCAGCACGGGATCACTAGGGGTTCTGTCTTGACGAATCTTCTACATAATCATATCAGCTCCGCCTCTCGATATTGCAATTGAAAGAATACTAACTCGAAGATATTCGATCCCAGATGCCTCGTCCAGAGCAAATTGCCGCATGCGCTCCGTCCGCGTAGCCTCGTACACCTCGACGCTCGTCTCCTGTGCAAAGTTGTGCTGGTTGTCGAGCAAACCACTCGCGCGCCGCGCATCGTGGATGGACCCAATGAACGAGCAGGAAGCCCTCGGGTACCCGCGTAGTACTTCCGAAGCCCGCGAGATAAGCGGCGTCTTGTTGTTTCGCCATTGCCCGGAAGAGATGATGGAAGATTGGCGGGGTGCAGTTGCCATCACGGTCTAAGAAATTCGTCGGCGTGACATTGTGTAACGGCAGGGCTGTGGATGGCATTTAAGGCATTGTGCGACGCTGCCTGAGGCTGGCTTTTTGGGGCGGCTCGCGCCCTGCTTTCGGGTTTGTCTGCCTTATCATGCGGGTGTTAAGCGATGCGAGCCCTGAAATGTGCTGGCAAATCAGGCAGACCCAGACGAACAGGATGGTGGTGGCGGTGCACGCGGCCCCTCTCTACACAATATGTACAATGTACCCCAGCCCCGTGCAGTGCCTCACTACTTTGTGGTAGAGGCAAGTCCGAACGTGGTGATACAGCCCAGGTCCAGTAGTGTTTAGCAATACATTGGATAAAATAACACAACAAATATTCTGCGAAAAGAAGGAAACACTGTGCGGAGGCTCAGGGTTTGCTATATCCGAAAGTCATATCACGTCCGGCTCGCTGATTTCCCTGAAGCAGGACACCAGTGCGAACATTATTCCGACCTCCGTACCACGCACTAGCACGCCGAGACGAGCCCCCATCATGTGCGAACTCCTCATCCGTACTCTCATTGTCCTGAACAACATCCAGACCACTCTCTTTCCGGCCTGTGGTGTTCCTCCTAGCGTGAAGAATCATCGCCCCAAACTTCTCCATGACGATCTTGAACACTTGGTCATGCACACTGGCGTACTTTACTAAGCCCGAGTGGTCGGTGTCGAGAGGCACGCCGGGGTAGAAGCCCCCAGAAGTCGCCGAGTCTTCTGGTACCATGAGGGCGAGTTCTCCGCTGTGATAAAGGGCGCCTTCCGCGTTGAACTAGAATGATTAGCGCTCGTCACTCAAAAGGGCTCAAGGCGAGAGCTACCTTGACGACTTTACTGAGGCGCTGCTCATAGAAGCAGACGACTTGGATGTTCCCTCCCTGCGGTGTGCATTGCTTGAACTTCTCGTTCAGCTCTTGGAAGTAAGGCGACGGTTGAGACTCATTATCCACGACAAGGTCCCTGATGAGCTGCTCGTTCGGTTGGCCTTCGACAAGGCTCAGTAGGCGGTCTTGTCGCAGCCCGAGGTTGGGTGCTCCAAAGAGCATGACGCCGCATGCGGAATTGAAGAAATCCCGATAAGATTCTTCACGGTGTTTCGAGGCGATGACAAGTGCCTATCCATTGATCGGTTCCCTGTCTTGTACATCCGAAGAGAAAGCTTACCTCCTTAGCGATAATTCCTCCAAGACTGTGTCCGACGAGAACAAAAGGTCGTTGTGTCGTCTACAGTACTGTCAGCAGAGTAGAGGGAAGCGAGCGCCAGATTAACCTTCGTCCTCTCCCGAAAGGCTATCACAGCCTCCAAGAGCCCCCGTGCGAGGTCTCTGATAGACCATTTTCCTTCCTTGGACGTCAACTTTGTATCGTATCCATATAGTAGAACCCTTGCATCAGGGAAAAGATCTGACAGGAAGTCCCTAAGCCAGACATGATAGCCCTTTGGCGATTTGAACGACCCCAGCGGATGAGATGCTAACCCGGGAACAGCGATTATGCTAAAAAGAAATTAGCATCTGTCCACGTATTCTCGGCATTCGTGGCTTACTCGAACGAGCCGCCATGCACCCTTCCGCTCGTCAAAGGAGTAACGCCAAGGAAGTGAGAGTCGCAGGAGTATGCCTCAGACAAGGTGGGAAGAACTGCAACGGAAGACCCAGGAAAAGTAATCGTCGCATAGAAGCCGGTCCCATCCTCGACAACAGCTTTCTGTACTGCTTCCGCTCTTACTGCTTTCTCCAAAGCTTTAAGTATATCGTCCCCGGACTCATTCTCACCACGGTAGCTTCCTTGGATCCTCCAAGTGTGGAACCTTTCGGAAGCGCGACCTGGAGGTCGTTTTCCGCCGGCTACATGCTCCACGAATCTTTTCGCATCGATCGAGCACAGAAGGCCCTTTTGCCATACGTAAGTGACCGTGAGGGTGACAATGACGGTAACAATGATGGTAAGAATTTGACTCGTGTCCATGGTTCAAGTATCGCAGTTCGACTGTCACTCTCCTTTTCTTCCTTCGCCGGGACCTTTGGTGATGGATAGGTTGGAGAAAATGCAGTTAGTAGCCTGCAGGGCCCAGCAACCCATAACATCGTAGCCGCAGAAAAAGGAGAGAAGAACGAAGGAATCAGGCAGCGGCCTAGGACGCCTTTCATGCAGGGCGAGGAGTGGGCGCAGATGCAGGACTCAAGTGCATGATGCAGGGCTGTCTGCTGATCCCGTGCAGAGGCCGGATTTGTCTAGCGCGACCTTATCAACTGCAGCCACTCACGCGGAAGCAGCTTGAGGCCCCCCGCTTCACTTTCAGGGTTGGGCAGAATGAAGCGGCTTGCCCGGTGACCAACACCAGGAAGCCGGTATTTTAGTAGGAGGTTCACAGCCCAAGGCGTATTTCGGTTAATTCTCCATCTCCGACCGAACAGCGTGGGCCTTGTTGCGCCTTTTCTCTCCTTCAACATCGGCAGGGCATGACTTTCATTGAAGCGGGAAACCAGGTGGACGAGCGATCGCCTTCGGATGGGCGCGTTCAGCCATGGCGAACGTGGTGGCCACCAGCATCGCCAGAGGCAGAAGACCAGAGAAAGACCGGAGATATTTCCGTGGAAAAGCCCTGGCTGAGGTGGAAATTTTCGGAGGGAAAACCATTCGAGAAGCCGTGGCTAGAATGGGCTTTACCCAAGCCCACCAACTACAGTAATGAGGACCCCGCCTTATCGAACTACTATCTGATCGTGTGCTAGATGAGCTTGCGCATTCCCCCCAAGTGAAGTACGAGCCAGACTTCATCCGCGAGCAGCTGGCCCTCCTTCCCGCGGACGAACTCTCGCCCTTCAACCCCACCCGAACGAACACATTCCTGCAATTCTTCCAGCAGAACTCCGAAAGCGCCGCCGAGAAACCCTACGTATGCAAGATCCCTCCGTCCATCGCGGGCCAAGCCCAGATCAACTTCGGCGGATGTTATGCAAAGGCAATGATAACAGACGTACGCGGCCACGAAGATCTGTTCTCCTTGGACACGCATGGGTTCCAGTTCGCGGGGCACAAGCTGGGTAGCGACGTAGAGGCGTTGGATGTCGAGGCTTACTGCGGCCAGATGGCGGATTGGCTACGAGAGTATTTACAAGCTCAGGAAGTGTTCGTTTTTGATCGCACACTGCGGAGCCAAGAGAAGGGGAAGGCGGGTGGTTTCGTAGATATTGCTAGACGTGTCCACTGTGGTGAGTCCTGGGTTTTGAGTGTCCACCCGACAGTAAGCTAACATGAAGCAGACCAGTCCCCTCGCTCGGCCATTGGTAGGATCAAACTGCATATGGGAGATCGCGCGCCGGAGCTTCTTCGCGGTCGCTGCAGGATCATCAAGTGGGTTTTCACCCTGCAAGTCTTGGCCCCCCGGCTAACAGATGGCTGAGCAGTGTATGGCGACCGCTGGTACCGGTGGTGGAGAGCAACCCCTTAGCAATGTGTCGATTTGACTCAGTTTCGCTGGCGGACTTCGTTCCGACTGACGTTGTCTTCCCTCATTACGCTGAAGAGTCCTTCGAGATACGTCCTTCTTCCACGCAACGTTGGTATTACCGGTCGAATAACACCCAAGATGAGTTGGTACTCCTAAAGATCTACGACAACAAGAGAGGCGCCGCATTCTGTGAGTTGTCTGAGGACCTAAAACTACTGGGTCTCGCTAATGCAATCATCAGGTGCTCCCCACTCCAGTTTCCGTGATCCCCTCGGGAGAAAGAATGCCGGTCCTAGGAGCAGTATTGAGCTGAGGTGTTTGGTGTTCGGTGGGGAAGGCGTGGAAGCAGATTCATCTCCCAAATTATGATCGATTATCCCATGACTCATGCCGAGTTATGCGTACAGTCGTATGCCATCCTTGTACATTCAGGCGCTAGAAAAGAGATACCAGTTCCAGATGACCGTTCCGCTGCGCAACATCAAGCGACGTCATCCCGTTCTCGCAAGACATGTGCGGATCTACGCCGGCTTTTAGTAAGAGTCGAACTACGTCGGTATGGCCATTGCTGCTGGGCCACCAGAGTGCATTACGGCCGGTGATACTGCCGCTGCATGGATCCACCATCCCAGTGGCCATAAGCGTTTCGACCATGTCTGTGAAGCCCTCCCTCGCCGCGAGCCACAGCGGTGTTCTGCCAGACCGATCCTTGATATCCGGTTCAGCTCCTGGCTGATCCAGAAGTAGGCGGAGGATCTCTCTGTGGCCATTTGATGCGGCTGCATGCCATGCGGATCCGAAAAACCCGCCCTTCGCGTTCACGTCTGCCCCCTCGTCGAGAGCCTCCTTGGCATTGTCGCGATCTCCAGATTCAGCGGCCTTGTGCAGCTTTTTCGCTGCAATTGAGCGTGCCATCAATCGATCGACGTCTTCTTCAAGCAGATTCGCAGAAGCTGATTCTTCGTGGTCGCCCTTTCTCTTCAGCGTCGCCCCGTCTTTAGCTCTTACATACGCAAGAAGGATCCTAACGATAGCGGAATGTCCTTGGTACGCTGCGGCCCAAACGGCATTTCCATATCTGCCTCCAGGAGCGTAAGGATCTGCCCCATGCTCTAGCAGGAGATGAATTGCGTCTTGGCAGCCGGAATGTGCTGCACCTTGAAGTGCATTACCGAAATACTGGCCTTGTGCGTGCACGTCGGCGCCGTGATCTAGGAGAACGCGCACGACATCGGCATGGGCCCCCTCTGCTGCCTCTAGTAGAGCGGTTCCAAACTCCCGTGGCCGTGCGTTGACATCTGCTCCACGATCGATGAGCAGAGTTGCGATTGCTAGATGGCCCTGCTTTACTGCTGCTATGAGCGAGTTTCCGTACCACCCGCCCACCGCTTTGGCATCGGCATCATTGTCGAGGAGTAACTTGACCACGCTGTCATGGCCGCCAAAGGCGGCAGCCTGTAACGGATATCCATAGTGGCCGGCGAAGAGATTCACATCGGCACCGTTGTCTATGAGCAGTTTTGCAATCTCGAAATACCCTCCTTGTGCCGCCCCTTGCAATGGGGTGCCGTAAGCACCGCCCTGGGCGTTCACGTCGCAGTTATGGCGGAGGAGCAGACTGCAAAGCTCGCGATGACCTCCAGTGGCAGCGTAATAAAGCGCCGTGGCTCCGAGCTCGTCGGGCTCGTTGACTTGAACTCCTTTCCCAATCAGATTCCTGACTGCGTCGATGGACCCGCTCGCGGCGGCCAGATGGAAGACGTCGGCAGGTTGTTCGAGCTTTGACCAAAGACTAGTTGCGCCTTGATTCGCGAGGAAGTATTGTAGCCGGGTTGCAAAGATCAGAGTCGCTGCAGAAACTTTGCTGGGAGAAACACTGAAGTTGTTTCTGGCTCGATTCCAATCATTCCCGTCGCCCATTCGCCGTATCTGTAGGATCGCCGCGAGATTGGAGTCATTGTCCGTTAGGAGTCTGCTCAGTTCTTTCTCAAGCTCCTCTGTATGTCTTTCCAAATGGTCCAGATGGTAGTCGAAGTACTCAGCAGCGTACCACGCGAAGGGGTTGTTGTTACATCTTCTTCGAATGGTGCCTTCCGATGTTGACGGTCCCTGTTTGAAGTCTTCCAGCTGCAGATAGATAAGGCAGTTCCGTGCCAGAAAGGCGTGAGATGTCTCAGTGTTCCCGACTCCACGCAGGGTCAAAGGCAGTTCCAATGGTGGTGTATTGATGAAGTACTCCTTCACTGAGTAATGTACCAGCCGCACAACGCCTCCTTCTTCCACAACCAGATTCGCACAGCACTCAAAGATTGCTTCCGCTGAATATGCGTTCATGTCGTCCCTGCACCTACAGTCCTCGGTAATGGCAGCTGCATCTTTCAATTCGTGGACGTGAAGAGGTCGGCCAGCGAAGCAGATGGAAGTCAACGCCGTTCGAGCCAAATTCCTTAGGACCGGCGGTTTGGATTGGATCTGGCCTAGTATTCGTTCGTACGTCTTGAAAAGACCCTGAGGGAGCTGATAGAGCTCCCGCTCAATATCCTGGTCGCTACGCTGTTCGCAGAGGTTTCTCAGTTGGAGATTGACCCATAAGAACCTTCAAAGATTAGCCCTCATCCGAGCTTTGGAGGCACACGGACTTACATCCCCTGCGCGTTCTCCATGAGGGTCGTCTTGATCTTCTCTTTGAGAGGCCTGCTCGATACTTTGAGTTTCCGGCGTCGGACTAGATCGTCGACCATGTGACGCACGTAGAGCTGGATGTCAGAATGGACACTTGCAGCCTCAATTTGGATGGTGGGCGTATTCCTGTTGTTGAACTCATCCTCGATATCAGTTTCTCGGCGGCTCGTCACTAGGACCCGCATGCATGGATGCGCATCCGCGAGATCGAATATGTACTTGATGAGCTCCTCCCGTCTATCTTGATCGCATTCGTCGAGGGCGTCAAGAACCAGTATTACCTCCTGAAAATAGTTGACTGCAATATCGTAGAGCATTTGATAATACTCGCGGACAGTTGGGGCCTTGTCGTTCCTCTCAAATTTTAAGAATATGTTGAATATGTCCTCGGGGACCTCATCGAGCTTCTGGCAGAGCTGTTTGAGAAAGGAAGCTAGGACTCGTGCTGGATTCTGATGCTCGCGCGAGTCGTACTTCAAGTACGCGTAGGCTATGCCAACGCCACCCCTGCTGTCTTCCGTAGTTCGAATGTAATCCAAGGAGATTGATCTAAAGCCATGAGTGTGAGGACTAATAGGCATTTGTTCGGACTCACGCCAAAACCGATTTCCCAGCCCCAGCTATAGACGCAAGAAGTGAAGTTAGCCCCTGCTACATAACATTCCGATAAGACTGAACGCACGCATGCCCCAACACCACAGCAGTGTCGAACGCCCGCTTCGATACCACTGCTGGAACTCGTCGCGATTGATAAACCACTGGCCTGTTCCGGGATGGCGTTTTCCGAGAGTAGCCTCGTGGTCTTCATTGAAGTCAATGCCATCCAGCCAACGAAGGAAGTCTTTTTTCTCGCGTAGCACAGCAGGATAGTGGTAGTGAATATCGCGACCCGCTTTGGTGTCTCCCTGAATGAGGTAACCGCTTCCTACGCTCACATCGCCGCCGTATTTCCGCTTGCCGGCAGCCATGGCGAATATCCGGTAAAGGCCGCGCCAAACGCTGAGACAGGCTGGTTAAATAGAGTAGTTTGACTAGCAGGGCAACGGAAGGAAAGTACCTCGTAAAGAGCCTGGGGCGCAACTGATGTTCGGGTACTGGGCCCGCCTCCCCGGCCAATGTCGGTGGCTTCTCCATGCGTACGACTGGTTAGCTGCCCAGCCAGGCAGCAACAGCGTGCAGACTGACAAGCAGCGTGGAGGGCGGACTCGAGAGCGAGCGGCGCCTGATCAAGGGCAGTGTTGGGGGTGGGCTCTGCGTGCCTCGCGTCGCCGCGGATCCGGCCGAGGGCGTACGATAGCGCCGGAAAGGGCTAGCCGAAACGCCACGATAAGCGCTACCGTGCGCGTAGTCATTCCATTGGCTGTGCGCTCCACACAGAGCCTCAAGGCCTCTGGAAAAAGCACATCGTACAGACAGGAGGTAGCAGCCTTTCGGCGGGGTGATGTGACTGACGTGGACCTGCCTGCAGAGCGCAGGAGCGTCGACGTGGACAGGGCGGCCACCGGTCAGCCGGAAGCGGCTTAGCGCGCCCTCTCGTTTCCAAAGCTCCAAGGCGGGAGGCATCCGAAGAGCGCGACACGTGCAGCGTTTCAGTACCATCTACTCCACTCGATCTTAACGTCTTGCCTCGTCTTTTGGACTCCGTAGTTCCACCGTGGTAGCTACGGCGGCGCGTCTATGCACCCGTCTCTCTGAACGCGAGCTGTCACTGCCACCATGCCTCTTGACAAGAAGTCTCTGGAGGAGCTATTCCGTAAGCTCGAACCTGAAGTAACAACCTACATGAATCGCTATGACGGCGGACATGACATGAACCATATCAGGGTAAGCATTCCTCGTGCACTTCTGGGAGCACTCCCTAAGTCGGCTGCCAGCGTGTTTACCGGAACGCCCATATCATTCTCGAAGGAGAGCAGGCCCTGCATCCAGATACTCAATATGACTATTATCTCATCTGCTATGCCGCGTTGCTCCACGATGTCGGCGATAAGAAGTACGCCGCTCCTGGTACGCACCTCCGCTCTCCCTCTTCGCCTCGCACTGACTAGCCACGCGCCAAAAACAGGCGAGGATGTCTCTTCAATGGTGAAGACCTTCATGCTCTCTAGAGTCGACGAACCGAATGAGGAATGGGAGGCGTTCGCCGCGAAAGTACAGATAGTCTCGACCTACGTTTCGTTCTCTACGGAAAAGAAAGACCCCGAGAAGACGAAGGAGGCAATCTCGCAATTCCCAGAGCTGGCGATAGTCCAAGTAGGTCTCCTCATCATCTTAACCCAACACATCACTGATTCTCGCAAAGGATGCGGATAGGCTAGATGCCATTGGTGCAGTTGGCGTGGGCAGAAGTTTCTCGTTCGCGGAGAACAGGCATTACGGAATGCAGGATGGTGTGGATCAGTTCGACGTGAAGCTTTTACGTCTCGCTCCCATCATGAAGACGGAAACGGGAAAGAAGTTGGGCATGGAACGGCATGAGCGGCTTCTAGCCTTCCAGAAATGGTGGCAGGAGGAGGCTCCAATTCCAGAGACTCTGGCCTTCCGAAGCGACGGTGCCTAGGGCTCGGGGCTTCTCGCTCAGGCCAAGCCAACAATGAGGCTAACAAGCCTACTGTAGCGTTGGGCCTGGCCGTTGCGTGCGGCCTGTCGGCTTCAGCACAGGGGGATCAATGTTTAGGATAGGCAATGGACGAATATGCTTGGAGCCTACCCTGGCATAATTTCCAAGCATCAGGACTCCCGCTTCATTCTCGTCGAGGCTAAGCCCCGATGATACCCTGCATATGCTATCCTAGGCAAAGCAGCTTATGGTTCCGCCTGTTGCCCTTCCAGGTCACAAGGCGTACTGACGTGGAAGCTGCAGGGTGGGCGATCTTATCTACCCGCGACTGATTGGGTTGTGCAGACTCGCCAGCCTTGTGACCATAGAGCGGCATCCTGACCGGTACGAACTCTAGTGGAAAAAGCAAGAGTGAGGGCCTAAATTAGCGGTAATCCCATGCTTGTTCATAACTCTAGCTTAACGTCACCCGGAAACAATAGGCGAAGTCCCACGCAGCCTTGCGTTTAGCCAATGTGAATAGAGTGCTACGAGTTTATACACCAGCCTTCTTTGCTGGACATGCCCGTCTAGCTGAAGACATGCGTCCAAAAGTCGCGTTGATTACAGGTACGTATTCTAGTAGCATAGAGAAGCGCGTCAAGCTCACCAATTTCTAGGGGCGAACGGCCAGGACGGAAGTTACCTCTCCGAGCTACTCCTCCACAAAGGCTACATCGTCCATGGACTGGTACGACCACACGCGAGCGCGTCAGCGCACAGCTTGTACAACCTTACACTTGCCCGAGGGAAGCTCCAGCTCCCAGAGCGTCGTCCCATGCTCTCGGCTAACAAACGCAATAGCGCATCCAAACTTCACCCTGCACTATGGCGATATAACAGATATGGGCTGCCTACTAGGCATACTACAATCCGCCAAATTCGACGAAATCTATCACCTAGCGGGGCAATCGCACGTCGGGCTATCCTTTTCCATGCCCGTGTACACGGCCGATGCTACGGCGCTGGGCACCGTCAGACTGCTTCAAGCCGTTGCGCAATTGAACCTGTGCCATAGGGTGCGGTTCTACAATGTATGTAGAGCCTCCAGGCTTATGAGAATGCTAGTAACTTCAGTCCAAGGCATGCACCTCCGAACTCTACGGCCGGATAGCCAAGGGAGAACAAGACGAGAACACGCGGTTCTATCCATCGTCTCCGTATGCCTCCGCTAAAATGTTCAGCTACTGGATCACAGTCAATATGCGCGAGTCGTATGGGCTGTTTGCTGTGAACGGCATCTTGTTCAATCATGAGTCGCCTCGTCGAGGTATAGTCCTGCGGTGCGACATCAAATTGCCGCGGCCAATAACAATACCCACAGGTCTCGAGTTTGTAAGCCGGAAGATCACGCGTGCAGCCGCTGGGATCCATCTCGGAGGGAATGAGATACTAGAACTTGGCAATCTCGACGCCCGGAGAGATTGGGGCGATGCAAGAGACTTCGTTAGGGGTATCCATATGATGCTGCAGCAAGATGAGCCGGAGGATCTCGTGTTAGCCACCGGGGAAGCGCGGAGTGTGAGAGAATTTGCAGAAGAGGCCTTCCTTTCTATTGGCATTACCTTGGAGTAAGTGGTGTTGTACTTGGTTCCCGTAACAGCCCGGCACGGCATGCTAACTTTTCAGGTGGAGAGGAGAGGGCATTTCCGAGATAGGAAGGGATGGCACAACTGAAAGGCTCTTGGTCAGAGTGAACCCCGATCTATTTCGTCCGAATGATGTTCCCTGGCTCTGCGGGTCGGCCAGACGAGCAGAGCAGAAGCTGGCTTGGGCGAAGAGCATTAGTTTCGAGGTAAGTGATTTCTGCTTGAACGCTGTGCGAAAGAGGACTAACTCCAGTAGGAGCTTGTACAAGATATGGTGCAAAATGATATAAAGCAGTTAAAGTCTGCTGCATCGCTGAAGGCTATAACCCCAAGACTATAGATTGAACTACAGAGGAAGAAAGTCATTACGTCCAAGAGCTCTTTCATTTTCTCGCCTTGGTAAAACAAGCCACATGATGGTCTTGAAATGGCTCTATGCTGCATGAATAGCGACGAACCCGCGATGTCAATCGCAGACCCGTCATAGCTTCTCTTCGTTTGAACGTGATATGGGGACGGGCAGCGGCCGATGGATATGACCTATAAGTCGTAGAAAATCCGGCTCGTTATCGTCCGTAATGATGCCGTGGCGAATGAAGAAATCGACCATCACTGCCGCAGCGCTCGGCTTGAACCGTTTAGCCTTCAGTTCCCGCGCGATTTGATCCACATCCATGAGATCGTATCGGCCGACCTCGTCATCATTCGGCTTCAGTTCCATATCTTCAGGGGCCTCGAGCTCATAAACGTAGACGACTTCGGGGACCAGAAGCCCCTTCTCGTACCCCGTGCGTCCATCTGTCACGGACATATACGTGAGCGCTCCACAGGATCGCACGTTATCCTTGAGATACGGTCCTGTAATAGATGCTTCTTCGTCCGCTTCGTGGATCATGGCTTGGAAGGGCGATTCGTCCGCTCGTACCCCGCCTCCTACTGCGCTGTCTAGCAGATCGGGGTAGGAGAATAGTGTGGGCGCTCGCCGAGGTACCCATATCTTCATGTGCCCAGCCGTACGCTTGTATACAATCATGTGTACGCCGCGAACTGCAATGCCGAATATGGCCGAGGCGGTCCGGCTGATGTGTATTGGGAGTCGTGATCCTATGACTCGGAACTGCTCGCTTGAAGCTCGGTCGAATCCCTTGAACGCCCGCTGGTCTATAGCCTTGGATATGACTTTCTCGAGAGCAGTGTTGCAGGCTTGCGCCGTGTTTGCCCCGTTGGAGGAATCGAGTAGTTGGACAGTGCGTGGCTTCTCGTGGCTGATGACGAAGTCAGACGTCCAGGGCATTTGGTTGACCACCCAGGGCAGCATGAACCCATGCGGTCGCGAGTCGTTTGGGAGGAGGAACCGGTACCACGAGGCCTGGCCATCATCATTAGAAGGGCAAGAAGTCACATCGATATATGGGAAGCTGAAATCACAATTAGCTGCGCACCGTGACGTTTCGTGGCTGTTAGGCCAAAGCGGTGCCCAGAGCGGCACATACTTGTCCCAATCTTCCGCGATCTCTAGATACGACCTGGTCGCCATCCTCTGGAACTTTTGCCGGTAGAAAGATAGTGCGATATTTAAATATCTGGTGATTTGCATGGGTACTCCGTATCAGGTTGTGAGGTGGTGGATGATGACTTTCAGACGACTGGGCGGCATTTTGGCGGGGTAGTGGAACCTTGCAAACGGGGCATTCAGGCAGCTATCTGCAAATCACCCTCAACCAAGCATCCCTAGGTATACCTGGGTAGTGAACTAACTCCATTACTACCCTCAAGCCCTACGATTGGTACCCGCTTTTACGGCGGTGGAACCTCTCTCTCACAGCATACTGCCATTCGTTCGCAATCTTGGAAACGTACAGGATAGCCAAGCAAGCAACAAACATGAAGACACACACCACCATCAATACGCTCAATACTAGGCTGGCTCGAATCCATGACTGCGCCTGAAGCGCCTTCTCCTCAACCGTGCCGTGGGCAATCTGCTCAACGGCAATAGCAACTTGCAGCCCACCCAACACGACCGTCATGAAGCCAAAGACAAAAAACCACGGCCGGCACAGCTCCTCGAAGTATTTCCCATACTCGCGATGCGTCCGGTAGTACTGCGCTTTTCGCAGCAAGATCGGGGCGTAGAAGTTCAAGCGCGCAAGTCGGAGCTCGCCGTAGCGATATCGGGCGGAGACCTCGCTATCGAGAATATGCCCGAAGCCAGAAGAGAAGCGACAGAAGCCTTTCCAAGTGATATGCTCTGGCAGCACGGAGATGCCGGGTTCCTGCGCGATTTTGAAGTCCGATTCATGCTGGATAAGATGGAAGTAAGACCTCAGCAAGCCCAGGGCTGATCTCCTAATGCGCCGTGATGCATCCATCGTCTCGGGCACTTCATCCTGCGAGCCATCGAAATATCGTGTCCAAAAGTGGTAGGATGTAATGTATGCCGGTAGAGGTTTGATGTAGACCTTGTCGCCGATCCACGTTAAGTGCAGTTTTGGGTCCTCAGCGACGACAATGGTCCGCCCTTTGAGTCTGTGCTGGTGGAGAGAGGAAATGCTTGAGCTTTCAGGTTTGGCCATCCACCACAGATATGGCGCCATCTCGTCAAGTTCTAATGGGCACAGATCGCGAGCTACGAAGTCCAGAACTTCTCGTCGGTCGTCGAGGGCTATGCGTGGATGTCCCGGCAACCATCTCTCCTCGGTAGATTCCATCGACTCGTCATACTCTGCACAAAGCTCATCATTAAGCTGTGAACCGTGGCGGAATGGCGGAGGGGGTGGTTGCCTGGGCTTTGGTTCTTCTTGGGCGGGCATGGAATGGAAAGCCCCAATGTCGAGAGCTGTGAAAATGGAAGTTTCCGGAGTGATCTGCGCAGGAACCTAGTCTTCTTTAAAAGGAAGGTTCTGCCTGAGTATTTGACGTTTTGTGTTGCCCGAGCGGTGTTGCCTACTAGCGGCTGCCTTTTCAACGGGCGCAGTCAGCCTCGGATCTTAGCGACGCAACGATGCACCGACGGCAACCGTGGACCGCTACGCCTATTGTGGTCGATGCCAGCCTGGTCGAGCTCGTGGTGCGGGGAATTGTGCGAGGAATCAACAGGAGCTCATCTCACCCTACTCCTGGATTATGAATGCCACCGAGGGCTAGAAGTCTTGAGTCAGCATCCGGTCTCTAGAGTATCTCATTCCTCGCCATTATCTCCCTTACTCTATTCCTCGGACCGCGCTCCTCCAGTGGTTCGCTCTGCTGGCGAGACAGGCCTGCAGCAAGGCTGCGAATAATTGGTCACCCACGGGATATGATTGCATAAGCAAGGCTGCGTTTCCTCTCCGCAACTTTTTGATGAGGACTTTGCATGCCTTCGATCGCCGCCGTCGCCTCGCAAGGACAACCATGATTCTGCAAGCCATCATGCGGCATGACTTGTCACCAGTCCATTCAACGAAGCCCGCGCCTCATTTTGCCGGCTCCCGCAAGGCGGAGAGCTACGACGTCCTGAGATAGCCCCATGCATATGCGTCCTCGCGACGAGAAACGTGGTAGGAGTAGACGTGGTAGTAGTAGTAGAGTAAGAGCGAGTACAGTGGAGGCTGGTCTTAAGGCGTCCGAGATCTACGCCTCTGACCTCATCGTGCATTGCGTCGATCACGGCTTAAAACCTCGAAACCACGATACAGCCAAGCTCCATCACGGCCGCATGTTCGACATCGGCGCGATACTTGGAGTCCTCCGCCGTGTTTCCGGAGCTCCCGCGATATAATGACTCCACGGCGATCCAGTACCCAGGTTTCCCAGACCTTGGGCCGCAGCACACGACGATCCACCATCCAAACCCAGGGGCGCAGCCGAAGTCGTAGTCGTAGTCGCAGTCGCAGTCATCGTCGAAATCGAAGTCCCAGAATCCGCGGTCGACCATCAGAAGAGGCAGCCTTCGACTTCAAATGCGTTCGCAATACCTTGGACTATAAGTACGTCAGCCTTTTAGACATCAAGATCGAAGACGGAACAGCAGTCGTGCCAGACGAAGCTAGCGATAGCACAGATGACTCTTTCCGGTATCGGCCCAAACCTGTCAAGCCGGGGCCGCACGAGCCTGGCATCGCGCGCATTTTTCTCTGCCCGGATGAAGAGAAACTCGATGAGCTGGAAGACTATCTCGAGTACGGGGACGACGGCCCACGGGATCGCGTGCCTCGACGGGAAGGAATGGGCTCCTATACGGCGCCCGACGAACCCAGCGATAACTGCCCCTATGATCTGCGCGATGTCTTTTGGTGGCTACCCCGTCGAAGCCTCATATTCCAGAATCGCATGGGCCTCAGACAGGACCGCGTTAGGCAGGATCGCGATGCCACCCGAACAGATGAGATTTCCAGTGGAGCCGAAGAAGATGCGTCTTCCGAACGGGCACGGAACGGCTTCGGATTGGGACCCCTCGATGAAGTGGACACGATATTTTGCTTTTCCGAGCTCTTTTTCGTCTATCGTAGAGGCGCGGAGGATGCTTATGGAGAATTGGTCCAGCACAAGCTGTATTTGCTGAATAACGATGCGGATAGGATCACTAGTAAGTTTCAATTACCACATCCAGAAAGCTCATCCAATTCCACCCACATGTTATCCTTTTCGAAAAGCGGGGCGACTCCCCCGCCGCCGCGTCCTATACCAGCCCTATGTATCTTCGCAGCTAATCCAAATCCAGTCGTATGGCGATGTTGCACGATGTTCGCCCCCGTCGGCGGTTCGTCCTGCCAGCAGGACTTCCTTGCTGACGTCCTCGAAAGGGGCTCCTATGTGCGCATGCTCAAGAGCCTCCAGCCCTCCCACGACGACTTCCTCGTCCTCTTCATCCTGCAAGTCCTCTCCTCCGACATCATGCAGCTCGAGCGCGCCGTGCAATACGAGATCAAACCGCGCCTCTTCACCGACCTCATGAAACCCGCGGACTCCGTCTCCACCGACTACTTCAAGGCCATGGAAGCGCGCATCTACAGCTTCAACCGCATGAAATGCATGGTCGAGAAGGCCGAGGACATCAACGAGATGTGGAACTACCTCTGCCTGAAGCTCAAACTGGGCGACCTAGGCACCGAAGCTGCAATCGAGGATTTCTGCGATGAAGTGCGCACGCTGACGCTGCGTGCCTCACAGCTTCTCAAGCACGCTAAGCGCATCGATACGCGCTACCAGGACCTCTTTGCCCTAAATACTACCGTCTCGCAGTCGCGCCAGTCCTTCTCAGTCACCATTCTCACCGTCCTCGCCGCCGTCTTCCTCCCGCTCTCCCTCGCCTCCGCCGTGCTCAGCATGCAAACCCGCTTCAGCGACCTCGGCGTGCTGATCTACGACTTCTTCGGCGTAGCCTGGATCTTCGGCACCTTCTCGCTGGTCTGCTTCTGGCTCGTGCGGTACGGGACGCGCTTCCTCGACAAAGCCTGGAGCCTCAAGCACCTGGAGAAAGACAACTACCGCACCTGGCGGGGCTCGATCCAGGGTATTACGTACTCGTACATTTTCGGGTGGACGCTGGTGCTTGTGTCGTTCTTGCTCGGCATGTTTTTGAGGGAGACGGTGGTTGATTGGAGGGCGTGGCCCTTTTTGGCGGTGGGCGTTACGACGTTTGTGCTTGCACCGGTTTTTGTGCCGGTTATGGATGTGCTGTATACTATCTTGTCGCTTTTCGGACTGGGCTGGTCTTTTTTCTGCTGGAGGACGAGGAGGCGCGTCAAGAGGCCGAGCGGGGGGAGATGGAAAGGGAGGCGGCACAGCACCAAGAGGGAGTCTGCGGCGGACAACGTTTAGTAATTGTGAGGGCCATGATGCTTTCTTACATAAATGCAGGTGTTGAGACCGGTGCTGATCCAGTGAAGAGGCATATCAGTACCTTGCATATCATACAGTATCGATATTACTAGCATACCGCTTCTACCCCTCCGGCGGATACACGACAATCTTCTCAATATCCGCGCCCTTAACATCAAACCCATTCGACAGTCCCCCAATCGTAATCGTATTATCCCTTCCCTTATTCAGCATCAACTGCAACGGCGCACTCAGAATAATCCCCTTATGCGTATCTCTCTGATACAACGTCTCCACATTCTGGGTATCGCCATTCACAACAACGCTCGCAATGCGTCTCAGCTGCCAGGATCCACCAATGCGATCTGGAGATCCTCCCGGCTGGTCGCCGAAGCCCATGTCGTCCGTGTTCTGGTAGTAGAAGGAGACCCATTGGGGTTTGCCGCTGCCTTCGATGCCAGAGAAGGTTACCGTGCTGTCGTTGCCGTAGATGCCGGTGAGGATGACGCCAGTGTCGGTGAAGGTGGCTTCTTGGGCGAAGGCGGAGCCGGCTGTGGTTGCTGAGGTGGCCTGGTAGGTAGTTCCTTTGATGGGCTTCCACTCGCCGGTTTTGCTTGGAGAAGTTAGTTGGACCGCCTGGGTTGAGGAGCGCTGAACTTACATGTTTAGATCGTATACATCGTGCCAAAGCACCTCGAGCGATTTCTTGTTTTCGTTGATGTCCATGGGTAGCCATATGTACCGGCTCTCCCAGAGCGAGTTGGAATCCCACTGACTCTTGTCAGCACAGCTAAACGAATAGGGCCAAAGAAGCAGTCGCATACCTGGTCTCCAAGGTAGAGATACGTAGTCTGCTTGGTGCCCTTGATGCGCAGCGAGAAACCTGACTGAGAATTAAACGTGCGCGTATTGAGCGGCGCCACGATGAAGGGCTGAGACCATGGACCACTCAAAGAATCGGCGCGGAAGGCGACGACGTCTGGGGCTGTCAGCTTGCTACTGGGTTCATAAGCACGGCGATGGAATCTCACTGTTTGGCCTGTAGCCTGTCTTGTGGCTCATCAGCGCAAAGTAGCTCTTCTCCGTCTGGATGATCGTGGGCGCCTCGAGATCGTACTTGTCGAAGCGATGAACGACCTTGTCGAGCGCGGTGATGTCGTTGTTGTAGCTCGTGAGATACACGTCTCGTCCCTCTTTTCGGTCACCGTTCGAATACAGGGCGTATGCTTTCCCATCCTTGTAATCAGTGAACAGGCCAAAGTCCTGGGACCAGTTTCCGAGAGGGGCAGTGGCGTCGACGAAGCTGTATGGTCCAGTGATATTGTCTGCTTGTGCGAAGCCTTGGAGAAGCCAACCGTACGTGGAATTGTCGGCATGCCACCACATCTATGACCCATGAGCTTATGCATAGAATATGGACAGAAGAATGTATACATGATACTTGCTAGTGCCCTCGCTGTACACGACCTTCGGCCTCTGAATGATGTGCGAAGGGGAGATATACGGATGGCCTTCAATTGGTACTGAACCCAGGTTAGCATCAAGGGGACTTCCATGCGACATTGTCAACGTACCCAAAGCCATCCCATGGTGCTCCCAGGTCGCCAAATTCTCCGAGCTATACACCGACACACCGCCACCCTCTACCTGTCCCTGGACTTTGTACTCTCCAAAAAGGAAGAACTTTCCGGACTCTTTATCCACGGTAACGCATCCAGCATGTGCGTTCACGAGATTCCCCTCCGTATCCCGCCACCTTGCCCCAGGAACGATCCATTTCGCCTCCGCCGTAGCCGCAACCAGCAGCAAGCGACAAAGCAATGCACAGAAAGCCATTGTGTAGTTGAGCAGACGCCGCCGGGAACATGCGATGCCACAGTTATTTTATATTAGAGCATCGGCCAAGACGGACCGGGGCCATTTAGCCCGAGCACCAGGAACCAAGACACCTTGGGCAGGGCGCCAGAGCCGCGAACGTGCAAGTGATCTCGCATTTCTCCAGGTCTCTGGGACTTCTTTGGACGTTCGATGCAGGACCCGGAGAAATTGAGGGGTGGGGTGACGGGCCTAAGCAGTGTGACAGAAACGAGTCGGAAGGGTACACCGTCGTTCCGCTCCCTCCGCGGCTTATCGGACTAGGGCGGTAAGCTTCCGCTTTGTGAAATCCCGGAGACCGGACTGAGCGCCGACTCAATAACGCCATTGTAGTTGAGATGGGAGCGGTGATGGTGATGATGGATAGCGATGGTCAGAGGGGATGGAGACGGTGGATCCCCGGTCAGACCTTTCCCACTAACCGTAATAAGCCTAGCGTACTCGTTTGTCTACACCCCCGATGAATATAAAGCGATACCTCTCTCTACACTTATACGTGTGAGTTACCAATACTCTTCCCCCGCCTTTACACACACAGAACATAGAACATGTACACCAACATCCAAGACCCCGCCATCCGCGAGACCGGCCGAGATCTTACGCCCGGTAAGCCCGGACACATCCAAGCTGACAAAAGCCTAACGTTATTGAGCTTCAAGCTTGCCGCCCAAGGGTACTTCACGAATAACATTGTAGCTATAGCTAACACCGCCGAGGCCTTGGGAGAAAGCGGTGGATATTGGCAGGGACTACGCCGCTTACCAGCACGCTATAACGATTCAAATCTGACGTCTTCCTCATTCTCTTTTCCTCGTCCATTCTTCTCCCTCGCAACCTCTCCATTCCCACTATCCAAGCCCAATTACACCGTTCCGTCCATCCCCGTCTTCCAAAATGGCATCATACACCGGGCCCTCCTTCTCCCTGCATGTCAAAATAACCATCGACCCCTCCAACTCTGACGCCTTCCTCGAAGCCCTCAAGCCAGCCTACGACGCCGTATGCGCGGAGCCCGAATGCATTTTCTTCGAGGTCTACCACGACTCGAAGCAGCCCGGCGTGTTCAAATTCGTCGAGAACTGGAATGCGAGTGTGGAATGGATGATGAATGTAAGTTTCTGCTAGCCAACCGGAAGGGCATGGTGAGAAGGGGAGTGGGGTTGGGTAGTTGGGAAATAGTGCTGATGGGAGGATACAGGTGCAGCTGAAGAAGGACTACTACAAGCCGTATATGGAGAAGACGGAGCCGATGTTTATTAAGCCGAGGGAGCATGAGTTGTGGGAACGCATGCCGGGGAACACGTGGACGAGCGTGAGCAAGGAAATGTTTTCTTGAAGGAGCTGCGCATGCCTAGTTCTCAGGTCGCCGGATGCGACGGAAGACTAGATAAAATATCAAAGGCCTCGACTTGGGTAGATATACCAGGGTGCGAAGAAGCTAGGTTCTCAGTCCTTCGCAACAGCATACTTACTCTTTCCCTTAATTTGCTTCCCATACATGTAGAACAGATACGGCACCGGGACCAGCAGCGCACTAATCCCGCCCAGAATCGTCAGCGTCCAATGTACGCCCATGTTTTCATAGAATAGGATTCCCACGACTGCCATAGCCCCTGCAGCCACATAGCGAATGAGCGTAACGGACGCGAGAGCTGATGCGGAATACGATTCGTAGGAGTCGATGATGTACTGATAGGAGCTGATAAAGACGCAGAGGATACCGTAGCCGAAAAGAACGCTTGCGTCGAGCGGTGACCAGATGGATATCCAAGAGTAGCTCGTCCAGCCCATCCAGAACAAGCTGATGGGTATTGCCAGAGCGCCGCCTAACATGCTGAACCACAGCCGGAACTCAGGTGGTAATCTCGTGCCTCCTCCTCTTGGATCCTCTTCAAATCTCTTTTCGCCCACTTGTAAATGAGAGGGACAAGTGCCGTAGCTCCGAAAAGTCCAACTGTGATGCCGAGGGAGCATAGCCCTGTGATACCTAACCTTGTTCCATGGATTTCGCCGAAGATGTAATCGTACCCATCTAGGAAGGAATAGGACGATGTAAATGAGTGTCAGATACAGGGCTAAGAGCATGATGACAGGCTCGCGGAAGGTGAGCAGGAAAGGCCGATACAGAGCAACCCTAAGACGCCGTATGAAAGTTTCGCGTTTGATTTTCATTTTCGGCAACATATCTGTCATCGCCAGTGACAGCGCGAAGATGCCACGCTTTCCAAGCCAACAGAACGGGCGGATATGTCTCCGGTTGGAAGACTACCACAGCTCCGCGGATCAGTCCGGACATGATGAGGGTTGTCCATTCAGTCCAGCGCCAGCTCACGGCACTGCTTTGAGCAATGAAGCCACCCATGACCGGGCCGAGTACAGGTCCCGTAAATGCGGCGTTTGCGAAGACGGGGAAGGCGGATACCCGTTCCATCGGGGACCATAGGTCGGATATGGAGCCACCGGCGCAGGTTAAGGGAGTGGATCTGAAGAAGCCCGCGAGGAAGCGAAAAACAAGCTGTGCTCCAATATCGGGAGCAAGGCCGGACGCCATTATGAAGATCATGTAAAGGGTTAGAGTAACAATGTACACGCTGCATCGAGGTTAGCATGCCTCCCAGGAAAGCATTCAAGGCTCCTTACGGGTTTCTGCCCAATGTCTCGGACACTGGCCCTGCGAATAACGCCCCGACGCCAAATCCAATAAGATACAATCCCGTCGCCAGAGACTCTGTCACTTCACTGACGCCGAACTCAGCAGCAGCCGGTCTTAGTGCGCTGGAGTCGATCGAACTGGCAACCCCGACAACAAAACCAATGCCTGCGATCAATGCGGTAGCGAATATCCTAGACGGGTAACTCCTATTATGTGGGTTCAGTGGGTCATTCTCGCCTTGGTAGCCAACAACGAAGAGTTTACCAACATCGTCAATGTTCGCATGATGCGATCGTACGTCGACGCCAGTAAGAGCGGCACCTAGAGTTGTTTCGAAAGACCGTCGAGTTGCGCGCGTCGTTGTGCGGCTAAGGTGGCCATCGTTGGGTGGTTCAGGTCGGCTTCGTAGGTCTTGCTCGAGCCCAGACTCGGCTTCTTCAACCGCAGTCTCACTCCTCTGCGAAGTACCGCCTCTTTCAAGGACTGATGGATCCCTCTCATCCTCTAGAGTCGTAGGTTGGCTATGGTGCGCTTTCTCGTTGTTAGACGGTTTTTCGTGTTCGGACCGGGCAAGCGATGACGCGGATGAAAGTGACGACGCCGATGAGGGCGATTGAGCGATCGGATGGCCTGATGTGGTTCCTCTTCTTGTGCGGGCGGGCTTCTCTGGCTCTTGGGAATGACGATTGTACTGCCGTTCCACCTGCTGGCGGAACTTCCGGTATTGCAAAAAGGATTGCCTCTCTCTATCTCAGAATGTAGAAAATGGCCTAATTTGCTTAGTAGAGACCGCATAAGACGAGTCCGAACCCCAAAGAACGATCAGACGAGAATGGGGGGAATCTCTGTAATGATTTGAGAAGATAAATCCGCGGTTCGAGATCTGCTGCGTGCGACAAGTGGGACGCTCGCAGAGGCATTTCGACGCTTCCTCCGGGTGTAATGTGGCACCGTCATGGTTCCAGAGTCAATCTGCTTACACGCCACGATGTGATTAGAAATTTGACGGCGATATGACGTTGTTGAAAAGCTCTACTAGATCTCTATTAGCGCCGTTGCGTTCTAGAGAGCAGATGTAGATGACGTAGGGGGTCTCCTCGAGTGGAGTCAACGACTTCGCGATAAATGCTAGCATGTGACGAAGAAGCAACTGATAATTCCAGGGAGTACTGTTCGGGACAACGCCATGAAGAGTGTTGAAGTTGGTGTGGTCGGGGTATACGGATAGGCAGGCGCAACGGCGCTAGTGCCTCACACTAGCCCCGTTTCGGGCTGTTGTTTACAATCGTCTTCGCGACAACCACCACCACGACCGCACCACGACACCGCACAAACGCTCCCGCGCCGCAATGGAGGCTTATAAGCTGAAGACGGCGTCCACATACATCAACAATCTGCTGCTCGCACGAGGTCTGCTGCGAGATGGCAAGCCAATCGAGTTTGCGCATCCGTCGCGAGGCGAAGGCGGAAAGGAAGCCACAATGGCCCAGATAATCAATCTGGTGCACGATCTCATATTGAAGCGAGACGTAGGTATCTTTGCGCAATTGAATGACTATACAGTCTCTCGTCTAACCATCTCATGCCGTAGCACGACCAGGAACAGCGTGAGTCCTTCGCCATGACCGTCCGCACCCTCCGCAGCGAATCGACTCGCCAAACGCTGGCCAACGAGAAACTACAAACGCGCAATGAAGACCTCGCGCGGCAGCTTTCGCTCGCCCAGTCGCAAGAGCGCTCCGCCCGCGCCGCCCTCCGCACCGCCGAATCGTCCGCCCGTAGCTTGCGCGAGGAGATGGTACGGCTCAAGACGACGGTTCAGCAAGTGCGAACAAGCTGTGCAAACGACATACGGAAGCGCGATGTGCAGATACAGAGGCTGAAGAGCCACTTGACGAGTCAACAGCGCGGCAACAAGACGGGGCTGGTGGGCGCAAGCATCACAATCAACCCAGGCGTCACGGGCATGGGCGGCATGACGAGCAGCACGAGGGACGAGGCGCCGGATGTCGACGACCCCGAATACAGCCTGAAGCAGGAGACGACCGAGTTCTTGACGCAACTGAGCCAGAGCTTGAGTGACGAGAACGATAACTTGATTGGCCTCGTGAGGAGCACCATCCTGACATTGAAGGAGCTGCAAGGTATGCCAGAGGGTCAGAGACAGGAAGAAGTCGAGTGTCTTTCTGCTATCGAGGAGGAAGACGAGAGCACCCGGCAAGGCATGCTACACACACTGCCCTCCAGCTACGAGACATTGGCAAGCAACATGGACGCCGTCTTGGAAAACCTGAAGAATCTCCTTACCAACCCGAACTTTGTGTCAGTCGACGAAGTGGAGTCGCGAGAGGAAGAGATACTCAGGCTAAGGGCAGGCTGGGAGAAGATGGAATTGCGACTACGGGAAGCATTCGCTCTCATGGAGACATGGAGGAAACGAATGGCCAGTGGCGGCGACACGATAAACCTTGAGGAGCTCAAGATGGGACTGGGCCTCGGGCTCGGGCTCGACAGCGTCAACAAGGAGGGGGCATCCATAATTGCGGAGGAAGAAGACGACGGCGGCGGCGCTAGCTCGGTCTTCGACGACAACATCAACGAGGCAGATGACCTAGGGGACCCGCCCTCGCCAGAGGCGGACGACATTCCCGAGAAGACGGGCGGCTCAGACTTGTTCAAGCTGAAGCTGCAGCCCGATCCACCGGCGCTTAGAGAGAGCAACGGGAACGTCAAGTCACCCACCAAGTCTCCACGGAAGGTTGCCTTCTCGGCATCCATTCCCAACACACCATCGCAGATGGAGGATGAGAATGCAGAGGCATCCGGGATAGATCTGGTAGGCGTGGAGAAGCCCACGCGTTCAGCATCCCAATCAGAAGAGCGGATGTCCAGGCCAACATGCCAGGACAATCGCACTCCGCGCCATGTACGTTGTGACAGTATTGCGGACCAGATTGTCAGGCTGGCCAGCAAAGTCACTTTTTCTTCGTCTCCTTCAACTCTCGACTCTCCAACAGCTTCCGATTCTGACGACCACTGGCAGGCAAAGAAACGACACTCAAGCCCACATGCTCATCCCGAGGAGCCATCGTCGAAGTTGACGGTGCTGGATAAGCTCAAGGTGGCTCAGGCGGAAGCGGAAGCAGCCGCTGTTACGGAAGGATTGAAAGTCAACTCCCCCAAAGCAAGGGCAGCCGATGAAGAGGGTTTGCGGCACGAGAGGAGGCAGCGACGGGCCAGCCGTAGCTCGCCAATGAAGACGCGGATCGGCGGACGACCAAGGAGGAGACAGAGCACGTTGACGCCTGGGGAGCTGGACACCCTCTTGGGCTTCTAGCCAAAGCTCGAGCTAGACACAATGTACGATGCACGAGAATCTTGATTTTGTGGGGTTGACAATGGTTGATGCCTGGCGGTTTGTCATATTATAATCTATCTGTTGGATTCATCCTTCGATGGCTGCTAAAGTGGAGGTCTCGGGTGGTGGAGGTGTGACAAAGCTGTTCCTTGATTCGGCAATCCACGAGCGATGCATGAATGGGGCCGGGGCAAGGCGCGTAGGTACGGGTCTCTTCGATCGTCCGCTGTTCTGCGGCTGGGCAGACGGCTGTGTTATTGGGGGCTGAAAGAGTTTCGTTTGGGCACGAATCAACCTCGCCATACATGGAACGGCGGCCTGAGGTCGAAGAGGGGCGTGCCTGGCCCGACTCACAGCAATTATAGGGATTGAGGGATTAACGAGGCGAGACAGGCTGCGTACTGTGTACGTTGCTCCTGCCGTCATCCTTTTTGTGTTGCAAAGGGATGGACCTCGAGGCCTATCGTGTCGGCCCGTCCTATCTGCAGGTGGCACAGGTTCGCGAAGCCGTCTGCATCGACATCTCGAATGGACAGGTCCCTCGAACCGCTGTGCCTCCACGCGAAGGAACCGTCCGGTGAGCTTATCCCTCCGTCGCATCAACGCCCTCGTCCTCGTGGACCTCCTGCACACGGCTGCACATCATTCAAGCCTATCTCCATGGTTACAGCGACGATAACCTGCTCGCGATAGCAGACTTCTCGAATGCGGCAGGCCGTGGAGGCGGTTGCACGGCTCAAGCCCCATCAAAGACTATTAGCCGCCGAGTCCCACTCTGGTCAATTTGTGACCAGATGACCGCCAGCAACGAGCGCGATTGGACGCTGCCCTCAGCTCGGGCTGGGCGAGGTGTGAAATGGCTGCAAAAAGGTACGGATGCGGCGGGGAGCGAGGCTGCTCGCAGGACGCCAAATCACGCGTAAATGTGCCCGATCGGTCGATTGCGGGCTAGTTTCGAGCCGTTTCTGCGGTGTGATGGAGCGCAAAATGCACCGCTCGCAGCGATATCACAGGACGCGGTGCCTTGTGCGGCCTGATAGGCTGCGTGTTTTCACTGGGCGTCCGTGCGCTACGGCAAGCCCCACTCGCACATGCCCCGCCCTGGCCGGCCAATCAGGCGTCGCCCGGCTGGCGCCAGGCCACACAGGCCGCCTTCTCCACCACTCCCGCATCGCCTTCAAGCGCTGGCTTACCTTCGATAGACTGCAACCCACCACGGCTTCCTTGCCCGCTCCCTGCGCGAATGGCGTGTGGGCTGCACAAGCAATCAATCGACACCCGGGAGCAGCGACACCACTCCCGAAGGTGCGTAGTGCCAGCTGGGCCAATATGCCGGTCGGTAAGCCAGTCCCAGCCAGCCTGCGCAGCCTGTGAGGTGCGATAAATAAAGGCGGCCCCAGGCCCCGCCTTCTCTCTCCTTTTCAGCAAGCGTGTGAAGTCCTGTGGGCTGTGTATTGTCGTTTTTGTTGTACCCTTTGTTTCTGTTTCGTTTCTACACCCTCTACTCTCGATATCCGACTCTAGGCCTGGTGCCACTAATACCATTACTGCCGCCGACACCCTTTTTACGATAATACGACTATCTCTTTGCTCGAAAGAGGAGAGACCAGTCTTTTTTCCGCTAATTCGATTCGTTACCGTGGCTGGTCCACGCGACTACAACGTAATACCGGCTCTCTTGCTCAAGACGACAACCATCAGCATCTGCTTCAGTCTCCACCACCCGCGGCCCTCGCATGGTCGAACTGGCAATTGCGCAACCTCGCCCTCTCACGCTCTCTCTACGCTTCAATCAGCAATCCCCGTCTATCCATTAGCTTGGCCCGGACGTCAGGAAGGAAAGAAAAGACATTCGTAATATTTTCAGTTATTGACAGAAAGAGTTGGGACCGGATCTTCCGCAATGGCAGCTATCCAGCTCAACTTCACGCTTCGCACTTCGAGTGGCTGTAAAACAGTGCATCTGCTAGGATCATGGGATAATTATGCAGGACAGCTTCCGCTCTCCAAGGACCCGAAGAAGAGTGGCGGCTGGTTGGGATGCTTCAAGTTCCAGGGAGGCACATTGAAGCAGGGTCAGCGGTATTGGTACTACGTATGTCCTCCAGACTTCGAGCTGCGTTGCTAGCGCTAACGGGTTGGGACAGTACATCATCGACGGCTACCACGTCTCGCACGACCCAGCCAAAGACCATACCACTGAGCCCACTACAGGACGCAAACTCAATATCCTAGACATCCCTGGAAAGACAAAATCCTCCTCCCAACAAGCCTCCTCGCGCTCCTCCTCAAACCGGCACGAACGGCGCGTCAGCACCGCCTCCACCGCCTCAATACCAAAAGGCCGCTCGCTCTCGCCCTCCAAGATCCAGTCACCGAAGCCCGAACGCCCCCACCAAACCCGGCAAGTCATCAATACGCAGTACGACAAAGTAGCGCTCGAAGCGCTATCCACGCGCTTTGCAAGACAATCTATATCGCCGGCGAGTTCCACGACAAGTATATCAGAATCCGACGACTCGTATTCTGATAGCGGCTCGGATGTGCCTTCGCTCACATCGCGGTCGACGAATTCGTCGAGCCCGTCGAGCGTGAGCTCGAGAAGCAGTTGTTGTACCTGCGAACGGTACGGCATCACGCGCGACGGGAATAGAGTGAAACTTGACTGCGGCGGTGCGCGGTGCGGATACAGCGACGACTCGTCGGAATGCTCTTCGGAAGACGACTTCCTGTACGAGGAGAAAACGACGCGTCGGCAAGGCGTCGTGATTCGCACCTAACTTCCCCCGCTGCACAACTACGAAGCGTTCCTTCAGCTGGTATAGCCTGCCATTGTTCCAGTTACTTTTCCCTCGGAGGTCCGGCTCTCATTCTTTCTGTCCATATTACGATACCTGTTCGTCAATCTTCTTCTTTCCTTCCTTTCTTTCTCTCCTGGCTTTTCAGCTCACGACCCGCTACGCTCGTTGGATAGAACGTTTAACTGTACTACTATTCCCATTGCTGCTGGTACTCCTCCTTTTTGTATTGAAGCTAGAGGGACGATGTGAGAGGGCGAGGCCTATGCGCCCACACACATGTCAAGCGACACCAACCCAACCCAACCGCTCCGGAAGGGAAAATGCCCGGTGTCGGAAACGCTTCAATGCACGCATGTACACCTTCCCTTTATGCTGTAAAGGAAAGAACTAAATTGAGAATCTGCATGGCTCGTGCGCGAAACGAAACTTCTTGAGTGCCTCTCTTGGCTGGCTGTGATGCTTGCTGCGCTTGCTGAATTATGCTCGTTGCATCCTATGCTGTTAGCAACGTTTCGCCGTATGGAAGTATACGCAAATTCCTTCCTTCCCTCTTTCCTTTCCTTCGATTCCTCCGCCCCCCTCTTTCTCCTACCCGCTGTGATACCGTCTCACCTCTCACGCAGATCATCAAGTCCGCTACACTACACTACCCTCTACCCTCCCCTCTCCTCTTCCCCTACTTCTAGCTTGCTAGTTTCTCCTCCCATCCACATCCACCTACCTTACACCAGCCCACCATTCCACCCCTCCCCCTCTACCACATCACACGCACATCCCCCTCCCTGCCCTGCCTCATCCAATCCACATCTCCACGCTTCTTATCCCACGAGTGCAGAGCCGTAAAGCAATGCGCTGCGCTGCTTATCCAAGCCCGACCCCAACTACAGAGACATAAACGGCCCAGCGTTTACCTTTTCGGGCATTTGAAGAGAGAGACAGACAGAGATTAGAGAGGAAGAACAGGCGGTCCTGCGCCGTGCCGGCCCGTCAGCTCAGCGCATCAGCCGCCTCTCAGCGTCATCGCATCCTTCGCCGGGGATGGGGATCGCGAGAGGGAGTCTGAGGTCTGGGTTTCACTCGACACTTTTAGTAGACGAAACGGCGAGCGCGCCTACGGCGGCGGTCTCAGACGAAGTGGTGAAGGTTATAGGTACTGGTAGATAGGACTGCAGATGCAGAGGGAAGGAGGACAGCTCAGCTCCCATCGCTATTGTCTGCGTCATCGCGAAATGAGATTCGATAACTAATAGAATCTCCGCGAGAGACTGACGCCATGCTCTGAACCCTTGAGACACACGCATACACACCAATTCATCTGCAGCCGTGCCGCGTCCCAGACACCGCATCGCATAATCCCACCACTCAGGGCCGCGCAATACACATCCACGCCCGTCTATACAACGATGCATCTGCGCGTCTTCTACGCAAAAAGCCGCCTGTATATATGCCCTTTCCGCTCATCCGGCATCTCGCCCCGCCATTCCGTGCGCTCCCCAAACAAACCAGCACCAAAACTCCCCACACCCAAATGCCGCATGCCGCCAGAACGCGCAGACGCAGCACTAGTTGATTAGAATGTTTTTCCCACGACCGCATGCGGGCGCGCCGGAGAGTCAGAAAAGTGGTTCGGCGGACCGGAAGGGCTGGCCGCATGGACGAAGAAGGAAGCTCGGCCTTGCGACGCGGCACGGCAGGGCATGGCCGAGCGCTGCTCATATTATGTGTGATGGATGCGATCCCCCGCTGACCGTTTCAGAGGCCTGATTTGTGGTGTTGGTCAGAGGAAGAGAAGGCATATAGAGGACGCGGGCTGCACTTGCTTTCTCGGCGGAGCTGTTTTTCTGCTTCCCCGATTTCGTTTTGGTTCTTCTTGTGTCCGGCTTGATGGAGCCCTGGGCAATGACTGCTGTGATGAAGCGCTCTCGCTTCATATTTTTTTTTCTTTGGTCGTACGGCTGAGTCGTATGACTGTTCTCGCCGAGGAGACCAAGTCTCTTCTACTATCCCATGCTCTGTGGGCGCTATTGAAGGCATACAGAGTGGTTCTTTTCCTTTGGACGCGGAGGAGGCTGGCTCTCTTCTGGAGAAAGCACACCATCTCTTCTCCATCTGAATACCGTTCCACGTTGGATGCGGGAACTCTGAGGATAGGTATAAGCGAATTTCATATCTCCAGTGCATCTGGGGGCTACCATAATAGGTCCACTCACCTGATAGGGCGGCATGAATCGTGAACTCCCGACAAACACACCACGATAACGAGGCCGTCACCAATGAAACCGAGGAAGGAGCCATGGGCGAGACTACCGTCGTTGTTATGGTTCTGGAAATTTGCAGTTCACTGGATTGTCCCCCGAGATATCGAGAGAATTCTCCCCCAGCGGCACCAGAGAGGGGAGACACTGAAGATGATCAAGATCGGGCAGAGGGAGGATGGGATTCGGGTTCGATGAGGGCGAAGAATGAGTATTGGGGAAGGTCGCGAAGAAAGAGATACGAGGAGGCCTTGACTGAAGTCTCAACGAGTGCACGGTGAGACTTCCGTTGTAGCAAAGGCGGTTCCCTTTCGCACCAACGCTGGCCGGAAGCCGTTCCCACTGTTGACCCTTTACGAAATCGAGAGCGGTAAATGTGATAACACGGAGCGGAGGGATTTGCAACAGAGACGCGCTAACACTTCGAGGAAGGCGTGCCCTGTGGTCTCAGCAAATGCTCTTCGTCATATCAGCAAGTTCGCTACCAGCTGGGCCTTTGACACCGCACGCCCCCCTGCTTCGACCGACCACCCAATGGACCCCTAAGGCAGCAACTGCGCAAAGGGTAAAGGAGCAGGATGCTGCGAACTCTGTGCTTCAATATCGGGCCGCGCATTAAACCACAAGGAGACACAACACCCTTGTGCAGTGGAGACGGACCAGCGCGATACTCTGAAAACGTATGGATCGTTCATCCTGGGCAACAAGACCGCATTTCGAGGACGACAGCGAATAGGAAGAACAGCCCAGGCAACACGGAAGAGTGCATGTGAGCCTGACCGAATGTCGGGCACAAGAGGATCATCCGACGCCTGGCTGAGGCGTGAGGCGCGGTTGGATCTAGGGGCACGCCGGTCAGTCCATGTCAAGGAAGAATCCAGTAAAGAGTGGCAGGATGAAGGGGCAGGAGGAACGAAAAAGACATGGGTATGCAACAGAACGAAGGCACCATGCGCATAAATGAGGGCGGGAAACCAACTTCGAGACCCTTGCGTACAATATAAGAGAGGATTCGGCGCGTGCGCATGCAGTGAATGAGCTCGTCACATGCGCCGTAGTCCATGCAATATGCGCAGGTAGGGACATGTTGCAACATCGGTAACGAGGCAGGACTCCACGGGTGTATTGCCTTGCCCCAAGACTAAGGAAGACGCGTATCTCATTCCAGACTGAGGATTAGGTCGCAAAAGAACGGTCCTTGTGATGAGGGGTAGCGGCTCCGGCAAGACCAGCAGAACGAGGTGTTGGCCCTCACCGAACGCACCGCGCACCGGCCATTTCTTCATGTCATGCCATCTACGCCCATCTTTCCGGTTCGCCATGGAAAAGAAATATGCCTACGACCCAGGAGGATCCAGCGGCTACCAGGCCTCAATCGAGTCTGCACCTGTGAAGGAGAGTTCGGTAGCGGCGTGGAATCCCAACCATTCAGTCACCAAGGAGGATCGTTCCAAAAGCTGCGCAGTTGAAAGTACCCTCCTCAAAGGACCAGATCAAAACCCACAGCCATTCTGGAGTAAACAGAGCTGACGCGCTGGGAGTGTGCTGCGGCGATGCATTTCGAAATATCCTTGGGGGTCTATGAAACCGAGCAACATCGCGGGGCCATCGGTTGATGCACCATTCGACCTGCCAAGGGGAAGCCCCAAGGCGTAGATCAGCCGAATGTCATGGATGTGTCTATTGCGCAGCGCAAAATCCCATTGCGCCTCAGTGTCGGACATGCACCGTCGGCGAGACTCCATTATGGTGCGGAAGCTATTCCAAAATCGCTCAAGCGCCCGCAGGACAGTGGGAATCCGATACGATCAGTCGCCTGGATCGTGCGGCAGGAGTCATGAAGACGGGTGGGGTCGATATTAAGCTGATATGCGCTGAGACGGGGTTTTCTAATATCGGCCCTCACGTAATTCGGTGTCCACCGCCGTCATTGGCTACATCGACCGGAATCAACGTCCACGAACGAATATGAGTTGCTGCCTGGAGGAATTCCAGAATGTCGCGGCCGCCCTGCGGGCACGGGACCGGATCACAAGAAGGATCTGAGTTGTGGGCCGGGGTTGGAGGATTGGAGTCCCACCGAGGAGGCATTAGATTAAGGATATCCACACGCCACCGAGGCGTAAGGCTGCACACCGGAAGCGCCTTTTCCGGCGAGGAGCTGCTGTAATTTGAAATCTGGCAATTGAAACCCCAAGGAGCTGCAATCGAGATGCGCGTTGGTGGTCATGCGATGAGGTTACACGCGGCGAAGCTGGCTCAACGTCTGCAGAGGCCATTTAATGTACGAAGGCAGATTCGAACGGATGAGCGAATCCTTGGAGGCTGTTGTTGGTACGATACAACGGCGTCTGGGCCCTCTTTGGTATCCGACTCGTGCGCAGGTCGGCCGTACTCGGTCCGTTTCGTCCAACGTTTTACGAGGAGGGCGAAGATACGGAATACGTAAGATATTAGCACTATACCGGAAACTAGAATAAGTAAATTTGCGAGCATGACTTGATATCTAAGCGCGATGTTAGGACTTCAATTACTATCGGTGAACCCTAGAGCACAGCCACTTACTACGTCTTGGCAGACCCATGGCGCAACACCCGTTTGGGGCGGGCAGCTCAAAATCGGGGCTTGGAGGGCTAGTGTCGATGATATTGTCGCGGTACTCCGGAGACGCAAGGACGTGAGTTGGAGAGGAGTTCGGTGCTCGTAATGCTGTCTGGATAATCCACCGCTAGGATAGCTGCATGCGAACCCGGCCGGATTTCGTGTTTGGTACTCGGCAGCCCCCCAGACTGCATCTTGCATGATACCGCGGGCTGCTAGAATTGCATCTCGCATGTCGCAATACATACCTCCCTGCTCTGCTGCGGGTCACGCGAGCAGGCCATTGAAAGTGCAAGATAGGGCTTGCGGCAACCGCCGACACTCAACGCGGGCGTGCTGCCGTGGTGCATGCAGAGAGGTCAGGCGTTGATTAATCTCGAGCCAGTGCAGTTAGACATGAAGAGTCGCAGGGCGGTTGTTGACGATGGTGCACAAGCCCCTTGTCCGGGTTGGCTGGGATAGATATGCGAGCGGGAAGCGTTCGCACAGTGCCCCAAGTGTCGGACCGGGCTCTCAAGCGAGAACGCATGGATTATACGCCAATTGGACAAGGCGCCGCAGCCGTCACACTACGGGCAGAAACACGGCCAAGAATAGAAAGTGAGTTGCGAACGCCGCAGGACGCCTCGGAAACTGGACGCACTGGCAGCGTGGGAAAGAGACATGGCCAACCGACAGGAGGGACTGCGGGCGGCCGCAAGAGAGACACAGAGAGAGAGAGAGAGAGAGAGACAGAGAGCAGCCGTATGCATCTCGCGCGATGGAGTCGATTCGAACGTAGCGTGGGCTTCGTCCCGCCCAAAAATAGACGACGAAGCAATCCGAGCCGGAAGCCGCGTCCTAGTCGGATGGGGGAAGAGTGCAGCCTACACAGTACGACTCCTGCCGGCGCTAGCGGGTGTCGTGACAGAGTGACTTTCGAGTTAGCTGCGGAAGCACCGGTTCTGCGTGGGCCATTCGGATCTGATGACGGTTGACGTTCGACAGCGCAGGCATCTTGCCACCGCAGGGCTGAGCGTCGTGCTGCTGATCAGCGTGTCGAGATCTGGGGAAAGTGGCCACTGACGGCGATGAGCGGCTGCATGCGCGCGGAGGAAGCCGCCGTAGCACTGTCGACTTGGGGAGATGGTTGCGGGCGCGGACGCATGATGAGGCATCGTGAAGGCACAGTCACGGCTCTCACACCGACGCGAGAGGAGCAGGACAGTGTGGTGAAGCGCTCCGTCGCTGGGGAAAGAGCGGTGATGCAAGCCACACTAGAGCGCGCTAGCACGCTTCGGGCGACGAGCCTAGCCACGACAAGACCTCATCCCGCGCTATCGACCTCCGTCGACGACGCTGCCGCTGCCGCCGTGAGTCAATCCGGCGCAGAAACGCAGCCCCGGGCGGCCGCGTATTGCACATGGCCTGAAGAGTTTGACAAAACGTGTGCTATTCTGGCGTATCATCACTTCCCGGCGCTCGCCGAGCGCAAGGCAGACTCCCGCACTCGGATATACACCAAAAGCTGAAAGTCTCCGTGACATTAGCCACCTGACCCGCTGGAGTCGCGCGCAGGCCGCAGAAGAAACGATCGCCAAAAGCAAGGAGATAAGACGGCTAGGAAACCAAAATACTCCGGCGCCATGCATCCCGTTGTTGCCCGTGACCATTGTGCCCATGCAATCCCACCCATTGGTAATCGTACAAGCCCATCCCATCCTGACGCCTGGGCGCGTGTCGTCCGATCGTCCCAGTCATCCCAGATCGTGCCCTTATCAGAACTCCATGCGGATGCCATTGCAATCAAAAGAAATGAAATAACCCCGCTCTAGAAGGCGCGCCGAGTCCAGCTCGAAGAAGCGAAGCGAAGACTGCTGCATCTCTGCGAGAGAGAGAGCCGCAGGTTGGTGGTGATGAAGGTGCGGTTGATTAACGTGCTCGCGCGCCGAGCATTTTGCCGTTGCGCGGCTTGAATGAGGTGACAGTGTGCGGTTTATCGTTGCGCTGCGTATGCGTCGCTCCCGTACCCAGAATCGGGGAGCACTCCCGCGCCATATGCAGCCTCGGGCCGGTGGCTGCTGTGGCTGCTGCAGGCGTAGCCCACGAGCACCGTCTTCTCTTGGACAACGTGACCCCGCTGGCCATGAGCAGCGCAGGGATCGATGGCGTGCTTGTAATAGAGACACCGGCAGACCGAGTAGCGTTCGACGACTTGATAGCACATCTTGGCTGCGACAGCGAACTTCTTGCGGGAGAATAGGACGACGGTGTGTAGGGGTGTGAAACGGCGAACGGTGTAGGAGGCGTCGGAATGGAAGCAGATCAAAGAATAGCAGAGTAGTGAGTGAGATTGAGGCTAGAGGATGGAACAACGGGTCCTTGCGGCGAGGAGCTGGAATATATAGCAGCGGGAAGGAGCAGGAAGAACAGAGTAGTGAGAGGTGTGTGTGCTAGACTGGAAGGCATGCCGTTTTTCGTGCAGCAGGCAAGTCAGGCAACGGAATCCATATGTAGGAACAGGTGCACAGTCAGCGCAGGGTGCTGCTAAGATGGGGCAGACGAAGGGAACCAGCACAGCCATAACGGCCGCTAAGTGACATGTAGAGGAAGTGGACAGACCGAAAGGCGTAGTCCCGGCTCGGCTGCGGCAGGACTAGGAAGCGTCGTTTGCTCCTTGGAGGCTCTTCAGCTGGGGCCGATCACTCCATCGCGCGCTCTCATTGGCGGGGACAACGACATGCCGCGACTCCTTCGTGCGAAGGTTCGAGAGTTTGCGCAAAGCAGCGCCGTCGACGGGCGCCCAGGAGCTGCTCGCCCGGGCGAAGAGGGAGGGACAGCAGGGGCGGCAGTGGTGCAGTGCCGCAGCGGGCCTGTCGAGCGCGAGATGCGCCATGAAGCCGCACCAACTGCCCATGCTCGGTCGTCATGTCGTGCAGCCATACAAGAAGCCACCATCTCGTAGAGCCCCCTGCTGCGATCTGACAGCCCGGGAGTCGGGGTCAGCCATGCTCTTGGAATGGGCACGGCTGCCGTTGGTGTCGAGGGGGAGGCAGTGATTTTCTGACGTGGATTGTCCAAACCCGCGTTTCCCTCCGACGGGCCTCCCTGGCGCTGGCATGATGCCGGCTCCGGCTGCCGCGCGTAGCTAGCCGGAGCGAACGTGCAGTGCGCGAGCGAGATCCGAGACAGGTGGCGTGCGTTTTGGTACCGTGGGGATGGATTGTGGTGTTGATGGGCGCCCCGAATGCCGTTTCGAAGTAGGCGAGTGGGTAACGTGACCTCGGCTGCTCGGCCAATTGCGGGCCGCCGCTCTGCTAGTGGATTATTTTTGGGTGGACTCCAGTCGCCCGTCGTGAGCATCGACAGACTACTGCTTCAGAATTGGGAAAATGATTACACAGCTGCGACGGGCGCCCCTTGAGCAAAAGGGCGGAGGAGGGCACTTTGCTTCATCATCACCATCAGCAACCCTCGTTCTGGATCTGTAGATCTCCCTCGGCGTCCCCTGTCGGAGTGGGAACGCTCCACGGCTGACCAGCTGAGCCCTGCACTGTCGACTCCTCGTGAGAGAATACGACGAGATGGGAAGAGGGGGAGTGACGCATCGTCATCAGAAGAGCCCTGGCGTGCTCGGCTGGATTGCGGTGACTACGCCCGCGCAGGGCACTGGACAGCGCGTCGTCATAGTCGCTGTACTACCCGCTACATCAGCTTAGAAGCCCAGTAACCGAAGGGGCTATCTCGAGTAGTCCGCACGGGCGACTTTTATTTTCATCGGGAGTCGTCGGGCGACCGCCACGCCGCTTCTCCTTGGGGATCGCTAGGATCTCAGGACGTCGTACCGTCGTTCGGCCGGGGAGTTACGGTCCTCAAACTGGCACTTGTGTGCGCCCGTAAGCTGACTGGCCGTTGAGGGAGCTGCAGCCCTATGCGCGCTCCCGTTTCTAGACGCACGTGGCTACGGTCCGCATGTTTCACAGACTACGGCACTCTGTCAACCATGCAGGAAGAGCAGAGCACGAACACACCGCCAACAAAGCATCCTCCCTGGACTTCCTTACCCCTTCAGGAGCTGCGAAATCGTCTTTTGCGGTGACGCAATCTCTCGTTTCAGGAAACGTCGTCTCACATCCGCAGCACGTCTTTGTCAGGATTCTGGCCCCCAGCGTAGTCTGAAGGCGCAATCAGTGGTAGTAATAAGGCAGACTTCGATGCTGCCTAAGAATTCTTTTCCAATCGCGGCTCTCCACTGGGGGTTAATAAAGTCTCTCACGTCGATTAGATATCGACAAAAATATCGTCGCTCCGACTCGTCGTATACAAGAATATCGGTGAGGCATTCTCCAGTGGTAATGAGCAAGTACTCAGCTGAGCTAGGGCAATCTTCGAGCCATCACACGATCATTGAGCGGACGAAGCGGAGACCGTCTCTGCGACCACCGTATCAGCTGCCTGGATGCCTACGATTTTCGCCTCCCTCCTCGACGGGATGCGATCCTCTATCACGGCAGGGCCAGTGAGTGAGCCCTCACCCGTTCCGCTCGATGCGAACGCAGTTGGTGCCTCGAGTAGTCGAACTCAGTGTAGACCACGTCTGCGGCCACAGTGTCAGATATGAGGATGCCTGACGGTACGGAGGCTGCCTTGCAGCGGGAGCGGGGGGTCCGGACGACTGAACGGATCAAGAGAAGAACTGGTCGCCCGTTCCACTTGGGCACGTTGAGAGGACTGAGTCTGGACCACTTCTGCGACCACGGTTTCAAATATCTGAATGCCTACGGGGTCCGCCCAACTCGGAGACCGGCGTACAAACCTTCGAAGCTCGCGGGTCCACAGTGCTGTCCCACCAAGGCGCACCAAATGCTTCAGAATTTAGCGTATAGATATTGACCACAGAGCAGCCTCGTGATGCACTATATGAGAAACAGGAGAACCTCAATAACACGGGCGGATATGGTAAGTTGCCACAGGGACGGCGCCTGGTCGAGATGAGCGGAACACAATAGAAAGTGAACGGAGTTGATAAACATATTTATACACAGTATCAATGTCGGAATGCAAAACCGGAAACAATACCACGGGTATACCCAAACCTGAAAAGGACTAGGCCTCCCCAACGAACGCCGAATGACGCCAACCTTATGAGAGCTGTCCAGCCATCTAACCATCAAGAACTTCAGCTAGACAGCCAGCCAAGATCCTACCCGCAGGAGTGGATCTTCGGTCTGCGAGGGGACATCTGGCCGCCAAAGGAATCTACAAGAAGGCAACTGCGTACAGTGCGAGCAAGCCGGTGATCCAGTAGCCTGAGTATCCAACAGACAATGTGACGCCAGCATCGTCCGTGCCTCCAGGGGCGGTAGTGCCATTAGGCAAGGTGCCGTTCAGGACCAGTGTTTGTGTTCCATTGACATCCGACACGGTAACGAGCGTCTTGTTCAGCGCCGCGTAGCTTCCGTTTCCGACCAGATCAGTCAGGTACTGCTGATTATCGTTCTCATCGCAGCCGCAGACGCTGAACTGCTGGCAAAGGCACACGACTGGTAGCGATGCATTGAAGCCGTTCGGGTTGGTGGCGTTCTGGATCGTCTGGTTGACGAATCTGTAGCGGTTGTTGAAGTAGTATGGATAGACACTCCACAGCCAGAGACCAGGGAGTAGAGCGATCGCGAGCGCAGGAACGATGAGGGCTCCGGCGAGCAGGCCTTTCGGAGACCTTGAGCCAGATGAATACGGTGATGCAGCACCTCCGCCATAGAAGCCGCCTCCGCCGTATGCGCGAGCGGGACCGGAGCCCGATCGCGTGGCTCCACCGGCATTGGAGCTCGGACTAGTCCTGCCGGAGGATCCACTGCTTCCGCCAGAGGATCTCCCGCCTAAGACATTCGTCAGCAAATTGTTCAGCGGTTCGTGAGGCGATGACAGAAGACGTGAGTTTTGCTCTTCTATGCGAAGATGCTGTTCGGAGTCCACTTACCTCCACTGCCTCCTCCACCTCTCCCTCCACCGCCCTTGCGCTTCTCAAGCGCATTCTCGGGAGCGAGGATATCCGACCGCGGTGCGCTCGCGGCATGCTCTTCGAGGAGGTCGAGCGCGTTGCTGTTCGGGACAGACGCGGCGTGCACCGTGAAGGCGACGGCGAGACAGGCTACAAGACGTGCTATCCTCATGCTGTCGTGGTGATGTGACGCTCACAGAGGGGCAATGCGCGGGTGTAGCTGTCTCAGATGTGGCGAGCGATTGCGGGTGGGCGTAGGTGTAGTTATTTCCCAGGGAAAAGCTTCTGCTGCAGGAAGCCTATTCGTGTAGCACCGTTTGAAGTTTGTGCTCGGTTTGCTTGGTGGAGGTTGAGTGTGGCCACGGCAGTTGGGTTGTTATTTGGAAACGGACGTGGATTTCTGGGCGCGAGACATGTCATGCTGCAGCCCAGCGCACAGCCGCTTTGCACCTGCAGCGGCAACACAACACGAGGAGCTTGGCACTAAGCCACGGTTGGAGATTGATGCCTGGCCAGTAGCATCGGGCAGAAAACGCCCCATGTGGCTGGCTTGACCGTTCGCCGGCTCGTTGAGGCAAGTCAATATCAACCACCTCCTGGAATTGATTTGCATTTCTCACGGCAATAATGAGTAGGCCAAGGTTACGCAGGTCCGCGGCCAGCCTTTACTTGCTCAAATATGCCCAACCGTGATGAGAGGTGGGGAGGATCTTGAACGTCGAGCCACAGTGAGCCGAGGGATAATGACTTCATGACGTATCCCGATCTGCAGAGAAGGTTTCTAGAAGGATTGGACTCGACTCTGTGACGACACGCCATTATTCCAAACGATCTTTACCATGCCGGATAGCCGGTGAGGCTCGATTGCTGGTGCGAAGAATGGCGGTTGTGCTAGACCCGAATCCACGGCCCAGCAATCGGGCGCCATCCCGCGCAAACGGCCATGCGCTGCGTCGTTTGAACGTGTCATAACTGCCGATTGTCTCTAGTGAAGAACATTCGCGTCCGGGCGCACGGCTGGTGCACAAGAACAAAGTCCGCATACTGCTTACAGGGAACGAAGGGCGATGGCGATAGGATGTTGAGGCAGTATACGATCTAGTGACCGCCTTAACGCACTGTCTTCGCATCTCGTTCCTCTTCTTCGATACGGAGCGGAGTTTATACCATGGTATCCAACAAGCTGGTCTCTTCACATCCCCATTTGTTAATGGAACAGCAACGATAAGCGTCCTCAGCTGCCGCGCCGCGCCAGAGACATCGATAGCACTGCATAGCAGTAGCTCAACCCTCCATCCACCCGGCCGGAAAATTGTAAACCCGCGCGGGGCTATCTCGACGTCGTGAGACGGGACGGGGGCGCGGCTTAGGTGCACGAGGCTGAGGCGCGAGAGCTGCTGTGGCTGTCGAACTGGAGGCCGCGGCCACCCCTGAGGCATGCCTTTCCCGCGTTCATCGCACGCCTCGAACGTCGGGCTGCCAGTGCTATCGACCTGTCCCTCCTTGCTGCGCTGCAGGGCCTCCACCATCCGAAACCGTTTGCACTTTTCTATACTCCTCTTCCAAAGCTCTCTGCATTTCGAAGTCCGCTTGGCGTTCCCTCTTCAGCCGCTGCTGTTCGTAGTCCCGTATGACGCCGGCGTGCATTGCCTAGCCACAGCTGTTAGCAGAGCGCAGCACGAGACGGGGGTCAGGTGAGGGTGACTGACAGCTTTTTCTGAGCGCTGGGCAGTGTGAACGAATATGACGATGCCAATTGCACCCAGTGAGGTGGCTGCGAGCGTGATCTTGGATGCGCGGGACATGGCAGTGACTGTATCGTGAAGCGATGGTCCTGGGTAGGCGTCGCCGGACAGAGAGTTTTGAGCAGAGGGAGCTTGGGCCACCACGCCAAGCAGTCCGCCTGTCATGCACCTTCCGCGGCCTCAGCACCGCGATAACGTACACCTCCCCAACACACTTCTGCTGCTCAAGATGGTCAGTTTTCAAACTATGCTGATCGCTACGGTACATACTGACAGCTAGCAGTCCGCCCAGAACTCCGTGGGAATCCAGACGCTGCTCGACGTAAGGCACAGCCCACTTATGGCTACTACCAAGCTCACACAGCGTGCAGGCCGAGCGGGAAGCTCAAAAAATTGTGCAGAAGGGTACGCCTGGAATGGAACCTTTATTCGGATGGCGCAGTTAACACTTCACAGCAAGAGAATGTACAGCAACCAGCCCCACCATCCCTCGAGCCAGCGCTGACCCTCCCAAGACCGCACAAAGCGAGTAAAGGACGCCCGAAGCGAAGCGCAGAAGGAGATCGAGGACTATCGGAAGGAGAAGGAGGCCGAGTTCCAGAAGTTCGAGAAAGAGGTGCGTCGTACGGGATGAGCGCTCTGGGCCAGGCAGGCACTGACGGCGATGCAGCACAGCTCCGGCAACAAGAAGGCGGAGGAAGATGCAGCAAAGGAAACAGATGTGAAGGTCAAGGAGATTGACGCCATTGGAAAGAAGTCTGGGTCCAAAGTCGTGGAGCAGCTGGTCGCGGCCGTGACCGACGCGAAGCCCGAGCCGCCGCGAGCGAGAGATTGATTGTCTCCTTCTCGAGCACCGCCTATGGCCGGAACTTCATGCAGTGACGGGATACATTTGGTTGAAGGGTGGCGGAATTTGGGTCTACGATCTACGAAGCTGGCCCGCGTGTCCATATGTGTTACATTGGCGCATGAGACGTCTGCTATTCTGTTAGACCAAGCACGAATATATCGATACAGCCAACCAATCCATTGACATTTCCGTCGGCTTTCTTTTCCATCTGGTGGGTATAGTTCATGCGGGTGAGTTGTTCAGCATGCTCTAGAGACTAGGGCTTGGGCGACACCATGTTTCGTTCAGCCTCGCATATACCATATATGAACTGACTGTCATGGCATGCCCTTTGATTGCAACAATGTGGTCGTTTTAAGCTTATTTGGACTCCACTTTGTCAATCACTCTCCTGAGATCGTTCCAAGGTTGCATGCCCTGGTCCATGCATGCCGCGGACACTTACGTCACCGCAACGCCAGAAATACGCGGAATTCGAGCTCGAGCTTAGACAGCAATCAGCAAATTTCTTCACGATGCACTTCACCCGATGATACGCCCTTGTGTTCGAGCGACCCTTTGTCGCTCGCAGCCACGTAGCACCCATGCATCGCCCCTCGTCTCTATACCACGAACATTCTGCGCTAGTCGACGGTTGAGAGAAGACCCGCGTTTGCAGAACATCGGACGCGTTATCGAAGATGAATATGCGGTGATGCGAGATAACTATGGTCTGTCGTCGCCTTCCTTGAGCTTCGCGCATGTCTGACCCGCAGCAGAGACACCGGTTCGATGCCTACTCACATCCGAGTCCGCAACGCGCCGGTTCCTAACTTTCGAACAGAAGCACACTATCATCCTCGCCCACGGTCTCCTCGGCTTCGATGAACTCCGCCTTGCGGGCCAATTCTTACCCGGCATACAATATTGGCGAGGGATAACGGACGCGCTGGCCCATAAAGGCATCGAGGTAATCGTGGCTGCCGTGCCGCCTTCTGGAAGCATTGAGGCTAGGGCAGCGAAACTAGCTGAAAGTATTGCCGAGAAGGCCAAAGGAAAAGATGTAAACATCATAGCGTAAGTCTGCGCTTTTCAAGACTGTGTTGTCACTATTGCGTCGAACAAGGCCGCTAATAGGATGCAGACATAGCATGGTAGACCTGACTTTGTCGCTCATTCGAAGCTTTTGCTGATTTAGACCCAGGGGTAAATATCTCTCCATCCTTTACACTACTCCGACTGAGGGGCTTTCAGTGGTCTTGATGCGCGGTACATGATTAGCCGTCTTCAACCGACAAACTTGAGCGTCTTATCATTGACCACCATCGCGACACCGCACAGGGGGTCGGCCTTTGCAGACTACATGTTTGACTCCATTGGTCGTACGTATCCCTCTTCGAGTGAGATTCTCCCTTGACAAATTCTAGCACACCAAATTCGGAGGCTCTACAAGGTCATGGACTATTTTGGCTTGGAGACCGGGGCTTTCTCGCAGCTCACGCGCCGATATATGCAAGGAGAGTTCAATGACAAGACTCCGAATGTGAGGGGCATTAGGTATGTAGTATCCTTGCACTGGCAGTATTGATGACCGACTGCGACTCAGGTACTACTCGTATGGCGCATCGCTGGAACCCTCGTTCTGGTCGGTATTTGCGGCTTCCCACGCCATCATCAAGAACATGGAAGGCGGTCTCAATGACGGGCTTGTTAGGTGGGAGTTGTAGCTCGTCATGGGAGTACGGCATGCAGCTAACGCATTCAGCGTCCACTCGAGTCGGTGGGGCGACTACAAGGGAACTCTGATAGGAGTCAGCCATCTGGACCTGATTAATTGGACGAATCGCCTGAAGTGGTTTTTCTGGGAGCTCACGGGGAGCAAGAGGAAGTGAGTATCTCTTTCGAGGGACCCGACGTACGTGGATAGCAGCTAATCACGGCAGCTTCAATGCTATCGCCTTCTATCTCGATATTGCCGGTACGTTCAGAATCCCGGGCCTGAATGCCTCCGATACGACATTTCTCTGCCGAGGCAGGGCACGCCCTGTCTCCTCGCTTCATCTTGCTGATCATGACTTGGTAGATATGCTGGCCAAAGAAGGACTTTGAACAAGTCGTCCTCGCTACGGCCCGTTCTGGAAGGGGAACATATACACTTCGGTCCTCAAACACCAACTGCAGGAACGCGTAACCACTGCAGACTTAGCCTTACCTGGGCGAGGGTTTTGGTATCATCGAGCGAAGGGGTAAGAAAAGGGGGCGCTCGGCGGGCTGTGGCTGTGGCTGTGCACAACCACAACGGATTTGAGACCAGGAGGTTTCAGATCCTGATGCGTGCGCCGCGAAGCTATGTGGTCCTAAAATTCATTGATTCATAGCTGAAAATAATTATACGAATGGATACAAAGTCTGAAAAGGTGGTGCTAGTCCGGGCGTTGTTCTTGCGCATTCTTGTGAGTTCTTGGCCTATGACGTTTGCGAGGGTTTTGAGCAACAAATGCCCGTCCGGCCATCCCGCGCGCCGTGGCACACTTCAGCCAGACTCGCCATTATTGACCACGCGTTCACGGGCTGTGCGGCGCATAATCTGGACAACACACTGCCCAGTACAAATCAATCCTCTTCAGCGCAAGAGCCGGGGCCTCGGGATATAATGCGTTGACATGTCACTTACCCTCAACAGTCGCTCACGAGATCGCTTCACTCTACACCCAAGCCTCGCCCATCCAACTACCCGTCACGAACGATAGAGCACACGCCCTTGGACCGCGATGATCGTCCAAATCCAATTGCAGCACCCTCATGAACACTACACGAACCTCGACTTCATCAATGGGAAGGTGATTCTCCGCGTCCCGAGAACGGACAATGTCAGCAGCATCATAGTCAAGCTAGAAGGGGAGTCAAGGACCCGCCTGCTGGCGCCGATAAGGCCGGACAGACCAGAGAGACAGCGGCCGGTATTGGAAGTCCACAAGTTCCTCTACAGAACGCAGATCCTGTGGCCTGCGAACACGCGCCAGGAGGAGCTGCTTGCCAATCCAAAGGCGAGCTACACGATCAATGCGGGCAACTATGAATACCCCTTCCAATTCAAGGTCAGTTACCCCAGCTCTCTTGATTTCGAAGTTTCTAATGTGCTGGATAGATACCGTTGAACACTGCCTGTCAGCAGCACAACAGCATGACGACGAACGTCTCCTTCGCGAACATGGCCCTCGAAGTGGCCAAAACTCCCACCCAGCACGTCAAGACGACTTTGCCACCGTCACTCAATGGCTTTCCGGGCGAAGCGGAGATACGATACTACGTGAAGGTGACGGTGAATCGGCCACAGTTCTTCAAGGAGAACCCGCGAGCAATGGCAAATTTCACGCTGCTCCCCATCGAACCGCCGCGCCCACCACAAGCGGATGGAGAGGCCTATGCAAGGAGACAACATCAGTTTTTGGAGAATGCGCCGGGTGTGGCTGCTATGGGCAAGAAGAAGGGCTTCTTCGACAGGAAGGACTCTTCATCCAGCATCCCCACTTCTCCGTCGCCGTCAAGCATCACTCCGCGTGTGACGGTGGATGCGCGTCTGCCGAACCCTGCTGTTCTCACCTGCAACCAGGACATTCCCCTCAGAATTCTCGTCAAGAACATGAGCGAGCGCACCAAGAACGTATATATGCAGATGCTCCAGATCGAATTGATTGGCTACACCAAAGTGCGCGCGCACGAAGTCATGCGTACTGAGTCAAACAGTTGGATAATAGCTAGCATGAGCAACATGGCGATTCCGATGGGCTCTCCGGCAGACCCAGTCGGTACGGAGATTCCTATCAATGCAGAATATTGGTCTGGGAAGCCGATCCCGAATACGGTCGCGCCAACCTTCCAGATGTGCAACCTCTCGCGCTTCTACGAGCTCGAAGTGCGCGTTGGCTTAGGCTATGGCTCCTACCAGCACGGCGAAGATCAGCTCGTTGTCCTGGCTCTCCGCCTGCCAGTCAAAGTCTACTCTGGCATCGCGCCGCCTAAAGCCCTCCTCGAAGCACATCTAACGGGCGACACCGGCAAGCTGAACCCTTCGCTAGCTACCAATCTGAGTCCAGGCCAAGCACCTATTACACCAACCACTCCAACACATCAGGGTTTCGCTGGCGCAAATGCCTTTCCGCCACAAGGCGCGCCTGTTGCCTCGCATCCGCAGGCTCCGTACGACGATGCACCACCGAGCTATGAAGATGCGATAGGGCAGGACCTCCCGCCTATCAATGGGTATAGAGGCAGTTATCAGCCGCCGCCAGTGCCGGAGGGCGCGCCGAGATTCTCAGACGAGAAGGGACGGTGAGGGGGAGAGGATCATCATTCAAGTTGGGGATAAAGCGAGGACGCGAAGAAGACGTCGATACGCGCAGTGTTCGCGCTGGAGCTGGTTGCACGTAAGACGCCGTGATTAACCGATTCCGGGCGCAACCCTTCGTGGAGCACTGGGACTTTGGGATACCCAGGGCAGCGGCAGAGGTGGCAAAATGCAGCCGTCTACACCCAACCATTTCCATACCTAATAGCTTCTGGAAACACCAGGATGTGTTTGTTTCCTCGGGGTGATAAGACGAAACACGGCTTCTTGTTTCATGTAATTCGGTAGCGGATATCCAATGACAATAACGGTTTGGTCACATCTTGCACTACCGCAACGGATCACCGTTCAAACTACGCCGTTGATGTATCCGGTGTGATGTGCGAGGGCAAAGCATGCAGGTGAGGCATTTACGCGGTCGTGGTGCAGAATACCAAGAGTTCGCGGTGCTGGTGGGCTGATAGGGTTATGCGGACGGCGAGATGCGGATCTGTAAGCAAGACCGTGTTTACTTCGCGATCTCGTGGAGGGACGTGTTGATGGGCATTTTTTTGGTTCTCTTACGCGAAGACTGGAAGCTGTACTAAACTGACATTGGCCAGGAGGGGCCTCTAGGACTCGGCATGCTCCATTCGGACTTGCAGACGGGCGAGCTGAAGTCACGATGGTGGTTTGGTGTTGACACGCTCCAGCCACAGGGTCGCGCCTCGATCCGCACGCGACACGATCGATAACGCGGACAGATATCGATAAAACCACGGAACATTTTAACCTTGTTTCGAAGTCTATCTTTGCTCCCCAAAAACAGACGCGCGAAGGCGCAGAATTCGGGGTTGTTTGTTTGTCTCGTCGAATCGCGTTTCGCAGAATTCACATTCGGCGCGTCATCAGGCCCTCGCACGCGACAGACGAAGCGCCGTCGCGCCGGCTGCATGCTCTCGGCACCTCTCAACGCTCACCGGTTGATGCCCAGCCACCGCTTTCGAGGCCGCCTGCAGGACTACTGCACGAGAAGCATCCACTTTCCCACGCATGCTCTCGCCCGATAGGCCAGCCTCGTTTCAACGTTTCAAGCCCGGCTCCAGGCCCCAGCCCCGCCGGCCGGACCGTCGAATCGTCACGTCGAACACGTCTCTAACACATAAGAACACGCTCTTCCACCGCGATATAGTCGTGTTTTCCCTCTCAATACTCTGCCCGAATCCAGCAGTCGTAGAAGACGCACAGCTGAGCGCCGCCCAAATGGACTTGCCTTTGACTCACACTTGCGTCTCACGTGGCGAGCATCCCCACTTGCGCTCTGCGCCGGTAAATACACGGCCGCTCGCGATGCCTTGCGCTCCTAAGGTTTTCCCGACGCTTTTGCTTTGTTTCGAAGCCGATTGAAACGACACTTTATCTGCTTTGACGAACTTCTTATGAACGATCACGAATGCATTCGCAACGACCTGCGCCCCCGGCGCTGAAGCGATCCGTGTCTGGCGAGAGCCAGAGTAGCTATACCAGCGCGGCAACGACCTCGTCGCGATCCAGCTCGAAGCTGCTGTTTGGCGAGATACCGCTGACTCCTGCGACGACTGTGGACGGAAGATGTGAGAGACCCTTGGAGCATGCGCCGACGAACACCAACATTAACCATCGCAGCGACCCGCTCCCTCAGCTCCATTTGTAATCTCGTCCTGTCGACGAGCTCTGCCTTTTTGCGCTTCTGGCTCAACGATGACTGTCGCGAGAACTTGCTGGCCCATATTGACCACGACGATCTGCCCAACTTCCGGCTGGTCTGCCATGACTTTTCGACCCGCGCTGCGCCCATTCTCTTTGAGTCCCTTACTGTTACCTTCAAGCCTTCAAGCTTCTCGAAGCCGGCAAGGATCGAAGCACTCTCTCGGATTGGTCGCCACGTCAAGACATTCACCTTCCACATGCCCCATACCTCAGAGACCTTCCTTCCGCCCATCATCGATCCAGAGACTGGCGAAGAGAAGCAGTTCCTCTACGAACCGCAGATCCAGAACCCGCAGAATAGTAGCGGCGCGATCAAGACACCGAAGTATGGGACGGCGGAGTTGACCAATCTGCTTGTCCAGCAGTATCCGCCGCTCTTCCATGCTGCAACCAACGTTCCCGCCTTTGTCGCCGCCTTCTCGGAACTCATCAACCTCACGCACCTTACGATCTCTTGTCCGGGTTTCAATAGCGCGCCTCGACATCGGCGCAGCGCCGTCGACTATGCGCTCATCTCCCTGCGCATCGCTGTGGAGCGTGCACCCATGTATAGCCTTCACTCCCTCTCTCTACATCCCATCCATCCAGGCGGTCTTCTCTATCTCCATCCAATGCGCTTTGGTAGTACTCCCTCCTCGGCAAAGCGCTGGGGTCAGATCAGATGTCTGTCAATATGCATGGAGTCAATTCCCGCGCCTGCTTCCCCCAAGGCAAGGATCCAATCACTAGAACATCTACGCATCCTGTATGCTTACCTCCGCACGCTCTCCCGCGGCCTCACGCGCCTCTTTTTCCGTTGGAAAGGTGAACGGGGGCCTTCGCCTCTTAGCCTGGACAAGGAACCATGCATGCTTCCAGTCGAAGAGGAGCGCATGCATCCCTCAATGCGCGGTGAAGTCCGCGGTCCACGGCCTTTGAAGTTCTCTCGCCTTCGGCATATGGAGTTGGAAAATGCGATCATGGACTCGTCTCAAATCTCCGACTTCATCCACAAGCACCGCCGCACCCTTGTGGAGTTCAACTTCGAGGACGTGAAGCTGCGCGAAGGTAACTGGGACGACGCGCTGGAACCTCTCACCAAGATCGCTGGCCATGACCGATGGAAGAGGAACCAGGAGGAAGTCATGGACGTGCCCATCGTGCTAAGCCCCATCGGTCTCGAGCCTAGGATCATGGGGCCCCTAATGGAGGAGGTGGACCAAGCAATCGAGGAAGTTAGTGGGAAAGAGAGAAGCCCACATTCATTAAGTCGATGGTTGGGCATGCCGCGTGCTACGCTGAGGAAGAGCCCCGCGACGAAGGAGAGCTTCTGGGGTGGCGGCGAGCATATGAAGCGCCTGCTCCGCGGGACTATGTTCTCGTCCTGGAAATAACGTCGACGACGCTCTTCGAGATAATGACTGCATGGGCTCGGTGTTTGTTGGTACGGTTCGGAGTACTCTGACGCGGCAATTGTACCACGGTTCGGTAATGGTTCGGTTGGATTGGATGCATATCAAAAGGAGCGCATGGAGTTTGGATCCCCGGTCGGGCGGACTGTCATCAATCATATACCCCCGCGCCGACCGGTTGGGATGGGTAGGGTGGCCATGGTACGGTATGGGGTTGGGTTTGGCGCAAGTGCCGGCTTCCTCTGGCGACGTGAACAGAGTCGAGGCCAAGGTGCTGGTATTCTTCTTTGGTACTTTCGTTTCTTATCTTCTCTTGTTTATTTCGCTTTTTTAATGACCTTCATGATCACTATTACTTATGAGATTCATGTATGTACGAGGCTACGAGTAGCATACCTACGATCCTTGAATGCAATTTCCTAGCATCTTGTCCAGCGCTACCAATCGCCGATAACACCATAATGCCGTCAAAAAAAACCCCGCAGATCTTCCAAATATCTTCCTTCCTAGAAGAGTAGCACAGCGCACACGACCAACCGGCGAAATCCCCAGCCCCAAGTTCGGCACCTAGCACGCATTCGGCCCGGCTCGTGAATGCTACTCCACGTGCGCAGACGTCACTGCCTCGGCATCTCCGTAGCGGCCTTGGCAACTTCCTGTATTCACATGCTTCCCCGGATTTCGCAAGCTCCGACATCACTTTCTGTCACAAGCACCCGAGTGTCGGTCGTTCAAATAGCGGAGTGGCCCCAGAATCTGCCGAGCATCCTTACGCCTAATTTATACCCCCCTCATCGAGCGCCTTCCCTCCTGTCCTTACGAGCCGCGATTGATTGCGCAAACAACGTGGAACGAGATTTGGATTGAATAGCTTCAAAGCACGGGAACTACACGCGATGTCTCTAAAAGCAGGTCAGTAGGACGCATTATGGCGGGCTTGGAGCGATTGCGGGTCCCCGGTGCTTCTAGCCGCCTTGAAACGGGCTCTCAAGGGCTCCAAGTCGCCGCGCAGCGCACTCTGACGGCTGCCCGCGTGCCCGTCAGCCCGCAGGCGCCCCTTCGAAACAAACGCAATACTGACCCTCATTCCGCACAGACAACTTCCCCTCCTCCGTCGCCTTCGACGCCATCGCGCAATCCCTCGCCAACGACGAAGCCGGCCGCGAAGACGCCATCAAAAAGGGCGGCGCCATCTTCGTCTTCCAGCTCAAGAACAAGGCCGGCGAGGAAGAAAAGTGGTACATCGACCTCAAGGAGTCGGGCACCGTCGGCAAGGGCGATCCGCCCAAGAAGGCCTCCGTCACCTTGGTGCTCAGCGACGAGGAGTTTGGCAAGCTGGTCAGCGGCAAGGCGAATGCGCAGAAGCTGTTTATGAGCGGGAAGCTGAAGATTCGGGGTGATGTTATGAAGGCCACGAAGATGGAGCCTATATTGAAGAAGGCGCAGACGGGGGCGAAGTTGTAGGGGTGGTGGTGGTGTAGGGACGTTGTACAATATATGTGGCGAAATGGCATGGTTTGAGCTCGGTTTTTATGGCTTTGACCTTCGTTTCGAATGGGAGTACTTGCTTCTGTTGGGGAGTCTTTTTCTCCACCATGCGTGTGTGAATCTAGACGCCAATTTTCAAGTAAACTACTGGACGAAGGCTGAGCTTCTGTCGGACGTCTGCGCGCTTCGAGGGGTGCGGAATGAGCCTGCACCAACTAGCTCCCTGCTATAAATCGAATGCTCTTGAATAGAGCTTAGCCGTTAAGAGTAGCATGTACCTAGGAAGGTACGTGTTGTGCTTAAATGCAGAGCATAAGTACATGTATTTTCACCTTTTACTTACTCCAACATTAGCAGCCTAGTGTGATTAGTAGGTCATTATTAGCTAAATTGGTTACATTCTTCAAATCTTGCGGAGTCCAAAAGACGTTCATTGGAAGGGTAGCCGTGCACGTGCTTCGCTGGAATTTGCACGGGGCTCGCTCTCTGGTTACTGTGGCCTTTACTCTGCTCCTTAACTTTCTGAGCGGTGCATAAGCCTCCGGTCAGGCAAAAAGGCAACTGAGATGTTGCTCAGCCGCAAACAGGTAAGAGGACGCGTCGACGCGTCGGGGTCGCGCTGTCTTGTCTTACCCTGCCTCAACTCTTGACAAGTTCTCATCTCACCTCCACTATCCTTTCTTCGTTTGACGGCCTTTGTGAGTTCTTAACACGCAGACTGACGTCTCAGCCAAAATGAAGAACGACCTCCATCTTTCATTCGGCGATATCTTCAATCATGATTTCACGGCTTTCTTCGATCAACTACGCGAGGTGCAGCTCTACCAGGCCAGTCGCGAAGCCTCAGAAAAGTGGGTGCAGCGATTGCGCTTCTTAGATATCTCCTCTATACCGGACTTAGAGCGACTGGACGAGCAAAGACCCACGAAGCGTTTGAAGCGTGGTCCGCATGGCTACCAAACGATGCCGGCCGGGCGCAAAACTCAGCTATCCATACCGATTAGGGATAGGAAGCACGATGACGGAAGCTCATACCTCGCTGTATCTTGGAGATGGACTGAGGAAAAGGCCGAATTGCTCCCCTCGGGATGTGGCCTTCGAGAACGCTTCGATTACCGAGTGCGACGGGCCGGACAGAAACCGCACAAAAGCGACTTTCCTGATGTCTACATGGAAAGGGTCATTCGGTTCGCGCAAAGCAAAGGCATTGAGCTGATCTGGATTGATAAAGAGTGCATTTACCAGCGGGCGGGAGATGAGGAGACATATCCCAACGACATCCAGTTGGGCGTGCAGATCATGGATGTGGTCTATGGGGACAGCGCAGTGGCCCTTGGACTGATGACTACAGCGCTCACACAACAACGCGAGATGAATACGCTTGCTTCGCTCCTCTCATGGTCCGCCTCGATCAAGAAGGACAATATACGAAAGCCTAAGCTGCGGTCCACCATGGAGGTTGCTGAAATCCAGTCGCTCATTGATAGAATCCTTGAAGACTCTCGCTGGGACCGAGCTTGGATCTTCCAGGAAGACCACTTAGCATCGGACCGCATGGAGATCATGATTCCTCACGCTAAAAACCTCTCCAAGGATGGACAGTATAACTTCGGTTCCATACCAAACGAACTGGTAGTGAAGCTCGCAGAGTTTAAAAGGGCGGTCACGATGTTCTGTATGGTGAAAGGCGAGGACGACCAATGGGCTTCCACCGTACTTGTCAAAGTAAAGCAGTACAATGTATGGAACAAGGAGTCCAAGGCGAATACGATCGTTCGTAAGAGGAAGCATTCTCTGCCCCGGAGCAGGAGGTTCATGAGTCCCGGCAGCAGAGTGCGATCCAATTCGAACAACTCCCCCTCTGTCAACCTGTATCCGACCACAACACTGAGCATTTTAGAGGACATCTGCAACCGTTCACTGCTAAAAGAACAGGACCGGGTTGCGATTCTGGCCAACGCAGCCAAGTTCTCGACGCGACTTGACATCAGTGAAGCCTCGTCTCTCGTATCTGACAAGTATAGTCTGTCAGTCGCACTACTTGCGCTTATCCTGCTTAACGGCGAAATCATCAACAACAGACGCTTCATGCCTTCGCGGAAGATCATGGAGTACGACTTGTGCTCCTACCTCAAAGATTGCGAACTGAAATATCACGCGCCTACCTCGAGATTTCAACAATCCTTTATCGACCGTTGCCGCCTCAAATCGCCCAGAATCACGGAGCGTGGCATCCGAACGCAAGGTTTCTTGTTCAGGCTCCTTCCCCGAAGCAAAAAGAATCTTGTTAGGCTTTCCAGCCGCGACCTAGAACATTTGTCTGATCTTCCTCCAAAGTGGAGGTCAAGGAATGTCGCACCAGGCCGCAAGCTCAGCCCCTTCGCCGACGAAGTCATCGAGATCCTCATCTTTAAATTAAAGGATCGTTACGGACCGCGTTGTCGTCTAGCGGACTACCTACGGGAGCATCTTGATCTTGACAGATCCCGACCGCCAAGGGAGGACACGAAGCCCTCCAAACGTTATGTCTTAGACATGATGTCCGCGATCGCACAGGCTCTTGAGGACGGTCAAAAACTCCGTCTCGGCCAGTTAATAGGTGAAGCCAACTATGCGCCGCCGTCCGCGCTCTTTATCACGCCAATTAGGCCAGACGGCTCAAGAAGCCGAACGAACGAACATGCTACACCGCCAGCAGGACATGAAGCTGATCTAGTGTGGATCTTCACCACCTGGGACAATGGAGGGATGAATCGGGCGGCGGAGAGGTTTGCGAGTCTAGAGGTAGCGGTAGGTGTTACGGGAAAAGCGCAGCTGGAATGGAGCCCAGACGGAGGTCTGGGCCTCGGGACTATTGGCTGGGTGAACGGGGTTTGGGACGTTAGGGGCGGGCGCATGAATCCGTTTACGTTCGCTCTTCCGGGGATTACAGGCTCACGCAAGAAAAAATAGCGGCGGAATAGAGGCGCAATAGTGAGAATTTGCATTTGGCTGAATGGTATTAGAATGATTCGATCGCTACAGATGACCATGCATAGAATCCGCTTTAAGTCGATTGCTATCTCCTTAACGATTATCTTATGGAGGAGTGGATGGCGTAATCCTTGTCACAGGGAACAGCCACTCCTCCGTCCTCGCATACAGCTTCCCGTCCGGATATGTCGTTGCGTTCGCGTCCGGCCCATCTTCCTTCCAGTTCCACGGCTGCGTCCCGGATCCCGATACATACGATGTCCTATCGCCTGTGAGCTGCCCATTCATCAAAGTCCGCCGACGTTTTCTTCGGTCACTCACTCATTGGCCCTCCAACTTCTCCGCACGACTAGCGCATTATCCCCATAGCTATAGCTAAAGCCCAGCTCTTGCGACTGACAGACGTCGTACAAGGCGCTGATAGCATGGAGATTGAAGTACGTGTTCGGAACCACGCAGTCGGCCTCCGCTTCGTATCCGCGGCGGCTGTCCACGACGTGGAACGAGAGGTTCGATTGGGCGCCGTCGACGTAGGGGTCCGCCTCGAAGGCGGTGAAGTTCGTTACGCTGAAGACGACATCGGAGGTTTGCCGGAGGTGCAATGGCGAAGCTAGCGAGAGTGTGGCTAGGAAGAGGCTGGCGAGCTCGAGTCGGAGCATTGTGTCGTCGGTATGGTGAGGAAGAAGAGGGCGCGCAGACGTGCGCTTCGACAATATGTATCGCTGGGGATGTGGGGTCCTTGGCCCTTGGATGTGGAGCACTAGAGTTGGGAGCCCCGGTGCATGCGCTCAGTAAGTATTTGACGGCCCAATGGACGCATATCACGCTGATATCTTCAAGAGCGACGAAAGGAAGGGGTAGGATGTGTCCTCGCTCGCTTGGACGACTTCATTCCAGAAACATGTCGCGCCAGCATTTCTTCAACGCGTTCGAGGCTCTAGAGGATAGGACCCTGTGCCAATATCGACGGATATGGAGACGGTTCCTGCATCGCGGCTCGCCAATGACGGTTGAGCTATCCTATATTGGGCAATTTGACCTGCGTCGGGTAATATACGTGTGGACGACGGACCCCACGTTCTCGAAGCATTTAGCGGCAACAAGACTTCCACCACCAGGCGATGTAGGATCCTTCAAGGGATAATCATGGGGTATCGTGGTGAACCGGGCCATGAGCGCGCGGGATGAAGATCACCAACCGAACCTCGACTTACGATTGGCATTGTCACCTATGCACCGTCGTTCACTTTGCTTTTGCCTCAACCTCCACGCATACCCGAGGAGTTTCTTCTATTCGGTGCTCGCTCCTTCTCTCTCCTTCGCAATTATGCTGTTTGCACGCAGGGCGCCAGCACCCTCATCCGCACGCTTTGCGCTCAAGCCAACGCGCCGCAGCTGAAGTCCTCGCAACGAATGCTGCTTATCATGCCCGCTAACTCAACCCCAGCGGTCTTCCCACCATACCGTTCACCCGGATCGCTTCCATGATACTAAGTCCCTTTCGAGCCTTCCCAATATCGAGGTCAACCCATGGCCACTAGCCGTACGCAGAACAGGTTTCCTAATCTTGACCTTGCTTAGGCGCCTCTTTTGATTCTCAATAGATGAGATGCTCCGGCCAAGGACGTTGGCAATATCGGGGATGGGCAAGTCCTTCTCAAGCAACTTGATGAGTCGATTCTTTTCTTGCTTTGACCAGCGCAGTCGCTAGTTATTATTTGATATCAGCAGCTACTTCTATTACTAAAACATTCCCGGGGACTTACAACAGGTGGCTTGGACGATAAATACCTTTGATATGTATGTACCATTCGTGATCCAAGAGGGAACTGAGATGTTTTGACGAGGTATAATGCCATGTCTCTGTCGCCTTGGTTGGAGAGTCGGAGAAATAGAGTAATAGGTTGTTCGTCAAGGGGATGCTATAGATATAGGGCCGTGTTGCCGGTGCAAGTCTAATACCTAACCCAATAGGAAATATCGACGCATTTCAGCTATGTTATTAGTTTCGGGGGTTCGAGATGTGTAGCTGTCATTTGGGCTGAATGCAAAGCTTGGACGATCGCCTAGTTTCAAAGTGAAAATCGACCAGCCATGTCATTGGCCAGTAGCTTGGCTTCTCTTGTGCGATTAGACCGCTGTCCTGCATCTCGTGTTAGCATGGATATAGGGTCGCCTATAATTGATCGTGAAGAGACGGCGGTTTGCGCAGCTTGCCGCCGACCCAACACTACGTTCAAGCTTCCTAATTTAGAGCTGGTCGTTGCGATGTAAACAGGGACGGTGAGACAAGTGGGCGAAGGTGCGGCGCATGCGGAGATCAGGTGGCTAGTCCAGAATAACATCGGTGCCGAGCTGCAAGTGAGCGTTCCTTGCGGCCCAGCATCAGCTCCGACCGCACAATCGCTCTTGGTAATATATGCGTCGCACTCTACCCTGATCAACAAGCGAGGTAATTGCCCAGGAACGACCAGCTGCCTCTGGAAATTCCATTGCTTACATTTACAGAACCCCCTACATCTGAGGATGAATCATTTCAGCCCACAACCAGAGACGCCGCCGCCCCGCTTTCTTTTCCGCGTCGAATGTCACGACCGGTCCTCCCGACACTATAATTGCAGTTTCAACGGCTTTGACATGACTGCAAAGGACCCAACGCGCGGACTAGACGGAAGAGCATTTGACGATCATCTTTCATGGACTCGCAGACCCACGCCGTTCCTCTCATTCTTCAGTGACTGGGACGTGGCATTGAAAAAAAGGAGGCGGATGCTTGACAAAGAGGCAAACAACGTGGTCATTATTGTGATCAGAACGGAAGGTCTACGGAACCTTTATAGCGCTTACGATATCGCACGTCGCCTTCGGTACACGGGTAACGGTCAAGACCGCCGACGACAACTTGGCAATCATTTCAAGGAGTTTTTGGTAGTAGGCGGAATACGTGCAGATGAGGACAGGATACTCGCAACCTTTCATGGCGATGGACCTGAGAGGGTAGTGTCATTGTCCATCCCCGGGCTGCGAGCGGGCGTTTCGGTCACCAGTGACTTCGCACCGACCGGGACGGATGCCACCCAGGAGCTTCAAGATGAGATATACTCCTGTATAGGGCCAAAGGCAAACGACATACTTGTGCCACTTGTCCTTTACCTGAGTAAAATCCCTTCAAATTTGATTAGCTATAGAGAAGAGAGAGTAGTGTAAGCGTTTCTTGAATTCTCCATAGTATCAAATTGTATGCATATGATACGGCGAGCTACGGTGGGATGGCGTAGTTGTTGGTTTTGATAGTCTAGCTTTCGAAGGAGGCGTAGTCGGTGCTGGTGGTCTAGGTGCTGAGGACGAGGCGGACGGCGCGACCGTGAGGGTGATGGTAGCTGTAAGGCGTGCTTGCTAGAATTTAATGGCGTACTAGTGGCCGCGCTTGCGTGTGTTCGATGCGAAGGTGCGCGCGGTAACAGTAGTGGTAAGCCCAGTCGTTATGGTCGCTCCGTCATGAGGGAACCGCTAACCGAACAGTGTTACCCATATGCGGCATAGGAACTCGAAAACAGGAGCCAGAAAGCGTAATTGCTTGCCATTGTGGTGCCCGTGAGGCTGGAACGCGTCTTCGGGACGGACGAAGGTGGGAGAGGCAAGCTGGTCGTATGGGAGGCGTGCATCGTATTGGCTAGGACGTTGATTCCGAAAATTGGGGTTCTCGCTGTTCAGTGGTTTCAAGAGGCCAAAATTGATGGACGCATGGATGGGTCTGCTTTGTCGCGCAGACCACTTTGCGCGTCTCCTCTCCTATTCTATACTAAACCGATAGGCTCTACCAGACACATCCTCTCAAGGTTCGTTGCTGATAAGTGCACCGACTGATTGAATGGCTTCTAAGGTTTGGGTTTAGCGGGTTCTGTATCATCCTACTCTATAACGCTAACCCGACCGTTTCTTGTCATGATTTCGCGGTCGATACGGCCATGTACGCGCGTGTGCAGAGGCCCTCCTTTACGCCGCAAACTCTACAGCAAACGCGCAACATTCGCCACCCTCAACGCTCAGGGGCAATTGTTCGAGCGCGAAATCGATACCTAGGTATTTGAGTGGGGGATGAGAACGAAGCATACGTACTTATACTAACAGACGTCGGCAACGCGATCAAGGTAGCTTGCATGCATAATGGAGCTTCTATGGATACAGATTCGTTGATATGGAATTACAATAGGAGAGGCTTTACCTGTGGTAGCTATCCCCGCTCTTTGGTAGCTACTGTCGCTAACGCACCTAGAATCAGCTCCGTATCTGGAACTTTCAATTCCCCACGACCTACCTCGTACATCTCCCAGTGAAACGAGCCCTGCCACACTATTTCTTTTTGGGGCATTACATACGATTGCTTTAGACAGGACACCTGACAGTGGGTACTTCACATATAAATCTACAGCTGCTGATCTATCTGCATGTGTATTCACGTAACAGTTGCAGCGTTCTTTGCGCACATTGAAGCCTTAGCTAGATAATCTTAAAGACATGTAGTTATAGACGGAGTATAGTCTGATATCTAGTAATTTGAAGCCTCGTTACGATAGTACGTGATGTTATCGCTCCATGTAGGACTCGTAGTCGCAATTGAGGCATACAATTGTCCTAATTCCTCTACTGTCATCTTGTCTTCCACCACCTTGACGTGAGCCGCTTTTAAATTTTCCTTATTCGGATCTTCAGGTGCAAGTGGAATCGGTTGGAGCTGATATCCGTTTACAGTAATGTTTGGCGGAGGCGGACTCATAGTATCACCATTAACCTAGGTCATCTCTGATTAAATGAAGTAGCAAGTAGCAAGTAGCAAGTAATCAGTACTAGTGAAGAATGATGGTCCGTGGCTCTACCCCATCAAACAAGTACCCCCCAGATGCCGGAAGTTCGCACTCGAAGTAGCCGACACGCTCAAATTCCGTCTCATTCTTCATTCCGAGCATGAGGCCTATTGAAATGTGCGACCCAATTATTTCAAAGCACCATACAGTCCGCGGACCGATGCTACTAGATGAGTCCCAACGGATCTCAAGGGGTAAGGCCCGAGGAGAATTAACGCTCCGCGTAAGACTAAAGCCATCCCAATGCGTTTGTTGCAGTCGTCCGCTCAACCATAGGCGGCCTGATATAACGTCAGAGTAGTTGTGATCCTTGACTTTGTGGATGATTTCGCTTTGTTCAAGCCTCGCTCGCGCTTTGACTACACCATCATACTCCAACGAGCCGAGCTCAAAGAATGTGACCGGCCCATCCAGAGATGCCCATGACCAAGTTGGACGGGAAAGTTTCTCTGCTTTTGTATCTTCTCGCCGAGACCATAGCAGTTGCGCTTGGATTTCGTTTTCCCATAATCCCGCGAGGTAATTGGATGCTCTCCAGCCCAATATGTTCGCAAAGTTCTCTGCCAGAGCAGCACAAGCAGGTAGTTTGTCGCCTGGTTGCGAGAGTTTGCGATTTGTATACGCGCTGATATTAGCTAACCAATCACCCAAGACCACTGATTTACCCAGTCCACCGAACTGTTCCATTCTAGACTGCACTTCAGTCACTCGGTGAGGTTCGTTGACTGAAAAGTCTGTGTCCTTGTTCGTTGGATGAGGGGAACCACCTCCATCAGTGTTGACATAGAGGGTTGGGCATTTCCAGGTCGTTTGTTTTGAACCGAATCTGATAAGACGAAGAGAGAGCAAGTGTTCCTGCATTGTCCACGCTCTTTCATCAATAGGCTCTTGATGCGTGTCGCAAATCGGGTTTTCGGACAATAGAATTGTCCCTCTCGCCACATCATCACCAGACTCGTGACAGTAAGGTAGTTCAAATAGAGAACCATAAACCTTTGCCAGGTCACGATCTCCAAGGAAGCCCTCCGTGCAGTCCTTCGCACTGGCCGCAGAAATGGTAACGGTGGACCCTCGATAAACGCTCGACATTTTTGCAATTTCGGATGCAACGTCTTCTGGATCGTCTTGGATAATGCAGAGAGCGTCCACCCAAAGGTAATCCAATCCGAGTGATTGGGTCACTTCTACAGCATCTCTTATCGTCTGTGGTAGCTGAGATAACTCTATTCTGCGGTGTCGATCCTGGACATTAACTCTCTTGGTCTTTGCCTTTTCCATTTGCTGTGTGTCACCCCAGCAGTAGCTTAATGCTACATAGCGAGGGGATTCTCCTTGGGGAACAGTATATAACCTTTCGGTTGAATTTGGTTGCGTACAAAGGAGACGTCTGGGGGCCACGCAATGTTGAACTTCTTTCATGGCTTCTTTACACTTCTCGTGGGTATTTTGGCAGTTTTTGAGGAGCTTGCGATATGTTTTCATGTTCCTTGATCCCATTCTCGAACGTGCGAGGGGCCTTGATTTGATATATTGAGCGGCGGGGTTATCTGCACTCGTTAGCTAAGAGTATGGGCATACCTTATAACAGGAACGTACCTCTTTCGGCGAAAATACTTAGGCCCGACTGCTCGCCATCCTCGCCATCGCTTCCTAGCACCAACTTGTCATTGGCATCCCTCCATTCTGCCTCCAAACGAGCAAGGTCTTCGTGATCGGTCGATATGTATAGGACGAGATAGTCTGTGGCCTGTAGAGTCCGGGTTGGGAACTGTAAAGTCCATTTGAAAAGCATGCATTCTTCCGCATATTTTTGCACGCTGCGGAATGTCCACGTAAAAGACTGGTCAACGGAATCGCTACGTAAGGTGCCATCGATCTCAATCCTTTGACAATATTGGCAGGAGTGCGGGACAAGTCCAAAGGCATCCATTGCGTTGTCTTTTCAATGGAGTGTCAAAGGAGAGCCGAACAACGCTGGCGCTACAATTGAGATTAGGCAGCTATTCTAATTATGCTTGGCACGGATGCACAGAAGATACCAAAGAAGGGACGAGAGCTCACCCCATGTGATGCGCCACCCACCAACCGATTCTATGCCCACTACACCACCACTTGCTAGCCCTCCTCGATGCGCTTCCACCCGAGGCGGTGAGCGGCCTTGGGCATGAACGCATTTCCAAACAGGGAGCTCCGGAGCAAAGCAAGTGCAAACAAATGTTGAAATGTCATTTGGTGCCTTTTCGCAGAAGCATGGCGTGAATCAACATCGATGGACGTGGTTGGGCGGCAGACGCGGGGTGTGTATGCACGCAACGGGATTGGCTGGGAGCGCTGAGAGAAGGTTGGATAAAACAGCACGATGTGCATACAAAGGGCGTCGCAAAATTTTGGGGCCGGAATCGGTGAGAAGCAAAAGGGCTTTGGATGCAGGTAGGTGTCATTATAAAGGCGTCTGTTGCCTCTTTTCCACGGCCCTCCTCTGCCTCTTACCCTTTTGAAACAGCAATTCCATCATCTATTTCAACAGAAAAACCTTGTTTGGGCGTTGAAGTTGTTGCTTCGATTCACCTCAAGCTGTTTCTGAGCTCGGGGGCCCTCGGCTTCGGTTAGATGCGGTAGAGCTTTTTGTCGACACGTCGGAAAATCACAGAGGCTCGGCCTGGTCGCCGTTCACAGATTAAAACATGCATGGACTCTCCAAGGGGAACATTCCGGTCCGAGGCTGTGCACCACTCGGCGACAATGTTGAGATCCATTTCAGTGCAACGATCAGAGTGACGGAGGCGAATGGACAAAAGTCCAAAGCATTTGTGAGAAAAGAACCAAGCAAGCGTAAGTCAAATCTCTGACGAAAATTCTCTTCTCCTTCGGTACTTACAAGCGGTCGATAGCACCTCCACCGGAACGCCGTGTGTTCCTCGCCCAAGTTCCCGGCGAGGTATGGTTCATCCCCCAACGAGGAACGCCTATGATCAGAAGGGGCAGCAACGCGCGTTCCTGGCCAACCATTGTCCGAAATGTTGAGGCGAAGAAGCGATGGATTGTGCTTGTAGTTGACGGCACGGGATCGGAACCTCTAACTCCCGAGGTGCTAGAAGGAGCTGAGTATTTCGACTGCCCAGCGGACCGCGCACTACCACAGAGCCCCAATCAATCTAGTCTGATCAGATTAGTCAAAGAGATGGAAGCTCTCCAGGAAATTGGTCGGACGGGCCTAGGGAACGGGGCAATCCAAGATGCAGGTGAGCGTCCCACATGCCGCATTTGCCTCTTCCACGACGAAGCCAAGGTGTTAAGAGGGATGCGTTCGTTTCGCTAACGTTCTTGTCTTACAGCTAAACAACTACGTCCCCAGTGGAATGTTTCCGACAGCATCATCTGGAACAGCCAACACTATTCCTTGCACCTTGCCGCCAGTATCCTTACTGAGGGCTCCTATAATGTGAATAGGGGTGTCTTCATTACTCTGAGCCGCGATCTGCACATTGCGGCGCACGCGGCGGAGGCTCAATGGATGGTTGCCAAGCATGTAGGATGTATGGCGGGCATGGCGGTCAGCGGAGTGGTCACGTTTGGTCTCGGTGCCGGTGTATTCTGGTGTGGGGCCGCAACGTCCATGGGTAAAGCGATGCATGTGCAGTTTAAATTAGATCTACAGTTGGGTCGATTGCGAGATAGTTCTGAGAGATTCCAGGGATGGGCGTGGATCTGGTCGTGACGGGCGTCCCTTGCGTAGGATATATGGGACTCATGTACCCACAGATTGCCAGTAGCTATATTGTCGGCCATTATCAGACCACTGAGTGTCAAGTGCTGATTCTCCGCTAAATGCACCTGCAGAGTCCTATTGTTGGCTTGCTGAGGGCTATGGTCGTGGAGACGACGCGCGGTCAGCAGAGCTTCCAGTCTCCGCAACAGCCCACGGGCTTCACACCACAGGGGTCAATTCGCTCGACCTCGTCATAAAGAAGATGCGAGCATAATACATATACAGTACGTAGGTACCAGCAAAAAAGACGCGATATGCTAAACTCCGCAGGCAGAAGGGGTAGTGGAGACGATGCGGTGCAAACGCGCACTTCACTCTTTCACAAGCTGCCGCGAAAGATCTTGCGCAGTAAATGTCTCAGGACAACATTGCCGTCTTCTTGAGCGAACGTGTTGCGAAATATCTTACCGGTCGCCTTGGTGTAGTCTCGCAGCTCGGCCACATTGCGAAAGGTCTGAACTCTGTCCTCAGTGTTTTCACGCCTTCGTCCCCATTCAATCAAATCAACAATATTGACGTGCGTCCTTCGTGCCGCCTGTAATTCGGATCAGCATGGATCTTCAGAGCTTGGTATAACGGGCTCATACTTCCTCGCATCGCTCACACGTTTGCGGAAGCGGCTCGACACCAATTGCACGGCAAAGGGAATGCCACGCAGCCAAATCGTTCTCTGAACCGTACCACATGCGCAGTTCCTTCTCCAATGCATCCTGGTACCTGTTCCAGGCATCGTCTGACGCAGCCTCGCCACGCTGCCAACCCTCGTGTTTTCGCAAACAAGCGTAGGACGTAGCTGGCGGTAGAGATGGTTCATACTCAAAGGTCCGAAAGGAGCGGAAGAATAGATCCAAAGGGGTTTCCGGAACCTGTTGGTGACCCCGGGAGTCCCTCAGATGCTGCCGCAAGGCCTCATCGCTGCCGAAAGAGCGATCGCAGGTATCACAGTCGAAGGACGTCGCATGCGCAGGCGAATCCCTTAGGTGCTGCTTTAAAGCCTGCTCGCTATCAAATGATCGATCGCAGTCGTCACAATCAAACGATGAGGCATGCACGGGTGAGTCTCGTAGGTGCTGCTGTAGAGCCTTGACGTTGCCGAAATGGCGGTCGCATGTCGTACAGTCGAACGAATGCGCGGGTGCGTCTCGTTTGTGGCGTCGCATAGCACTGTCGCTCTCGAAAGCTCGATCGCAGGGTCCGCAACGGTAGCTGGAGGAATAGAAGCTAGCGAAGCGTTGGTGCCAGTGTCACGGCCGTCGTGAGGTATAGCAGAGATAGAATCTTGGGAGAGATCCTTGTCGTACAGCTGAATTCGTGTCAATGGGTCATTGGGCGATAGTGAAAGGTTGCTGTTACACAACATATGCCAACATTCCATTTTGTTCGACATGAACGAGTCAACATATAATGAGACTGTCGACTCACCGTATCCAGGAGATCAAGGTCTCCGATTCTCATTGCTCCGTACATTTTCTCATGGTTGTATCAAAGATCTGAAAATTCGCTACCGCTTCCTCGCGTCGCCCAGTCCTCTCCGTGCGCACGTTTTCTACGTGCCTTGAATACGTCGCTCGAAACCAATATTATTCTCGTTGGAAATGGCTTCAACTACTCCAACGATTTCAGTGGAGCGTATCTCCATCCCAAGAGCCCTTCCGGCGTTCATGCACAGCCTCTTCGGACTTCCGAACGACCCCGCATCTCTGTACCTCTCCGTGGACTCAGACAGCCTGATCATCTATGCCGAACCAGCCTCAACGGTCAACATAGTTGACCTTTCACAGCTTAACGGCGCTCTACGCCAGGGGGACGAGAGTGCACTCGCCCTAAAATCTTTCTTGGAAACTGGCACCACAATCAAGGTTTTCTTCGACGCGCGGAACCCGGCAAGGACCCTGTTCAACCGCTGTGGCATTAAACTAGCCATCGAGGTACGATATACTTGTCATCGCTCTTACGATGGATATTAACCGTGGCTCTAGACTTGCACTAAGCAAGCTTATATCCACGAAGTGCAAATGATGGAGGTAGCGTTGCGCCGGAGAGATACGGATCACGAATGGCTTGCAGGATTCGATAAGTGTATAAGGCGGGACTCTGGCCTTGGCGCCAATAAGCTCATGCCCAGTAGCTCGGATAGGGACGTCGAATTTGACAAGAGGATCTTGCATCTGCCATTCCTATGGAAGAAGTATCACGATCAGTTGGCCAAAGGCCGGGCTGGAAGCGGGATGTTGTTCTGGGTCGCGAAGATCCGCGAAGCAACGCAGAAGCGATTGGAAGAATCGCGCGGCGAGAATCACGGTAGATGCAATGCCAACGGTGCGAGAAGCGGCTGGGACAAGGACAGCATTGAGGAGTGGCGTGATTCTTGGAATGAAGACGTCCTGATGGACGCAAACACTGGAGGCGAGTGGATGGGTGGTGCGGAACATTGGGCGAAATTCCGTGTATTGTGATACCGATCCCGGGAAAAAATACGGCGAGCTTTTCAAGAACAAGATAATCGACTGCGCCATCAGACTCGGGCCACCGTTCTTCTCTAAAAACTAGGCTATTTCCCGGCTGGCTACTTCTCTCGCAGCACTCCATGGGACCATCAATCCATCCGATATTCGCCTCTCTACTACAACCCCGTCGCCATCAGCATCGAGACCAAGTCGCCCGACGGCAGCAAGGAGGACGGCGAGGTGCAACTGTCCGTCTGGGCAATGGCATATTTCAACCTACGCAAGCTTACTTAGGATTCCGTGTCCATTACGTTCCCACGTGTCCTGGTTTCCGGCGAGCATTGGAAGCTTGTGTTTTGCCCGGATCTGGAAAACTCGATTGAGATTATTGATGCGGTGGGTCTTGGGGATACGGGAGACCTGATTGGTTGTTTTAGGATTTTGGCGGCGCTGAGGCTGTAGTGTGGGTGGGCGGAGGGGATATTTCTGGGCTGGTTTTAAGATAGATTTCTGAAGCCAGAAATGAAACTATTAACGTACCTGCATAGCGAGTCGATGACGGGCGAGTTGGCACCCCCATCAACTGTTCGCGACGCGTCAATTTGTAAATTGCAGTAAGATGTGCCTCGCTAGCCATGGGCCCCATTTGGTTCCCTCAGTAGGGTGTCTATACCTCCAACCTACAGTGGCAACCACAGCCACCCCAACTACTCCTTGAATGCCCCAAAAATTTCAACGCCTCTCGCACAAGGTCATGGCAGGTGCGGGTCGGCCGTCCTCCCTGCTAGCATCACCAAAGCATTCATCCGGCCCTAAAGATATGAGCATATTCGTCTAGTCGCTAGCAAGTTTGCCTTACATGTCAGCCTTCCCGCGCCACGCTATGCGCTGTGCAATTAACCTCAACCCGCGCGCAGCTGAGCGCGTTCTCTATATTTTACCCCACTGCGCCAAGGGTAGTCACCCATATGCCAAGGGTGACTACCCTTGCTTATCGTAAGTGGTGGCGGTGGTTGTTGGGCTAGGCTGAGCTAGTCGGTGCAAGAGTTTACGTGGCTATGGATGACGCTCAGCTCCAAACCACATGACTGCCGCCCCCTCGTAAATGTGGCCGTGGTACAGACCGTGCAGTTGTTGCCTAGACACAGGCTCCATGCTCCCAGATTTCCTATAACTCTAGCTCAAGGCCAGCTTGCTGAAGCAGAAGCTCGCTTTTCCATCGCTTCTCCTCTCTGCGGTAAGGCATCATGTAGAAGAAATTAAAGAGGCTGCCCAGAAAGCTCTAAGACCAAAGGTCAGACTCGGCCGAGCGTGCCCGCGGCAACCAAAATGCGAGTGGCCCAGCAGTTCAGCCTTGCGGAGACTTGTCTTCTCTCGGGCCATCGTCTCGAGCCACGGCTAAGGAACAGACCTGAAGCACCCAAGATCAGACCGATGGATCTGAGCCGGAGACAGGAGAACATGAGATATACGATCTGGATCGCGAACCACATGGCTTGTTCGTTCTATACCCAAAGCCAGGCCAAGCCAACCTGAGATCAGACGTGGAAGTCGAGTAAGCGACCTCGGAAGCACTTTGGAAGGTGAAAACTAACCATCTGATAATTACATAGCGTCGTTGTAGTACACGGCAATGCTGTTCTCTAATGTTGTGAACCTGGCAACACTGGGCAAGGGCGAACATAAGAACTTGTTGCGCCAGCTTGATCGGAAGTCCAACACCCTTACGGATATATCGCGTCAATTTATGCACAGGGCGCAGTCGTTGAAAATCATGAGCTTTATTGAACAGCAGGTCGAACGTCCTCTGAACACTCTGGTGCGGTCGTTCCTGTTCCCATCGAGTCCACAGTCATCTAATCCTATTCAGGTTGTCCCCGAATACTCAGCCATATTAGGTCTCCCCAATGAGATGATAATTCCCCTCAAAGCCAGTCATCGCAGTATGTGTATATATATCACTCAAAGTTCCAGGATTGCAATCTCGTAGAGGCGGCTGTAAAGGAACTAGCTGATAGTTGAAGGATCAGATCCGAAAGGTAAGGTCATCCTAGATGTTCATTTGGAGTTGCTAAGAGTGTGCACTTCAAGCACCCCAAGTGCTTGTAACAGCCACAAGGAATGCGAGCCAGGTCTACCCTCCCAAAATAGTCGCAACAATCCCGCCCCTAACGAATCCACACCTAGATGGTTGGAAGATTTGAAAAAGTAGATCCACCTCACAGTCCAGTAGCTCAAAGACGCGCTGTACTCTACGACATTCAAGCTCTTCGAGCCGAAACACAAGTCAAGCTTCAACATCTCGAAGCGCTATCAGGAAGCAGGAGCTCTCCAGCCAGCCATACCAATCTTCAGATGTGATCCGAATCAAGATTCGCGGACTGAGAAACAAACTTCGATGCCAGAGCCAACAAGCTGGTACTTTCACTCCACTCATTCAGTTGCCCGACAACGTGCCCATCGAACGGATCGGGGTGGCCTTGAAAGAAAAACTACCAGGTGAGGTATTCTGAATAGGAACAGGAATATCCGACGGCTAACTGCTTGTAAATCAGGGCTCAAATATTGGAAGTCGTTTCAATTTGCCGAGTATGGCACTCCTATTGATTCAATTTGGAAGGATGTGTCCACCACTCCCGTTGAGATTACTTCCCGCCGTTCGTGCTATGACTCGTCCAGCTCTCTCAAGATCAACTCGGAACAAACAATTGCATCATTTCTTAGCAGGCTATCTCCCTCCTATCGAGGTGGAATTAAACAGACATGAGAAGGCCGTCCCCAAGAAGCCGTTCACCGAGGTGTCCTCCAATCTATCGTCGGTGAGAGCGATTTTTCCATTTCGTTCATGAGGACCGTACGGGTACCTGAAAATAGCAAGATCTATAGCTTACCCCTAGGCCTTAGCCACTTCCCCGTGTTCAACATCCACCGGTTCAGCAGCCGGCTTCCGGCCTCCATGGTAGCCCAAGGCGGTATCTTCTTCCCAATGTATCGTAAGTAAACATCGACATGTCTTCCAAACCCATGTTCAACTCTAATGAAACAATTCATAAATGGAATCCATGTGGATCAGCTTCGAATCTCACACCGAAAGGAGATATGCCATTCGGCCGTTTCTAGGTAGGGTTAACGGAATTTCAGGGGAAGCAGCCATCGGTGACATAGATATGATCATGCGACGCATAAATTTGGTAGGACCAAAGAAAGGCCACACCCTTCGCGAGGATCGACCAAAATTGGTCGGAAATCTTTGGAAAGAGGCCCCTGCAATGCTAGAGCCACCGGATCTTGTCGAGCTCACCGTATTCCACCGGCAAGCTGAACAATGGAAGTTCGAGGCTCGCACGGAAGACTGTCAGAAAACCGTTTCGCTAAAGGTCAGCAAATATTAGCTGTTCATTGGAGACGATACTGACTTTGATGCACAACAATTCGACAAGGATGATGATTTCGAAGATATCATTGCCTTCTTTCAAGATGCTTTTGCCATACCCGCAATGAGGCCGATTCCAATTTGATAGCCCCTCGTCGTCTCTGTCGCGTAAACGTGCTAGGAACAGACAATGTTTGCGGATTTGCGAAGCCATTTTGCGTTGCTCTCAATAGCGACGCTACGGCAACTGATCTCCGACGTTGCTTGGAGGATATAGCGAGCGAGTCATCATGTGCATAGGAACTCGAGTCTGGGGGCAAGAACCTTCGCAACGACGCCCCACTTTTCGATGCTGGTGTCGGCCGCGGGAATACCCTCTCTACCTATTTGATCTGGTATAACTCGGCGCTGGTCAGCAACCGAAGCATGCAGCTGTTTGTGAAAACGACGAACGGCAAGGTCATAACGCTAGAGTTCTGTCCAGGCGAAACGAAGCGAATATGAAACAAAAGTTTTCAAAAAGGAGGGTATGCCGCCGAACCAACAAAGGTTCATATTCCTAGGCAAACGGTTAGACGAATGTATGATATGTGGCTATAGTAAATGGGGTACTGAATCTAACGTGGGCAGGCCGAACTCTGAGTTTCTATAACATCCTTCCTACAGGGATGCCCGTCAATTATTGGAAACAACATCTAACTTCAGTCGAACGTGCAGGACAGTAGAAGAAGTATAAGAAAGAATAAGAATTAAGGAAAACGCGGATTTGTATTTCGAAGGTGCCGCAGGGTAAGCCAAGAGCTACCGTGGCCATGTTGCCATAGCGCACTATCTTCAATATTCCACAATTGAAGCTGCAGCTTCTTTGACTCGATCATTCCAGAGAGCAGCTAACTCCTTTGCAAGGTCTTCCGGAAGAGGGCCAGCGTTCTTGGTCTTCACATAACTATCAAGCTGTGAGAGATTGCTCGGGCCAATAACCACACCATCACCTCTGTCAGCTTCCAGGGAAGAATGGTACAGAAGCCATCGCAGCGCGGCCTCTGGTAAGCTGATGCCATGGGAGACGCAAAAAGGTGCTGCTTTTTGCAACGCCTCGTGCATGGCCGACTTATCATAGAAGCTCCTGTACCGCATACCACCAAAGTTCGTATCCGAGACCTCGAACCTCGTGCCCTTAAGGTCCTCTGACTTCTTTGAGAATGTCAGCTTTCCCGTCAGGAAGCCTCCTGCAAGCGGACTGAACGCGACAAAACTGATGTTGTGCTTTCTGAGGAGTGGGAGCAGCGTGGTCTCGTAGGTGCGGCATAGCAGATTGTACTGCCCCTGGTAGACGGTAGGCTTGACGAGTCCTTTTTCGTCTGCGATATGGAGCCATTCTTCCAACATCTCGACGGAGATGTTGCAGACGCCTAGCTGGGAAAAGAAGCCCTTTCGGTACTCTGCGTCTATTGCTGCGGCTTGATCGACGATGGGTGTTTGCTTGTCGGGGGCGTGGCAGTAGTATACGTTGATCTGCCATCGTTAATTTGTAGAACATTGGCGGGATGGTCGTTTCAGTTGCCAGATCACTTACCTTCCGAACCCCCAAGCCCTCGAGACTGCCAGAAAGAGATTTCTGGATCGCTTCCGCCGTCATGGTGCCACTACCATCGCCGAAAAAGAGGACCTTCGTGTCGATAGCAAAGCCCTTTTCGGGGAACTTGCTGTGACCCAAAAGTCTATCAGCTCCTCCTGGTGAGGTATATGGGTATACTGCAGCGCTGTCAATTCGTTTGATGCTGGCCTGCCCCAGTGCTTCAATCAACTCGGAGATGTTGTCTTCTCTCCAAGCGTCGGTCAAACCTCCTCCGCCAAAGATGAACTCTGGGAGGCTCATTTTGGCGTCGTCAGAATGATTGGCAGTGTGGTAGTGAGAAATTGGGTTGGAAGTCGACACTAGAGAAAGTGGAGGGGCCTGCTTTCGTGCCCGAAATCGCCGCCGCGCTGCGAAAGGCGAAGTCCGCGGGAACAGAAGATGGGCTGATCCAATGGGTGCAGATCACACCCTTGGGGTACGGCACAGTTACAACAACGTGCGCCGACCCTGGAAAGCTCACTTATCCCAGAAACAATATGCACAATCGTGCCAAGAAGGATAAATAGCAAATGCGGCACAGCCTATGCAGCGACATCACATATGTGGAACGGGTAACACTCTATGGTCCCCGACCTGGGGTGTTGCATTGGTATCTATGTACCAGCATTCTTTTGATGCGGCACAGCGCAATGAGCTACCACGCCAGTATTGTTGCCCGAGAAAGGTGGCCCAACAAGCACTCCGTATCATATGGTTGGGTGCAATATTTTGGCAAGGTTGCCGACATGCCCTTTGTTTGGTTGCAAGTAGCATCAAAGAGCTAGGATAGTAGAGGTAACTATTCTCCCGAGGCCACCTGAGATATACATGATTTTGACTCCCGTAAAGCTCAGCTATATGTCTCTTTTGAGCGTCAAGATGATTCTTTTGCTTTCCTTCTCACGGATTCATATCTACCAACGCAATCTCATCATCATTGCTGCTCGAGGGTTGGCTGCTTGAAGGCTTCCTCGGAAGCGCGTCGATATCGTACTGTTGAATTGCCGTAATCCCATTATTGTGTTTCCGGGAATGTACGGCACCGCTGGTGCTTCGTATAGCGTCCGCTCCACTGGCCTTCGATCTGGGTGATCTTCTCCCCCCAGAGCCTTGGGAAATCAGACTGACTAGCGAAGCCGCACCCGAAGCTGCGATGTCTCTCGTCTTACGCAGCAACGGTTTGACGACTGTGAGACACACGCAGATCATCGCCACAGATGTTTCCGTCGAGGATGTTATGGAATCGTTGTAGAAGGCGTATGCGGCATTCCAGTGGTGTTCTCTTTTGATGCGGAATCGAACGACACGCATTATCGAAATTGAGGTCGCTCTAGACATAGATATTAGCGTCCATTGTCATGAGCTGCTTGGACGATACTTACACTAAACCAAGCAGGAAAATTCCCATTACCGCAGCTTTTTCTCGGGCTGGGAGGTGTAGGCGCCACACCATTGTGACGGGAAGAGCCAGAACAAGAACGTCGGAAACCGCATTTACAGAGCTAAGGACGTAGGCAGCATACTTGCTGATGTTGTTCGCACCAAACTTCTCGCTGTTGGCGACTTGCCAGGCGGTAAGTGTAACCGCAGTCACGGTGTAGCATGGAAAAATCAGCAAGAAGTTTACCCACCAACCAATCCGGAACCATCTTTCGTTGAGGGTGAAGATGCGGCGATACATGAACAGAACAGATATCTTGATGGTGATGATCGTGAATGTGTAGAGAAAGGCTAGCGCAGTGGTCGCCTGTCTCGCGGATCAGTTGCGCACCATCGTGGGGTGCAGGCTGACGTACATTCTTCAAGGAGAGTGCGTCCTCCTTTGAGAGTTTCGCCATCCGGGGTAGAGAAACCCCTCCATATTTAGCCACTTGAAAATCGTCAATATCGAATCACTGAGCTTTCCGGGTCTTGAGCTGCTTTTGTCACTCACCTAGCAAAACCGTGATGAGTAGCCCCAAGTTGAGCAGCTGCGTTCTGTGAGCACTCCCCAATCGGCAGACCTTAGTTTGCTTACATAGCCAAGAGCAACGACGTAGTCATCCGTACCGATTTTCACCGGCTGAAAATACCGCGAAATCAGTCGTGAGATGATTGCCACTGTGGTGAGCACAATAAGCATCACAGCGATGCCGCGCGCCTCGCTCTCGAAGTCAGCCGGCTTTGAACCCGCGGAGCCCATGATAGCGCAGTGAAGCGAAGGTTCCAGAAAAGATTTCGGATAGTGCACTGAGATGTGGGTCAGGATACGATTGCTCAAGGCGTCACTAGTGAGTGCCCAAACACGCGGAAAGGAAAATCACCTTGCGCCAAAGGGCTAAATAGGATGGAATAAGTTTGGTGGGAACAATCTGAAGAACGCGACTAGGTCGTTATATCCGCGCGTAATGGGAGGGCTGCAGTCAGCTAGTGATCGCCCACCGGACCTTCCTTGTGGTGGGGATAACCAAAGGGACGGGCCGCTGCACCCGCCTTACGGGAAATTGTACCCAGCAAATGACGGCAGCTAGCGGACTTTCAATATCCATTAAAAAGCCGGGGTTGTAAGTTGTATGGCATTGAGCAGTTATTCGGTCCCGGCCCGTTGGATCCTAAGAAATTTTTGCAGCAATTACATGAAAGTGGCAACCCCGATGCTGTGAGACCGCAGTTGTTGCATGGGTATACAACGCCCATGTCAGCCAACTTGCGGACACCCCTGCTAATGACAGAGGCCCCAAGTCTAATACCATGACGCGACTTACCTGCGTGATAGGAGGAAGCCAGAGTTCTGTAGCCGTTGAAACAGTTGGCTAGGATCGTAAGCTGCACTGACAGCCAAGAGGCTCGACAAGGATTGTGATCCATAGCTGGCTAGCGGCTTCTGCACGTGTGAGGCATCGTTCATGAACTGATAAGGGAAGAAGGCATCTTGCTCCTTCGCGATTGCTTCGGCCCTCTCGCCCAGCTTGGTAACCAGCTCGTGCGAAGCTGCATCCTCTTCCTGTGATGTCCACTCAACCAGGGGCGCAAACCCTACTCCGATATTAATTTTTTGTAGTGCTATTTGGCTGGCGGAGAGGGAAGCCTACTCACAAGTTTGCGGGGCGAGCTCGATTCCGAGAGAGTTTCCACCATGCTGCCTGCCATATTCGACGCAAGCCTTTCCTACCGGCTGGAATGTGTACGTGAGGGTCGCTGTAGGTGTTTTTGATGAGTTCACCGATGTAAGATACTGTTCATGCAGCTTGATGTAAAGCTCGAGGTCTACGCCATGGCTGACGGCGTGCGGCTCTCTTCTATCTCATGCATCAGCAAGGTTCTCAGATATTATAGTAGTGTAGAGGCAAAACTTACTTGGCTTCGCCCATGTGCGTGTTGATTGCGGTGACCAAATCCTTGAGGGTCCCGTTCGTTTGTGGCACGAAGGTTTGAATGGGTGTGAGATGACTGAACGCTTGGAAAGCGCTTGGAAATGGAGCCCATTGTGCGTAGAATTTCCCCACAAACAATGATTGAGGGCCGACATTGACGAATAAGCCCAGGTTGGAATCACTTTCCATAGCACTCTGGGCTTGCGCAGTCGCATTGAGAACAGCCTTATAATCCACTGGGTTGTAAATGTCCATGGAATACCATATACGCTGGATAGGACGAGGTCGAATTCGGAATTCTGTCACAACTCCTGAAATTGAAGTTAGTGGGGGCTTTCTAGCAGGAATAGCTGCGAATAGTACCAAAATTCGACGACCCTCCTTTGAGCGCTTGGAAAAGATCTCGGTTGCTTTTCGCATTTGCATTCACAATGGTGGAGTTTGCTAGAATAACCTTAAACTGTTAGCGTATATGATAGCCCTGCCCATGCGAGCATTAACATACCTTGAAGTTTTCCACACTATCCGCGCCCAAACCATATAGATTCGGAAAGAAAGACATGCCTCCTACGTGGATGAGCATTTTGATAACAAATGTCTTGTGACTGAGGAACGGCGCGAGTAGGCATATCCTTACCCCCGAGAAGAAAGCCGGCGACTCCAACATCATCGTGGCGTCCGCCCACAGCACCTAAGCCGTAGCCGTCTAGAAAGTCATATATATCCTGCCAGCGATTGCCAGAGCCAGCACTCATTGATCCGTCCGCATTCAGCCTGCGAACTTGTAGGTCTCGTACATCGATGAGCAAACCATTCTGGTCGATGCTGCTAAACCCTGCATTGGCATTGTGTCCGCCGCTTCTTATTGCAAACTTTGCTTGTACATTCGCGATGATTTTTAACGTCACGGCGACTTCGAGCGAGTTTTGTGGTCGGATGAAGCACGCGGCCGGGAGCCAACAGGTTTGTGACCTGCCACGATACAAATCTATGTAAGCGAGGACAATAGGGAAGTGAAGGCTTTCGTACCAATTGGCATCCTTTTCAATCTCGTAGTCGGAGTCATTTGAAGCTATTACTTTTGTGAGGACGAGCTTGGCCACCTGGCATGCGACTCGGGCACGCTTGGCCACATCCGAATCTTTCTGGATGAGTGACTGGAGAAGATCGATTCTGGGCGGAGACTCAGAGAGGCGAGCCTGAAACGCCAGAAGCTCGTGTTGGGATGCTTCTGCCGAGGAATGGAGCGAACGTGCAGTCGCATTGAGCTCGCTTGATAGGGATGTTGGTTGCTGGCTTGCGGGTGAAGGCGGGAGCGGGAGCGGGAGCGGAAGCGGAAGGGCGCCACGCGAGAGTCCATGTAACGTTGGTGGCGTACCACTAGACAATGCGGGGCTCGCTACCACGGCCACAGCAGCGATTACGCTTAGCTTCGTGTACCACATCTTCGAGCGAGAAAGATGGAGCAAAAAGCCTCTTCATTGATCACTCACACATCACAGGAGATGCAGACATTAACTGCTGTAGCAGCGAGACCATCGCCGCAGCACCCATTGGTCCGTTGGCATGACTGAGAATATATTGCTACGCGAGGCGATCGATGGGATCCCTGCACGGAGACAGCCTTCAGCAAAGGGCATCAAAACGCCGACTATTCAACTGTTGTGTGTCACCGTCCTAATTCGGGAACTCGCTCGATACGGAAACGTACTCGTGCTGCATAGGCGCGTATGGCGGGTAGACGTCCTGCAGCAATTTCGGAGTCCGCGCCGCAGATAACACGCACAGTCTACACAGGGGTCCACGAGGAGGAGGCGTCACCGCCCCCAACAACTCTGGCCTCGGCAGCCTGCAGCTGGGCACGCCGACACCACCTCTTCCATTCCAATTTCTGGGCTCATCTTCAACGTCACGTCCGTCTTCAGGTTGACACAACGGTAGTCGTGGGGCGCGCATTCGAAATGGCGCTTCTTAATGCTGTCTTTCAAGACTTTACCGTCAAACTTCTTGGACTGACGGCTGCCTTTGTCGTGGTACGGAGGGTCCTGAACCTTTTTGGCTCGGCGCTGACGAATGACCCTAGTACCTCCTCAGCTATGCCATCTACAACATATATTTTCACCCTTTGTCAAAGTACCCAGGGCCAAAGCGGTGGGCTGCAACGAGGCTCAGCTACATCTTCTCGCTCTGGTCCGGGTGGTTGCACAGAGATGTCCGGGACCTCCACACACGTTACGGCGACATAGTGCGCATCGCACCCGATGAGCTTTCGTTTGCGCGACCAGAAGCATGGCAGGACATATATACCAACCAGCCTGGCCGTCAAGCGTTCCCCAAGAGCGCGATCTGGCATGGTGCGGCCAAAGGACGGCCACCGTCTGTTTTGAACGCAATAGACATCAAGCTCCATTCACGCTTTCGCAGGGCCATGGACCCGGCGTTAAACGAAAAGGCAGTGCGGATGCAGGAACCCATCATCCAAGCCCACGTTAGGCTGTTCATTTCCAAGCTCGACAAGCTGGCTTCCTCCGACAGCCAAGGAGCCATCGTCGACATTCTGCGTTGGATCAGCTTTGTCGTCTTCGATGAAATTGGGGATCTGGGCTTTGGGGAGCCATTTGGATGCCTGGAAAGCTCCGAGCACCACCCCTGGTGCTCCATGATCTTCACGTCTCTTAGGGCAGCAACATACAGAGTCAGTCTACGATACTACCCAGCCCTCAACTGGCTCATGAGCTTTGCCATACCCAAGAGCGTCGTCAAAAAGGGAATGGAGCACTGGCAAATGTCGGTGGACAAGATAAATCGCCGCTTGAACCTCGAGAAAGACAGACCCGATATCATCTCCATGATCAAGCGGGACGAAGAAGGAGTAGACGGACTTACACATCCTGAAATGCTAGCTACCTCCAGTGTCCTCATAGTCGCGGGTAGCGATGGCACCATCTCCGTACTAAACGGCACGATGTACCATCTGGTTAGAAATCCGGACGAGATGGCATTGCTTGCTGCTGAGATTCGGAACGCGTTCAAAACGGAAGATGTCATCAATCTCTCTGCGCTCAGGGATCTGCCATATCTTAAAGCTGTACTCAACGAAGGTATGCGCATGTGCAACCCAACGTAAGTTCTGCAACCCTCACTTGGCTATTTCTCAATGGGCTAAATTAGAACAGGCCGGTAGGAGCACCACGAATAGTACCACCGGGAGGCGGTATGGTCTCTGGAGAGCGACTGCCAGAGGGTACGTTTGTTAACGTGCATTCATTGACGGTCTCACGGTCTCCAAAGTTGTGGTATGATTCTGATGCATTCCGCCCGGAACGATGGCTCGACAGCAAGAGCCCAGAGTTTGAGATGGACCAACAAAATGCTATCCAGCCGTTTGGTGTCGGTCCGCGGTCCTGCGCTGGAAGACTGCTAGCATGGGCTGAGATGCGGCTTATCTTGGCTCGTTTGATATGGAGATTTGACTTGCTGCCTGCTGATACTGAGGCTGGAAGGCTACAATGGGATCAGCAGCGGACCTTTACGGTTTTGGAAAGGCAGCCATTCGAGGTCCGCCTGAAGCGGCGTGAGGGTGTGACGGCGATGGATTGACAAATTGACAAAGCTGCATGAGGTCTCGCAGATAAATTCTGCCACTTGACGTATGCAAGGATAAGATAGAATAATCACGCTTCCGTCCAATTGCCTGCTCATTTTTGCTGATCAGGCTTGCCGAGTCGGACTTCGCTTGGGCAGGCGATCTCACCGCCAAAATCCGACCAGCAACTCGGGCTTGGGGATTTGCATTGACCGAGGACTTTGAGATCTCCATATTAACTCGATATTGGAAAGTGTGTTGATAAGGACGAACGAATTATTCTGAGACCAATGCGAGGGTTAGGTGTGGCACAGTTCATCCGGGTAAAGCTGCAGCCTGCAAACTGCGCCGTGCAGGTACACCACTGACATTTCAACTACGGAAGGTCACACTGTACAAGGTCAGGATCTCACGACTCCTTCCTGCTTGACAACTCTTGCCCCCTGCGTCGAAAATGCAGCTTCGCCTGAGGATCCGGAAACACATTCTCATCCAAGTAAAATGTCTTGGGTCGCACTTGCCCAGCCCAGTATTTGACGTCGTACTCACTAATGATCCTTGACAGCACAACTTTGATCTCCGCGGCAGCAAAATGCCGGCCAGGACATGCTTGCTTGCCATGTCCGAAGGCGAGATTCTCTTTGCCCGTCTGCACCCACACATGATGGCACTTCTCGCCAGGGAGCTGCCGCTTGCGATAGGAGCGGAACCCATCGAAAACAAAGGGGTCGGCTTTCACTGCTTTGTCCATGAGAATGGCAGCGGAGGGGAAAGCAATTCTAGTTCCACGCGGGATGTATGTGCCATCATGGAGGGAGATGGGCTTCATGGCAACGCGCTGAGGCGACACTGTGGCAATATTAGCAGGACGTTCATGATGGTTTTCCGAGAGAGATTCACTTACTCAGCACAGGCGGGTGAAAGCGCTGAGACTCCACCAGAAATGAATCCATTTTTTCAAGGCGGTGGAGGCCGTGGTGGACGAAGTCGTCGCCTTGGAACTCTTTGGAGACCCTTTCAATTTCCTCGCGCAAAGGCTCGACGTATTCCGGGTGAGCGCAAAGGTCGTAGAAGGCGTGGCTGAGTGCAAGTGCGGTGGTATGGATGGAAGCCAGCGTTAGAACAAGCTGTCTGCTCTTCATCTCCTCGAGATCCCCTTCCGTACCCACTGCATTGTCCACCATCCAGCCGAGCAGCGTTTCCTCCGTCTGGATACCAGCCTTGACCTTTCTCTTGTGCTCCGTCATCAGCGCTTGGATTATACGTCCAGCTCTTCTGCGATGGTCCTGAAGCCTGTAGCGTGAGGGGAGCAACCTTGCCAGCAGAGGATGCATGAATTTAGGGAACATGCGCAGTTGAAAGGCAGTTTGAAAGGTGTCCATCGGGTACTGGATACTGATGTTCAACCACTCTTCATTGCGCGAGGCCGCAGAACCGAGGAAGACCGCACCCGTCATCCGAGCAACGATACTCCGTGTGACAGATTGGATATCCACTTCCACCCACTCTAGCCCGTGTGTTAGTATCGAGTACACGCATCCGGGTCTGGCTTTCATTGTTACCTTTGGAGCGGGGCATCAAATCGTACAAGGCATGGTCGAACGCAGCTTTCGAGCGCAGGGTGTAGAAGCTAACCCTCGGGGTGAGCTGCTGTAGCAGAACCTGTGTGTGGAGGGTGCTGTGCAGCACTACCGAAGCATATGTGTATTTGCCCAGAATGTTCTACACAGGCTCATGAGCACATTAACGTTTCCTTGGTGCGCGTCGATCTTACTTGGTACTGTGCATGTGCGTTGCTCAAGACCGTGTTGGGAAACAGGCGAAGCTCTTCTAGATAGTTGTTGGATAGAATGAGGGTATCCCCGTCGATTCTGCGGACATAGAACTTTCCACTTTTGTACTTCTCGCGGTCAGATCATAGCTAGAATTTGGGTTTAAAGGCGTGTTTCACTGACATTCTCATATCCGCTGGTTAGAATGCCTTTGGCATTCGTGAGAAACCGTAGCCTCAACAAAAATGTCGGCTCAAACCATGATCGATATCCAACAAAAGGTGCGTTGACCGAGGCCCGGTTCAGGTACGAGGAAAACACGAGTAAGATTCCAAAACCGAGAGTGAGAAGTTCCGTCACAGTGATACTGGAGAGGGCGTTCGTGAGCAATGAGGCATAAGTAGCAGAGAAAATCCCCATAATGACTTATGGACCACAATATCGTTGACGAGGTAGAGAATCCGTTGTAGGTGACTTATAACTTGGGGTGGTCGGCCGGAAATCGTTAGGCGTGTCTCGAATTGCAGATAATGCGTGGGTGTGGAAGAAAAAGATCAATCTAGAGCTTCCGGAGAATGTTCCGTATATGTACTCAGAGCGGCACCAGCGTCCGCGACAGTGGGTGATCCCCTGGCCTAGCATTTTGATATTAGCCAATTGGCACAAATCGACCCTACATATAATGTACAAGGCTCTAGGTTTGGGTTTATGGGTGTGGCGTAGCGTACGTGTCCTACATGCATATGCAGGCGCGGGCGGAGTTGGACCCGGGTGGAATGGATCCTTGCCCTGTCGCTAGGCACAATCTATGAACAAGCCAGTGAAGTGGTTCGTTGCGTTGCTCGACTGTGATCGAATCGCGCTGCTGTGAGGTCTCGTCTGCTGAGGTAGCTTTTGAACCCCACCCTTGATGTGCTAGTCATGCTCAAGAAAGACGAGCCTTATTCGCTGTTCAACTGGACTGAATCGTGGAAATCCAGAGCTTCCTTCGATGAAATACAAATTTCAAAAGCTTCGAACGGGACAGAATGGCCGGCTCGGGTTTCTTATCTTCGTGCGCTATACGGCTGAGTCACTACCACTTCCTTTTTCGGACAATTAACTCTTGCACTGCGCGATGAGTTGAAATCCATCTCTAAAGAGCACCTCCCGGTGGTAAAACTCCCAAAATTTGGCGTTCTTGGTCATTACTGCCACGTATTTGTAGCGCTTTGGTGGCTTCTACCGTGCTTTTCCGGGGGCATTACTCTAATATTGGCAAAAATTTCGCTAGTTGTGGATGTGTCGGGTGTTTGTCAGCCAAAGGCCTATTCCTGGACCGTATACTGTTGCCCTAGGGTCGATGTAGCAAGTAGTAAGCTAGAACCATACCTACCGCACTGTAGCATCGTCGAAGAGTTCAATGACCTCATGGCCGAGTTGAGAGGAGCTGTCGCTGAGTTGGATGTCGAACAGCTGCTGGCGAGTGCGTCTGTAGGGAGCAGATGATGCCGAACGGCGAACAGGCTGCCGACGGATGCTGAGACCCGTCCCGTTGCACCTGAACTTGGGGATGCGGCTGAGCTTGAAGAGATACGCCCTATGGCACGTTCGCCAGAACTCTGCCCACCGCAGCGAGCATAATACCGCTCAAACCAACTCGGCATGTCCTTCCCATGTCGTACTGTATCACTCCGCCAAAGGTCTCATCCCCGTTACTCCTTACGCTCCTTCCGCCACCCATGGTTGGAGAAAATTTTGTCGTTGCTTGACATGGTAGTCTGTGAGAGTCTTATCTTTGAAGCATGATACCGTCTGGTAGTAACACCGTAATCAAAGTTAGGGTAAACTAAGTTATCCCGATTGGGATTAGGAGGGGTACAGCCGGGACTAATGAGACTATCTTTACGGAGGCCTAGACGCGGCAAAGTATAACACCCAGGGCTTGCATTGTATTTGAAGCAGGTATCCAATGGTCATGCTTGTCAAAAGTCATCAGCAGCAACACTACGGAAGGGGGGCAGCGTATCGTCGACATCCAACAACACGACAGGAAATTCCAAATGCGATTCTTCGCATCCGCCTTCTCCCGCCTTCTCCGAACCCTCCCCATCCTCGAAGTTACCAGACGACTCCTGATCAAGGCGTCCCCATACACCAAACCTCAACTTGCCCCATTTCTCATACTCATCGTCTCTATACATACTGCCCTGCCGTACCTTCGCTTCAAAGCCATAGCGTCGGCAACGCCCGTAATCGAGTCCCATTGCCCCGCAACTCCGTCCGCAGACAGCTCATCGCGCCACAGTTTGAAGAACGGCAAGCCTATTTCCTGATACGTCTGGGCAGAGATGGGCGTCTCTGGCGGGTTCAGTCCGGTCACGGTGCGGAAAGTCGTGGCGTCGACGATTTGTATGTTGAGCAGCTTAGAGTTGGCCACATCCCAGATGCGTGGGTCATGCGTGTCCCGCTCGATGTGCTGCTCGATGCTACCGCCGGCGCCGACGCCAAGCATCCTCAGCTGCGATACCGGCAGAACTCTGAGGACGAGCGTCTTCGTGCAGTATGGCTTAATGGATGCGGCTGTGAGATCCCGTTAGTTCCGCCGTTGCTACTAAGGATAGTAGCTTAGGTAGATTAAAAACATACCGTTATCTAGTGCTTTTCCTCTATAGCTAAGAATCTAGCGCTTAATAGAAACGTAGAGTATTCTCTATATTTAGTGTTTAACCTCTAAGATTATTTTATACTCTACTAAGTATATATACTTCTTTAACGTACTTTATAAATAAACTAACTACCTAAACAAGCTAACTACTTTTACTAAGTCTCTACTAAAAATTATCTTAACTACTATAAGTCTAGCTATCTATATAGAATTATTCTCTTATAAAGCTAGAATATAGCTTAATCTTTATACTCTCTAGACTAGCTAAATCTAAAGTAAATAATACGCTATAGCTATATATAGAGTCTACTAATTAATATAAAAAAACTAATATAATAGAGTTACTCTATAATATAAAAAAATAATATACTTTATTAGTAAACCTTCTATATTACTAAACTCTCTATAATTTCTTAGTAGAAAAAATTAATAAGAATCTATAAGTTTTTCTTAAATAACTAAGTAAAACCTTAATATTTTTCTATAAAAATTTATATATATATTCTTTATAGTATATTATATCTTATACTAGAGTTATACTAAGATATATTATATAATATACTTTATTATTAAACTCTCTATATTATTAAACTCTCTAAAAATACTAAGCCTCTACTAAAAAGCTACTATTTTATTTAGATTTCTTTAACTCTAAGCTACTTAAGATAAATCTAGATAAGCTATCTAACTTATCTATATTATTTTTAACTATCTAGTATA